CTAATTATTATGAGATTTTCAGGGTGGAAACCAGAGTCGACGAGGTTACAAAGGTGAGTGACTTTCTTCCCTGTTACCGCTTGTGGAAATCCAGAGTCAGTCGAGATGCGGTATGGTACGGTCACCACCAGGTATCGTACGGCCTGCAAGCCACACCTGAAAAAAAGAAAGAGAAAAAGAATAATCTGTATGGTAATCCGTATTCTGGCAGCTTCCTGCAACTAACTAACTAACGGTGAATGTTGCCACTATGACTCCCTCAGGCGGCCTTCTGATTATTAATGCTAGCGTGGCGCAGGTGGAGGCACTTTCCCTGGTAACGCGGCGCCGACGTCGGTCGTATGGGTGCCTTAATTACGGTACCCGTAACGATGACCGCTCTTTCATCATTCTGTAGACGCAAGGTTAGAGACCTGCTTATCTACCCACTGATTATCATCGCCATCATCTTGATTATCTTGAAGATGATTCCACCAAAGGCCAGCAATTTACTCACAACGTCTCCCCCGACCTTTCCCCTCTCTTCAAGGGAAAATCGTTCGTCGGATGACGTCCATTACTCCATAGTCCATACATACCCTGAATCCACACGAGTGGGCTAGTTAAGCCAGACTGAGGCTGTGCAGCATCTGCAACGGACTATCCATGGAGTTACTGCTCTTAGCTACCTCCCGTGGCTTGTTGGTCCATCTACTTTACGGTGTCAAGACTAAAAAGACACAATAATGAGGGGTAGTTGTCACTCATGGAGGGGCTTTCTCAATTTGAATTGATCAATTTTCTGGTATCCCCCCCTCTCCATGTGTGGATTGGTTCATGGACAATTGTCCCCGAGCAGTCGGGTTATTTCCGTCAGTCAGATGTCTCGTGCATGTCCACTGTCGACGGATTTCGTCAACGCTTGCAGGCGGCTGAAAAAACCCGCAGCGCAGCAGTCTGTCCTCTCTAATCTTTTACCTGGAAACTGAAAGCCTGGTGGTCGGACGCTTACCCTTCGCGGTAGGAATGATGCCCGCCAACAACTCATGCAGCGGGGACTGGCAGTGATGGCCACTCACTAGTTCGAGGGTTATTACTTCATCCTGTGAAGCTAAGAAACGCTCCCGTCCACTACATTCGGCATTCCATACTTTTCGTGTTCGAGTGCGACCGACCGTGACTCGATCATGGGTGTCCCTCGCCAACTTAAATCGGAGGCGAGTTTAACATCATGCCCAAAGCCCGGTGGGGGTCACCAGGTATCAGGACTCAAGAGCACGTCCTGTATCTCGGGACGAGGACGAGGGCGCGACCAGGTTGGCAATTGGCACCGCTACACAGTACTCCGTGCCATCCAGTAGAGAGAGCCAAGGTGTGCTTGTCGCAAACAATTCTTAATCCAGCCCCAAATGTCGCTCGAGCCACCCAGCGATCACTACTCCTTTGCGTTCAACCTGTACGAAAAGTATTGACAGGGTTGTTGGTTTCATTGACGGGACCGGACTGGGGATTGTCTCCATTCGGCTCGTCAATCCATCCACCGGATTGCTTTCATGACGTGGGTGCTCCTCTACTCCGTATGCCTGGATACGGAGTAGTGCCGCCGTAGATAACTAACCCTAGCGAACCCAGCGGACCTCGGCCGCCCTGCAACAACGAGGGCTTGACGGAAGAATCCCTGCGTGGATTGCGGAGATCCGCTGATAACCATCTGCGCACACCTTACACCGTAGGGTTTCCCCGACATCTTTGGACGGGAATCTGCAAATGGCGGTGGCTTGAAAGCTGCGAAAGCATTCGTCCGACAGTCGACAGAGGGCCCGCGATCAGACGAGGTGGACGTATCATGGAGATTGAGGAATGTCCATGAAAATCGTCATTAGCTTGTGCGTCCAAAACCAAATTGACGTACTCGCGGTAAATAAATTCAGGTTCAAGAATTGCACGAGGCATTTTTGAAGGCCAATCACCGGGCCGAGGATGGGCGTGTCAGAAAACGGTTCCATGTTCTGTGCCGGTGGAAATTACTCTGAGTCCCTCTCCATGGTCCAGTTCAAATGGGGATGGGTGCATACGTCCGGCTGAATACTAATTCTCATATAGTTCCGATCCATATGGAAACTCTCGTGGAGTCCAAGTAGGCAGCATCGATGTTGGAATTGAAACCCACCCATCCATACAGCTCCCTTGTCTCCGGAAGTGAGGTAATTGAAATGTCTTCTCCTTCACATCAATGCCTTTGGACTTTGGATTTACCTAATCGCATGCCGCATGATGATCTGTACTCGATCGAATCGAATGCGTGCTTGCTGCCAAAGGGGAAACAACCATGAGAAATCAGCCACTTCATCGATACATCCATGGAAGTACTCCGTACTGTTATGAAGGTATATTTACTGTACATACTGTACATACAGTACAATACAAACAGGACCTGTATCTGGTACCAGGTGCCTGCGGTGGGATCCACCGTCCACCGTATTCATTCCAATTCCCTCGTGGGACCCCGTTGTCCATCCAGTTGGAGTTAGATTCCGAAACGGCCACACCCCAGTGGGTTGTACTACTCAGTGCACAGAATTTGAAAATCGTATCCATGCTTACTTCCGTTCGTTGTGCTACTCCGTACATCGATCCAAGCACGAGGCAGGCTGACCGCCAGGTCAGACAATGCAACGACCAGTGGACATTGGCATGGATATGACGAGAGACCATGTCTGCTTCTTCACATGTTTGGCTGATGCGTCCCTACACCGGAGTACTACTAAGGTAGGTACATACAGTACAGAGTACACACCCGGCACAAAGGTCCAACTACTCGGAGGGAGGAGAATGGAAATGCAGCCAGGATAAACAATTTGCCAGGCTCGTTGGCGATTGGTTCGGTTGGAAGGGTCAACAGCTCCTCTTTCCTACAAATTACTGTTCAGTGTTAACTACACTAGTCTACAACCTCTACGGTCGGGAAATCTCACGACGCTTGTCTAGTGGACTCCACTCATTCCACTCTCTTTCCCCCTCTCTGGAGCCGCATCGAACGAATCACGCCCGGAATGGCCCCGTTCAAGCTTCGTCGCATCCCTTTGGCCTTCCCGAACCAGACTAACTTCTCTTCTTTTTCTCTCACCCTTTTTTTTTTTCATTCTTTTTTGATTTGCATTGTACGGAGTAGAGACTAGAGAGTACATTGTAGTGTATACTACTACTCTGTAAGGTTACTAGGGGCTTCCCCATTTCCCTCGGCTTGAATATTTACTTCTCACGGAGTACTAGCCAGTCTAGTCGGAAATTTCACACATTTCTGTCCAGTGTCCCCCTTGGAAGTGGACCCTACTTCCTGCTCATCTGCATCAGCCATCAGGTGATGCTCCATATGATCAAGATGGATCCCCGTCGGTCGTTACTCGTTTCTTACTCCTTTTAGTTTTAGTCTTAGGCTCTAAACCTCCTGTCTGACTGGCAGCCGCTAAGATCGAGGCTGCCTCCTTTGCCTAATTGCCTATCGTTACAAGTTGAATAAATCGTATGAATAATACCTACTTTAATCTCTGCCCTCTGCCCTCTGCCCTCTGCCCACCGGCTACCTACCGGTGCAGTTATCGCTTGGCCCCAGGCTTCTTCCAACGGTGAGTTACATTCATATCAAAGAAGAATGAACCGTCGTGTGCGTGTTTATGTTACACATCCCCCTCCTCCCCCAGAGTGTCTGCAACCCTGCAGTCACTCATTGTTCACCTCGACCTGGTCCACACCCACACATACACTACACCGAGTAAACAAAGAATAAACGTAGTACAAAGTAAAGTAAGATCACGGGTATCTCGACGTGGGAGAGACGCACCCCCCCCCCATGCATCAGCACCTCCCTTTTTTACCCCAGACTTCCTACCTATACCCCATGGTATAATGACACCGTACAACCCACAGACCACAAACTATGTCCAACGGTCCAACCCCCCCCCCCCCCTACCGGGGACTAGTACATACCTAGTACCTAATACCTACCCTACCACCTGGTCATAGGGCCGAAGGAAGTACCCCGGTGTACACGAACCCCTTCGCACGTGGCCCGACTAAACGTGCTGAGATGACGCCCATCGAACTTAATCTAAACCTAATCTACCCCATCTCTCTCTCTCTCTCTCTCTCTCCCTCTCTCTCTCGGGAGAGGCCTCGCTTGGATATTAATGAGTAATGTAGGGTCGCATGCGCACATAGAATCGTGGCATCACGTGGTAGCTGGTCTTTAACCTCAGCCGGGGAGAGTTGAGGGGGTAGGGAGGCTTGCATGAGCAGCGACGATCAATCGTGCTTAGAACGTACCCAACGGGTTTCGATTTTAGAGAGTACAATAATGAGTTTGATTTGCCCAACATAGGCAAAAGAAAAATAAATAGGTTATCTCACATATACCCACGGCTAGCCACGCTTCTTTTTCCGTCCCCTGCTTCTAGTCGCGTGTCATGCAAGTTCTGGCCCTGGCTTTGACGATAACGCACGACGTCAACGAGATTCCAGTACCTCCTGGGTTGGACAACTATGCCATGGCTCAGACTGGGGAAAGAGTACCAGGTAGGACAAATGTGCGCTGGCAGTGATCTACCCCAGTAGATCTTGCCTGATCTCGGCCGCCAATGAGCGATGAGGCGAAAAGCAACAGATCTTGATTCGATCGTCCTCCGGATTGATTCCATTGACCTGGTGCCATGTGCGCCATGACTGTATATCTGCTGTATTGTTCTCTGAGCGGCAAGGGGTGGCGTTCAGTAATTGTCTCCAGCGCATCCATCCATGGGAGCCCTGGTACCACAAGCCACTCCGCCTTTGTGTCTGCATCTTCAAATGAAGATGGCTTGAGCTGAATGCCAATCTCGTGAGTCCGATTACCCTTCTCCATGGAATGCGGGCAACGCTTGGATGATGACGGCCCGAAACCTTCTGCTCCCGGACCACCTGCTGAGGCGGAACAAACCGAAGCTTGGGGTTACTTTGGCGCATCATGTGATATGTCTCATGGTTGGTCATGCTGGTGAATGGCATTCATCAGACGGGTCTTTGAAGATCGTGACCCGAAGAAATACCGAGCTCTTGAGTTCGGGTCGACTGTCAGCAAGCAATATCCGACGACCGCCGATTCTTGCGCCTTTGGGCGAACAGACCGATAGGATGGCGGGAGTCTAGGATAAAACGCGTGTCTGATTGACAACTTAGCCGGAAATCCCTGTGATGACCTTGAAGATAATCGGACACGTACCACGAATTGTTCCAACGACTGCTCGAAAAGCTCGTTATTCACGCCAACGCCCCCAGGATGTTCAACTGGAGACAATGGGTTTTTAACCACTATCAGGACAAAAGCGTCAGTATTAGTCAACCGGAGTGCTGGTCCGAGATTAGAATTGCAACGCACCATATTCAACGTAAAGGTTGATGTAGATCTGTTGCAAAGCCACCCGCATACTTGGACTCTTGATATCGGTAAGCATCACAAACTTGATGTTCGTCGGGGTTTCGTAATAATGCAGCTTGTATTGACTGGTGCGATAGCTGACGAAACTAATGGCATGACACGAGGCAGGATTAGCATCGAAAGAGGGAGGGGGCCTTCCTCGGCGCAAAGTGGTTCTGATCTGCTTACCTATCATCGTCACCTCCGAGCTTGCGAGCCATGTTCCGTAAAGAGAAGACCGTGCCAAAGATCAGCTTCGCATCATCGTCGGTGGTCTGCGCAGATTGGCCCAAGACAGCAGGCGATCCATTGGCCGGGGCCGATGCCTCAGAAGTCGGGCGTGACGATTTCCCGGTGAACGAGCTCGGACGGGGGAGCCAGCGCCGCTTGTAGACGCATTCCGCTGGCAAGAACGGACGGGTTAGTAGAGATTCTCATGGGATATGACGTGTCCAGGGGAGAACATACCATGGCGGTCAAAGATGTAGAAGGAATAGACAACCATGGTGTGGGGGGGGGGGAGGATGCGACGGGGAGTCCAACGTGAGGTCTGGAAGGGAGGAACAGCTGGACACACAAAGGTACGGGAGGTAAACCTCAGGCTCGACTCGCGGCTCGTGGGCGGTGAGCCCGTCCGGCCAATGGAAGCGGGTCCAAAGACGCCCGTAATACGACCAGGCCGGGCATTGGTGCCTGAGTTGCTGGCCAGGTACCTTTTCGCTGCACAATTGCGGACGGAGTGACTTGCGGCGCATCGATACGAGGAAGCTCCGGCCGGTAATTCAGATACCTACCTGCACATCCCGCTCCACCATCATCGGCCTAAGGTATCCTTTCCTTTCCTTTCCTTTCCTCTCCTCTTCTCACCTCTCCTCGTCTCTTTCATCGCCAGCTCATATGGAAGGAGTGTACTCTCATTACGCTGCTGCTATCTGAAGTCGCTTCCCTCGCCTTCGTTCGTCCTCCGTCCCTTCATCCTCAGTTCTGATCGTCATCTCCGACCTTTGCTGCGTGCGCCCCTCCAAGCCTTCCCCACATTCGAACGTAGGCATCCAGGTTTCGCCCTATCCGCCTGAGAAAAGGTCCAATCAATAACGAAACCAAGCGGCATCCTTTCGGGTTGCTCTGCTCCTCTTCGTTGCTTCGGGGATCCCTGTGTTCAATGGCCAACGAAAATGCCGACGTTTCCATTCAGGCCAGTCGAAACCCCGTTGATCGCCCGGCGCCTCAACATCCCCGACCAGCTCGTTATGCGTGAGTTTCCTTGACTACCTCTCGGATATAGGGATCGTCATGTCTAGGCGGACACATATGATGCCCCAGGATCGGTGACTAAATTGGGCACAGCTCAACCCCCTCGTACGAAAGTCCCCAGAGACATTACCGCCGAAATCCCATAGTTAGACGTCCCGTCAAGGTTGCTATATCCCTCCCCAGTCCTCTGTTTCCGTCCTTGCATGGAGCATGATGCTGATGGATCTGATGAGCGACCGGTAGGAAACACTTAATGCTCGATCGGAGTATACCACTAGCCAGGATGATGGTACCGCTGAGCACAGAATCAACCAGTATTGGATCAAACAGGAAATTGGCAGAGGGTCTTTTGGAGCTGTGCACCTCGCTATTGACCAGTTCGGGAATGAATTCGTAAGTGCTCAGCTCTCCATTCCCCAAAGGGCATGTGATAGCCGGCCTAGACAATATTGGCCTACTAACCAGTCTGTGCTGAAACCAGGCCGTCAAAGAATTCTCCAAGGCGCGTTTAAGAAAACGTGCACAGTCCCACCTTTTGCGCAGGCCTCGAATCCCCAAGACCTCGTCAGATGGCTTCAACTCCCCCCTCCATCGCCGTCCGATGGGCTTGGACAACGACCTAAGGGGAAACGCCCTGTACCTCATCAAGGAAGAGATAGCTATCATGAAGAAGCTGCATCATAACAACCTTGTGTCCTTAATAGAAGTCTTAGACGACCCAACCGAAGACTCCCTATATATGGTCATGGAAATGTGTAAAAAGGGAGTGATCATGAAGGTCGGGCTCGAAGAGAGGGCTGACCCATACGAGGATGGGCTGTGCCGTTGTTGGTTTCGCGATTTGATTCTGGGGATTGAGTATTTACATGCACAGGGAATCGTGCACCGCGACATCAAGCCGGATAACTGCCTCGTAACGAGCGATGATGTCCTCAAGGTTGTCGACTTTGGTGTGTCCGAAATGTTTGAGAAGGATTCGGATATGTTCACGGCAAAGTCAGCAGGCTCTCCGGCCTTCCTTCCCCCGGAGCTATGTGTTGTTAAACATGGCGATGTTTCCGGCAAGGCGGCTGACATATGGTCCATGGGGGTCACACTGTACTGTCTTCGATACGGCAAATTACCGTTCGAGAAGCAAAGCATTTTCGAGCTTTATGATGCCATTAAGAACGACCCCATCGTGTGCGAAGGCGAAACCGATGACAACTTCAAGGATTTGATGACTCGGATCTTGGAAAAAGACCCGGCAAAGAGAATCACCATGGATGAGCTTCGAGTAAGTTAGAGACAGTCCCTTCTCATGCTGGGACGACGCTTATAGGAAGGAATTCAGGCGCATCCCTGGGTAACGAGAGACGGACTGGACCCTCTGTTGCCAGAGAGTGAGAACACTGCCGAAATCATTGGGCTTCCCACGGAAGAGGAAATGGAATCGGCCATCACGAAGAACATCGGGCATGTTCTGGCCGTGGTAAGTCCCTACCCGCTTCATGTACCGGGCGCAACGCCGAACTGACAGCGAGCCGTAGATGAAAGCTGTCAAGAATTTTAAGAGGTTGATAGACCCAGCCAAGGCAGAGCCGCCCATGCAGAGCATCCTTGGACAGGAGTATGAAACACATTTTGTTCAGCCTCCTCTTGAGATGGAACCGGAGGAAGACTTTGCAATGGAAACCGCGCCAGAATTCAATAGGAGCCAGAGCTTGAACACCTACGATCGAAGAGCTCAGGGGCTTGATAACGTCCTCCAAGGATACCATCAGCAGCTTGAAGAGCCATCCTCCAACCGGCCGCTGGATAGTGGCAGCCAAGCGAATCCTTCAGGTGACGTCAGCACAACCACCAGGAGTGCTGTAGTTGAGACAAAGGACGAACCCGGAGACGATACGCAGCCTCCCGTGTCTCAGTCCCCATCGACACACGTCTCCTTGTCCCGAGCTAGCTCGGCGACTACCAAACGCAGCGTCGAGGGGACACGTGGGCATGCCCGGGACCCATTGGAGGAGGAATTTCCATTCTTGTTCATTGGACCGTCTACCTATACCGGTTCAGAACAGCCAGATGCCGACGAAGACACCGATATGGAGTATGTCTGCGACGAACCGGAAAATATCTCTGACACCGAACTCGAGCCGATTGTAAGCGAGTCCCCTGGTGCTGCCGAATTTGATATCTACGAAACCGCATACCGGCAGGAAATCGAGCGTATACGCAAACGCGATGTTCCTCGCCAGGGATCCGCGCCCAAGGTGTACCTGACTCGCCGCGTGGAGGGCAGGGACGACATGACAAAACTGGTGCAAGAAGGAGAGGGCTCCGGCACGATACCCCAGGTCGGCAAGAGAATCGCTGTACCCTCGGGCCCAAGCCTAAGTTTTGCAGTCAGCGCCATTCGGGCCCAGCTCGACCAGCAGCGCCAACAACAGCAGCAGCAGCAGCAGCAGCAGCAGCAGCAGCAGCAACAACAACAACAACAACCACCAAAGGTAGCAGAGTCCAGTCCCGGCGACGTGTCCCCACCTCCTTTTTCTCCATCTCAAGTCTCAGAGCCTACAACCTCATCGTTCGCAGCCACAGGCGCCTCAACTGCAGAGTCGTCATCGCCGGAGAACTCCCGGACAAAATTGCGTTCTCTGCTTGATCGTGTAAGAGGGGGGCAATGACTGTAGTTAGACTTAATACAACCCACAGCGCGGACACCCCATCGCCGAAGACCCGAGGTGCTTCTGTAAAGGACTACCAAGACACCTTGCCCATTCCTCGTCGTTTTTTTCTTTTTTTTTCTTTTTTTTGTCTCCCTTGCGAACTGATACCAATAGAGCAGAAGTTGTTTGTCGATTTATGACGGATGCTCGTGACACTCTCATCCCTGTACTTTGTAATCAACGAGATTAATAAGTCAGGTCGTCACTCTGGCACTCACTTGTGTAGTGTAACGACGGTACCTGCAGAATTGCCGAAGAACCCTGGCAAATCTGGCGCAGATTGGCTCACACCAGTTAAACCTAAGCTACATCATGGTTCTCAAATACTGAAAAGGGAAGAGAGAGAGAGAGAGAGAGAGAGAGAGAGAGAGGCCAAAGCTCGTCTGGAACACAACGATCGCCCAGTCAAGAAATGGGCTGTACACATACATAACATCAATGAAATAGGCAGGCAGTTAGTAATTGTACATGCAAAAATTGAACAGTTTTTCTCTAGAGTAGCCAACCAATTGGATGAAACGTCATTATAAAAGAGTGAAGACTAGATAAGGGAGAGAACACAGTAAAATAAAGATAGAGTTCAGCTCAACATTATATCATAACGGTCATTCGAGTTCAATCAAGATCGAGCGAAATTCCTATGAGGCGATGAGGAAGGGTAGAAGATGCTGACATGCGAGGATTGGTGGTTTCGCTATGCAAAAAGAAAAATGGGCTGGGGTAAAGTCATATAGCTCAGCGTCATTGAAACACTGCGTAAAAGAAGGACAATGAAAGAGAGAGATTATATCCAGGTATAAGTTCTTGCCGACGTGGGTGTTAAATCATAACATGTTTCATCATGAACATGGGACCTATCTTTGTCGCATATTCAGAGCTCGAAAGATACTTGATAGACATTGGGCTCCAAGCTTGGGCAAAGAAATTCGTGTAATTTTCGGCTTGTAGCCTGTAGAATGAGAGGATAGAGACGAGAAATAATGCTGCTCGCCAGTGTGGTAGCGTGAATAATAGAAATCCGGGTAATAAAAAGACGGATATAGATAGAGAAAATGCGTCGCTCGTAGTTTCTTTTTCGTCGCCACTAAACTCATACTGGAATGAAGTTGAAGATCGTATCATCATCTTGCAAATTGTCGCTCGGTGTCGGGGGCGGTGTTCATTTGCTGTGTGCTCACAGTTCGCGAAACGAAGATCATGCGAGCCCCTAATGCTTGCTTGGTCGTTACTCCGTTCCGTTTTCACTCGACGTGCGCAAGGGCATTTCTGGGCCTGACACGGGGGGTTCGTCATGACGTCTACTGGGAGGGTGAAGGAGGTTTCTTCGGTCTGCGAAGGATATCATGTCGGGGTGAGGTCGTTCAAAGGGGCGCTCGGCAGGGTCCGCTCGTGACATCGTCTCCCTATGTCCCAGCTGCAGCGCCTGTGGCGATGGTAACGTCTGTCTCATTTCTGTTGGACGGGGTAGCTCTCTTAACGTCGGACCTATGTCACGGTTGGTTGGGTCTCTTGACCGATCGTCCGCACTAGGCCCAACGAACCCCATCGTCCTTGCGATTGGAGGCGCGTAGCGTGGATCGGGCTGCGGGACTTGTGGGGGGCGAGTGCCGGCCTGGGGTATGAATGTTGCCCCAAATGGCTCGACCCCGGCGGGACTGGTCGGCGCGGAGGGAATCTTGATCTTGCCGGAGCCAGACCGTCGCGGGGGAGGGTATGTTTCTCCCCTAGCTTCGGCAGCTGCCTTGCGACGTTCGGACTCGGCCTTGCTTGGTCGTCCGCGTTTGCGCGGTGGCTCGCCTCTGGTCGCCAAGTTTTCCGCACTCGGTGAGACAAGAGCCGACGCACCACTCTCGCTGCTCAAAGATGCTGTGCTGGCTCCCGCCGGACGAGGCTGGATTGCTCGCGGAGCGAGAATAGGCTTGTCAGCAGGAAAGAGGGGGCGCTTGCGGACATTGCCGCCCTCAAATGGAGGCGCAGGAGGAACCGAGGGCTCGTGCCGTGGTGGAGGGAAAGGCCCCATGCCTGGATTGACTGATGTTTGGACATGTTGACACATGTTGTAGAATGCCAGCTGACAGGAATTCAGGGAACGGCCTAGAGAGATGGTGTCAGCTATCTAGATTAGAAGAACGGTCCAATGCGCCGAGAATGTCAGACTCCATCCAGCAGGAAGAGGGCATGAGTCGCATGGTCTCAGAAGACAAGCAGGAAGGTGCCAGCAAATTTGTACCTGAAGGAAGAGGGATGTCTGTCCAGCTCGGGGAGATATTGAAGTCCCGAATCATCTTCACCAGGTGGCCAGAAGGGAATCCTGCTTTCTTGAGGATTTCCGTAAGTAGGGTGTACTAGACGCATAAGATCTTCCAGTCAGTCCACAGGTTTCTTCGCCGCAGGGGAAGACAAAAGTCCAATACAACGTATTAACTTAAGGAGATAGAACGTTTATCATGAAAGGAATGGAGATAATCCCTACCTTCTCCTCCTCGGTCCATGGTCTTTCCGGTGGATTCGACATATCCAGCAGACCATGGAAGCGAGGATCTCTAGCTTCCCTTCACCATAAACTATGGCAACCAAGAGATCTAACGCGAGAAACCAGACTTCGAACTGGGCACCACTATTGATAAGAGACGCGTCACGCGACTACGACACCAAGAGACAATACAGAGAAAATCAACCGCGGTCCTTCCCTCAAAACTTTGAACCTGTATCAAAGAAGAAAAATGGAAAAGAGCGAACGAAAAAGACCGAAAGCTAGGAAATGGAAAAAAACAAAACCAAGGAGCCTCCCAGGTGCAGCGATGCGTCTACAACGGTGTATAAACACGTGGTTGCTCAGATAGAAATCAGAACATGGGCTAGCAGCACCACGATGACGAACAAAGGGGAAAAGCAGTAATGATAAGGAAGAGAGGAAGAGGGTAAGAGGAATCAGTGCACATGCGATGGACAGTAGACATTGGAGGTCGGCCTAGGATTCATGGATGAGATGCAAGGCGAGATGCAGCACATGAGAAATTCGACCTGGAGATGCCAGCGGCGCAAGCGAGGTACGGATGTACAAGATAAATTCCCAGTCAGTAGAAGCAAAAGGGCGAAATCACGGTTGGTTCTAGGCTTCGAGAGTCGGCGTGGAGAGCGAGAGAGCGAGAGAGCGAGAGAGCGAGCGACGGAGAAGGGCCAAGACCCCCAAAAACCAAAACGAAAGAAAAGAATGGAACCACAAGTGGATAACGGCGCTGGCGGAGAAGAAGACAAGAAAAAGAGAGAGCTTGTCGTTGCTGGAGATAGAATGAGCTTCTGGAACAAACCGTTTCAACGATGCATTGTGGTCCGGGAACACCCCAATGGAACGAATGTATTGTACTCCTTATGGGAGGGCAAAAAGGGGGCTCGGGAAAAGAAACAAAAAAGAACAAAATAAAATAAAATAAGAATACAGATAAGTGGACAGGAAAAATAAATCAAATCGAAACCAAAAAGGGGAAAGACAGAGAGGGAGGGGGGACACGACAAGTGAGAGAAAAGAGCACCAAGTAGGCAAGTAACACTCTATCGCTTTCAAAGGAACTTTTCTGACCAAACGGACTTTTAATTCGGGTCTGCGCAGAAAGAGACCAGTGCAGACACCAGGCATGCGTCCGGCTTGCTAGAGGAAAGCTGCAGGGACTCTCTTCCCTAGTGCCCACTGTGCTGTGCCCTCTGAAATGGGGTTTTTTATTTTTCTCTTCTATTTTTCGAAAAAGAAAAAAGGCCCAGGGAAAGCCACAGGGAACCGGACGGGGTGGACCGGACCAACCAGCCTGGGGTGGATTAGGCCGTGTTCTACCAAGAAAAGGATAGCGTTTCAAAAACGACGGTTTCAGATGATTCCAAGCGTCAAGAAGGATCGGAAGAAAACAAACAACACCGAAGAGGGGCACGTTAGCTCTGGGTTTCCGCATGAGGGCTAAAGAGTTCAGGAGGGGCGCCAAAGAGAAACCAAGAAAGAAAAGAAGGCAGAATAATAAACTGGAAAATGTACAAACAAACAAACAAATAATAAACAAAAAGGAACGGTAGACGGAGGCTAATGATGCATAAAGCTGCGAAACGGTAGGAACCTGGACGGGCGAAGTGATCAAGGGGGCAGAGAGCAAAACAGGGCCCGGCTTGAAGAAATAATGCAACAGCTTGGGGCTACTGTTGTACTCCCTGAACTACGGCAATCACCAAGATTGAGAAAGAGGGGGCCAGGAGGGAAAAAGAAAGGGAAGGGGAAGGAGAAGAGAGGGGGGGGAACGAAACAGAGACGGTTCAAGACGACGTCAACCCGTACAGGCAGGACATGCCGCAAAGGCTTGCCATCTAAATGGGGAAACGCGAGAGTCGCTCGCTTCATCCCACGGGAAACAGCGCAATCCCGATGGTCCAAGAGGTGAGTCCGATTCTGAGATGATTAGTGATGGGTGGAGACTCGTGCCCCAAGACGTTGGGTCGGTCGACGGGCCAGAGTCGACATCGTTGCTCAGAAGTCAGAAAGTCAGAACTGTGAAGCTCCAGTATCAGGAGCGAGGTTCGGGGCTAGCTCCCGCATGCAGATGGTGCGGTCGATCCCGACGGCAGCTGTCGCCTTTGTCTGGCGTGCTCAATTCTCAAGATCCGTAGGGATCAGAGTTACAGGAAGAAAATAGTATTCGTTATGCAGCGGCGTGCATCGGGCCTTCTGACGATAGCGGGAAGTTGGGAAGGCATTCCATCAATGACTGGCACACAGTTGATAGTAGCGGAGCCAAAATGATAACCGCAGAGTGGGGTTCAAGGGCTCCGCAATAGACGCAGACGAAAGCAAAATCCTGGAGGCTGGGTAAAAAAAAAAAAAAGAAAAAAACAATGGATCCCGTTAGTTCCGAAGGTAATGGAAAGAACAGACAGCAAGGATTTAATTCTGGCCAATACAATTGACCATGAAACGGGACTTCTCAATCACGCTAGTAACTTCGGATTGAGGCTAAGGAGGAAGACACAAGGGAAAGAAAGAGAGACAGAACGAAGTATGCATGAGATGAGGGGGTGGCTCAGGGATGGAGGAACAAAAAGAGAATTAATTTTTCAATCAATTTTTTTTTCCTTCGGGGGAGACAAAAGAAGGAAGAGAGGTGTGAAGGGGGGGAAAAATAGAATAAAAATCAATAGGAACACAGAAAACCAAATGCACAGATAAATATAAATTCATCAAAACTTGGATGGAAACGCCAGCAAAAGCGACCAAAATCATGGTGGGAAAGGATACACAGCCCTTGTTTTTTTGGCCCTCTTTTTCGTCGACCGGAGGGGAGGGGCCGACAAGTCGACAGGGAGTCAGGGACCAACTCCGATCAAGCAGAATGGACGAGACATGAGGTTTCTTCATCCACAAGGCAGGCGGACTAATGCCACCACCGCGCTTGTGAACCTGCTAGTGCTACATCGTCGCGGTGGTAGTGCTGAGCTAGGCAGCGTTGCCGCTGGATTTCATTTGACGGGTCGACTGTCGGGTGGTGGAAAGGTATTCTTAGCAGTGGGAATTGCCAGTCAGAGGAGCCGTCGCATTTGATCGATACTAACAATGGCCCATGCACGAGAACCATCGGCATGCAGGAGAAGCAGCGCCCCGCCGATTTGAATCAACCGTCAGTCCGTAGTCCGAGATAGTCCTGCATGGACAACTTGTCAAGGAAGCCATTGGTTGTTTAAAGTTTGACCCATTTTATCCCGAGAGATCGAGGAAGGGGGAAGGGAAAGGTGACATGTAGGATGTAAATGGGGAGGGGGATGGGAGATGGAAAACTGAAGATGAGTAACGAGGATGGGGGATGTACGGAGTAGTCAGGAGAGAGAGAGAGAGGAAGGGAGAGAAGGGGCGGACTCGAGAGTTCCAGCATAACGGAGTAGAGAGAGGGGGAAAAGGGAGGAGGGGAAGAAAAAATAAAATAATCAAGGCGGGTAATTCAGGTACTCCGTAGTACTCCGTCAACCGTAAAGTACCCGGTACCGGTACCTTGGTCAGAAGTCTCGCTCATCATCTGCCAGGCGGGACATCTTTGCCCGCCCCACCTCCCAGGTACCCGTCACGCTTGTCTCGACTCCCATTAGTCATTGCCCGGTCCGTACCATCGAAGTATCCGGTACGATACCTGGTACCTGGGATTGGGGATTGGATTTCGGTCAATTCAAATAGATTAATTGATCGGTCAATCAATCAATCTGTCATCGATCCATTCAATGATTTATACAGGCTCAAGCGATTAATCGGAGGATCGATTTCCGGTTTCCGTCGACGATCTCTCACCTTCATATGAAGTACAGGTACCTGTCTGCCGTCAGTCTGTCATTTTGTCTTAAGGTACAGGTACCTTAGTACATACATACAGTCAGTATGTAAGTAAATGACATACGGACACCTGACTATCCCGGAGCGTCGTTCTCTGCATCAATCCTCCGTAGTCCCCCTCGACCCTTCCTATCCTCCTGTTCGAACGGCTATACTGCCTCTGACACGCGCCTGTGAATCAATCTTTCCTTATATTACCCTCTTGAAACGTATTGATTCCTCCCTCGTAACCTGAACCGATGCCGGTGACACCACCCGTTCATGCACCGTCAAGAATCCGGATGAATTGGGGTCGAGGACAAGAATAGAATCCACTACTACAGTAGGTAATCCACTCATGACACCGACTAGACTGGGCCGGACTGGTCTGGTCTGGTCTGGTCTGGTCTGCCGCTGATTTATTTTCTCCGTTGTGAATTGGTCGCTTAACTCGATCGCCCGCTGATTTTGCGATATTTGCGTCCAATGGTTACCCGCCTGCCGGACTTCCAACGTTTCTCACACCCTTTGGAGACTCTTTTTCCTCCACCATGATATTGCGGTAACTTCTTTACCTCCCTCTGAATTCGGGGGCTTTAGGCGCATTTTTATCCAGGCAAACGGATAAACGATTGGACGTATCGCTCTGCTGACTTATCGCCTGCGTTTCGTCTCATTTTCTCATGCAGATCCTCTCTGATATTTCCCAGCCACCCTTAGATAGAAGCTGCATGCGCAGGATACTAGTCCGATCAATTCGGTCTTCTCGTGGCCTATAATTCCAGGACTCTTCTCGGCGTGCCTGACCTCCGTTGCAAACCAACGGTTCCTCGCCCTTGCTGGGTCCTCATTCTATAACTAGTTTATACGGAGTCCGTCTCGGTACTTTCTCCGGGAAATGCTGGCCTTCGGATGGCTCTTTCCCCAATGGCACTGGCCGTTCAGTTGAAATCTGCTTCAGAAAGCCATGATGTATTCTGATCCCTACTTTCCCGCCAGTCATGCGGTTGACTCCGAAAGTCCTGCGTCAGGCCTTCCAGCCTTGACCCTACAGTTTGCAGCGGAAACGCATCGTTTGTCCAACTATTTCTACGTTGACCAGGACTTAAGTCATGTGAAAACTAAGATTTGATGGTTGTCAATCCGTTTAGGCACGAAATGACCCGACTAATAGCCCTTCGGTTGATTACGCCGTCGTCGTTTTCTTGACACTTTTTGTTTCGCGCCTTCGTGTCGACACGTCCCGCGCTGTACGCGGATACCGGTGAGCATGTACCGTTCAGCCAGTGTATACAAAATCAAAGGGAAAGGGAAGAACAAAGCCCATCTGTTCTCGTGATGCTTTTTACGAGAACGGCCGCAGTCGGTGCAGACTCGGACCTTAAGGTACCGCCTTGGGTTGAAGCCAAACACGCCGCATACTTCCTATGGTTCTTGGAAACATTTCAGAGCGAACAAGGAAGCTCCGCTTGATGGCATATGGCTTCTTGTAACGGCCCAACTCAGGACTTCGAATCCACGGCCGATGGTCACTAGCCGGCCTTTTTGTGTCGAGATTGGCGAAGATCTAACGCATGATTGTGAGAGTTGCGCAGCAAGTGCAAGGACGACTCAGAGGGGGAACCAAATCGTGTTTATTGTCTTTTTTCCCTTTAGCACCATGATATTCTCGAGGACAGTGACAATTGAAGGAGTGAACAACGGTGTGAAGGAATGAATAGCAAGCCGAAGCCCATGCGAGCGAGGTCATCGAGAGCTTTAGAAGCGTATTAAATGTGAAGAATTTCCTGATACTATTTTCATTTTCCTTCCAGATATTTCTTGGCGCGGGTAAGGGAGAGAGAAGGAGGGAAAAAAGAAAAGAAAAAAGAAAAAAAAAAACGTGGAGGGTTGTTTGACGGCGACTTTGGACTTTGGCTGGTTCAACGACCATTTCTGGACTCGCAATTCTTCGCCTTTCTTTCTTTCCCCTCTCGGTCTGCCCGTGACCCCATCATTCTCTCTTCTTCCTCTCCCTCCCCCTCTCTCCCTCTCTTTCCATCACCTCAACTTCTCCACTCCACCATTTTGCCAACTCTTCCGCCAATTCCCACCTTCTCGCCCTTCCACCTCCCCCAGCTACCCTCCCCCAGCGCATTCCCTTGCTGGCTCCGATACTAGGCGCGCGCCGTCCGTGTCGTCATGTTACCCCATGACTACGCGGACCGTCAGTCAGAATCCGTAGCGGATGGGGTGACCGCGATGAAGCTGGAGCCCGACAGTGCCACCGATGCTCCCACCTCGAATGGCGGAGGCGCCGTGATCAAGGATGACCCCGAGAGGGCGTCCCATTCACCACCCACGATCGACCAGAACAATGGGCCAACTGCGTTCGCCGTCAAATCGCGATCTTCCTCTCGCACTCCGATCAAAAAATATGAGCAATCTGATGAACACGAACAAAGCCTCGATGCTTCTGCCATGGAGGAGAGAATCGGGGGCGATATCACCGTCAAATTGGAGCCCGGACAGCCTCCCAAGTTGACTCGCAGCTCGTCCCAGAAGGTTGTCCCGCGCCCGCCGCAGTTGTTCTCGCATTTGCCGGATAGCACCGCAGAAGCTCGGTCGACTTTTGAGTTGATGGAAACTTGCACGTATGCAAACAAATATATGGGTTATACGGAACATGCGATGGAATGCGATTGTGCTGAAGAATGGGGTAAGATTTTTTTTGTCCTCGTTTTTCTTCCCGTACTTTTCACGCGCTCCCTGCTTGGTTTTTCTACCACTCTTGTCACCTCTTTTTCGGACGCAAAAAGATTAGTGTTCGCGAAGATTTCAGTCTTCTCTTTCCTACGCCTGCGTATTCCCTAGTTCGCCTCTCTCCCCCTTACCTCGATAAGTCTGCAACTCTCCGTATCTTAATTTGTATCCTTGCAATTTTGCTTTTTGTTCTTTGACGATGAATCCAGTATACGGATCTTCGCGCAAAAATTTGAGCTCCTCTCTAACGCAAAGCAGACTCATCTATCGGTCAAAATTTGGCATGTGGAGAGGACTCGGACTGTATCAATCGCGCAACCAAGATCGAGTGCATGGGAGATTGTGGATGTGGCCCGGAATGTCAAAACCAGCGATTTCAGCGCAGAGAGTACGCCCCTGTTGCTGTCATCAAGACGGAGAAAAAAGGGTTTGGCCTGCGTGCCGAGGCGGACCTGCGACCGCATCAGTTCATCTTCGAGTATGTGGGTGAAGTGATCAACGAAGGCCCATTTCGACGGCGTATGAGACAGTACGACGAGGAGGGCATTAAACACTTCTATTTCATGTCTCTGAGCAAGGGCGAATTCGTCGACGCGACTAAAAAGGGTAACCTGGGCCGTTTTTGTAATCACTCGTGCAATCCCAACTGTTATGTCGACAAGTGGGTCGTTGGAGAGAAGCTTCGCATGGGCATTTTCGCGGAACGGAGCATTCAGGCGGGCGAGGAACTCGTCTTCAACTACAATGTCGACCGCTACGGCGCTGACCCGCAACCCTGTTATTGTGGCGAACCAAATTGCACGGGCTTCATCGGCGGGAGGACACAGACGGAACGTGCAACCAAATTGTCGAATGCGACGATCGAAGCTTTGGGCATTGACGATGCGGATGGATGGGACACCGCGGTGGCCAAGCGACCACGCAAGAAGAAGATGGGCGAGGATGACGAAGAATACGTGGACAGCGTGCAGCCCAAGTCCTTGGATGAAAATGGCGTTACAAAGGTCATGGCGGCTCTGATGCAGTGCAAGGAGAAGTGGATCGCGGTCAAACTTCTGGGTCGCATTCAACGCTGTGATGACGAGCGGGTTCGCAATCGTGTTGTCAAGATGCACGGCTATCAAATTCTCAACTCGCAGCTGGCCATGTGGAAGGATGACACCAATGTCGCGGTGCAGATTTTGGACATCCTTGATGGGTTTCCTCGCTTGACCCGAAACAAAATCATCGACTCGAAAATCGAGTCGACCATCCAACCACTAACGAGCTGTGGCGAGGAGCGGGTCGAGAAGAAGGCAGCTACGCTTCTGCAGAGCTGGTCGACGCTCGAAATCGGCTACCGCATTCCGCGCATGAAGAGAGATCCAGCCGCCTTCGCACATGCTGTCAATCAGTTCGAGCGACGAGAGACGAACGCTCGTGATGAGCGGCGACGGTCCAAATCACGCTCCCGGTCAAGGTCGCGATCAATCGAGGCCCCCAGGGGGCCTGCCGCTCAGAATCGCGGCGGCGCGCGGGCCTCGCACCATCACGGACCCAGGCCATTCCGGCGTCAATTCAACCCGCTCCCTGCAGGTTGGTTTGCCGCCGAATCGAATGGACGGACGTATTACTACTCGGCGCGTGGCGATACCACCTGGACGCGCCCTACAGTACCGGCACCCCAACCCCCTCCGCCACCCAAAGAATCGAGAGACAAGGCACTGCAAGATATCATCGATGGCATCATGAATGCCAAGGAAAACACCCCGAAGGAGAAGACCGGCACACCAGTCACTCCGCAAACATCCAAACCTACCCCGGATAAAAAGGAAGGCCAGGAGAAGTGGAAGAACTACAGCGAAGAGAAGCGAAAGAAGCTCTATGAAAACACGGTGAGAAATAGTCCGCTTGACCCAGAATCTGCAACTTCTTGCTCATTCTCCTTTCTCTATCAGTTATTCCCTCACGTCAAATACGTTGTGGACAAGTTCAAGCACAAACTTCCGAAGGACGACCTGAAACGTTATGCTAAAGATGTGAGTTCCGAACCACCTCCTTCATAAACCTATGGTGGAATCCTGTTGTTAATCCAGACTCCCGTCTCTAGGTGGCAAAAAAGCTGGTCAATTCCGATTTCAAGAACAACCGAGTGGATGATCCTACTAAGATCGACGAAAAACAGCAGAAAAAGGTGAAGAAGTTTTGCAAGGAGTACTTCGACAAAGCCGTGGTGAAACACCGGGCTTACGAGAAGCGGAAAGCGGAAAAGCATGCGCAAGGAACGGACTCGAAACCAGACGACACGCCCCAAGTCCCCAGTGACGACGAGGCAATGGGGGATGTCAAAATGACCGACGACGAGGGCGATAACGCCGAGGAGGAGACGCCCGCGAGCGTGGAAGATCCCCAGGGGGGTCAGAAACGGAAGCGATCCGGGTCCAACACCGGTGAGGGAATTCCAGCAGACGAAGCCGCTTCGTCTTCTAAACGACAACGTTCTTCGACGCCTCCTCCCCCTCCGCCACCACCGCCGCCGCCGCCGCCGGAAGAGAGTAATGATGACAGCCCTCCCAACGACGGTGAAAACTCGACCGAGCAAACCCAGCCTAATGGAGATTACACGCCGGGCCTGAACGAGCTCGAGCGAGCGCAAATCGGCATCGAAGGGAGGGTATAGCGAGCAGCCCATCATCCTTCTTTTTCCCTTTCCTTTCCTTCTTCCTTTGTCCCTCCATGTTTGCCTTTTTTTTTTTTCCCCTCCTCTACCCCCTATCCCTCTCCTTTGCCCTTCTATTTTGAATGAAGCATTTCGGACGGGAGTTTAGCGGCGTTGATCTTTCTGCGTATCTATTATAATACCTACTTTTCCATTTCTATTCTCTTCGACTCCTTTCTTTTGCTATTTCTCTCGATCTTCATCTCCTTCTATCTCAATTTTCTGTCTTATTCTGCTTCCTTTGCTTTTGTCCTACTTTTCTTATCATTTTCTCCATGTATCGTACACTGTCAATACCCCCCAATATTTGCGCTCTTATTTACTGGTTATGGTTATATTGCATACCCGTTGGAAGAAGTTCCAATCCACAGCAGCAGGCAGGAAAAAAAGCATGGATGAACGGATGGATGGATGGTGAACTGCCTCTCTCTTTTTGATCAATCAGTGTATAACTAAATAAATTTCTTTCTGTTTTTCCTTTTTTTTTTTTTTTTTTTTCTTTTTTGCCTCGAAATTTTGAATTAGTATTGAGGCTTTGATGCTGAATAACTCGAATCTAGAAACCTTACTTTCATCTCGATCGCACTTTTACAAAAAAGGCAAAAAGAACAAGGGAAGTGGTCCACTCAATCAAAGTATGTATTAGAAGATACCTATGTGTACACCGTAGTAGATGCTTTTTTGAATTCCTTCTCTCAACGAAGATATCAAATGTCCAGACATCAAGAGTGAAAAGGAAAGAGATGGAAAAAAAAAAAAAAAGAAAAGAAAAAAAAAATCGCCTCCCCGAAACAATGCGGATATGAAAGACGAGGGACTAAATGAAAAAAAAGTTTTGAAAAGGTCCAGAGCGTTAAAGAAAAATCGTTACAGAAAATAATATTCTCCACCAACTTCTGATCTGAGAAGCTTAGTAGAAACTCTCCACGATACTCTCCTTGTTGGCACCGCCCATGCCGACACCCCGGGGGCCCATCTCGCCCAGTCGGAACACGCTCTCAATCACACTCAGCTCGGTGGCCGTCGTGTCCAGACCCGTCACGGCCAGCCAGTCGTTGACGACCATACCAGCACCCACGACGGGGCTACCGCGGTTAACACTACCGGCGACCAGAGGCACCTGCAGCAGCGAGGAGAGCTCGTCCTGGTCGCGGATCGAGGTCTTGGGGTGCACGATACCGCCCTGGTTGGAGAGGGCCATGTACGAGCCGGTCAGGACGTTGTCGGCGACGGTTTGGCGGAAGACTTCGACTCCGAGGACGTCCGCGATGCTGTAGTCAATTCCTGTCAGCCTCTTCTTTTTCTCTCGAGCTTTCTAGCGTCCCTCTTCGAAGAGAAGTGAATCCTTACATTTCTTCGGTTTCCCGCTCCAGATCCGGATGGATCAATGCCACATGGTCATTGCAGCAGATGACATTTCCCAGCGCCGAGAGACGTTCTTCTATCCGTTGGATCTTCACCGAATCTGGCAGCGTATTCCGCAGGTGTTGAAGTTCCTGATCTGTGGTGGTGGTGGGCACCAAGAGGCCGTTCTTGTTGCTAGCGCGGTGTTAGCTCCCTGCAAAAACGATCACCCCGAAAAGGATCGAATATAGAGCTTAACAAGGGCGGAGGCTGTGCGTGAGGGGTTCGGACATACCCGACTGTTAGACGACCGACGATCCGAGTTCCGGCGATGGTAGCATGGCAGATGGGGATGACATCTTGCAGTTCGGCCTCGAATACACTGCGCAATCGAATAGGTCAGCGATGTGCTCACGGGCAACCGTCCGGGCGAGTACAAGAAGTTGGCAGTACCTGTAAAAGTTCTCGGAAGCTCCAATGGCGACAATCGCATACGAGTTGGTAAGTCGGGAGAAAACACCGACTCTGTCGGAAGATTGCTTGTTAGCGGCCTGGAGAATATTTCTTATGCAAGGCGTCGGCATGCCAGGATGTCCGAGGACAACTCACTCGTTGGAGTTCTCAAATTGAGCGCGGACAGCCATGATTCTATCGGGGTTAGATTGCAGAGAAGATTCGGAGAAAATGGCGAGGGAGGTAATGTAAGATCGGTCGACGGAGGGCCCGCGCAAGGCAGATGTGCGAGGTAGGGTGGAGGAGAGGGGTGCGCAGAAAGGCGGACAGGTGGACAAGGCTGTGAATGAGGAGTTGAAACCAGCGCAGTCGAAGAGGAGTGCGAGGGAAGATATAAGCAGGTCGAGTCGATGCCCGAGACCAGAATCTTTTCCGTTGTTCAGGAAATCCTCGACGAGCCCCGCGGCGCTAGTCCCGATTGGGGTGAGGAGTCATGCGGCGAGTCATCATGATCCATCGTTAGTCATCGCTACTTCCTCCTAGTCAACCGAGTACTCCATTGTAGTGAGTTCACTACGCAGATCTCCGTCAGACAGGCGGAATTCTAAAGTTAGAACTGGAATGAAGAACAAGGCAAAAAAAATGTATCATATCGAATCAACAAATCGCTCCAGAAACAGTGCAATATTATCATAGCCATACCCAACCCAACGCAAAATTCAATAAACCAAACCAAATATCCCTCTCGCCATCATCTCGTCAGCTCCGCCAACCCCAGTCCGCTAGTCAATATGGCGGACGTGGTCCCGGAGGAGGATGAGGCGGCGGATAATACAGATGCGAGGGATGATGCCCGGCGAGATATCCCGGCAACGGCGGCCGCTGGAAGTTCGAGCCCGGCGGCGGCGGCAGCTGAGGGGGACCGCTCCGGGATGCGAAGGGGTCGGGCAGTCCCAACTGCTCGTTAATCGGAGGAATCTGCTGCGCCGCAGGTAGAAGTCGACGCGGCGCTTGGCGATGGGGGGTGGGAGGAGGAAGCACAAACGATCGCGGATCCGTCGGCCCATGAACCACCTGCGATGGAGGAGGCTGTGGGGGCTGCGGAGGCTGCGGGAGAAGCGTCCGATGGGCGGAAAGGCGGGGCGTGGCCTGGACTATCGAGGGACGAGGGAGCTCGGCGGCTGCTACATCGGCCAGGGCAAACAATGCCGTCGGACGCACAGCGGGAGCAGCAGGGGGGTGAAACTCCCGCCCCGGTACTCCACCGCTATGGCGCACTTCGACGATCCCCGTTGCCTCCAAGAGCATATCCACAATCTGACGAGCAGAGAGGCCACCAGCGCCGGCGGTGTCGCCGATCTCCTTCATCTGCGGGTCAATATCGTCGCCCAGTTTAGCCCGTTGAACGAAATCCTCCCAGCCATGGTAGCCTCGATCGTAGGCGGCAGCTCCTGCCGTATCTCGGACAGAGGAAGAATTGAAGCCTCGGATGAACTCCCTCGCAGGGGGGACGATGGGCCCCCGCTCCGGCTCCGTCTCGGAACCGTCCGTCTACACGTTCATGCATCAGTTGATAGCTCCAAGTGATGTGGGATCTGTAAGAAATGGCAGGGCTTACTTCAGTGTGCTCGTCATCCTCCGCCGCCCGGCGGCCCTCCACAAAAGCCATGTAGTCTCCTTGGCTGGCGTAGAAATGCTCTGTCTGGATATACCGTGCCGATGCCTGCAACCGATGACTGTCAGCAAGCGTCTCGCGACGATCAGGAAGCGGAACACAATCACTTACTCTGAACCTCTCTTCAATAGCTTCCTTGTTAGCGGCGAATATCCGATTCTCTTGCTCCACTTTGAGCTCGTACTCTCGGCGAAACAACTCCTTCCTTTCTCGAAGCCTCTCTTGCAGGAGATCGTTGATCTCGTCGTACTCGGGGACATTCTTATGTGCATTCTTGTCTCGAGCGAGCTTTTTCTCCGACTGATCTGCCAGCACAGCCAATGCTAACCGATGAGCAGCTGCCACTTTCTTGAACGCCTTGTCAAGTTCGCGCTGCCGATCCCGGAGCTTTTGAGTGGCTGCACTTGGGGACGGGGAGCGTTCGAGTTCGACATCACTCGAGCGATCGAGCTGACGACCCGTGCGGCCTCCGCGGGTACTTCGTGTACCGCCACGCCCACGCCGGCTTGCTGCGAAGCGTGCTGCTGCTCTGCTACGCCCGCCGCGCCCTCGCCCCCTCACACGACCACCCCGTAACGTCTTGCCGCCAGCAGGCCCCGTGGCAAGTTCAGGGGTCGATCCCTCAATCTCCTCTGTGATCTGCCGAGATTCACTGTCGGTTTTAGGTTCCGCGGCACCGTCATCCGGCGTTTGCGACTCTGGTTTGTCTGTAGGGCCGTTTGGCAACTGATGTTCCGAAGCAGGCTCCTCCTCTTCCCCTTCCTCCTCATTCTCCTCCACTTTGGGCTTCTTGCTAGGGGAAGCAACGGGACTGGCAGTACGGTGTGCAGCCTCGTCATTGTCGGCCTCCGAGGGTCTAGGTTTCCGAGTTGCCAACGGGCTGCTGTTCGTTTTCGTGGTAGGGCTCACGGCCTCTTCGGTCATAGATTCACCGAAGTCGCTCTTCTTCTCCTGGGACTCGGCACCCTCGCGGCCACCTTCTGCGGGCTGGGAAAAAGTAATCGTCAGATTCCGCGAAGGTTCGCTATCCAACGGTTTAGAATCCTCGACAGTTTGAGGGACAGCGGGATCTGGAGAAGGTGCTTTGGGCAGCCTTTCCGCCGGATCGGGCAGTTTAGTCTCGTCCAACATTTGTCGACTCCGTTTGCGAGTCCGGGTTCCGGAGGCAACGCCTACGGATGGACTTGCCTCCTCGGGCCGCTTGATCACAATATCTGCCTGAGAGACATTCTCACTTGCGGCCGGTTGGGGCTGCGGTCGCAATCGAGCCGACTGCCTCGTCGTCCGGGGAGTTTCTTCGACCGTCGGGCCCCGCTTGACCCGTTTGGCCCGAGGAGTTTCCGGGACCGTTGATGAAGCCGTGCCATCCGGCGGAGCCGGGGCGGCCGGGGCAGCAGGTGCAGCAGGGACGGCGGCCCGCGTTCGAGAAGCACGGGTCTCACGAGTCGTACTCGTGGAACTGCTTGCTACCTGGTTTGCGGCAAAGCTTGCTGCATTGTTGGCAGCTGTGCCTGACGTGGATGAGCGGCGAGTCTTGAGCGTGATGATTCGGGATGGGCGATTAGGCCCATTCTTGTTGGTGGTGGTAGGGGTATGAGTGTTGCTTTTGTTACTATCAGTTTGGTGGGCACGTGCGTCCTGGCTTGCACGCAGACTTCGCGTCACGCGAATGTGCGAAGTATCACCAACAGTAGATTCTATGCTTGTAGTGAGAAGATGTTCATGAATGGCAGAAAACGCCCGGCCAACTTACGATTAGTGCTCAGAGGGGTGGCTGGAGGGCCGCCAGCCGGGGCTGTAGTTGACCCTTTGGTGGCCTCAATCTTACGCTTGACCCCGCCCATCGCGATCTTCTGCGACTTTATGTTAGTACCAAAGGTGATGTAGAAGAACGTCCCGAAGGAAGAGGGAGGGAAAAGTCCCGGTGAAGGATGGATGGGCGGCAAACGTAGATAGACGGAGTGGCAGGAAGACAAGAAAGGAAGAGACGCAAGGTCAACGAGATGAGCAACCGCAGAATACGCCCCTTGGAGATGAAACGCTGACTCAATAACTTTAAAAGGATGTTACAAGACAACGATGGAGCAACAAGGCGAGAACCCGAGATATACTGGGAGATCAAGTAGGGATAGGAAAATGGCAAGGGTTGAATAAAAGAAAGCAAGTGAAAGGGACTAGACGAGCAGGCCGGAGCCATGGACAGTACAATGCGAAGGAAGCGAGAGAAGGGTAGCTAGCTGCTGTGGGAATGGGGAGCAGAAACACAAGACAATAGGAAGGGGGAAGTGAAGGGGCAATAGAGAAAAGGAAAGAAGCTCGATGGTGACAGGAAGACGGAAACGGGCAGGTGAATGGTAGTGATTGTGATGATAGATGGATATTCAGATATGGAGACATGGAGATATGGCAATATGGAGAAATGCGGCAAGAAGAACGTGTCGGGGTCAGGGAACAGAAGGGGGCAAAAAAAAAAGGAAAGGGAAAGGATGAAAACAAGAGAAAATGAAAATGGCAGAGAGGGGAGAGGAGCGAGAAAGCAGACAACAGAATCACCTACCGAAGACGAAGATGCGACAGAGCATACACGGGAAGAACAAGCCAGAGGGAAAGAGTAGAAGGGAAGAAGAGATGAGCGAAGTAGAGAGTAAAGACTAAAGAAAGTAGTGGAGGAAGTCAGAACGCGGTTCGGCCAAGTGGATCCGCATGTAGATTTTAGTCGCCGGATGAAGTAGTCGCAACACGATGCCTTGCCATGGAGATGGAGTCATGGACACTGACCCGGGAATGCTTTCACTCACTTTATTCTCTCTACAAGGGATAAGAAAAAAGAAAAAGTCTGAAGCTCCGACTTGTAGTTGATAGTTCTTCCTGCAGAGGTAGATGAACGTTGTTCCGATAGGGGGGAAACGTTGTAAAGAAGGGGAAAGAAAAGGATGATCCCAGCGATTCAAGACCTGACGGAGCTGAGAGAAGAACAATACGGCAGAGTCAATGGAATCCAGCGATTCCTACAGCTGGAGGGAGAATCAAAAGGGGAGAAAGAGTAGGATGCGAAAGGCGGAAGAAACGGAGAAAGAAGTAAGAAAGAAAAGGGCGGATTTAGTTCGGGGGGTTTGGAACCAGAATGCAGGATTTTACGAAGTGTCCGGGGAAGGAATTCCGATCATGAAAATCAATTCCAATTGTAATTGGAAAGGAACGGGCGAAGAAGAATAGAAAAAGGGCAGAGGGGGAAGATCGAGGAAGAGAGAGAGAGAGGAAAAGAAGAGGAAGAAAACGCAAGGGAAAAAGGTGAGTTTTTTCTCTCTCTCCCACTGGTAATCAAGAATTAAGAATAAAGGTAATGGGCACTCTCGGAGAGGCTCTCCTACTTCCAACTCTGCCACCTCCCACTCCTCCACCAAGGATTAAGACATTGAATGTGTTGCTTTATAATTTATTCTGTTATTCTTCTTTCCCTTGTATGTCTCATGCGATCTCATCCTATTTTCTACTTCTCGTCTATACGGTCGTTAGGTCCTTTGTATTACCCGAACCGTGTCCTCCGTATACTCCGACAATTGTGTTGATTCTCATGTTTCTAATGAATTACCATAATTATTATTATCACCGATACTGAGTAATACAGATGAGAAATGATGCGATGACTGCGATGACACAAACCCAGTCGACCCTCGATTAAACCACGTTATGTAGGACCATACCGCAGTCCAAGTGGATCTCCAGATATATATCTATGGAAACCGGGGCGATTCCTACGAACGCCGTCAGGAAAGAAACACCTCTCCATCTCTTAAACCTCATACCGCTAGTCGGACACTCTACTAGGCACTACCACCCCGACCGCCATTTAAACATCTCACCGTCACTTCCACCCCGTAGGTAGAAAATGGAGACATCCAAACGCTCCCGGCCGCCCGCCCTCAAGCCGCCTCGCATCGAGATTGTCACGAGATTCCACAGCCTCTTCCCCAGCATGTTATCTCCTGGCGTAGAGGTGGCACGAGAAATGTTGTACACGCTGCCCAGTCGACGTCGCACAAGTCTGCAGGTTGTCGAGACATCGGGTCCAACCCCCCCTCCTTAAGGGAATTAGAATTCAATAAATAAGGACTTGGTCGGTTTTTGGTCTATTAATTCATCTGGTTGACTAATTTCTATAATCGACGACTGGCTAAAGGACAGGCTATGGTAAGACAAAAAGGTTAAAAATAAACAGATAGAACACCGCCCGCGCTGCACATCCAGGATATCTAGGAAACAAAGGGGAAACGGTACAAAGAAAAAGAAACAGGGGGAAAAAAATAATATTGTATGTTTACATCCACTCCATTCCACTCCACTCTCTCCCCCCCACTCCACACCGTAGCTCTAACTCTCATGAGGGGATTCATGCAAATCATACTTTTTCTCGTACCGGGTGAGGCTTCTCCGGACGTCGGCGGCCATGATAAAACCGGGCATGACGGGCTCCAGATTAGAACCCTGTTTCTTGTCTCCGGTGGGCACTGACCCTTGTCCCGACGCGTCTTCGAGCGGGTTCGTTCGTTCAAGCATGGGGGATCGACTGCGAATGCTATGAGACCGGAGCGAGTTGGTGGACCGCACGCGGTTGAGGGTCTTCACCGAAATAATCTGTCCTGCGGCGGGTGATGCAACGACGACGGTGCCGGGGGTAGGCGTCGGGGCTGGCGACGGACTAGCCACGCGAAACAACGGATGGATATGACTTTCGTCCCCTAATGTCAGCGTTGGAGCAGCTGATCCCCGGGATATCTCCGGTTGGAGCAAGTTGCTGGTCGGCGACGACCGACCAGACGAGGTCCGCAGGAGGAGGCTGTCCAAAGACCGTTTGATTTCGGAGTGCCTGCGTTGAAGCTTTTGCGAGGGCTCTTCTGGGCCTCCGCTGATCTTGTTGCGGATCAAGGCCCCCTCGGGGTGGGACAAATATAGAGGGTTTAGTTCGAAAGAACTGCGCTTCGATTCTAGTTGTGTCAGGGTTCTGCCGGAGTACCGGTTGGATATCAAGGATGCTGCACTCGAGGCGGATGGCTGAGCTGAGGCTTGGAACTCCCGGCTGGTCTTACGCTCCTCCTCGCGCTGGGATTCCGTGATGACCAGCGATGGTGTCTTGGATGGGCTGCTAGGCCTGACGCTGGTGTTGTCGGGGAGGATTTCGAGCTCCTGCGAGAACGAGCTAGGCCATTCGGCGCGGTGTCCTCGTCTCGACATGGACATCAGGAGGTATCCTCCAAGGAGCCCCTGACTTAAGACGGAAATGGCCCATACCACACAGCGAGCAATCATCAGGCTTCGCTGCTTCTCGGTAAGGTGTGACTTCTCAGCCACCATGATGGATTGGACAGCACTCCACGCTATCGCCCCCGCGGTGACCCCGGTGGCTAGCGAGAAATAGGCAATGGCAATGCCATAGGTGATCGCTCTCCAGCCTTTCCACTGTCTGCGGAGTCCATTCTCAATATCGGACACCCAGATTAAAACCAACGCGAAGAGTGCAAGGCAGCTAACCACACTGAGGCTGACAATGGCGGACTCGATGGCGGTTATGTGAGACGGGAGAGATTTGGCGAAGGCATAGCATATTCCATCGAGTATCATGACCGTGAATGTCGACGCCAGACCGATCGTTCCCAGAATGTAGGCCAGTGAGGCCCTGCATCTGATGAAACTCATGGGAATGGTGAGCTCTGAAGAGGTAGAGTATATCCCTGAGGACCGAAGATGGCACAGTGCACTCTGGACTGACGAAGAAGTCCAGGAACGACCGCGAGGTTTGTAAAGAGAGAGCCGTGTCAATTAGCAGTGACTGTCTGTGGTGATGTTGATTACTCTGAGCGACATATGAGGGTAAAAGGTTGAGATATCATCAGTGGTCAAGGAAAGTCTTCGTCATAGTCACATCAGGATCATTATCGGGCAAATATCAGGTAAATCTCGTCGCCAGAATCAGGAACTGATACGAAAGAAATGCCTCGAGCGAGAAATTAATACCCAGAGAACGGCCAACAGAGCCTAAGGATGGACGAGGGGACGACTGGGGTAAATATCCGACTAGGTAGAATCCTGTAACTAACCCAGCAGGCCGGAAGGACCGAAAGTATATCTATCAGACTAAAAAGAGAGTGACGGGGGGAATCGGTTCCCCGAAAGTATTTGGTTTGTGCTGCATGGAATTATTCGAACGAGACCAGGATTAACATTTGGGAGGACAGGGGGGGCGTTATTGATATGGGGCTGTCAGTGTCCTCCATCAGGGGATCTAGAAAGGGTATGGTAGGTAGCAACAAAAATAAAATCATCAATAAAAAAAAAAAGGCCGATAGATGGACCCGACATTTCGACCTAACGCCATGTATATACTTACATACATGGCCATGTACGCACTCCATACAGTACGACATATGTACGCCCATGAAAAAGCCCCTTGATTCCACTCCATGTTCCATATCGAGTTACATGCACAGGAGCGTGTTCCCTAATATTCACGAGAATATCAAGTACAGGCCGATATTTCTCACTCGCTGGCAATCGACTCCCATCACCCATGCGTCCTTTCATCGCCCACGCAACCCAGTCCACATGTCTGAGAAGCCGTGTGCGAGACGATTCTTGCCTCAGTCCTCCGTTAGAAAGCTCCATTCAAACAACGAATGATCGAAGGTTCGGCAACCAATCTCGAGACAAAATTAGATGTGCATGGAACACGTCCAGAAAACAATTTGTCAAGACTGGGTGGCTTCCTGTGCGAGGCGGCCGGGACGATCACCAGTATCCCGGAATGGCCCTAAACAATCGATCATCCGCGATGATTCCAGGATAGGATACGGATAATGCTGACTGAGAAATGCCTCCGATCCTTAAAATGTGATATGTCGTACGGTTCCGAGGTGCGATGTGATAAAATCGAGTCCAAGTTGAAAGAGAGTAACGACATCGAAGCAGCTATCGATGCGCCCAGTGAGAGAGATCATGAGTGGACCGAACAGAAGACTTGAATCAACTACCCGTCCCGACACAGTAGTTTCCCATTAGCGTGAGTAATGTGTTGGAGGATGATTGTTGGAGCCCGCTTGGTGTTTTCTCGACAACCCCACCGTGAGGAGCCGGTGTGATAGATCGATGAGATACATCCACCCGGATGGGCTTTGGCCCTTGCCACGCTGAAGAGTGGACAACAATGGTAGTTGAGAAGAAGAAGGGATGTCGAAAAGGAAAGAAAACAAAAATACGGGATTCCAGTTGGGATGAACACGGAACCAGTGGCGCATTAGCCTGTCCCAATTCATCAGATAGGATGAACGTATCGATCGTTTTCGCTCGAGGCAATGAAATGAATTGCCCATGATTTGCCATAGCACGCGTCGCTTGAGGTTCAAGTCCAGATAGGACAGATTCACCTTCGAGTACATAGCATTTTCAGCTCATCTGAATCATGGTATGCATGTAGATCCATGACGCTCTAAGGTATCGTATACCTAGTTGTGTTTCATCCTTCTTCAGCCCCTCCATACTCCCAGAGGCAGATCGATGTCATAGGGCTGCCAGGTCCCAGCTGAAGATGCAACCCCGTCCTGCAGAGCTGAGGTTGCAGATTGAGAGAGAGAATAGACAATGGAACAAAACCATCTCGGACTAGTCATTCACTATAGAAGATAGAGTACGGAGTACCGTGACTACGGGTGGCGTTTCCTAGCGAGGGGGCGTGACTGTGGCGGCAAGGCAGAGTGTGGCTGGGCTCCGGCGTCACCGCCTCCAGCTTTCTCCTCCTCGTCATCGTTGTTTCTCTCCCACTTGCCAGTTCTTTCGCAGTCGATCTGATCCATCCTCCACCCCGCGATCCTCCGTTTCCTCGATCCATTGCCATTCCGCCGATTCCATCAAGTCCATTCTATCATCATCCCTTCCACCTTTAGGTCTCTTTTTCCCTCTCGCCTTTCAAAGCCATCTCTTGTCTTCCGGTGGCGCAAGATGAAGCTCACGTTCAAAGTATGCTGCAGCCAACCCTCCTTCCCCCACCCCCATCCTCATCACGCATTCGGCATCTGACCTGTGTCTACCCTCCTTCTCTAGGATCTGAAACAACAGAAGTTCGTAATCGATGCAGAGCCATCGGAGACGGTAAGTCTGCTGTCCCTCTTTCGTCAGGAATCGTTCAGTGCGGGGCTGAGCGACATGATAGGTCGGGCAAGTGAAGGAGAAGATTTCTCAGGAGAAGGGTTGGGAAGTTCCTCAACTGAAGCTTATCTACTCCGGTACGTTTGCAACTCTTCTCTTTTCCCATTTCTGTTGATTCAGATTGATGGACGATACGGCGCTTGTGCCAAGGTCCTCTCCGCATCCATCCTCTCGCTGACGCCGTTCAACTTCTATAGGAAAAATCCTTCAAGATGACCGAACCATCGAAACATATAACATCGAGGAGAAGGGCTTTATAGTGTGTATGGTTTCGAAGGTAAGCGTCATGAATTCATGTCCATACCGAAGCTCCCCCGACTGATCTCGTTGCTTCGCACAGCCCAAGGGTTCGTCCTCCACGGCCACTCCTTCGCAAGTTCCGTCCACACCCTCAAGAGCCGCTGCCTCGACGCCAGCTGCACCTCCCCCTCCTCGGGCCCCCCCTGCGAACACTTCTGCCCCGCCTGCCCCCGCGACCCCGTCTCCGGCTGCCGCCACTACCACCCGGTCTCAATCGTCGTTCAGTGACCCTTCCGCACTGTTAAGTGGCTCCCAGAGCGAGCCTGTTATCGCTCAGATGGAGAGCATGGGTTTCCCGAGGTCTGACATCAACCGTGCGATGAGAGCGGCGTTCTTCAACCCTGACCGTGCTATTGAATATCTTTTGAACGTGAGTCGAAATTGCCTATGCCCCAAATATTTCGTAAATAACTGGGGCTAATGCTTGTTTGTCTCCTTTTCTTTGTCTCACGCAGGGAATCCCAGAGAGTGTTCAACAGGAGCAACAGCAGCAACAGCAGCAGCAACAGGCTGCCGCTGCCGAAGTTGCCGCCACGCAGGAGGCACCTGCTACTGGAGAAGATGTTCCTCCCACAGCCGGGACTGAGGAGCCAGTCAATCTCTTTGAAGCCGCTGCCCAGGCCGGTGGCCAGGAGGGCGGACGTGGAGCTCGCAGCGGAGGTGCTTCAGCAGCTGGCGGCGAACTCCCCAACCTTGATTTCCTCCGGAACAACCCACACTTCCAGCAGCTGCGACAACTGGTCCAACAGCAGCCGGCGATGCTCGAGCCCATCCTCCAGCAAGTTGCCGCTGGCAACCCTCAAATTGCGCAGCTCATCGGACAGAATGAGGAGCAATTCCTTCAGCTTCTGGGTGAAGATGACGATGCCGCGCTGCCTCCCGGCACGCATCAAATCCACGTGACTGAGGAAGAAAGAGATGCTATTGAACGTGTATGTACCCCCCCCCCCCCCCCCCCCCCCCACCTCGCGCTTTGGAAACAGCTCGAAGCTCACCTAATGCTAGCTCTGCCGTCTCGGTTTCTCGCGGGATCTGGTCATCCAGGCGTACTTTGCTTGCGACAAGAACGAGGAGCTGGCCGCGAACTACTTGTTCGAGAACCCCGACGACCCCGACGATCTATGAGACCGTTCCTGGGACTCGGCCGCAGGAGGGTTAGGCATACGAAGTGGCGATTTTCTTTTGTTTTAATTCTTCCTTCATAACGATTTTTGCAATACACTAGTCTTTCTGATTTTCTCCGGCAAGGCCTCCACCTTCTTCACCCGATCAGGTATGATCGAGCGTCTAAGCATTGTGAGCGAGCTGGCCGTCACCTCGTTGTCGCGATCAAGAACATTTGCAGCCCGGTGTATCTATCACGTATGACCCTTTTTTCCTCTTTTCCCTTTCCCCTTTTATTTTCTTTTTCTTCAGGTGTGACGTTATTGTCTACCCCTAGTTAATGGAGCAAAATGAAATGAGATATTCTGATTAGTCCAGACACCTGCTTTACAGGCGATTACTGTACGGTGTAGAGAAGTAAGTAGTATTGCGAAGGATAAACAAGTGGAAACACACTTGTACAGTTGTACTCCATAGTGGACTTGCTGCTTCAATCACAAGGTGTCGTATAACACTAGGTATGAGAGATAGCTAGCTATGCCTGTGGTCAGAGGACCCGTTGGTCTCTGCAGGCATCAGATCAGATGACCCCCAAAGCCCGACCGACAATCAAGTCACACTTACGCCCCCTCACTTCTTCCCTTTCACAATCTTACGGTAAATGTGGAAGGCATGCATATATACATTTACTACTTAACTCTCTCATTGGGGGATATAACAGCTCATATGAATGGTTGGGTATATTTCAATTATCATCATCAGTACCGTGATATACATGCAAATCTATACTAAGGGGGTTGGCGCAAAAGCATCTCAAAAGGTTAGCTTGCTAGAAATGGGAAGAAGGAAGGAACAAAAATAATCAAATCCAATATATAGCATGAAATGACGGCCGTGGGTATTGTTGTCACTGAATATATCATCAATGCAAAGACCAAGATTAATGGAGGAAAATGGAAAGTGGAACGAAGGCGGAAGGACAGAAAGAGAGGCGATCAGCTTTCATTCAAGCTTAATTTTGTCTCGAAACAGCTGACACCGAATAGATCCTCAGCTGACGGAGGATTCGCGATCGCAAGTTCTTCGAACGGCCCAGACGGCTAGCCCGCGTCTACCAATCACTCGTTGCAATGTCGGAAGGATCCCGTCGCTGCCGAAGTCTAGGTCGTCCAGATTGATGTGCTTACTGTACGTCCATAATTCATGAAGTTCTAGACTTGTGTGGTCAGATGGCGCCTTCATTGAAACGTCGTACGCGTCAAGAAATGTTGCAGATTTGGGAGCCACCATGAACACCGAATCGAGGCCGGCGTCCGATTTCTGGCTGCCATCTTCGCCCGGTGGACAGGCTGGCAGCGATCGCTCGAGGGTTTCGATCATCCCCGGCCCGGACATGCCCATCAAATCGCGAGATTCCAGGTCCACGAAGGGGTCGGTGTTGTCGCCTAATAACCACAGTGGTGGTGAGTAGGTTTTCCACCAGAACACGGCCGCGGAGACTCGAAGAGGCTCTGACGGGCCACTGTTTGGTATGGCTGCATTCGTCGAGACAATCGAAGGAATGGCAATCTGAGCGGGTACGATGCCCCCTTGATGGTAGACCCCCATCAGAAATCCGAGGGAGACATTGAAAACCACCCAGGCCGCCAGAAACAAGCGGGACTTGCGAAGACGGAAACAGCTGAGTAGGAGAGGGACGCAGGGGATCAAGAATCGGGGTTCCTGATGGGGGAAGACAGACAACAGCATAGTTGCCGATAGCGCAGAAACGGCGCGTATATCCTTCAACCAAGACGGAATAGTGGGGAGGCTCCAAAAGGAAAGGACCATCATCACATACGCCGGACCGAGGAGTTGGGGCAGATTCGCAAGGAAGTGTTGGTAACGAGGGTGGAGTCCATGCAGAGCCAAGTTGGAGCCATCGGAGTTGTATAGGAGATTGTTGATGGGGGTAATTATGGGCGAGCGCAGGATGTCTCCAAAGGATGCAGATGGTCTGTAGAACGTGGTGTCCACACAGACGGCGATGCCGAAGAATAATAGTCCAAATCCAATAAAGGAGACCAAGGAGACCGGTCTGAGACGTTTCTGAAGGTTAGCGCTCTGGCTCACTGAGCACCGATAAGTTGGATCGGTTCGACACCTACTTGCGCCAGAAATGAGGCAGTAATTGCAGCCCCGGGATAGCGAGAAAGGCGGGGAAGGTGATGCGGTTGAAGACGCCCGCGACAGCGATGAAGGACAGGACGGCACAGGAGAAGATAGATGAGCGACGCTATAAACCACTATTAGCCCACAGGACGTCCTCCCACACTTGACTCGACTATGTTGCTCCGAACCTTATTCTCAGTAATGCGACGAATGAGGACGAGACCCCAGGCTACCAGCAGCGTCTCTAGGGAGTTGGAGAAGGTGTGCGTCTGATATGTCCAGGTGACATACGACGATGCGACTAGCACCACGGTCGCGCGGCGATGGCGCGGGAAGGGAACCAGCTCGTAAATGGCCCAGTCCTCCAAGACAAAACTCAGAAGGAACATGACCCCTCGCAAAACGTAGTAAACGAGTTCTGGCGGGGGATTTTCGGTCCCGGTTTCGGTGTAGAACCATTTCAGTAGGCTGATCGGGACGTCGTAGGTCGGCCATAGCGGGAAGGCGCTGCGAATGGGTTTCTCGACGGTAAATTCCCAAGGTAGCTTGGCGGGGTAGGAGAGGATACGGCCTTGAACACTAGGAAGTCAATGCAAGTTGCTCGGCAGGAGGAAATTGTATGCAGCTGCAACGAGCGCAGGCCGAAACCCGCGTTCCGTCGGCGACGCAAACACGCCGAGACGGAAGGAGCATCACGGTCGCGCGCGAAGGCGGATGGAGTCGGAAGGATGGCATGGGAAGGGATGGGCATGGGCCGGCTTACCTGCAACCACCTCAGGACCTTGGAAATTCTCATCGGGATGAAGATAACTCGGGGACAGCGCAAAGTAAACACGGATCACCAGGAGCAGCAAATACGTTCGTCTCCACATGGCGGAGAATTATGCGAACGATCAAGATCGCAATCAGGATTAGGAATTATGAATTAAGAGAGTTGGGAATTGGGGATTCTAACGAGACGCTTGTTATCATTCGGATGGATGAAAAGAGAGAATAAGGATGAGTTTAGGTACATCATAGTACATGCTGTTGCCGGTGCATATTAAGTAGAATGATTGCAGAGGAAGGATCTGTGATTGGTTTCTTGTACGGAGTAATCTCCCATGGATTGGAAAAATAGAAGCGAAGTCCACAAGGGGAAAAAGACAGATGAGATGATGAATACTCCGTAGTAATTAAATATCCTGCAAAGCGTAGAGAGGGCGGATTTTCAGTGGACGAACGAGACGCGTCGGAGGGGGGCAAATTGACATCAGCGACAACAGGGACACCAGAGTGAGCAGACAGACAAACCCTAGAGTGACTAGACTCCGTAGTAGTCCGTAGGTCTCGATGGGATTGGGTGAGTTATTGGTAGTTCGTTGTTTGATCCCCTTAACCCCGTTCATTATTTCTGCTAGCCAGGTGGGTCAAGGCCGGAAATCAAAACAAGGCTAGATGAATGGGACCATACTGTGTACTCCCGTGTAGGTGTGACTGTGTGAGTAGTATTCCGTGGTACTGGGACTATGTACACCGTACGGATTGTGATGTATAACGGAGGGAATATGTGAAGGATCTTCCATGTCCTCGGGTCAACGGGAAGTTGTCAGGAGGGAAAAGGGAAAGTTGCCTCTTCAGCATCTTTTTGTCTTGTTTGTTGGTCATCACAGATTCAGGCAGACTCCAGGCAGCCATCGCCAATCACGGGGAAGGTCCAGGTCAGCGCCCGTGACAAACGGAGCCTTCCCAATCACGAAGGCGGTAACTGACTTTCTTTCTCTCGCTCGCTTTTGTCGGCGCTAACTTCAAGCCAACCAGACCCCAAACTAAGCCTCATCACTTCCGCCTTCTTTCTTCCTTCTCTGCCTACGTCTCGTCCCATTGTCTAGCCGCCCTCCATCCAACTTCCTCTACCGCATCACTACAACTTAAATAGGCCGCCGTTCGCCGCCATTGTCTTCTCGTCGTTCCTCTCATCCTCATCCACTCACCTTTCCATCTCTCATTCCAGTAGGTTCACTCCCCCACTCGGTTACCCCTCAACGACGTCTTCGTCTACGGATCTACGCCGCAGCCTACATATTACGACAGAGACTTACCAAAGATCTCCAGATTATTTCTTCAAGATGTCTGGAACTCTTACTATGACTAGCTCGGACGGCGTCGAGATCACCGTCGAGCGCGATGTTGCCGAGCGCTCTCTGCTCATCAAGAACATGCTCGAGGATTTGGGTGAAACCGGAGAGGCTATCCCCATCCCTAACGTCAACGAAGCTGTCCTCAAGAAGGTCATCGAATGGTGCCAGCACCACAAGAACGATCCCCCCAGCACCGGTGATGACGACGACTCTCGCCGCAAGACCACCGACATCGACGAATGGGACCAAAAGTTCATGCAGGTTGACCAAGAGATGTTGTTCGAAATCATCCTGGCCGCCAACTACCTTGACATCAAGGGCCTCTTGGATGTTGGTTGCAAGACCGTCGCCAACATGATCAAGGGCAAGTCTCCCGAGGAGATCCGCAAGACCTTCAACATCCAGAATGATTTCACTCCGGAGGAAGAGGATCAGATCCGTCGCGAGAACGAATGGGCCGAAGAGTAAGTTTTTTTCTGTCACCTACCACCTTTCCACCCCTTTCTGTCTTTTCATGACGACCGATGCGCTAACGCTGAATTGCAGCCGCTGATTTCACATGACTGGTCAATGTCACCCATGGCTTGTTGATTATGGATGGATTGCCTCTTGAGTACCTTTCCACCGATCACCAGTCTTGCTTTTTCAAATTGGGACTTCCTTTTAAAGATCCTCATTTCGGCGTTGGGCTTTCTTCGAGCGGTTTCACGTTCACGTTCATTTTTCTTATGATTGTTCCCTCTTGGCTTATGGTCTAGAGAAAGATGTAGTTCCTGTGCTTTGCTTTTCAACAAATCGCTAGTTAGTTTTCTTTTCGCTCTGCATTACCAATTACTCTGCAACAACAATTACGGTTTGTCTTTGGAGATGTCTCCTCTTCTCTCTTCTGTGCACTTGTAGACGTTCTCGAAGATCCGCAAGATTATTGACCGACCCAGATACTCTTCAAATCACAGAACTAGTCTGGTTTGATACCCCTCCGGATTGTATTCCCCCGCTTCAAAAGCTGCAGGGCTCAACATGTGACTACGACTAGAAGTCTACTAGCTTCTGCCCAAAACATTCTCCCTCGGCTCTCACTTCGGATCAACACATGATGATCAAAGGTAGAGGAAGCGAGCTAGAAATGGGAGGTTGAGGAAACATATACGATCATATCCCGGTTGACTCATCATTGCTCACAGCTCATTATCCATCATGATTTTTTTTATAATTGTCTCAGCTCGTGTAAATAATTTGCAGTACGACCTATCCAGAGCCCGGACACCGCCTGAAATTTCTGTCACTGCTCTTCCTTCGCCTTGAACGACCGTCCTTTGCCCAGAGCCAGATCAAGCTTCCAAGACGAATAACCTTATCATTGCCGTCGAACAGATCAAAATTGTGGGAAATCGAGGAAAAAGTCAAAGCGGGTCGGATTCCGGATGCAGATTAATCGTCGCGAGCAAGATCTGCGGTATCACAATTGAACGAAACAATCGGGAGAAACATCTCGGTCGGACAAAAGAAAAAGCATGGTAAATGTCCTCGAATCTAGATACCGAGACGGGTCTTGCGCCAGTGCCTCCGCTTGGCGTTGTATCTAAGTAGAGAAAGAAGCACTCGTCAGCCATTTCCATCCCGTTTGTCGATTGGTAACTGCCTTCGAGGTCGGAGTCATCAAGTCCTTTTTCTTTCCCTCTTGCTTTCTTCCTTTTTGTCGAATCGAACCAACATATCCAAGGGGTTGAAGTGTCGAGAGGGGTTCATCGTTCCGATTGTATCCTTATTCCAAACCAGACTTTTTGCGGCTCCGACCGACCGATGGGCTTTCCACAAGAAAAAAGTTATGTATTTACCTGATGGTGTTACCGGTCCTCAGACGAATCCACTGGGGGATGGGACGGTTCTGCTTCTGGGCTTTGGCAAGCTTCTGCTTGGTGCGGAAACTCTTGTGGCTCTGATGGGATAAAAAAACATAAGACGTTAGCCTATTGCTGTTCAAGTGCGTCCCCGCGCATGATTCTCTTTCAACCAGCCGTATGGGAGAAGAAACGAAGAATAAAATTCGATCCCGGCATCGAGAGCATGATCGAAAGGGGGTACGGGATTGCTAACCGGCATCTTGAAGGCTTGTCGCGACGGCGAGCTGAGTATGTGGACTGGCGATAGTGAGGTTGTCGACCGTCTTCAAAGGCCTTCGGTAGTGGTGGTTTTTTTGTGCGGACAGGGCTTAGCGGTTCGCTTCGGGAGGGTCATGTGACTGATGCCTGAGGCAGAACTGTCTGGTCAGGCATTCGACCGTCTTCTCTATCTTCGTCTGCCACACCGCCTTCATTCAACCTTGACATGCAGGAAGTGTATTTCATCATTGATTTCAGCTTCGTGTGCATCCAATGCATATTTACAGTACGGCTACCATTTGAGGTCAATTTTCCTTTTTTTCATCGTCTCGTGCAAGGAGAATTAGTCAACGATAATGCAAGGTTGGCTGCTTTTCGAAACATGATCATCGCCATCATGACTGCCTGCAGTGAATTCCCTCGTACGAGAATAGCACATGGACACGATGCTTTTCTCGGGGAGATCCGCAGGAGAAGAGGCAAAACATACTCCTACACGTCTCATGGGCCCGAGAAGCAGTCGAGGATGAGTCAATAATGCGAGTTTTTGGCTTAATCTGGTCCCCGAAATTGACACATGAGTTAATAATAACGACTATCCTTCTTTAGGTGCCCGCTGAAATAGTGCTCACGTTGTATGTGTTTCGACCAATGATGTTTTTTCTATTCCTTCAGTGGGATTAGCGGGCTCGCCAAACAAGAAAGAACGAAAGAAAACTCGACATGGACGGAGTACACCGTACTACTCAGGCACCGCAGCTACTACTACGGATAGTGCCTGTAGATAGGCGATGCGCCAATCGAGTTGGAAGGCAGCTCGCGTATCACATCAATCATCGGTGGAGACATCACTCACTTCTAGACTGTCGGAGGATGGAACCGCCGACCCCGACTTTATACTAAAATTATACGAGCACACTAATACCGGACGGTATGGCCGTGACGTGGTCGGCATGAAGTATTTCGTACTTCGTACTTTATCGGAGTAGGTACAGTAATACGCAAGTGCTCTTGAACCGTGTGGATGTCCAGTCAGAAAGCTTATCATTCGCTCAAGCCTTTCGCCTTTTTTTATTCTGTGGAAATTCCCCGGAAGAGAAGGTGGAAGGTTTCGAAATCCTGAGCAAATGCAGCGAATTGCTTGATTGACACCCGACCCGGCGCCAAGCATACATTGTATAAGGTACCTTAGTTCGATCGACTATGTGTTCCCCTTACTTCCCTTCTTTTCCCCCGAAGAGTGCCCGATACCAACATGGGCCTTGAAATGAGACTGGGATGTTGGATGGATGACTCTGTATGACATGCTGCAAAAAAGGTTCTTAACGAGTGGCGAAAGGGGCCCGCGTACAAGTTGGTTCACTAAAGTGGTTCACTGGTTACAGACTCCATACTTTGTACATCCACTTTCTTCGGGCTGCATAAAATCTCATCGGGAGGCCGCTCCTCCGGGGTTAATATTATTAAGGCCCCGGCAGCTTCTCTCCCCGTCCTGGCAATTATTGATCATATCGTATCCGTCGTTTATTTCCAACATCTTACTTTTCTTTCTTTCCTTTTTTTATTCTAAATATTGAATTACATTAATACCGGCTTCTGCCATTAATTCGATCCTTTTCCCTCCCCCTCCATCCCCCTCCTTATCTTCTCCTGCCCCTTCTCCTCCCCCCGGCTCTCTCTTTCATTCTTTGTGAATCTTCTCCGTTGGGAGTGCGACAACTATTAATAACGACCTATTGCCTCTACCTAATACTCCCCCCAGAACTGAATTTGCTCACTCCTATCTGGGATACCTTCATCTCTGGTGGCATTCTAGTAGCCAGACCAGACTAGTTTTGGTGCAACGCCCATTCTTGCTGTTATCGATAACTACTTCTCCCTCATGGAGTAGATCGTTTAGTTCGATCTTCCGCCAAGCTTCCTGTACTTATTTCGGAAACTTTTGAGGCCATACGGGAAATACTCACGCACAGAACGCCATGTCCCATCCGGAAAAAGAGCCTTTCGAGGCTGCTGACGATACTGCTATCGTCTCGACGACAGACAAAGCAGGAAATACAGTACCGACAGCTACTGTCGAACGGGCCAAGTCGAGCAATCACTCTTCAACCTCCAGTGCGACTATCGCTCCAGCAGAGGCGAAAGCAGCGCGATCCCAATCGCCATCCGATGGAAATCTCCCCAGCAACGACACGGATCCCCTATATTCTCACCTGGCCCCTCATGAAAGGCGGATTCTGAAGAAACAGCTGGACGTAGACGAAACGAATGTGTCATTCTTTGGTCTCTACCGCTATGCATCCCGAATGGATATCCTGGTTCTGGTGGTGAGCGCCATCTGCGCCATTGCCGCCGGTGCTGCGTTGCCGTTGTTCACGGTATGTGCTTAGGAAGTGCCCTTTTGAAAGCGTCTTTGCTGACTCTTGACGACTAGATCCTGTTTGGTTCTTTGGCCTCCGCTATGCGGAACATCACCCTAGGTCTCATTGAATATTCCGAGTTCTACGATAAACTGACGACCAACGTCCTGTATTTCGTCTATCTTGGTATTGGAGAATTTGTCACCGTCTACATCAGTACCGTTGGGTTCATCTACGCCGGCGAGCACGTCACCCAGAAGATTCGCGAGCACTATCTCGAGTCTATTCTCCGCCAGAACATGGCGTACTTCGACAAGCTTGGTGCTGGTGAAGTAACCACTCGCATCACTGCCGACACGAATCTCATCCAGGACGGTGTCTCCGAGAAAGTTGGACTCACCCTGACCGCCATCTCCACCTTCGTCACTGCGTTCATTGTGGCCTACGTCAAGTACTGGAAGCTGGCTCTGATCTGTACTTCCACCATCGTCGCGCTTGTGTTGATCATGGGAGGTGGCTCGCGGTTTATTGTCAAGTACAGCAAGCAGTCCTTGCAGAGCTATGGTGCTGGTGGAACTGTGGCAGAGGAGGTGATCAGCTCGATCCGTAACGCCACGGCATTCGGCACCCAGGACAAACTTGCCAAGCAGTATGAGGTTCATTTGGCCGAAGCAGAGAAATGGGGAAGGAAGCAACAGACTATCCTGGGCGTGATGATCGGCGCGATGTTTGGCATCATGTTCTCCAATTACGGCTTGGGTTTCTGGATGGGCTCTCGCTTCCTTGTCAGCGGAGAGGTCGACGTCGGCCAGGTTCTGACCGTGCTGATGGCTATCTTGATCGGCTCCTTCAGTCTGGGAAATGTCAGTCCTAACAGTCAGGCATTCACTAATGCCGTGGCTGCAGCGGCCAAGATCTTCAGCACAATCGACCGGACATCGCCGCTGGATCCGTATTCGAACGAAGGCGGAACGGTTGAAAACCTCCTGGGAAACATCGAGTTTCGCAATGTCAAACATATCTACCCCTCGCGACCGGAGGTGACCATCATGGACGGTGTCTCCCTCACAATGCCTGCAGGAAAGACAACGGCGCTGGTTGGTCCTTCGGGGTCCGGAAAGAGTACCGTGGTCGGACTTGTCGAGCGCTTCTATTTCCCCGTTGGAGGCTCGGTCTTTTTGGACGGACATGATATCAATGACCTCAATCTTCGTTGGTTGCGTCAACAAATCTCACTAGTGAGCCAAGAACCTATTCTCTTCGGTACCACGATCTACCAGAACATTCGCTATGGTCTCATCGGCACCAAGTTTGAGCATGAGTCGGAGGACAAAGTTCGGGAGCTCATCGAGAACGCGGCAAAGATGGCCAACGCTCATGACTTCGTCACGGCCTTGCCCGAGGGGTACGAGACTAATGTTGGCCAGCGTGGATTCTTGCTCTCTGGTGGCCAGAAGCAGCGGATTGCCATTGCTCGCGCCATTGTCAGTGACCCTAAGATCCTCCTGCTTGACGAGGCGACTTCTGCGCTGGACACGAAATCCGAAGGAGTTGTTCAGGCCGCTCTTGACAAGGCTGCCGAGGGCCGGACCACTATTGTGATCGCGCATCGTTTATCTACGATCAAATCGGCGCACAACATCGTGGTTCTGGTCGACGGCAGGATTGTCGAACAGGGTACTCACGATCAGCTGGTTGATGGAAAAGGCACATATCACAGCCTCGTGGAGGCGCAGCGCATCAATGAAGCAAAGGACGCGGAAGCGTTGGAAACCGATGATGAGGATGAGGATATCCTGCCGAAGCCGGATATGGCGCGCATCAAGACGGCCGCTAGTGGCTCAGCATCCCTCTACGCCGAAGATGAGAAGTCTCGTCTGGAATTTGGGCGCTCTGGTACGCACAAATCAGTGTCCAGCGCCGTCCTGTCCAAGCGGACCCCAGAGATAGGCAAGAAATATTCGCTCTGGACCTTGGTCAAATTCATCTTCTCCTTTAACAAGCCGGAGACCCTGTACATGCTCATCGGTTTCTTTTTCTCGTTTCTTGCGGGTGGTGGCCAGCCCACCCAAGCAGTTCTGTATGCCAAGGCGATCAGTTCGCTCTCATACGGCTCCAATATGGCCAGTCAGATTCGAAGCGATGCCAACTTTTGGTCCCTGATGTTCTTTGTGGTAGGAATCGTCCAGTTTATCAATCTCTCCATCAACGGAGCTGCGTTTGCCATGTGCTCAGAAGCTCTGATCCGTCGTGCGCGAGGTGAGGCTTTCAGGTCAATTCTCCGTCAAGACATCACCTTCTTTGATCGAGAAGAGAATAGCACCGGTGCATTGACTTCTTTCCTATCGACCGAGACGAAGCATCTCTCTGGAGTCAGCGGTGTAACTCTGGGGACAATCATCATGACCTCCACGACCCTGGGTGCCGCTATCATTATCTCTTTGTCCATTGGGTGGAAGCTGGCTTTGGTCTGCATTTCCGTGGTCCCGATTTTGCTGGGCTGTGGATTCTATCGGTTTTACATGCTTGCCCAGTTCCAACAACGTTCTAAGACCGCCTACGAAGGGTCTGCAAGCTATGCTTGTGAGGCAACGTCGGCGATTCGCACTGTGGCCTCGCTCACCCGCGAACAAGATGTTTGGGACGTGTACCACGCTCAACTCGATGCGCAGGGCAGGACTAGCTTGATTTCCGTGCTGAAGTCTTCCATCCTGTATGCCTGCTCGCAGGCTCTCGTCTTCTTTTGCGTTGCCCTCGGATTCTGGTACGGAGGCACGCTCCTGGGTCACCACGAATACTCGGTCTTCCGGTTCTTTGTCTGTTTCTCCGAAATTCTTTTCGGCGCGCAGTCGGCCGGGACGGTTTTCTCTTTCTCGCCGGATATGGGTAAGGCCAAGAATGCCGCGGCGCACTTCAAGCAACTGTTTGATCGAAAGCCCAGCATCGACATCTGGTCTGAGGAGGGTATCAAATTGGATTCTGTCGACGGTGAAATCGAGTTCCGTGACGTGCATTTCAGATATCCTACTCGCCCAGAGCAACCCGTTCTCCGCGGATTGAACCTTAGCGTCAAGCCTGGGCAGTACATTGCTCTTGTCGGACCGAGTGGTTGCGGCAAAAGTACGACTATTGCTCTCCTGGAGCGCTTCTATGACGCCCTCGCCGGGAATGTCTTTGTGGATGGCAAAGATATCACCGAGATCAACGTCAACTCCTATCGCAGCTTCCTATCGCTAGTCAGCCAGGAGCCAACTCTGTACCAAGGAACCGTCAAGGATAACATTCTATTGGGAGTCGACCGGGATGAAGTATCCGAAGAAGCTATCGTGAAGGCTTGCAAGGACGCCAATATCTACGACTTCATCATGTCTCTACCGTAAGTTCTCGATCCCTGACCTTCTCTCAAATGGACCGATTTTACTAACCAACACTTGCGTGCAGAGAGGGATTCAACACCGTGGTTGGCAGCAAAGGAGGCATGTTGTCTGGAGGACAGAAACAGCGAGTGGCCATTGCGCGTGCTCTGCTCCGAGACCCCAAAATCCTGCTTCTCGACGAAGCCACGTCGGCTCTCGATTCGGAATCGGAGAAGGTCGTGCAGGCAGCGCTGGATGCTGCTGCTCGCGGCCGAACGACTATTGCCGTGGCACATCGACTCAGTACGATCCAGAAAGCCGACATCATCTACGTGTTCGATCAAGGGAAGATCGTCGAAAGCGGAAGTCACCAGGAACTGATCCGCAGCAAGGGCCGTTACTACGAACTGGTCAACCTCCAGAGTCTAGGCAAGGCCTAGTACATCCATACATAATTTCTAATCTTCTGCACATACCTAATTTTGATACCATCTCCCACTTGCTACCTCTTATTGCACCGATCTGATTTCTACATGACGTGTTACGAGCTTTTGTGCCGTTTGGCTGGCAGACCCGTGCTCTGTCCTGTTTGGTTCTTCTCTTTATCTCTTCTTCTCCAGTTATCTGTTTTATTCTACGAATAGATCTCATGGACGCGTGTTCCGGGTGGTTTACCCTATGGCTTTTTCATTTCATTCTAAAGTCAAAGGTAGAATAGACGTCATTTAAATCAGATTCTCTGGTTCTTCGAAGTATATACAAGAATAATAATCTGCGTCGGAGGTCAAAGAGGACTGCTAGGCCATGGTAACTCGTTCCAATCCATCGTCAAATCAATCGCGATCGGCCACGCCGTACTCTCTCTGCACGACAACCTGTCGCACGCCGCGCGCATCGGCGATGAGACCCATCAGACCCTGCCCAATGTCTTTGATCTCGTTGTACTCATGCAGAAGGCGAATGTGGCGCTGGACCGTTGCGGAGGGATCGCTCCTGAGATGAACTTAGAATCTTCCGTTGGAGGGGACTGAATGAGACACAATACTTCAATTTGGATTTTATTTCAGCAATCTGGGCTTCTACTTGAGCGGTTTGCAATTCCAGGTCTGCGATGGATGCACGGAGAGTGTTCTGGTCTGAGCGTTAGTCTCTCTCGGATGATCCAGATGAAGGATGTCTATGGAGTAGATTGGATAAATACCAGGCGATGATCTCTTTGATTCAGCTGCTCTGGATGCGACTCCATGACGCATCAGACCGGGAGAATGTAGATGGTTGTAGGAAGTAGGGAGTATACATCGGTACTAAGTAGGTAGTTAGGGACACTCCACCCCAACCAATCCGAGCCACCCGATTTGATGCGGATACGCGGCCGGTGCCTCAGGCGTCGCTCCCTTCTTGGCCGCTTCTTCTCTCCTTCTTCCTCTCTTCCTTCTTCCCCTCTCCTCCGACGACCTTTTCTTTGTTCTTTCATTTATTTTTACCACCCCCTCGAGGATGCTATTTAATCCGCTAAATGCGCCGGGGGTGCTGGCCGCCCTTCTCCTGATTGCCCCCGTTTCCGCCCACGGCGGCCATGAAAATGTCCCCGAAGGTGCCGCCATTTCCGGGGATCCTATCGTATGTTTCTATTCCGGGCCGCCTGCGTGATTCTTGGCCAACTCGCATGAACGGGACTGATGCTCGATCTAGGACTCGACACTATGGGTACACATGATTTTGATGGGCTTGGCTTTTGGCATCATCTTCCCGTTGGGTATGGTTTTGGGGGTATGTTCTATCCGTTCATCTTCTTTGGTGCTTTCTAACCTCCCACGTGTATCTGGTTATAGATCATTCGCTCCCGATGGCATGTCCCTCTTCAAATCGTCGGTACCGTCATCGCAGTCGTGGCCTACTTCCTCGGCCACGGCCATAAGGGTCGCCAGTTCTCCAAAAACGTTCACGCCTCGTTCGCAAATTCCCTGATGCTCATGCTGGTGGTGCAAATCGTGCTGGGCGTGTATCTCAAGCTACACCTGTCCCGGGGGATCCACGGGCGGATTCGCCGCGTTATCGTTATTGCGCATGGGGTTCTGGGCAAGGCGATGCCGATCGCCAGCTGGGTTCAGATGCTGTTCGGAGGTATCACGGCGATGGGTTACTGTCGAGAGGATCATCTGGGACAGTGTCTGGCCCATTTCATCATGGGTAGCGCCTTCATCGCGTACGGAATCTTGTTGACCATTCTCCTTCTGGTGGGCCAATTTTGGCTGCGCCGCACCGGCCGGAGTCAGGAGTTCTTCGACTCCCTGGTGATCGCCGCCTGGGGATGTGTCAACACCTTCACCGAACATCGATGGGGCCAACCCTGGGCGCATAACGACCTGCAACACACTACCATGGGTATTGTCTGGTGGTGCGCCGGACTCTTGGGAATGTGGTTGAGTCGCAAGCGCAACGGCCAGCCCAAGCGGAACTTGATCCCGGCCATTGTCATTCTGCTCACCGGCTTTGCGATGTCTGCCCATCCCCAGCATCTTATGATCAGTACTATGATCCACAGCATCTTCGGCTACACGCTGATGGCCGCTGGGTTCACTCGAATCATCGAGATTTCGTTCGTCCTGAGAGACGAATCTACCCTCAGCACGGATGGCACGGATCCCAACAGCTTCCAATATTTGCCTCCTTTCGTAAGTGCATCCCGATGGATATCTACCAATTCATTACCCGGGCTAATAAGAAATAGCTGCTGTACGCCTCGGGCTTTCTGTTCATGGGAGCTACTGAGGAGCAAATGCAGCTTTTGAATGATGCCGGAATCACCCATGTGTCCTATGTCTTAATCCTGTACAGCATCGCTTTCATTCTCTTCCTCTGTAAGTGTGCCGGAAATCCGCCTTGTTTCACGCATTTGGCCCGTCGAGAGGGTTCACTAATATCATGTTCTTTTAGTTGTCAACGTACTTCTTCACATCTACGCTGTTCACGCATGGCCTGAATCCGCGAAGGTACCTCGTTCTACCGAGGATGACGAGAACGAAGGCGAAAGCTCGTCTCGATCGAAGGCTCACCGGTCTCAACCCAACGGTCACGCCCGCTCGCACTCGGAAACCCAACGTATCCAGGACGCCGAAGCGTTCGAGCTACAAGGTCTAATCTCTGATGAGGAAGACGAAGACAAGACCCACGGTGAAGGACAACACTCCATGGGTCCCAGAAGAGTTGAAGACGAAGAAAACTCCCCCTTGGTTGGGAAGGAGACGTCGCGTTGATTTGAAACGATTTCCGATACTTTGCAAGCCACATTTTCTCTACTATTTTTATTCCTCGCTCTGTCTTCCCCTTCCAAAAATCTATCTATGTTTTGGTTATGACCGGTGAAATTTCCTAGAAAAAGGAAATCATTCCGGTCTATCTTATATTATCTGCCAGGCTTCCTCCAAAAACCCCCACCCCCGCTCTCATTGTATTTCTGTCTGGCCTACCTCTTGGTGTTTGGGATTTCAAACTTTGAATAGTGGTTTGAAATGACGGCGTTCTGTATACATTTGTCTCAATAGTCTCATCAATTATCAATTGCATGCGCTCCCCTAAAGACTAAGGTATCGACCAACTTGGCATCTTCCATGCAGGACAGAACTGTTACAAAGTAGAAAACAAATACCATATACTGTCCAAGTATATTGAGAAGAGTAGATACATCAAAAGCTCTCTATCGTACACATCATAATCTCGATGTCAGGGTGCTGCTTGCTTGCTTGCTATGCAGAATTCTCACAGCACAGAATGCCAGCCATGTCGCCGAAATTTCATTAAAGTACATAAAAGGTCATAACCGTCCGCTAGACGAAAGAAAGAAAGAAAAACCAAAAAGCAAAAATTCGCGAATAAACCCTTTCAACTCACTCACTTGGTTCCTTGTCCATTAGCAGCATGGACCGGGATCGGCTCGTCATCCACCGAGATGGGATTAGCCACGGGGATCACAGCCGGCATGGCGTTTTCGACCTCAGGAGGGAAAAAAGGATGGAGGGGGTAGATGGGGGAGAGAGATTTTTCGCCGTCAAAGAGGAGGAGGTTTTGGATAGGTTGCTCGCGGGCGCTGAGCACGTTGATCACGTCCTGGGCTAGTCGGCCGCCGACGAAGGCTGCGACGGGACTGAGCTCGCTTCCGAGATTCTGCAGGAAGGTGCGCAGGAAGCCGGAGTCCAGGGTGGTAATGTCGAGTTTCAATTCGTGGTGGCGGTCGCGGGCGAGCTTGGTGAAAAGTTCCAGGTCCTGGTGAGAAGGCGTCGGCAAGCGGCCTCCGCTAAGTTTCTGGAACTCCCACAGGGCCCGGAGACAGGTGAGGAGCGGGGTGACTTGTCGGCGCTTCCGGGGCAGGCGAGTGTAGTCTTCGGGAAGGGGCGAGGTGTTGGCCAGGATTAGAGGCGAATAGGTCTCGCGCTTGGTGACCATCTCCATAACTTTGCCGTTCTCGTTCTTCGTGGTGATGTTGACGATGCTCCGAGTCGGCGTTTCTTGCGTGGCCGACGACACATTGGACTTGGCGCGTTCGATGACGAAATCATGCGAGATCAAATCGGCAAACACGAATCCGTAGAACCCGTGCAACCCAGCTGCGTAGAACGGCCGGTTTGCAATGCGGCATGCCGCATTAATGGTGGTGTACGTGGCATAGTCGAGCTCCGTCGCGATAGTCAGGTCAAAGCCCGCGAAGAATTCCGGTTGTTTGGTGTGGACGTCGTCGGTATCGATATGCAGCTGGACTCTGGGGTTCATTTCCTGAATCGAAGGCGCCGCGGCTTGCGCACGCTGCAAATTGCTAGTTAGCATGAGTTCATGTCCTCGGCGTCAGGGAATATGTACATTCTGGCCAATGTGCTCCTCCGTGACGAAGAACTGGGCACCCAAGTCCTCCTCCTTGACTGTTTCATGATCAATCACTGTAAGCTTTCCAATACCGGCCAGCACTAAGTTCTTGGCGATTTCATTTGCGAGGCTTTTAAAGGTGATCAGAAGGATGTTTGCGGATCGGATTCTAGTGAGAGATGTTAGAGGATCGACGATAAGAGAACCACTGGAGCAGCTCGATACTCACTTCTCCTGGGCCGGTACACCCCAAAGCCGGATCTGTCGATCATACAGAGCAATCTCATCTGAGATGATCAGAAGTTCAAAGGTCAGCGTCCTGTCGCGATAAGAGAAGGGTATCTCTACTTACCGGCGCTGATCGACTGGGCTGTGTTATCGTTTTGTTCCATTGTGGTGTGTGGGCAAGGGTAGTACTGAAAACAATGCCTGGAATATCAAGCCCGGTTCTATTCCCGGAAGACAAAGTAGCTCTAAGAAAGTAGTTCAACCGTATCAGGCGAAGTAGAGTAAGAGATAGGAAGAATCTGTGAGGAAACCAAAGCAAAGAGCAAGAGTGAGCTGCAGGAGCTTCGAGCAACTGGTTTGAAAGTAGCAGAGAGGGAGTGAGAGAGGAAGATGGCGGGGAGGAGGAAGTAGGAATGCGACGAGAAGAACGGCGACGGAGGAAATGCGGGGATCACGTGCACGATACGTTATCGGGGAAAGTCCCCCATTTCATTCCCGCTCTGCGTCCATTCATTCATTCACTCTTTCATCTTCCTCCATTCTACCTCCCTAACCCCTTCTGTATTCTCTCCCCTTATATTCTCATATCGGCTGTTCAGTTTTTATCCCGGTACAGTGTAATTCTCTGTTTTCATCAATTATCCACTCAGACACACACTGCTCTCCGTCTCCCACCTTCCGCACTATATAGAATTAACCGCTTCCACAGGATGGTATGTCAACTCCGGAACTACCTCCTTTGCTTGTGATCAAACCAACCAAGTCTGCTTTCTCCTACCTCGATTTCCTACTGGGCTAGGCAACTTCGGCCCGCGGCAAGGTCGTGAAAACAAAAAGTAAATTATTGACTCCATACTTATACTCTTTAGTCGGGGAATCACGACTATCCTCCCGCTTCTCGCCGTGGCCGTGGAAATCGGGCCGGTGACCGACCACCGAGGTCTACTGCAACCCATCTGCAGCACTTGCGAGATCTGTTAACCTCGGATCGTAGCCGTGATACATCCGCTCGCGCACTAGAAACCCTTAACCGAGAGATCAACCACTACCGCCGTTCCCAAGATCGACCTGCCTTCGAAGAGAGTAGGGCAGCCGTAGATCGTCAGGCCCGCCAGCATCGACCACGCCGGGAGGATAATCTCCATGGCAGATTTCTTCGTCATCCGCACCCGGCAATGCAGAGATTACAAACGTTGAATGTCACCGTTGTGGACCCCGACACCAGTACACCCGATTCTTCACAGTCACCCGGCGGATCTTCCAGGCGCCGCACCCCAAGAGGTAGCAGGCCCAGCCAGGAGCTAGGCAATCGTGATTCCAACACCACCTCCCTTCTCGACGAACCCGCCCCCCTCCTCAGCATGCCTCCCGTCATGCCACAGCCACACGAGGAAGATGAAGAGGATGATCATCTTATGGACCGGTGGAGAGTCAAACGCAGGAAGCTCGATTCCGATGACAACAGGGAAGGCCCGCAAAGCTTTCGATACGGGCATTATGGTCAAGTAGTGCCAGGAGCCCTCAAGATGGAAATGGAGAGTTGCGATGGAGGTCTTTTCGAGCCAGAAGGTGAACTTGCAAATCCCACGTACGTGCTCCGCAACGACTCGTCATTCTATAGCACCAAGTCAGACCGGTGCAACATAATTTTAAAGCATCGTGGGGAGACGCCGTTTTCTCTCAAGCGAATCGTGATCAAGGCCCCCAAAAATGGTTATGATGGCCCGTATGTCTCCAACGAACTCTTACTTGCTTCACTCTGTTATTAACTCCTCGCAGACTTAGGATGCAAGAAGGAATGGTATTCGTTTCGATGGGCTCGGAGGAACTTGTCGCCCAAGCCACTGACTATCAGTACCATCACATCCATCGACGACACCGTCGACATCGGAGGAGTGGCATGCAACCCTCCCAGGAGTATTTGAATTCATATCGGGCTCCGCTGCGAACGATTGAGCGCGCCGCTCTGCCTGGCCGTGAGTTGAATTCAGAGTCGGGTCCGAATCCCAACGATGCAGATGGTCGACCTCGCCCGATCTCCGACTTCCGAGTGACGATGGATTATGACGAACGTTCCGAGCGCAGTGACTGCGGCGAGCTTGACTTCGGGGGGCCGACACCCTCCTCCGTTGCGGATATCGACTGGCTGGGCGTGGACAACGATATGGAGGAAGATCTTTTATCATCCGACAGCGACTTCAGCGACGGCGACTTGGACGCTGGCGAATTCGGCACCTTCCACCAAAGACGCCGCGAGCTACAGAGACAGGTCAGAGCTATGCGTAGGCAACAAGCCATAGAGCATGGCCGTCTCCCAAGGCGACCACCAGCTCCCAGTGCTTACCATCCTTCGTCCTCGTCCGGGCCGGCCCAAACTCCAGAGCCGGGTCCGTTCATGGCTCACGCTTGCTTCTCTATCGAGCGAACCAAGAACGTAGTAAACATCAAGTTCGACCCACCTCCGTATGTTTCTCCACCCAACGACCCGTTCATCCCAGAGCCTTGAGAGCGTAGCTAACCGTCACATACAGCTCCGGGCGCTATATCCTAGTCCAACTCTGGTGTCCTCATGGCGATAGCAACATTGATGTTCAAAATATCACAGCCTACGGATTCTCTGGCCCACGATTCTTCCCTGCCGGCACCTTTAGGTGATATGGCGAATCAATCCTGAGCGTATAACACTTCTCACGAAGACATGTTCTCCCTGCCTTCCTTTCTTCCTTTCTTCTCCACGCCGTTGAACGGTTTTCGATTTTGTGCGAAGTTGATGGTACCCATCCATATACATATACATACATACCCTTTTTTTCGTAGTTCGTCTGTATTCGACCTGCTTTTTGGCTCCTTCCCTTTTCCTATCATTTTTGCTCACATCCCTCTCTTTCTCTGAGAATACATGTAAGCGTTGTTGAGGTCTTCATTATTAGCATGCGCTCATTATTTCAGTTAACACTTTTTGGGTCGTATAGACAATGATTTTCCGTTTTCTCCCCTGCTTTCAGGAAGTTTTGGGTGATGTTATGTTTGATGGAAAATTACAAAGCATGAAAATGGAGTGAATGAGAGAAAGTAAATGGTCATTTCGAAAATACTATTTGACACTTGAATACATAAATCATCAACACTGCTTCATGAAGGTAATATTAAGAGTCCAACGTGGCCATCAATCAAGATCCAAGAGGCGATGGCACCCTTTCTTTCTTTGAGAGGAATCAGACAGAACCAAAGATAGTAAGTTGGAGTAAAATCCAAAGCTGGAAAACCCAAGTTTCCCTCATATGGCTGAAGACACGCGCGCGGACCGGTTTTCAACTGCTGTTCAAGGGCATAGTCATAATACCTTTGCGCGAAAGGGTATCCCGTACATTGGGCACGAGAAGTTAAGAGAAACAAAAGAAAGAAAGAGAAAAGGGGGGGGGGGTAACGAAGTAATTATAGAGAGCGTATAGAGCAAAATAGGGGCATATGAAAAATGAAGTTATGACAGCAAGAAAAGGTGAATCAACTCGCAATGCGCTGATCCGTGAAATTTATGTACAGCGATGGGCTCGGTCTCTCGTGGATAGAAAAAGAAAGTCAAATGAAACAACAGTAAGTAGTGCTTTCGAGCGGGATCAACCACGCTATTAAATGCGTATGATTGCCAACCTGAACAAATCGCAATGCCGTAGGTCGACGTATCTCGAATCGATGCTCTCATTTCTCGTTTCTCGTGCAAAGATCGTCGAACGCCGAACTGTCCTTGTACATGAATGTAAATAACTCATCCAACCAAAAATAATACTCCTGAAAGAGAACCAACTCCACCCATAAGCATATAAAAGAAAAAGGAAGAACTGGTGTGGTTTTCCAAAAGAAGAAGAAAAAAGAAAACAAAAGAAATGGGGAAATACACCGAACATGCAATTGCCGATTATATGACAACGACATCGCCCTCAGCATCGGCGGGATCGGAGGCCATCATGTCACCATATTTACCGACAGTAATCAACATTGAGTCATCGTCAAGATCAATCGCACTGTCATCGTTGTTGGGAGCATGGAAGGCAGCGATGTTGTCAGAAATGCTGGGCTTTTCGTTGTCCACGGTGTGGTTAGGGTTCGGTACCACCTGCGACGATGCTCGTGCATGAGCGATTCCGTCCCCCGACACGGGGCTGGTGCCTGCCCGAGACTTTGCATCAACAGCATGTTGAGGCAAATTGGGGGTCATGAATGTTCTGTCCTGAGCAACGTCTGCGCCGTGAGCTTGTTTTGTCAAAAAGCCGTTCACTCCGGAGTGTTGCGACGATGTTGAGACCGCATCCTGCAGTGTGCTCGGCGTGTAGCGCATAAACCCTCCTTTCTCCGCCTGCCACAACATCATTTCATGAAAGAAAACTTTGGTCATCCACCAGGCGCTAAAACTTTGAGCGCCCCCTAACGTCAAGCGATGAAGGATACAATCCCACAACGCATCCACCTTTTCTATGATACACTGAGTCCTGTGGTTGGGGAACACCGCCGGTAGATTCAAGATGAACGAGATCCACTTGTCTGGGAAGTTGTAGTCTTCGCCATTGGTAGACGAGTCAACGGGGTATCTATGCGCTTGGAGATCCTCCTCCAAGTCCGGCTTGTGGAAGAAAGGGAGGCCAGCGGAGGCGTTCGAGTCGGAAACGGGGGTAAGGAGGGCGAGAATATCATGTTTCAGAATTTGCTCCGTCGTCCGTTCGGCGCAACTCGGGATATTGGCGCGCGTGATCATTTCCTTCGGGTCAACTAAGGTCTTAAAGTCGAACCACATCTGATTGCGGTTGTCAGGGTGGCAGAGCCAGGCTGCAGCCGCATTGGCGGACTGGTTCACATCCAGCATATGTCGAAGTAAGTTGCAAAAGATCTGGGCTGGTACCAGTCTGGCCATAGACACGTGCGCCGGTTGGGCTTTGAAGGTCTCCGCAATGTGGCCGGTCAATCGCTGTGATATCGAGCTAAAGGCATCTAGGACTAGTTTAGGTACGACTTGGGTGGTGAGCGGCGCCACGAAGGCGATCATCTTCTGGTACATAAGCCAGTCGCATTCTTTAATCCAGGGTGCAAGATTGGGGTGTGTCAAAAGCTTCTGCACGGGGACCGTTAAGGTCCCATGAAAGGCAGAGAAATATTTCAGGAGGTTGCGCTCCTTGCAGTAGCGAAAGCTGTCTATGACAGATATGCAATGGGAGCGATAGAGGGCCGCCAGCGCGGCAGCGACTTTCGAATCGGTGTTAGCCGGAAGATAACCAGAGATGTCGGGGAGCTGGAGGGTTTCGTTATCAACCGCCGCGATATCGGTTTGCGGAAGTTGGAGCATCTGGTAGATCGTCTTTCCAGAATGACTGGCTACATTGTCAAGTGTGACCGGGAAGGTAGGAGGTGACCGGGGGGCAGGCTGGCAGCCACAGCCTGGTAGCGACAATTGTGTTGTGAATCGAGGGGCGAAAGAGGTCGTAGGTGATGGGAACATTGCAGTATCTGCAGATGGTTGCGGTAACGCACTAACACTAGGAGCCACATGAGTTTCAACTCCGTCGAGATGTCCCGCATCTCCTACATACCTTCTTTGAAACTCGGTGTCTATTTTGCTTTCCGTGGCAGTAGGTGTACCGGTTGTGTTGGCCGGGATCTGGGGGTTCAACGGCGGCGGCTTTTGCTGCTTCTCTTCAATCACGGTCAAATCCACGTAGTGGTATTTCGATTCCCCGCGAACACCCAGGCGCCGAGTTTGCACGTTGGGGAAGATGATGCGCACAAGCTTTCCAAACGACGCAGGATTCAGGACAGAGACTCGCTCGGTGCCACATTTCTCTGCATAACAGCAGTATACCCGATCACGCCGCACAGATCCACTACTTTTGCGGCAATTTTCCTTCAACCTGGGAAGACGTGAGCAACAGGTCCAATTGAACCCCAGGTCCATGCGTTCGACGAGCTACATACCAGATCATGGCAAAGACCTGCTTGACTTTTTCGGCCTTACCCCCAGCTCCTTCATGCTTGAGCACTTCAGCCGCCATTTCCTTCAGTGAATAACCCTCATATTGCCGCAGCAACTTGCGCAACTCGTTGTCATTCGCTAGCGAGGAGCTAGAGCCCTTCTTCTTCTTGGTGCCGGCCTCGGAATTATCGTTCTCCTCCAGCATATGCTCGGGGACATGGTTTTCAATACCACTATCATACATTGGTTGGTACTGGGGAATTGGCATGCTGGGCAACCCATGCGCGGCCAGACCCGACGACAGCGAGTGGTGAGACAAATGATGACCGTGCATGGCGTGATTGGGGAAATCCTCCGCTCGGGGCATCACTGGATGATGAGCCTCGTGGAGAGTCGGGTCAAGGGGCGAGCCGTTCACGGGATGCGACAATTGTTGCCCAAAACGCATAATGATGTCTTCCGGATTGCCTCCAAAGACATTGTGGCCGGCGGCGGGTTGGGCGGGGAGGAATTGAGAGAAGCCATCAGGAAGTTGCTGGTCCTGAGTCTGCTGGGTGGTGTTGGAATGGATGCTTGCCGTCGAGCCTCGCGACCTAGGGCGACGACTGTTTCTCGATACCACGGTTTCCGAACGCGATCTCATGAGATCAGCCGTTCCTGGGCGGCTTAACGGTGCCGCTATTTGCGTTGTCTGCGATGCAACACTGGAAGCTTGCGAGGCAGCTCGGCCTACTGTAGCAATAACAAATTAGCATCCGCTGGTCCAACGGCGATGTGACCTCATAGCTGTGAGCTGACGAGGGGCAGGGCGCCAGTAAACAAAAAGCAGTAAGCAAGATATTGGGGGAAAACGGTAGGGAAAAGAGAAATAGAAAGAACAGGGAGCAATTACCCATATCGGGAGGCATCTTTTACTGTCTGTTCTGCTTTATTTTCCGGAGCAGGTTGTTCAGTTGCCGGGTGGAAGCCAGCCGTAACTACGGGCAATAGCGTGTGTTTTGGTCCTGTGGCAGCCTCGACCACACGCAAATGACGGCACAGAGAAGCACGACAGGCGACAGGCCGATGCAGCAGTCCGAAGTTCAGCAGATGGTCGTCAGGGCATCAAGAAAGGAACCTGCAGTAGTCGACCAGGCTCTAGTAGCACGTCGCAGCTGCGGTGGAGGGCGCTTTTTCTCTGGTGGTTTTCGAGGGACTCGGCGAGAGAAGAATAAACAGAAAACGCCGTTCCTCAAGCAACGAAATCCCGCTGCCGGTCACGTGTCTGTCTGCTGACCTCAGCGCATTCCGCCCGGCCTGAGGCCCAACACAAACAAACCCGTTCGGGTTGGTATGCATCCCTTGCCTCAGGCAGTATCTGAGGGAGTATACCCCCATGCATGCTCTCATCGATGCTCTTGTGGATATACCTCACATCCAATCCCCAAGACGAAAAATTGTAAACAACAAAAAATTTACATATGGAAACTAATTACTCCCTAACATCTCTAAACGTAGGAAAAAAACACAATGGGGGGAAAGTACAGGAGTCATCATAGACACGGACAATAAAGAAAAGAAACAGGGACCGTCTAGTAGTTCAAGAGAATATAAATCCAGAGCTGAGGAAATGGTTCGTCACTCCACGGTTATCACACCACGGTCGCGACGCACACACCATCTCCTTCTCCCGCTCCTTCTCGCCCGCTCAGTCTCTGGTTCATGGTATCAACCAACAAAACCCGACTAAAATCTCGTTTAAACCAGGTCGCGCTTGACGAACTCGGCAAGCAGAGCCTTGCCCAGACCGGCAGGGCTGCGCTCGACAACGACTCCGGCATCCTGGAGAGCGGAGATCTTGGAGTCGGCACCACCCTTACCACCGCTGACAATGGCACCGGCGTGACCCATACGGCGGCCGGGGGGAGCGCTGATACCGGCGATGAAGCTGACGGCGGGCTTGTTGTGGATGTTGTTGGCCTTGAAGAACTCGGCGGCGTCCTCCTCGGCGCTACCACCGATCTCACCGATCATGATGATACCGTCGGTCTCGGGGTCCTCGAGGAAGATCTTGAGGCAGTCAATGAAGTTGGTACCGGAGAAGGGGTCACCACCGATACCAACGACGAGGGACTGACCAAGGCCGGCCTGGGTGGTCTGGTTCACGGCCTCGTAGGTCAGAGTACCGGAACGGGAGACGATACCAACACGGCCACGCTTGTGGATGAATCCGGGCATGATACCGATCTTGCATTGACCCTATACCACGTTGAAGAACGAGTCAGCTTTCTGACATCGCGAGGAATACCACGGACCAAAATCAGAGAATCACTTACGGGAGCGATGATACCGGGGCAGTTAGGGCCAACCAGACGGGTCTTGTTCTGGGTCTTCAGGATATCCGTGATACGGACCATGTCTGTCCAAATTCAGTCAATTTCTAGTCACAAAAAGGCTGTTTGGCGCGAAGTTTAACAGGCCAAAAAGGGGAAAGAGGGATCATACCGTGCTGGGGAATACCCTCGGTGATACTATATCGATGATCTCGCGTCAAAAAAAAGTCCAATTTATCGTTTGTCCGCCGACGAAAACTTACCAGACAGCCAGGGGAACCTCGGCCTCGATGGCCTCCTCGATACCCTTAGCGGCGAGAGGGGGGCTGGTGTTCAATTAGCATCTAGAGGTCTAGCCCTCGGTATTCTTGTAGTGTTCCATACGGGACGAAGATGGCAGAAGCGGTAGCACCGGTCTCCTTCACGGCATCGCGCACGTTCGCGAAAACGGGTCTGTCAAGGTGCGTCGAGCCGGCCTTCTTGGGGTTGGTACCACCGACAACCTTGGTGCCTAGAAGATTGTAAGTCCAGTGTTCCGGCTAGCTACGGCAGCAGTATGCTGGCTCAAGTTGGTGCGCATGAAGTGGGTATATACCGTAGGCGATAGCTTGCTCGGCGTGGAAACTAGAAGTAGAAATGCAACGTCAGCCTTTTGGACCAAGCGACCTGGCGCCAGGTGCAAAGCACGTACGTTCCCTGCTTTCCGGTGAAGCCCTGGAAGAGAACCTTGGTATCCGAGTTGATGCGAAGGTTCTGGACGGTGCTGGCGTAAGGCGAGGCACCCTGAGCGTAGCCTCGTCGCTGCATGGGAGCAGCATTCCGAATGGCAGAGACGGTGTTACGGCGGAAGGCCTGCATGATGACGAACGGAACGGGGTCGCAGAGATTCAAAAGAGAAGAGGGGAAGAAGAGGGGAGAGGGGAGAGGTGAATGAAGGGCAGGTTGCAGAGCAGAAGCAGCAAAGACCTGAGAGATGAGGGAAATCCGTAGGGGAAGGGAAGTCGTCGGGATGGAGACTTTTCGGGACAAAGCTTTAAGCGGATCCGAATTGTCGCGGGCGGTCGGTTGTGCTGCGGGCGCTTTTTTCCCTCTCTCTCTCTCTGCTCCTCGGCCCCTCTTCGTTCGATCTTGACTTCGCAACCACCAGTCCTTTTCGGCAACCCGATTGAACTGTGGATCTGTCACCTTTATCGCACCTCGACTACCGTTTGGCGCTCGCTGTGAGCCCCTCCCTCCACCATGGCGACCGCGACAATGACGATGCCGCCACCCTCCAAGCCGAAGCAGAATGCAAAGCTCGCCCCGGAGAATGAACGGTACATGCGGGCCTGTTCGGACATCGCCAACGCTCTCATCCAGGATTATGAGTCGCAGATGGATTATACAAAGCCCAAGAAGGATATCAACCTCAACCGACTGCGAAGTCAAGTCGCAAAAAAGCATGCCTTGAGCAATTTGCCCCCGTTGACAGCCATCATCGCCGCCGTCCCCGAACACTATAAGAAGTATATCCTGCCGAAGTTGATTGCGAAACCGATCCGTATGGTGGCCCTTCATATCCACTCTGGTGTCCCCGGAGCTCTTGTTAACCAGTCGGAACAGGAACGTCGTCGGGAATCGCTGTCGTCGCGGTCATGAGCAAACCCCACCGTTGCCCTCATATCGCCTATACCGGTAACATCTGTGTGTATTGTCCTGGTGGTCCCGATTCCGATTTCGAATACTCGACGCAATCCTACACCGGCTACGAGCCCACGTCCATGCGTGCCATCCGAGCTCGTTACGACCCATTCGAACAGGCGCGAGGGCGGGTGGACCAGATCAAATCTCTCGGTCACAGCGTGGACAAGGTCGAATACATCATCATGGGTGGAACGTTCATGTCGCTGCCCGAGGACTATCGGGAGTCTTTCGTCGCCCAGCTTCACAATGCGCTGAGTGGATACCAGACGGACAATGTCGACGAAGCGGTGCAGGCGGGCGAAATGAGTAACGTGAAATGCGTCGGCATCACCATCGAGACTCGACCCGATTATTGCTTGGACACTCACCTGAGCAGTATGCTGCGCTATGGATGTACGCGGCTGGAGGTCGGCGTGCAAAGTTTGTATGAGGATGTGGCCAGGGACACGAACCGAGGCCACACGGTGGCCGCCGTTGCGGAGACCTTCAAGCTTTCCAAGGACGCCGGGTTCAAGGTCGTCAGCCACATGATGCCGGATCTGCCGAATGTCGGCATGGAGCGCGATCTGTTCCAGTTCCAGGAGTATTTCGAAAACCCGGCGTTTCGAACGGATGGACTGAAAATCTACCCCACGCTGGTCATTCGCGGCACCGGTCTCTACGAACTCTGGCGGACGGGTCGCTACAAGAACTACACCCCCAACGCGCTGGTTGACATCGTGGCACGAATCCTCGCCCTGGTGCCCCCCTGGACCCGTATCTACCGAGTCCAGCGAGATATCCCCATGCCGCTGGTGACATCGGGTGTCGAGAACGGTAACCTCCGCGAACTGGCCCTGGCACGAATGAAAGACTTCGGCACGACCTGCCGGGATGTTCGCACTCGTGAAGTCGGTATCAACGAAGTCAAGAACAAGATCCGTCCCTCGCAGGTCGAGCTCGTCCGCCGCGACTACTACGCCAACGGCGGGTGGGAGACCTTCCTGGCCTACGAAGACCCCAAGCAGGACATCCTCATCGGCCTACTGCGTCTACGGAAGTGCAGTGCCACGCACACCTTCCGGCCCGAGTTCACCGGCCAACAGACCAGTATCGTGCGAGAGCTTCACGTCTACGGTTCCGCCGTGCCGCTTCACGGACGTGATCCGCGCAAGTTCCAGCATCGCGGGTTCGGAACCCTCCTAATGGAAGAGGCGGAACGCATCGCGCGAGAGGAACACGGCAGTCTGAAGATCAGCGTAATCTCGGGCGTCGGTGTGCGCAGCTACTACGGGCGACTGGGCTACAGCTTGGACGGTCCCTACATGTCCAAGATGCTGGAACCCTTTGAATATGACGATTTGTAAGAGCCCGATAGCGCCTCCATGGCGTTGCGGCCTTTGACATGATTATTTATGATTACGGATTTCTTTCCCTGGTTCAAGACGAGAAAATTAAAAAGGTGCATGTTTGATAAAAAGTTTGGCTATCATTCATTTGACGTGGTAACTATGTGGCGTTCGAGGGCTTCTTATCTTCTTTTTCAAGCATGTACATAAACTGGGTTCCATGTTTCGACATGCATTGAACCGGAGGCGATCTAAGCTCCCTCCTGGGCTCTTTTGACCACTTCTTTCGGAAGGCATATCGACATGGTAGAGAGTAGCAGAATAATAAATCTATTGAACCCAACACACTATATACAAACCGCAATAGACTCCGGAACTGACTGAATGCCGGGAAGTGGCGTAAGAACGCCCAACCTCAACGGCAAATAACAATAGAAAGAGACGGGAAGACCGTATGACGGTCTCTCTCCATCATGGCATAGGTATCAAAAATGGGGCAAAGATTCTACCAGACGGTCCGACGATAGATATCGCCGGTGCCGCAAGGCTCGGAACAGGCTCATACCCGTCCACAGATCCAGACGGTATCACCGAGACATGTTCACATTTCGAGCGGATTTATGCAGCGGTCAAAGGCAAGCGACGGATCGTGCGGTCGGTAGGAATGATCAGAAAGAGAGAAGCCATCTAGTTCAGGGATATAGCTCCGCCCCTGTTACTCCGCATGTGAAGGTATGCTTGGAAGCCGCAAAACACGAAGAAAGCCTGTTGACAAGAGAGAGGATGGAGTCAGCGAACGAGAATCCAGTATTTTCTCAGAGTCGATAATGGAGCAACGTACGATGTAAACGAAAACGGCCGTGAAAAGCGAGGCTGCAACTGCAGAACCGTCCTCCGGTTCACCTTCAGAGCCGGTAAATCCGTGGTGTTCCCTCTATAGTCCGATTCCTTATTAGTCCTCTTGTATATGGCATAATTGCAGTATGGAGGGCTGGACGGTAGCCAGCGGATACGGCGGCAACGAACCTTGTATAATGATCCAAGGACTGAAAGGATGACAATGGCGAAAAGGGAGATGACCACGCTGCATCAACGAGCATCGTCAGTACTCTACCAGTGAGGATAGGGAGAGTTTATAGAACTTACCAGGACCACGCATTTAAGACCGACACGACAGGCTTCATCTTGACGTTGGCGGGTGGATGATGTGATCGATAAGAACTGACTGATGCGACGTTGCTGATGCGGTTTGAGCGGCGCTGGATGGCGGCGCAGTGCTTATCTTGAACTGGGGGACAATTATGTGAGACAGGAGCGCTGTATGAAATGTGAAGCTTGGATCCTGTCCAGAGGCTGAATGGATGGAGGAGCGGTCGTAGATGGATGATGATGTTCACAGCGAGGGCGGGAGAGGAGCTCCGGAGGCAGACGCTTTAGCCGCATTCGGCAGCGATATCGACACTTCTGGTGCTTGTCCGCGTCACCAACCGTTCGGAAGATAGAACTCGCGCAACACTTGGGGGAGGACAAGGGGAAATTAGTCAAACAAAAAAACATGGAAGTCGCATGACTTTTCAAGATTGAATTCTTAATTTTAAACATGTTGATCAGCAATGACAAACGTCTGGATTATGTGTGTCCCGTGACTAGTGTATGCATATATATATCAAGAAAAACGTCGAGACAGGCCAACTTCAAACCCCTTATCTGCAAGCTATAATTTTCAACTATCTAATGAGATTCGTTCCACGCAATACATTCGTCAAATGTCACACCCGACCCACCAAAAATGTCGAGAGCGCTTCCAATCGTCAAATCAACCTTCCCTTGACTGCTCGTGTGAACCTTTTCTAGATCCTGCAAACTACGTGCACCTCCAGCGTATGTAATAGGGATGGTGCACCACTGAGCTAGCTTGGACACTAATTCCTCATCGATACCCTGCTGCAGTCCCTCGACGTCGGCTGCATGAATAAGGAATTCGGAACAATACGGCTCCAGTAGTGAAATCGATTCTATCCTCATGTTAGTACTGCTGGAAGGCGCGGGTTAAAGTGCGCGACGGCGGGAAGAAGTGACGAGAAAAAGGATGGGAAAGAGAGAAAAAGAGAGAGCACGAGAGAGAAAGAGAACGAAAGGGGGTAGCAGCGAAATGGAACGAGAGTAGAACTAACCCTGGGTGATTTCCATCTCCGTAATGGTTTGCCAGCGGTTCATAGCCACAAACCAAGTATTGTCCTTTCTTCGGCAGCTCAGATCCAAGACCAGCTTCGATCTATCACCACCAAGTGCCGACAAGACTGATTCTAGTCGCTCGAGAGAGAACTTCCCCTCTGGAAAGAGAAAAGATGTAATGATAACCTGCGAGGGTATGGTTAGCCTATTGTCCGATGTGGCTGTATGAAACGAAGCAAACAACAATTAAAGAAGCAACAGCGGAAGTAGCTGTTGCTAACATAGGGGCTACAAATGTAGCGCAAAACAAAAAACAAGTATATAGAACTGTCACAATCCTGGCCTACCTTCTCCGCACCTTGATCAATCCAGTACTGGGCATTCTTGTCGGTAATGCCACCAGCAACCTGGATCCCCCCCGGCCATGCCTTGAGTGCCTCCTTTGCGGCTTCATCATTCCCAGGCCCAAGCATCACAGCATGGCCTCCGCGCAGATCGTGCTTCCGATATAATTCGGCGTAATGGCTGGCGGGGAGCTTCGATACATAGTTTGTCTTCAAGTCCGCGGATATATTGCTCAATGTGCCTCCAACAATCTGCTTGACTTGACCGGAGTGGAGGTCAATACAAGGCCTGAATTTAGTCATTCTGTTCAACTCAATTTGTTCTTGTTTCCAGACTCTTGTCTCATCAAAGTGATGGGAGTCATTTCAGTTGTGGAAATCCGACGAGGGGCTGGCTTATCTTATCGCACGTGATCAGACCGTGCTATTCTAGGCCCGGAAAAAAAATCACCTGTTTATCTTGCGACTTCGTCGATTGGCTTTTGCACCCCCGCCTGGCTACAGATTCACGGGATACCAATTGAACATGGCTGGAAAACGGAAGAGGGACTCGGCAGTTGTGTCGAGGTCCACCACTGCAGAAGACGAAGAAACGAACACTACGCCTCCCATCGATACCAATGCTCATGACGTGTTCCGCAAGTTTTTCGAAGCACAATTCCAGCCTTTAGATCTGCCCGGGGATCAGACCAAGCATGACGAGGATGAAAGCGAAGAGGGAACTGACGAGGAAGACTCCGAGGGGTCTGAAAGTGGATCGGAATGGGGAGGTGTCTCCGAAGAGGAGGATGGAAATAATAAAGTCGAGATAGTCGAGCATCAAGCGCCGTCCAGGAAAAAAGGGGATCTACTTGACAAGAAAGCTCGCAAGGCTTTCATGGTACGTCTATCTTATATGTGCAATTTTTGTCCGTTGCGACTCTAATCCAAGAAAACCACAGACCGCGAAACCTCCATCTCTTGCTTCGATTTCGACAGCGCAAAAGCCCACGCCGAAAAAGGCCGAGAAGAGCGAGGAAGACAAGGCCAACGATGCCGACGACCTGAAGAACGACCTTGCGCTGCAACGTCTTCTCAAGGAATCCCACCTTCTGGAGTCCGCATCGGAGCTTGCGCCCACAGGCAAAAATCGACTCAAGGCTCTTGACTTGAGAATGCAAACCTTGGGGGCCAAGGAGTCGCTTTACAAGCAGAACATGCCTTCCTCTCACCGGAGAGGTATTAAAGCCAAAGCTGAATACAGAGAAGAAAAGCGACGGAAAGAAGCAAAGGAGAACGGAATCATTCTGGAAAAGCCCGCACCAAAGAAACCGAGCGCCGGGCACCGGGAACGAGGAGTTGGTGGACCGTCCGTTGGAAAATTTGCAGGCGGCACTTTGAACTTGAGCAAGCACGACATATCGGCCATTCAAGCATCTGGCCGGTCGTCCAGAGGCAGCGGGAGGGGGAGGGGGAGGGGAAGGGGCAGAGGCCGTCGTTGAGATGGCAGTTTTCCGATGTCGGTAGCCACAACGCAGGACGATCAGTCTCCCGGCCATGGCAGGCAAGAAATGACCAGCCTGCCCGTCCACCTCTGACAGAGCATTATTGTTTCAGGATCCCTTGTTTGGGAATACGACGTGCTGCCGCATGCGCGAGGATGGTAGGAGCGTCGGCAATCGACAGTCAATCCCGCCACTTCCTACCTCTTCCCCGCCGTCGCTCATCCTGCATGCTTAACCCTTGTTGGCGAAGATGCGCATGACCAGTGGAATTAGGGCATGTTCGAGGCCGCCGTCATTTCTTGGGGTTGCATCCACGATGAGACTTGGCTGGGTTGCAAAGCCTGCAACACGGCTCTGGCAGTAAATCGACAAACCCATCAACAAGGACGGGTTCACTCTGAGACTTCTAGGCTGGACCTTAGGAACTCTAATTCTCAAATCCATGGGGCAATGATTCTCAAAGCACGCACCAAGTTGTTCCCAGTGCACGAGGGCCAAGTTATGCGCCGTCGTTCCAGATATGGCGAAATCTCCGGTTGAGGCTAAGATTCGACGATGACGCGCTAAATCCGAGACATTCCTTCCCTATCAGGTCCAAGGAGGGGGGGTTTCTCGCCTTTGGAATTTGGATTTTGATACAGCGACGCGGAATGCGCTGTCGTCTCAGATCTCATCAGGATCCTGAACTCCTTGGACAATCGCTGCTATAGTTAGATATGGACATGTAATCGAGATAGAAACTCGTCTATGTATAGAACAAATGCTGGATCTGAAACTTCAATAAGCTTTCACTTTGCTCGTGTCCTCAGATGTATTCCGAGTATACCGACGACGGAGAATTTCATGATCGCCAGGAGGTCCCGTTCTCTTCTTCCTTTCATGACTTTTCTCCCACAATATTTCTGTTGTTTTTTTGGGGGCTTGCGCTCCCCATCCCGGCCATGTAAATCATATCGTTAGTCTCGCAATCCAATGAATCCATTATGTTTTTCTTTTTTTGAGTTACTGGCTCTCTCTGCGAGAAGTCTGCGGCTACTTTAGTCTGTTGCGCCTAGTGGATAAAATACTGGAGCGTCCCACACGCAAACCACCAACCCCCCCCCCCAAAAAAACAGTTTTTCATTGGTTTTTTCTCTTCCGTTTTTGTGGCTCGCCCTGCCCCTTCTCTGCCGTATTCCGTAGAAATACCGTGCTACCGGGGGGGGCGTACCTGCATGGATAGTTGGTCTCGTTCCTGGCCTAAATGCTAGTTGTAATCTAAAAAAGAACAATGTGAATTGTGAAGAAGTACGGAGTTAAATGCATTAGTCAGGGAATACTAAACCACTTATTTTCACGCGCTCTGGCCATGTGCTGCAAACCATCAGGGACACATTAGGCGTTTCAGATTCTGCACGTTGCCATTCCAAGCAACATCTCATCACAGAGGTCAGCGAGGGAGGCCACTCGTGCATCGCGAGTCAGTGTCAGCTCGGTTGCGGCAACAGAGGGAAGTGAAGTTGAAAGAAACAAGAAGAGAAGGGCTAGACACTAACTAACTACTCCGTCGGAGACTCGGAGTCGACGACCCTGGTCTGTCCTAGTTTTTCATTTTTTCTCATCGTCATCTTGCTCTTTCCCCCCTCCCTCCTTTTTCTTTTCTCGTATCCTATCCCGAATCCCGTTCAACGACGGGAGAACGTCGGAGAATCCTGCGGATAAGTAGCCCAAAACTCTACCCATAACGGCCATGCCAACGGTCAATAGTCGCAGGGTTAACGCCTTCGTTTTTTCCCGCCTGATCCGTACTATTGGAAGGTTTCTCTAGAAGGATATATCATATAGTTAGTCGGAAGGGGGGAGGAATGCGTAATCGGAAACCTTGGCATTCGGTATTCCGTAGTCCACAGAAGACGGTGGGGACATGGGAGCACCGTGTTTCTTTCCAGATTCGCATCTCTCTTCCGATGCGGAGAATGAGAGTGGAAGACGGCTGTCCCAATGTAGTATGTGCCCACTGCTCAGTTAGTTGCTGGATTAGGAACCTCGACGAGGCTTAGGAGCTCTTGGTGGATGTGGCCTGGCTGGCCTAGATGTTTGTGATGATCACAAGTCCCACCGAGGCCTGGGAGTTTCAGAAATTTCGAACTTCGTTCACATTCGAGTCCGAGAGGGCGCGAGAAGTGGGGAGGGGGGAGAGGAGGGAAAGAGACGGAGTGTAGAGCCGAATAACCCTATCAGAGGCCGCTCGGACAAATCGTGGAAGAAATGCATTATTCCATGTTCAGCCTTTCAACTGAGGAAGGTATTTGGGAAGGGGGGGCAACGGATGTTTATCGCATTCGGGGATAGCACCAACCCCAGTGGCATAGAGCTATGGAATAGGGACGTTCTCTCATCGGAGCACATACCTGATATCAAGTCCATGAGTGATAGAGCACAATGATGTATGTACTATGTACTGTCATACCTGCCTGGTAGTGATGGGAATTTCGATAGTAGGATATGTACTATCACCACAATTCATATGCAGGCTGCAGGTTAGATTGTCAATATTGATTAATCCCCGCACGTTCTCAGCATATACAGTGCCTACTGCCTAGTTCCAAATGGAATTGATGACCGACCCATCCATATTCAATCTGTCGGTGTATGCATCGGTTATTTCTGGTCTGAGGGTGAGTACTGAGTCTGAGTACTGAGAGCGGAGTATACAGGACCTGTCTTCACGTCGTCCTGAGTCCTTTCAAGCACAAGCAACGAACACAATTCAAGATCCCACCTGACAAATCACCCATAGCCGTCAATCCGACGTGGGATCCTTCAGCCCCGAACGTGGTGGGCAGCCAGCATCAGAGCCAGAAGGTGGAATATGCCAACAGACGCAGAGCTTCTCGAGGGTTTCAGGGACGACGATCAAACGAAACGGCGGCATTCGAGATACATACAATCCATAGGGACCTAGTGCCAGTGGCCTAGTAAGTAAGGTACCGTAAAGCCGTAAAAGGTCCCGTAAATTATCGCCGTCGAGAACCTCATGGAATCTCTCGCCTTGGACTAAAAGTTCGGCTGCAAATGGACCGGCTTAGGGTTCGACTAACTGACTAACTTTAGTTATGGGAATCCATCGCCGGTGGAGACCTCGGAATAAGTGCTTCCTTGAAGTTCCTGGGCAATGGAGAGCAACTATTGAAGTATTCCCGTATTTTCCCCTTGGAGAAAAAGAAGACAGTGAGAGGCTCTCGGACTTGGTTCTTAACTCAGCAATCTGCGCCCGGCACTTAAGAATTAGAGTACGGAGGATACTTGTGGGATTCAATTAATTTCCATTCTCCTGGTTCAATGCCAATAATGCCAATGGTAACGTCGTGCTAAAAATAAAGCCGCTTGTTACGGTACTTCCCCCCCTTTTTTTGCGCCCTTGTGCTTCCTTCGGTGCCCCCCTCCCCCATGAAGCCTCCCAAGAACTTCATCCCTATTTCCTAGATAGACTACTCCGGTTACCGTTGCCGTTATGAACTATGGAATACTACACGCATCTATCGACCTAGCTACAGTCTCTCGATCGCACGGATTGGCCGTGGTCGAATTCGGCCGAAACTGTGGAGTAGGTCGTAGGAAAATTTGGCCGATCAGGCCAATGGGCAAGATACTGTACCTGTCAGAAGTCCAGGCTTTCGTCCTCCGAGATGTTCACTGTAGATCCCTCCGTTGAGCACCGTAGTATCCGGGCCAACGGTCAACAGTAACCCACTGGCACCCAGCTGCATATGTTCCTGTTGCATGGACGTTAATGGTGCCATATACGGATGATGTAGTATGTAACTATAGAAATTAGAAAGGTACTTTTTTTTCTGCGATATCCCTACCAGTAACCACTCGTCCGAGGTTCGAATTACGGTTAAGCTTTGCCGTTTCCCTCTGATCAACTGGGTTTTGCAGATCGCCTCCTGATGCCCGCCGTTGCGTTTTCTGTCCTCTGGAACCCGTTATGATGACAATCCCCCCATGTGGTCTAGTCAGGAACATCGTGCCTGTCCCAAAAATTCATTCAATGGCGCTTCGTGAGTTCGGAATTAGGTGTTTATTCCGTACGCGCCGACGCCTGAAGACCTCGGTCATGGACTGGGGTCGTTGCCGATCATCATTCCTGAACGCGCTGATAAGCAGCCAAACAGCAATCAATGCATTGGACAAACATCTTTCACTCCTATCGCGATTCGATGGGTACGGAGTAGCTCGGTCGAGCGCACTGTTTTCGGACGGTGCTTTCCATATCGAGCTCAGCAGGAGTAGTCAGTAGTCACCCTAGTACGGGGGAAAAGACTCTGGATAGGACTTCCAATTTGAGCTCAGATTGTTCTGCGTTTATCGTACTCGTATGGTCCCAAAGCAACTGATACTCGATAGCCAGATCGTATGTACTGTAGGTGATAACTCCAAAGCCTCGTACGGTCGTACCACCCTGTCGTTCACATAATTCTCCGGTGCAAATAGATCAGTCAAGTTGATTCATCACATCTGGTCGAACGTTCCGACCTCTGGGCTAGCTTGAGAGGCTGCGGTTGGACTCTTGGCCAAGGGGGTTCTGGATCAATGAATATTATATGAGTCCCGGGGTAGCTACTTCTGCTGTCCACACTGCAATAAAGTACGGTGGTCCGCGAAGTGGCGTCACCTCACAGACCTGGCGCGACGTTAAGAACGGCGATGCAGTTTAGTCATTGGTCCGAGTATTCCTCTACCTAGTTAGCACTGCTCCGTGCTCTGTACACGGTGTACGAAGTACCTAAATGGTAGACTTTCCTCTTTAGGCTGGATTTTAGATCTTTCTTAGTCAGTGGGAATTGGACGAAGGGATCGAGATAGCGCCGAAGACACGCCGAGGATTTCGGGCTTGGTGTCACTCAGATGATCAGATCCCAAAGTCTCCCTGACATTGACAATAGTTAACCATCGATCATGTAAGATAGCTACTCCGTATGTAAGTCATCTATTTTTGGCGTCAATGCACCGGCGCATCCAGTGAAGGACCCCACTGCTGACTTGCATCAAGTGAGAGTCGTGAAAGTGGGAGACCTCTGCTATGGGCGTTGAATTGGGTCCTGAGCTTCAGTACCTCTGGGAATTGTTGACCTGTCAGACTACCGAGTCACGACCGAGACCCATCAAATCCTACCAATCCCAGACTCCATAGCGAGTCGGCCATGAAGGGCAGAAAATGATATCGAAAGGCAAAACCGGGCAGACCTACCACTCTGACTCCGTCCAACGCCTTAGTGGTGGCCCCTTCACCCTCCACCCTCCACCATCACCACTTTGGGGGGAGTGGATTGTCGGCATCTTTCAATGAGAGCCCTAGGAGGCGTGGGGCCCGATCATGCGACCGCCCATTGGCGCATCGTTAGCGCTCACCTGGCCTCTGAAACAAGGGGGCGAATGCTTCACTGCTGTTTCCTCTGCCCGTTTCATCTGTTTGTGCAGGCTTGGCATTGTTTGGTTCCACCGGAGCGGCATCCGTGGATGCTACGCTCCCTCTCTCTTCTCTCAAGAAACTAGAGAAATTCGGAAGGTTGGGATTGGCAAGTAAGAAGGTCCCCCCGTAGATTATTAGGTGATGGGAATATAGCAGAATTAACCGCCGTGTTGATCACTCCGACTGCAGAAACTCAAGAAAAAGGTTGAGGTCAGCGAGCCATAGTAAGCTGACCCAAAAAATCTCGCTTTTCGGGCCATATAGGATTATAGCTGGTCGCTGGAGGACAGTAGATGCAGATTTAGGTTACACTCGTACTTGGGAAGAGATAAAAATAATCCTCCTTCAAAAAAAGGGCAGAGAAGAAGGGGAACCCCCAAAAAATAAAAAAAAAAGAGGGCAGGGGCTGCCCATCCAAAAATTAGGTTAAACTCTACGGAGTGCTATCCGCGGCATGAGATCATACACAGTAGTCATAGATGAGGGAAAGGGAAGACAACAACAAAAACAAGGCGAGAATCTCCTCCGTAGTTATATACTCCGTGGCTTTCCCTGGTCTGGAAAAAGCTGCCGCCACTGTGACATGTGTTCTAGGCAGTGGCTGTAGCCACATCTCATGTAGTTGCAGATATTCGCATGTACAAAGGAAATAACCATGCAATGAGCGGGAAGAGAAGGGAGACCTCCTCGGTAGAGACGTTACCCCGTTAGCCACATCCTCCCTACACAGTAACTCAACAGGGAAATCTTCCATCTTTTGGCCCCCATTTCGATTGACGTCCACGAAATGGAGGTCCGGAATGAGAATAGGGTAGGCCTCTCAGGGCCGACTAGGATAGCTAGGGCAAGTAAGTCGTGAACTTCTAGTCCTCTACTCTAGTAAAGGGAGAGAGAGTCTAACCCGACCGAGAGGCAGATCCGGTAGCAGAACGGAGTTGATTCTCCAGCGTGGCCCCAGAGTCTATCTACAGAGAGGAAGACGGAATGGAATCTCTGGAACTGAGCGGGAGCCCCACCTCTCCCAAGTCCCAACCTTGGATGGGATGATGATGTACGAAAATACGGATGAGCGGTATGTGACCGTATAGATACTGCGGTACCGTACCACCTGCCGTGCTGGTAAGCCATTCGGACTGAACCATCGGCGGGAAGTACGGTAATCCGGATGTATTAGGACCGGGTCCACCCGTTCTAATACCGTTCTTTTCCCTTCTGCGGTCCCTGGCGCTTGTCCCCGCTTTTCCCTATTGAATTGGAAGCCCTACTTTTTCGTCGCCTCCCGGGAGCCCAACCAACCTAGTAATAATAATAATAATAATAATAATGCTCGATTATTATTTCATTTTCTTTATGAATTTACTCCCCTATGAGCAAAGACAAGAGTCAGAACTCCGGACTCAGGAATCAGGAAAGACCATCCCCAATATCCCGCGCTAGTCCTGTTAGTCCGATTTAATTAAGAGAAGAGGCCGAAAAAGGGCTCCATCTGGGCGACTCAATCCATGGTCTCGGTCGACTCTCCCTGAATTTCGCTCTTCCAGCCCAAGAACTTTTCTCAACAGCTTGCCCCCCTGTGGATCGAGAATACTGGTGATTATTGTTGTCAAGTTGTCGATTGCCCTTACTAGTATCGATTTTATTATAATCATCTTTTTTTTTTTCTGTTTTTTTTTTTTTTTTTTTCTCGATTCTTGAATATTTTCCCTTTTATTTTCATTTAGTGCCATCATCATTATTTTCATGCTTTTAATTTTCCTAGTATTATTTTATCGGCTTATTTATTTTTATTATTCTCTTATTTTCCTTAGTGCTTCTTTTTGACTGGATTTATATTATTATTCTTGGGGTTTTTAGTCGTTACCGCGTTGCTTGCTGGCTGCACCTTCTTTTTACCGCTGTAAGGGAAACCAGCAGGAAGAAGCGACTCTAGTACATACCTACCTCATCCTCCGCCTTCTCCCATTCTCTTTCTTCTCCCCCTCTCTTCATCGTCACTGGTTCTCTTTCGCGTTTACCTCCCTTCGTTTTCCCATTTTATTCTATTTTATTTCTTATTTCCTTTTTCTTTTTTCTTACCCTTTTTCTTCATTTTCGCCGTGCGAGTTCTTCAAAGAGACCTGGAATAAGGCTGGCCTTCTTCATCTCTCTGTTGCCTTCTTTTCCGCCAACCTTCCATTCTCTTTGTTGTTGACGAGCTTCGCAGCATCAGCGCCTGACTACATTTTCAAGAGGCTGGTCCCTCTTGCGTCTGGATTGCCTATCCATCACCTTCTTTATTCTCCTCCCGCTCTTGTTTCGCATCACTTTCTCTACCAAAAAGTTTGGCTTTCTTATTTCCTGAAACGGGGGTGTTTTGACTGTGCGTATACCTCCCGTTGTTCCAACCGTCATCCGGTCGCGACCGTTGATCTCGCTCTTTATCCATCCCCGATGGCCCCCTATTCGCGCATCATCCATCCAGTATTTGCGGTCGTCAAACTAATGGGCCTACTAGGTATTTTTTTGGTGTGGCAAAGATGTATCCCCAACATGGTGCTCCTATGGCACCGCCTCAGAAGCCCGAGACCTTTATGCTTTCGAGCGAAGCGCAACAAAGCCTTCCTCATGATGCGCAAGTCGCACTGCAGCAAGTCGACAACCGTAAGTTCACTCGCAATTTCCTTGTCCTTCCATCGCGACTTGGGTTTCGCCCCAAATATAGGGGTCATCCTGGCTAAAGCCGAATAATTTTCTAGTGAAATACTTTCTCCTCTCGGCCCCAGTGGACTGGCAACCGGATCAGCTTATCAGACGCTTCCTGCTACCAACGGGCGACTACATTTCCTGCGTTCTCTGGTTCGTTTCGCCGGGGATAATTCCCTCAGTCTTGGGGCAAGAACCTAGGAGCTGATTAGTGACAGGAGCAACCTTTTCCATATCTCGGGTACCGATATCGTCAGATGCCTTGCGTTCCGATTCCAAGCCTTCGGTCGCCCTGTCAAGAATTCCAAGAAGTTTGAAGAGGGGATCTTCTCAGATCTCCGTAATCTCAAGGCCGGCACCGATGCGACGCTCGAAGAGCCCAAGAGCCCGTTCCTAGACTTCCTCTACAAGAACAATTGCATCCGAACGCAGAAGAAGCAAAAAGTCTTCTATTGGTATAGTGTTCCGCATGATCGGCTGTTCCTCGACGCGCTGGAGCGTGACCTGAAGCGGGAGAAGATGGGACAGGAGGCGACCACCGTTGCCGTCAGCGAGCCCGCTCTGTCTTTCGAGTTTGATTCATCTCAGTCGCTGTATGAACAACTCACAAAGGCGCAACAAGCAAATTCATCTTCGTTTGCTGCACACGCAAGTACGACATATGGCCAACCCGCATCCCCAGTGGTTCGGACCGTTGACGCTATGCCTCCTCCCCAGATGGCTCCTCAGATGGCTCCCCCAGCGTTAGCCCTTCTCCCGGACGAGTCTGGCAATCCGGCCATGTACAGCCAGATCCCAATGCCGAACCCTCTGGCTCAGAACATTGTTAAGCGCGAGCCGGATTACGGGCAGATCCACTATGATCGTAATGGAATGCCGATTGCGCGCATCCACCAACGCCACGCTTCCATGCCCACCTTCGTCGAGTACTCGCCGGCTCCGTCGTTTGTCTCGTCGCAGTTCGAAGACTACAGCAACCGGGGGTTATCCTTTGAGCCCGTCACGCCTCCCCAGCACAGCTCCCAACTTGGGGCCGAACCGGCTTACATTGCTAACGAGGACACCGGCCTTTACACTGCCATCCCCGAGGTGTCTTCCTCGGGCGCTTTCAACCCGATGATGCAATTGCCCACCTCCAACCTTGCAAGCGCCCATTACCCTACCCCTGCGAGAACATTTCACTCCAACGTTTATTCGGTTCTCGAGGGCTCGCCAACATACAAGCAGCGACGTCGCCGTTCTTCCATCCCCCCTGGTCCCAGCGCAATCCCTACGTCGACCCCCTCCCAGGTGACTGGACCGCCCTCTCAGCCTATCTCCTATGCCGCCCACCGGCCAAGCGATCTTCGACGATCTGTCTCTAGCTCAGTTGCCCCAGTCATCGAGGCTGATGAATCGCAACACACCTCGCGTCGAACTATGAATGGCTACGCGGCACCTACTCTCCCGCAGAAGAACTTGCTGCATGAGATGTCGCGTAATGGTACCCCGCTTTCAAGCCTGGACGAGAATGCCGAGCAGACTAATGTATCTCTTGCAAACCCCGCCGACGAGCTTACTGCTCTGCCCAATGGCGACGCGTTGGAGACCGCTGTCCAGCACAGTGCCTCCAACAAGGGGGAGCGTTACGCGCCCGGGCCCGTTCGACGTGCCCGAAGCGCCACCATGATGGAACTTGGACCCTATCCCCAGAAATCTCACTCCTGTCCAATCCCGTCGTGCGGACGGCTCTTCAAGAGATTAGAGCATTTGAAGCGGTAAGTCGCAGAAACCTATTTTTAACCGATTCATCATTGGACCGCCCCTTCTGCAAGATATGCAGGGGGTTCTCGTGTGACGATTTCTGTAGCCGCCCACTAACATTTAGCGCAGGCACGTGAGAACCCACACCCAGGAACGGCCCTACCCTTGTCCATACTGTAACAAAGCCTTTTCACGATCGGACAATCTCGCGCAGTAAGTTTCATGTGTCAAGTATACCAAGGATCCATGCTTACCCAACATGACAGACATCGTCGAATCCACGAGGCCCAACAGGATGGTCAGCCGCCACTTCCTGTCCCCGAGGAAGACTTGGAGAACGAGGACAATGATTTTAATTCAAACGACGAAGGCTCTTCGCCTTCAGAGATGGTGCCGAGCACTGTGATTAATCCTCCCAGCATGGTCTCAATGCCTCCTGCCATGACCATGCCTCCCACCATGCATCCAATGGTAGCACCTCACATGATCGCTCCTCAACTCCTACAGCAGCAGATTTAGGACCGGCCTCGCACTAGCTGCGATGGAGCAACCGGGCTGTCAATCAAAGACCAAAACAAAACAAAACAAAACAAGAAAACAAATACCGTACCTCACCGGTCTTGTTACTGGCTTTGGGACGATCGCGGCGCCGAGATTCCGCCAATTCTTCGGATTTTATAGACTTCTAGGATACCATTTTCCTTTTCTGATGCGTTGTTTCTTTGTGGATACCACTTCATTTGTCAGTGGGCTTCAAATTTCCTTGACTGCATGCTCTATACTGGCTGCTTGGACGTTCGGCTTTCAATAGGATCGAAGATGATACTCAGCACGGGATTGCTCCAGGTATTCTTTCGGTTTCTATCAAAGCTTCTCCAACATGCTTTCCTCTTAATGGGTGTGGCCAGAGTGTGGTGAGATTTATCCGTATCGCTCTTGCCATTGTGTTTATTCTGCGTGGGCTTTCCTTTGTCTTTATGTGCTATGTTGATAATGGGGTTCTTTTGTTTTTTTTTATACCTTGTTTTATCTCTCTCCCTCGATCTGTTAGGAACTGGTTGGAAAGTTGCAGACATGTTAGGAAGTGCGATGCAATCTTACAAAAGGTGGTGGACACCTTTTTGAGGCACGGATATATTGTGGGATACGATTAAAGATTGGATTTTAGTGATGCTTTTCAGAAAGTGGAAAGCGGAAGGGCTGTAAGCAGCTAAATATTTACCCTTTAACAGTTATAGACTTTTTTTTTTTTGCTCCATCTGAGTTACTATCCCCGGATCATCAACGGGCAGTGGGGATCCATGGTTGGCGAATAAATCCCCCGTGTTGTCCACCGTAGAACCAACGATAACCAGCTCCAAAGCACACCTGACCTGCGATCGACGTCACGTCATGCACCCGCAAGCGTCACGTGCCAGGACCTGCTGACATGGCTCGATCCCTGCGTGATCTACGTAGGACAAACAATCTTGAATGCTGACTATCATCTTTCTCGACTTTGTACAATCCATAGATATGGCGTCTTCATGACTGCATCTTATTTGCTTTAAATCCCACAGCTAGCTCAAATTTTCTGGACGTAACCATCGGGTGGCGCATCTACCTAGCCCACATAACTGAGAACCCCAAATATCGGTGTGTTGCTAGACCACCTACGGGTAGTCCAACTCATCAGACTTGAGCATTCTTTGAAACCCGAATTTGCATCTCGCATAGCTGTCTCTCATTGCCCTGGTCATTTCCCCCGAATATTGAGTGCCTCGAGGATCGATCCGTCATAAGCAGCTCTCAACTCTCGAGCTTCCTACCCAAATACCCCATACATACCGAACCAGTCGGCCAGAAACATCAAGATGACAGACACACATGACCGTTCAGCAAATGAGACGTCCCCACTTGTGGGACCGGGACGTGGGCCTAACGATGATCCAGTTCCCCAGATATCAGACCTTGGGGGACACTATACGTCCGGGACGGAGGATGCAGATGATATCTCGAAAACAAAAAGCAGCTGGTATCTGTTTTTGTTGACATTAAGCATTGGCGGGTGAGTCTTTTGGTCCTACCGGCTTTGTCTTCGCGCTAGGAAGTGGACGTTTGACAATGCACATATAGTTTACAAATAGTGTGGGCTGTTGAGCTCTCGAATGGTTCAGTATGTGTGATAGACCCCGTTGTCTATGATTGATCCAGATACTGACTTCGATGAACAACAGCCCTACCTCCTATCATTGGGAATGAGTAAAGCATTGCTTGCATTCGTATGGATCGCAGGTCCTCTATCCGGTACGCTGGTGCAGCCCTATATTGGTATCTGCAGCGATAATTGCCGGGTATCATGGGGCAAACGGAAACCATTCATGGTCTTCGGCGGAATCGCCACGGTCGTGGCTCTGCTGGCTCTTGCATGGGTGCAAGAGATTGTGGGCGGCTTTCTCGGAATCTTTGGCGTTGACCCAGCCTCCACGGGCACTCGGACAATGATCATCATTCTGGCGACTATCTTGATGTATTGCTTGGATTTTGCTATAAACACAGGTAGGGCTGACTGAACATATCATGCAGAACTTGGAATTAATAAATTTTCATAGTTCAAGCAGGCATTCGGTGCTTCATAGTCGATAATGCACCCGCCCATCAACAGGAATCGGCAAATGCCTGGGCTTCCCGAGTTACTGGCGTGGGAAATATCCTGGGATACATATTTGGATATATCGAGCTCCCAAAATATTTCCCGTTCTTCGGCAACACCCAGTTCAAAGTGTTGTGCGCGCTCGCGTCTATTTCACTCACCATCACGTTATTGATCAGCTGCTCATATATCAAGGAGCGAGACCCGAGATTAGACTCGCCATCGTCAGCCGGAAACCCTGGGATCGTTGCCTTTTTCAGGCAGGTCTTCAAGTCGATTAAGAACCTACCACCGCAGATAGCCAAAGTCTGCGAAGTCCAGCTGGCTGCATGGGTCGGCTGGTTCCCCTTTCTCTTCTATGCCACGACATACATTGGACAGCTTTACGTGAACCCTATCTTCGAGGAGCACCCGGATCTTTCTGATCGAGATATCAACGACGCATGGGAGGAGGCCACTCGAATTGGAACATTTGCGCTTCTGGTCTATGCGATCATCTCCTTTGTGGCTAACATAGCCCTGCCACTACTTGTCGTTCCCACCTACGATCCCGTGGTCCTTGCTCAAGGCGGTTCTACGGATGACGAGCAAACTTTCCTGAGCGACAGAAGAAGGTCATTTTCTAGTATCCCGAGTGAGGGTGGCCTCGAGACCTCGGCCAATCTGGCAGGCCGCAAGAGATATGGCACTACCGCAGGACCGACATGGCTGTCAAAGTTACAGATCCCTGGCTTCACTCTCCGCCGAGCTTGGCTTCTGTCGCATGTACTATTCGCCCTTTGCATGCTCAGTACGTTCTTCGTGTATAACTACCAAGCCGCTACGGTGATCATTGGGTTAGTTGGAATCTGCTGGGCAGTGACGCTTTGGGCACCCTTTGCCCTAATCTCTGCGGAGGTGGCACGCATTGATGCGGAACGTCGGATCAAGCGTCAACGCTTGGAGATGGGCGATAGCGTGGAAGCTCACAGCACTCATGCTTCATTTGATCGAGAGGTCACTGATGATGATCTGGAGACTGGCTCGACGTCAACTCCTCTGAAAGCAGAAGCAGCGGATGAAAATCTGGCGCAGGCGGGTATCATATTGGGGCTGCATAATGTAGCCGTTTGCGCACCTCAGATCCTGTCGAGTCTGGTCTGCAGTGCCATTTTCAAGATGGCTCAGAAGCCCAGAGGCGAGCCGTGGGATGACAGCGTTGGATGGACGCTGAGGTTTGGCGGCTGTGCCACGGTGCTTGCGGCCTGGTTGACAAGTCGACTCGCCGACAAGCGTCGACAGTAGAGGAGATGGGATGGGGGAGGATGTCAAACCTGTTGATAAATAACCTTTTTAATCCCACATGTGTTTAAGAGTAAAATCTGGATGCCTGGGTCAATTGTAGGCAGTAGAATACCGAAAAAGTAGACGGCGAACGGTTGCTCGGGCCGGCAATCAGCAGGCGGACAGCTTCGAGTCTTGGCTACTTGGCCCCAAAAGTTCCCTGCCCGTCGTTATCTCACCTCCTTCAACTTCACTTCCTCCCCCTTACCTCCCCCGCGACTTTTCCTTCCGACATTTCTCTCGTCCGTGGATTATGTGCGCCGTGGTCTGGCGTCACGGACTCACAGCTGGAGTTAATCATTTGGTGTTATCCGCCGTGGTGGCGGCCTGAGCTTCTCAACAATGGCTAAACAACTCATGAGCGACACCTTCCACCAGCTGCTCCGTATGTCTTTTTTCTTCCACCCCTTCTGAGGGCCCTATCATAGCCTTCAATTTGTGCGCGCAGGCTCGATGACCTGCCTTGAATTACTTGTGGTCGCGCAGGAGGCTGAATTGGTGCTAACAGACCAATGGCTTTGATTAGGGAGAGCGGCGGAATCCGAGACAGACCCCGACGAAGGTACGCGCTTTCAACCCTTCCCACGAGACGAGGCTTGAATATGTTCTGATGGTGATGTTTGATGGCAGATGCGCCGGAAGCCGGAACCAAGGAGTTCTTCAGCTCCTGGGCCCTTTTCATCCTGATCATGCTCTTGATGTTTGCTCTCTTCACGAGTTACATTCTCCAACAAAAGAAGATCCAGGCAGTTCACGAAACGGTCTTGTCCATTTTTGCGGGTACGTTTTTTCCTGGAGGGATTGCGACAGTGTTGGCAATATGAGACTTATACCAAGCGCCTTAGGTATGTTCGTCGGGTTGATTATCCGATTGAGCCCGGAATCACCTATCCAAGACAGCGTAACCTTCGACTATCAGTTCTTCTTCAACCTCCTTCTTCCTCCGATTATCTTGGCTTCCGGATATGAGCTGCACCAGGCGAATTTCTTTCGGAACATTGGCACCATTTTGACCTTTGCGTTCGCGGGCACCTTCATTTCTGCGATCGTGCTAGGACTGGTCTTGTATGTCTGGACGAGGATTCCGCTGGATGGGCTGAACATCACCTTTGTGGAGGCGATCTCCGTGGGCGCAACGCTGTCAGCTACGGATCCCGTCACTATCCTAGCCATCTTCAATCTATATAAGGTCGAGCCGAAACTCTACACGGTGATCTTTGGCGAGTCGATCCTGAACGACGCCATTGCAATCGTCCTGTTCGAAACGGCACAGAAATACGCGGACAGCGAAGCCGGATCGCTATCCTTCCTCAATCTATTCGAGGCCATCGGTCTGTTCTTGCTGGTGTTCTTTGGTAGTATGCTGGTAGGCATGATCGTAGGCATCATGACTGCGCTGGGCTTGAAATACACGCACGTTCGTCGGCAGCCTAAGATTGAGAGTTGTTTGATTGTCCTCATTGCATATGCCAGCTACTTCTTCTCCAATGGCGTTTATCTTTCCGGTAAGTGGTTTACCGACTCCTTGAAACTGGGCTCAAGAAACTCACCGTTGTAGGAATTGTGTCGCTCCTGTTCTGCGGCATTACGCTGAAGCATTATGCCTACTACAACATGTCACGCCGAACACAGTTGACTACAAAGTATCTGTTCCAGGTTATGGCTCAGTTGTCGGAGAACTTCATCTTCATCTATCTTGGACTTGACTTGCTCGTCCAACGGAATCTACAGTTCAAGCCTCTCTTCATTATGGTTGCCGTTTTCGGTATCTGTATCGCCCGTTACCTCGCGGTGTTCCCACTTTCCAAAGCCATTAACTGGTTTATCCGATACCGGGCTCGGCGCCGTGGGATGGATGTCGCGGACGAACTGCCTTTCGCCTACCAAGCAATGCTCTTCTGGGCAGGATTGCGAGGAGCGGTCGGCGTCGCGCTCGCTGCAGGCCTCACGGGTGTCAATGCCCCGGCCCTGCGTGCGACGGTGCTCGTCGTTGTCGTGCTGACGGTCATCATCTTCGGAGGCACGACCGCTCGTATGCTGGAGATTCTCGGAATTCGCACGGGCGTGGTCGAAGAGCTGGAATCGGACGATGAATTCGACATTGAGGTCACCAACGGAGGCACATACTACAAGCGCTCTGACACCGCTCTCGGCTACACGCCTCGTCGGATGGATTCCACTATTCCTCTAGACGGGATGCCACGAGGAACCATAGACCGGAACGATAGCTACTCGAGTGGCAACAATCGCCGCCCTAGCCCACCGGCGCCGTCCTCTTCTGGCAGGAGTCGTGGCCATTCGCGGCTCTACTCGAACGCTTTCAGCCCCAAGGACACGCAGACGAGTCGGGACCGTTCCTCGACAGCCACTCTCCTTAACAACGGCGGCGCCCCGAGCCATAGTGGCAGCAGCGCGGCTAGTGAGGATGAGTTCGGTCTGAGAACCACCGGCAAGAGTCGAGTGTCGGATGCCGACCAGGTCGATGCCTTCGATCTGGATGTGGACGACGCTCCCTCGGATGATGACCTGCCTCCATCTGCACACACAGCGTCTCGACTCCGCCGATCTCCCTCTCATCTCGGCGGTGCCTCCCAAGCACCCCCTTCAGCCAGCGTGTCTCCCTCCAGACGAGAAGCATCAGGAATGAGCGCCCGAGATGCCATCCGCGATTTTTTCTCCGGCGGAGCATCCGGAGACCATGCCGCCTGGTTTCGGCAGCTGGATGAAGATTATATCAAGCCCCGACTTCTGCTGGACCAGTCAAATCACAAGGGGCCCGGTGCCGTTTAGAAGATGTTTTTGTGTGTTTTTTGTTGTTTTGTATACCTAACGTTTTTGCTTTACGTTTTCATGCTTGTTGCCCCTCTTGTTCTTTATGACTGACTGATCTCCGATCTCCGATTGGATGGAGGGCGGAATTTGTTTTTGCCTCGTTTATTGAGATTCCCTGATTCTTGTTCCGATTTCTCTTTTTTCTTTTTTCTTGGCCTGTTGATGAGACATTACTGTAATGGGTCTGGAACCCCAAGAAACCGACTTTAGTCTGTGTTGTGATACAAAGAGACCTGACTCGTGTGGACCAAGACAGTCGTCATAGATGCTATCAATCAATCCAGCAGACTTAAGATCGAGATCAGTACCAGAATCAACTGATAAGGGGTGAATGGATTTAGCCTCGCACGGAGTAGACTACCACTACCCATCGTTCCCATCGACCTACTCAATCAAGCAAGGTCCTTTATTCGTGTACGTACGGTTCTGGATCTTTGTAATGTGAGCTAAATACGTTAATGAGAGGCTTGGTTGAGGGTTCGGCTAATCCTGGATGTGAGCTACGTAGTCGTCACGATGGGGCTGGTTCTATGGGCATTGTGCTATTATTTGTGCTTCATATATTCTTCACCTTGAGGTAATTTACGGAAGATCTGAGACGACGGTTCGGATATCGACTAGCATTTCCCGGGAGATTTTGGGGATAAAGAAGAGAGGAATGGCAACAGAGGCAAGAAAGAAAAGGGGTAGACATAAACTTGGATGGTAGATGGAAGCCTAATTCCAAAAACGCCTTGGTTTGATACCGCTGTATGCAGTGTATTAGAACGACTAAGCTTTCGTTATCTTATGCACAGTTACACGTTAATGTAAATAGCGGGTCAGAGAGCAAAGTAACAGAGAATGCCATATGCGAGCCCAACGCCAAACTTCACACGAAACTCCATGGACTTCCAACGCCTTACTGTGGCACGTCGAGGACGTAACGGCCGGCAATTTTGCCTTGTTCTGTTTGTGGACACTTGTTAGCACGTCTCCCAATAGACAGAAAAAGCGCGAGAAAGCATCGAAGGAAACCTACTCATCAAGTCGAAGATCTTGGGAAGATCACTCAACGGAGCCGTCTTGAATGGTGCCTTGATCAAGCCACGAGCAAAGAAGTCAACCGCTTCCTCACCGTCCTGGCGGTTACCGACATAGCTTCCTTTGATGTTGATCATGCGCACCACCGTGTTGAAAACAGGAGCTCTCAGGAACGCCCCGGCTGGGAGACCAATGGCGACAACGGAGCCACGCGAGCGAACGTATTCAGTGGCCTGCTGGAAGGGCTTTTCAGCGACGGCGAGGAGAAGCACGGCGTGGGCACCGAGGCCGTCCGGAGTCGCGGCTTTGACGTCGGCAACGAGGTCTTGGGATTTGGAGAAATCGACATATGCCTTGGTGAGGGACTAGAGTTAGCACTGGGGCCATACCACGTTGCAATTCCTTAGAAGGGACTTGATGAAAGAAGGTTCAAAGAACGTACCTCAGAGCCCAATTCTTCGCACATAGCTTTCTTCTCGTCGCCGGAGTCAATGGCAATTATGCGGAGTCCCATGGCCTTTGCGTACTGTTGCGCCAGCGAACCCAATCCACCACCCGCGCCGACGATGGCTACGGTCTGACCGGGACGGGCCCCCGATTCCTTCAATCCCTTGTAGACGGTGAGACCAGCACACAGAATGGGAGCGACGGCATCGAGAGGGACATTCTTCGGCAAATGGGAGGCATGGGTAGCCTTGGCCACGGCGTACTGCTGGAAAGTTCCATCGACAGTGTAGCCGGACAGAGAGGCATTAGGGCAGAGGGGTTCATCGGACTGCTTGCAGAACTCGCAGGCCATGCAAGATCCGTTCAACCATTTAATGCCGGCATGGTCGCCGATCTCGAAGTCCTTGACCAGCTCGCCTCTGGCGGCGACAACTCCCGCACCTTCATGACCACCAACCAGAGGTTGCTTCACTGGCAGAGGCCAATCACCGTTCAAGGCATGAAGGTCAGTATGGCAGACGCCCGAGTATCGGATCTTGACCAAAATCTCATCAGGGCCGGGTTTAGGGACAGGAATCTCTTTGTAGATGAGGGGGCCGCCTTTCTGCTCTGCGACCTGAGCCCACTGCTTTTCCGGAAGAGACATGCTGACCGATGCTAAGCAGCTGGGACAGTACAAGTGGAAGATTGAAAGGGAAAGGGTAAAGGAAGAAAGGTGATTAACGATAGAAAGAAGCTCGAAAGAAGGATTCCCTGATAGACACTTAGATAAGTGAATGGTGAATCAAAGAAGGAGGATCTGGCTGGGTTTTTATAGTCCCTTCACCTAGAAAGCTAGCAGGTATGGAAGACCGGATGGGGAGGGGTGGGAAGACCAAGTCTGACGGTGGGGTGATGTGAGTACCATAAGCCAGCCTAGGATGACGTTGTGCCATTCACCATTCGCATTCACTGATTCTATGCAAAGTACGAGGAACAAGATTGTGAATTATCAGTCGGCCGTACGGAAGGATAAGCCATTGGGAACACCACGCGCTTCTAGACTTCAGACTTCGCCTGCGAAGGGCATAGCGGCCTGGATCCCTCGAAAGTCTAATGACGGCCATGTCAGACCATTGAAACGCCGATAACGTTGATGTTCTATCACGGACAATTTTTGGCTTTGTTTCTTTTCCTGAACTGGCGGGCAGGAATCCACGGCCGCCGCAGCGAGGCGGTAGAAGACGTCATGGAAGCGGGGGAAAGATCCTCCCTCCGCATTTCCCGCACGACTTTGCTGGGTAAAGTCACTCAAGACCCTCATTTGAGACCCATAATTGAGCAAACCCCGGGGGAGAGGCTGGATAAGCTGGATGAACGTGCATACGGAGATTCACCGAGGACGGGAGTCTGTGGTAAATCGCAGGGGTGATAGTCTAGAAGCGGTGATTTCAGGGATGTGAGGTGCATTATTGTCGAATGATATGGTGGGCAGGTGGAAGCCGGGCCACGTCTGTTGGCGCCACCGCGGGTAGACGGAGATGGTGATTGACTGAGGGGGGTCCTTGAACGGGAGAAAGCAGGGCGTGGGAGAAAGGAAAGTGAATGAAGAGAAAATGAGAAAGAAAAGGAAAGAGAAGGGAGAAGAGGAGGGCAGGCCGGGAGATTAGTAGAAAGCGCCCATCGCTCCTTCCACCTTGGGGGAATCACCGTGGGTGTCCAGGATATTCAGGCATCAAGTCTAGTCTACTTTGGGATTCGATTATTGATGCCTGAGGTGTCTATATCGACCGTCCACCTGCCATACTGCTAGATACCCTTTGGATGGGCGAGTACAGAGATGGTAGCCAGGGGCCAGTATTGAAACTCGACGGAGAAGATCCTCCGTTCTCACGTAGAGCAGAATACTGGCAGGATACCACAGAATACCGCAATCTCCAAGGACATCCAAGTCCATGGCGGCTTCAGCGGCGCAGCATACCGTACCATACGGATACGGCGTTCCCAAACGGGCCACTCCGCCATCGCCATCGCCATCATCAGTCTTTCGCTCTCTCTTTCTTCCTCGTTCTTGTCCTCGCTCTCTGGCCCTCCGTCTCCCCTTTCCTTCCTTTCCTTTTTCTTGGTTTGCTGGCCCGACGACCCATCAGCCATCTTCACTTTCCCTTCTCTCTCCTTCCCTCTCTCCCCTCCTCCATCTCTACTCAATCGTCATCTCATCGGCTTCATCTTTATCGTCCGTTTTACTTCCTGATTCCTTTCCTAATCGTCTCGTTTGTCTGTCCTTTCCTTGCCCAACCCGCCCCGACTGAATTCAACCTTTCTATCGACATCCTCCACGCGACCTGCCCGACGCATCCTTTCATCGCCGCACCGCAATCGCTGACCCGCCACGGGTTGGTCGGTTCGTCGTCCAAACACAACGTGCGAGATCAGGGCAGTCGATACAAAGTACGTACCGGAGCGCTCAAAACCAGTCGACTTTGCAGATCGGTCTGAGAATTCACCCTTTCGGACTGTTACCTCCTGTCTTGTCTTCTATCTCTCCATCATCCTTTGCTCAATTACCCCGGTATAATTTGCCCCGAATTAATACGTTCGTCTCTTAGGGAGCGTCTCTCGTGACCAACGCGGTATCGCCGCCTCTTTGAGATCGCTTGGGCGCATGGAGAGCGGTCGTCTATCGTGTCGGCTCAGATTCACCTGACCCGGACCGTTCGCCCCTTCTTGACGTCGGCCATCGATCCAATCCTTCCATCGTCGCCGTCGCGCTCCGATTACCAACGGCCATCATGACGGGGGCTCCGCCGTACAATCCCCAGTCCCCTTCCCAGCAACCCCATTATCCCGCCTACTCGCCTCCGAGCAAGAACCGCCCTTTCTACCCCAACAATGATCAATACCAGCAACACCCTCCCCAGACACCTCCCGCCTTTCCGCCTCAATCTTCCCTGTCGAGGAGCCCACACTACTCTCATGCCTCGTCTCCACTGCCCGCCGCACTTCCGCCTTTGAAGGGTAACGCGCCTGCGCCTCATCCGTCTGATCCTTCTTCGCAATACCAGCCACACTCATCGGCCGGCGCACCACCTCAGTATCTTCCCCGACCGTATTCAGGATCCGTTCTATCGGGAAACGGTGCTTCTCCTTACAGCCATTCACCTTCATCTCACCCCCATCCCTCAGGCCGCCCGGAGAGCCATCCGCAGTTGTCTCCTAAGAAGGAGGCGGCCTCCTCCCCCTACTCCCTGGGGAGTCATAGCTATTCGTCCATGGCGCGGGAGCCGAGGACAGCCTCCCCTCCGAAGGATTTAGTATGTGATTATTCTCATTTCGATCTTTCGTTACCTTTTTTCGTTCTTTCCCTCTGGGTGTCCTTTCTCATGTAATATGGGGTTGTTATCTTTTACCCGTTTATTGTCGAGCTAACGAGATATCCCTTTCTTCCCGTTAGAAACCGGCTCGAGCTGCAGATCCCATGTCTTTCGCAAGCATCCTTTCTGGACCGGCTGAGGAAGCGCCTCCGAAGAGACAATCGCCCCCCGCCGAAACACCCCTTCCTGTACCGACGCCATCCGAACCCACCCTCAGAGCCCGCTCACCCGTGTCTATTCAGGCCTCGGTCTCTCAGCCGAAGATCAAGGAACAGGAAGCAGACACCTCTCCCGGCCTTTCCTCAATCAAAGCAGACAAGAGACCTAGCAGCACGGAAAGGCGTCGCCGGACGGGTGAATTTGAGCCGACAGTGTCGACCCCTACCAACACCAACGGTCTTCCAACCCGTGCCGCCCCCGCGCGAAAGCTTCTTTCCGAACGTGACAACGAGGCTGTCAATAGGTTAATGGCCGAGATCGACAACGCCGATAAAAGTGATGTGGAGGCGCCGGGCTTCGAAGGAGAGCTGGAACGCTACGAGGCTCGGGGTAGGAAAAGAGTTATCGATGCGGAAAAGGCCGAGAGTGTCCGACGCAAGGTATGCATTTTACGCTCGATCTCCCCCTCTTCGCTCGAGGATATGATTTTAACCACCAAGCCAGCGCCGCCGAAACGACTTCTTGATCAAACTGGGTAAAACTTTTGAGAAGCAAGCCACTGCTGGCATGGATCGCTTCAGGAATGCGAATGAATCCTCGGTTATCGCCGAAGTTCAGGCTAAAGAGATACAGGATGAGAAAGAACGCAAGAAGGACATGCAACGGAAGCGACGTCGAGAGAACACCGTGCGCCTAGAAATGCAAAAGAAAATTGAGGCCGAGCAAAAAGCCAACAAGGCCCAAGACTCCGCTGAAAAGGCGAAGTTCCTCCGCGAAGCCGAACGGGCCCAGCGTAAGATCAAGATCACCAAACGAGCCCTGGATGGTGTCACAGCACCCGAAGAAATTGGCGAAGTTACCCCGTTGGCTCCGAACCTCGAAGGTGGCACGACCAGCTCCTTTCACATCGGCCGCTCCCCGTCCAGACGTAAATCTGGTCGCGGTGGCCCCGTCACGCGTCCCAAAAAGTCCAAGGAACAGAAACAGGCCGAGAAGGATGCCGCGGAAGCCGCCTATGCCGCCATGGAGAACGAGGAGCTTCTACCAATTGCACCCAAAGACGACCCCAGGAAAGAAACCCTCAAGAAGGAGGCCAAGGGCAGCCGTTCCAAGGAGGCTACGCCTACTCCTCTGTCTGCTTTCGAGACTAAGGGTTACAATCAGATCTACGAGCAGATCTGGCGAGACATCGCCCGCAAGGATATTCCCAAAGTCTATCGCATCAAGGCCCTCTCGCTCAGCACGCGCCAGGAGAATCTGCGCAAGACTGCTCAGCTGGCCAGCAAGCAGTCTCGCAAGTGGCAGGAACGGACCAACAAGAGCATGAAGGACACCCAAGCTCGCGCCAAGCGTACGATGCGTGAGATGATGTCGTTCTGGAAGCGGAACGAACGTGAGGAGCGTGACTTGCGTCGCTTGGCCGAGAAACAAGAGATTGAATCGGCCAAGAAGGCTGAAGCTGAGCGTGAAGCCAACCGCCAGCGGCGTAAGCTCAACTTCTTGATCTCACAAACCGAGCTGTACTCCCACTTTATCGGTCGAAAGATCAAGGGCGCCGACGGCGATGAAACCGGGGACACGGCGGTGGAAGGCGGAGATCAGACTGCTCAGCCCGACAAGAGTATCGACGACGTGGGCGCCAAAGTCACCAACTTCGAAGACCTAGACTTTGACGCTGAAGATGAAACCGCGCTGCAACAGGCTGCCATGGCCAACGCGCAGAACGCCGTCCAGCAGGCACAAGACCGAGCGCGTGCTTTCAACAACGCGAACCAGGACGACCCGATGGCAGCCATGGACGAGGGTGAACTGAACTTCCAGAACCCAACCAGCTTGGGTGACATTGAGATCTCCCAACCGTCGATGTTGACTGCGAAACTCAAGGAGTATCAGCTGAAGGGTCTGAACTGGCTGGTCAACCTCTACGAGCAGGGTATCAACGGCATTCTAGCAGATGAAATGGGTCTCGGTAAAACCATCCAGTCGATTTCGGTCATGGCCTACCTGGCCGAGGTCCACAATATCTGGGGGCCGTTCCTGGTGATCGCGCCCGCATCAACTCTGCACAACTGGCAGCAAGAAATCACTAAATTCGTCCCCGATATTAAAGTCCTACCCTACTGGGGTTCGGCCAAGGACCGCAAGATTCTCCGCAAGTTCTGGGACCGAAAACACATCACTTACACCAAGGAATCGGAATTCCATGTTCTGGTTACCTCGTATCAACTGGTGGTCCTCGATGCACAGTATTTCCAGAAAGTCAAGTGGCAGTACATGATTCTTGACGAAGCTCAGGCGATCAAATCGTCGCAAAGCTCGCGGTGGAAGAATCTCCTTGGCTTCCACTGTCGAAACCGTCTCCTGCTCACGGGTACGCCCATTCAAAATAACATGCAGGAGCTGTGGGCCCTTCTCCATTTCATCATGCCGACCCTTTTCGATTCACACGACGAGTTCAGCGAGTGGTTCTCAAAGGATATCGAGTCCCATGCGCAAAGTAACACGAAACTCAATGAGGACCAGCTCAAGCGTTTGCATATGATCTTGAAGCCCTTCATGCTGCGTCGTGTCAAAAAGCATGTGCAGCAGGAACTCGGAGACAAGGTGGAGAAGGATGTTTTCTGCGACCTCACCTACCGCCAACGGGCCTACTACAGCAACCTGCGCAACCGCGTGAGCATCATGGACCTGATCGAGAAGGCGGCCATCGGCGACGAGGCCGATAGCACGACCCTGATGAACCTGGTGATGCAGTTCCGGAAGGTCTGCAATCACCCCGACCTCTTCGAAAGGGCCGAGACGAAGTCGCCGTTCTCTCTGGCGCATTTCGCCGAAACCGCCTCGTTTGTGCGCGAAGGACAAAATGTCGACGTGGCCTACTCGACCCGCAATATGATTGAGTACCCTCTGCCGCGTCTCCTCTGCGGTTCGAGTGGTCGGGTCGACATGGCGGGGCCGGACAATGCCCAGGCAGGTTTCCGCGGTAAGTACCTAGATCACTTGATGAACGTCTTTGCGCCGGAAAATATCAAGCAGAGCGCCAAGGACGACGGTGCCTTTTCCTTCTTGCGCTTCGTCGACACGTCGATCGGGGAAGCTTACGAGCAGTCACACCTCGGCGTCTTCGAGCGTGCCGCTCGCCGTCGTGGCCTGGCGAACCGGCTGTCTCGGCTCAACGTGGTCTACGATGAAGATCGTGACAGCAAAGCGGCACCGGTGCTGCCTCACACGATGTTTAACATTGTCCAGCGCAATGATCGCGGTGCTGTTCACGACATCACTCCGGAGGGCTACATGCGGGACCTCTTGACCGTTTCGCGGTCGACATTCGAGCGAGAGGGACTGAATACCATCGAACCTTGCGTCAGTCCGGCCGCTTCTGCGCCTCCCGTCACTCTCGCGGCCTCCAGCCGAGGCCCTTTGCTGGAGATGAGGGACAGTTTCTTCAACGTGCCTGTGCGCCATGCTCTGATCCCGGCTCCGTCGAGGCAATTGGATCTGCAGATCGTGGAGCAGAAGGTCGATCCGGCCCCGTACTCACATGCCCCCATGCTGCCGGACCCGATCTCGGCCAAGGGACGGTATACCCACATCGAGGTTCCTTCTATGCGGCGGTTCGTCACGGACTCGGGCAAGCTGGCCAAGTTAGACGAGCTGCTGCGCGAGCTGAAGGCGGGCGGTCACCGGGTCCTGCTCTATTTCCAGATGACGCGGATGATCGATCTGATGGAAGAGTACCTGACGTACCGCAACTACAAATACTGCCGACTAGATGGAAGCACCAAGCTAGAGGATCGTCGCGACACGGTGGCTGATTTCCAGCAACGACCGGAGATCTTCGTCTTTCTTTTGTCCACGCGTGCAGGTGGTCTAGGTATCAACTTGACGGCCGCCGACACGGTCATCTTCTACGACTCGGACTGGAACCCTACGATTGACTCGCAAGCGATGGATCGGGCGCATCGTCTCGGCCAGACCCGACAGGTGACGGTGTACCGTCTGATCACGCGCGGAACGATCGAAGAGCGCATCCGGAAACGCGCGCTGCAGAAGGAGGAGGTGCAGCGGGTGGTTATCTCGGGTGGTGCCGCCGGCGGGGTTGACTTCAACACGCGCAACCGGGAAAGCCGGACCAAGGACATTGCTTTGTGGCTGGCCGACGACGAGCAGGCGGAGCTGATCGAGCAGAAGGAGAAAGAAGCAGCGGACCGCGGCGAGGTGTTTGGGTCCAGTAAAGGTGGAAAGAAGGCGGCGCAGAAGAGGAAGCGTGACATTACGCTGGATGATATGTATCATGAAGGTTCGTGGTTTCTCCCCTTCACCTCCTTGACAAACCCTTCGCCACATATAGATGATGCTAACCGTTCATGATCTCCCACAGGCGAAGGAAACTTTGACGATGCCAGTGCCAACGCCAGCGGGAACGCCAGCGGAAAGCCGTCCGGGGCGGTCACGCCCGTGTCGACGGCGGAGAACGTGGGCACGCCGTCGTCCACGCCAGTGCCCAAGCGTGGCCGTGGACGCGGATCGGGCAAAGGCACGTCGAAACGAGCCAAAACTATGAAGGAACGATTACGTCTGATCGATGGTGATGGCGGGTTAGGACCCAGTTAACATACATTCGCATAGATGATGTACCAAAAAGACGAAGGTTGGGGCGTTTTTTCTCTCTTTTTTTTTTGTTTCCGTTGTGATTTGATCTTTCTCTCTCTTTCTTTCTTTTTTTTTTTTTGTTCTACTATCTTCTTGTCTACCCATGTTCTTTTTTAATTATTCATCAAGGGGGATGTTCCATCATCTCCCCGGCTTGTATCAACAACAACAATCAATCCATATTGACTTGAATCCTGGAAGGGGAATTTGCTCCGCGATCACATTCGCTGAAGTAAGCGAGAGGAGTCCAGCCGCGGCAAGTAAGCCGGTCCAGCCGAGACGGAAAGTTACACGCCACCACAGGCCGGTCTGCTTACCTGAGCGGGACGGCGTTTGGTACGAATCGAAAGTTATTGGTAATGCCCGGTACCGGGATGGTCACAGTCCCCGGCGACGACGGGCCAATCAAGGCGGGGCCGAACGTCAGCCGAAGTTGCCGCTGCTGACTCAGTCGATCCATACGAGTCTGGCATGACCGAGCCACTTTTTTCCTTCTTCCTCTTCTTTTCCCCATTCTCTCTTCTTCCCCTTTTTGAACCTCATCACACCTCGTCCTCATTGCGCTCTCCTTTCGGCCTTACGCACTTGTCTGCTCTTCATGGAGTCGCTTCTCCAGCAATCTCGGGCCATGTGCCCTTTTCTCAAGCGGACTTCCGCCGCCACCTTGCGGTCTCTGTCCACCGCTACCCGCCCCAGCACCAGCCCCGGCGGTGGTACTATGTCCAACCTGCAGGTTCTCGCCCGTCGATGCCCCGTCATGAGCAAGGCTCTGGCCGTCCAGAGTGCTCGCATGGCCGGTACTAAGCGATTCACCTCCTCGGCTGCCGGCGTGACCGCCAACCACAAGTATCTCCGGCCCACGGCTCCCCGACGGGACTTGCACTCGACCAGCGGCAATGGCGCCAACCTGAGCCCGGACGTCTTCAAGGATTCTCAGAGAGGTGGGTGGTCTTCACCCGTGGCCTTCAAGGTGGAATCTCACGTACTGATCGATTGAACGCTTGCAGGCCATCCCAACTTGTCTCGAGCTGAACGCCGTCCCGGCTTTGCCCCCGCAGCGGTCTCCGGGCCTCGCCCCGATGCACCAGCGACCGCACCTTTCGATTACGACAACTTCTACCGCACTGAATTGGACAAGAAACACAAGGACAAGTCGTACCGCTACTTCAACAACATCAACCGCCTGGCGCAGGAGTTCCCCCGGGCCCACACGGCCTCGCAGGAAGAGCGCGTGACTGTCTGGTGCTCCAATGATTACCTCGGCATGGGACGCAACCCCGAAGTCCTGAACTCGATGCACAAGACTCTCGATACCTACGGCGCGGGAGCTGGAGGCACTCGTAACATCTCCGGACACAACCAGCACGCTGTGGGATTGGAGAGCACCCTGGCCAAATTGCACGACAAGGAATCTGCTTTGGTCTTCAGCTCCTGCTTCGTGGCCAACGATGCCACCCTAGCGACTCTGGGCAGTAAGATGCCGGACTGTGTGATCCTGTCCGACAGTCTCAACCATGCGTCCATGATCCAGGGCATCCGCCACTCGGGCGCCAAGAAGATGGTTTTCAAGCACAACGATCTGGTCGACCTGGAAACGAAGCTGGCCTCGCTTCCTCTGCACGTTCCCAAGATCATCGCCTTCGAATCCGTCTACAGCATGTGCGGATCGATCGCCCCCATTGAACAGATCTGTGACCTGGCGGACAAGTACGGTGCCATCACCTTCTTGGACGAGGTCCACGCCGTGGGTATGTACGGCCCCCATGGTGCGGGCGTTGCCGAGCACCTCGACTACGACGTCTACGCCTCCCAGGATACCGCCAACCCCCGCAGCACCAAGGGCAGCGTGATGGACCGCATTGACATCATCACGGGCACGCTGGGCAAGGCGTACGGCTGCGTCGGCGGCTACATCGCCGGGTCCGCGGCCATGGTCGACACCATCCGCTCTCTCGCCCCTGGCTTCATCTTCACCACGTCGCTGCCGCCCGCCACCATGGCCGGAGCCGACACGGCCATCCAGTACCAGTCCCAGCACAAGCGGGACCGCGTTCTGCAGCAGTTGCACACTCGCGCCGTCAAGGCGGCTCTCCAGGAACTGGACATCCCCGTGATCCCCAACCCGTCGCACATCGTGCCCCTTCTCGTCGGCGATGCCGAGGTGGCCAAGCAGGCGTCTGACAAGCTGCTCGAGGAGCATGGTATCTACGTGCAGGCCATCAACTACCCGACCGTGCCCCGCGGCGAGGAGCGACTCCGCATCACGCCCACCCCTGGCCACGTCAAAGAGCATCGCGACCACCTGGTGCAGGCCGTGCAGGCCGTCTGGAAGGACCTGAACATCAAGCGGGCCAGCGACTGGGAGGCGCAGGGCGGATTCGTCGGCGTGGGCGTGGAAGGCGCTGAAGCCGCCAACCAGCCCATCTGGGAAGACGCGCAGTTGGGACTTCAGGCCAACGAGACCATCGAGGCGGCGGTCAACCGTGAATTCCGCGAAGAAGCGGCCCGGTTGCTGGCTCCTCACATGCAGACCACCAAGCCCAGCAGCCCTCTGACTGCTCCTACTTCCATTCCTGTTGGAGTGGCGGCTTAAACGGAATTATCTTGGCTATCTTGCTTATCTGCCCTCGTCCTCCGACAGTTTCTATTTTCTGTCTGATGGGGCTCGTTTGTCATCCTAAGAACCGGCCTGTCCTTACCGCGTATTGGGTTCTCTTATCAATCATATCAACTTATTCAATGAAAGTTTCAAGAACGTCGATCGATCGACATATCTTGTCTGATCACATACTCGAACATGTTTCTGTTATCGTAGTTCTTGTCCTTATAGGCTGTATTTTGTAGGAATCATTCTAATTCATAATGTTGTATACATGTTATAGTGTAATTCAAATTCAAAATTCAGAATAAATTGAGTCGCCATATCCTATCCACCACACGACAAGTCCCATACAAAATACACTTATAGGGTACAAAGTACGGAGTAACATATACCCCATGCATTAGTCAACGTATATGTAAGCGATCTAGATGTCCAACCCGCCAACCCTTCTTCGCTCAAGGCAAGTTCCAAAGATCTCTCCCCACGAAGCGGAGGATTCCATGAAACTGAGCGAACAGAACTTCCATCGACTGAACTCTCGGCTCGCTGACGAGTACGTGAAGTTTAAGTATGGGCTTTCTCTGACCCCCTAGATGAATACGTTGTCATCATCATCGAGTCAATCGGTTCATTTCATCTTTCGTAGCGGGTCTCTGGCATACCTTAGGTTTTCTACATCATGTGTATATATATATATATACGTGATAGTGTGATTTTAAATCAGCGAGCTACGTTCTATTCATAGGTTGATAGGGTACGTCGATACGTATATCTCATCTATCAATCAATCAATGTAGATAAACAAACGTAAATGATTGAACATGTATTAAAGATAGGTAAAGAAACAAGATGAGAGAAAGAAGAGGGTTTCTCCCAGCGCCTGATTGGCAGGATGAGGCTATATACGTAGCAAACTAACTAATCAAGAAGATCATTTTTAATCTCATACACACACATGCACACACACACTCTCTTTCTCAGTCACTACCTTCCTTTCGTAGACTATCTATTTCCTCAATTCATTCATTCTTCCCCTATTCATAATTTTTTACAAATCACACCAACCACATCAAAGAAAGGAAAAGCTAAGCTAGAAAAAGAAAACTACCTCCTCCCACCACCCCTCGACACCCTCGGAAACTCGACCGGCACTCTAAGTCTAGCGATCTTTCTAGAGGAAGCCTCGGCCTTCCCGGCCTTAACATTCCATTTGGCGAACTCCGACTCGCGCGGCTTATCGATGCGGCAGCCCAACTCCCGGAAATACTGCAGGATAGTGCCGGTTTCGACACGCAGGTCGTCGCGGATATCGGCCGGGTCGGTGGCCAGTTCGTTGGGCGAGTTGCCGCCCTGTGAGCTGGAGCCGCCGTCTTTGGCGGGCTGAGGGGGGATGTGCAGCGATAGGGCGCAGATGGTGGTGTGGAGGAGCGTGAGGTCATTCTTGGAGAGGGAGGAGCCTTGAGGGGCGAATTTGCGGCGGATGGCGTCGATGATTGAGTCTGGGATGGTTTCGCCGGAGTATGTGGAGGAGGATTTGGAGGAGGGGTCGGTGGAAGAGGAGGCACCGGTAGAGGAGGAGAGGATATGGCGAAGATCGTCCCGCGGAGGGAGTCGTTTGCCTCCCGGGCCGCCGGAGCTCTTGGGGTCGCGGCCGGAGCGTAGCGAGCGGCCGAATTCCAGCAGGAGGAAGATGAAGCGCAGGACCTGGATCTGGGCGATGTTGCCGGAGGTGACGACGGCGTCGAGACGGCGCGACACGTACCGAGAGGTGGTGACCACACTGAGTCCCGCGGCCACCGTGTCCTGCCACTCCTTGACGCCGGGCAGTTGGCGGAGGGTGGCCATGCCACCGGGGACGAGGTTCTCGATAGGGTACACGTCCGAGGGATGCGAGGCTTCGAGGTTGGCCTGGGGCAGCGGCTTGGCGGCCTGGATCTGGGCCTGCACGGCGGCCGTCTTCGAGGCGAGGTCGGCGGCGGAATCGGCCGGCATGGAGGAGAGCATGGCAGATTCGGCGGCGGAGGCAGCACCAGCAGGGACGCTGGACAGCTGGGCGTTCTCGGCCAAGGACTGCGCGGCCTTGCGGGATTGTTTGGTACCGAAGGTGTTGGTGAGTTCGGTGCGCTGGGCACGCATGGTTTTCTATAGGGAATTGGAAGTCAGCCACCTGAGGTTCGGGGTTGTCCCATATTGTTCCCGGCAAGATTGACGAGTAAGAAAGTATAAAAGAGAAAACCCACCATTTCTTCATCCTCGCTCTCCTCCTCCTCTTCCTCAGCCACATATTTCGTCGACCGCACGGCACCGCGCAGAGTAATCTTGCGGGCCTCAATGAACTGCCAAGTTTGCTTTTGGGGATCGATCACCGCAACGTAGTGCTTAACCTGTGAATCGGCGTCCTCATTGCCCTCGCGGCCGACAAAGTCCATCTTCGGGTGGTCGGAGGTCTGCAGCAGCAGTTCGCTCGAAAAGATGCCCTTGTTGCGGGTCGAGGGGTCGGAGCCATCGGTGCGGGTCTTGAGGTAGGGCTTGAGGCTGATGTTTCGGGGAGCGTTGACACCGGGGGTAGTGACTGTCGAGAAAACGTTAGTCTCGTAATGCCTCTGGCGTCGTTTATGGAAAGAAGCGCATACTGAGGACGGGAGCCAGCTCGCTGTCGTCGTTCACGACGCTGGCGGCCAGCGGAGGCAGATCATGCAGCCCCAGAGCGGGCTTCTTGCTGGGTCGTTCATGACGATCCGAGTCGCGCTTGCGCTTCTTTTCCACTTTGTCGGAGGGCATGATGTTTGGCGTAGGGAGAAGATTGGATGCGGAGAAGCGTCAAATGGCGGAGCAGAAAAGTCGGACGCAAAAAAAATTGATGCGCGGCATAATTGCTTCACCGCCCTATAGGCGGAGAGGCGCAAACGCACAGAACAAGTCCAGAAGTCGCATGGCAGAGCTCTACTGATATGACATGCTAAGTCCTGTCCGTTGGTAGATCTTTTTACACAGCTACTTTTACAATGTGGAGAAATAGTGAATCGTTAGGAACTTTTCATATTGTGATAAATGCTCGTAAACCTCTTCATAGCCTGGACCTGCACAAGAAACCCTGCAATAGGAGCTCCCCGCCCAGACCCAGGCTTAAGCAATTGACCAGTCCCCATGCGAAACTCAAAGGATCGGTGGATAAACAATCAGATAGTACAGGAGTGATGTTTTCAGGAAACTTTTTCCACGACCCCTCCAACCCCACCAAACACGTTCGTCCCCCGTAACAAAGACACGACAGGATACCGAGGCACCATCGCATCCCACCGCCTGGTCTGAGAATCAAATCGAAAACGTTTTAAATGAGCCCACGGGATTGGAAGAAAGGGATTGTTGTTGGACGGAAAGGCTCCGAATTCGATCGGGAGGGCAGGAGAAAATAGGCCAGACAGGGGTCGTTGGAGTGACCGGACCACGAAACGAACAGAAGAAATCATAATCGTGACGTCGTCGAGTTGTCATGTTCAGCGTTCAACTAGAGCTCCGACACGGAAAGCTGAGATGAAGCGGGGCGAGTCATTTATTTGCTGGAGTACAGTTAGCACAATTGCGTCTTCATATATCGCAATCCAGTCGGATTCGGGAACTCACGATCTAGCCCTCATCTTTCTTCTCTTACGCTTGAGGCGGCGAACGCGCTTCTTTCTCCACTTAGCTCTCATCTTCGTAGATGGTTCGAAACTGTTAAAGGGTCAGTGACTGAGCAAAGCCAAGGCATGATGCCTACGAAACCGTAGGGCCGGCGAGGGTAACTCACACTTCTGCGACGATGAGGGAGATGGTTGAAAGAAAGACGGAGGAAGCGCGCCGGCGGAGCTTCTTGTGTGCGTCGGAGCTGACTCAGCGTCGCCTGCCGCTAAGGGCTCGCTAGTGCTGCGGCCGCGGTGATTGGTCCGTCCGGCGGCCTTACCGAGCGATGGGGAATTATGTCATCACTCTATCCCGTGACTTTTGCTCTTCTGCACACCGAATGAAGCCCTCCGTCATCGTCTCTTGCACGCTGGACGCCAGATGCATCGTATTATTGGTAGAATGGGGCCAGAGAGGGTCCTGGTCCCAGCTTCGAGAATGGATATCAATTTGATAAATTTTTATTAATTTGTTCATTGTGTATCGCCCAGAATCCACACTTGATCTATAGACTACTATCATTCATCGTCGCATAATCATCTGCCCTAATTCTACACACCTTCTGTGTGGTCATTATAGAAAATAGGAAATTGGTACTCTCCGTGGATTCTCCTCAGTATGCATACCGATAGCTGGGCGCCATGTCGCCCAGGAGATCTCGCTCCTCCTGACTGTACTCCGGTACAGTGCCATTGGCCGCCGCCTGGTCGCGCCGGTGGTTGTCATACCAGACCGCTGCGAAGTAGGCAATGCAGCAGGCGGCCGAAAAGCAGAGGAAGGCTACACTGATGGCGAAGCCCGGTCTATACTCCGGCGCATCCTTCTCGAGGAATGCAAATGTCGAAATGATGCCGCCGACTGTGGGGCTCCCGTTAGTATCGTGTATGGCGGACAGGTCACGAGAAGCATCACTTACTGTTTCCAAAACCCACTTGCCATGCAGTTCCGATGCTTCGTCGGCGATGGCCGCCTAGGTTCATGGCGAACCAGCACACTATCACCGGCATCGCACTGTAGCAGCCGCTGGTAACTAAGAACAAGGCGCCGTACTGGACGCTGCGATTCTCTTCTCCGTGCACATTCAGCAAGATACCAAATCCGGCCATGGCAATCAACATGGGTCCTATAGTAAACGCAAAACGATGCCCGGTTCTGTCCGAAAGCACAGCGATCACCATGGAAAAGCCCCATGCGGCCGCCCACGGTGGGATTGAGTATAACTGGGTCATGATAGCTAAGGGCGGATTAGTCGGTGCAAGACAATCGGTGCAGGCATCTACATACCATCGTAGCCGTAGGTCTTGATGATACTCGGCGCGAAGTAGGCGTATCCTGCATTTTGTTAGCATCGAGATCTTGCATGTCCACAGGAACACGGAAACCGACCGTATGCCGTGACAATTTGACCGAAATACATAAGACCGCCGATGAAGATCTTGTCTGCATCCTCGTTAGAACCCATGCTAGTGACTTGCGATCCTCGCGAACACTCACAGTCCTTGAAGACGTCCAGAACTTCGCGCCAGCCAATCTTCGCGTCATGCGCAGCACCTCCGGTGTCCTGCGCCAGCTTCGCCCGGATGAACTCTCTCTCCTCCTCAGTAAGCCATTTGACATCCTCGGGAAAGTCGGGGATGACAAAGAACCAGATGAAGGAGACAACGCAGGTGAGAAGGCCTTCGATGATGAAAACCCACCGCCAGCCACTGTACCCCCGGATTCCATCCATTTTACCCAGTCCACTGGCCAGCAAGCCACCGAACGCGCCGGCGAGGGTCGTGGAGCTGAAGAAGAAACTGAATCGCTTTTGCGCCTCGCTGCGCTTGTACCACATTCCCAGCAGGTAGAAGCCTGTATATAGTCGGTTATTATTCGATCGATCGATCGCGGAGTGGAAGAGGGTCAACACGTACATCCGGGGAACATGCCCGTTTCGAACATTCCTAGAAAACACATTAGCCGATATATCGCAATGGGACAGAATACGAGTGTCGCATACCGAGGAACCAACGGGTTGTCATCAGACCTCCCCAATTAGACACCAAGCCCTGGCAGATCATCACCAGGCCGAACAAGAACATACACATCGACACTTGGACCACCCGTTAGCTCACGCGATCGTCTTCCAGATATCATAAACGTACACCACACATGAGGCTTCCACTTCTTCAGCAAGATGTTGGATGGGATCTCGAAGATAACGTATGGGACGAAGAAAATGGTCAATGCCGTGTTATATTTCATTCCGTCGACGATGTTCAGGTCCTCGCGCAGCCCAAGGACCGCCGCATTACTGATGTTCACTCTATTGATGACAATGCCGGGTCAATTGGTCTGTATATCGCGATCGGGAATGCGCGCGAGATACGTACCGGTCCAGGAAAGCAAGCAGGTACATCACACACAAGCATGGGATGATGTGCCAGTCGATCTTGGCCATGAGTCGGCGCTCCGTGGTGTTGGTCAGAGGGGGGAGTTCGGGCGACTGCGTCTGCACTTCGCCCTCTTTGTCGTCCGAAAACCCCATCTTCTCTAGTTGCGCAATTGCGCAAATTAGCACCGCGAGTGGTTTGTAACTGGTGTTGTGACAAACCTGAAGTCCCCATTCTGGGCGCAAGCTTTCTCCGCGTAAATTCTTGATGACTGGGGGGTAAAAATGATATAACAAGACAACGGAAGCAAGGAGTTGGACAAGATGGAAATTATTCAGCCGTGCGCAGTGATACGTCACGCACAAGAAACGACAAATCAGCGGAACGGAGCAAAAGAACAGAATAAAGGAGAAGAAAGATAAAAAAGGAAAAACCCCCAATGGCGCAACAAAAAACAAATATATAGCCCTGACGAGAGGGGAAGAGTCAGAGAGACAGCCGAAGAATCAGCCATAAAAGGACTCCACCAGGCGAAGATCACCAATAGCTTCCCTGGTCAACAGGATGACCACAGTCATGGTCGAAGCCATGAATATCGGGGGGGAGCCACAGAGCCGACACTAAACCCAAGAGCGCAAAGTCCAATGGGAAGGATGAAGGACAAGTCGGGGTCCACGGATCGAAGCGACGCAAAGTCGAGGCAAGCACCGGCGGAGGTTCCGGTGGCCCCGATCTCGGCCTGGATTGGGCTTTCGGGGCTCCAGCGTGTCGATCGGAAGTTTAATGAGTGGGTGATAGTGATAGTCTGTGGGAGACTGGGAAGGACGTGCAGGAGACTGATTTTTTTCTTGTTCCATAAATTCCATACAGAGTAGTTTCTGTACCTATCTTCTATGTTCCCGTACTTTTCATATCTTCTTTTCGACATAAGTTTATGCCAATGCACCAAGAACCAAATTCCCACAGCGACTTTCCCCTTTGGGCTTCCCCGCAAATTGGCGGACTGCTGACATAAGCCCCCGCAGATCGCAGGTCACCTGCCCGGACTGGGCTTACCGAAAACGGCAATCCCATGCTTAGCAATCGTTCCTACTTTCTTCGCATAACGACGGAGTATATCTCCAATGACCTCGTCGTGGCTGATCTAGATCCCTCCGGATACCAACGGATGCTACTGCATATATCCGCAACAAGGACTCCCTGTTCATTACCTGGAGGCAGTTGTCTTGCATTACGCTTATCATGGTCAGCACCTGCCCTACCTCGTATAAATATGAATCAGCAATCTGCGGTCCGGACCCACTGCCAGCACCGAGTTCGGCTCTTCGGTGGAGCTCCCCGGGTCAGTGCCGAGGCCCCTAAGTCCGAGGTTACATTGCCCTGTCAGTCATTATGAACGGGCTCTCGTAATTTGTGCAAGGCCTTGCACCGGCGATAAGCTCGTTCTTGTCATAATATGTGTGTGCATTTGGCTTATCATACACTCGTCTACTTCCTTTCCCCGGCCTCTTCAGTGGCAGAACACCGATAATATGCAGACCCTTGAAAATCAGACTGGGAAACAAACAACATCCAAAGAATAGAGACTCGGAATATGAGCCCGAGAATAAATAATCGCGCTTTGTACGAGGAAGGACGCATCCCTCTCTAACTATCAACTAGCCTCCGTGGGTGGTCCACTCGAGGCTTTTCCCCACGCCGTCTCGAACGTTGAATCTTCGCCGACTTGGACGGTCGATGACTCTTCCAGGATTTCAACTCCGGTAATCGGACTGGCATCATCCCTCTCAATAAAAACCGTGTCAGAGCCACTGATCTCTTTCTCTATAGGGTGAATTTTGGACTCGGGTCCAAGCAATTCAAAATCAAAGTTCGAGCTGTAGATCACGGCCGCGAACGCTTCCAACTCGCGAACGTTCTGTTCCATAGCAGCCAGATAGAGATTGGGAGGCGTGGTGCCGTTGCCAATTACATGGGCCTGTCGGGCCATCACGGCCAGCACGTTGGCCAGCTTCGTCTTGGGCTCTGAGCTGTCGGCCACGGGAACCACCGTGGCAACGGACGTGAACGACTGCGGTGCCGTTTCGGGCTGGTTGGGTGACGCCTTGAACGCGTCGGCCGTGCACTGCTGGATCAGAGTCTCGAAACCCTCGTTGTTGAGGTGCATCAAGACGCGGGTGAAGTTGGGCGATTCGATCAGGTCGGCCGTCTCATCCAAGAGATGTCGAAGCGTAGTCGCCGTTTGGGCGGTCGACGGCTCCGTGACCCCCAAGACGCCGGACTCCTCTAGCAGCCTCTCTTCTTCTTCGGGGGGAGGAAGCAAGTATGACAGCCATTTTCGGTTCCTGAAATAGCGCGGTCAGAAATCTAGCCATCAATCAACAACAGAAAAGGAGCATCTACTTTCTATCCGCCTCCGTGTGGCCCTCCAATTTCTTCCGAATCTGCAGGGTCAATTCAGATAGTTTGGCCAGCGAAATATCCTCTCGGGGATTCAGCGAGCCAAACACCTCCTTGACGGCCTCTTGCACCTCGCCCATCAAGTCCTTCCAGCCCCGGTGCAGGAGCCACCAGCTGAAGGCGAGATATCTCCGATTGGTTTCAAAATCATTCCCCAAGGTTTGGGTCAGGTCGTCGTCGTCATGATTTTCCAGTCGGATCGTCGACGTGCTCGCGGGGTTCGCCAAGGAGATCACGCTGGAGAGGTAGTTCCGGCGGCCGAGAAGGTTGAGTTGAATTCGGGTGAAGACGGTCAGGAGGGACAGGGTGTAGATGAGTGTGAATGATCTAGTGATAGCTGCGGTACGATCATGAGTTTTATGGAACCTTGTGAGAACGGGCTAGGGATATCACGTACAGGTGATCTTCACCTCCTTCCAGAGCTGGGTCTTGTTCCGCTTCGGCCGCGGCGAACCATCTCCTTCGAGGGTTGATTCCCCCAGTTGACTGGCGCGAAGAAAGCCGTCACTTTGAAAACTGGATAAACTGCGTCCGTCCTCCTCGGGTAGACTGGGAGCCACCGAGCTGAGATCCGACGAGGTCCCTTCGCCACCGTTGAGGCGAGCCAGCCTCTCCGCGCGTTTCTTCTGTAGCTTCTTGGTCAGATCTTCTACGGGAAGGGCCTCTAGGATGTCCTCGGCGGCGGTCGGCAAGAGGGCGAGGATGGTGTAGGTACAATCGGTCTGATTCTGTTCGAAGCGCCGTCGTAGACTGGATGGATCAAAGTCAGCGTTGGTCGTCCAAACACGGAGAACAAGGCAAGGAAAGACAAGCGAAAGAAGGAAGCGACCGACTTCTCTCGGGCAATTCGATCACTGCTCATACGCTCTCGCGCTTCGGAGATCTTGTTCAACACGTATTGTCCCACGAGGTACCCGGCTCCGATCACGCCAGCCCCGATCGCAAGGCCCTTGCGATTGCGCCGGAACCAGCGCCTCGTAGCACCGATCATGGTGGAGCAGGGAAGGGGATCAGGCGATAATCTTCCGAGAGGGCGAGGCGAGCGCGAGGGTCATTATACGGTTCTTGTTAGGAGGGAGACAGAAAGGAGGAAAATAGAACAGGAGATAAAAAGTAACGAAGAGAGAAAATGGAGGAGAGTAGAAACGACAGGTCACGGTCGGGGAAGGATGGAGCTGAGGCGGCCTCGGCTAAACTTGATAACTGCGGCCAACGTGAATGAGGATCGTCATCGAACCCCGGCGATGGCATGGGCTGACGAGGGTATTTGAGGACATTTACTCCGGGATTTTGTAACTCGATCGGTCTCTCTGTGCATATCTTTCGATCAAAGGGCCTCCAAGGAGACTCAGGTACACCCCGGTACCTGAGGGTACATCCAGTACCTCTACATCTGTATAGGTATGTATGTACATCCATACATACAGAACGGTACCGATACGAGACGGATGACTCTGGCGAGGGGCTCCGATCAACTGACTTTTTCTTTCTTTCTTTCTTTCTTTCTTCCTGGAGATTACGAGAGATCAACTCAGCTTCTTCCCAGAAATCATGCATCCTCCTCCATGACGAACTTCGTGGTTACTCTACCGATGACGTCCATCTAGCCTCCAGCAGCCAGCCGACATCGCCCATCTCCGGATCGGAGTATATGCCCTTTCCCCCCATCCATTTGCAAGGAACCCCCACAGCTTCATACCTACCTGGCGCCTCCTTCCCCCTCTCTGAACATCCTCAGGGGTTCTTTTGCCTTCTCCGTCAGTCGACTTGAGTCTTTCGGCCAAAGGCTCTTTTCAGTCCACCTTCTACGACTTCAGAATCGAAAGGAAGGATCATAGAACGTCTGGATTCTCGCCGTGATTCATCTTGCTTTAACGAACCGTTTCCCCGTCACCATGGAGCCCCGCAGAACCCCTCCGGAGTACTTTCTGGAGATCTTTGCGGATACCACCACCGTCCGAGACGTGCTAAAAGGTATATATATTTATATGGACTCGTTTCCCCAACTTCTCCGTTGGCAGTCCGTCGTCATTCATTCATTCTTCATTTCTTTCGCCCCCTTTGTACTTGGTCCCGCCCGTGACGTAGTTTGTTCCAGTTTACCCCTCGATTGAAACAAGTGACTAACTAACAATATCTTCAACGTCAAAGGTGTTTTGAACCTGATCTTCTTCCACCGCTATTTCCCCTCCATCCGACCGACTACATTCGACGTGCTGGACTTCACCCTCCCCGCCATCAACGACGTCGACCTCGAAACCCTGATCGACTCCCGGATCAGCTCCTTGGTGCGTCAGCACTCGTCTTCCACAACCAGCGCCCTTGACGGTGGCGGTAATGGAGGTGTACGCGGCCGCATCGCCGTCGAGTTCTACGAGAAAAAGCGCCGACGCTCGGGGATGTGGTTCGGTGGACTGGCAGGAAAAGGAGAGGAAGAGGTATGTTGGGAAGTGTGGAACCTGGACGTGACGATCGCCACTCCGCGGACAGAATCAGGTATGTTCCTATGTATCAGAATAGCGTCATCAGCTCCGGTCTCTATTCACTGGATATGAATGGACGATGCTTGCATATCACGGACCCCCGAACTAACGCGCCAACGCATGCAGAACGCGCCAAGGTACGCAAGGCGATGGAGAACATGCTCCAGAAGGCCGCGCTGAAGATCCTCACCGTCGTGAACCGGGATAAGGATCATATCCCCCCCATCACCACCAGCGACGCTAACCCCTTTCCCTACCGCATCGTGCTGAACCCTCGGACGGATGGCTGGCAAAATCGCTTTGGCCTGTACTGATGATGCGGGCTGAAGCACTTACATCGAGTGAATGACCGGGACTTGCTTGGGCATCACCGCAACATTCGGGTGCGTGCCTCTACGGTCTCGCATGTTGTTCGAATAGGTCTAAGACCGTCGTCGTTTCCCACCGTCTGTTGATCCGTCCGTTCACCTCCCCCGCTTCTCGGAAAGCTAAAGCTTGCCGTGGCCTGTGCTTCCGGGTAGTTATTATTATCCTGTCAGAAGGTTACATGAGGGTCTCCGAGACGATCCTCTTTATTTGTGTTAGGGACACAAGCGGACCAAGAAAGCAAGAGAAGATCCAGGTGGAAACGCTATCAAATGTGCTTCAATTACCAAGAGGCATCATCGCATCAGATACAGCTATACCCACATATCTCCACAGAACAGCAACCGCTGGGCTGTGTTCTTTATCATTTCCTCCCCCCTCCGCACATCACATACAATTCTACTGAACCAATCATGACAAAACACGAGATAGAGAGAAAAGAAAAACCAAATAAAAAAATGGTTCCAAAATCGCTCAGTTTGACCACAAAGTCTTCACATCCGTCCGCTGGCATCAACGAAGTTCCATAGCTTCGTGAGGTCGTCTTTTTGACCAGAAAGCAAAATGACCCAGTTTAGCTCATGGTTCGACGGCAGACAAAGCCCGTCGCCGAGACCATGCATTAACGAAAGGTCATCCTATTTACTGGGTCTTGGTGGCATCGGCCGCCTGGGCCCGAAGGTTGGCGGAGGTGTTGCCAGCGTTGAAGAAGCGGCCCAGCACAGGCTGGAGGAAAGAGTGGAAGACAACCTGGGCACCGCTGCAGGGGAGAAAGAAAACTTGTTAGCAAGATCGTTCATCCGATAAGGCGACAGGAGCGGCTCACTTGGTCTGGGGAAGAGCCATCCAGAGGACCAGGGCAAACTTGAAGATGTAGTAGAAGGCTGATAGAAGGTCGGCATTAGCTAAATGATCATTACTCTTTTGGGAACTCGCGTCTAGAACACTTACGGAACCAGTAGGGCGCGCTAATAGCACTCTCAACGACGGTGAAGAGGGCGTAGACAACCCAGTACTATTCAGAATTCACATGTCAGAACATGAGGGGATTCTTGGCTGGGATTCCCGGGGCGGCAAGGCATCACGTGCTCGGGGCAGGAAAGGGAGCTAAGCCAGCCGAAGCGGAGAAAGATGGCCAAAGGGCCAGATAAGAAGGGCGGGTAATCACGAGGAACATACCGTCAACCACTGTAACGAGAACAAAACCCAGTCAGCAATCCATAATCAAGCACACACCCCAGTCATCAGGGCGATAAAGAACGTTTTCTTTTTCTCATGTGGGAAAAAACTCACCTGCGTGTCATCCGCAGTTCCGGCGGTGAACAGAGCGTTCAAAGAGTAGTAGGCAGGGATGATGAAACCAGCCAGGTTAACCAGGAACTCGCCGGCGATGTTGAAGAAAACGAGGAAGAAGTAGATGCCGACCAGGCCGAGGATCACGTAGACCTTAGGGACGGAGGTCTGACGCTCCAGGTTGTTGAGGACGGGGTACTTGGACAGCTAGACAAGAGGAAAAACATGGGTGTAAGCGCTTTGCTAAGAGAGCCATTTTCCCTCGCAAAATAAACTAGAAAAAAACACACGAAAACCACTTCCTGAGATCACTTGATCTGGAGAATCGAATCACGATGCTGGAATCAATTTTGAATATGTTCTTGGTGTAGGGATTCCCCGTGCATTCGATCCCCAGAACCGGTCTCTCGGGGCCTGGCTGGTAAGAAAAAATCACGCACACACAAACTTACCTCCTTGTCAAGCTGCGCTATGGCGTGCTGGGCACGATCCTGGAAAGTAGCCATTGTTGATATGGAATTGTAGAATTGCTAGCGAAGCAAGTTGGAGAGATAGACGGGGGTGTTTGGGGGTGGTGGGTGGGAAAGGGAAGAGGGTGGATGGTGGACGGAAGGGGGATTGGGATGAATGGGAACTTAAAACCAAAGCTGAGATTCAGAGCGACGCCGACGGGTGGTCACGTGGCTGGTCATGACGTCGAGCGAGACCGGTGACGTATGGAACAAGGCCGGGCGCTTACGACACATTCCATCGTTTCTCCCATTGTTGCTGGTTTGCTGGTCATACTTCTTGGTTATCTATATCAGGGCCTCCCTGGTCTATTGACGGCGTTTGTGGTGGGAAACCTGGTAGAAACTTCCATCAATATCTAGTATCTACTCACATAGTACCTATTTCGTACTTTAGAGTATTATACATACAGGAGGTACCTGGGTAATCCAAGGTATTACCGGAAATACCAATCACCTCTGGTATGGTCCTGTCACCGATTCGCAATCAAACGGTAACTTGTGCATTTCTCCCGGTGCAGGTATCTGCAGGTATCTGGAAGTATCTGAGGTATCCAGTAGCTGAGGTCTAAGGGAGTATCTACAGACCTATCTCTGTACCTGGCAGTCGGTCAATCTGACTGCTCCAGTAGATGTAGATTCTAAGATGCATCACTTCGCGCAGGGTTAAATTATGATCATCATTCGCCATCTCTAACTATGTATGAGTAGTCGAATTTCTTCTGCCTGGCTGTCATCACCCTCCCAGCCAACAGACCCTGTATTATGCAGACGAAAACGAACTCGATGAAATGTGCGTCCAGACACAATGGCAGTGTAGAAAAAAATCCAATCAATTACAGCCAATCTCGTCTTCCCCAGCCCCAACTGGGCTTTGCAATCAAGGAGATCATGCGCCCACGTGAAGGAGAGAGATAGGACTGGAAGGGAAGAGACAGAGGGAGATACATAAACACACAAAGAAGTTTAGAGAAAATGAAGTAAAGGCAACTCGCTCGTCTGGTGGAACAGAGCAAATGCGCCATCAGCCATCATCCACCGCCAACCACCAATTCATACAAACGCCAGTCCACCAAAGTAGAAACAAATGGAAAAGAGATCAACAAAATCGGGGGAGTACACGTCAAGAAGATCGGGACAGTAAAACATGAGGTTCAGAAAGGAAATAAAGTGTACCTGGCTCCGTAAAAACACAAGAGAAAAGAAAAACAATGGACAATGGAGCCGTCGTGTTTCCACAATTGATAAGAAGCTGCGTTACTCGTCGTCGTTCGTTCCAGGGCCAGGCGTCCCGTTGGCACCAGCGCTGTCTCGGTTGCTACTGTTGAACGTGAGTTTCAACTTGGGCTGTCCGGGCGTTGCTGCACTTGGGGTCTCGGCCCCAGACACGGCCGCGGTAGACTGATCGTTACCAGCCGGCGAGCTCGAGTCGTCGAAATTAGCGAACTGCGGGTGACCCTCGGTCTCCTTTCTCAGCTCGGAAATGCATTTAGCCTGCTCGCAATCAGTGAATGATCTATATGGTAATTACCGGGGCTGGGGTTGACTTTACCTCAATATCATTGGCATCCTGAAAGAGGATGCTGCCGTCTTCATTGTACGTCCGGGCATTCTGGCAGAGGAGACGAATGTCGTTCCGGAAATCTCTCAGGTTCTGATACTCATCCCGGTTGATTTTCTTTCGAATCATTTCCATGGCGATGGGATTTTGGATGATCATGTAGTAGTCGGGATATTGCGACTTGGGCGGGGGCTTCATGAAAGGCTCAATGATGGATCGAGTAACAGGGCCATCCTCGCTATCCGAAGAATCCGCCGGTAGCTCTTGCTCCATGTCCATCAGGGTCTGGTAAACGTGGTTGACTATCCGGTTGAGAATAGCACGATCCTCCGGGCTCAATGTCTCGACGGGCTTGGCCTGCCTGCCCCTCTTGCGCTTCGGCTGCGGCGTTTCTTCCACGACCTCCTCCGCCTTGCGCTTGGGTGCGGGACCGCGACGCCGTTTCTTGGGCTGGGGCGTCTCGGAGCTCTCCCGCGATGGCTCGGGTGAGGATTCGGGGCCTCCAGACTTTCGTCCGCGCTTCTCCTTGTTGACACGACGGCGTTCAACTCTAGCTTCCTTTCGAGCAATAGCATCTTCGATGGTATCATCGTCGGCGTCCACAGCCATAAGCCATTGCTCTTCGGTGAGACCATCATCGTAGCGCGTGATCTTGCGCTCACGAGCTCCGCGACCACCGATATCGACCTCAACCTCCTCCGTAACGGGATTGTCTTCCGCGACGTAGATATCCGGCAGTTCGCTTTCCGCCATCAGACGGGGGAGTGGATGCCCCGGACCATAGTGGTCCTTCGAAGGCCGTTCCTTATCTAGACGCTGGAAAACAGTCAATTCCTCGTCAGACCGAGCCATGATATCGTTGAGGTCGTCGTCATCCATCTCCTCCTGCTCGCCGATCTGATCGGCCGCTTCGGCAGACTCGAGAAGCGTCCGCAATAAAGCGTCTCGTTCCTCGTTGGTGGACTTGTTGTCGAACTTTCCGGCCTGGATGACCTTGCCGTCCATATCAAGCTTGAACTGGGCGCGCTCAAGAATCTTTTCTTCCACAGAGTTGGAACTGATCAAACGCAGGATGCGCACTTCATTCTTCTGACCGATACGATGAGCACGGTCCTGTGCTTGCAAGTCCTGGTGAGGGTTCCAGTCAGAATCAAAGATAATGACCGTGTCGGCAGACTGAAGGTTGAGACCTAAACCACCCGCACGAGTCGAAAGCAGGAAACAGAAGTACTCCGAATCGGGGGCGTTGAAGAGTTTCAAGAGATCGGAACGATCGTCGGACTTAGTGGAACCGTCCAAACGAAGGTATTTCAATCCACGAAGACGCAAGAAATCTTCCATGATGTTCATGATTTGAGTCATTTGGAAGAACATCAAGACACGGTGACCAGTGGCCCGGAATTTGGGTAGAATACGGTCCAACAGCTCGAATTTACCGGCAGTACGCCAGATAAGGTCGTTGGTCCCGCGGGTTGGGTTCATCTGATCCTCGACGGGTTCGAACACAAAGGGATGGTTGCACAGTTTCCGCAGCTGCATCAGCATGTTACTAAGACCACGCATTCCGGTCTTACCGCCCTTGCCATCACTGACAGCCATCTTGTTGTGTGTAACAAGTTGACGGTATAGCTTGGCTTGCAAGGCAGAGAAGCGACATTTGATGACACGCTCTTGCTTATCGGGCAGATCTTTTTCGACATCCTTTTTGAGACGTCTAAGCAAGAAGGGACGGAGAACCTTGTGCAGACGACGAATAACCAGGAGCTGTTCTTCTTCGGACAGCTCCATGCGGTCCTGACCACCGGTGTTGGCAAAGGGAGTGTTGAACCACTCGTCAAACGACTTGACCGATTTGAAAATGTTGGGCAGAACGAAGTTCAGAAGCGCCCACAGTTCGGGAAGGTTGTTCTGCAGAGGGGTACCGGTCAAGATAAGACGGTACCGACTGGTGTAGTACGTCGACAGAGTGCTGCTCAGCTTGGACTGAGTGTTTTTCATACGGTGACCCTCATCGACAATCATGTGGGTCCACTTGACCTTGCTCAGAATTGGCCGATCCTTGATGATGTATTCGTAGGTGGTGAGAAGAACCTGGAAGTTGCCCCACCGGATGGCCTGTTGCTGCTGCTTACGCGCATTCGGAGGACCCTTGTAGACAATCCTTGAGACAGCCGGGGCCCACTTCTCGAACTCCAGGTTCCAGTTGGTGAGAGTACTGAGAGGCACAATAACCAGGAACGGGCCATTGTTCTTCTTCTTTTCGATTATGTAGGTGATCAAACTGATGGTCTGAATCGTCTTACCCAGACCCATCTCATCGGCCAGGATACCGTTGAGGTTGTTGTTATATAGCGAAATCATCCACTGCAAACCTCTCATCTGGTACTCCTTGAGCTGGCCACCCACAAGGATGCTTGGCTGCTCAGTGATCTCCTCCTTGATACGGTGAGCCACGGCGTAATAGTCAATCTTACGTCTTCCATCGCCTTCTTCGTCACTGCCAGAGGCTGTAGCAAGCTCTTCTTCCTCCTCTTCATAGAAATGGTCATCCTCGCCATAGCGTTCGGCAAGGCTGCGCTGCTGCTCTCTAACCGACGCCGCAAGCTGGTGAAGGAAGTTGTCGGTCTGCTTCAACAGATGAGAGATACGGGAATCCTTGGCTTGTCCCAAAAGCTTCATGTATGTCTCTTCATCGTTGGCCTTAAGAGCCTGGAGACGCTGCTTGGCAGTACGCTCGACACGTTTCTGCTCCTCACGCTCCATGTGCTGGTGATGCTGAAGCATCATGCGACCCAACTTCTGCATACGGGTACGCTGCTGGTTGGCGGCGTTCTGAAGTTCCAAGCCGTGGTTGAGGATCGCTTGAAGTTGATCGTATTGCTTCCGCTTCTCGCGCGTCTCGCGAGCATCACGCTGTTGCTTCTCTAGTTTCTCGGTGATCCGAGCTTCCCGCAGGGACTGCTTCTTCATTCGGCGATGGTTCGAGCGATTTGCAGTCATGCCAAGATTATCGAAATGGAACATCTCATTCTGAATCTGCTTGCGGAAGAGCCTTTGCTTTGGTAGCAAGTTGAGCATCTTGTATTCGATCAGAGCTTTCAACTTCAAGGAATCGTCACCAGTCGCGGTATCGCCTTGGCTAGAATTCCACACGCCAACATTGGCAGGCAGTTCGGCGAGCTCCGCTTTGCGCGCATTGATTTTGTTGTACAGAATCACCTCCCTCTCCTCGCGCACCTGGTCCAGGTCGACTCCAGGCGGCATCAGAGCGGGAATGCGTGCGCGGTTGACGCGGGAAGCGTGATCGGTGAAGCTGATTGTTTTAGAGATCGATTCGTACGGCGACTGGAAGCTTTCATAAAAGTCTTTAGTCTGAGGAGCGTCCTCGGTGGCACTTGTGGGCTGTTCAGATTTATCGCGGCTCACACCGTCCAGAACAGTCTCGGCAGCCGCAATGTTATCGGGTGGGGCGGGTGTCTGTTGCTTCTTAGCAGCGAACAGCTGCTGCTGAACACGAGCTGGTAAAGGAAGGTTCTTGGAAAGCATCTTGAAAGCTAAGATCTGATTTCGCAGCGTCGCAAGTTGCTCGGCCGTGAAGCCACCACCCGGAACCGGAACGCCCTTCTGGGGAGCGGACTGTCCCGGGGGTTGTTGCTGACCACTCGCAGTTGCGGGAGTGGCATCCTGCGCGGGGCCGACGCCGGAAGAGATGGAGTTGCTTCGACCTGTAGGTACACGCGTTTAGATCAGAGTTCCAATTGATACGCGACAAAGAGGAAGTGATGGTCTTACCATTGACACCATTTGCGGAGACAGAGTCAGGAGTCGCGCCATTCAACTGCTGCTGACGTTGCTGTGCTTGAAGCTGCTGCTGCTGCGCGATTTGTCGTTGCTTGTGGAAGACTTGCTGTCTTTGGACGGCAGAGAGGAGGTTATGAGCTTTTAGGTATTCGGGGTCGTCATGACGGACGCCTTGCTCTTGCATCTGCTTGTATTTCTATGGGATAAAAGGGTTAACACGCGGTCCTGTAGTGACGTGAAAAAAAAAGTCCAAGAGGGCAATCAAAGGAAGACTCGGCGTGGAAGGGCAGGAGAGAAGGGCACGAGAGAGAAAGAGGTAAGAGAATATAATATTAACATATATTATGGGAAAGCAAAGAGAAAGTAAAAAAAAAAATTGAAAGGCGAAACGTGCGTGAAGGAAGAGTCCAGGAATAGACGCCGGTATCGTACCTGAAAAACCTCTTGAATATGCTGCTGCGTCAGATTCGGCGGCAGGCTCATGTTTCCAGCGGCCATGTTGGGAGCTGACTGGAGGGAAGCCATTCTCTAGCGCGTGGTTGCTTGAAGCATAAGCAAAGAGTTCTTACACGCCCCAGGTGGAGGTAAAATGCGACAGGAGACCGCGACTTGGCCGAGAAACACGTAAAAAAGTGAAGGTGGTGACAATGAATGACCGGTCGCGCCTGTCAAGCGACAAAAGCGCGCTAAATTAAGGACGTGAAGGGGACAGGGGAGATCTAATGTCGAAGGATGCGACAGGTAGCGGCCTGTATCTGGACCTTGGCGAAAGGTTTCGTGATGTTTTGAGCCGGGTCGGGGGAGAGAGAACGAGACAGGGCGGTAGGCGGCAAACAGAAAGGACGGGGGTGGGTGGGAAGGGAAGGGAAGGGAAAAGAAGGGGAGCCAACGCGAGCGCGAAGGGGAGTGGGAAGGGCCCCAAACGGAGGGGATGCGCAGAAAAACGGCGCGTGGAAAGGATGGGGATGGATGAGATGGAGATGGAGGGGACGGGACTTTCGCGACGTTTCCGTGCTGGTCGGGGAAACTGGCTGTGCTCAGCCTGTCGGTGACTGACGGGAAGGGAGGAAGGCAGGCGGCGAGAGAAGGCGAAAGTCTGCGAGACGATGGGAAAGGAAAGATTTCGGTGCGGGAGGGCACGTGAGAAGCTGACTCAGCGGCCCGTGCACGGGTCTTGGCGGATCATTCCGGTTGGATGAGTCAGGTCCACTTATTCACGTGCATAACCACTCCTCTTATGGATTTGATTACCTCGCATACATGATCTAACAACTACGGAAAATCTCGAATCATCGATTCCAACGCCTGTTGAATATCCGTCTTCATATCGTTCACATCCTCCACCCCACAACTCACGCGCAGAACTCGGGGATCCCGTCCCTCATCGCTCATGGCCCGCCACTCCATCAAGCTCTCGACCCCCCCGAGGCTGGTCGCGTGTTGGAAAACGTACAGCCTACTGGGAAGTCTCTGAGCGATCTCGGCCTTCTTGGTCCAGAGAGAAAAGACGGGTCCGTAACCGCCTGGCATCTGCTTCTGCAACCAGCCCTGCTTGAGAGCATCATGCTGGATCGACGCGTGCTCCACCTTCTCAATGGTTCTGGCAATGACAGAGTCCGGCTTTTGTAGCTCGGTGCTGAGCCAGCTGACGAGCTCCGTGGCCGTGGCAGACTGCTTACCGACCCGCAGATCGAGGGTGCGCAGCGACCGCAGTCCCAGCCAGCTCTCCATATTACCCATGATGGACCCGTAGGTACGGCGGTCTTCGATCAGCGTCCCGTCCCAGCCCTCGTCCACCCGATGCTGCGGGACCACGAGGAGACCGCAGAGCATATCGGAATGGCCGCCGATATACTTCGTTCCGCTATGCATGACCAGATCCGCACCTTGGTTTAGAGGGTTTTGGAGCGGCGGCGGCGCGAAGGTCGAGTCGACCACCAGATAGGCGCCCTTGGCATGTGCCTTGTCGGCGTAGTACTCGAGATTGCGCGCTGTGCCGGTAGGGTTCAGCGGCGTCTCGACGTGGACAATGTCGCCGGCCTCCAGCTGATCCAGGTCTTCGAGGGTGAGCTTCTGGACGCCGATCAGGCGCTCCATTAGTCGGATGCCCCGATGGACGCCGTGATAACCCTCGGTAATAAAGATACGCTTCGGCCTGAGAAGACACATGATGCCGTGGAAGGCGGCCAACCCGCACGAGTATGAAATCACTCGGCCACCAAAGATCTCCCGGAGAACTTTCTCGAAGCGGGTCGTGTTAGGCGCTGTGTATCTGGCATAAATATGGGAATCTTGGGGGTTGGCGGGCTACAATGAACGTCAGCCAAGAAGCACAGCAAGACTTTGCAATGGTGCCTACATCAGTATTTTCATGCGGCTTCAGAGTATCTGGATCGCGATGATACCGGAAGTTAACCGCAGTGTGCATGCACGGGGCAATAGCCTTGTGGGTGCTAGAGAAATCGTCGGCATGGACTGCCTTGGTGGCAATGGCGAACTTGGGAAGAGCCTCGTCGAGAAGCTCCCTCGTGAGGATGAACTTGCCATCATTGCCGTCTTGATTCGAGCCCATCTTGACAGGAAAGGAGGAAGTATGTTAGATAAAAGGTGGGCTACGCGATCAACTTCTTTGTGAAGCGTCTCCGTCAGTAAATTGCGGGGTCAGGATCAAGGTCAAAGTCAGAGTCACTACGAGGGAGTCGCTAGCTCTTGAAAAGATCTCGTTTAAATACTCCAGTCCAGAAAGAGGGATCGTCTGTTCCGAATCCCGATCTCCGGGTATGCCGAGATGGCCAGTGAGATATCGATCCGAGAGCTATACTTCCCCACAGTGTTCTGTACTATCACGATCCATCGTGGGTAGTCCACTTCCCCAGCTTCCTACGATTCTAGCCGAATCACCCATGGCCTGTCGCCTCCCTTGGCTGGCCGTCATGACCGGGGGGTTGAGGTGGGTTCTTCTCCATGTTTCCTTCCCCACGTTGGGGTCTGTTTTCTGAACCCTAACCAATCCTCCGGGGTTTGGTATATAGGGTCAGAATTCTCCCACGCTGCTAGGGAAAATCCCCAAGAATAAACCCAAGGTTTGACTGTCTCCACGGCATTATGTCCCCTAAAGATTTCGATCCCCGCGCGGTCGAAGAGCCCCATGTCCTCCATGTCGAGGCCGCCGACCCCAATGGCCCGTCCAAAGACGTAGGGCAAGGCGACGGTGCGGTGGACTTCTCCGAGAGGTCGGAGATGAAGCAGGGGCTGAAGAGCCGCCATATTCAAATGATTGCCCTCGCGGGCGCCATTGGCACGGGTCTCTTTCTTGGATCTGGTCGGGCGCTTGCCATCTCGGGGCCTCTGGGGGCGCTGCTCAGCTTCAGCATGACCGGGGGGCTGGCCGCTGGGGTAGTGTTCAGCATGGCCGAAATGGCCGCCCTGGTTCCTATTTCCGGAGGCATTGTGCGCTATGCTCAGCTGTTTGTCGACCCTTCACTGTCTTTTGCCAATGGCTGGAACCTGGTGTACAAGGGGCTTATATTTATTCCCACGGAGATCGTCGCTGCGTCTGTATTGATGCAGTTCTGGACTGATCTGAACAGTGCAATCGTATGCCCCCCTCCCTCCCTCCCTCCCTTCCTCTCTCTCTCTCTCTCTCTCGTGTCCTGACTTGGAAACGCTAACCCTCCATCTCAGTGGATTACAGTGTTTGGCCTGTTAATGGCCCTTTGCAACTGTCTTTTCATCGGGTTCTACGGCGAGCTCGAGTTTGGATTTGCCATTCTCAAGATTATCCTGATTTTTATGGTCAATATCATGGCTATTGTCATTATCTCTGGCGGTGCGCCTCAAGGGGAGGTCATCGGTTTCAAGTACTGGCATAGTAAGTGTTCTTTTGTCGCCCGTTGTCACCCGTCCTATCTAACAGTAATCAGATCCAGGCCCATTTGTCCAATACTTAGACATCGAAGGATCTCTAGGACGGTTCCTAGGGTTTTGGTCCGCCTTCACCAACGCCATTTACGCATATTCAGGAGTAGACAACGTGGCGCTGGCGGCGGCGGAGACGAAAAACGCCCGCGAGGCCATCCCCAAGGCAGCCAAAAAGACGTTCTGGCGGATCGTGATCTTCTACGTGATCACGATCTTCCTGATCGGCATGCTGGTCCCGTCCAACAACGATCGTCTTCTCGGCGACTCCGGCACCGCAGCCTCCCCGTTCGTCATCGCGGCCAACCTCGCGGGCATCCAGGGCGTGCCGCACTTCATCAATGCGGTCGTGGTAACGTCGGCCTGGTCCTCAGGCAACGCCGGGTACATGACCTACGTACGATATCTGTTCGGGCTGGCCAAGTACGGGCACGCGCCGCGCATCTTCCTCCGACTGAACCGCTTCGGCATCCCCTACGTCGCGGTGCTGCTCTTTGCCGTCTTCATGGCCCTCGGGTACATGACGACGTCGAGCGGTGCGGCGGAGGTCTTCACTTGGCTACAGGATCTCTTGTCCATAGCGATCCTGGTGAACTGGATCGTCATCACGCTGACCTATCTGCGGTTCTACTACGGGTGTCGCAAGCAGGGGATTCCTCGGGCACAGCTCCCCTACCGGGCCCCGTTTCAGCCGTACTTTGCATGGCTGTGTCTCGTCTTCTTTTCTCTGATTCTGCTGACCTCGGGATGGCCGGCATTTTTGAAGAATTCATGGGACACAAGGACGTTTGTGTCGGCGTACGCTAACGCGCCGTTCGTGCTGCTGCTGTATGCCGGGCATAAGTGGGTGAAGAAGACGAGGCTTATTCGGTTGGAGGAGATACCGATCCGATCGTTGATTGACATTGCGGATCAGGAAGAGCCGTCTCCTCTGCCGGTTAAGAAGGGATGGCGAAAGCTGAATTTTTTGTGGTAGTAAGCTATTGCGAGACAGAGATGACTTAGATCTACAGAGGGGTGAGTAGGTTTAGACAAGGGGTTTGCCGTTGTTCCATGGTCTTACATTATCACAATACTTACAGAAGTTCAGAGTAGAACTGTACATTAGCAATGCACTGTGACTCTCTTCCTATACCCATCCACTTACTCCTCGCTATTCCATCCTCTTTACCACGCCTCATAGTCTTTCCACCCCCGCTCGAGGGAGCATCAAGACCAATAAGATGAGCGTCCGAGGGTTTGAAAGCCGAACGAATCAGCCTAGTATCCGAGTCTGAAGTAGAGTGCGGAGTAGTATGACATGTCAGGTAGTTTTAGCTAGCGAGATATCGTGATTTAATTCAGGTCGACCCCGCGATTTGGACTGTACACTAAATCTACACCACCGAATCGATACCTTTCTTAGTTCCTTCTTCCTGTCCACCCTCTCTCTCCAGAAAAAAAAAATAAAATAAAGAGCAAACAAAACCATGTCCAACTCAATCCCCCCCTCAAGCTCAACCCTCCGTCCAAAAACCTACTTCGCCCAACGCGCCGCCGCCGAAACGCAAGCAAACTTCACCTTTCCCTCGCGCAGCGTCCCAGAAACACTAGCCTGCGCATGCCGCCTGATCGCCCACAAACAAGAAGACGCCGGACTAGCAGGACAGATCACGGCGCGGTCATCTCGCGGCGCAGGCATATACTGGACGTTGCGATACGGGCTAGGCTGGGACGAGGCGACACCGGAGGATTTCATCGAGGTAGATGGCGACCTCAACACTGTTGGAGACCGCAAGGGGATGGCGAACCCCGCCACGCGATTCCATCTATGGATCTACGCTGCTCGTCCTGACGTGCAGAGTATCGTACACGTGCACTCCCCCTGGGTAGCGCCTCTTGTGGCGGCGCGCCAGCCCCTAATCGTGACGCAGATGGATCAGACGCCGTTTTACGATGACTGTGCCTTTCTAGGCGAGTGGCCGGGTCTGCCGATTGCGGACCAGGAAGGGGTGATTATCCGGGAGGCGCTGGGGAGGAAACGGTCGATTCTGCTGGCACATCATGGGATGTTGACGGTGGGGAAGTCGGTGCAGGAGGCGACGTATCTGGCTGTCAAGTTGGAACGGGCGGCGAGGATTCAGGTCCTGGCGAGGGTGTTTGGGCCGTTGGTCGAGGTGGATGGGGAGCTGGCGAGGGAGGCGAGGGATTATTTGCTGAGGGAGGATGTGGTGAAGGGGACTTTTGAGTATTGGTTTCGGCAGACGAAGGGGGTGAAGCCGTTGGATTTGTAGGATGGTTAGACTGTGGAGATGTATACAGATTTCAGAATGGAGGATAGTCTATGCTTCTTTTCATGGTGATACTACATACTTGTTACTTTTCTGTACTTTCTATTCTATACTCTACTCTGCTCTATAGACTGTCTACCCCAGAGAACCTTCACCGACTAAGTACACGTACCAACAAAGAAGACAAGAATAAGCCCCCTCCACAGTGCCTGATCAGCAATCCACGTAGGATCCGAGTCTACCAATAACCATCCCATCCGATGATCCACACCTTGTGTAATTCTCTAGAGCAATCAACAATCAATCAATCAATTATCGATCAATCCACACTTTCAAATCCCGGGGATCCTTCGTGTGCCATGACCAATGGACTCATTGTCCGAACAGGATCTCGTTGGTCTACCATAGAATAGGTAGTATATAGATGCAGACTCCATCTCCCTTTTACTTCAGTATACTCCCTCACTCTCGCTCTCTCTCTCTCTCTCTCTCTCTCTCTTACACTCACTCACACACATACAACAAATCCTACAAACAAACCAACAAAATGACCCTCCGCGAAAAAACCTACTTCCAAGACCGCGCCACCCAAGAAATGGCCACCCACCTATCTCTCCAAACCCGCTCCCTAAAAGAAACCCTCACGCAGGCCTGCCACATAATCGCCCTCCACGAAGGCGAAGCCGGCCTCGCAGGGCAGATCTCCGCACGCTCCACCCGCGCGCCTTCCTCTCACGAGAGCCCCAAAACATACTACTGGACGCTCCGCTTCGGCATTGGCTTCGACGAAGCCACCCCGGACGATTTCATCGAGGTCGACTCGGACCTGAACACCGTCGCCGGGACGGGGATGGCGAACCCCGCCACGAGATTCCATTTATGGGTCTATGCGGCGCGACCCGATGTGTCGAGTATAGTGCACACGCACTCCCCGAGCGTCTCTGCGCTTGCGGCGGCGAAACAGCCACTGGTGGTGTGTCAGATGGATATGACGCCCTTCTATGACAACTGTGGATTCCTAGGGGAATGGCCCGGTCTACCGATCGCCGACCACGAGGGGGTGATTATCAGTGAGGCGTTGGGGCCGGACCGCAAGGCGATTATCCTGGTGAATCATGGGCAGTTGACGGCGGGGGTGAGCGTTGAGGAGGCGACGTATCTCTCGGTTTACCTGGAACGGGCTGCAGGGTTGCAGTTGCGGGCGAGTGTGTTGGGGGAGCTGGTCCCTGTGCCGGGGGAGTTGGCGGTTGATGCGAGGGATTATTTGTTGAAGGAGAGGGTGGTTGGGGCGACGTTTGATTATTGGGGGAGGATGGCGGGGAGGAAGGGGTTTGGAGGAGGGTTGGAGGGGAGGAGGTAGGTTGGATGGATGTTATGGAGGTCGGTTGTATCATATAGTAGGGCTTAGTTCCTATGGTGTATAGCTACAAGGCGATTCCTATACTCAGGGATTGCCATATATTCGCCTCCTACTTCAAGATCAAAAGACATACAGAATCAATTCATACTCGTCCGCCACGCTTCCGGTCCACTCTGCAACCAACCCATATCATCCAAATCCAGGAATATACCGTCGAGATCAACACGACTGAACAGATCGCTATCAGGAAACGGAACCGGGTTCGCCGGTTCCGTACACACGGTGGGATCAGCATCGTCGGCCTGAAGCAACTCAGAAGAGTGAGCGGCTGGGATCTTGGCTGATAAGATCTCCAGCGCAGCGACGCATCGTTTGGCGGAGGTGCCGATGCGCGCATATGCCTTGAGAATTTGAATGGCGCGGCGCCAGGACACGACGTTGGAGTACTGCGCGATGGTGGTGCCGATCTCCGGGCGGATTCGCTCAGCTAGTAGGACGGTGGCGGCTGTGTAGACGTCTAGGTGATGGATTCAAGGAGGGGGGTGGTTGTCAGAGATGATCTAGTCGTTGAGCAAAGCAGTGGAAAGGGGGGCATACAGAGCACGGAATACCACCAGGCTGGCACCGGTCCAAATACCATGTCCTGGTTCAGATGCGAGTAGATCAGATCGATGGATCGATGGGCCGTCTCAAGACACAGACTCGAGCATTGGATGTCCATTCGACTAGCCAGACTCTCGATCGGTCTTACGGCGTGATGGGACAGGCAGAACTGGGCCAGAATCGGCCGCAGTAATAAGATGCGTGCGTGGAAGAAGCTGATAGAGGGTCAGTCAGTAGTCTATGGTTTACGGAGAAGACCTGACGCACCGAACTCGATTGACCACCGCCAACCGATGACGGACAGACTCTCGATGTTTCAACGGCGCGTCCAGTTGGAGTTCAGCCGACAGACCAGCAGTCCAGTTCATGAGGTCCTCGTCTAGCTTGAACACGGTGACTACGTCGGGGTGTTGTCGTCCGCCGTGGTCCATGTAGAGCTTGAGGAGGATGTTGTCCATGATGTCGTGCAGCTTGAGCTGGGATACGTAGAATTCCATTATGCACGGCTCGTTGTCTGGTCGAATCGAAGACCCTTCAACTTGCAGATCCAGGAACTCGTCGTCGATCATGCTGGGCAGGGGGACCACGGCGGACAGCCATTTCGGGATCATAGCTGGACGGCCAAAGGTCATGGCCAGGACGCTGAACATGTCAGAAGAAGAAGAGAATGTAGGGAAAACAGAAGATGAAGATAAAGGTGAAGATGCAAAAAAAAAAAAAAAAAAGAAGAAGGATGGTTCATGGTTCACCCCAACATACCGATCCATAAGAATACACCCATGCCAAATCCTCCTCACCACTTCCCTCCCACGCAGCGATCTCCCCGGAGCATTATAATCCGGAAGATGCAAACCCAAGCTCTGCGCCATTCGAATAGCATGACCCACGACCATCCAGCACCTCTGCGGGATATTGGCACTTTGCAAATAAATACCCATCAAGAGCAGACACGACACCAGACTCACAGACCCGTTGTCCCGCAGATCATGTTCCCGGATATGATCCGCTCTTAGGAAATACGTATATGCCTTTTCCCAGCGCTGCTCGGGCTCGATTGTTCCGGATACTTGGGTCCCGAGCGCGAAGATGACGTTCATCGTACAGAGAAGGACGCTTTCGTCTGGGGCTGGCCCTGGGCCTGAGCCTGTCCAGACTGATTCATAGAAACGCTGGAACGAGTCGCGGTCGAGGAAGGGATATAGCGGGTACACGAGCTCCCAGTATGAATGCACCAGCTCGTCCGCGGTTTTTCGCGGAGGAAGGACATACTCGATTGAGGGCTTGGTCGAGAACGGCCGCTGCGTGACGCTTAGGCCGTCGGCGGATATGACTCCGACGATGCCAGCCCCTGCATTATCATTCCCTACCCCTAGTCGGGAATCAATTGCCCGTTGCATCTGTCGCATGAACGAGCCCGCGCTGCTGCTGCCAAAGAACTCGTGGCTTCCGGATGGCTCGCCGACTACCCCGGTCATGGAGTCCGTCACTGCCGGGGGACCTGGTTGATAAGGGCTGGAAGAGGATGGAGAACTCTGGACAGGAGCAGGCACTCTAGATACCTCCCTGTGCAGAGCTCGATGTCTCCCGGGGAAAGGGCCCCAAGACTCCGGCGTCCCAGGCACGATTTCTTCGTGTCGCATCGAACGCAGCGCATCGGTACGGTGGTCCGCCAATTCCTCACGAGCAGGGATTCGGGGGAGTAACGGACTAGGCTCTGATCTTCTATGCAAATGCGGTGCAGCTGCATCGGTGGGTTCACCACGTCGAGCGATGCGAGCTCGGTGGGTATTCTCTTTCCCGTAGGAGCATGTAGAGGCAGTGTCTTGTCTCTTGCTGCAGACACCGCACACTAAACCATTTAGGATAGAGTCATCATCTAGTTCATGCCAAACAGGCCATGCACAAGGATCTCAAACAAAGTGGCCACACACCTGGTCGAGCTCCGTTGCATTTGACCTTTCGTGATCGACAAGTGTCGCAGGAGGTTGCAACCTTGAGACGTTTTCTCATTATGGGTGACTGTGGAGCAGTTAGGCCAAGACAATTAACCAGAAATAAAGGGAATTGAATTGGGACGAGAGATGGAATGAAATGTAGTGAATAAAACTCGCATACAGTTAGTATGGAGTATGCATGGTTTAGTGCGGAGAAGGCGTAATCGAACGCTTACACCAAATCGCATGCCAAGATTGCGGGGGAGTCGATGTTGGCCTTGATAGTTGGTTCTAACATCATTAATATCATCTACCATGTAAATACTACCTAGATTCCACCAGATGGGAGATACCAGAATTACCCGAGGTCATGACATGCACGCTTTAGGAAGTTCATTGGAGTGGGTCGCTGTCATCGATCTTGGCAGTTGGAGAACTGTTTGTGATCTATTCAGGCAGTAGCAACAAGGAGCTATCAACGATGACTTCGGAGAATTGTATCTACGCTTCTAGTCACTGTAGGCCATGAAAGCAAGGAAAGATCTACACAGCCAGATAACCCATGATTATTATTTACAATGAGAAAGACAATCAACTATCCACGATCCCTCCTTCTTATGTTCCCTCGCTCTCTCTCCTTCATGCACAATAGTTCCTCCTGGTCAACCCGAATCTGTCCAGACAGATCTACATCTCAGCACTCAACATGGGTTTCTTCATGGGAGGCGGAGGAGGAGCTGGCTTCTTGGCCCGTGAAGGGGGAGGAGGGGGAGGTCCTTTCTTGGGCCCGCCAGCAGCGTTCAGCGCCGTTGAACTGGCTCTTCGTGACACCCCTCCGTAAGACGAGGCAGGCGATTCAGATCGTCCATAGTAAGACCTCTCAGGGCTCGTGTTGCTGCTGGAGCGGAATTCGCCGGACGCATCGATATAAGGATCGGTAGGCACTCGGGCAGGAGGTCGAGCCTGGATACTGTTCCGGCGACTGATCACATTCTCGCTGGTTGTCCGCCCCGGCCATTGAGAGCCAGATGCATGATCCTGTCGCAGCTGCGCGGGTCCTTCGAAGGTCGAGATGCGGTTCAGAACGGGTCGCTGAGGCGGCGGAGGTGGCGTCTCAGCCACGTAGGGTTCTCTCGACTCCACAAAATGAGTTGAAGGCGATCGGCTCGTGCGGATGATCGGACGCTGATCCGCGCCATTGGTGTTCTCCTCCTGCAGCGGTTCGTATCGGTCCTGGAACGAGTGCGCAGTGTTGGAACGAGCACGTCCAATGCGACGGCCATTGGGGGTGGGGGCCTGGGGAGATCTATTTCCATATTAAGAGTATGTCCACGCGACAAACGGAGCACGAGTTGATCTTACCTTCCCGGCCATTCATTCTTGAGCTGGAGGAGCACCTCTCTGCACCGCTCATGATAGTCCAATTGGGCATCCAAGAAAGCCTCCAAGTCGGCCACGCTCTCGGGCTCCGAGTCCTTGATATCCTGCATCCGTCGGAGCACGTCATCGTTGGCCTCCTCGTATTTGACCTTCTGCGTTCGAAGTTCCTCCTCCATTCTGAAATCCTCCTTCTTCACTTTTTGCATTTTCGAGAGCGAGGTGTCGTAGGCCAGTCGTCGGCCATCCAGCTTCTTGCGAGCAGTCTATTTAACGGTCAGACAATCGGTCGCTAGGGAGTACGGAGGAATCCTGTTTACCTGGTAGTCTTTCATCTGGGTCGAGGACCGCTCCAGGGACTCAAGCCAGCCCGAGGTCGTCTGGGAGATGTAGGATTCTTGGACGCGGGCAAGACGTTCTTCCGCTCGTCCAAGCACTATTTCAGGGGAAACGCTCGTTAGGCCCAGCAATTATTTCGGGCGCGCAACAAGTAGGAGCACGTACAGATCAGGGATCGGCCATATTCGGAATTCGCATCGAAGTCTTCACCGTGGCCGACCATGCTGGTACCCAGGTGGGCAATGGGTAGGGTCTTTTCTTTGTCGTCGCCCTCGCTGCGTTTGGAGACGGCCTTGATGTAGGCGGTGGTAGATTTGTGGATTCGATCGATCCCTGGGCGGAAAGAAACGTCAGTCATTGAAGGGGATGGGAATCAATGGCTTGGGGGCTTACCGTCATGTCGCACATTCATCTCGGTCTCCATGGCTTTAAAGTCGTCGGATTGATTGGTTTTGACCTCCCCGCCCATCCGCTCGCCAGCCCATTGCTTGAAGCGATCGAATTTCCTGTTGACGTTCATTTTGTAGTTGTCGAGTACGAAGGTACCAAAAGAAGAAGAAGAAATAAAGAGAGAGAAAGTTTCAGGGACAGATCCGGCCGGCGGAAAGTGTAAACACTGAAAGCGGATGGTGGGAGCACTGATAAGGAGAAGAAGGAGAAAGGTTGGGAAAGCGAGTGTCAGAACCCAAGATTGGGAGAAGGGAAAAAAGAAAAGGCAAGAAAAGAAGGTTGAAGGGAGGCTGGGAGAGAGAAGAAAACAGGAAAGAAGAAGGAAGAGGGAAGGAAAACAAGATGCGACGGAGGTGGGATGGCCGGCGATTAAAGAAGAGCTGGCCCCATCCAGTCCCTGTCGGAGTACGGAAGAGATACCTGAGGAATGAACCACAGTACTACGGAGTAGCGGTACTCTCTAGGTACCATACTGTATTCTCTATTATAGTACGAATACGGTGCAAGCAACCAATGGACGCTGCATTGGATTCCCAACCTGAAACATCGCTCGATCGATGGTGATGATTCTTCGAGGCATCGTTGGCTCGGATTGAAAGTGACACGCGTTGGTGGGTCGGCCAAAGTGGGGGATTTGCCACGCTGCTATTTATATTCTGGCATCCACTGATTCCCTTGGATGAATTCTGGAATCAAGTATCAGGATGTACTAGGTAGTTAGTTTGCAGATGCAGTATGTACATTGGATGGAGTACGTGTATGCAGCATCTATATCTACTCCATATGTATGGAGCAGGAATACTACATAGATTAGATTCCCGGTCTAGAAGGACGATCATGCTGCCAGATGGAGCTCTGACGATCGCACACCAGATTGTCAGACCACGTATGACCAGCCAACGTCAACGGGCAGTAGATCACGGCGATTGAACAGGTCTAAGTCTATCAAAACTTGGCTTTGGGGGCATCCCGGTGGCAGTGTTGATGGAACCCTGACCCCTTTTTTCGGTCCCTGATGAGATGTGATATCGCATCCCTCCTCCCTGACTGTACTTGATACCTCCTGAATGTCCACTTCGACGCGTTGAGATCCGTCTCGATTCAAGGCACCCCTGATATACTCCAATGGATGGAGTTAGAACTCAGGAGTCAGGAGACCAGGGGTCTTGCGGAGTGGATCCGTGTGTTTGATGCTTGTCCCTCGGGTTCCGTAGTTCCCAAGAATAGAAGATGATACGATATCGGATATCCCCGCTCATTCTTCCGCTGGTTGATTGTTCGCTGCGATAGGCAACCACCATAGATATCTGGTCCTCAGAGTCCAGACTCCATCCATCCCATTTCACCCAAGCCACTGTGCATCCTCCCAATGAGCCTCGGCGGCTATCAAAACGTCGAAATCATTCCATAACCCAACGTCCACGTCTCCACCGTTCGCGACCACAGCGTCATCCAGAGTGTCGGGTATGAAGGGATCGCACCGGGCGTCTACCTCTACCTCCCATGCTTGAGACACAGTCAGATCCCCAATCGACAAACTCTCATCCACTAACCCCCCACCACCCCGACCCAAAGCGACAGCCGCATACCGACCCGGCGTAACGCCCTTCATCCTCTTAAACAGGCGATGAAAATAACTCGGCGTGAGGCCCGCCTCGTCCGCCAGCTCCCGAAGCGTCGGTTTCGAACCACCCCGAACCTGCGCCTCGATAGTCGCACAGGCCCGCTGGATCAATTGGATCTGGGGATTCCCCGCCCGCAGAGTCTGGGGTGTACAGCGCTTACAGGGCCGGAAGCCGTCCTGCTCCGCGTCCGAAGGGGTGTCGTAGAACCGGACGTTGGCTCGACGGGCCAGACGTGCCGGACATGATGGGCGGCAGTAGATCTTGGTCGTCAGGACGGCGTAGACGAAGGATGTCGCGTGTGCGTCCCGGTTGACTACGGCTTGCCAGCGTGCGGTGGCTGACGGGCCGGGGGTGGCGTGCAGGCGTGGGATCTTCTGGGGGGATCCTTGTTGGGCCATCACATATTTTGGATTTTGGGGAGGAGATTGCTATACCAGTTGCATCGTAGATGTGGAGGGGAGAAATGGGAGGGAAGAAGAGAAAATCCATAGTTACCATCTTAAAAGGTACGGATATTTCTAAGTCACGGCTCCGCTAGCGCTGATTGGTCAATTTGGGGGCAATGTCTTCGCACATTCTCAGATTGCCACCTTCGCTTGATTTGGCTTCGAATGGGAGTCGATGGTCGACTTGCGGTCTCGTAGGAATATTTCCTCCTTATGTCTGCTATTAAAAAAAAATGTTATCAAATAGAAATAGGTATGTGTGCATAATATCCATAGTTCCTACGGCTGGCGGCACACTTCGACAGCGGATATATATTTGCGGGGAAGACAGACACAATAACCGGTTTCTAGAACTTCTACGTAATCTAGAGTCCATCTACAGGAACTTTCAATGCGTAAAGCGCGACAATAATTTTAGACAACAGCCATTCAGGTACACACCAACCACGCACACCTAGGGTCTCGTCGGTGGTACCCTGACTACATAACGGAGGGCTTATGCCAGTTCCGCGGAATTTGATCATCTCAGAGGCCGATCGAGGAGACGCATGGCATTCTGCAGAATACAAAGGCGAAAGGTCAAATGCCTACACTACACCGTATACACCGAGTAGGTCTACACGGCCAAGATCATACAAGACAAGGACATGAACCAAAAGAAATTTTATTATGTAGATCCCCACATTTTTTGTTTGCTTTTTGAATCTGCCAATTGCTGGTATCGAAGACATAAGACCGACCATTTTTTCCGTTCTTCCGTTTGGTTAATCGTCAATGAAATTTGTTGGCCACAACCTTAATTCGCTAAGGACGCGTGGGAGGCTATCCACAGTCGCCTTAAGTACATATGTCTCATAGCAAAAGAGCATTTTCAACCCGTCACAAAGAAAAAAACTCCACTCCATAACCCGTTTAGTCCTTGGTCTTCTGGGTACCGCGGAGCAGACCAGTTCTCCGGGCAGCAATAAGACCGGCTTTTTGACCCTGGGCGGCGTAGCGGGAGATGGTCGAGGCCTTACCGATGTGCTGGTGGTTACCACCACCGTGAGGCTGTAGAAATTTTGTCAGAATTTGATGTAATAAAATAGGATGGAGGAAATTCTTACGTGATCCACGGGGTTCATGGCAACACCACGAGTCTTGGGCCACGAGTTGCGCTTGACAGCGAACTTGTGCTTGGCACGAGAAGCCTCTGTAGGGAAATATTAGCACTGAACTGATTCCTTTTGGACAAAACCGCAGTCCCCCCCTGAAAAAAAGGAGTCCACTCGGATCACATACTCAGCAAAGGCTTGTCGGTACGGCCACCACCGGCAACGATACCGACCATACCGCGGGAGGTGTTCTTGATGACCTTCTTGGCACCACTGGGAAGCTTGACACGGGTCTTGCCCTCGTCGGGGTTGTGGCCGATGACGGTAACGTAGTTTCCGGAGGTACGGCCCAGAGCACCACGGTCGCCAGACTTCTCCTCGACGTTGGTAACGACGGTACCCTCAGGAACGGAGGCGAGGGGGAGGACGTTGCCGACGGTCAGAGCAGCGTTCTTTCCGGCGTAGATGAACTGGCCGGTGTACATGCCCTCGTTGGCGATGAAGGTCTCCGTGATCTGCTTGAACTTGTAGGGGTGACGGAACTGGACCTTGGCGAGAGGAGCACCACGGCCGGGGTCGTGGATGATCTCCTTCACAACGCCACGAGTGTATCCATGACGCTCGGCGTAGTCGAGGGTACGGAACTGGGCAGGGGCCTTGTTGAGACGGGTGTTGGCCGCTGAACGGGAGATGTCACCGGTCAGTAATTTGTTTCTTCTCTCTGATTTTGAAATCTCGCAGGAAACGATAATAATGCTTCCTGGAATTTCGATCACGAAGAATTGCGGTCGCACTCACTGAAAATGGATCCACGACCCTTCCTCTGGTTGCGGATCACACGACCCATGGCGACTTTCTGTAATGAAGAACCTGGACGTTAGTATTCAAGGAAAGACCGCCTGCGACCCAGTGGTGGGAGTTATCAAAAGCTCGTACCTCAAAATCGGAAGAATGGGCTTGTCGGGTTGGTGTTGAGAATTCGTCGGCGAAAGGCTGTGTGGGCTTTAGGGCGAAATCGCTAATCTAACCGAGTTGGCGCTAGCGCCCCTTTGGGATGGAGTCCCGCGCTTGTGCATTTTCTTTTTTGGCGCGCCGCGGCTAACGTAATCGTGCCCTCGCGTTTGTCTGCCTGATTGATGCCTGCAGTCTGCACTTAAACTTCTCTCGTCCCTTGAGGCCTTTTGACTCTGACCCTTTCTCCACCCTCGCCGGCAGAACCACCACGTTCGAGCCTTAGGAGTTAGACTTAGGGTTCCCTGCGAATCCCGGTTTTCTCCATCGTCTCTCCGAATTTCCATCCAAGCCTATGAACAAACCTTAGTTTCTTGTGCATCTGTCATCCAAGCTCCCTCGATGACACGGACATTTGATAGTTGAGAGGTCAGCTCAGGTTGGCAGTAACGTGATCTCAAACACTCCCGCGGTGACTCCCTAGACTAAACAATTGATTCTAGATTGCTGCCGATGAGACAAGTCCTATGGCCCTTCCAGACTGGTCATATCCCCGCAAGACCATCCCGTCTTCGCCAACGCCTAGAAGGGTTCTGGAAGGTACCTATTAGGGCTTCGCTTTGTCGCAGAGCAAGCATACAACGTCGTTGACCGACTCGATGCACTTTGTCATCCTGTCTTTGGGCCGATGTCAATCAGAACCAGAACCAAAACCAGAAAACCACGATGCACGCTTTGCATGCGGCGCGCTGTCTGTCTTTCAACGCATCCATTCGCGTCGCGCGGTTGCCGTGTTCCCTCACTCCGTAGGACCGTCTAAGCACTATCTACCAGCGGGCGAGATCATATCTCACAATTTACCTTAGTTCCATTCTTCGTTTATTGCGCGTTCACTCAATGCATGGAATCAACTCTATCCATTTATCTCTCTTCATCACTGTGTCAGTTCAACTATATCAGGAATTCCAATTCCCACCTTTGCAGAAATCCCTCAGACCGTGCTCCAAAGGTCTAAATGTAGAAAAATCTCCAAAACCCAAGGACAAAGAATGTCATGTAGTGAACGGGTGCTGATCATAGCTTGATATGGGGCTGCAATGGACGATGCCAGACAAGCCACGCGCGTAAAGCCGCGCTCCCACCCAGGAAGCAGTAGCGCAACAGAACTTCTTGCGGCGCGCACTTGCCCACCTTTTACCCTTGCCGCAACACCCTCTTCACGCAACCAACCCATACATGTCCAACATGTCTCTTTCCGACTCGGAGCTCTCGTCGCTTTCATCGGCGCCTCCGTCAGATGAAGAATCTGGCGCCATGAACGTCGATGAGCCTGTGGGCATCACGAAGTACTTCAAGAAGGAGTCCGAATCTCCGCCGCCGAAACGGGCACCGTCACCACCCCATGAATACGTTCTGGCCGATAATCCCGATATTGCAGTAAGTGAGCACGTTGGCTGGACTTGTTTCAGCTTCCAATCCTCTATTTGACGCGTTTTACCCGTTGTGACGCCCGATCGCTAACCAGTCGCAACTCTCCAGTTCATCGTCATGTTCCGCGCGCGTTTCCACGAGGCCTTCCCACGATCCACGCCACACTTTGGCCCACAAGATATTGAACGAGGGGTCAGCGAGACGCCGCCAGGAGATCACATCGAGAGGCTATTATGTGCTTTTTTGGGTCTGGTGTTGAACCGAAAGAAAGACGTGGAGTATGACCTCCCACCTCGGGCCTCGAGAACGTGCCTTACAGAGGACGAACAGCTGGGGAATTATTGCCCAGAAGCTTCGCATCAATTCTCTCTACAGTTTATACAGAGACCTAACTAATACATACTTGCGAACACAGTCGAAACCACTACCAACGACCTCTGGAGGAAGCGATTCAGACCCATGCCCCCCAGTGGCCTAAGGCTTGGCAGGGAAGGAACCCGCTCCACGGGGGGCGCACTTTCGCGGCGATGACACCAGAAGAACGCGTACGTGATGTGGCTCGGCAATTGGCCTCACCAGAACTTATGTGCTAACATCCACATCCTAGCTGCAACTACTGAAATCCCTCATCCTCTGGTCCTTGTCTTCGTCCGAGGCCATTCAGGCCAAGATTAAGGAATCCTACAAACAAGCGCGTCACGAAGACGACCTGAACCAACCCCTATCCGTTCAGCCCTGGGGTCGCGACGGCCTGAAACGTCGATACTGGCTCATCGAAGGGCTTGACGACACCCATTTCCGATTGTATCGCGAGAGCAACCCAGCCTTGAAGCATGTGACGTGGTGGAGCGTGGCGGGCAGTATCCCGGAATTAAAGGCCATTGCGGATAAACTCGACGAGGAGAGGAGCGTGAACTCGAAGAAACTCAGTGAGAAGATTAACAACTCTATTCCCCGGTTTGAGGGTGCGGAAGAGGTGAGATCCCCTTGGCTTTTCATCCGTCATCTTTGCTTACGAAATTTTAGAAACGCAAACGCCGTGATTATCGTATTGCACGGAAGGCAGCATTCACGCGACCGGAGCCCGGATTCTCCTTATATGAAGGCCGCACTCGGGGAAAGAAGTTGAAATACACCTACTCCGATGACGAGGACATCTTTTCTGATGGCCTTCCATCGACTCGACGCTCTACACGTAATACTTCGGGCGTTTCTACACCCCCGGAGCCAGCCGGCCCCCGGTATACGGCGAGTGGGAGGCAGATTCGGTCTCGCGCGGGGGGGCTGTATGGAGAGACGCTGCTGAGCGGCTCAGCTGCCGATGAGGAGGGCGCAGGCAGACCCCAGAGGACTCGTTCGACCCGAGGAAATGGACAACCGGGGTACGATGTGGACGAGGACATGGGCGATGCATCCGAAGCAGCGAATTCTAGCGGAAATGAATGGCAGGGCGGCGAGGAAGAGGAGGAGAACGAATTTGAAGGTGACGACGAAGAGGAAGTGAGCGGAGATGAGTCGGTCGTGGATGGAGAGGCCCCCAGCTTGGTGGTGCAGCTCAGATACACTAAAGGCAAAGCGTCTAGTCCCAGTGGTCCTGACGGCGATGCTCAACCACTAGAGGCAACGACTCAGCCGCCGGCTCAAGCGCAAACTGGCTCTAATGGGCTAGATACCCACAAGGACTCGGCAGCAGCAGATGCTGAGCAGTCGGCTGTGGCACCCGGCGCGAATCCTGACCAGAAAACCGAACTACAGAACACCGGGGATGAGCAGCTGAAGGAAACCCCAAAGCTTCCCCAGCCTACGACCGGCACAGACCTGCCAACTCACCCGCCCGTCACCCTCGCTAAATCAGGCGAGGCTGCTTGAGTCTAGTTGACTACGACTGACCCGAGTATCTTCTATCCTTATTAGAGTTCTTTGCGGGGAGCGTCTTTTATTCTTTCCATTCATGTTCATGTAATTGAGGGTCAAACGGGGAGTCTTAGGCGTTATTGTCACCGGGAAAACTTTGTTAGGTGGGCATTGAAAAGTGCGCCTGCTCATCAGTCAGTGAGCTGAGCTTGTAGCGCTCTTATGTCACGAAGCGGTTGCTACATGAAAATGGGGGTGTTCTGTCCATGTTGTTAGCTAGAAGATCTAGTAGACATGCTTGATGTCGAGTCTCAAGACAATGGGTCAGTCATGAAACACTCAGTCATGCGACATGTACGAGTGTTATGTATACTCCGTACTGTATTTACTATCATTGATACTACCAAGTCCGCCCAAACAACTTGATCTTTTATAATAAGTTGACAGACAATATCGACCTACAGAGCGGCCGCACAGACAGCGCAAAAAGACAACCAGATAAAAGACGATAGTGAAGCGCTTAGGCAACGCCTTATGACCATAACTCCGAGATGCAAACCCTGAATACAATCTAACATAAACCATGACCTCCAGCAGTCAAGGTGGTCGTAGTCGTAGTCTGTCTAATCCGACCCGGCATTCGCGAATTGCGCCGTGTAGAACTGTAAGAACTCCGCGAGTGTCAGCTCCGGTATCACTACCTACACAAATATCACCGGAGGAAACCTCCCCGGAGAAGCGAGACGGTCTTTGCAGGAGGAAGCTAGAAGGCTAGAAAGCAAGAAAACTTACGTCTTCCGTCCGCGCCGCGAACTGAGGATCCTTTGCCGACGGGAGTGACAGAGACAGGGGCGGAAGCTTCCAGTTGTTCGTCTCATACCACCAGCGACGGATTCGGCTGCCCAGGGTCTGGCCGCTGAGGGAGGCATTGCGGTTCCAGAACCGCCAGCCGGAGAGCGCGAGGGTCCAGACCGTGCCTTGGATCAGAGGGAGGAGGACCTTGTAGGTGGGAGCAGGGATTGTTAGTTTTGAAACGCGAGACTTAATGATTTGTACGTAGGTGGCTTTCGAACGGGACAACAGATGGGGAGGAAGGTACCTGGTCGCGAACCGTGATCCATGCTACTCGGCCCCAGGTATCGGCGTCGCGGATGCTGGCGAGGTAGCTCTGTTCGAAGCGGAGATCGGGCAACGGGGGGAGGTTGTGACGACGGGAAACAGGCTGGATGGAGCGACGCGGGTCGACAATGTCTGATGGGATGCTGTCTGGCTCAGACGGGGTCTCTTCAACTTCATCCACGGGCTCCTTTTCCGAGGCGGCGGTCGGAGGGTTGATGTCGTGGGACGGGGAAGGGTTCGGGTTGATAGAGACGGACTCGAGGGTCTCGGGGAGACTTAAAGGGTTGACCATGGTGAAAGTGAAGTCAAGAAGGGGGAGGTGTTTGTCGTGAAGAGCGAGAATGAGAGCTTAGCCATATGATGTAGATCGGGTCGGGGAGAACGTCGTGCTCCGTAGGTCCCTAAAGGCGGTCATGGCGAATCATTCTGCCCCCTCCTCTTTTTCCCTTCTCCCCCCACTTCTCCTGCTTCTTCCCCTCCTTCTCTTCTTCAATCTCACTCTCACTCCTCTCCCTCTCTTCCATCTTCCTTTTCTCCCTTTTTCCTCCCATCCATCGCTTTTTAAGCACTCAATCTCATTCATCATGGCTGCTCCTCAAGGATACCCCTTCCTCTGTCTGGAGAACCCCCTCCTTGGTATGTAAATCCTAGCCTATGTGGAATATTGAGTTCCTTCAACTAACGTATGAGCTTTATGATACAGATATCCAGGCTGTTGGGTATGATAAGCCCGTCTAGAAAAACATATAACCTCAAGAGTCAGGAATTGATCTTCCTCTTATAGTGATGCCGCCCTCCTGCAGAAGTATGGCCTGAAGGACAACGATGCCATCCTGGCCGAAGAGCAGCACATGGGTCTTTACGAGGAATTGCTCCAGAACCATGACGCCAAGCTGATTGCCGGTGGTGCTGCTCAGAACACCGCCCGTGGTGCCCAGGTAAATTATGAGCTCGTCTTCCCTCAGGCCCATTGGTGTTAACTTTGTTTGCAGTACATTCTTCCCGAGAACTCGACTGTCTACATTGGCTGTGTCGGCAAAGACAAGTATGGCGATATCCTCAAGGAGACCTGCACCAAGGCTGGTGTCCACACCGAGTACCGTGTCGATGATGTCCAGCCCACTGGCAAGTGCGGTGTCATCATTACCGGCCACAACCGTAGCATGTGCACCCACCTTGCTGCCGCCAACGAATACAAGATTGAGCATCTTCAGCAGCCTCACATCTGGTCTCTCGTCGAGAAGGCCCAGGTCTACTACGTCGGCGGTTACCACCTGACCGTGTGTGTTCCTGCCATCCAGGCTCTTGGTGAAGAGGCCGCGGCCAAGAACAAGATCTTCATGCTGTCTCTCTCGGCTCCCTTCATTCCCCAGTTCTTCAAGGACCAGCTCGACACCGTCCTTCCCTACACCGACTACACTTTCTGTAACGAGACCGAGGCTCGTGCTTACGCTGAGAGCCACTCGTGGGGTACCGATGATGTGGTTGAGATTGCCAAGAAGCTGGCTCAGCTGCCTAAGAAGAACACCAACCGCCCCAGAACGGCCATTGTGACCCAGGGCACTCTTCCCACCGTCACTGCTACTGCCAAGGCCAACGGTGAGGTCGAGGTCCAGGAATTCAGCGTGCACGAGATTGCCAAGGAAAGCATCAACGACACCAACGGTGCCGGGTAAGTAACCGTGTTGATGTCTGTCATGTTTTAGGTCTTTAGCTGACGTTCGTGTTTAGTGACGCTTTTGCCGGTGGTTTCTCTGCTGGTGTTGTCCAGGGCAAGTCTCTTGCCGAGAGCGTGGACATGGGCCAGTGGCTCGCCCGTCTGAGCATCCAGGAGCTGGGTCCTTCGTAAGTCCACCTTCATTGGCCTATGCTGATACAATGACCACTGACTTTCATGTTTAGCTTCCCCTTCCCCAAGCAGACCTACACCCCTCGCTCATAAATCACCCCACCCCCCATTCTTAGAAGCCTCACCACCCACCCCGTGAGGTCATAGAAACCCGCAGCAGCAATCACCTTTTTTCTTCTGTGTTTTCTTTATGTCCAAAAATTCAACCTATACCCGGTCCTCGACTTAACGTCCTAGACTAAACTTTCCCTTAACATTTTCATGTGACGATGCGGCTCCCAATCGGCTTCATGATATATGATATAGACAGGAGCAGCAAGCAGAGAGATGACGTTCTCAACAACGAAATGACGATCAGGCTTTTCGGTTCTCTATAAATATTATAACTTGAATACAATTGATCTTCGAGCATTTATTGGATTATGCTTCGAGGGGACTATTCATTTGAGGACATTTTTTGTCTAGGAATTGGTTCTTTTCATTGCGACTTCGTTCGTAGTGCTATCATGCGATGTGCAAAGTAAGTAATAGATAAAATATTTCCAAGTCATCATAATCACCCTGGATGAATCCGACAACCAGCGAAAGATAATAGAAAGAAAAGATAAAAGGGAAAAAAACAACGAACAATAAGAATGAATCAAAGTTCCTCAGATGAGTACTGTAAGAGAAACTATTGAACCTGTCCAATGCAAGAGGCCCTTCAGACAAGACCAGCAAGGGGGTGGGGGGAGGTAATTTTGCTCATTTTGTACGGAGTAGCTCAGTGCAGTGGGAAAAGTAAGGGAATAAATAAACAAAAGGAGAAATGATAACTGGAGAAACGAAGAAAGAAGATAGTAATAAAAAAAAAAACCATGTTGAACGTGTTCTTCTCTTCTTGACGTCATGAATCAATCAGAACTATAGGTATGTAAGTGTCTTCATCGAACAGGGATCAAGAATCCCTGGCCCCTTCCTCCTTCCTTCTTCCTTCTGCTCGCCATGAAAAATGATAGAAAGAATAAGCGATCTCTGCTCGAATCTGATCCTCTGGTTCGTTTTTTTCAACCCCCCAAAACTGTATTGTAAGTTGCTAAGCTTAGCAAGCTGTCTGGTTGGCCGTCTGCTGATTTCCCACCATACAAACAAAGCCCATCATTGTGATAAAGGAATGTAGAACTAGCTGTGCTGCTGGAAGTCAGGAAGGACGGAAAAGACAATATTAACTCAAGAGGATGTCTGTCGGTGCCAGTCTCCACGGGATTGTCAAGATTGATGATGACGAGCACTCAATTTCTCTTCCATTCCTTATCCTGCTTCGCGGATCGGATGACCAAGTCCACAATTCGCACTTCCTGTCGTTGCTGCATGTACCGCGTCAAGGGCTCTTTCTAGGAGATCTTATTTCTCCCCCTGTTCTTTCTTGCCGTGTTCCCTATGTCCGGTCTCCTTGTTCACGTTCCCAATGAGGGAAAGAGTGAGAGAAGACCGGATTTGGGTAATCAGATCACCCCCCTTGTCCGCATGGGGGAGTCTGGCCGATGGCGCCGTACTGGGTGGATGGTTTGCGATTGCCGCTGAATCCGGAGCTGGGGTAGCCGGGAACCGACGAAAAGCTACTGGCGAGGAATGCATCATTGGCCCACGAGGCGTTGGCTAGGCCACTCGAAATCGGCTGACTGGGCACACCGAGGGAGGCAGGCGAATGCACCGCTTCCAGCTGGGCTCTTTCCCAGTTGAGGCCCGAGAGACGGTGGTGCGATATGGGATTGGCTGCACCCATCCATGGGGACATGGTGCCAGGCCCGCTTAGGGGGTTCTGCAAGGGGCTTTGGTTTAGGAGACTCTGGCGGAATAGAAGCTCGTTGGCAATCGCCTCCTGAGACGGCTGGCGATGATGACCGGGGGCACCGACGCTTCCCGGCATCATATGAGCCGGTCGTTGTCCGAGTCCCGGTGGCGTACGAGGAGACGAAGCCTCGGCGAGGTCAGGCGAAAGGGCGGTGTTCCAAATGCTGGGGATTCCGGGAAGCGCGGGTCTTGAGGTGTAGGACTGAGACGACGGATCTCTGACGAGAGCGGCAGCAGCTGGCATCGGTGGGCCAAGTCCAGGAGGGGCAATGGGAGTCTGGCGTGGAGGGAAGTTGTCTTCGCGGAAGATCGAGTCCGTGCTAGGGTCGAACATACGGCTCGAGCGCTGTTGCTGACTGGCATTCTGAGAGAAGGCCAGGGGCTCTGGCAAGGTCGGGCCGTTCTCATACGTGTCTGACTCTACCAATCGTTCTACCCCCTCAACTATGCGGTGCATACTCGCGGACATCGACGCAGACGCCGATTGAGAGCCGCCAAATGTGCTCCGGGCATCTGTGGCATGTTGGGGATCTTGCGCCACTTGTTGAATGTCTTCCCGTCCGATGCTCGCGGAAGGAAGCGTGTGCTGATGGCCTGCAGGACTCGCAAGAAACTGAGAAGGCAGATCCTCTTCTTTGTAGATGAAGGTCTTCTTGTCTTCATCATCGATCAGGGCCACGGGGATTTTCTGAGTTAAAAGAGGATTAGCAACCACAGTCATGAGAGCGAGGATAGGTATGAGGTGTGCATACATTGCTGACAACCAGGTCTAGACCATCAATCACAAACTCACGAATCCGATATAGCATTTCCATGTTGGGATGGCTTCTTTCAACCCCTAGGTCGTTCATTCGAGGTTTCTGCTGACCGTTCATATCAAAGTATCTGCGCGACGTAGCCTCCACGCTGAGGGGTGCAAAACACAGCGTTTCTTCATCCTCCTCCAAGAGGTAGTCGATCTCTGGAAGATGAACCACGTCAAAAGTCGACGCAAGGAGAGTCAGGGTGTTGGCATAAATCTTCCAAAATTCTGTTATCTGCACGGCAAGAGGGGTGTCTTTTTCCTCCTTGTGCGCCACTAGTAGATTGCTGACGGTAAGAAGCCAAGAGCTGTAGTTCCGAAGGGCGGGCAGAACACGACGCGCAACGACGGTGACTTTATCGGGACCGGTCCTCGTTTCCTTGTTGGTAGGATCCTCGACGGCAAACCGTTCCACTTCGGCCAGAAGGATCTGGAGCAACGTGAAGAAGGTTTTCACGTTTGTTCGCTGAAGGAAGAGGCGCGCATTTGATACGGACTCTTCTGAATCTTGAGATCAATGACGGGTCTGATAAGTGCCCAAGTCAGGAGACTTACCATTTGAGCGTTTCCTAGAAAAGTCTTCCGCGGCGATGTTGATCAGACAGAACTTCTGCAAAGTACCCTCAAGTGAGCGTTCTTTGAGGTCGACAGCGAGCTGGTTGAGCACCTCACTTTCTAGCTCGTCGTGCTCCGGAAAATCGGTGCCCTTGTAGCATTGGGCGTGCAGGTACACGAACCAAGGGGCCAATGCTCGGCCAGGAATGCCAGCATCTTCCGGACGAATCAACTCCCGCTTGGTCCATGCAGACTTGACCTTCCGAAATTCGATCTCCAGGTTGCTCCGAGCCGATGGGTGGGGCTCCTGCGCCGCCAGGGCCCTGTAAAGATGGTAAGTGGCCCTCAAGTGGTTGCCATCGGCGAGAGCAATAACGGCCAGTTGATTGTGCGACATGCCCGAAGCCGGGTAAATAATCATAGCTAAGTCATAGTAGCCAATGGCAGGTCCCCAGTTCCGGTCCTTGCTAACCAATTCAGTTTCGCGGTAGCGCGACAGGTCGCCGAGATGGATGAGGGCTCCATGGCATGATAAGAGTACACGTCTTCGAAGGTCTCCGGACGCTTGGGGCGTCGATTTCCCCACGGGGGGATCTGCTGGAAACACACCCAAACTCAATAAAGACCCTGGTACGGACGGGGATGGTTATCGCTCACTGTCAAAATTGAACTTCCGCGCAACTTTTTCAAGCTCGGGAATGCAGCCGAAATGCGACGACAATTGCTGGATATAGCCCCGATAAAACCGCTGGCTGGATTTGATGAACTCGAGATAATGTTTCTCGAGTTTCCGTCTCTCGACCGGTTTCTTCTTCTTCACAGTTTCGTCGCGGAACTAGATAGGCGCCAATGGATTGATTAGACGGGTGACGGTAGGAAAACCAGGAATCCGGGGAGTCGTGGCACTCACGCGAGAGAGAAGTTTACGGAATCGAGTGTTGATCTTGAGATGCATGTCCCAGAGATGGGACTCAACATCGACGGAGCGAGCAGCCTCGAAATCCTGGAGGATGGCATTTTGGCAGGCGGACCGGAATCTGCGACAACGGAAAGAGGGGAAACGGTCAGATCAAGAACTCGGGGCATGCGAATCAATCGGCGGCTGAAGCGCAACATGAGAAGCAAACTGACTCTGAAAGATAATGCGAGATTCCGGTAAACGTGGGTTCTTTTTCGGCAAGGCTCTTCAGAAGCTCCCTTTCGGCATCGAGCGCAATCCTGCATCATGGGATTTAGGAGCAAGTCCACATCGCGGAGAATGCAAGGGGAACAAGGTACTGACTGCCACGTATTCTGGAACGCGGACGCCATGCTCAGGAGACGACGAGACCAAGCCGTATCACTCCACCGTTGACCTCGCCCGTCAGATGGTTATGGCTGGCTGGAAGTCTGCGGGCGACCAAAGTAGTGAACGATCCATCAGTAGTATATACAGAGCGAGTGAGCAGACGACGAGCGGATCCGGAAGGAAAGGTGAGAGGATTCGCCAATGACGGAGGATAGAGGGAGAGGCGAGCACAGGATGGACACGGACACGCGAGGACGAACAGGCGAGGGGTTGCGGCCGCCGCTCGTTGCGAGAGAAAAGGGCATATCACGGGGAAAAAAAGAAAAAGGCGTCGGGACGCTGTGGCTGACTTGTGGCTGGTGAGGATCCCGTGTATTGCGGTATTGCGCTGACCGGACGGTATTGTATCTTACACCTATTCGTCTTGCACCATCCTTTCTATGTATATCTACTATCTACTCCTTGTCAATTGGGAGTCCCTTCCAACGAACTCATACTCCTTCCTTGTTACCTCCAATCTCACTAGAAAGGATTCCAATATCGGGGAGATTCACATTCATCTGACATCCCTTCTCTTCCTTCCCTACCACCCAGTATATATCTTCATCTGGATCATTAACCGACCACGATTCCAACCGACTATCCAGAATAAAACTCCCAAATGTCCAAACGCTCGCGCAGCATGTCCAGAAGCCCATTGGCCGGACCATCCCTAGACACCAGAACAAGGTCTACATCCCCAGCATCATCCACCACCTCCCTTGGCCGCAGCAAAATCCACCTCGGGGACCCAACCAACTCGGCCTCCGCCGTGATGCATTGCTCCTTGCCACCTCACCGGGGGGCATTGTCATTCTCATCGTATGAAGAGTACGAGGTCCATTACATGCAAACCCACGTCAACCGGTGTTCAGAGTGCGGGAAGAACTTCCCCACGGGCCACTTCCTGAGTCTGCATATTGAAGAGAATCATGATCCACTGGTTGCGACGAGACGAGAACGAGGAGATAAGACAGTAAGTACAGCAGTGAACTCAGCTCCCTTTGGCTTTGACTGGGTGGACTGGGCTAATTGAAGGATGAGCAGTACGGATGTTTCATCGAAGACTGCGAAAAGAAATGCTCCACGCCCCAGAAACGACGGATGCACCTAATAGACAAGCACATGTTTCCCAAGGTAACCAGCCCCTTCACTCCATCTAGAATAGGCAGCCAACGACTGATGTTGACGATCGACAGACGTACAACTTCTACATCGTGAACGATGGCATCGACAAGCAGACTTCGCTACTGCGTCCAACGAACCATCCTCGGCATCGCATGCCGAATGCCCCGACCTCGCCCCAAGCGGGTCGGCTGAGGTATAGAAAGACTTCTGTATCTGATTCGGATCCTTCGGAACCGACGTCCGCGGAGAACGCAGCGCCTCGGGAGAAAGGGGATACGGATATATCGCAATTGGAACAGTCCATGTCTGCCCTGCGATTTGTCCCGAAAAGCGTTGCTCAGAGGAAGAGCTAGAATCGACCTATGGTTTAAGGGGAAGGGGTGGATACGGAAGTGAAGTGTTAGATTAGATGATGTGATGATTTACTGTAAATATAGCTCTAATACTCATGATTAGCGACTGGGTATCATGCGAGGATCAAGAAGATATAGGTAAAACATGTAATTGCATTGTACTTTAAATACTCAACCAATACCACCACCTTTAGCGATGGGTTTATGACCCAATGGAGGTCACCTCGGAGCCAGCAGAGCAGGAATAAGTGAGAAGCAAGAGAAAAATCGGATCGACATCAATTCCAGACGCGTGAAAACTCATGATAGAAAATTGGCCAATGGTGCAGGTATTAAGTAAGAGAAAAGCCCGGTTTTCTGTCCCATCCCGTCATAACATGTCCCACAAGTGGCAACGCAGAAAGAGAAAAAAAGATAAGATAACATATATAGAGCCACAATAAGAAAGACAGAAAGAAAAAAAAAAAAAAGAATAAAAAACCATAAAGCTGAGCCGCTCCTCCGTCATAAAAAACTTGCACACTAATTTATACAGGGGGAAAAACAACAAGAATGGGCGCATGGGTATATAGCAATATCATCTAGTTTGGGGAAGATTCGCTTGAACCACAAGCCTGAAACGCGAACCGCCCGAGTCCTTCGATTTTGATCCGTGAAATGATATTGATATCGAGCAAAAACATGCCAAGCGGTCCTTTCAACAAAAGGACAAGCAAATACTAAACCATCCGATGAAAACCCAGTTACAGCCTTGTGATTCAACAAGCTGATGGTAGAACCACAGTATCTCAAGAAACAAAGCTTGAGACATCAGATGATATCCTTACATCTGCGTCTCTAGCAGACCGGCATAGGCATCTAGGCTCGACCCAACCAAGTCGACTATAGCCCAGCTTGTATTCCCTTTAAAAGTTCTTGCCCATACACGAACGATGGCAACACTAAGTTGCTTTGCCTTGTAGGGACTGGCCATGAAATCGACATCAGGCGGGCCCGGCGGGTCCACAGCCATGTCGGTTTCATCCATCATACTTTTGATCCACAAAAGTAATTTTCTCTCATGCTCCGATAGCCTCTGTTCGGATTGAGTCATCGGGATGGACAGAAGCCAACGACTCAGAAGGAACGCGCATTCTAGACTGCAAAGAGAGTGTTGGATACTCCAGAAAAAGGAGTGAGTCCTTGCGACGAAGTCAATTCCAAGTCGCACCGGGATCGAAAGTGCGTGGGCGGAATGTAACAAAGCCATGATCAGACGAGGGCTTCTTGCGATTGGAGGAGATTCACTCAGAGCCCGTGCGATCTGGATCGGGTCTTGAGTGATGAGGCGGCGACACGGCCCTAAATCGACGTGTAGTCTAATATAAGCGAGGCCAAGAAGTGCCGTGGATGTGAAGGCAATCGGGCCTGCCGGATTTTGAGGGTCAATGCTGGACTCCGGGGTGCGCTTCCACAAGGCCTTCCACGCACTCAAGGAGCTGTCCAGCGCGGATAAATCCTCCTGCCTGAGGCTTGTGCTTTGCATGGTTGGTGCCGAAAGACAAAGCTGCCGAGCAAAGAAGATTTGCTGTATGAGAGCGTGGATGAGAATATAGTTTCCAAGCGGTGAGATCGGTGCCGAGGAGTTGGGTATGCTGGATTTGAGGAATAGCTTGGTAAAGGCTTCCGGGAAGGAGACCTCTGATCCATGGCGGCTGCGAATGACCCGTCGCCATTGAGACGGGTTGCTGGCTTTCCAGACGTCATGGGAACACGGCATGTTCAGTTTGAGCTCCGCATTCAAGACCAAGGGAGGAATGTTGTACATGATAGAGTGAAGATTAAAGAAACAGTAAACAATGAGCTTCGTTCGTCTGTTCCCCTCTCTCCGTACCCACTCTTCCCAGTTGTTCGGATCAGGGCTGGGGGGCGGCTCAGACAGTCCATGCTCCCTTACGAGTCTCGCAAGAGTGCTCTGCAGCGAAAGTATCTCTCGCAGAAGCTCTGGGTGTCTTTCCCAAGAAGCAAAGACCGTGAGCAGCAGAAATGTTCGAATTACTTCCATGTGGGCCTCAGAATCCTGGGGGGCATAACCCGAAGGATCAATCTGATGTGCGATATGATGCTGCTGGAAAGGACTACTAGCATGATTAGATGTGGTGGATGATCCACGAGAGTCATGATAACCGGACGAGGGCGATAGAAAATTCCAGGTCGGGTATTGCACTTGCTTGCTATCCCGTCTGTGAAGGCGCTCGAGGAGGATGGCCTTGGCGGCATGGAAGAGATCGATCCCTCGATTGTTCTCAAAGCGATAATGAGACCCAGCAGCGGCTAAGGCCAGGGTGAGTTCGGGGGAGCACTTTGCCACCGAGAGCGTTGGGACGTGGATAAAAGGGAGATGCTCGTTTAGTCCATTGATGTAACCAGCAAAGAAGCGAGACAAGGCGTGCCTCGACGGCGGAACGAAATTTTTGGGGAGAATGTAAGCGAACTCCTCAAGCTTGGTGATGAACATTTGGCGGTCTGCATTTGTAACATCCCAGGCCGGTCGAGGCCCGTCATCGGCGAATCCGAGGCGCTCGTCAACATCATGAGGCTCCGGTTGTAGGGACGGTAGCCGAGAACCAAAGTTGGAAAAGGAAGGGGGTTCGTCGGCAGCGCCTCGTGGATCACTCATGATATCGGGCCCGAGCCTTGCATTGTCGCGGACGGTTGGTTTCGAATCCATCGGCAGGTTCGTCAACATGGGGTCTTCGACCGTTGAAAATACGCCGGAGTCCCAATCGGAAGAAAGACCGACGCTTTCCAGGAACACCGAAAAGTCTTGCACGGGATCCCCTAGATCCGTGAGATCCAGGATGGAAGGCTCAACGCCATAATTATCGGTGATCGCTCGTTCGGGCACACTGGGCAGCGGCTGCGGGCCTACGTTCTGGGAGGACTTCCGCATGGACTCCAGGCTTTCCTGCTGCCCCTCCAGGGCCACATGGCTAGCGGCATGGGACAGCAGATTCAGGTCGTATCCCCAGGAAGGGTTAAAGTGAGTTGTCTCCACGATTGGGGGTGGTTGGACCTGCACGTCCGGCGGAGGGGGCGCTACCGGCTGCGGCTGGACCGGGACGGCGTCCGCCAGCTCTAGCATGCGCGATTCGTGGTGGGCGGGCGGGATTATGGTCGAAGGGGTTTGAGGCACATCCGGATGGCCATGACTGCGATGTTCTCGATTGGCTGCCGCCTCTGCGGGATGAACTAGTCGCTCATGTCGTACGAGCAGATCGCTGCAGAGGAACCCCCCGATGTTAGTGCGGGCTGGTCAGATTACGGTGCGTAGGACCACTTACCTCCTGGCGAAAGATTTGGAGCAGATGTCACATGAAAACGGTTTCTCCTTGGTGTCTGCCGTCCACCGTTAGTACCGTTTGCCCCCGGAGAAGAGGGGGAAGACTTTGGGGAGAAAGGGGGGGCAGGTAGGGGGAGAGCGCAGGCTCAGACGGGCGACCTGGCCGACCTCAGGGTTACTCAACGGGTGCGGAGATGTCGTTGGAGATGTTCCAAGCGGGCGAAAGATCTGCTGCAGTATTCACAAGACAGCGACTTTCGATGAGCGGGAGTGGCTTTTTTCCTCACTTTTCCCGGGGCAGCTCTCTCGTCCTCCATCGCGAATTGGTATGGAATCGGAGCATGTCCTGGGCGGAATGGGAGAGCAGACGAGCGGGGAAAGAAAAACTGTGGGGTTTTTCGACGCAGACCAAATGAGGGGGTTTTTTTTTGGTCAGCCTGAGGTTGCGAGGGGTGGTCACGTGGCATTCCGCTCTTCTTTCTCTTCTTTCCTCTTCCTTTCGCTGTGAGTCTTCCCTCGTCCCTCGCTCCCTCTCTCTCTCACTCCTGTGCGGAGTTCCCTCTCCTCATCGCATGTGGCGGAGAGGGGTTCTTGGAGTTTACATCATTCCTGGACATTCATTATAAATATATTCCTCCATTTGTATATTTGTATACACCTATATCTATCCTGGTACTCGTCTATAAATACGTCTTTCTTGGATGTTCTTTCTCCCTCTTTTTCTCGACATACCTGGTCCTTGAACACTACAAACAATACTATCAAAACAACAAGCACAGGGGAAGCGTCAACAATGAATCGCCTGGAGGGTTGTAACTTACGGGTTTGTCTACACCAAGGAGCAGATTTCAACTCTAATCGTATTTCCCTGACTGACTCGCCGGACGAGTCAAGAGATGTCGTAGAATCCCCTCCGGCCCCTGCTCCTTTGTTCCCCTATTCCCATCGAAGACTCACTGGGATAGGGTAAACATCCAGCAAAGAAACGGAACAGATGGATACGAGAGTCAGTAGTCGTACCCACTCTCCTCGGAAAATGGCCCAAGCTCCAGTTTAATGCTGGATACGGAGTCGTTTACTATTTATATGCATCATTAGCTTTGGCCGGTCCTGATAGGCAGACTGAACGGCCTTACTGAGAGCCCGATCGCGCACCATCAGTCGTTCTATAGGTCCAGCTCAGCCGGGCGACCTTCATGAGGGACGGCCATGGCTGGTTATGGCTACCACGTATATCGTATGCACTCCGTGTGTGAGATGGAGGTGACAAGGTCGTGTCAACTTGTCAATCCCCAACGATGCAAAATTCCGTAGGGCCGGCCGTCGTCAGCTTGTTTCAGATGGGTTGTATATCCGGCCGACCATGTAGGTGTCAAGTGTACGGAGTAAAGGTGTAACCACGGACGTGAAGACTCAAGAGATAATATATTGTCCCGAATACTGAATAGTAATACTCCGTAAGCGAAGTACTCATAAGAAAGAAAGAGAACCATGGAACACTTGGAGGGCGAGTCCACCGCTCAAGAAGTCGCGTGTTTCAGATGCGAAGTGCCTGACAAATCATCCGCGTTTCCATCGTCTCCATCCGATCGGCCCAGATAGCGAGAATCTCACGGACAACTCGACTTGGACCTGGAGGTTATCGTGGGAGGGGGTGGTTTCTTTCTATTTTTTTTCCCCCTTCTGATTTCGCCTCTTGAGTCGTTCTCCCTCAACTCTCGTCGACTTTCTCTCCCTCTCCCTCTTCTCTTTCTCTCGCCATCCGCCAAGGTGCCTTCGTTGTTCATCTGCCCTCGAAAGCGCCGACCCTGCTTATTCCCTTTCTCCCTCGCCTCCGATATTCTGCTCACCGGTGGATGTGCTATCTCTGATAACATCCGATCCAGCCCCATCAAGGCCCGATCAAGAGGGAGCGTCGGATCCGCAAGGGAACCCGGAGGCTCTGGACTGCAAGTGCAAGTGCCTGATCGCCATCACCTTTACTACGCTGCATTGCTCAGCACCGGTTGATCGGTATGCTCTCGATCTCTGATCTCATTCTATCTAGTTCTCGTCTCGCTCTCTTGCTGTTCTCTCAGTCTTTGCTCAATTTCCTTCCCTTTCCTTTTATTGTCTCTGTCTCACTCACCTCACCTTATTTATCGGCCCCCCTTTACCCCATCCGTTTAAAGTCCATCTGCAAACCAATGGCCCCTCCTCCGAAGATCATGGAGCTAATGGATAATTTAGAATACTAGCACCCTTCCGGATCATGCATTAGCCCAGTCAGCATCTGTGTCGAGAGTTCTCGATTTTCAATACCCTTCGAACGAACCATTACCGTCGCCGGTGAATAAGCGCAAGCGACCACTTGATTATAGTATTTGGATTATCATTCGGACTGTCGAGAATAGACAAGGTGGACAAATATGCTGGCGTCAAAACCCTCGTATACCCCATTGGGTGTGCCGACGACCCAAACCCCGACAGCGTCATACCATACCGGATCACAGAAATCTGCCGTTTTCTCCAACCCCCAGGATGGAACCTTGTATACAAGCCCCACGGAGTCGGAGTTTACAGGCGGACAGGACGGTCTTGATGCTGTTCGGTGAGTCCTGCGCGAATCGTTGCGGAGGCGATCTGTTCCAATAACAATTTCGCTAGGTCCTGGGACGAGAAGCAGGTGGTTGCCTGGCTGCACAGCATAAACTGCGGCCAATACGAACCTTTGTTCAGAGGTACGCCGGGCTGCACCATTTCTGCCGATTGCATACAGTGGGTGGGAACTGACAGGCTATAGCAAACAACTTCAATGGCAACAACCTGATCGAATGCGACCAGAAGATTCTTCAAGAACTGGGTGTGAAGAAAATTGGCGACCGAGTCCGGATTTTCGTGGCTATTAAACAGCTTCGCACCAAGTCGGTTGTTAATCGCAAGCAACGGAACCTGGTGCGTACCCTGCTTGTTCCCTTTTCTCGGTACGTTTATTAACGCTACGCAGAATCAATTGGCCTCCCTGGAAGCTACTACTTACGCATCTACCCACGATTCTTCTCGCCCGCCCCTTCGACAACAGACCTTGAACAATCGCCGATTATCTCGAACCGCCGATACTGGTCTCCATGGTCACTCGTCCGGCAGACCGTCATCTCGTCCAGGGTCCCCACTGCGAGCTCAAAGGTATGCCGGCAGCCCGATGGACGCTGGTCGAAAAGACCAAGGTCAGGGCTATTTCAGCCACCCGTCGTCGGGCGGTTCGACCTCCGGACGCAACCCAGGAACCCCCGGCGAGGGACATATTCATAAGAGTGCCTCGCATTTGCGACAAAATCCGAGTCTGGACGGCTTGATGGGCATTCTGCCCACAAACTCGCCAGTCATCCGCGTCATCTACACAGGGGGGCAGACCAAGGTTTTGAACATCAAGCACTGCAAAACTGCAGATGAGGTTATTCTTTGTGTTCTGAAGAAACTGCAGCTCCCTGAACACCAATACCGGAACTATTGCTTCTACGTTCTGGACGGCCTGGAACCGAACCCGTCTAATTGCCGAAGACTCGGGGATCATGAACTAATGGAGATATGTGAGGGCGCGCACAGATCCGAGCGAAGTCGACTCATTCTACGGAAAATTCATGCCGGAGAACCTGATACCGATGAGCTTCGTCGCGCGTCCCAGCTTGCCATGGATGAAAGCCAATTAACACACCTCAACGCCTTGAACAGCTCAAACATGCGTAACCAGCTTAAGATCCAACAACTCACCGGCGAATCCTGGCACAATATCAAGCAGCCTATGTCGCCCGTGTCCACTCGTCACCACGCCAACCCAAGCGACCCAGAGCTACAACTCTTGAACGCGGAGCGTCACCCCGTGTCCAAGCTGCGGTCATTCTTCGGTGCTCGACCGCCTAGCGAGATGATCATCCATGAGATCACCTCGTATTTCCCCAGCCATCATCGCGAAGACATCGAGAAGACGATGCGCATGTCCGTGCGCAGATCTCAACGGTTGAGTCGAGCAGCAAGTCGGATGAGCGTCGTCAGTAATACAAGCTATGCATCGAGTTTGAGGGACGCACCCCCAATTCCTAGCATTGCTGATACTTGGCTTAACCCCGGGGCGCAGCCTACCCGGGCGTCGAGGCCGCTCTCCGTGTCGAAGTTTAGCCTTCCCCAAACCGCGTATCGGGACTCTATCGCATCGAGTTCCCTTCAACCGCTTCAGGAGGAATCCCCCATCGAGCCGAATCGCAAATCGTACGTTTCGTTCGACAGTGGCTCTGATGACCCCAGCAATTCTCGCCAAAGCTTGCTGGATGAGAATGCGAGCGTGGCCGCTACCGATGGAGGCTCGTTCAATGAGCGACTCAGTGTGCTCGTGGCTGACGACGGGGAAGAAGAGGATGACGGCCTCAATGACTTCCTGGCCGGAAACAATTTCGCCCCGAAGAATTGGATGAAGGGTTCCCTGATCGGTGAAGGATCGTTTGGCAGCGTGTTCCTGGCTCTGCACTCTATCACCGGAGAGCTGATGGCGGTCAAGCAAGTCGAAATTCCATCGGCAACCAAGGGCACCGAGTTCGACAAACGGAAAAATAGCATGGTCACCGCACTAAAGCATGAAATTGAACTTCTCCAGGGGATGCATCATCCCAACATTGTGCAGTACTTGGGCACTTCGGCCGACGACCAGTACCTGAACATTTTCTTGGAATATGTTCCAGGAGGCTCCATTGCCACGATGCTGAAACAATACAACACTTTCCAGGAGCCCTTGATCAAGAACTTTGTCCGGCAAATCCTGTCGGGACTTTCCTACCTTCACAGCCAAGATATCATCCATCGTGACATCAAGGGTGCCAACATCCTCGTGGATAACAAGGGCGGTATCAAGATCTCCGATTTTGGTATCTCCAAGCGAGTAGAGGCGTCTACGGTTCTGGGATCTCGTGCCAGCGGCACGGGAGCCGGCCACTTGCATCGTCCCTCGTTGCAGGGCAGTGTATACTGGATGGCTCCGGAAGTTGTTCGACAGACAGCCCACACCAAGAAGGCCGACATCTGGTCTCTGGGCTGTCTTGTCGTGGAGATGTTCATCGGCGCCCACCCCTTCCCGGACTGTAGTCAACTACAAGCCATTTTCGCCATCGGCAGCAACAAAGCCCGACCTCCCGCTCCGGAGATGGCCAGCGAAGACGCCGTGGCTTTCTTAGACATGACCTTCCAAGTCGACTACGAGCAGCGACCGAGCGCGGATGAATTACTAAAGTGCCAGTTCTTGACCGCGCCTCTTGCCTGAAATATTGGACCCGATATATGTGACGATTTCTAATAGAAAAAAAAAGCGTCTACTAAGTCTAAGTGAATCTTTTCTGAAAAACCGAATACCCCCCCGGATTTGTTGAAGTTATTAGTTTAATTGGTTTTGTATGATGTTTTATTATTTATGTCATCGTTGTTGCGTCTGTTTTTTTGTCGTGTCTATTCTTTTTTGGAATGGAGTAAATGAAGATTTGGAGATCCACCTATATATTGAGGCCTAAGTCTAATCTAGGCCAGTTTTAACACTCGTTCGAGCTATTTTCAAATACTGGATAAATATTTATACTATTAGACTACCTAGCAATCTTTGTATTTTCTGAATACTGGTGTTCTTTGAGAGTTGACCGAGCTTGAATGGCTTACCAGGGCCAGCCCGTTAGGAGATAAGGCCCCTGGAACATTCCTCATACATATGCTTAGCTCCTGGTGCTAGCTGTCATTACCAACAACCCACCAACCCCTAGCAAACAACCATTTGGTGAACATCAGACGCAAGTTTATAACGAACGTAATCATCGATTCGAGTAGACCCGTTCGGGGCAACTTGTCCCTCTTCAATATCCGTCATATCCTCGATGAATTTATCGAGATATTCACCGGCAGCACTAAGGTAAAGTATATGCCCGATAGCGCGATGCAGTTGCAGAAGTTCAGAAGAAGGCATGTCTATACTTCTATCGGCGGTCATATAGAGCGTACGGGTAACAGGAAGTTTTTGAGTTCGAAATCCGCGATTCTGCTTGATATAGTCGATCGTGTACGTGTGTTGCTGACCCGGGATGAAGGTTATTCGTTAAGGTGAGCGCATTTGTCTCCCGGTCAATGTCAGTCCCGCTGATGAGGTGGACAGCGCCCGGATTGAACATCTTCAAAATCTTGTGGGCTATTTGCTTCCGCTCAGACTAGAAGACCTGTTAGAATAACGCCATAAATAAATATAGATGATAACGTACTAGTTTCGACTCGCCAGCGATGTCACCATGAGACATGAGAGAATGAGGGATGATATGCGCCACTTCTAGATAGGTTGCATCTTCAGCTTCTGACAGTAAAGGATTTCCGTCATCATCTTTCATGTCTTCTCCATCAATCTCGTATCGCTTTTCAGCCTCCGTGAGATCGAATCTTCGGGTTCGAAATCGAAAAAGAGGATCAGAAAGTCATCTTTAACATAGACCTCCTGCTTCGTGAGGCGTATGAGTGTTATTGATTTGCAAGACTTGTCAGATGTCTGCGAAGGCTCGAAATCGTTTATAAGTCTGTCAAGAAGCAGGGTAGCTTTGTCATGCACTTCCGATGGCAATCCTTCCGGTAGAGAAAACATGACTCCTTCCAAGGATGCACGATGCCGGAGAAGTGGAGCAGCCATAATAACTTAGGAGGAATATGAATGCGTTTGGTTCTCCTGGAATTATGAGATTTGTGTCGATGCTGTCTTTGACCTGAGCTTTATCATTTGATGGAGCTCGTGATTTTAGTGAATATGACAATTGTCTAGATTGTTGGAACAGATTGCTTTTAAAGGGAACGGCGGAGATCATTTGTATTAAGAATGTGATCTAACACGAGTGAATGTGATGAGTAACGGTTGTTAAACAAGGCTGCTACATGGTGGGCCGGTGGAGGGGCCCATGGAGGGCCATGCTGTTTAATTTAGTTTCTCCAAGTCGCATTAGATACTTATCCAGTTGCTAAGTAGATATTGCATTTCTAACGCTTGAAAAGGGCACTATACAGCTAGCTACTGACGAAAGCGACTCTGCTCGGCCACCATGACGCTGATCTCTTTGATCGCAGTGTTACCCATGATATCAAACACGGTGACCTTTGCGCCAAGTTCGTTCAGGAACCAATTCTTTAGATCGACTGCAACGAGAGAATCAATTCCATGGGCATGAAGGGGCCTATCAGTTTCGATATCCGTCTCAGACATCCCCAAGATATGTGCAACCTGAAGGACAATCCATTCAGTGATCATAGACACAGCTTCCTCGGCTGATGCGGACCTCAGCGCGGCAGGGCGATCGATTGATCCCTTTTCAGCGCCAGCATTGTCCGCCGACGAGTTGCTATCAAGGCCCATTCGGAAGAGATGACGGAACATTGGGCGTCGGATCGAATGGTGGAGGTCCACGCCTTTGGCGGCCATGACAGACGGCATTTCAAGACCTATCACGGGCTGAGCGTAATCGTGAGAAAGCAATGGAAGCTGCGGATTGCAGTAATAATCAAACAGGGCGAGAACCTCCTCTTGGGTGATCTCCATCAAGTGCCCGAATCGCCGTACAGAATTCAAAAGAGAATTGTTCTCTGCAGCGACACCATCGTTAACCATAACGCCCATATCAATTGTGACAGCCTTCAGACCCTGTGAAATCCGGTAATGAGCAAGGGCATCCTGGAATGTGTTCCCTGCTGCATAATTGGCTTGTCCTCTGTTGCCGATTACCCCACTGACAGAGGAGATAAGAATGAAGAAGTCTAGGTCAGTCGGCATTGTCAAGTGAAGATTCCATGAGACGTCCGCCTTCGCAGCAATGCTGGTCTTCCAGTCTTCATACGTCATATTTTGGAAAAGTTTGTCCTATGAAGCCTTATCAATATCTGGTCAAGTCACACCGAGGGGTCAATGCCGGGGGATCAAGACTCACTCGCAATACCATAGTCCCTTGGATACATCCACGGATTGGTGGCATGAAACTCGACAATTCAGCCAAGACTTGTTTCAACTTGGAGAGGTTTCCAACATCAACTTGAGGCGTCGCCACGGTAGCGCCTTGCCCTTCCAATTCATGAATCAGCTGGTGTGCTTCAGGGTTCCTAGGCCCCGAGCGAGAAAGAAGCATCAGATAGCGAGCTCCTCTGCTGACCATCCAACGTGCCAAGGTACGTCCAAGTCCTCCAAGCCCACCAGATATCACATAGGTAGAGCGACTGGAGAACTGATAGTCCGGCCTTGTGCGGGTTTTCACCTGGGGTACATTAGGCATTAGAATAAAGTAGAGAGATTCTTGTCTTACCTTGATATTCACCCCTTGCTTCAGCTCAATAATACACTTTCCAATAAGTTTCCTGTCTTGCATTTGACGGAACGCAGACTCAATCTCGTCAGCGGGAAAGACATGTAAGACCAATGGCTTCATGGTAGTATGGCTCTCAAACCATAACTTCACAGCCTGTTGGAATGTCCGATAGACGATAGCTGGCTTGTGTTGAAGTAATTCGACCAGGTTAACAGAAGCCCGAGAGATATTGATGGCCCGTTGCTTAGGTTTCCAAAGATTAGGGGCGCTACTGCTGCTGATCCCGATGTCAATGATGCGGGCATATGCCGCCAAACAACCAAATAGATCTGGACCACCCCAATCGGTCAATGAACCAATCACAACGTCGATCCCTGATCTGTGGGTGACTGATTGAACTCTTTGGCATATAGATGTATCACCGGAAACAAACACCCTGTCTGGGAAGAGATTATACGTGTCGCACAAAAGCTGTCTCTTGTCAGCCGAACTGACTGTAGCAAGAACATGTGCGCCTCGTTTCATCGACATTTGAACCAGGATATGACCAACACTACTCGTTGCTTGGTGGATTAGCACCCACTCGCCTTCTTCAAGGCTTGCAAGTTTATGCAGCGAGTAGAAGGCTAGCCAAAGAGAGGTAGGGAGTGAAGCAGCCTCTGAAAAGCTCATGCTAGGTGAGATGGGGGCAACTGCATCGGCGTTAACACACACTGAAGTGCGAGCCAAGCCATCTCCAATAACACAAACGCGATCACCCGGCTGGTATGAAGTGTTGGTACCGGTCTTTTGCACAACACCAGCACACTCGGTGCCCATTGCCCATCGGTCGATCCCACCCATTGCAGAAAGATGATCTTGCCTTGTCAATCCAATAGCGTGGACATTCACCACGACCTGATTCTCATGAGGTATGAGAGACTCGGGCTCATCCTCCACAAACTCTAATGTTTGGAAAGCACCAGGGCTACCCATATGAAGCGAAGCATGCAGATCGGGACTAACCAGCCGCTCATCTTGTACATGGGGCGCTAGCATCGACGATACTTGATCATTCATGAGCTCATTCTCAGACACGCGAGGTATTTGGAGTATGCCTCTGTTGGAGTAGTATGCCGTTTCCATTGCCTCTAATGGATCATTCTGAATACTGAGAGTCACTCTCGACAACAAGCCCAAAAACTGCTCTTGTGTCTCCGATCCATCCAGTGCTAGAGTAACAAGCCTTCGAGAGCTGTCTTCGGAAGAAATAACGCGACTAAGTCCGTCGACAAGACCAAGCGCAGGGATCTGTGACTTCACTGCAGGCTCTGTGATCCAAATAGCGTTTAAGGATTGCATGAGGACCGCACGTAGGAGGTCAAAGTCCGTCTCCGATATGCCCTCAAGGAAAAGTTCTCGAAGCTCAACAAGGAAAACCACAATCGTGGATGATGGAATATGAATGCCAGAAATCTCGTCAAGGGTGAATACTGATGTAGACCAATTGCTTGCAATGACCTTTGCGATATCGTTTTGGTATGACGATGACGGATTTCTCACAACAAAAAGATCGTTTACTGGACGTGCCTCTCCGTTTGTTACTGATATTGCGGTGGAAACCAGAAGGCTGCTCCAGCGTGACTTTTCATGTTCTTGGCCAGGTATGTCGAGGTCAACACCAGAGAATCCGCTGTTTTGCAATCTGTCGTTCCATTCGGCTGCTCGCAAGCAAGGACTATGGGCTGTTCGCAGTTCATGCTCCAATGGGCTCCACCAACCTTTGAGTAACCCAAACGCGAATCCAACACTTAAAACATCCGGCTCGGTAATTTCATCGATGAGAAGCTTTCCTCCGGGCTTGAGGAGTGCGCGAATGTTCCGAAGGGATTCGCCGATATTGTCTGTTGCGTGTAAAACATTTGCAGCAAGAATAAGGTCATAACTCTCTGGTTGGAATGATTGCGATACTGGGTCCTTGGAGACATCACAGACTTTATACTCCAAAATTTCTGCGTAGTCCTGGAACTTTTCCTTGGCCTTCGCAAAGAAGGCTGGTGAAATGTCTGTATAAACATAACGATCGCACCGTTTTGTGCCATCTAAGCATATTGTCTTCAGTGCGCGTGCGGTTTGACCACCATACCCGGCTCCAATTTCGAGAATGCGCATAGATGGATTTTTAAAACAGAGGTGGTCAATCAAAACAGAAACAGGATGGGTATAGTAGGGGTTTGAAAGCATTCGCTCAGAATAGGGATCAGTGAGCTCGCTTCGGATCACAACATCCAATGGGTCGACATCTCCGGTCAATACTGGGAGCAAATTGCGCCCGACATGCATAAGAAACCGACCCTCGATTCCAGTATCTTCCACCTTAGCAACAAGCTGTTTTCGTGCTGTTGGCGAGCCGAGAAGCTGCTTGCTTGCGAGACGGAGAGTTTGGTTCCGCGGAAGAGATAGCTGATACTTCATCCACATTGTATAACGAGTGAGATACCCTGGGACCTGAGCAGATGGGTGCTCTTCCAAATGCTGAATGGCTTCATCTACGAAGCAAAGGATGGCGAGCACTAGATCATCGTGTTGAGACACAACACTTGCTGGTTCTTTGGGTCTGTCACGATTGATCTCTGCCATAGCCTGGCTGGGATCCATCAATTCCATATCTGGCCTCCATTTCAATCGAGTACACAAAAGACGAGATCCCGCTTCAATTGACCCACCAAACTCAATAAATGAAGCCTCTACCCCTTCAAGAAAAACAACGGGTTCCAAATTTGAGGTTGTAGCCATGATGTTTGCAATCGCAGAACGATGCCCAACATGAACACATTTGGCAATGCCACGAAGCTGCTTCTCGCTTTGAACCTTGTTGCGACAGTCAATCCAAATACTAGACACGCGCTTTGGAACCATGCCTAAAATGCGGTCTTCTAGAGAAAATAGGGCAAGAAGAAGCATTTGAGCCAAACCATCCAAAGTGCAAGGGTGGAGAGTAAAATGCTGGTTCCGTGGGTCACTTTTTTGGCTGACCTTCCAATTATCCGTTCTGAGCTTGGTAACGACCTGTCCCTGAGGCAAAGTCTGCATGTCTTCTAAAACTCGGAAGGAGTGGCCATATTGCATTGCAGTTTGACCTATCAGGTTGTATGGATCTTGAGAAGCACCGCACACGGTTACGATATCCCTGGCCCATTCTTGAAGATCCCCCGCGAGAGTGAAAGAAACATCTGCATTCATGTTGCCCTGGTCAAATTCTCCTCGGATGAATCCAGAGCAGCATTCCGCATGAGCCTCGTTCATGATCTGAAATAGTCTGAAGTGAGACCAATCCGATTCATCAGAGTTGTATCCAGTCCTGGACAAAACAAGCGAAGTTTCAATTGCATTTGCGTTGCCACTAAATATCATAGCACGTGAGAACTCGACATCTTTCATGTGAATAGAAATCAGGCCTGAGGCGTGGAGTTGCCGGAACGCCTCTATAGCCATCGCCATCATTCCTGCGGCGGGAAAGGGGATTTGATTGTCAACTTTATGATCGCGAAGCCATGGGGCTTCATTTAAGCGAATGGTATTTCGCCATTGCGCGACTTCCGGGTTCCAGTCCATAACTTTTGTTCCCAACAAGTCATGGCGAGGTGCGTCTCGAAATCGAGTACCCTTGCTAATACGCCCTTCATTCCAATAGGATCGAGTATGGTCGAACGGATATGGCGGCAGACTGTGAGGCATGGGTTTAGGAGTTTTGTCGGCAGAGTTCACTGCGTGAAGGTCCACCCGGAACCCGGCACAATGAAGCTTTCCAATGGCAACAAGCAAAGATTGATCAGCACGGCTCTTACGGTCAAGTGTTTGAATGTATGAGGGCTTTTCTGTGCTTGAATATTCCCGCAAAATGTCATTAATAGGCCCTCGGAGAGCGCCATGAGGACCAATCTCAAGGATATGAGAAACGGAAAGGTCAATTGAGCGCGATTTGCCGAGTTGCTTGCGCGGGCCTTTGCTTTTGCCAGCCTGGGCAAGGACTTTGGCCAATGCTCCTTGAAATTCAACAGGCGATGTCAGATTTTGGATCCAGTAGTCGGCCTGGCATAACGAACTGGGGGTCACAACATCCTGTGTCACTGTTGAAATCATGGGGATGTGTTTAACATTCTCTCCTGACGCGAGTTCACCCATGGCCTCTCGATAATCATGTGAAATCTCGTCCATGGCAGAAGAGTGGTATGCAATTGGAACGCGGAGTCTGCGAGCAAAGATGTTGTTCTCATCGAACCACTTCTGCAAGATCTCTAACTGTTTTACATCGCCGGTGAGAGTCACACTTCGGGGGCTATTAACGCAGCCAATTGATACATTCAGATCGCCAATATGCTCTTTTAAGCGATCAAGATAGGAAGATGTGTCACCAGCCGACAGTCCAGCGGCCATCATAGAAAGATTCTCGCTTCTATCCGCCAGGTTGGATGATAGTAGGCCTCTGTAGTATGCGATCTTCACAGCAGAGGCCCTGGACAAGCTGCCAGCTGCGTATGCAGCAGCAATCTCCCCTGATGAATGCCCAACGACAATGGTAGGCGAGATTCCAAAGCTTTTGATAAGATCGATCAATGCGATTTGAAGACAGGTTGTCAATGGTTGACTGTATATTGGCTCGTCAATCGAGACAGAGCTCTCTTGGACTTCCAGAAATTTATAGAGAGACCATGAAGCTCCCAGGCCCTCTAGACAGCATTGGAGAGTTTGCAAAGAAACCTGGAAAACAGGATAACTTAGAAGCTCACGGCCCATTCCCAAATACTGAGCACCCTGTCCAGTGAAAACAAACGCAACTCGGGCATCGCTCCGTGCTCGGACCGGATTCAGTCCGGATTCTTCGCAGAGGGTTGTGCCACATCGGTCAATAATGAGGAATGACCTCCACGAAAAGAGAGTTCTTCTCTCCGTAAGCGTGTAAGCTAAGCTGACAGCTTCGTCTGGATATCTTTCAATGTATTCGCGATACTGCGACGTGACGTTCTGACAAACCGTTTGCCCCGCGGCCGATAGAACAAGAAGCTTTGGTGATTTGCTCATGCCTTCCGGCTTATCCCATGGAACGTCTTCGGGGTTGTTTCCATCGAGATCCGTGGAGTCAGGAGTGAACATGTATTTCGTTAAGGCGATCGAATCGGCGCTGGGCGGAGAAACACGAGTTCGAGTGTAGCCATGGAGGCCGCGTAAACTGAGATAATGGTAGGCGTCATCCAGAATGGCAATTGCATTCGTGCCACCAAACCCAAATGAATTCACCTGATCAATCATGGTTATTCTGGTGCTCGGATGAGTTCAATAGATAATATTGGACTATCACTTACACATGCTCGTCGAAGGCCGTCTGTGGGCCAAGGAGTCGCTTTTTGGGGGAACTAACAGACGTTAGAAATTCATCTTCGTGAGTCGAGATGACAGGGTCGAGGTAAGGTGTGAGAGAGGAAAAAGAGACGAGGACAAATAAAGAACTGGGGAACAGAGCATTGGGGAGGAGAAGGAGGGAGAGAGGGGACCTGGTGAGATCTCTCGATGGGATGGCTCGCCACCTTCCCAATCGGGAAGGCCACCAACAGAAGGACATGTGCACATATAGAAAAGAGGTACTATATGTGTGTACTTGGGGAAACAATATAGAAAGGAGAAGAATTTTACATGTAAGCCTAATTGATCTGCATCGATGCGAGGATTCAACGTTTCCAAGCCGGCAATCGGAGGAATGACACCATGTTCGAGAACAAGAAGTGCCTTTATGATACCTGCCACTCCACTTGCACCCTCCAAATGGCCCACATTAGCCTTAACAGCTCCGATGTAAAGTGGATCTGATGTCGAGCGACAGTTCCGAAAGGCATTACCGATCGCATTAGCTTCTATCGGGTCTCCAACGGCGGTTCCTGTTCCATGCGCCTCAAAGAAGCGAGTCGGTTCCATAGCAAGATTGGCCAGTCGATACGTTCGCTTGATCAAAGCAAGTTGAGACTCCATATTCGGCTGGGTAATTGCGGGCGTTTTCCCATCTTGATTGGTTCCGGTATTGCGAATAACTGCACGAATGATATCGCCATCACGGATGGCATCTTCGACACGTTTGATCACCAGAACACCCGTGCCTTCACCGCGAGCATATCCACTTCCGCGCTCGTCAAAGCTCCAGCATCGACCATCGGATGAGAGTAGGCCAGACTGAGATATCATTTTCATGAAATTGGGATGGTAGATTAAGTTTGTGCCACCGACGAGACTCTTCGGCGGAGGTTAGCCATGTGAAAGGAGAAGTGGAACTGTATATCGGCATTTCATACCATATTGCAGGTCCCTGTGAGAAGATCCCGACATGCCAAATGAAGGGCCACGAGGCTACTTGAGCATGCAGTGTCTATGTTCATCGACGTGCCCTTGAAATTGAAGAACCAACTCAGTCGATTGGCCAGCATTGTTGCTGCAATCCCACAAGCGGTGTGCGTTTGCTCTTTTTCCTGCATGTCCTGCTGTATGAGGCTGCTGTAGTCATTTGCAAAACATCCGGTGTAAACCGAAGTATCGGATCCTGCGCATTTCTGTATTGGAACACCAGCTATGGTCGATGGTTAATTCAAGGTTCGTACTCAGGTGCAAGGTTCATAGTAGAGCATACCATCTTCCAAAGCATGATATGCTGTTTCAAGCAGCCGACGATGCTGAGGGTCCATAGAAGATGCCTCGCCGGGGGTGATGGAAAAGAAGGGCGCGTCAAATACCCCAAGATCCTCTTTGACGAAATGTGCTTTACGAACTGGAAACTAAACCGAGTACACTTAGGTGAGCTTTCAATTCCAAGTAAGCACTCTAAAAAGATACTAACCGTGCTTTCGCGTGATTCGTCAGGGTGATAGAAGCTTTCAATATTCAGGCGGTCTTCTGGAAAATCTGTACTGGCACATCTTCCCTCGCAAATCATCTGCCAGAACCGTTCGCTAGATGTAGCCTCTTCAGGGAATTCAAACGAAAACCCCACAATGGCTATGTCCTGTCCGCCTTGCGTATGAATTGGCCCAGAGGGATCTGGACTTGACATCCCATCGTACAGAAGAGGCATTGGGGGCGTATAGTTTCAAGAGCTGGGAGAATCGAGAAATCGCGAATTTTTATCAAGTCAAATATGTGATCCTAAAGGGCTAGCTGTTACTGAATAATTCCTTTTTCCGAGGAATCCCGGCTCTATTTAGCAGATCCCTGTTAGTTCTGACCAAGCCATGTGCATGTAACCCATGTTCGGAGTAGCCTGTCAGACCCATAATTTCTCGCCCCCCCTCTTCATCTCGGGTAACTTACGGTCTACGCATCGTGGGCCGGTCCGTGGCAGTACTGTACATACACCGTACAGGCCCATTATTGGCATTTCAGGTTAGTGTTAGGCTGTTAGTAGGTACGTTTGATTACTTTGATATAGGTACTTTTTATCTATGGAATGAATTTACGCGTAATATTCAAGGAAATTCAGGGCAGTTTCAGGGCAGAAGGTTCGGGGCGCCCGGGTATAAGAGGGGGCGTTCACCAGTAACCAATACAAAGGCATTGTGACTGTGGGTCTATACTAGCCGAGACTGCAATATGCATCCTACGGAGGGCTACGGAATACTACTCCGTACAGACCGAACGGTAAAGGCGTGCATTAGCCCAACCTCGCTATTCGATCATTAAAAACTTCCGAGAAAGGTTGGAATGCACATGTGCGTCTATTGTTCCTTCCTGCCTCCCGAGGTCTCTTTATGCACATGTGGCTTTGGCATTCTTCTATTCCCACCCTAACCACATTTGACTATGAGTGAGATGACGCGAAAGCCTGACTGCATGAAAATGAGAGTTCTCTGCCTGCATGGAATTGGGACAAACTGTGAGGTATGCAATACCATTTCGAACTGTAACTTTATACGCATACTAAAGTTGTGAAGATATTCGAGGCCCAAACTGGTAAGGCTTACCTTCAATCATCAATATTTGAGAACAAGCCGCTCAAATTCTAACGTGAGCTAGCGGCATTGCGATATCAACTGGGCCACGCATTCAACTTCGAATTCATCGGCGGAGAACATCCTTGGCCAGCTGCTCCTGGAATTGCAGAGGTCTTTGGGCGGGATGAAGTTTGCTATTCTTATTTTGATGGAACACCATCAGGAGCACTAGCAGCCGTGAAAGACCTTGCAGACTATGTGGCTGAGAATGGGCCATTCGATGCCGTTATGGGGTTCTCCTTGGGGGCTACGCTAGCAGTAACCTTCCTATTCAACTGGGGCAAGCTTGGGTTTGTGGAGTCGCCATTTAAATTCGCGATATTACTCTGCAGTTGTTTGCCATGTGACTGGGATGCACTTCAGATGGGAAGATTAGAGTTCGTGAACCCAACACAAGTTACTGGCCTCATCAAGATCCCTACCATCCATGCTTGGAGCCCCCAAGATACGGAGTATCCGGGTGAAGGTCGGCTCGTAGTGGAAATGTGTGACACTTCAAATCGTGTGAACTTGCAGCACTCAGCCGGACATAACCCGCCAACTCAGCCTGATGAGGTTGATAAACTAGCACAAGCGATTCTCGATGTGTCAAAAATCAGTACTCAGGCTAGGTGAAGTTTAAGGCTAGTCTGATCTAATTGAGAACACTACTTATGAACTTCGAATGTTTCTTCCACTATTTGTTGGACCTTCAAGCAACCTAGGTTGCATGATGGAACTGTAGGTATAGGAAGCTTGAATTGTATGGAAGCTCCCGCTCTGCAGCGAGCCTATCTAATGCCGATCTATTATAGGTTAGCTGACATGTAAACTAATCCATTAGGTAGGTGCCAGACTTGGGAGTAGAGCTCTAGAGAGAGTAGATCATGAAGATCCATGAATCATTAAACTTCAGCATAATAGACTGCTAATTGACCTGAGGAACTCTTTTGCTCATGGAAATTTGGCCCCCATCACCGCAGCCTAGAATTCCCCTCATCAGCATGATCGACCTGCAGCTAAGGAAGGGAGCAGGGAGTTTATCTGTTGTAAATGGCTGAAGCGCACTGATTTACTCCGGAGTACAGGTTCGTAACACTTGTCCCCCACACACAGTGAAGCCACCGAACCTTTGGACCCCATTTCTTGGACGCAAGATTTATTCGAGCTTTCTACTTTATGTATGTCTTAGTCCCGCAAGTGTCTTTTTTCCTTTTCATTTTTCATGCCTTGAGTAGACAACAGCCAGACTAATCACAATGTTTTCATCTTAAGATCTGATGCCCGACAAGATTCACAGTGGTGAGGCGGTCTTTGTACATGTTACAAAAGTGTTCACTTTCCTTTCGACAGTTGCGGTCTTCCTACGGTTTACCTCCTGACTCCTGGCCCTCTCAGTGAAGTTGGATGACTGGACTTTCCTCGGTGCGCTGGTGTTGGCATACGGAAGCTTTATCTGCATATCTGTAGCCGCCACATAGGCCCATGCTGGATATGATATTTGGCTCTACAGTAAGGCAACTTTGGAAGCCCCCCATCTCCTTCTGTCAACTTTCTGAGGCCTCTGTCACCCACCAAGATGTTCAATGCCATTAATATTGATTGATTGGACTTGCTCGTTCTTGGCTTCAACATGACGAACGTCGCTGGCGTCACACTTGCAAAAAAAACCCCCATCCTTCCTTTCTATCAACACATCTTCCAAATTCGAAACCCCTTTCGCATAGCCTCTTGAATTGTGGACCTTCGAGTGTTCGGCTTCTTTATGTCCGATGAGTTGGGTTTCATCTTTTCATACAGCCCAGTGGAGGCACTATGGAAAGTATGGCTGCCCTACACCACCATCCATATAGTGCAATAACAACAGAACCTATCTGGCGGCGTGATCCACTTGATCTATATCTGCGCGCACGCACTCGCGGAGGGTCAGTCGATATTCCAGCTCATTGAGCAAAGCGGGCATGGAGAGATCATATCTTTGATGTTCGACTACGCTGAATACGGGGATCTATCTTCCACGGGACCCGAAGGGCGTTGTAGGCCCCGGGCTATTAGATGCAGACCTCGGAATCTTTCTTAGCATCGCTCGGACGGTGGAATTCAAAGACCTCCGGCCAGCCCTTGGAGCACTGTGCGTGGCGGGATATTCCAGTGTCTTATATTCACACCCTAAATGACTCTATCTTACCGTTATGCCTACCTGAAAGCTTCTGTGGGGAGTATGGAAGCTACAGGGCGCGCGGTTAGGACCTTTGACATCGAGACTGGTCATGGTTCGACTGCTACGACACCGGAAGACGTGGCCAGTATTGTTCAACCGGTTGTTGGGGATTGCCTGAGTGTTCGCATACGCTGGATTCAGTCACACGCGGGTTGAATGTAGTCTTCTCCTTGCATAGTGGAGAATTTCGGGACAATATAACTTGCGTGGTGGCCCTCAAACTGCCTTGATTAAATCCGCCACGCAACACATCACAGTATGAGTCAATGGCTCCTGGAGTTTAAGGGTGAACAGTCTAAGATAACTATCTGCTGCAAATTGGTTCAAAGTAGTCATTGTCCAGATATCCGCCCACGAAACAGATTGATCTTAGAGGAAAGAATTCAACGTATTTCAAAAGTATTGTATCTATCTTCAACGGTTCAACCCAGTTATATAGTCCTACAGCATGTTGTGGCTCGTTGTTCGTGGTGATAGGTGGGGTGAGGGGCCAGATGACAGAGGCGGAATCAGCAATCGAAGTCTCCTCGGTCCTGGAACTTCTGTAGGTCAGAATTTCGAACCAACAAAGTCAGTCTTCTTTGATTGTTGAGTGGGTCGGTAAACTGGCGATGGGCCACAATTCTGGCCGGCCCGCGTTAACTCCACTCAGCTGGGAGGGGCAGTTGTTAAAGACCAAGTGCGGAGTATATCGTTGAATTAAAAAGCAAGCGGCGATCAGGTTTGAGATTATTGAATTGTTGCGTATTTCCGATCCTCATTTCTACGGTTCCAAAGGAAATGACTTTGATCAGGGAGCCCGGCAGCATTATTTACATCGGAATACCTCCAACCTTACTTGGCCCCCAACTTGTACTGTACATAAGTACGTACATACACATACCTGTTTACCCCTCATGCATTTGGCCTCCTGCATCAAAGCCTGCACTTTTGCAAATTGCAATTGGCTAGATCCCCTTGCCCGTTCTCTTGAACTCGGGCCGTTTCTCCTGATCACGTAGGTTAAGGTAGTATTGGAAGTGGAGTCTCATCTTGTCTTGGTGCATACCGTACACTATGTATGTAGTACAATTCTCGACCCCACCGGAACAATTCGTGTGAAGTAGTTCTGGATCGAAAGGCAGATATTGCCACGTACTCTGCTTGTTGGTATAGTTTGGGGTCCTGAAATGGAGTAACGAGTTCAGTGACTAGAGGCAGGCATCTCCTACTTCTGAGAAAAGGTAATTCCCTCCCAGCGGTGTCATTTGGACTCCGCTGCAAATATCACGCCCCCTCGAGTTCCTCGGGGCCAGCCTATTGTACAGTACAGTACTCCGTACAGTATACACCGGAGTACAGTCATTTAGTAAATTAGTACCTATTTAGGCCCCATTACTAACGGTGTAGGTCTTAGTGGAGATCATTCATTGGGCAGGCTACGCTAAGTTGCGGGCCGCCGTGTAATCTTCCCCTTATCTAGTAATTCTTATGGTTGGATGTACTCCGTAGTGACCATCGGGCAACATCTACCCAGTGTAACTTAACCCACAGTCAAAGCGCAGACTGTGTTCTCATTATCTTATGCAAGAAAAAAAAAGATATTACCATAACATCTCGACCCTCAATTTCCTATGGCTCGCAATCAATGATCTACGCTAAGATCTTGGCTTGGCTGTATGGGTAGGGTAGGGCCAAGAAAGTGTTATCCAGTGTGTATTGACTATTGGTCAGGCACTAGTGCCTCAGAAGCTGTTAAATTTACAAGCCCGCATACCCCGACGCGTTATAAATATGCATGTGCTCAAGTCTCTGACTGTGCCATTCCCTTCACTGCTTTTCTTGATGCCTTGCCCCCCGGGCAGAACATTGGATTCATTCAATTGACATTGTTGATTGACTATTCAAACGATAGTCACTTTATCACTTGGCAGATTTTACTGGTCGCTTCGCTTCTTCTTGTTCTTTCTTCCTCCTTGCTTGTCTCACACTTCCAAGATGTCGGGCGATTATGTCCTTGCACGGGACGCTTTCGAAATCAGTCGGTATCTGCGCTCTCTTCGCCTGACTGGCAATCATCGACCTTGGAACTTTAGTTGACCCGATATATAGCCTAAACCTTCAACATTTCTATCTGCGGGAAATGTATGGTTATCTTCTCCACCCTTCGATCCCCACAGACGACCCCAATCTCAGGATTGCAGATGTTGCATCCGGCAGCTGGTAAGACCTACCGAGTCTCGCCAATTCAACGTTTACCGCTGATTTCCGAAAGTATCTGGCTCTCAAACATTTCGCACCAGCTTCCCCCGACCGTGACCCTGGACGGACTGGATATAGCATTTGACCTCGCTCCCCCGATGGCATTCCATCCTCCAAATATGACCCTGCGGGAATGGGATATTTTCAGCGAGGTCCCGGAAGAGCTGGTTGGGATCTATGACATTGTGCATATTTCGCTACTCGCGTTTATTCTCAGAAGTAATGACATAGATCATGCAATGGGTAAATTTATGAAGCTCCTCAGTAAGTCGGATATGGAGCTCTCCACGCGGCCTTGCGATTCCTCCACTCCCCACGCTGATTGATATTTCGCTCCACAGAGCCGGGCGGTTACCTCCAGTGGTTAGAACATGATCTCCTATCCTGCCAGTTCAGGAAGTCCGACCCGGATAACAAGACAGAGGCGCTCGAGGAGCTTTACCGGCTGAGCATCATTCACCCGATAGATGCGCGCTTCAAGCCGACCTGGGTGTCGAGACTGCCCGAAATCTTCCGTAAAAGTGGCTTCACCGCCGTCGAATCTGATATCAGGAATCCATCGCCCGAACTTATCTGGCCTCTGCACTATTGTGGCTTGCTGGTACAGGAGAGAATGGTTGCCAAGCTCCAGGGTTTCGAGTGGTCGGAAAAGATCAAGAATCTACTTCCAGAGGTCCATGCCGAAACGAAAGCTGGAGCGGCCTGGGATCTTACTCGAGTTTTAGTGGTCGGGAGGAAACCGTTGGAATGAGCAGCAAACGAGGATCATGCACACGGTGTACTCATGTATGGAGAGGAAGATACCAACGGGATCTGCATTCCGATATTCCGATGGGGTATTGGAAGATCTGAACATTGTAACACAAGAACTGTTCCCTCTGTTTGTCTCTTAGCATTGGTGGCCCTGGAGAGCATTTGAGATTAGCTCAATGTTGATGTTTACTGCAGGCCTTCCTGCAAGTACCAGTGGGCTTAAATAGAACTCAGACAAGTAAAACCTCATGCGGCGGGCACCCGCGTATATAGATGCATGTAGAATCCAGGTTCCCTGGTCCTGCTGTCGGCTGGACGGGGCGGGCCTTAACTTAGTTATCTTCGGTCTCTATGGCAAGGCATTCCCGACCAATTGCGCAGTGTTGTCATCCACCAGAACGGCAGGTACCTACTCGGCGAGTAGTCACGTGCAGATGTATGTACTTACCAAGCCGACCGTACTCCGGAGTAAGCACTTAGAGTCAGTGCACAATATGTCTCACTCCAATCATGCCAGAAGTACATCGAAACAAGGTGCTCGGACCTTTGGAGGAGCCTTACATCGAGTACCCAATCGAGCCTTTTTCCAACCCCGGATCCTATGCGGAGCTCCTTGATAGGAGGACTTTGTTCACCCATCTAGGATAGGGTCGTTTATTTAGCCTCTTCAACCCGAAGTTCTTCTATTATTACAAAAGTTTGCATTATCATCATACATTCGGCGCATACAACCTAATCTCCAGCATCAAGCGATCATTATCACAATATCGCACTCAAAGCTTCGAGCCAGTCCCAATAATTGAAGCGCGCAGCTAGAAAGTATCTGACAGACAGCTTTGTGCAGTTCGATCATCGAAAATCGCTGCAAATCTTCAGTTGAGCACTGAAAGAACCATTCATCAGCAACCATTACAGCAAACTATACATCAAAGCGAAACCACCACCTCGTTCCATACACACCAAACAGACCCCTCAACATCGAAAGTGCAACCTAAGTGCCGCGCTTAGGCATCCCTGGCAATTCACTCGGATTCTTATACATCTCCATCTGCTCCACACGCTTATATGCAGGGGATTCAGGATTCATGTATCCCCCTGAAGGCATCATTATACCTGACTGACCTCCATACCCCATCTGACCTTGGAACTGATCTTTACCTTGTTCTGGATTCCGCACGTTGGTCTTCTTCAGAATCAGGTTCTGTTTCAGCAGCCAGAACGCCCATGTCAGGGAAGCCAGCGCAATCACACCGAGCGAAACACCCACACCAGCACCGATAGCTGTCTCCTTGCCGGAAATGCTCTTGACCTGGTATTCGTCCGGAATGTGGGAGGTGTTGATTCTGTTGACCTTTGATGTCTTCCGGGGCAGTGACACCGAGGCCCTTGAGCACCGCTCTTCCGACTATGACTTTTCCAAGGGACCAAGTGAACCCCCGGCCATAAGAGCACCATCGTTTAGTCTCGTTGTAGGAAATTCCACCGCAGCAGTAGTAGGCACTACCTTTATAATTATATAACCATTGGATGTAGCCATCAGCGCCCTCTGTGTTATTTTGCGAGCCCAACGTGAGCAAGAAACTTATCAGCATCCAAAGAAAGTAGTCCAGATCTCAGAAAAGAAGAGAGAGAGCTCTCCCAGCTTTGATCCGTGCAACTAGCTCTTTTCAGGGCCATTCCGTCAATGTAATAGCATATTCCATTCCCTAGACAGATCGTATCCTCTGGACAACAAAAAGTATCACTCTCCGAGGTATAGGGCACGTCATTGCTTAGCCCTGTATTAGGGTTATAACATATGCTCTGCTAAGCGACACGAGGAGCCTTTGAAAGACAAGCGTGAGGAGCGTCGGCCATCGTATCATGTTCAATATCCAGGTGGATGATTGGAAACCGGATATCTCGAAGGATACGGGATAGATTGACAAAAGACCTAAGTACCAAGCAACCCAAAGAGAAAGAAGCAGGAATAAAGCAATAAACTCAAGAAGAAAGAACAGACTGGCTCAACAAAGTACAGAGACGAAGAACAAGGCAGACAGAACTGAGCTTTAATACCCCCTTTCACGACCAGGGCCGCATACATAGACAGCAAACAGAGTGCTACTTCTAGGCTCTGAGAGCAGACCCCCGGACAGGTCACAGAAAGGTACTTCCGCGCGAGGCGATGAGCTAGGTAGACTGCCGATCCGGGTCGGTCATGATTACGGAGTACACTGTGGTATATGAGGTTGGGAATTTCATTGGATCGAGGAGGGATAGTGGGATTGATCCCTGGAGATCAGGTCTTGGCTGTCTCGGATCTGAGGGTTTTACTTTTTGTAGTTTGCGTTGGTGGGTGAGTGTGATTGCTCCTGTCAGTTGGGTGGCGGGTCAAGTAGGTATTCTAGGGTTGACGTTATATTGATAATGATTCTGATTCTGATGTTAGTATCGAATGTTGATTTATTATATGAAAGGGGATGAAATCTCCGTGTCGAATGCCTCTCAACTGCAAGAAAGGAAACCAACAAAAAGAAAAGAAAAAAAAGGAGAAGCTCTCTTTTAAAAACAGCAATCAGTCAGTGACCAAATGTTCCGTAGACTTCACCTGGTATACCCCGTATGACTGCATAAGCCTCACCCCTCCTCAGACCCCGACAACACACAAACAACCAGGGGTCCCCTGCTCTCGAGATAATAACCGTATGTACATATATTTCCCCAGCGTTCTCGTGTCGCAACGGCCCTCAACTGCCTCTATTATCATCCGAATAAAATAGGAGTATTGCCTCTTATACTCGCCTGCTGCCATTTCCAAATCCAGTTCTCAGACCCCTAGACCATTAACCTCAGGGAGCGAACCTGTTTAGTGCCTCAACAGCTATATCTGTTCGTCAACCCGGTAGGTCCGAGAAATGCCACTAATATCGGAATATGCAGGAGGTTTGGCTCTCGGAGCAATCAACTGACGACCCTCATCTGCCGTAGTGCGTGGTGGGTGGGTTGCAATGGTTTCGATGTTTTTGTTCTCCTAGGTAGCTATACATAGGTGGAAGAGTGGCTCCGACGAGCATGCAGGACTGTCGAGGCGGTTCGAGGCAAGTACAAACCTCGTATCCGACGATCAAGGAGGAATATCCAGCCGGAAGATAAAGACGCAAGACAGTTCGGTACACCCGTACAGCCCCCGTAGATACGCTACGTTGGTGTCAAAAGGCTTGGTGAATGCAGGTTAACCAACAGAAGGAAACTGGTGACTAGGATACAGGTAAGAAAGTGGTTATAATTATTTGATGAATGGTTAAGTATTGGGTTTCTGATACTTATGTTATAGTTCAATAAACAGCTTGGTGATCACCTAGTCGTCACCAAGCGATTGCCTCGACGAGTGGGCTCGACTCAAGCTTCGATACTACAGGTGTATGGCGTTTTGGATGATGGTGTGTGGATTGTGTAAATATCACAGTTCATGTGGATCTATAGGAACCTAGGACGGAATTCTCACTGAAACAAATATTTGAACCCTCCAAGCATCGGAACAATTCAACATGCATTATGAATTCTATATCTAACGAACCAGATTAGGAAAAGCTCGTGCAGTAAGAAAACGTCGATAAAAACAATATATAGATAATTTACAAGATTTCAAAATGCCGCAAAAGCTTCCATGTTACAGATCCAGCATCAACTAGGCAATGGCATCCAGAGCCCTCCTCCAATTCAAACATCTAATCAACCAACTTTCCGTAGAACGGCACGCCCATGGCGCTGAGGAGAAGACGGGCATCCTTGTCGGTCTTGGCGCTTGTGTGGATGGTGATGTGAGCACCAGGAATCAGCTTAGGGGGGTACCTGTTCAAGGACAAGAATTAGTCACCAATATTCACCCAACGCAAAAACACACAGGCAAAAAATAGGCTTACATGTCATAGTTAACCTCAATCTCCGGGAAAAGAGCCACGCTCTCGGGATCCAGACCGAAGGTGATGTTTCCACTGCTGTCACCGCTGGTGCCCTTGACACCCTCCCAATCCTTGATCTTGGGCAACACGACGTCCACCAGTTTGGAGAAGAAGTGGAGCATGTTCTCGCCACGCAGCTCGGCCTTGACGGCAACCGTGTCTCTGCCAGGAGCGATACCCCAGGTAGCAACGCTGGTCTTGGACTTGAATGTCGAAACCCGCACGTTCGAGATGGCCTGGACGGCCATACCGGCGACGTGGATCCACGACGAGTTCTCCTGGGCCGCGCCCTTGACGTAACTGTGGATGGTGATGCGCTCTAGCTCCGGGACGTTGTTGAAAGTGATGGGTTTGCGAAGGAGGCGCAGGACATCACCGCCACGGGGTCCGCGCAGTTGTCGGTTCTTGTGGTAAGGCGAGCTGTCGTCCCACGAGCGAAGACGGGGGGATTTCGGTGGCGGCTTGAAGCCGGGAGGAGTATGTACATAGCAGAGGGCGAGGATGTCCGAGGCGACGGTGGATTGGTAGGTCTGCTCGACTCTGGGCAGGGTGAACGGGCCAGGAACGAAGAGACGGGAAGAGGGATCAGAGGGAGGCGGAGGTCGGTGAGGATGGAGGGGACCACGATCATATTTCGGCGAACGGAATTGGTAACTGGACGTTCATTAGAGACCGGGGATCAAGTTTGAGAAGAAATTCGATTTCTGCAAAGGTGCAGTGAACGTACCGACTCCGCGGCAGCTGCTTCTTGCGGCCCTTGGATTTAGCGATGGGATCAAAGGTCTTCACGACATCCTCCGGCACAGTAGTGCTAGTTAGGGAGCCAGCTGACTCGACGTCGTTGATTTCGACCGGTGCCTTGGAGGACGCTTGATCGGAGACATTGCGGCGAAAGCAAAAGCCCTTGGGGATGGCCGATGGGGCAAAAGCCCGAGGCAATGACCTTGCCAGGTATCTGGAGGGTTCACTGGCAGCCATTGAGCTCGACAGGAAGGGTGGTCGCTGCAAGTTGAATCGAACCTGAAGCCCGTCCAAAAATTGTTTCGCGGATCGGCGACAAGAACAACCTCGACTTCTTCCGGGACGGCATCACGTGGGACCGCGAACTGATGGCCTGATAAATCTGGCATCAATATCAGGCAGCCAACCCAGCTCCGCAGCGGCGGGAAGCTCCACATGTGATCAGCTTCAATCATCCTCCCCGCCACAAAGACAGCGAAGCTGCTGCTGGACGTCTGCGCTCCAAGACCGTCGATCTGGTGCCCTGGTCTTCTGATGAGGCTTTCGCACAATCCTCATCGTACTGTCTATGCCACAAGCCCGTGATCTGGACCTTGAAGTCTCATCTCTCATTGAACTAGGACTCCTATGCCACCAAATGTGATGTCACTGGGAGTTCTCAGCTGGTGCCTAGCACACAAGTGGATTTGCTAATCCACGACTTAACACTGAAAGAAAAGGATCAGAACAGTTGACACAAAAGACACCTGATATGGTCGCCACCCCCACAGTAACTTCTTCGTGCGCTCCATGGGAATTCTGGGGCCTGAGCTAGTTTATATTGCGCCCATGCCGACTCATCTCCAGATCGACCCACTCAGAAACATTTTTCTACTACATTGAAGAAACCATCTGGCTACGGACACTTTGCTTTATAAAATGAGTGGTATACATAGGTTCCTCACAAGGCGCGAGCGATATAGCAGACATGGCAAACACATCAAGGAAGAGGTAGAATCTGACCCACGTGAAGACTCTTGCAACTGCTGACTTCTCTCTGGCTGGCTATTAGTCCTCGAATGTACTCTCGCGCCCTCATTTCCGTGGATTCTTCTCGTCAGATCGCTCCTCCGATGATGCTAGTGAAGAACAGAAGAAGGTAAACGGCGGACAAGCACACCCACTTGGGCTTCTGGACTAATCAGTTCCCTATCGGGCAAGCAGGTCAAATCACTTGAACGCCGCATCTCTCAACTCGGAATAACGAACCTCAAAGAGGACCATCTAGTTTACGCAATACAGTCACCCCACGCGCAAGGAGATGTGGATAAGGCCTTTGAGTTGCTCTTGCTCCTCGAAGATTCAATCGAAGGCATATTACGAGACTATACCCCGCGCACGAAACTCCTGGGAGCAGAGAACCGAGAGAATGTCACTTGCTACCTGGATGCACTGCTTTTCGCCATGTTTGCACGTTTAGATTGCTTTGAGGCAATTCTTTACAAGTCCTTCAGTGATGAGCCTCGTCGAAAACTTGCCATACTATTGAGACTTTGGGTCAACATGTTGCGCTCGGGAAAGCTGATCACGACGGACCTTGTATGTAGCCCCATCTTCTTTTGTCTTTTTTTTTTTTTTTTAAAAAAAAAATCAATGCTTATCCGTCTTTAGACAAAACACTTACAGGATGCACTTGCTGAATGTGGCTGGGAAGATGCGGCCAAACTCCGTCAGCAGGATGCCTCGGAGGCATTTACCTTCATCACAGAAAAGCTAGAATTGCCACTCCTTACTTTGAAGATGGATATCTATCACACTGGGAAAGAGGATGTCAGCGGTGATCACAAATTCGTCAACGAAAGATTGCTGGAAGTGGCAATCCCGGAACCGGAGGAGGGGAAAACAGTGACACTGGAGGACTGCCTGGAATCATACTTCAACAACAGGATTGAAGTGAAGCGCCACCTAGAACGACGCAACACGGTGAGCTCCACGAAGTCAGTCGATTCTATGGCCAAGGGTTTCACGACGCATGTCGAAACCGTGGAAGTCTCCCCCTCACCGGCTGCCTCACCAACTGTGTCATCTCCCGTGCGACTCGATAGCGGGAATCCAATCTCGTCGGTGACAGAGACGGGTAACGCAAACCCTCAAATGCCTCGACGAAGCAGCATCGTACAGCAACGGTTTATTCCGGACCCAGAAGATGAAAAAGCAGACGACCTGGGCGCTATTACGTCACAGAGAAGAGGCTCGTACAGAAAAGAAGTCATGATGCCTGCATGGCAATTTTTCAGTCTAATTCGTGAGGCGCATTGTTCTTGCACACTTGAGTTCGGGTTCTAACTTCCTATACAGCGTGGTACACTGATAACACACCCACCAACGATGCGCAGGTCGCAGCGCACTTTTCCTCGAAGCGACCAATCCTTGGCATGTGCCTGAAGCGCTACTCTATGCTACCCAGTGGGAAAGCAATCCGACTCGATACCTTTGTCGATATTCCAACGGAGATTGGGCTACCTCATTTTATTCAGGACGACAGCATGGACGCAGAAGGCCCGATCTATGGAAGCTTTAAACTATCCTTGCAAGCGATAGTTTGCCACCGGGGTACTTCGGTCGACTCAGGACATTACATCGCTATTGTTCGGGGCACTAGTGCTGGTGCAGCTCCGGCCAGCTCCCACGGGGCCGAAGAGAATGCTTCAAACGCTCCGCGGTATTGGATGCGCTTCGACGATCTGGCCAAGGAACGTGTTACTCTGGTTGACATTGAACAAGCCTTGAAGCACGAATCGCCTTATCTGCTGTTCTATCAGATCCTGCCTGTCGATGAGGATGCGGCGGTGGCCAACTTCCCCAGTAAGGTTTCTTCTGAGGAATTGTCCGAGGAAATCCAGGACATGGACCCTGCGGTCATGCAGAATCTGAATCTATCGCCTGCGGATGGCCGTGATAGTGATCGTCCCGAGACATTTCATCGGCACCGGCCGAGTTTTGAAATCACCGGCCCCGATAATGCGGAGAACGCACCGCTGGACCTGAATGAGAGAAAGCAAAGCATAGCGTTTTCGGACCCCGCGAATCAAACCGGGGGATTGTCAGTCTACACCGCTTCGTCTAGTTCACCGCAACTCGGCCCTAGAGACGACGATGGTAGAAGGAACTCCAACACATTCTCTCGACGTGGCTCAAAACCGACCAAAAGTAACCCTGGTAGCCGCGCCGGAAGCCAAACCAGTGAAAACAGGATTAGCGCTACCTTTTCTCGGTTCACTGGGCGGCTCAGCAGGGATAAGATCAGCAATGACGGGTTCTCACTTGAAGGGGACGACGAACTGCCCGGCGGAAACGACTCGACTGCTCATCTCGGGGAAAAGTCGGGACCCGGTGGAGGTGAAGTCAAAGAAAGATCCTCATGGCGGTCGTCAAGGGACACAGGCAAGCAGCGAGAGAAATCCAAGGAGAAGCCACGGGAGAGGATCGGACGAAAGCTGGAACGAGAGTGTGTGGTTATGTGATTGCAAATCTGCAGCGAGAAATGCTTGATACCCAGCCATTCTTGGCACGAGTGATGCAAGGCGTGGTTCTTGTTTGTATTTCTTTTTCCTGGTCGGTTTTCATGCCTCTTAATGTGTTGTTGATTACTTAGGATGGCGTTTGAGGAGGGGTATTAGATCATGACGGCCTGAGATAGACATAGATGGAAAGGGCATGTTTGATAGGCTTCATGTACTGTGAGTCTCTTACCGGACATGTGCACCGTACTCCGTAGACAAGCATGATCAAGCCGATGGACAGTGGACGCTGGGACAGTATAGTTGATAGTAGAAAACGGATGTGGATACCTAAGGCATCAAGGCATCAGGCACCCACAGCTCCGGCTCCGCCTTAAAGCGGCGGCCAATCGTCACCATCGCGAAGCACCGCAGCTCCTCCTCCTCTCACTCCAACATCCCACGCTTCTTCGGGGATTCCCGCTATGATATAAGACTCACCGAACTAATTGGCGCATCATGGCGCTGGATGCATCCAGTGGTTATGTCGCTCCCGGCAATCTGGCTGATTCCCCCGACGCCTCTCTCTCCATGTTCGATGTCCGACGTGTCCAGCTCCAGTTCCCGCTAGCTGCGGACTTCGTTGCTGCGCAGGTCGCCAACAATGTGCTTGTTCTGGCCCTGTCAACGGGTCGTATCCTTCGCATCGACTTGGACACACCCGAGGACATAGATGGTATGGTTATCCCAATGGGTTTGCAGACTGGGGGTTCGTTGCGATACTAATCAGGCTGCTCTTAGACATCGACCTCCCGAAGAAGTCGTCGGAGACGGGGGTGATCCGACGCATGTTTATGGACCCTTCCGCATCGCATCTAATTATCACAACCACCTTGGGCGAGAACTACTACCTCCACACGCAATCCCGGCAACCGAAACCGCTGTCGCGACTGAAGGGTGTTTCGATCGAGAGTATCGCTTGGAACCCTTCGGTACCAACGGCTTCGACGAGGGAGATCCTCCTGGGAACCACTGATGGCACTGTATATGAAGTCTACATTGAACCGTCCACGGAATTCTATCGCCGCGAGGAGAGACACGTGAGCGTGGTCTACAAGGTGCCGGAAGCTTCGCCGGTAACAGGAGTCTGGGCGGAGCTGGTCCCGACCAAGCCTGACCTGCGACGGGTGCTGCTTGGAACTCATAGTCGGCTTACTTATTTCGTTGGCCGTACGGGGCGGAGTGGAAGAGAAGGGGGTAGCTCAATTTACGCCGATCTCTTCCAACGGGAAACACCGGTGATCCATGAGATTCAGAAACCGTCCGGCGCGGCGCCGTCAGCATTGGCCATTTCCCCGTCTATGCCTGACGGGCCGACTGCGGATTCGAATCTGGACAAGGAGTTTGCATGGCTCAGCTCGCAAGGGATCTATCATGGCCAGCTACCGTATGCGTCAGATCAGATCAATCAGCCGTTCGAGAAGTCAAGTATGCTTTCGCGATCGGTCTTCCCGGCTAGCGAATCAGCACGGGGAGGCAGGAAACTCATCCAGGACCCTATATCTGCCTTAACTCTCTCGCAATGGCACATTCTGGCGCTTGTCGAAGGAAGGGTTGTTGCTGTCAACCGCATGAACGATGAAATTGTCTATGACCAGGCAGTACTCGAACCTCGACAAAGCACCCTCGGTCTTCTGACCGACTCGATGCAGCATACATATTGGCTTTTTACCACTCAAGAAATCTTCGAGGTCGTGGTTGAAGATGAAGATAGGGACGTTTGGAAGATCTTCCTGCAGAAGCAAATGTACGACCAGGCTCTTCAGCACGCTCGAACCAGCGCTCAGAAGGATGCCGTTTCTACCGCCTCGGGCGATTTCCTTGCGACCAAGGGACGTTATCTCGAGGCAGCAAAGGTTTGGGGCAAAAGTAGCAAGGGTTTCGAGGAGGTTTGCTTGACCCTGATCAACCGAGGAGAACACGATGCTCTGCGAAAGTATCTTCTTTCCCAATTAGCGACGTACAAGAAGTCGTCGTCCATGCAACGGATCATGGTTGCAAGCTGGCTAGTGGAAGTGTTCATGTCTAAACTGAACGCCCTTGATGATAACCTAGCCACCAGAGCGGAGCTGGCCGAGGGGACAAGCACCGAAGAAATCAGGTCCAACCTCGATGATGTTCGCGCCGAGTTCCACGAATTTGTGACCAAATATAAACTTGATCTGGACAAGAAGACCGTCTACGACATCATAAGCAGTCATGGTCGAGAGGAGGAATTGCTTTTCTTTGCCACGGCCGTTAACGATCACAACTACGTTCTTTCGTATTGGATTCAGCGGGAGAAGTGGTCGGAGGCGCTCAATGTTCTCCAAAGACAGAGTGATCCCGACGTCTTTTACAAGTATAGCAGCGTGCTGATGACCCACGCTGCCACGGGATTAGTCGACATACTCATGCGACAGACTAATCTTGAACCTGAACGCCTCATACCCGCCTTGCTGAACTACAACAAGACGGTAAATGTTGCTCTTAGTCAGAACCAGGCCGTCCGGTATTTGAACTTTATCATCGTTAATCATCCCCGACCCTCGGCTGCAGTACACAACACCCTCATATCGATTCACGCCTCGAGCAACTCCACCTCTGAAGCTGGGCTTCTAACCTACCTGCAATCGCAACCATCATCACCACCCCCGTATGATGCTGACTTCGCGCTCCGCCTTTGCATTCATCACGAGCGTGTGCAGTCATGCATTCACATCTACAGTGCCATGGGACAGTATCTCCAGGCGGTGGAGCTGGCTCTACAGCATGATGATATTGAATTGGCAGCTATCATTGCCGACCGACCCGAGGGCAATGACAAACTCCGAAAGAAACTGTGGCTCCTCGTGGCGGAGAAAAAGATCCAACACCCAGGCACCGGCATCAAAGACGCCATCGAATTCCTGCGTCGATGCGAGCTCCTGCGAATTGAGGACCTCATCCCCTTCTTCCCAGACTTCGTCGTCATCGACGACTTCAAGGACGAGATCTGCAGTGCCCTCGAGGATTACTCACGGCACATTGACGCGCTGCGCCAGGAGATGGACAATTCCGCGCAGACCGCACGACAGATCCGAAACGAGATCTCGGGTCTGGACACGCGGTACGCCATTGTCGAGCCCGGCGAGAAGTGCTGGCTCTGCTCCCTGCCTGTTCTCAGCCGGCAGTTCTTCGTCTTCCCCTGCCAACATGCCTTCCACAGCGACTGTCTCGGCAAGGAGGTCCTCGAGGGGGCGGGCGGAAAGAAGAAATACATCCGTGACCTGCAGGCGCAGCTGAACAAGGGTGACATTGGCTCTACTCGACGGGAGGAGATCGTACGAGAACTAGATGGGTTGATCGCGGAAGCTTGGTAAGTCTTATCTCTTACATATCCTCTTTTCGTCTTTCCTCGTGAACGTCACGACCACTACCCCTGCCATCCCACCCCTATCTATCTCCGAGAACGCCAGAAACTAACCTCATATTCAACAGTATCCTCTGTGGTGACCACGCCATCAAACAGATCGAGAAGCCATTCATCACGGAATCAGATAGAGCCGACGAATGGGCTTTGTAAGAAATGGACCCTAGGGTGGCGTTTGAGAAACCAATATACCATACACATAGTAAAGTACAATGGGTAATCTCATCCGGTTGTGCTTTGCTCCTTTGCTATCTTTTTTAGCGGTTTTAGTTTCTGTTGCCTCGCAATCCCAATCATCCTTGTTCCATGCACACTTTGAACCTTCCTCCATCGGGACAAGTACTTTCTCTACTTTTAGATTTGAACATGTCTGTGTCATGACTTCCGCTGTGACTAGGCCGTGACTAGTGGCTATGGCCATGACCCATGACTATGACACGAAGGTGTATATAATCCGGTCGTATGATTAATCGATACTATCTAAACTCCGAGGCTCCTTTCTGTTTTCCTTGTTCACGGAATTTCTGTTTTCGTTTGGGGAGGGGACTTTATTAGTGAGTGGAGATATATACTGTAGGGTACATTACATTAATCATTCATAGCAGAGATCCTATCTATCATACATACAACGTCGATTTTCATCCAGATTTTCATCCATTATTCGGACATGGACAGAGGAAACAATGGAAAGCAAAGGTAGAGGTGATTATCAGTTAATTGAGCAGTGCAACCAACCAGGCAGAGACTAATCGAGTCCAGTCCAACCGATTCTCAAACAGAAAGAGATAGGTTCGGTTAGGTCACGTCAGGAAAAGTAAGTAAGGCAAGGCCAGCCCAGACAAAAAGCCAACCCCCATCACAACAGTCGCAAAAGTTCCAAATCTTTCGCAACAGCCGGACTATAAGGCGCGCAGTCTTCCAGGAAACGCAACATTTCGTGGTTCCATCGTTCCCAGCCGGTAGGGAGGGTGCTTCGAAGGCGAGGGTCAGGGGAGTGAGAGATGCAGTAGAAGAGGAGGATTTGGCCGAAGAATCTGTGGTTAATGATTAGAACAAACGAAAGAGAGGGTAGAGGATGTGACTATTGTTGGTCGGGGCTTGTGTGGATGGAGGGGGTCGTTGTTTACATTGGGGAAGGGGGTGGAAGAGAACTTACTGAGAGCAAAAGGCGAATTTGATCGGGATACAGCTCTTCATCGCTCGGAAGATACCCCCGACAACGGGCCAGTCCATGGCGTTGCGGAGGCCGCTGCGCATCTGGTCGAGGTCTTCGTCCGAGAGCGAGCCCGGGATGCGGAGCGCTTTGTATAGGTATGGACGACCGATGTGAAATTTGGCGATCTTGTATCGGCCGCGGAGCATGGCCTCCGACACGGCGACTGCCGGCGATAGAGGACGGTTGGGGTCGAGGGGAAGGGGCGATATCGGGGATGGAGACGGGGCAGCCGGCGTGTCAGCCGCCGGCGTAGTTGGAAGAGTGTCGGAGAACTGAAGCGCCGGCGGCAGATTGAGGCGCCATTGATCCAGTTGGTGATGAAGCTCTGCGTTGATCGCAGGCAGTGGGAATGTTCCCGAGTCGGCTGGAAAACAATCCTGTTAGATCCGGATCGAGGCATACGAATGCGAGCAGGAACTTACAGTAGAAGTATAAGGAATGCCGGATACGGGTTAGGATGATACGATGAGCGACCTGCGCGAGGAAGTGATATTGGAAAAAAGAATCGTCGATCTCATCCGTGGAAGAGGCCCTGGAAGGACCGAGGCCAACAGTTGCAAAACCGATGAATTTTGGAATCGGTACGAATTCCTCGAGTCGAGCCAGTCCGCTTGGGGGAAGATGCAATTCTTGCACGAGAATGGTCTCGTTCATCACGCAGTTCCAGTAGACGCGCGACTTCATGTCGCCCTCCCATTCGTTGAAATTGACATCGTGGCTTCGGAGTGTCAGGTGGTAACCAGAGGATTTCCAAAGGAGGCAGACTTACTTGGTCAACATTGATAGGCAGCAAGTAGCCGCGCGGTGAAGCATAGCCCACGAATCCATAACTCGAAGTATCTGACTGTAGTAAACACTGCGCCTCAATTAGCAAGCGGTGTAGGTGCGCGAGTAGTATAGGGTGACGTACGATGATAAAAGATAAAACTGGCAGCTTTGGAGATCATTATTGCACATCAAAAACCCGATACGGCGGCGAGCTTCGTTAAAGAAACGCAGTCCCGGCGGATCCTCGTAAATCACATCCAACCACTCCGGGGGGTCGAATTGACCACTCCGAGTGCCAGGCAACGGATAGTTGCCTTCTCTATGGGCCTGAACGGCGAGACATCCCAGGGCCATGACGTTGAGAACTAAGCAGCTCTCCATTGTATAGCCAAAGCCATCCTCGATCGCAGCTCCAACCGTAAGTGCGAAGTAGAAATTCTTGTCCATGATGGGGGTGAACGGGTTAAAGGTTGAGAAAAAAGCATCGGAAAGACCTTTGACCATGGCGAGGGGAAGCGCCTCCAGCCAGTCATTCCCGGCCTGTGGCGGAAACGGGGAGATGTACATGGGGAGCTGGGGCCTCTTCATTTCCGTATCGATCACATAGTTTTTCCCCAACCGTTCATGGGCCTCGAGAAGTCTCGTTGGCAGAGTTTCCCGGGCTCCGGGCCATAGGATGACCCCGTGTTGGCTAAAAGAGATCGAAACCTGACCCGTCGGATTGGTCGCATTTGCACGCTCATCGAATTCAAAGTCATCGGGCTCTCCAGCATCGGGAGTGAGGTTCTGCGATACAGAATGCACCAGCGACGCTTGCTTGTTGACGGCTGGGTTCGCGCGTCCTGGGGTTGCCATCTCGGCAGGATCCTCAAGGGCGCGGAGCATCTGTCCCTGGAGGGACTGGAGGTCATGGCATATTGTTAAAGGGAGACTTTCAAGCTTGGTCTCCAGCCGATGGAGAGTGCTCATAATCAAGCTCAGGGAATGATCTCGTCTACATTGGCGGTTAGTCTAGCATACCGGAGTGGGACGCGGGCGGATAGAAACTATGGCTTCATACTTGGAGGATTTCCGTTCATTGTAGACGCACTCCAGACCAAGAGCTTTGCACAGGCCACATTTTGGTCTGGATTCGTCGCATCGGGTCTTTTTGAGTCGACATGTTTCACAAGCCTATCCATGACGTTAGCCAGGTAGATACGGGGCAACCTCCAATGGTTTTCGGAGACATACCACAGTGGCGATGAAATTACGGGGTTTCTTTGATGACGAGGCCGATTGTTGCTCCTGATCGGGGGACAAAAGGTCGTTGATGGCCAGCATATGATTGTTATCGATATGCTCTGGCGGCTGAGAGCCACCTTGGGATAATGACTCTCCGTAGGAACGCTTGCTCATGGTGCATGATTGATGATAAGCGGCTCGAGGTTTAAGAGGGGTCTGCGTTGACCGGCATGCTGGGTGGACAATACTTCAGTTCCTCGAAGTTTAGTGACTTCTCTCCGATGCCTTAGCAGAAGAGAAGGTTGAAGCTTCCCGTCGGCGATGAATCCATCCACGGATGTGTCAGCCAAGGTGGGTCTGGCCAGCCAATCCGCGTCCGTCTGGCCGGGAGGTACTTTGATGGTACGCAGAGCATTATAACCCATGTGCAGGGAGATGGAAGTATTTGAAGGTACCTCGTCCTTTTAGGGTTAGTTACAGAGTACTAGTTACGAAAGTAGGTAGGTAGCGACTACGGTACTTATGTAGGCAGAGTGCTCAGGAGCTAGAAAGTGCAGAAGAAAGGCAGCGAAACAGAGAGAGACTCCTATCCATGCAATGGGGGCGAAAAGCAAGTTTTCCAAGGCGAGGACCACTAGCTACCTATATAGTCAATTCTACACCTAGGAGGCTAGGACGGAGGGGCAGGGTTGGGCCATGGCAGGCACAGAGCACCCGACGGTCAATGTAACCATAAATAAACCCGATGGCCCGATGCTGAAATGTTGGTTGTCGGGTGGCCGGGCGCTCTCCTGAATCCCATATGTCCATAACTTATGGTATCTTGCGGAGGGAACGGACCACCGGCCGTTATGAACCATCATCCTTCGTACTAGTGCACTTGAGAGTTAAGACTGTTAGTCCTCCTTCGACCACGAGTCCGTAAGGCTCTAGCAGCGTGGCTGGCTGATCCGGAGGCCCTGGCTGTGCGTCATTGGCCGGCTGATGTTTTAGTTGAAGCCGAAGTGGGGAATCAGCATTAAACGACATTGCTCACTGGATCGTTGTGATGCCGTTCAGCTTCGGTGGGTGACTTCGAGGTCGCATTATTGTACACACAGTGGGGATGTTGGAATAGGGAGTACATCGGTACCTGACTCCCTGAGTCGCTGACTGCAACCCTCCAGCAATGCCACGGCGGTGCTGTAAGGCCACGGGGGGGCCCTACCCGTTGCTTCTGCCAATGTCAGGCGATGGATAGCGTTAGTATCCGTCGATATCAAGGTGATCGGCCAGGCACTAGTCAGGTAACTGACTATCTGTCAATAATCGACCTTGGAAGTTGCGACTAGCGACCTGATCCGCTTACTCCGGAGTAGACTTACGCAGGCCATACGAAAGGGAGGAGCTGTCCCTCGTACTCTGTAGAGGCCCGAGCCAAATCTCTTTGTCTGTCCGAACTCAGAGAAGAGGAGATGAGGAGATGATCAAGGAGCAAGATGTCATGATTGCACAAGACAGAGCAATCCCGTCTCATCCGGATGTTTCATCGGGTGGAGTCAATCGACGTCATGAGTTGTGGACGTTGCGACTTTGCGATCGGAAGAGATTTTTACGGCGATGGGATTAATGACCGGTACCGGTACCTCCTGTTCCTAGCGTTTTACCACACAAGGGAAGGTACCGTCCGGTGACCTTGCGGGGGGGGTGGCTTTATTGACAATACTCGTACCGTATTGGGTACGGCCACCCACGTGGGTAAGTGGCGCAGCATGACTCCATTTTGGTATGTCTCAGAGTAACCACGGAGTACCGATGAGGTATGAGGTAGGTTACCGTAGGTAGGAACTGTACCCCGTAAGTACGGAGACGTGACCGTGGCGGTGCACCCCGTCCTGGGTATGGCAACGGTAACATACAACGTATTCGGTACCGACTCCTCCGGTTCTTTTGGTTCTTTCTTCCCCTCTTTTTTCTCGTTATAAACAATCTCCTCTCTTCCATCCCTCCAGTCATTCGGACACGCCGGACTGAGAGCCCGTCTTGCAAATTCCGCCATTGTCCCTCCGTTACTTCTTCTCCTCGCTCTCCTGCAGGCGTGACTTGGTCAATTTGGGTACCCGCTGCCTGGCCTCGTGTGTGTCCGCCATTACCGCTACGACCTCATTTTCTCGTCCTTTCTTTCGCTCTTCCCTTCCACCCCCTGGGCGCTTGCGGTCTGCGAATCGCCTACCAGGCCGCTTGACCAAAGACTCGACGTTTCTTGTCTATTTCTACCATCTTTGTGCAGATTCAACTCCATTTTATTCTTTACCGCGCGCCGAACTTGGTTTGATCTGATCGGATTTTGTTGGGGGTCACTTTGTTCCTTGTTTCATTCCATTTGTTTGCACCGTATGACGAGGACCGGGTGTTGATTGTTCCATTTAACCACATCATCCCATTCAACAGAGGGGGCCGACTCGGCTTATCGCTACACGAACTGCTTTTCCACCAACCCTCGAGACACTCGGTGTTGTCTTGCAATTCATCTCTCCCTCTTGAACAGACGACAGACGACAACGTCGGATTCAAAGTCTACATGGCTGGCGTACAGTTGCAGCAGCCCAGCATGACCGATTATCGACTTCACCAGCCCCCACCCGTGCGGAAGCCGGTCCCGGGAGTGCGTTCGGGCCATTCGTTTCAGTCCTACGACGGACACCACCACCACCAACTCGCCCCCCACCCGTCGGCCGCCTCTCTCGCTCATAGTCGCAGTCGAACCTCATCCTCGCACGTGCTGCCCTACGTCGCTCACCAGCACCAACAACCCTATTCCGGCGGCCCCTCGCCCCATCACACCATGACCACTCCTCCCAACTACATCCCTGCGAGACGCCTCTCCAGTGCGACCACCTCCACAAGCTCTACCGGCAACGCTACTGGCGCGGCAGCCTCGGATATTCGCCGGAGCACTTCTTCCCGCTCCGCCAACGCCCAGCTGGGATACGTAGCCTTGATGCGAAGACAGAAAGCCACGGTCTGGTGTGATCGAGCGCAGCCCGAGGATCCCCGGATCCGAGCCCAGAAGCTGGTCGACAAGAAGAGAGCGTACCTCGAGGTCCACGGCGCAGGCGCCGGACGGAGTGGCACGCTCGCCAGCAACAAAAACAAGCACGGCACCAAGGGAACCACGGATTTCTCCCCGTCGACGCTGGTCGGCGCCACCGTTCCCGTGCGGCTCAGTGCCAACGAAGTAGGCGATGCCGAAGAAGATTCCCGCAGTGACAACGGCTTCCCGTACCGTCGCACCGGCAGCGGTCGCAGCTCCGTGGGCAGCGCCCACCGTTATCCCAGCGGCTACCAGCGCACGCCCCAGGGCACGATGGGAAGCAACGTGACCCCGCCCGGCGACAAGTCCGATCTACCGGGAGTGTCGGAACACCCTCCTGCCGAGCGTCGGGAGGAAGAGAAGGACGCCGCTTCTGTCAAGGACGACGCCGCTACCACCCACAGTCGCACCAGCGAACAGGAGGACAATTTCGGCAGCGTCGGCGACATGGCCGCGCCCAGTGCAGCCACCGCCGCCGCCGAAAAAGCCAAGAAGGCGGACGAGCTGAGACGCCGCGGCAGTGTGGACGACCGAACGACATCGATGACCAACGTCCGTCTTTTCGTCGCGAATCCGGATTTGAGTGATTAGAGCGCTCGCCATGCATACTTTGCATTATACAGCATTGTTGTTGATTGGACTTTTGAACAACGGATCAGAATACCCAGGTCGACTTGTCCATGTAGATGAGGAGTCTCCATTTGTGTTTACTCGTGTCTTTCTTTTTCATTTCTTCTACTGTCGCTACCCATGTGTGGCTTTCCCATTCCCATCCATCTTCTTTTTGTGTTTTCTTTTCTCTCAATGTCGGTCTTCTTTTTCAGCCAGTCCTTCGAACTGGACGCTGGATCCTGGCCTGTTGGTGCATTGAATGCCTGACTGCATTGTACTTGCTCATTTTATTCCCCTCACAGCATGTTATTGGCGCTTGTGCTTCTGATGATGCATTGGGTTATGTATCACTGTGTTTGCATGCACTGTTCTTGGTGTTGTGTTATTTAATGGATTTATGAACAGCTAGTAATAATAATCTGAAGTGTACATATCAACAGTGGACAGGATTGGCGTAGGTCGTTCTACTGCGTCCGGACGGCGCATTGGGCCGATAGCGTAGAGTGTAGACCATCCATGTGAACAAAAGAGCCTACTTGACTCTCTTCAAATCTGAGAATCTATTCAGAGACAATTCACAATTCCGGTCTATTTGTTTTGCTTTGTCTATCTCGAGTATGTGTCCGTATGCTGTCTCCCGGGTCTCCCAGGAACCGGTCCAACCCTCACGGCAGCCTGCCGGCTCCCGAGTCAGGTTCCGCTTACATAATCACCACGTGCCCGCCAACGCGACGGGAATCGCGACGGCAAATCCAATTAACGCGTTCCAACCACTTGGCCAGCAAGCATCAAATGACAACTCGGCCCACCACACAGGCACGCACTCTCTCCTAGGGACTGGCGAAACAGACCCATACCTTTCTTCAATTTCATTCTCATTCCGGAGTCATATTTCACATGTCTTGAGATTGTATGTTCTTTTGTGGGATTTGCATTATACATACATCATTACAGTTATACGCTCCCCTCCCTTGACTTGACTTGACACACACATCAGATTCCCACCAGCAACAGCACCAGCAACAAACAACAATGGAAGTATCAGTCGACGCCAATTCGAATCTGAATCTCTCGCCTCTTCCTCCTCCTTCTCATCCTCCGCAGCAGCAGCAACAGTCTCAATCGCCACACCGCGTCTCTGCTTCTCCTGCCTCCGCATCCCCCCTAAGTATCCGCAAGCGCTCCATCCAAGACATGGACGATTCTCGATCAAGCAACAACCCAGACGAGAAAATGATGCCTCCGAACCCCCACGATCTCGAGAATCAGGAGAACACGGCTCCTTTGACCACCACCGCCGCTGCCGCTGGGGGGGATGTTGAGTCTACAACTGTAACTGCACCTGCGACGGCAACCACAGCCGCGACGACGACGACGACGACGTCGACATCGACACCGACAGTATCAGTATTAGTAACGAATACCGAGGAGCAGCATAAGCAGTCGGACACGGACGCGACGGGCGAGCCTGGGACACCGGCGGCTAAGAAGCGGAAGTTATCGCCAGGGAGTAAGGAGGCGAAACAGCAGGAAAAAGAAGCGAAGCAACAAGAGAAAGAGGCTAAGCAACAAGAAAAGGAAGCTAAGGAGCGCCAAAAGCAAGAGGAGAAGGCGAAACGGGAGGAAGAGAAGCGGGTGAAGGAAGAGGAGAAGAAGAAGCGGGATGCCGAGCGCGAGGAGGAGCGGAAGCGAAAGGAAGAGAAGCGGAAGGCCAAGGAGGAAGAGAAGGCCGTGAAGGAGGAAGAGAAGCGGAAGAAAGAGGCGGCTAAGGAGGAGGAGAAACGCAAGAAGGAAGAGGAGAAGTTGAAAAAGGAGAGGGTATGTTCTTTTTTTCTCCTTCCCCCTTCCCTTTTGGTTCACTATTATGATGGTCTACGGCGAGGCTATACGGCAGGATGAAGGGCCAGGTGGGTGCTGACTTGTGTAGGCTCAACCGAAGCTGAATGCTTTCTTTGCGAAACCGACTTCTACACACAACGCTGCGTCCAATCCCATAGCGTCACCTAAAAAGTCCGCCGGGGATGGCCATTCACTTGATTCCGCTCAGACCGCCGAATCGGTGGTCAATGACTACCAACGCGTATTCCCCGACTTCTTCCTGCAGTCCCATACGACGGTTGCGCCTCCGCATAGGTTCCAACGGGATTCTCAAGCGCTTGGGTTGATGAGGAATAAGGTTGACGGCTTCTTGAAACTGGGTTCAGAGGGCTCGAAAGATCCTCTGGCGTTCCGCCCATCGGAGTTCTTTCAGATGATGCCCTACAAGCGACGGTTTGGCCGGCTGCCCGCGTCGGTACGGGATATTCACTCGCAAATGCAGAATCGAGACGAGGAGTCTGGCACCTCGGAGTCCGTCGCGAAACCGCGGAGTTTCCTGCGACAGATCAAGATGAAATCGCTAAAATTTGGTGAAGACGTTCGACCGCCGTACCAGGGAACATATACCAAATCTGTGCCCGGGCCCGCCGCACGAAAGTTGATGAGGAACCCGTACCATCGGGGTCTGCCCGAGACCAACTATGACTACGATTCCGAAGCGGAGTGGGAGGAGCCGGAGGAGGGCGAGGAGTTGGATTCGGAAGAGGAAGAGGAGGGGAGCGACGACGGAGAGGACGACATGGAGGGATTCCTCGATGACGACGACGATCACCCCGTAGATGGCAAGAGACGGCTCATCGTGGGAGATCTAGAACCGGTCTGTACGGGAATCCAGTGGCAGGAACACGGCGTGGACCCGTCGCTGCAAGTGTACAAGATGGAGACAATATCGGACTCTGTGACTTTTCCGATTGACCCGTTCTCCACAGCCTACTGGCACAAACCCAAGGTCGCCGATCCCGCGCAACCGGGTGCAGCGGGACAGTCGACGCTACGCACTCTCAAGTGGCCTGTCTCCACCAGTGCGCCCACGCAGGAGGGAGCGGCATTGGCCACAACGACGCCCGTCAAGGCCAAGAAGGGACTTCCGGCGGAACAACTGGAGGAGTTCAAGCAGGTGGTCAATGGCAGCGACCTCTCGAAGCTGGGGTTGGTAGAAATCCTGAAAAAACGGTGAGTTTTCTGACGACGGCTGAAAGGCGGGGATGGGGACAACGTTGCTAACGAATGACACTCACGACTAGCTTCCCGAAAGTTTCGAAAGACGCGCTGAAGGACACGTTGACCAGCGTGGCTACTCGGGTGGGACAGAAGGAGGCTGACAAGAAATGGGTCTGCAAATAGACCGGACTTGACCATCGCGATGAGAAACATCGTCGCAGCGCATCACCGGATAGGAGTTTTACGGCGTTGAAGAGATCTTGCGAGCGATTTATTCTTTGCCAGCACAGGAAGTTTCAAAACTATTTATTTACTATTTCCTTTTTCTTTTTCATTCATTCTTTTCCTTTACTTTCTTTTACCTACTGATCCTGACCTTTCCTCCCCTCATTATACATTATGCTATTCCATGCCTGTATTCTTTTCTGATGTTTGCTATATTTATAAGCAACTGCATGGTCCCCATGATGACGACCGGCTGTTGGCAGATTCCCAGCGGGTGACGCACGTAGACTGCATGAAATCAAAAGAGTGGCTCGACAGGATATGTCGTTGACTGCAGACTCCCACCGGACTAATCCGTACTCCGGAAGGCTGTATGATGTGCCGATATGTCCAACGCAGCGAAACCGAACGGGGTTTTTTTGCTTGAGAAGAATGAAAAAATAACATAAAAATAAAAAAAATAAAAATCCAAGAGTACACGGTAGAAGTAGAATCAGCGGGTTAAATGAAAAGGGGCCACATCAAATGAGCATGAACGGCATGAAACCTGCATACTCCTACTAGGACAGCAAGTCGTCCAGGTCGACCAATCTGGGGTTTGGAGCGGTGGATCCCCATGACTCTTTGCCGGATGACTTCAGTTGGATGGAAATGGGTGTCCTTTGCTTGTTATTATGATTTCGATGATGATGTTTTGTATCCATCCGGTTCTTGTTGTCGTCGTTGTTCCACTTCAGCTGAGGAACGATGACGCTACTCTCGAAGTGGTTTAGCCCCGGGCGTGCTGGTCAGTGGCAGAGGAACACGTGCCAGTGGGTCTTCTTCTATTTGTTTTTCTGGATGATGAATGATTCTTTACTATCGTTCATTTCCAAATAATCAAATCTTACAGAGTTTTGCCGGCGATTAAATTCGGACGGAAGAGAGAAAAAAAAAAAAAAAGAGGGCTACCTTTCGCCCTTTCCAGGGACAGAAACGCAAGCCAAGCGGGCTTCCCTCCTTCAGGAGAGAAGAGGGGGTGGTCTGCCAGCAAATGATGGGCCACCGGAGGGGCTTCCTGCATGCAGTGCCAGCTCATCGTCGTCCCGTCGCTGGCTGGTCGGTACCTTGACGAGAGGTACCACTGGGCCTGGTCTGCTCTGCGGGGGGTACCTCGTCCGCAGGTTGCCAGTGCGCTGTACGAGTCCAAATCATTCGACGCTTTCGTGGCATGAGGACGATCTGCAGGCGAACGCCAGGGAAGAATGACCCGTTCAGTTATCAACATCCTGATACATTCTTTTTGAGGTGGTGGGGGGAAAGGGAGATATTTTTTTCTCTCCATGGATATACTTACTTATAGTTCTTTTCTATACTTATTGACCGGCACCGTAGATATGTACATACCTCCGGACAACACACATGTTCTGTATGTATACTGGCCTACAGGTACATACCTAGGTAGATCTGTAGAAGAAAAAGGTGTCACATCAAAATCCAAATCGCCTGCACGCGTCCGGTTCGAGTCACCGCCAGGCCTCCCATCCAGAGTCCAGACTGTCTCTGGTCGGTTCCTCGTCGGGAACGTCGTTCAATAACGTGTTTTGCGCCAACCAACCAACGGGGGATTTCTTAGGGTGGAACAAGAAGTTCTCACTTCTTCTTCTTCTTCTTCCTCCTCTCTCGTTTCTTCCTCCTCACGTCCCCCCGTCGATTTGTTGGCATCCGCTGCGACTAACGGCATCCAATCCCCACTAGTCCATCTCTCTCTCTTTTCTTACTCCCTCCCTCACTCTTCCTCTTCCTCCGCTGCATGTCATCCGCTTATTAGATTTATTCCTATTCTTATTATCAAATTAAATTTCCCTGGTGGTTTTTATTCCCGCCAGTTGTTCTCCCTCTCTTATCGTTCGGAAACGAAAGGAGATCGGAATCGCTCCTCTCCACCTGCAACTCCGCCGTATTGGATGATTCCATCTCTGCTTTGGATTTATTTGTTGTTCCTTTGATTTTATTGCTTCTGCATTTTTTATTCTTTATTTGATCCCTTCCCCTCCTTTGACCCTCCTCTTCTGTCTCTCTTCTTGGATTATTTGACCCCACCTTTTTTTTTTTTCTGTGCCCTCTTGCTCGCCTTTTCTCTACCTGCCTCCCTCCCTCTCCCTCTTTTCTTCCCTCTTCTCACCATTCCCGCCTCGCTCATCCTGGAGCCGTCGATCGCGTCGGGCATTCACCTTGATCCTCTTCGACAGGACCTCGCTCTCCATGAGGACCGCCATTCGTCTGCCGTGCCGCCTTTGAGGGCTGAACCATGCGATAGAGAGTTGGTTTCCCACGCCAGGGGCATCTTGCGACCTCCACTGTCTTCTTGGCTGGCCGGCCGGGAGACTGCCCATGGCAACATCATGTTCGATGCCCAATCTGATGGTCCTCCATCGACCCTGGCTTATGTGACCAGTATGTCCACTTTCTTTTCTTTTTTACTCCTATGTTCGCCCCTCCAGCTCCCCTTCCGTTTGCTTCCTTGTTTGCCTTGAAATGTGATCTGTATGAATGATCTTCATGCGCCTCCCATGGATCTATCTATAAACACCGCGTTTTCGCCGACTCCCTCGGATGTTCTTGTGGACTGGGCAAATATGTTCCATCTACGTTGCTGACGTTCCCCCCCTCGCTTCGTGCGCGCCCTAGACTTGTACCCCTCAACACAGGCTACTTCAACATGTGATACTGCATCTCACCCAATTGCTGCGACGGTCAGCATGTCTTCAGAGTCGTCCGTCCCCATCCCCAGGGGCCAGACCGCAGGTGAGTCTGGATACTCGGACCGCTCGAGTTCGCGATTTATAGCAACCCCCAACTGCTCCGATGATGGACGTCCCGTGGATCACCCGCTGCCACCCACAACCGCGGAGGATCCCCCCAAGGTGTCCTTTGATGATTTGGCCGTCCGTTATCGCCAGAACCAGCACAAACAAACCCGCCGCAAGAGGCTGGAACATCGTCTTCATGCCACCAAAGTGTCCATGGGCATCTCCGCACGCTTGGTTCGCGTGGGAGCCGCCGTCCAGCGCGGCCTGGTCGACCGTCTCAAACATGACGACAAGGCGAATTTCATTGCTCTCTACCATACCATGATTGATCTTCAGGAGTCTTGTGATTCCGCATTCCGGCGCCACTTCCACCGGCAGGACCCGTTGGAAGACTGGCCATCCTCCCCCGAGGCGGCCGTTGACCGCGCCCCGGATTTTTTCCTGCAGTTAAGTCCCCAGTCCAGGGCCGATCTCGTCGGGATCTTGCAGTCGGTCCGCACCGATCCCCAGTTCATCTTCGAGCGCCTGTGCAGCTTGACGCCCGGTCAGCTGGGCGCTCTGGTCTCGTCCTCGGCTCCGTCTTGGGAAACCAGTGACCTTTCGTTCCCTTCGGCCTCGCGGTCCCGGAGCACTTCATTCCCTAAGCGCAATCCTGCGTCGTCCATTCCTTTCAGAGACCACGTTCTCGCCTTTGAGAGAACCGACGCCCTGTCTACTTTGCTGTTTAATGTCTTCGCCGCCCCGCTGGACTCGGATGCCCCCGAAGCCCGCTTGCGCCTGGATGTATGGTCTTCCGTCTGCGCAAAGCTTGTCGCCGACGGCGGCAGTAGGTATTATCCACTCATCGGCAACATTCTAGCTGCCTGGTCCATGGGCAGTGATTGGAAAGCAAAACCCAGATTTGAACTGTACCTGATGGACATCCTCCAAACGGGCGCCTTCCTGTTGGAACACGTAGAACCTCCACCCGGCCTGAGCTTTGACGCGGAGCCGATCGACCCGTTGAAGACTGATGTGGCCGAGGAATTCTTTGCGTCCGCCGTTGACGGCCTATTCCAACTACTAGACGACCCGGATGGAGGACTCCCGCACGCGGTTATGGAGCTGAGCAAGGCCGTCTTACAGAAATTGGATCGCCAGGATAGCTGTGATCGTTTTCTCGAGTTCTTACTTGTCCAGTGGTTTTTCTCCAAATTCCTATACGGCGCACTAACCTATCCTGAGGTATGTTTGGAAACTTGATCTCGGTCTTTGTGAAGTCTCCGGTTCTAACGAATTGCTCTAGGCACATGGACTTTTGCTTGACTTTTTCATCAGGAAGGATGCCCGAGAAAAATTACTTGGACAGGTCGGACTCCAGGCTTATTCTCAAGTATTTGCGATTCTTCGGTCAATGTGCGTACACTCTTCTGTTCTTTTGGGGCTTCCCCCAACTCCTCGAAAGCAAGGAGTTCGCTAACATGAGCGCACCGCTCTTACCACGCTAGGCGTCACTTTTCGATGGCCCGTCCTACCGTCAGACAGCATGTTGAGCGCATGCTCAATCGATTTGCTCAGGTGCCGCCTGATCAACAAATGTCTCGGCAGCAGCCCTCCCACGTCGGCTCCGCAGAGAGAGAAGATTCGCCAGCAGTTTTTCTAATGCTCTCTTCCTCCGACATCCTCAGCCTGCTAAATGCACTGTTCCCTAGACCAACGCCGTCCATGTACAATGTATCTACTCCGTCGTCTGGCGTTTCCTCGGCGTCTTTTGCCTCCCCTTTGTCCCCGCGAGACAAGCCACTGACACCATTGATTGAGCCCGGATTTTTCCGGCCTGTCATTGATACCCACATGGGACAGTACTCCACGGGCAGGCCCGTTTTCCCACCGGAAATGGATTTCCTGTCTCTCCCCGAGAACTGTCTCAGCCGCAATGCCGATCGGATTCGCTTCGAGCTGTCTGATCTTGGCGACGCCGACGGTCGTGCGAATTTGGAACCTCCATCAGCGGAAGACTGGGCTATTTTCTCAATCGCACAAGAAGGGAAACGGCTCATCTGGGGTCTCTTTTCCGATGGTCAATTGGACTGCGCAGAGACATCTGTTGATGATGTCCAATCCACTACCTTGGGAATGGAAGATAACTTCGAAGCTCTACAAACTGCGATTGTGAAACTGATCCAGGATAATCCTGCCAGTGACCGCAGTGAGATCGGACTGCAGTCCTACAATCCCCATCATACTGGAGGCCTGTCCCTGAAGCAAAGGTTCAACCAGGCCATGGCCTCCTGCCATCATGACTCCGATTTCATCGGGGCCCACTATTGGTGGAACGCTGCCCGCCAACTTGTTCGCAGTGTCGCCAACATCCCTTCTCGCCAGGCCAATGACTCTTGGATTCTAGGCCCAATGTATACCTCAAGCATTCGCTCCCTCCAGGCATCCCGGTCCGTGATCGATCGCTGCGAAAGCGACTTCGTTGCTATTGATCGTCACATGCAGCGACTGCAGCGTACGATGAAAGAGGCAATGGCCACCGTGACGAAGTTGCGGGACAAGATGTGGTACATTACTGATGTAAGGAACTCCATGCGATACGAGGATGCAAAGCATGTGGCTCTTGCGTTGAAGACTATGATCTATTCGGCCCGTCTCCCCAAGCAGACGCCGAACGAGGGCCGATCGCGCGGCAACGGGAGATCTCTGGGAGGCTCTCTCTTGCAGAAGCCGGAGTTGCAGGTCATGAACGTAATGAAGGCCCCGAGTAGCCAGGCCGGTCCGAACAAACTCTCCGACGAACAAGTCGACCTCATCCGAAAATGGTTGTCGCACAACAATATCGATAACTTCTGCAGAGGTGAGGAGCGCATTCACCGATTCTGCTACGAAGTGCAGTCGAGTATCACTCGCCTCGTCGGGGAGACCATGGCCGAAACCCCGGTGCTCTGGGCGAGCGAGTTGTTTCACAAAGAGAGAGCCAAGTACGAGGGATCTGGCAATCGCAGCTTCCTGAGTCTGTCTTCAGGGCTGCGGCCTTTCAGCGCTGCGAACGAGGACGCTGGATATCCCTCGCAGACGTACGGCAGCACGCTTCGTCCTTCGGATTCCGCCTCCAGATTCTCGCAGGACATTCCTTCGCTGAACCGCAAGACTTCTTTCCAAAGCGTGATGTCTGACAAGTGGAGAACTCCGCGAGAGCCCTCGATAGCGGATGTTTCTTCCATGGGAGGCTCGCCCACTCGAGCAGCCTCCATCTCAACGGGCGATTCATGCAGCACGTTTTGGTCGGCACCGCACAAACCGACAAATTATGCCCCGAGCACATCTAGCATGTATTCCCGTCCTCCTTCCATGCTGAGTGACACGGTTGGTCAGCAGCCTCGTCGGAACGAACGTAAATCGAACGGGAAAAGCGCTTTTCTCGACGAGCTGCGACAGACTCTGACAAGTTTATTGTTGAGCGATCTGGGCTCCCCGGTCTGGAGTTGTGGTACGGAAACCGACGCGTGGTTTGGCAATGCTTTGGACCAGAAGAGAATCCGAGCACAGATGAAGAAGCGCACTCAGATCAACCGGTTCTACGCGGACTGTGACGAACGGCTGCTCCGCCAAGCCATCCATCGTACACCGTCAAACGGCCGTAGGAGCAAATCAGTCGGGCCGTCTGATCAGGGGCGATGCGAGGACGCCCCGTCTCCATACCGAGAGGATACTGCTGGCCTCGGCAGCGACGATCAATCACCGTTCTCGTACACCATGGTCTTCCGTCGATTGATCGAGGTCTTTTCCCGCCACGGCAATCCCTCTGTCAAATTGAAAGCTCTCCGTGATCTGCGGGCACTCGTCATCGCATCGCTGAACTCTAGCCACGATGACAACCCCTCTCCTTTGACCCAAAAGCCCTCTTGCCGCCGGGGGAGTAGGGCCTTTGGTCAAGGGGTAAGACTCACTCGTCATAGCTACTCGCAGCTCGGATCTCGGGGGCGTGTCGATAAAGACACTCTGCACACGCCCACCTCCCCCGCCGCCGAGTCGATTGTTTTCGGCTCTCGGCCTTCTGACTACTCGGCTCCAACTGAGAAGCAGATAGTAGACTCCTTGCGGGACTTGCTGCTCGAGGTGAAACCGAAGACCCTGTTCCGGGATCTGCAATTCATATCGGCGTTTGTTCCGGGTGATACGCTCAACAAAACCGATAGTGGAACCGCCTTCCTGCAATTTGGACTGGCCGCGTTGAGTTTGAAGGATGAAATCTGCAATAGCATGGTTGAAATTGCGGATAACATCGTTTCCCAGGAGCTTAGTCGCCGTCACCCCCCTCACGGACATGACATGAACCCCCGGCCTGGCCATGGGATCGAGGACGCCGCGGGGATGTGGATCATCACCGCTAAAGAAGGCAATCCCATTGCACAGCGGGAGCTGGCAATTCTTTACCTCACCCATCCGGAGCTTCTGCCGCGTGTCACGCTCCCGCTCACGTTGCTTCGGGACACGTTCAAGGCCGAGATGATGTATCGTCGCGACAAGGACTCCAAGTCGGATCCGCAAAGTTTGTGTCTGGCGCTGCACTGGATGCAGCTGTCGGCCAATGGAGGAGATGAACTTGCGCGGAACCGACTTCGCGAACGAGAGGAATTCGATTCCATCGCCTAAACTTTTGCTTGCACCTGTGATTGTTATATTCCAGACCCTCCTTGTTTTGTACGCTGATTTTCTTTTCTTTCTTTTTGCCGTCTTGTGACTTGCATCCTTTGACGACTTGATACCATTTACGACCTACTTCATCCTGGATTTTTTTCTTCATATCTTGGCCTATCTAATCGGGCTCATCCCCTGTGCAAATGCCAACTGCAGTGAACTGCAGTGTTGTCATTTCTCACGATAGGACAAGTCTTATTTACAGTTGTATTTGTTTCCTGCTCGTGTGAGAGCATGGAGGACTGACATTTTCGCTTCTTTCCTTTCCTTTCCTTCCCCTTCTATTACATTTATTTTGTTTCTTCTTTCTCTTCTTCCCCTCTCTTCTGATTTTCTTTCTTCTCTTCTTTTCCATCTTCTTCTCTGATTTGGACAATATTCCCCTATACACGTACATTCGAGGGTGGCTTTCTGCTTTCTGATTTTCTTGTCTTCTTTTCAACCCCGATATCTGGGGCTGAGATTTGGAGTACCACTGCCATGGGCTGGACTGTAGAGACTATAGGACCGGCGGACTTCTGTTCGGGTTTGGGTATACAATTTCATACACGGTATTGCATTGCATTACATTGCATGATAGCATCGAATCCAAGCATTTTTGACATGATTATCCCGCTCCACCGTGCGTACACATTCTTGCCTATTATTAGTAGTCGCATCATCATTCCTCGACGGTCATGCCTGATGGGATGCCTGACAGAGGGGTGGTCAATCGACGTCATCGCTGCCCCACGTGCCCCTTCAGGTGAAACCACAACGTGACGTTGTTCCGACTCTCTTGACTTTCCCTTCATTCCCCTTCCAACACCCAGACCGCGACTTCAGGTTCATCCTCAGCTGGATTTTTCGGTGGCTTGCTCGTACATCGTCTTATTCATCTGCTTGCGCAGCGCATTTCCATCAGCCGATCTGCTTAGAAGACGCAGTGCCCCGATCGTCCCACCGCATTTATTGGCTGACCAGTCAAGCGGCTGAGACCCCCCGCCAAAGAAAAAAAACCCACCTGCAGTTTATCATTATTCTATTTTGTTTTGGATTGTCCTTCTCGCGCCGGTGGTTTTTGAGTTAAATACAATTGAACCCGGTTAAGGACTTTATTCCGACTACTTTTTCCCCTGTCGCTACCACTAGGTTTTCCACTTCTTCTTCTCGAGAAGCGACCACATTCGTACTTCCTCTACTACCTCCCGACCGCGCGACAGGCTTCTCCAAACCCGTCGCATTCCTCATGACGATGGCACAGAATATGGATGAGATGCACAAGCGGCCTAAAGGTTGGTGCCCAACGTCTTCTAGGATATGCTGTGAGACTAACCGGCTTCCCAAAACCACAGGCATTCTCAAGAACTCGAGCTCGCACAGCGTTCTGCAAGTGTCGCACGCCAGTGAAACCCTCGCCCCGCCAACCCCAGCTATTGAAACCGCGGACAACAAGGAACTCACACTCCAAAACACCCTCCAGAATGCCGGTCGTCGTCGGTCGTCGTCCAACACTCGTCCGGGCACCTCCTCGCGCCGCCAGTCCCTCGCTAGCATCAAGGACGATGAGAACTCCCCGCGCCTGAAATGGGACGAGGCGAACCTCTACCTCACCGAGCAGGAGAAGACCGCTAAGATGAAGATCGACGAGCCCAAGACGCCCTACGCTCCGCGCTACGACCCGGCCGAGGACGAGGATGAGATGCAGCTGGCGGAGGCGGAGGAGAATCTGATCGACGCCCAGGATGTGGTGGTGGACGAGCTGGATGAGTCGAAGAAGGGACCCAAGAAGGCCGTCGCGGAGGACGAGATCCCGGAGCTGGAGCTAGGGGATCCCGAGGAGTCTCTCGTGGGCGGTGCGCATACCGCGGGGAATGACCGGATCGTGCGCGGCCGCAGTCTGAGCAACGAGTCGCACCGGAGCGACAAGCATGTGGTGGTTGGTGGCGGGCAGGAGAACGGGGAGGCCGCTTCGGGCGAGGATGCCATGGTCAGCCCCGAGGAAGCTCAGGCGAAGCATCGTCAGTTCGAGCAGCAGCGGAAACGACACTACGAAATGAGGAACATCAAAGAACTTTTAGCGTACGTGGACGGCTTTGTTCTGTCATCCCTTTCCCCTGATCTATTTATACCCCCCTTCCTCTGCCCCTTTATTCCCTTCTATTTTACTCCGTTGCCTATCTTTTTCGGTGCAACCAAACTAACGATGATTTTAGGCATCCCGAGAACTTGGACGAGATGGATGAGGACGAAGACGAGCAAGAAGACACTCAGTCGCCTCGGGTTCCTCCTCCGGTGCCTCAGATTCCGGGGCAGTTCTTGAATGGGACGAAGTAGACATGCCCAGGGCATTGCGTTGATTTGTAAATTCTTGCATTTCCTGTATATTCCCCAGCGATCGTTGCATCCGAAATTATTTGATATTGACGGTTATAATAAAGAGCAAGAGAAGAAGAAGAGGAGGAAAAAGAAGGGAGGGAGAGCGCAAGAGGCATATGCTATTTGATATTTTCACCCTCTAGTAGTATGTTTTTATCTTTTTTTCCTTCATGTCATACACAATCCATTTTCATACAGCTGTGAATGTTTGACTATTTCTCATCATTTCAATTCTAAATATTCAGATTGTTGGAGAGAGGTCCTTATCCAACCCTCACCAGCAGCTGAACTTGAGCAGGTTTGGTTGCCTTGAGCAATGCCGCCAAGCGCATTCTATCTGCAAGAAGTCAAATTTTTTTCCCCTGTCTTTCTATTTCATGATGGGAAATTTCCTCCGTGTTTAACAGCAATCAGGTACACAGCGTTGGACAGACGGTCAGGGGTGAATGGGCTCGAGGCCGTCCAAGGCTCCAGCATAGCAACTCCACCGGACAACGACATTAGTTCTGCATGAGCCAGTCTAGGCTTCCTGATTTTGCAGACCAGAGAGGAGAGACAGGTAAGGATAACGGGGGATATGAAACATGCAGCGTGTAGATTAATCCGTTACTGGAGAGACGGAAATAGAAACGGAGAGGGGGTACTTTTTTTTTTATTTTTGTTTGATTTTTACTATCCAGGACTACTCCGTCAATATTTGAATCTGATCGGTGGTTGAACCTTGACTTGTGTACTGTGTAATGGGTCATTGGGACCTGGATTGGACACGTAGAGTGACAATCCGTGACCCTGACGGACTCTGTAGAATTGGAGGACCAACGATGGACCTTTCTTTCTGTCTTTTTGGGCAAGAATGTGAGGCATCCACTGGATTTCATTTGCAGGCTAATTAGCGGATTAATAACCGTTCTAGACTATGGGACACTAAAAATAATCTAATTTGCAAGGGCCGAATTGATTTTGTTAAATTAGCCCGAATAAACTTGACTTTATAATTATTTAAGATAGTTAGGTTCCCCCCCCCCCCCTCGTGACTGCGTTCCATGTGATCTTCCCTCCTTTGTCTTTCTCCCTTTCCTTCTTTTTCCCGTCCATCGACTTGCTTCTTTCCTCTCCCTTGATTAGGTCTTCTATCAAGGTTCATTTCGTATAACCACTCGACTCAATCTATCAATCAATCCTTTTTCTTTACTTTCATTTCCACATCTCTCGTCATGTCCGAACAACAAGACAAAACCGCGCCTCCCGCCCCCGAAGCCGTTGACAAGGCCGTTGAACCCTCCACCGAGACCATGGCTGCTCCCGCTCCCGTTCCAGAGGCTCAACCCGAGCAGAAGACACCGGTCGAACCGGCTCCCGTTCAGAAGGAGGCCGTTCCAACGGAGCAGCAACCCTCAACTACCACTCCAGCAGCCGAGACTGCGGCCCCCGAAGCTACGGAGCCCGCTGCGGCCGCTGCGCCGGCACCGGAAGAGCAGAAGGAGGATGACAAGCCCGTCGCCGAGGAGAAGCCCGAATACCTCGCGAAGAACCCGGCACTGAGCCAGTTCTTCGACCGCCTACCCTCCATTCTGTCTAGCTCGGGTCATGATGAGATGTGGGGTGTCCCGCTGAAGCATGACTCCGGTGACGTTCCCACGGTGAACGTGTTGATTAAGTTCCTGCGGGCGAACGAGGGGAACGCGAAGTCGGCCGAGGAGCAGCTGACCAAGGCGTTGCAGTGGCGCAAGCAGATGAACCCCTCTGCACTGGTGGAGTCGGGGCGGTTCAATGCGAGCAAGTTCGGTGGGCTGGGATACTTGACGACGTATCAGGAGGCGGATGGGAAGGAGTTGGTCGTCACCTGGAATATTTATGGTGCTGTTAAGAGCATCGATGATACCTTTGGGGATATGGATGAGTGAGTTGCCGGTTTTCCGCCACCTCTGTGTGTGTGCATGTGAGCGATGGAGCAGAGTATGCTAACTATGTTAGGTTCGTCAAGTGGCGTGTTGCGCTGATGGAGCTAGCCGTTCAGGAGCTCAAGCTGGCTCAGGCTACGTCGGTGCTGAACTACGATGGCGAGGACCCCTACCAGATGGTCCAGGTTCACGACTACTTGAACCTCAGCTTCCTGCGACTGAACCCCAACCTCCGTGCTGCTACGAAGAAGACCATTGACGTGTTTACCACCGCGTACCCCGAGCTGCTGCGGGAGAAGTTCTTCGTGAACGTGCCGACTATCATGGGCTGGATGTTCGCCGCCATGAAGGTCTTCTTGAGCAAGAACACCACTCGCAAGTTCCACCCCATCTCTAACGGCGCCAACCTGGCCCGCGAGTTCAATGCGCCCGTGAAGGAGAACCTTCCCAATGCCTATGGCGGAAACGGCCCTGCCCTGCAGGAATCTGCACGGACTGTGAAGCTGGAGGAGTCCGCCCCTGCCCCTGCTGAGGCCTCGGCTCCTGAGCCGGAGAAGGAGGCCCCTAAGGAGGCTGAGGCTCCCAAGGAAGAGCCCAAGCAGGAGGAACCGCCCAAGGCTGAGGCAGCTGTCACGGCCCAGGAAACCCCGGTTGTCGGCGAAGCCAAATAGATGAGATGATCATGGTCTCCCGTCACGCTGGCAGCAGAAAGAGATGAAAAAGAACATGGAGTTTGAAAAAGTAATGGTAATGGTATGGATCGCTGGTTTGATACCCGGAGGACACTAGATTTGCGATGTTTTTGTGATTGTTTGAAGCTTTGATACCTCGAAACACCGTGTTTCAGCACCAGGATTTATAGATCCGTCAGCTTAGCATAGTAATTTTTAATTTAGTAGATTAGAACCAACTCTACCGTATTCATCATGTCTTCATGTCTACTGTTTCTTACAACTAGAGCGGTACGGGGAGCGAGTCGTGCCCGTCGCGCAGCTCCGCTCGCTTTCTTCCCTTCCGCCTTTGCGATCGCTCTTCACCCTCAACTCAAGCTCTCTCTTCTGTTTCACCGTCCCGCTCTTTTTCTCCTGGGCCTTTTCTCAGAATGTGTGGCGTCCTTCGTGGTTCTTTCAGCTTCACATAATCTATAATCCAACCCACCCTCTCAGCTCGACCCGCGAAGCACCGACTGTATCGGTCCCCGTCCGTCACCCACCACCTCATCTACATAAAAAGCACCTCACCTCACCCCCTTACCAATCTACCTTCTACCCCGACGCAGTCCACCCCCCCAAAATGTCCGTCTGGAACCCCGACAACATCCGCGACGTCGCAGAATCCGCAGGAATTGCCAACCTCAACAACGACGTGACGGAAAACCTGGCGCGGGACGTCGAATACCGCATCGCGCAAGTCCTCGAAGAAGCCCTGAAATTCATGCGCCACAGTCGTCGCACGCTTCTCACCACCCAGGACATCGCGCAGGCTCTCCGCGTCTTGGACGTCGAGCCCCTGTATGGGTATGAATCGACAAGGCCGCTGCGGTTCGGGGAGGCGAGTTTGGGGCCTGGACAGCCGCTGTTTTATGTGGAGGATGAGGAGGTGGATTTTGAGAAGTTGATTAATGCGCCGTTGCCGAGGGTGCCGAGGGAGGTCTCTTTTACTGGTATTTTTCTTCCCTTTTTTTCTTCTTTTGGGGGTTTGTTGGGTGATGGCATTTCTCTTTATTGGGGATTTTGTTTCCTTCTGGGACCAGGATGGATGTGTTTGGAGTTAGAGGAGAGGCTAACAGATGTTCATACAGCACATTGGTTGGCCGTCGAAGGTGTACAACCGTCCATTCCTCAAAACCCCACCGCCGCCGATTCGCGAAACCTCGAATTGATGTCCAAGGGCCCTAACGCCAACTCTACCCTGGCCGCTATGAGCGGCAGCGGGAATGTGGCCGTCAAACCGCTGGTGAAGCACGTGCTGTCAAAGGAGCTGCAGCTATATTTCGAAAAGGTCTGCAATGCCTTCCTGGACGAGTCCAGCGAGGAGTACCGCACGTCGGGCTACTCCAGTCTGCGGGAGGATCCGGGACTGCATCAGCTGGTGCCGTACTTCGTGCAGTTCATCTCCGAGAAGGTCACCCATGGCATGAAAGATATCTTCATCCTGACGCAGGTGATGCACATGGCCGAGGCGTTGGTGCAGAACAAATCGCTCTACGTGGACCCTTATGTGAGTAACACACCCTCCGGTCTGTCGAAAATGTCGTACTAACCATCGCAGGTTGCATCCCTCGTCCCTCCCATCCTGACCTGCCTGATTGGTCGACAACTCGGCGGAAATGCCGAATTGTCCGAACAGTTTGCCCTACGAGACCTATCCGCGTCGCTCCTCGGCCTCATTGCCAAGAAATACTCCCCCTCCTCGATGACGCTGAAGCCGCGACTCGTTCGATCCTGTTTGAAGACGTTCCTGGACCCATCCAAACCGTTTGGCGCCCACTACGGCGCCATCATCGGTATCCATGCGGTTGGCGGCGCGGAGGCGGTGCGCGTCTTAGTTCTGCCCAACGTGCCGACGTACGGAAACCTCCTGAAGGACGGCATGGCCGACGAAAGTGCGCGGCGGCCGGAAGCCGAACGGGTCTTTGGAGCCCTTCTCAGCGTGCTGGCCACTTTGCGGGAGGGACGTATGGCTCTGGCCAACGGCGACAGCGGAATAGTTACCGACGAGATACGGCAGCGACTTCACAAGGCCGTGGGAGAGTTTATTGGTAGCAAGATTAGCGAACTGGGCGAGGTGCAGCTGGCGCATGCGATTCTTGACTCATAGGATTTTTTTCATTGTTCATCTTCTCTTTCTCTGTTTCTTTCGCCCATTCGAATATCCATAGAGCTGGCGGTGGGACAAGCATTATCGAGATATAATTCTCATGGGGTCTGGTGCGTTCGAGGCGTTCAATCGGCACATTTCTTTTCAACTTGATTATATCTGTTTTCTTTCTTCTTTTTCGATTTCGCCGTCAAAACCTAGGGATCAAGTCTATAAATCTCATGATGTCTGCACATTGGAGGTGTGTTTAAAAGTAACACCGATCTAAGGAATATGCGTTACACGACGTAGAAATGATCCCACAGGATGTCGAGGCAGTCAGGCCGAGCTCTATGGCTGCCTCCGTCTTAAGGCCGCCCGGGCCTGTCGATCCTTGGTTCCTGAACGACGTCACCGGCTTATGTCATCCCGTGTCATGGCCTGACCGCTTTCTCTTCCCGGGTGGCGGAGAGACAAGAAGAGCAGAAAAAAGAAGAAAATACAGCGGTCGATTGTCGCACGACCTTTTCCCTTCTCTCTTCCTCTTCTTCCCTCCACCCCACTTTTTGCCATCTCCATCTTCTATCTGCTCTACTCGAAGTAAGAGATCGCTCTTCTCTTCGGAACTGTTTGTGGCTGCATTTTATTCTTAGTAAGTCAGATCAATTGGGTTTATGCTTTCTTTTTCTCCTTCTAGTTGGTCTTTCCAGTCGATCGCATCTGACAGATCAGGCCTGCCTGCCCAACTCAAAACTTCCGGTCCGTTGGCGCCCCGCGACTTTTTTTTCCGGGCCCACACATTGACCAGCCAGAAATATTCCTTTAATAAATATTCAAGTTCCCATCTCAAGGAACTTCCCCCCACGTCGTCCTCTCTCTCTCTCTCTTTCTCCTCTTTCACATTCTTAAACCCCTCTTCTCTCCGCTCGAGACAAACTCAATTCGTCTTCATCGCGGTACGTTTGGCGGTCTCTTGCAGATGTCAAACCTCGTAGCTTCTTGCTACATCGTGCTGCTCTGAGCCCGATCTAGGTCCTGCCTTCCATGAACCCGAAGGATCTACTGCGATACCTGTCTAAACCCGCAAAGTAGGTGGTAATGCAAACCGGCTCCCTGGTCAATTGGTGTTGCGCCTGCTAATTTTGCACCGTGTTGGTGGTTCCCCCAGGCCTCGATAACACGCCCCACGTTGGACGTCTTTTCTCTGCCCACCTTGCTCCTTCTTCTCAACTCTTTCTTCCCTTAAATTCAAAAAGCAGATCTCCTCGTCTGCCAGACCCGATACTTTTACCGGTATCGGTATCTTCCAGCACGAGGGTTCAACACCGATAGTCACAATTCCTTTTTCCAGAGGCATTTTCCTCCTCTCCCTCTCCTTTCGCCCTCCCTAGCAGCCCTACGGCTCCTCCGTTGAACTCCCTTCCTTTGGCTGTGTGCCTCGTTTTTCAACTCGATCGATCAAGGGCCTTCTCTCTCAGGCGGACATTTCCCCCCTTTGTTCGTCTGGGCAGCAGATAGTGCTTCCTAGGCTTCCTTGTCCTACGGTCCACATATTTCGAGTCGCGCAGCTTGATAGCTCTTCTGTTGCGTATATCCGTTGATTCTGCTCCCGTCGCGCATTGCTCGCATATCTACAATCTACGAATCAATAAAGATGGTCTATATTGGCATTCCCAAGAACTACACGGCTTCGCCGTCGTCCTTCGCAGGCACTCCGTCTTTGACGATCAATCATGCGGCGACGCAGGATCTCGACTCCACCAATGCTTTCGAGGGTATGTCATTTTTCGTCTCGTTCATGTGATTCCTGGCTTTGCTAACGATTGAATAGGTCCCGAGAAGCTTCTCGAGGTCTGGTTTGCGCCGTCCGCCGAGTCCCTCGGACCGGCCAAGCCTGCTGGTTTGAAGGCGGTGCCGGAGGAGATCTGGAAGGACATGCTGGACCTGGTCAACTGCCAGGTGCTATCCATTGTCTCTTCGGAGGATGTGGACGCCTACCTGCTTTCGGAATCCAGCATGTTTGTCTGGCCTCACAAGCTGATCCTCAAAACCTGTGGCACCACCACTCTGCTGTCTGGCCTGCCCCGCATTCTTGAGATCGCGGCTCTGTTCGGCGGATTCCCTAAATCGACCGCTCCCTCGGCGCGCGGAATTGACGTGGCCGCGGCCCCGTACCGTGTCTTCTACAGCCGGAAGAACTTCCTCTTCCCCGACCGCCAGCGCGGTCCCCATCGCAGCTGGAGAGACGAAGTGCGTACCATGGACCGGCTTTTCCTGAACGGCAGCGCCTACATGATTGGCAAGATGAACGGCGAGCACTGGTACTTGTACCTGACTGAGCCCCACACGCTGCTCACTCCGCCCGCGAGCCCTAAAGCCGCTTCGGACGACGGTATGACCGAGACCAAGATCCTGCAGATTCCCGAGGGTGCGGCGCCCGTGGTGGACAACAGCAATGACGAGACGCTGGAGGTTTTGATGACCGACCTGGAGGAAGAGAACGCGAAGCAGTTCTATCTTGAGAATGCCACGGCTGTTGCGGAGAAGCGCTACCGCAACTTCGACAAGGACCAGGATGAACATGTCGACGTGTTCAGCAACAACTCGGACATGGATGACCTGGGCTCGGATGAAGGCCGTATCCTGCCTCCGGAGCTGACGACTGAAGGTCACGCGCTGGGCACCGTGGTTTCCGAAAACTCGGGCCTTTCGGACGTGTACCCTAAGGACAAGTTCCCGGACTCGCGCATTGATGCCTACCTGTTCACGCCCTGCGGGTTCTCCGCCAACGGGGTGATTCCGTCTCCCGACCAGAAGCTGGGCACACACTACTTCACGGTGCATGTGACTCCCGAGCCGCAGTGCTCCTACGCGTCGTTCGAGACCAACGTGCCGCACTCCCAGAATGGGCAGACCACGGCCGACATCGTGCAGCAGGTGGTGGATATCTTCAAGCCCGGTCGCTTCAGCGTTACTTTGTTCGAGGCCACTCCGGCGGATGGTGAAGATGCCGGTCACCTCAGTCGTCGCAGCAGCCGCATGGAGAATGTGAAGGGATATCGCCGGGTGGACCGGATTGTCCATGATCTGGATGGATACCAGCTTGTGTTCCGCTACTACGAACGACTTGACTGGAAAGGGGGGGCTCCTCGTCTCGGAGAGGAGTGCGTTTGAGCTGCGGACACTGCAGTCCATCTAGTCATGGGATCTAGTTCATGGAGGATTCTGTTTTCTTTCGGTTTCGGTTTCGCGGTAATCATTCATTTGTCCTTATTCACGTTCTTGTCCATTCCTTTCGTGAGATGCACATTATTGATGTTTCATTCTTAATGGTATTACTGGCTTGATATGTTTATGCCGTTTCAGCATGTTGTTCACAAAATACTGGACCTCTGTATGTACTTTCATTCCTTCATAGTCTGATCTTCTAGCCACTAAGCGAACGAAGTCAATCGAGCGGGTTTACTTGAAGTATTATGAAGTGTATGCGCTTTTGACGGATTAAAGTAATATGTAGAATAAGTTGAACTAGACAGGAAGTACGGGGTAGATACAAAAAGCCGGTATGTTCAGCATATTATCTTCTACTAGTCCTCTAGACTTTCAATTGTTCTACGGAGTATATATAGTTTGGTCTCTTACCTATCACACAACCGGAAGTCAATTGAGTAGTTTTAGTCAACAGTATTGTGAATAATATGGGTCTCCATTGAACTGGCAGGTCCAATTAACACCTAGAATAACAAGAATGACAAGTTATAGAATAAGATCTCAGCATACATTGTAGAGAGTACACAGCATGATAAGAGATATACTAACTATTTCAGAATGCGCTTTTCTATAATAAACTAGATCTTTACATATCTTGCTATTCCCTCTATAATCCGGTTTTCTAGTCACTGCGCAAATAACAGTCAATTGATTGAGAGGGTTCTATTTGACAGTATGATGTGTAGACCGGTTGATTAATCTGACAGGTTGGATTCTAAGTCATAGTATACATTGTAGGGAGTATAATGGACACAAGAAAAAGAAAGATGAGATGTTACTGGATTTCGGCATATACTTTTCATTGTTTAGCTAGCCACCAGCGAAAAGAAGTCAATTGAGCGGTGTTTAGTATTGTGAATTGTATGGGTTTCTTGGTCTGACAGATCAGAATGGTATGTAGACTAAGCTGTAGCATATGCAAGGTAGTGAATAATAAGAAAAAGAAAGGGATCTGTTGATTTAGTACTCCGTGTGACTGGACCTCTTTGCTTATACTTCTGATCTTTTAGCCATCGATTCGCCCAATCATTGTAACTCATGTTGGCCTTTTGATTAGTTAGTTTGATATGCCAGAGTAATCTGTAGAGTGAGCTGTAGTATATGCAAGGAAGTAAATAAGAAAGAGAAATATTTCGGTATGTTATTCTCTACTCCGTAAGGTACTCGACCTCTGTACTTTCGTTCCTTCTATATTCTGATTTTTAGACATTAAGGGAACAGTCAACTGGGTAGACTTTATTCTGTATTTAACAGTATTCTGTGAGTTGTTAGGGTTTGGATTGATTCGAAATATGAATTAGAATGTTATGTAGAGTGAGCTGTATTATGTGCAAAGAGAGAGATATACTATTTCAGTATCTCTACTGAAACTCTGTACTATTCCTATGGTCTAATCTTCCAGCCACTAAACAAACAAAAATCAATCGAGCAGGTTTTACCTGATAATTTCATGAGCCGTTCTGGATTCTCCATTGATTGATAGATGAAGTTCAATAGAGAATAAGGAAGAGGGAGATGCCAAGAACAGCCACGGGATTTGCCGCATCGGAGCGGAACTTCCATCATTCAATCAACATTCAATTCCTTCAATCACCTCTTCATCAACAGACCCCCGTCGTCTTCGACCTCTACCTACGACTTGGCCATACTATTTGATTTGTTTACCACCTCTGGCCGTATCGTCGAGACTATTACCGCAGAAACTGTGTCGCGGGAACCGACCGCCAAGTACGATTTGCACGAACGCGCAACCAGCTTTCTCAGCTGCGACCTCTACGACTTGGCCGTCCTATTTGATCTGTACAACACCATTGGGCGTATCGGAAAGAGTCTTCGGGACCATTGCCCGAGGAAACTGTTTCGCAAACCGACCGCCGACTACGATTTGCACGCGCAACCAGATCCATCGAAGTCGGCCTTCCTTTTTACCTTACACCTCACCTCTCATCTGAGCTGTCGCCCTAGCCCAGCCAGCCAGCGATCAAGCATTCATTACAATCTTTTCATCTCGTCGACTGACACGATAACACCCATACATACTCGCATACATACATACACCGCCAGAATGTCCTCACCACCACCCCCATCCAGCAACCCCCTCAAACGACCCTCCATCTCCTCATCCGCCTCCCAACCACTCGGCAGCAGCGCCAAACGCGCCCGCATGCACCCCCTCCGCCAGACCTCCTTCCCAACGACCATCGACGCTGACTCGCGCGCCTTCGCCAGCGCCGCCAGCGACGCCGGGAGCGTGACGGGTAGTTTCACGGGAAGTCTGGGCGGCGGGAGTGCGGACGGGGTGTTTTCGGGCACGAAGGCCAAGAAACGGGGGCGGAAGAGCAAAGCCGAGAAGGAGCGCGAACAACGCGAGGATGCGATGAGTGCGCGGGGAGGCGCTGAGACGAGGTCGAGGTTTGGGTCGGTGGATGCCGATGGGCAGTCTGTCAGAGGGGGACAAGGTGCAGGTACAGGAGGGGGTGGTGCAGGTGGAGAGGATGCTGATGATGACGAGGACTTTGAAGATGAGGGGGAATTGCTGGGGAGGGAGGAAGGGGCTACCGATACGGAAGCTGAGAAGAAGAATCTTGCGTACGTATTCCCCTCTTCTTTTTTTATTCGGCTTTCCGTTTTTCCTTTTTTTTTTTTTTTTTTTTTTTTTTTTTGAGAGGGGGGAGAAAAGTTTGATTTGATTTTCTGCCTTGGAGGGCTGAAAATGTTGATCACTTACGGGGTTGTGGGAATTTCATTTTTTTCTTTTTTGGAAAGTGGCTCACATGAAAGAATGCGTTCTTTTTTATCATTGCAGGTTGCTGGTGGATGCGTTCAACCCTCTACAATCGGAGCGATATGATCTGTTCAAACGGGCCAAGCTGCGAAAGGAGACGCTACGACGGATCGTCAATCACGCCCTGTCGCAATCCGTGCCGGCCAGCGTCGTAACGACGATCAACGGATTCACCAAGGTCTTCGCCGGCGAGATCATCGAGAAGGCTCGGACGGTGCAGGCCGAGTGGGCGAACGCACACGACCAGACAGCCCTGGCGGCTTATGAGGCTGAGGAGGAGGCTGCTGATGCTGCTGCTGCTGCTGCTGCAGGCGGCGGCGGCACCCCGGGTACTCTCGGACCACGTGTGGTGAAACCCCAATCCGACCCTCCCACAGCCATGAAGAAACCTGATGAATCCGAGGACCGCGCGCAGGGGCCATCAGCCGCGCGACCGCGTCGAGAATTCAAGCTTCCTCCCAATCCGCATCGGGGCCAACTGCTTCCCACGCACCTGCGCGAGGCGCTGCGACGGTACAAACGGGACGGCGAAGGAGGAGGGGTTGGATTCTCAGGGCTTAGTATGGGTAATCTGGGGGTTCGAGGGTCGGTGACGTGGAGCGCCGGTAGTGTCGGAGGCCGACGAATTTTCCGATAAGGGAAAATAACCAGAGGAAAATGGGTCTTGCCAAGAGGGGCGGTTTGGGACTTTGGAGAAATTTCTTCCTTTTAGCGGTCGACGCTAAACCTGAATAACTCGATCAGTGTCCTCTTTGGGGGAGCGTTCTAGTTAGGACTTAGGATAGTCAGGATTATTTTTCTGGGTCAGGGGCGCAATTCCCAGCCGTCCATCGGACTGCCGAGTCTCACGGCGAAGAGGCGAAGAACAAGCGAGTTCGCTGAACTTCTGAAGTTCTGATACACTGACAAGCGTGTCAGAGGGACCAGTCGGATGTGAGACAGTGGATACGAGAACGAGACGGGGTCGAGAGTGTGTCAATTAAATTAATTAATCTACAGGGTATCAATCTACGCCTCTACTCCGTACGGACTATTGACCTCGATCAATCTGGACATTGTACACAGTTTTCGTGGTTTGTGAATGTTTTGTCCGGATTGGATACGGCGTACTCCGTAGATACTACATTTTGGCAGTTTGTATCGAGTGTAGATTTATTATTGTATCTCATTCAATTGTCATGTTTACTATTTTTATAAGTATATAGTTCATAGAGGACACATACTCAGTAGTTCTAATACCTAATACCCTCTGTTACTGAAGTACTCCGGAAGAACCGGCGAGGAACCCCCGTGGGACCAGCACCTGATCAGTACCGTTACACCTTCTTTACCATACGGTATGTTTGTCCCCCTCTCTCTTCTGTCTTCTCTTTTCCTTCTTCTCTTCTTCTTCCTTCATCCTTCCTCGGCATCCTTCCATCTTGTCTTCATCCCCGTCAGATATAATACAGTATATATCCAGTTATCCATCCTCACTCCTGGGTTTCTCCCCGGTTATTGCACCAATCATCCTAATCCCTCCTCCCCTGAACTCCATCTGTCTCACCGACCCAACGGGCCAAAAAAACCCCACCGGCGTTTGCCAAGATCTCTTGGCGCCGGTTGGTGTTATTGTGGAATCGGTTGATGCCATTCCTGCCTTCCTGTCTTTCCAGCCCTGCATTTACGGGTCATGCCAATAGGGCTAATAAGGCTGATGATCCTTTCAGTTCACGGGTTTTGGCCGCCACTCCTGCCTTTCCGGCCCGGCTTTGCCCCCCCTTCGTATTGAGCCATCCTGATTTGGTCCCCATGGCGCAATCGCCTCTGGAATGGGACATGGCGACTTACCCCGGTAGGGAGTACGAGTACTCACTCTACTTGATGCTCGGACTATCAGTCTTGTTGAATTTATTTTCCTTTCGGTCGGCCAGCCTGTCAATCTACTGACTACTACTGAGTACTCGAGTCCCTGACGGAGTACGCGTCCATCGATCCAGTTTCACCTGGCTGCAGTAGGGACCACTTTCTCTTGACCCTGCCGGGCCTGCCAACCTGCCCTCCTTGGTCCCTTTCCCACCCCCTTCCTCCCTTAGTCTCAATGGTCAGTCCCTTAGTTGAAACCAACTCGGACTAGGGCTTAGGCGACCCCATCGCGGCAATCGCTTGGCACGAATCCTTTCTCGTCTTCTGCTTCGTCCGTTATCTTCGCCCGACGTATGGGGAACCCGGGTTCGTTAATTGCTTTTGGAGCTTAGATGCTTGGCACATGCTGCTGTCGTTGATCCGTATTATCCTGTGGCCCTGCCTTACCCCGATCTATTTTTGTGTCTTTTATTACTTAGCCATTCTGATTGCTCCGTTCCTCTCCCTCGCTGTCCTTTTTTTTTCTCCTTCCTTCCCCCTTCCGCTCCCTTTCCCCTTCTTGCTACTTGTCCTTCCACGGTTCTTCTTTTTCCTTTTTTAATTTACCCCCTGTCAGTCTTGTTGGGTCACCCTTTTTTCTTCTTGTTATTGTTGGAGCCTGGATGGCTTTCTTGGTATTCGCACTGTCATTCTTTTGAATTTGCGATCGCGTTCGGACTGCCGACACTTCCCTTCTTTTTGTTGCCTCCCTTGTTTCCCTCCTCGGGTTCCGAGGATCGGTCACTTCAAAATGCAAGCTTTACAACCCTCTCATCTGTATCAACAGATTGTAGATAATCTGCCATGGAAGTCCGGGGACTCTTCGGTCAAAGGTGACCCTAGAAAGAGTGTCAAGTGGATCGATGTAAGTTTTCCCGGGGAAAGACAGCACCTGAAGAAAAGGCGGGGATGAAGAAGCCACACCACACAAAAGGATCCAAACTGACAATGAACGTGTCAGGGTCTACGAGGTATCGCTTCCTTTCTGGTCGTTATGACCCATCTGGCTCGAGGATGGGATTTCAGTCTATTCGCTCCCCGGGACGACCCCGACGCAACCCCGCGGATTCTCCAGTGGCCCATTCTCCGTATTCCCTGGCAAGGACGTCTCGGTGTCACCATCTTTGCCTTCTTGACCGGATATGTCTGTGCTCTAAAGCCTATCAAGCAGGCTCGTAATGGAGACCATCACGGTGCCTTCACCTCCGTCGCGAAGAGTGCCTTCCGCCGTCCTCCGCGTCTCATCCTGCCCGCCACCCTCGCCTTGTTCATCTCGTGGGTTATGGCGCAATTCGGAGCGTTCACCACTGCCAACCGGTCGGACTGCTGGTGGTGCCGCTACGCCGCCGTCGATCTCGAGGACTCGTTCTGGAAGGAAGTGGTGCGCCTGTTCGAGAATTTCCTCAGCACTTGGACGACCGGTTTCCAGGCCTACGACGACCACCAGTGGGCCATGCTTCCTCTGTTGAAGGCCTCCATGCTGGTGTACATCATGCTCTGCGCCACGATGTATGTCAAGTTCCGGTACCGCATCGGAATCTACATTGCCATGATCCTTTACTTCCACCAGGACGCCAGCAAAGACACCGGTAGGTTGACTCTCATGGAGCTCTCTCCGTCAGGCTCATGCTAACCCGAACATATAGAAACCTTCCAAATCCAGGCTATCTACGGCATGTTCCTGAGTGATCTCTCCTACGAAGCATCGTTCAAGGAATTCCTCGAGCGTCACAAGTGGCTTCGCCGCACCGTCGCCACCATCTGCGGTATCTCCGGTCTCCTGGTCTGCTCCTACCCTGGTTCCCACCCCGAGTGGGCCACCTGGTCCAGGTACATGTACAAAGCGGCGCAGTATATCTTCCCGCCGGACGTCAACGTTGGCAAGCGCTACACCGCCATCGGTATCGACCTGATCATCATGTCCATCTATCTCTCCCCGACGACCAAGGAGCACCTCGCCAACAGACTCCTGCTCTGGTTCGGTAAGCAGAGTTTCGCCGTGTATCTGGTTCATGGTACTCTCCTCCGTACCGTCCTTTGCTGGATGCTGTACGGCATCTCGGGTCAGCCGTGGGAGGAAATCGTGGATGACAACGGAAAGCCCATCTACGACCAGGACGGCGAGATCATCCAGCCTCCCTGGATCCCTCTCCGTCCTCCTTGGGTTGTGGCCATCAGTATCCCGGCGTGGATCTGTCTGGTGTACTTCTGCGCGTCTATGTGGACCACCTACGTTGATCCGGCCTGCGCGAAGATCACGCAGAAACTGGAGAAGAAGATGTTCGAAGAGGACGAGAAGCCTCCCGCGGCTCTTCCGTTGACCTCGATCCCGATGCCTACTGCCTAAAAACGAAAACCACCAAAACACCGAGGATCCGCAAGGATGACGGTGAATCACGAAGGGGTTCCCTCCCCAGGGGACGATGACGAATGAATGGCCGGTCCATTGTTCTGATATGTTCATATCGAATTGAAAACCACACATATCCACAACTCTATGCATATCGACAATCGCATCCGCATCGCATTTACACCGATTATATACATTTATACCGATGTCTTTATAAGATATATTTATACTCTTCATGTATTTATTAGCAAGGGATAATTCATTTCATTTCATTTTTGGTTGATTCTGTTTATGGAGTTTGAACTGTATGCTAGTCCGTCTTGTAGACAAACATTTAGCTGAAGATATGCTTGACTCCGTAGTTATCTTAGGTAGGTAGAGGTAGTAGGCTCGGCAGAAGTATATTCTACATGTGACAGTCCTTTATCATCCTCGGCTCCCAGCAAACCTCCCAGTTAGGGTTTGTATGACTTGATCTTAAGGTTTTTAAGGTAATAGACATTCCATTACTCATAGACATGAAGTTACTTGGTTACTGCCTAGCTAGGATCAATTATGAATATCTATCTTATTCTATATATATACTTTGGTCGTACTTGTACATACTTTTACAGGTGTAGACTGTGTGTGTTACGATACCTTATTCCCTAAAGTAGAAGGAAGAGAGGAAGATGTGGCGAGTCTAGACTTTAGACTTAAGAGATTCTTGATACCATCCCAGAGCAAAAAAAAAACCAAGCTCATGTTAAATGTTAATGAGACTGTCCACTCATTTATCCCTTCAGTCAGTTATTCAGTTAGTAAGCCTATGCTAGAAGCTGGAATTCACAGAGTAGGGAGTACATACTCCGTAGATATATCCCTTCTTGAAAGTTACATTACACATCCATGGAGAGACTATGGGGACTCAATTTGACTAATTAAGTATGTGTCCTCTTCCAGCGTCAGGCCTAGACTTAAGTTATCTATTGTACAATTTCCATTGCCATTCACCTATCTCCCATCCTCCATCGACATCAACATCAACATCAACAGAAATTCATCGAATCCACAGAGATAGAAACAAATCAACGCAAACCAGAGTAAACTCCTCTCCTTTTCTTTTCTTTCGTTTTTTTCATTGGGTAGATAGGTACCTGGTCGGTTCTTTCTTGTCTTCTTGCCCTTTCTATAGGACCGTCTCGTTGATGACTTTTCTTCCTTGGTTCTTGTTATTGATTATTCGTGCCATCTTTTCGGTTGATCACCACCCCTCTTTTTTTTTTGTTTTTCTTTCTTGTCTCCTCATTCTTCTGATGCAAGTTGTATGACTGAGGGGTGGGAGATGTGTGTTCCGGTGTAAATTTGTCCTGAACCAGACAGTGCCAGAACTAGAACTGGAACTAGAACTAGAACAAGGCAGACAAGACCAAGACCCTAACTCCAGAGCCGAAAATCAAACTAGATAGATCGAGGGCAGGAGATGAAAAGAAGGGGAAAAAAAGGGAAAGCCAGCATCCATCCACATCCATCCAGTTGATACGGAAGCCCATACCGAAGCCGATATCATGCCCATGCACAATCAATAGCAAGCAAGCCTTACTCGACACTCGACGAAGCAAAAAGAGATGTAAAAAACGAAACGAAGTAGTCTGGTCTGGTCTGGTTAGGTCCGGTTGCAGCTTGATTTAGGGTTATTTGGGTACTTTACTTCATGCTACCTACTCCTCGCGGAATGGATGACGGTGCAGGGTCAGGACGTAGTTGTAGAGTACGATGGCGAAGACGGAGACGATGTAGGCGATCTGGATTTGTATACACGTGGTTTAGTTGGTTGGTTGGTTAGAAATCTTGGTTGTTTGGTGTTTTTGGTATTGAGGGCTAGGGTCTGGGATGGAGTAGGGCTTGGGATTGGGGGTTGTTGGAATTGGGATTCGTTGGGTAGGTGGTATGTATGGATATATGTATTGTAAATGGGTTATGGGGGATGGAGATGGGCATTGGTATGGATAGTATGGGTACATAGGTGTACGTGCAATGTGGGTGAAGACGTAGAATCTAGAATGTAAATATATAGAACAACCAAACCACCCAACCCAGCAACAAAAAAAGACCAAAAAAAAAGAAACGGGAGGAAGAACTCACCAAACCAAACATAACCAAATTCAAAACAAACTCATCCACATCCATCATGTCCATCTTGACGTTGACTAACGCCACTGATCGACGTCGACGTCGACGTGAACCTCGACCTGTTCGATCTCTTCGAGAGGATAGATGGTGATGTTTGCCGCACGAGCACGACGTCGGGCTCTGCGACGGTGGATATCGAATCGGATCAGCCCTTTTCGGATGAGCTCGGCGCTGAGGAGGATGAGGAGGGCTTGGAGGATCATGTTTTTATGGCTTGTCTGGTGGGTTGACTAAGGGTGGGTGAATGGTGTTAGATTTGTTGGGAGGTGGGTTGGTGGATGGGTATGTATATAGGTAGGTAGGAGGGTGGTTTTATGGGTATGTTTGGGATTGTTGTTTTATGGACTTGAGTTGATGATGGTCTGACTTACCTTACGAGCTGGATGGGTTCTGTTCTGGAGTGGAAGTGGAAGTTTTCTCGACGAAAGAGTTGCCTCGAGAAGAGTGTAGATGGATGTAGATACTGTATGGATCTTTGATATTGATGGGAAGATTCACGACACCGGGGATGGAGAGAGATGAGACAACAGACAAGAAGGATGAGATAGAGAGAGACAGAGGGAAGAAGCAGGAAAAAGAAAGAAAGAAAGAGAAGGAAAAACAACACCCCTAGGGTTAGGACGTCCAACCCATCTCGTCAATTCACGACTCAGCGACGACTCAGCGATATAAAACGGGGGGTGTAGACACTTCGTTCACATAGCTGGTGAAGAAGAAAGGTACACTCCTCTCCTTATCTGGCACGTCTGCAGATACACACGTTCTTCTCAGTGATTGACTGTGATCATCTTCACAGCAGGATTTATTTCCTTTGTACACAGATCACAGTCCGATCTCAAGATGGAACAGCCTGGACAGAGTGACCTATACAGAGACCAGACTCACAAGACTCACGCTTCGAGCCAGACACACGATCTAGATCTCGGTTTGTTAGATCTATTAGACCTCGGTTGGCAAACCTGCTCTAGCTCTTCAGTTCGCACGATCTGAACCGAGATACTAAAAATGACGGATGGTTGGACGGTGGAAGTTGATTGAAGGAAATTGGTTTCAAGAAGAGATGCTCTATTGGGAGATGTATCATTCTAATAAGATCCAGGATATGACAAATCAATCATAGTTAAACAGGCATAAAATTGAAAGGAAGAAAAAGAAATAAAGCCGTACAGAGGTTGCTCAATATTGTACAATGAAATACAACTCCAAACTTGCTGGTATAAAACTGTCAAGCTCACCGCTGCTTGGTGGATGCGTTCTTGAATGACGCGCGGGCCTTCTCCTTCTGAGCCTCCAGGGCCCTCATATGGGCCTCACGGCGGGCGTGGTTTCTCTCGTCCCGCTTCCATGCCTCTTCCTCCTGACGTCGCTTCTCGTAGTCGGCCGCCAGTTGACGGTCCTTCTCGCTGAGTCGCGGAGGCTCCGCAGGGGTCCCGTCGGGATTCGTCGCCGGCCCTTTGCCGCTGATGTCACTCATCTTATCTTCAATGTCCTTGCGGAAGTTCTTCCAGTACGACTTGGGCGACCCGATCATACGGTCGATGGCGCTAGGCTCCACAGCGGGCGTAGCCTTGCTGGCGGCCTTGGTGCTGGCCTCAAGCTGATCGGCAAGTAATCGAATGGCCTTCCGTTGCTGCGATTCGGCTTCCTCGGGGGTCATGACCGGCTGGGCGAGGGCGATCCCGGCGGATTTTCGGAAAGCCGGCGAGCTGAGTAGGTAGGCCTGGCCCAAACCAAACAGACCCGTTGCGGCGAAGTAGAGCTGGAGGGCACTAGGGAAGAATGCCAGGAAGGCGAAGGAGATGGCAGGCAGACCGTGGAGAACGGCCTTTCCGACGGCGGAGTCCATGAATTGGTTGGTACCGGATTCTCCTCCTCTCTGTGGTGTACGTTAGTATTCGAACGCCGGTCCAGGGTCGCACGAGCATACCTTCAAGGCCAGGTACAAGAAAAGACCCGAACAAGCCGGGAGAATGTAGAACGGATCGGCAACGGTCAGATCCTGGATCCAACCAACGCTTTCGTTAAGCAATTCGGGTACCGGCAAGGAGGTCATTCCCTTGACGACACGGTACATTCCGAATCCCAGCGGGATCTGCAACAACGGAATAAAAGACTTGTAAGCTTTGACACCATGCAGTTCCTGGATCCTGCTCATTTCCATCTTGAGCTCCTGTGCGCGTGTGGTGTTTCCTTCTCTCATGGCCTGTGTCATCTGGGTTCGGATCGGGTTCAGAACCGGCTTGATGTTGTTCAACCGCGTCGACGTATCCGCGGCTCCAAGCATCGGCTTAAGAAGCGCAAGCCTGACCAGGAGACCGGTGCCGATAATACTGGCCCACCACGGGAGGCCGGTCCAGACGTGGAAGTGCTCAATGACATACTCCATCAGACTCGACGGACCCCAGCCGTAGTCGAGACCAACATCTTTAAGGTATCCAATCTTTTCGGGGATCGAATTGATTTTGTCGACGGAGAGATCAGAGAGATCCGACGCATTTTCCGGGGCGACTGTGTTGGAGGCGGACGAGGACGAGTTGAACCGCACGCTGGAGATCGTAGGAATAGCGGAAGCAGGTCGCAAGGAACGCCGTCCCGCAAGAGACTGGTTCAACTTCCCATACCGAGCAGGAAAGCCGGAAGTCTGGGGACGAAATGAAGACATCTACCGGAGTTAGTTCATTGCTACTCACGGTGTAGACGGAGGAGCAGAAGGATTTCAGGAGACAAACCGAACGACTGGAGCGCGAAAAAGTAGCCAATCGCTGCCGCGCAATGGCGGGCACCACGCCACGCCCTTGAATTCCAGACCCTCCCAGCATTGTCAAGATCGTGGAGAAAGTGAGAGTTGCACGGCTGGAAGGAGACGAAGACTTCGGAACTCCGAAAGACGCTCTTTTTTCTGCCGGGCGGTCGGATAAGAGTCACATGACCCGGTGTATAGTGTAGAGAACGATGGATCTACGACTACAACCTGCAGCAACCCATCTTCAGAGTCTTGTGATACGAATATAAGAGACATACTGCTCTCCCTGCTGGGCAGCGGCATGGTCAATTGGAGATGTTCGCCAAACGCCGTTGCAGTCAATCAGACCAACTAGTGTCTGAGGATCTATGTACACTAGGTATTCCCACAGATACGCATCCCATGCTGATGATCAAAAGAAAGAACAAAAAAAAAATGACAAACAGATTTCAATGAGGAGATGGATCTGGCAAGACACCGATTTTGACGGGACGTTCCACTCCGCATCTGGAGTGACGTGGCGACCCGGGCTTCGATATTCTATAACGCGTGTTGGGCAATTAGATCTGATCCAGGACAGTGCTGTTTCACAGAGCTCGAGCCTGCACGCCGGGGCTCAACGGTCTCGACCGTCGGTAGGTAGGGAAGATCTAAAAAGGCACGTCTGTGAGCACGATTCAACAATGGAGCGGATCCACCGTACCTTAGTATTGGACCAGCCTAGTCTGAAGGCCGCCTCATGTGCAAAAAGTTCACCAAATCCCAACATCAATCCGTTCACAAAGGGCAGGACCAGGTTGATCGCTGCACCTCGCAGGAAGCCCCAGAGCGTCGGGGGCTTGTAGAGAATCAGGGGCGAGCTTGAAGTCGACGAGGAAAGCTCATTGTTGGCCGAGTAGTTTTCAGAATCCGACGGGACCGTCAACCCCGATTCATAGAGCTCGATGCGCGAGTGGGAGTGGTCGTCTGTCGCCATGGCGCGGGGAGAGGGGAGAGAGAAGTGTCAACAAGGAGGCGGTTCAAAACGAGGGTCGATATGTTTCGGGAGGAGGAGAGTTGAGTTGGAGCTAGATCAAATTCCCGCTGAATAGAAAGAAACTCAGGACAGCAGACGGGATGCTGGACGGAGAGCAGCAAGTCAAATCAATGCGTACGGAGAGTCCATGAAGTCGATCTCCGCCTGACCTGTCGGGCGGTTATGTAAGCAGCGATGCACCGAATGTCAACAACAGCAGTAGCCCCAACGAGGAGGTCGGTTGGAACGAACAGTTATGAGGGAAGAGTTAGTATTTCTTAGGCAAGGCAAGCATCCTGGATACTTTAGGAACTGCAGGATATAACACCGGGATAAGCCCTTCTCCAGCCTGTTGATGCCAGATCCATAGGGCATCCAGCGGAAGATCCCCTCTTCCGGATGACCAATCAGGCAACGGTGACGTACCGATCCGCTGCTTCTTTCCTCGAGCTGAGCGGAGCTTCGTCTTTATCTAAACATTCCCTCCTCTTCCTCCTCATTCTTCTCCTTCTCCTTCATCTCCGCCCGCGATCTCTCCCTCGATCGACATTCTCCATACCGTCAACATGAACATCGACAAAGATGAGATCATCTCGCAGTTCTGCGCCATGACCAGGACGCGCCCCGACGAGGTAAGCCTTATAACCCCCCCGCCCCCCGGGGGTTCATGTCGCTAACCTCGCCTGAATTCGAAGTCGCTTGAGTACCTCATGGGTAATGATTGGGACCTCGAGGCAGCAGTGACCGATTTCTTTGCCGAACAAGACGAAGCCCTACAAGAACCCGCTCGAACGACTGCGAACGAGTCTGCGCCGTCAGGAGGTCGATCGCTGGGTGGTGGCTCCTCCGATTCTCCGTCCCTTAACCCCCAGTCATCGTCCTCGTCTCGAAACCCGGCGCCCAAGAAGAGATTTGCGACATTAGGCGACTACACATCTGGAAGTGGAGGCGCCGGCAGTGGGGATGCGGACTCGTCCGAGGAGGATGATAACGTGAACCAAGACTTTTTCGCCGGAGGTGAGAAGTCGGGGTTGGCCGTGCAAAATCCGGACGACGTGAAGAAGAAGATCATTGAGAAAGCCAAACGGTATGATCCTTTTTCGGTGGAGTATACTTCTCTCTCGAAGCCTCTAACTCGCCATAGGACTCAGCTTCCCGCTTCGGACGATCCTACGCCCAGGCGATCTCACTTCACAGGCACCGCTCGTACTCTTGGCGGCGATGACGCTCCTAGCCGCGTCATTGATGCTCCAAGTGCACCCGTTCAGCAACAGCCGCAACGGGTTCAGCGCACTCTCCATTTCTGGGCCGACGGCTTTTCCGTGGATGATGGCGATCTCTACCACTCCGATGACCCCCGCAACGGCGAGATCCTTGAAGGAATCCGACAGGGTCGCGCTCCGCTTTCCATCATGAATGTCCAGCCCGGTCAGGAGGTCGACGTGGAGATCAAGCAGCACGAGGAGAAATACGTGAAGCCGAAGCCCAAGTACAAGCCTTTCTCCGGACAAGGACAACGTTTGGGAAGCCCGACTCCAGGCGTGAGCGCGCCTTCGCCTGCCGCCGCCCCTGCCGCTCCCAGTCAAACCGAGTCCGAACCCGCGAAACCGAATGTAGACGAATCGCAGCCGACGATCACTCTGCAGATTCGACTCGGAGACGGCACCCGCATTGTATCCCGCTTCAACACTACGCACACTATTGGCGATGTCTACCAGTTCGTTTCTGCGGCCAACCCTGCCAACCAGGCACGTCCCTGGGTATTGATGACTACGTTCCCCAGCAAGGAGCTCACTGAGAAGGAAGTTGCCCTTGGTGATCTTGCGGAGTTCAAGCGCGGAGGTGTGGTGGTGCAGAAGTGGCAATAAGCTCAGAGAGTAGGGGCTTTTAACGAGATAGAAAGATGCTACGAAAGACTTGAAGACGGGGGGCCGACAGTGAAAAAGACCAAAATTGATGACGTTTAGATAGCTTGCTGCAAGAGACGACATCAATGAGCTTGTCGTTTTCTTTTGCGGGTAATCATGAATTCAAAATCATTCCCAAGGATTTTGTGTCTGTTGCGTAGGAAAAAGAGGCTGATTGATAAGCGGCGGAATGACGCAGAAAAGCGACATCGGCCGCTCTCGGCTTTCTTTCCTCTCCCTCTCCCCTGGGAACATCATTCATAACCGGATAAAACATGCCTTTAGATGGTGTTAAGAATATCGTGCTGGTGAGTATTCCTGGGCGTTTCTTTCTTCACGCGGCATGAGAGCAGCAAGAAAATACAAAGAATTGCCCCTCATTGGCGCTTATCGATAACGATGCTTGCCTTTCGCTGGATGGACATGATTTGCGCTGTACAGCCAAACGAGTTGTCTAGCATTCATGCTTCTACTGTCACTCCCTGTCTATCACTACAGGCAAAAAATCAAACACTTGGCTAGGCTCTAACCATCCTCTGCCCTCCAGGTCCTCTCCGGCAAAGGTGGCGTCGGCAAATCCTCCGTCACCTTACAGCTCGCCCTCGCCCTCTCCCTGCAAGGCAAATCCGTCGGAATCCTCGACATCGACCTAACAGGCCCCTCAATCCCCCGCTTAGTCGGTCTAGAAGATGCAAAAATCACCCAAGCCCCGGGCGGCTGGCTCCCCGTGACCGTCCACCCCGCCACCCCCGAGAACCCCTCCACGGACGGAACGTCAAGCACACCCGCCAAAGGCTCGCTGCGATGCATGTCGCTGGGCTTCCTGCTTCGCGATCGCGGCGACGCCGTCATCTGGCGCGGACCCAAGAAAACAGCCATGATCCGCCAGTTCCTGTCAGACGTATACTGGGGCGAGACGGACTATCTGCTAGTCGATACACCGCCCGGGACGAGTGACGAACATATCGCGCTGGCGGAGCAGCTGCTGACGCTCTCGACGACGGACGCGCAGGCAGCGGTGTCTTCGAACGTGCCTCGGTTGACGGGTGCCGTGCTTGTCACGACGCCCCAGGCCATCGCGACGTCGGATGTGCGCAAAGAGGTCAATTTCTGTGTGAAGACGCGGATTCCGGCGTTGGGTGTTATTGAGAATATGTCGGGCTATACGTGTCCGTGCTGCGGGGAGGTGACGAATTTGTTTTCTAGTGGTGGGGGTCAGGTCATGGCGCAGGAGATGGGGGTTAAGTTTCTGGGCATTGTGCCGGTTGATGTGAAGTTTGGGGAGTTGGTTGAGGGGAAGATGACAGGTGGGAGTGATGATGAGGATGAGGATGAGGATGGGGCAGAGGCGAAGAATGGGGTGGCTTCGGAGAGACAGGATTCAGAGGAGGATCCAGAGGAGCCTGTGGATGAGAGGCCGTTGGTGGATAGGTATCGGGATTGCTGGTCGTATTCGCGGTTCGAGGAGTTTGCGAAAACATTACTATCAGACATAGAGGGACAGAGTGGGTAAGAATCAACTGTATGAGAGAGATCATGGTTCATTTGAAACTACGTATACTCAAGCTAGGTTAGCATAAACATATCAGTCATAGAGCTGGCATAATACATGAGACACAAGAATCAAAGGTCATTATCATAAGGGCATCATCATTATAAGTCATTTCATCAACAGCCCATGGTCAGGTTAATTTGAGCCAGGGGATACTAGGTCGTTCTGTCGCTCAAGCATCGTCCGCAGTCGCATCTCGGCCGTTTGCTTAGACTCTCCAGAGTCTGCCCCTTGTCTGGCAAAATGCGTAAGCCAGCTAAGAAGAGCCTGCATGTCGCCTAGGGCAGATGTCTTGGGTGGTTCTCCAGGGAAGACTTCCCGGGCTTCGACGGCATCAACCCGAGAGCGAGCACGTCCTTTTGGGGAAAGACGACCAGTCCGAGGTCTCGATGACGGTGTTGACTCTATCAAGTGGCCATCTGCTTGCGCATCTAGCAAAATCTCCGATACAATAGCCGGCGTCAAGATACCCTGCGTCTGGTCTGTGCCCGACACGGCCTTCTTTCCCAGCAGCGCCCGACCATACGATCTCGGCTTTGACGCAGATTCTCTACTTGGAGGGACCAAGCCTAAAGCAGCATCATGATCTGACCCTATGTTGAACCCGGCGGACCGCGGAGTGTGAGGCTGCGCCTGCGTCGACGCTACATCCGCCTCGGAGATAGGATGCATCGAAGGAAATCCCGCATGAGACGACATTGACCCGGGCTGTCTGCCATGTTGAAAGTATCCGTAATGGGAGAACGAGATGTGATCACGACCATCGGTCACGCTGTTCTCATCGTCGTAGATGACCACATTATCGTTAGCTTGTCTTTCGTTGTCCGAACTTGCCTCCTCGACGGTCACCAAGCCGCCGGGAGGGGCGCGAATTTCCCCGAGCGGTGCGATATGGCTGCCGTATTCGTTGGCCAGACTGAGCTTGCTGCGTCCGCAGATCTCTCCGATGGAGTCTAACGTGCCGCGAATGTTCGGTTCGATGGCGCGAAGAATGCTATCGATGCTGAACTCTTCGTCGGAGGGGATCTGCGGTCCTCGGTCCTGGGGACGCGAGCCCCCGGTGAAGGGGAACGAGCGCCGAAAAGACATCCGGGATGGAGGAGACGGATCCTCAGCAGGACCACCTGAATAGGCCCTCACCAGTACGGGCTGCGTCGCCAGCGTGGAGGATCGGCTGCCTGAATGATTGGCCTGTCGGTTCTTCCAAGACAGAGGCCTGGGGGTCCCATTTAGTTGTCGCAAAGCTGTGGTACGATACGCGCGAGCAGACTCGTCCAGCGTGGACTCATACCGGCCAAGACTGGACTGATTGCGATGTTCAACCGGCCTGGTAAAGACAGAGGTAGAGGCAGAGGCAGAGGACGAGCGAAAGGAATGACCCGACAGAAATTCCGACCGGACGTCCATTTTTTCAGATGATGCAAGATGATTCGAGACAAATCTCACCGAGTGACGCAGGAAAGAGACATGAACCCCGTCGGGGCCAGCTGGCTAGCGTTTGGTGGTGGTGGAGGGTGGTGGTGTTCATGTTGTTTGGCGGCCCGCGGGAAGGAAGAAGGTCACTTGTTGCTTTCCTCCTTCTACTTCGGACTTGCTCTCTCTTTCTCTCTTGCTCTCTACATCCAGCCCTCCCCCTTCGCTTTCGCCAATTCGTCGACCTCCCCTCTCGACAGCATGAACAAGTTTCGCGTATGCAACTTCTTCCCCTCTTCTGCCCCTCCCTCTCGTTGATTGGCCTCTGGAAACTGATCATCCGTGATGCCCGCAGTTTGGCGACTCCGACGAGTCGGCCTCCGATCTCGACGACGATACAGCCGGCCTTCCTTTCCCTGAACCGTTGTCTCGCGCTTCTTTTCTCGCTCCTGATTTCGACCCGGCGCAATACCTATCCTCCTTGACCAACCGACACCAGAGTCTGGAGGACCTGCGACAGGAACTGCGGGAGTTGGATCAATCGCTGAGCAGGGAGCTGTTGGATTTGGTCAACGAGAACTACCAGGATTTCCTATCATTAGGAACCGCTTTGCATGGAGGGGAAGAGAAGGTCGAACAGGTCCGGGTTGGTCTGTTGGCATTCCAGAGAGACGTGCAGGTTATTCGGGATAAAGTAGAGGCTAGGCATCAAGAAGTCGCACAACTGATCGCCGAGAAGAAACGACTGAAAGGAAGCACCAACGTTGCCCGGGGATTGCTGGATTTCGCCGATCGAGTCGAGGAGCTGGAAAGGAGGCTGATGATCGGAGGTACTTCCGCAGAAGATGAGGACTCCGATATGCTGGAAAGTGAGAGCGACGAAACCGATGACGATGAGGAGCTCTCCAACGGTGCATCGACCACCCCACTGGTCTCTCTCAAGCGACTCGAACATCATATCCAGAAATTTGTCTATCTGACGAGGCTGTCATCCCGGATCGGAGACGAGCATCCGTTTCTACTCGCGCAACAACCGCGCCTGACCAAAATCAAGTCGGCCGTGCTCCTAGACCTCAAAACTGCCCTCGAGCAAGCAAACCATGCTGGAGAGAAACGAGATACAAAAACGCTGGTCGTGTTGCGTCTCTACAAGCTCATGGGGGAGGATACCAGCGCCGTCACGGCGCTGAAGAGTCTGAAATTATAATCCCCATCCTGACAGATACCAGAGTTGTTTTGCATAGCGTCGGCGTCCGGAGATTATTTTGATTCGTTTTAGAACGAGAAATATATATGAAACAATACCATTATACACCGTGTCCTGCCTAATAAAACATAATTTATACAACTTGACGCTATTTTTACAGAGTGCTCAAAGATGCAGTATCGAAGGAATCGTCGGGCTTGAAGTCTCCAGTCAGACTGAAACCAGGTCCATTGGTCGAGCTCAGCACCTGCTGAAAGTTAGCTCTCTTAACTTTAAGAATGTGGATGGGATACACCTACCACTTCGTAGATCTCCTTGTTAATACGGTCGTTAAGACCAGCCGCATCCTTCTTGATTTGATCAATCGTGGTGCGCAGGTTGTCTCGCAGCTGCTCGGGAGTGAAGGCCAACTGTCCGATGGGGAAGCGAATGACGGCATCACGCTCACGGTAGACAGTACCGCCGCGCAGCATCTCGACCCGAGAGGCCACATCTTCGACCACCGTGCCGGTCTTTGCGCTAGGCATCAAACCCCTAGGACCCAGAATCCTACCCAGTCCAGCCTTGTTCAACGCCGGCAAACTATCGGGATGGGCAATGCAGCGATCGAATTCAATACGACCCTCCTTCACGGCGTCGAAAACCTCCTGCTCTCCGACAATGACGGCACCGGCTGCGCGAGCCTCTTTTTCATGCCTCGTACCGGGAGGACACACCACGCAGATTCGGGATTCGGTCTGCACTGAATGAGGGAACCGGATCATGTTACGGATGACGGGACCATCTTTCTGGGTCCTCAAGCGGATGTGGATTTCGTATTTGGTGACAGTGGGCTCGCGACCGACTTCGAATGCACGGAGGTATCTAAAAGGCCGAATCGATCAGTTTTGAGTCCCGGGCTTAAGAAAGACGACACATGAATCCCACCTCATGGCCTCACAAAGCGAGAATTGTTGCGCGCTCTTCAGGTCTGATTGCTTAAATATCCGGGGTCCCTTTTTCCCCGTCTTCTTTGAGCTCTTCTCTTTAGCCTTTTTGGCCAGCGCCTGGGGATTATTGCTCTTGATTCCGCGAGCCTGCTGCTGAACACTCGAGAACACGGGGGCCATTGGGCTCTGGCGGAGAGGCAGACGGCATGACAACAGGAGTCCCCGTGCCGCCGAGGGCAGGAGGGAATTGTAGGAGGACATTGTTGAACCACCCGACAGGCCTGGAAGTGCTGATGGCTTCGGCGAAGGGGAATGTTTTCTGCCCGAAAGCTCTCTCGCTCTTGTCCGGCCGGAGAAACGTGACGCCGGCGGAACCCCGATCGGGGTTGAGTCAAATCGGCACGGATGCCCCTCTTGCTGCTATTTCCTCCTCCCCCACCATCCGAGCTTTTGAGGCATTCAATTCCCACTCTCAGAGGCCGTTGCTATCATGTCGGATATGACCCTGACTCTGGCCGCCAAGGCCAACCAGGCCGCTTTGCTTCCGGTCCTTCTGGTCGCAACTTCCATCAACGAGGCCCGCCCCACCCCGGTGATCTCGATCTCTTACCAGGACGCCGCCGTCCTAGAGCAAGGCGACAAGGCCGTGGTGCAGTTCACTGGAGTCAGTGGCTCACCTGCCTATGGTACTGAGAATGCCATCCAGGAATTGCGGAAGAACTTCCCTTTCCTCAATGCTAAGGACGAGAAGCTGGTAAGAACGACCGTTCCTGCACTCGGAGAAGCAAGAAGAAAGAAAAAGTCTCAGAGCTAACATTATTCGCTTTTAGGAGAACGAATGGCTTTCCCAGCTCGAATCCTACACTACCCTTGACTTCAAGGCCATCGACCCGCTGCTTCAGCGCCTGAACAACCATCTCATTCTGCGGTCCTTCGTGGTCGGCTACTCGCTTTCGACCGCCGACATTGCCTTCTGGGGTGCTCTCCGTGGAAACCGCGTTGCCATTGGTGCGATCAGGAAGGGAACTCTCGCCAACCTGACTCGTTGGTTTACTTTCTTGGAGTCTCTTTGTCCCTGGGCTTCCTCGGCTCTTGAAAGCCTTACTGCTGCCGCCAAGGAGAAGAAGGTATCCAAGGCCAAGGAGACCGGTGCTAACTACGACATTTCCCTTCTCAACACCGATAAGGGCGTCGTGACCCGTTTCCCTCCTGAGCCCTCCGGATACCTCCACATTGGACACGCCAAGGCCGCGCTTCTCAACGACTACTTTGCCCACGAGAAGTACGCCGGTACTCTGCTGGTTCGATTCGATGACACGAACCCTTCCAACGAGAAGCTCGAGTTCTCTAACGCTATTGTGGAGGATCTTGCTCTCATGGGCATTAAGCCCGACAGAATGAGCCACACCAGCGACTACTTCAACGAGCTGTACGACTACGCCCTGCGGATCATCAAGGAAGGAAACGCCTACGCCGATGACACCGACAAGGAGACTATGGCTACCCAGAGAATGAACGGCGAGCCTAGCAAGCGCCGTGATGCTTCCGTCGAGGAGAATCTTGCTCGTTTCGAGGAAATGAAGCAGGGTACGCCCGAAGGTCTGAAGTGGTGCATCCGTGCCAAGATGTCCGTCGACAACCCGAACAAGGCCATGCGTGATCCTGTCATCTACCGCTGCAACCCGTCGCCGCACATCCGCACCGGCGATCAGTGGAAGATCTACCCGACCTACGACTTCTGCTGTCCGATCGTGGACTCTATCGAGGGTGTGACCCATGCCCTTCGAACCATCGAGTACCGTGACCGGAACCCTCAGTACCAGTGGTTCCTCGATACTCTCAAGCTTCGCCACGTTCAAGTCTGGGATTTTGCTCGCATGAACTTGGTTCGCACTCTCCTCTCTAAGAGAAAGCTCACGAAGCTGGTTGATCAGGGCGCCGTGTCCGGCTGGGATTCGCCGCTGTTCCCCACCATCCGCGGTATTCGCCGGCGTGGAATGACCATTCCTGCCCTGAGAGAGTTCATTCTCAGACAGGGTCCCAGTAAGAACATCGTCAACCTCGACTGGACTGTCTTCTGGGCCACCAACAAGAAACACATTGATCCCGTTGCCCCGCGCCACACCGCCGTCCTCAAGAAGGACATCGTCAAGGCGACCGTCACCGGAGCCCCTGCCGCCTACACCGAGGACAAGCCCAAGCACAACAAGAACCCTGCCGTCGGTATCAAGAAGGTTGCCTACAGTGGCAGTCTTGTGTTCGACCAGGAGGATGCCAAGAGCTTCAAGCAGGACGAGGAAATCACCCTTATGAACTGGGGCAATGCTATTGTCCGTAAGATCGAGACTGACGCATCGGGTGTGGTCAAGGAGCTGGGACTGGAACTTCACCTGGAGGGTGACTTCAAGAAGACCGAGAAGAAGGTCACTTGGTTGTCCTCGGAGGCCCAGGAGCTGATCCCCGTGGAGCTGGTGGACTTTGACTATCTCCTTAAGAAGGACGTTATTGAAGAACACGATGCCCTCGAGGACGTCGTGAACTACCACGCCGAGTCCCGCGAGGAGGCTGTGGCTGATGGCAACGTCGCCGACCTCAAGGAGGGCGATATCATTCAGTTCGAGCGCAAGGGTTACTTCCGTCTCGACCGGCCTTACTCGCCCGGAAAGCCGGCCGTGTTTTTCAACATCCCCACCGGAAAGTCCGGTAAATAGATGAGTTGACGAAAGAGCTCCCGTGTTATGCATATACGATATGGCATGATTTATCAAAGCATAATGAAAAAGAAAGAGAATTACATGGAATCCCAACAGACTTACCATTCTCTCCGGCTAGAAACCTTAAATGTAGGCATTGCAGTATTCATTGATCACTTATGATCAACAGGAGTAGTATTTCTCGGGTTATGGCGGACAGAAAACTGGTCCCACCGCGCAGCCCCGGAGTTGCATTCGTCGAAGTTTATATAGTCATGACGGCATTGCGATAATCCGGTCCCGGAGCCATCACTTGGAGAGACTTTTTCTTTTTATCCCTCAGAACATTCTGCTGAGAAATAAAGGTGAATAAGGCTAACGACGGGATAGGGTTTAACTCGCGTGATAATGTGCCTCTACTCCGTAGATAGGCAGTAAAAGTGGGCACGTTACTCAGTAGGATCACTCTCCCGAAGCGTGTGGGTAATTTTGACCGGATAGCGGGGGAAGAGACCTGACACCTGGACATATAGCAAGACGCCCATGTATCTCATATAATACGCGGATGATCACGGATTACGTGGAGACGCCGGCGTTGCATGAGGGCTTTATCGTCCCGAAAGGGAAATCCAGATGACTCAGCTATCTTCTGCACGTTTAGCCGCTAATCCCGATTTGGTCGTCACGTTCCTCTCCCCTTTTCCATCTCTTCCTTTTCCTTCTCCTGCTCTTCTTTCTCTTCCCATCTCCGTCGAAGAGACTTCTCTCATCTGCATTGATCAATCATCTACGAGTCTTTACATGCTACATTCAAGTCTCGCGACGACAAGCTGGCAAATATACAGCGTGGACATGAAAACCGAAGACGAGCTTAAAAGTCCGATGCTCTCCAGGTCTCCACTAACCACTGGGCCGGCCCACCCGTCAAGCTTCCCTCCATCATGGGGTTTCTATCCGAACCTCCCGTGGCTCTCACCGAACTTGATGGTTGACATTCTCCGCCTGAACCCTGGAAATGATCATCGCGTCAGAGTCAATTCGCTCGTATTTTCTGGGATCAAAATGTAATACGCCAGGATTAATTGAGGTACACACCATCTTTCCCTGGCCTCTTCCGCACCGGCCCTCGTCATAGGGCCAAAGAACGGTTCTCTCGGGTAGTTGACTGCCGTCTCATACGTCAAGAGTCACATCCTAGTCGAATGCGATGTGCAAGTTCCCTGGTCGGGGGTCCAAGGCATTCTACCGGGCCTCAGCGCCTTCTTTTCCTGGGTGCTACTACTACATTGGTGTCTATCACCGGGTAGCCATTCGGAACCTTGCTTGACTCGAATACGTCAGTATGATAGTCTTTGCGTAGTACAGACCCCGGATAATCGTTAGGAGATGAGTGTAACCTCTGCGCCTCTCGGTTCGAAAAGCCTTCGGTCTTCTTTCAACTTCTGTCAAGTCTGAAGGGGAGAGAAGCGCTTCTTCGTGCAGGGTGTCCCGTCGTTTTGGTTGTGCACTTTCTTTCTTTCTTTTACTTCTTTTCCACTTCGATCCATTCACTTTTGTACTCTGGCTCGTTGAGAGCCGTAATCGGAAGGCTCTGAAGAGCACAGGGCCCGGTACTTTCAAAAATCCCTGCTACCCGAAGCAAGTTATCGAGGACAAGATGGCTCAGCAAGGTGGTGGTGGTGGCGGCGGCGATGCGCCTGCCGACCCCGAGCGGGCTCGGCAGAGTCGCGTTTCTGTCTCTGAGGGACGCTCATCTAGGCGCGTTTCTCGTGTTTCCTATAAGGAGGACTACGCCAACCTTGATGAATATGGGAAGCTAGTGAAGTATGTTTCCACTTATCGCGAGGGGCAGGGAGGCTCGGGCTCAGAGGAAGAGGAAGTGAAGCGAGTCTGGTATGCTCCTTGGAAAAAGCGCAAAGTGCATGTCAAGAACGTCGACCAGGACGCCCAGCAACTGCCGCCTGAATGGCTGCTCACCGATATCCGTCAAGGTCTCCCCAGTGGCGAAGTCCCGGTCAGGCGTCGCCGGTCGGGATGGAACGAACTGGTGTCGGAGAAAGAGAATCCTATCGCGAAGATCTTGTCCTACTTCAGAGGTCCCATTCTTTATGGTAAGTCTGGCCCGTGCTTGTGCAAATAGATCAGTTTGTGGGTGTGGGATTTCTAACCTTGGCCCTAGTGATGGAGCTGGCGGTTCTCCTTGCTGCTGGGTTGGAGGACTGGGTTGATTTTGGTGTTATCATCGGTATCTTGTGTCTCAACGCTTCTGTTGGTTGGTACCAGGAAAAACAAGCCGCAGACGTTGTCGCTAGTCTGAAAGGTGATATTGCAATGAGAGCAACCGTGATCCGCGACGGCCAAGAACAAGAGATTTTGGCTCGAGAGCTTGTCCCTGGTGATGTGGTACGTAATGCAAGGCTGGATTGCCTCCAGATACCGACCGCCTTCTAGCACCCAACTGGCATTCGGACACTAATATAAGTGACAGATAATCATTGGAGAGGGTCAAGTGGTGCCCGCCGATTCTCGAGTTGTTTGTGACTTCAAGGACCCCAGCGGATTCGAGGACTTCAAGAATATCCAGGACCAAGGTGATCTCAGTAGCACGTCAGAGTCAGATATCGATGAAGCCGGGAATGAAGGCGGGGACGAAGAAGGCAATGAGGAAAAGAAGGAAGAGGATGCCGAAAAGCAACAACAAAAGACAAGAAAGCGAGGCTATCCTATTCTAGCTTGCGATCACTCGGCCATCACCGGGGAGTCCCTGGCGGTCGATCGATTCATGGGCGAAATGATCTTCTACACGACTGGCTGTAAACGAGGTAAAGCCTACGCCATTGTACAGGCCAGCGCGAGAAACTCGTTTGTCGGCAAGACGGCAAGCATGGTTCAAGGAGCCCAAGGTGCTGGTCATTTCGAAATCGTCATGGACAACATCGGAACTTCTCTTCTGATTCTGGTTATGGCATGGATTTTGGCTGCCTGGATTGGTGGTTTCTTCCGTCATCTGCCAATTGCTTCGCCTCGCCAGCAGACTCTTCTGCACTATACCCTTGCTTTGCTGATTGTTGGTGTTCCCGTCGGTCTTCCAGTGGTGACGACCACAACTATGGCTGTTGGAGCCGCGTACCTCGCAAAGAAGAAGGCGATCGTGCAGAAGCTCACGGCCATCGAATCGCTAGCGGTATGTTTACTTACACTCATCATTGACTTCATGCTATGGGAGCTAATGACCAACATCAATAGGGTGTGGACATCTTGTGTTCCGACAAAACCGGCACGCTGACGGCCAATAAACTTAGTATTCGGAACCCTTATGTCGCCGAGGGGGTGGACCCTGACTGGATGTTTGCTGTGGCTGTTCTTGCATCCTCGCATAACATTGACTCGCTGGATCCGATTGATAAAGTGACCATCCTTTCGCTAAGGCAATATCCCAAAGCAAGAGAGATTCTCCGCCGGGGCTGGGAAACCGAGAAATTCCAACCGTTTGACCCAGTGTCCAAGCGAATTGTGACCGTTGCCACCTGCGATGGTATTAGATACACCTGTACGAAGGGCGCTCCAAAGGCAGTGCTTCAACTATCCAACTGCTCAAAAGAGACGGCGGATCACTATAAAGCAAAGACGCAGGAATTTGCGCATCGCGGATTCCGGTCTTTGGGAGTTGCGGTGCAAAAGGAGGGAGAAGATTGGACCTTGTTGGGTATCCTTCCTATGTTTGACCCCCCTCGAGAGGATACGGCACAGACAATTCATGAAGCGCAGAACCTGGGTATTAGTGTGAAAATGCTTACTGGAGACGCCCTGGCTATCGCTAAGGAAACCTGCAAAATGCTGGCTCTCGGGACGAAAGTTTACAACTCAGACAAGTTGATTCACGGCGGCCTGAGCGGAGCCATGGCTGGTGACTTGGTTGAAAAAGCGGATGGTTTCGCAGAGGTTTTCCCGGAACATAAATACCAAGTGGTGCAAATGCTTCAAGAACGAGGTCATTTGACGGCCATGACCGGCGACGGTGTGAATGATGCACCATCATTAAAGAAGGCGGATTGCGGTATTGCCGTCGAGGGTGCTTCAGAGGCAGCGCAATCGGCCTCGGACATTGTTTTCTTGGAACCGGGACTTTCGACCATTATTGACTCGATCAAGGTCGCGCGCCAGATTTTCCATCGCATGAAAGCATATATTCAGTATCGAATTGCCCTTTGCTTGCATCTGGAAATCTATTTGGTCACCTCTATGATCATCATTAACGAAAGTATACGGGTTGAGCTGATCGTTTTCCTCGCCCTTTTCGCCGATTTGGCAACTGTTGCGGTGGCGTATGACAATGCGTCTTTCGAACTGCGACCCGTTCAATGGCAACTTCCTAAGATTTGGTTTATCTCGGTGCTTCTGGGTGTTTTGCTCGCACTGGGAACGTGGGTTGTTCGAGGCAGCATGTTCCTTCCCTCAGGTGGTATTATTCAGAACTGGGGATCAATCCAAGAAGTTCTGTTCCTCGAGGTGGCTCTCACGGAGAATTGGCTCATCTTCGTCACGCGCGGTGCCGACACCTGGCCATCCATCCACTTGGTTACGGCGATTCTAGGCGTGGATATCCTTGCGACCATCTTCTGCCTGTTCGGTTGGTTCAGTAACGAAACCATGCCCACCAACCCAGCGACCAAGTTCGTCGAGACCACGAACGGATGGACCGATATCGTCACAGTGGTTCGCGTGTGGGGTTACTCCCTGGGTGTGGAGATCGTCATTGCCCTGGTATACTTCATGCTGAACAAGTTCAAGTGGCTAGATGATCTCGGCCGTGCCAAGCGAGACAAGAACGCGCTCAAGTTCGAGAACCTGCTGGGTCACCTTGCCCGTCTGACGGTCGAATACGAGAAGCCCGGCGAACCACCGGGCCGGTTCTTTTTGGCTACCAGCAAGGAGGAGGAAGAGGTCGAGTGATTTTGATGATGAGACGATTGAAGTGTTTGGACCAGAGTACAAGGTATGGATGGAGCTGTTGAGTATACATATTATCGTCGAGGATTCGGACGGGCGTTTTTGAAGGGAAAGAAAAAAAATTCGATAAACCTTGTTTTTGTTTGCTGTGATACTCTTTGAAGGCAAGGGGGGGGGCTTAGCTTTTGCGATATATCTTTTTTAACACTAATATTATTGCTTTTCTTCTTTTGGTATTTGGAGTGTGGATGTACAAGTACATCACCTTGATCGATTAATAGTAGAGCGAACATATTGGTACCTCGCGATACATAAAATAAGGCACAAAAGCACCGTATCTATCTATTATATGCGAGATCTAATCAAGATTCAGTGTCAAAATCGAAGCTACACTTAATCAAATCTCATCATTATATTTATATAATTTTTACCGTCCGTAATTATATTCACCCGTATCTCCCATCATGCACCATTTGCCCAATTCCATCAATTAATTAGATTATTACAATCCCCTCGCGCGTTTCCACACCTCCTCTAGCTCATTGCCCATACTGCGCTCGGCGGCCTTGAGCATTTCTCGCTTGGACGGGAGGGTTCGTTTCTCGATTGATGCGGCGGATTCTTCTTTTGCTAGTTCGACTGTGGGTTTTTGTTAGCTTTCTGGATTATAATCATGAAGTGGGTAGAGAGAGAGAGGGATGGAGAGGGGAGGGAGAAGGTATTGCATTGGAGAAGTCAATGTAGATGTCCCCTTCTCCGAACAGATCAAAGTGGGAAAGAGTGTGCAAAGTGAGAGAAGGAGATAAGAGAGGAAGAGGGAACGTACCATGCAAGAAAACCGCCGCACGCTTCCCACTAAACATCGCATGCGGCACATTCGTGCTCCCATCGCTATTACAATCCCCGATAGCAAACACACCAGGCAAGCTAGTCCGCATACCAGGGTTAATGCTCGTATCGATCTTCCCGTCTTTCATAGCCAGGCCGAGCGAAGTCGGGATCTGGGAGCGTTGAACAGACGGGTAATTTGTGATGAAAGCGTTGCGGTCAACGGAGGAGCCGTTGGTAAAATGTACCCGGAAGATATCGAACTGGTGGCCTTTATCGTCCGTGTGGTCGGCGCCGTTCTGGATGCGTTCGAAGGACGCGATGGACGCGTTTTCGAGACGCACGTTGTAGGTCTCAAGTTGTTGTTTCCAGTTCGGGTATTTTTCTGCGAGAGCGGCCTCGGCGGCGGGGGTGTGCGTGCCGTTCAGGAACGCGATGATGTCGGTGTTGAGGGTGTAGACTTCGAGCACGCTGCCGACGACGTCGGGGAGGGCGCCGAGGATACCGAAGGGTTGGTCGCGGTGCTCGTAGCCGTCGCACCACGGACACCAGTACACGCCCTTGCCCCAGGCTTCTTGCAGGCCTGGGGTGGAGGGGAGGACGTCGACGAGACCGGTGCCGAGGATGAGTTTGCGGGCGGAGTACACGGCGCCGTCGGCGTCGGTGGCGTTGAAGTAGGAGGTGTTGGTGCTGTGGTCGGTGACTGGGGTGACGGAGGTGATTTTCTTGTCGACGAACGAGGCCGTGGTGTATTTGGAGATTTGCTCGCGGGCGAGACCACGGAATTCGCTGGGGACGGTGCCTGAGTTTGATCGGTCAGTTATGTGGGGGGAGAGGGGAATCTAGAAGGGGTAAAGTGTTCTTACCATCGTTACCGATCACATCGTGCATGTTCCGCGTCGGAGCATTGCGGTATTCACCCGAATCGAAAAGCACCGTCTTGCGCTGGACTCGCGAGAGACCGCTCAGAGCGCTCAGCCCGGCCGGGCCTCCGCCAATGACCATGACCTCATAGTCGGTTTGGGGCAGAGAGGCCGCCAAAGCGACGGTCAGGGATGAGAAGAGCGAGTAAAGGAGGGACTTGGGAGCCATGGTGCAGGCTTGACGGGGAAAAGGGTTGAACGGCTTGCCGACCACCTAGAGACTAACAGCTGGGAGATCACCGGGCCTGGAGAGGAGTGACAACTAGGTCGAGGGAGCCAGAGCTAGCCATTTTATAGTCGAGACCCAAGGAAGAGCTGAGCATGATCATCGTGGCAGAGATGCACCATGGATGCGGCCAAGAAGACGAGCCCACCCTGGTGGCTGGCTGTGTGCGCTGGAATCGCCGCGAGCCGTGAGGTGGAGTGAATGCATGTCTACGAAGGATGCAGGCCGAAGTGTTTGCTCGCCCGCAGGCCGAACTCGCGATGCCACCTCAAAGCGATCGGCAGGGCTGCGAGCCAATAGTTCATGCCGCGTGCAGATCCCGAGCTGATCGCTCGAGTCGATGCCTTGATTGCAGTGCAGACCAGGGTGGGGCTGATTGGTCGGGAGGTTGAGTCTGGTGCAAGGAGATGAGGGGAATGACCTGGTTGCAGATGAGCTGAGGAAGATGGGAAGGAAGATGGATGATTCATGAGGCCATAGCATGACAAGATGGCGTCGAGGCACGTGTCGTCTACTTAACCCTAACTTCTTCTTGCTTCGATCCTTTCATTGGGATCGACAAGACAACAGACTCAAAACCACTCAAACTTTCTCTATTAATCTGGGATAAATTAATACTAGGCATCAAGTATCAAGTATTAGGTATTAGATATGAAATATGGCGATATCAGCTATATACAAACAGCGCTCCCCCTTGCATGGTGTTGGGGATGTCCCCGAGAGCTGAATATAAACAACGAACTGCCCCATAAAAGTCCCCACTCCGGCACGAAGCGCATCCGAGCTGAACCAGAATGGAGTCGTGGGCCACCCAGTCTACCAGCGCATTGGATGGTAGCGGTACGGACGGGACGAGATGCGCGACTGGGTGCTTCCAAGTGCCTGACGAGTTCCCTGAAGAAAGCCATCGTTTCCATAAGCCTGGCTGACATCCCACATCATGACGCCTCCGAAGCTGGAAAATGTCTTGCTGTACTCAATCACAGATTTCAGCTTCGTGACTGGGATGTATCCCGAGCCGGCGGCTCCGGTGTTGGCCGGAACACCGACAATCACTTTGGCCTTCTTGTTCTGGGAGTCGTTCTTGGCCCAGTTGTCCCAGGTCTCGAGGTTGAAAGAATTCTGCGTGTCCTGGCCCTCGACAAAAGACCCGACTCCGCAGAAGTTGTTGTAGAACTGCACGAAGACGGCATCAATGGACACCGGGCCGTTCAGGATGTCCTTGTCTGCTGCGTCGGGGTAGGGGCATTGCGGCGCAGCAGTCAAGAAGTATTGCTTGGACGTGTCGGCATCCGACAATTCGCGAAGCCGGTTCGCGAAGGGAGCCATGTTGTCGACATGAGCCTCAAAGTCGAAATCGAATCCATCCACCACGGCATCTCCGAAAGGCCGTCGAACTTGGTTCTGACGACGCATAATGGTGTTATGGATTGGTCGGTAGGTGGTGTTGTGGTAAACAGTGTGATTCACCTGAGCCATGCTAGACTGGGCCGGACCGAACGTTTTCCAGACCAGATCGGCCCCGTCTCTGGCGGCAGACTCGGATTGAAAGCCACCCTCGCTATAAGTAGCACCCCCAATCGACAAGATGATGGTTTTTCCTTTTTGCTGACATGTAGTGATATCCTCTCTGCAGGGAGTCAGCTAAGTCCTACTGTCTGTCGTTTAGGAGGGAAAATAACGATGCGTACCCAATCTCAGGGCATTTTTTAAGATTAGTGCCTTCGATAATTGTGCATTTATCGCCGGCATTTGCAAAGTCCACTTCCGGGGCACCGCCCTGGCCGTTAATCCTCGTCAAGAAGGCTAGTACAATAACCTGCGAGTGTGAGCACTTTCTTTGCTACCAAGGCCTGGAAGCCAGGCTTACATCAATGTTTGAATCTAGATAATGGTTAGCAATGAGGACCTATGTTTGTGTGGCCATGATACTGACCATCGCAGTAATAACCGAGTCTCTGCTGCGCAAGTTCTCCAGTCTGACCAAGCGAGTTTTGACCTGTGGTGCAGATCCATCAGGTTAGAGTGACACGTAACTCTAGAAGAGTAACAAAACCCACCCCAGTATACCACGACGTTTGAAGAAGAAGAAAGATCCAGTTTGGCATAGGCTCCTCCCAGAGAAGCCACACCCATTGATAGGGCAAGTAGTTTTTTAAGGAAAGACATGATGTTGGCTCAGGCCGACTGGCTGTAGGAAAGAGAGGTTTGGATCAGATCAAAAAGGAGTGACTTTAACGAGAGAACAAAGTGGACAGAGAAAGGAGCGGCCAAAGCCCTGAGATTGTCGAGGATGTCGAATTTGCCGAAGTCGTTTGTCGGATGGTTTGCTGTTGATGAGAATTTCAAGTCAAGGTTATGAGGCTTTTTAAACCTCGTTGTAAACCCCCAGTTTCATTGTTATGGGCACTAAACAGACGATTCCGATGGAAGCCTCGTCACCCCGAGCACCTGCGCATCCATTCCCAAGATTCGACTATAGCTGTCATCTTCTCATACGGGAGAGTATCGTCGTTGCTGACACCTTGCATGCCATATGTTATTGGCTGGGACAGATTTGATATACATTCCAGCGTCGTTGTCGGGGGGACCGCGCCTGTCCATGGAATGTTATCCATCTTGTTCACCACAAGCCCGAGATACCGCGGATTATTACCTCCAAAACAGTCTTCCGGGATGTTGCCTGTAAACCCGATTTCCGAAGTGCCGAGGAAAGGTCATTAAATGGTTTTTTTCGACGAGGCGCGTTTGAGCAAAGAACACCTAAAGTTTGGCAGTAAAGTTGCTGCCCATGCAATGCGAGTCTAATTCGAAGCCCATGTGTAGCCTGCAGCGTAAGGCCCGAAGACATGCAAGGAGCAAACACCCGAGCCTGTTCAGAAGGCAATCGTAACTCGGATTATCGTGCGTCCATTTTTGGAAAACCCAATGCTGCAAGGGTTACAGAAGCTCGATCCATCTTTGCATGTCCTCCGACCCGCCATGAGGAATGCGACTGTCGTCCTGGCGATGAAGAACATGGCATTTGGCTTGGCTCACTAGAACCTTGAGTATACTGACATCCTACGTCTGTGCATCCTGGCAAAAGCAGTTCTGATCGGATATAGTCGCCGAGTCGACATGTTCTGTTTACTGTGCGGTCTTCATTCGTCGACCATTAATCCCGCGATCACCGGTGGATTCCAATGACTCTCTCAACGGCCTCGTCATGAGTCATGTTGCTATCGATAACACCGGCGATCTTCAGGACATCTACCACGCTCTCTACCATCTTCCGATCCACGCCCTTAGTACCTTGCACGAACTTGACATCCTTCAACCATTCCTTCGCATCCTCTTCGGTGTACGTGCATCCGAGCTCTCCCGTACCGAGCAGCTTGACTGCCTGCGTCGTATCGGCCTCGAAGTCCTGGATGCCCTGATCTAAAAGCTTAAACAACTGCTGCAGCTTGGAATCGCGTTCCGGGTCAGGGAAGACGGCCGTCGACGCGACCACCATCCAGGAAGGCCAGGGGGTGTAAATCTCGTCGAACTTCTTGAGCGGCGGCTCCGGCTTCTCCGCGGTTGGGTGGAAATAAGGCTTCGTGGTGAACTGCTCCCACATGAAGAATTCCGCCGTGGGCTCGGGCTTCTGCTCCGGACGCGAGTCATCCTGGCCGGTGACTCCGTTGCGCAACGCCCCGAACGGACCCAGCGGCACGGCAGTCAACGAGTCGGGTTGCCAGCCCTGCTTCTGGGCCAGGACAAAGGACATGATATGAGAGCCACTAGACCAACTGATTAGTATATGCGTGTTCTTTGACCTAGTAGTCGGGTTTGTGTCAGCTGTCTCACCTTCCCGGTCGACTTATACCAACACGCTTATCCTTCAGATCAGCCACCGTCTGGATGTCATCTCTCTTGCGACCCGTCACGATGGCCCATCGCAAGGGCGTATCAACCCATTGTCCAACCATCCTGTAACCCCCCGAGGCAGCATTCTTCTGGGCTTGCGCTTTCCCTGCTAGACCGGCAACCCACCCCTCGGTCAGTCCAATACCGATGTCAATCTCCTTCTCGCGAAGGGAGGTGATCATATGTCCCGTGCCGGAGGGGAACGGAATCAAGGAGACCTTGAAGGGCAGCGATTGCAGGGCCGGCGAGCGGAGGGCCAGGTGGAGTGGAGTGAGGTAGTGCTCTGCATTGTAGTTCAACGCGTTAGTTTATATGCTTCACAGACTGGTGTTCAAGAATGCTATCCGCCATCTCCGAATATGAACGGAAGTAGGCCATACCGGGGACGTAGCCGATGCGGATGGTTTCCGAGTCCGAAGCCATGATGCTGTACAATCAGAGCAATCGGGTCTAGGGAAGACGATCGTTAAGTAAAGATAGGACCGTTCTATCGGTTGATCTTGCTACCCAGCCAGTGGAGTGATGAAGAGAACAGATGAAAATGAGGGGGAGGAAACAGACGAAGAGACAAGCTTTGGTGGGGTTACGGCGGGGTTCCCCTGCGGCGTCGCGTCATCCATGGCTTCCAATCTACTCCGTACAAGCTGATTTAATACATTGAAGGTATGCCAATTCTTCTGCTTGAAACAATATTCATTATCGATATAAAGAAGGTCGCATTATTAAGTCTATCCATTTGGTTGAAGATTCTCGCCGTTCCTACGCACGGCCTCGAGTATTTACGGCGCATCGAGCGCCCCGGCAGGTTTATCAACGCCGTGGGTACGTTTAGGTCATTCGGAGGTCCTTTTCTCCAAGCTCTACTGAGCTGCTGGGCGTCGCAAAGGAAGGCCGGGTATACATCCAAAACTGCAGCCCGAGATACAGGTCGCAAACGCATTGGAACATCGCGCAGATGCGGAATGCCCACGGAATCACCTCCACGCTGAAGAAGAAGTAGCTGAGTTTCATCAGGTCTCCGAGAATCCACGCAGCAAGCACAGACACACGGAATCCCTTGCACGAGCGGGTTCGGTGGTTCGCGATGATCTGCGGCAACGGAAGGGTAGCCTCCACGGCCAACCCGGTATAGCCAAGGGTGTTGATGTAGAACTCCGATTGAGCGATGGGGGACAAGAACAATTGGATGAATGAGAGTCCAGCAATGAAGTAGGCCAAAAACATCCAGTATCTGCCGCCCGTGTTACGTTAGCGAGCCTATTGCAAGGTACTTACCCGGGAAGATCGGGTGAGGGGCCACATACGGCTTCGCGCTTTTCCATTGCCAGAATTCGTACGGTCTCGAAAACCCGGCGCCAGAGTCGACATTGCTGAAAGGCACATGCTCGACGCCATCTCTTGCGCCCGCAGACGGCCGATTGTCCAGCGCAACCTTCAGCATAACCATCTGGACGCCGATCATGATGACCGCCTGCACCAGCAAAGCCGTCGAATAATAATCGCCAAACCAATAGAAAACCCTATACCACAAGTGTCAATCGAATGTCGCGCGCGAGATAATCACGTTGATGAACGGCTTACTTCAAGACCGACGCGACCAGCATGATCAGGGGAATGTCCAGGGAAAACCCGGCCGAACTCCGATTGCGATGGATGCTGAGAATCTGGTCGGCATACGAGGTTAAAGGAGAGGTGATCAGACTAGATAATGGGGCGCGAGTCAGCATTCCAGCACAGTCTTCGAAGTAGTATGCGGACTGTAAGTTTCCACGTACAAGACCGGAGCCCCATATTCAAGAGCCAGCGACACCAAATACATCGTGCGTGTGCAGATGCCCCCCCGGGAATCACGAAAATCCAAGTAGATGAAGAACAGAGAGAATCAACGAATCGACTCTGGAGGGTCGCCAAGGACGAGGCGTTCTTCTGCCCGGTCGAATTGATTGAGAGAAAGGAGGGCTCAGGGGGGCGATCTTGAGGGGAAATTTTCGAGTGTTGGGACCTAACAGATCGAGTCCATGCGAAGAAAAGGGACAGAACCAGCAAACCAAAGAAAATAGGATACGAATAAGAATAAGAATGGGCGATGGACCGGAGCCAAGCAGACCGACCAGGAGCTAAAAGCGATGCGCGGCCAACGAATGCGTCGATTTTTTCCCTCGTCCCTGGCGCTGACTCAGCGGCTCCACGCCTCCCTAAATCCGCCGCGGAGATTAAAGATCATCTACGGAATACCTTACATTCGATCATCATTTGTTCTTTTGCGACAGGTCATCAACGTCTAGAACTTAGTATAGGATCAACATATTTATACGCTCACTCCTCATCTATACCAGTGGGGCTCAAAACTCGATCTTCCAAGCCCTGCCAATGCCAACCTTAGGGTTCTTTACCACGGCATACGCGGCCTTGCCGGCGGACTGGGCATGGTATTCCACAGCCGCGGTGGATGCGGCCTTGGATCCCTCCTCAATGACAGTGACGCTGGTCTTCTCCTGCCATTGCTTGGGAGGATCAATGACGATAACTCTCTCCACCCGAACATCCGCCATGGTCTTCAGATACTCGGCGGTCTTAGGGCCCTTGGTCGCAAGGTCCTCGGATGATAGCGTGGAGTCGTGGAACTGGAAGCGGCGATGGATATAGGCACCACGTTCATATTCAAAGGTCTCTCCATCATCCACGTACAGGGTTCCGTCCGCATCGCCGTTCTTGTCAAGGGTGATAACAAGGGTGTATGGGTCCCATCTCATCAATCCGCTGCTGCGACGGGGACGATCCTTGCGAGGAATGATGTGGCCACCTTGCATGAGCAATGGTACTTTCTCAAGAGGAGCAGGGACCTTATGAGACTGTCCAGCGCCCTGATACACGGTGTAGTCGTAATAATCGTAGTATTTCTCGTCATCGGCAATGTAGATGTTCACCGAGTCGGTCCCCTCGGAAACAACAGGTTTGGTGAGAAGGCCAGTAGCGCCAAAGTAGAGCTGGTCGTCGATGGCAAACCCAGCCTCGTCCGAAGGGTGAACGTAGTACTGCGGTCTCACGATGGGCGTTCCGTTCACCGACGCTTCATGGAAGGCAGTGTACCAGGCCGGCAGAAGGCTGTATCTCAGGCGGATTGCCTGGGCGATGATAGACCGTTCGGGTTCGGCAATCAAGTACGGCTCTCGCCTGCGAGTATCAATGTGCGCGTGAGCGCGGAAGAAAGGATACCAAATACCAGTCTGGTACCACCGCGTGAGAAGCTCTTTGCTCGGGTTGTGGAAAAAGCCACCAACATCGGCACCGGCAAACGGAAAGCCGGAGATACCGTTGTTCAGGACCATGGGAAGGGAGATGGCAAGATGTTCCCAAGTGGCTTGGTTATCGCCGGTCCACATGGCAGACATCCGCTGAGCCCCGGAGTAATAAGATCGAGTGAGGATGAACGGCCGACGAACCTCGCCCTTCTTGCGCTCCAACAAGGCATCATAGGTAGCATTCACTAGGGTGATACCGTTGACATTGTGGATGTCACGGTGTTCCCAGTCACCGTAGTGCAGGTTGTCCTTTGGCATGGTGGTTTCAGGCCCGTTGAACACCGAGGGCTCATTCATATCATTCCAGATGAAAACGTTGCCCATTGAGCCCTTGAATTTGTCGTATTTGAAGAGGGTCTTCCACCACTTGAGAGCCTCGGGATTAAAGCAGTCAACCCAGTTCGACGATCCGGGCCAGCACCAACCTTCATAGATATCGCCATCCTTATTCCGGGTGGCCAAGTCCTTGCTCTTCAGCTCTTCCGAAATGGTGTACTTGTCCTTGTTCTTGATGTGAGGGTCAATGAGGACCACGAGCTTACGCTCGGAGTCATCGAGTTGCTCTTCCATGCCGATCGGATTGGGGAAGGTGAGGGGGTCCCATGTGAAGTATTTCCGGTCATCGGTGTACTCAAGGTCAAGCCAGATGACGTCGTAAGGGATCTGGTACTTATCAAAATTGCGGTCGACCTCCTTGACGTCTTCGTCAGTGATGTAGTTCCAGCGACACTGATGGTACGCAATAGCGAAGTGTTGAGGCAGCTGAGTGTAGCCGGTAAGCTCCCCGTAGGTTTTGGTGAGATCCTGCGGCGTGGGTCCCAAGAACACAAAGACATCGATTCGCCCAGCCTCTGAGAACCAGTGGCTCTGAGTATCGGTCTTGGATCCGACGCCCAGAGACAAGGGGTTGACGGAAGAACTAGACTTGACAATGTCCACCCAGGTCTCGGCGGCGTTCAACCAGAATACACCCACCGTGGAGTCCTTTCGGTGTGCCTGCATGAAAGGAATGGCGCCATACAGGGTCATAGGGCTGTTTAATTCATACTCAAAGACATCCGAGTTGTACATGCGGTAAGGCTCCTCATGGTTGCCGGAACCACCTCTGTTATTCATTAGCCTTGAGATTCAGGCAACGGCAGGGGGGGTATGTACCGAGTTTCTCTCAAGGAGAGCGAGTCAGCATGTTCCGGGATACCGAATACATGGCTGTAGCCGGGGAAAGAGATGTCCAGACCAACACTTTCCGGGCCTCTAGGTTTGGAGTCAGTGTTTCCACCAAATGTCTCCTCCCACCAAGTACTCTCATCTTCCTGAGATACGGCGGCCTTCTCCCCTTCACCCTCCGGGGCATCCACTTTCGGTCGCCAATGCTCCAGATTCAGGTACCCCTTGTGGTTGAATTGGACATGAGTCTCACCGTCACGCTGAAAGTCCACATTGAAAGGAGCATGGCTGATGATGGCCTGGAACTTATTGTCGGGTCCATACAGGACCTTGGTGATTCCAGCCTCCGTTTCGGGATTCAGAGCGGCAGACTTGCTCAATTCAAGACCACCAACCAAGACCCATTTCTCCGCCTCATTATACCGTTGCTTTCGTGCTTTGCTGTCGTGACGAACCTCGATATCGCCTTTCAGTCGCTTTTCTTCGTCGATCACGACACGAGCGGCACCCGATTCCAGAAAGGATACCACCAGAGGAAGTTCAACCTTCTGGTCCAAGGAAATTGATTTCAGAATTGTTCCTTGCAGTTGACCATCTTGAAAGTGAATCGTGGAAGGGTCAAGTTCGTACGGGGAGCTCCACGACGAGCCCTTAGCGGAGGCGTCATCGGCCAACGCTCGGTTTCGCTTACAAAAGCCGGACTGCGAGCATTTCTTGAAGTTCTCGTGCTTCACGGAGACTATATTTGAGAAATTCAAGCTTAGTATAACCGACCAATGGCAATAGATAAACACGTCTCACCTCCGGGGATGACGAGACACCCTATCAGCATGACCCAGGAAAACAACATCGTCCAGACTGACATCGGCCGGCTCCCGGCCATGGTTAAGCTCACAAAATGCAGAGCCAAAACTCTCAGCCTCCGACAGTGCAATGGATCGCAAGAATGGCGAGCTGCATCTATTCGGAGGGACAGGTTACAGCACACTAGAGTACAGTCCGCTGTCGAGTCGAACTGCAAATGGGAAGGATGGCAATGATTGATATGATGGAGGATCGGTCCAGGCTGGCCTGATGGAGAGAACGCGGAGAGCTCCCGTTCGGGACTAGTGTGACACTAGGCCCGTTGGGGCGGGGACCCTCTGGCCTGAGGTGTTAAGGCAGAATCAGGCGCCAACAGCCCCTCGGTGCCCCACTTTGCGGGCATCCATTTATATGATATTTTCTCTCGCCAACTCACGAAGTTTCTCTTCTCTCTTCTTCAATCGCTTCCGAATTGATCCCGTATCTCTTCAGTCCGTTATCCATCACAATGTCTACCGAGCAGACGTAAGTTCACCTCCATACCATGCCTATCCATCTCTTCCCTCCTTGTTCTCTCCCTCCTTTACTTCCTTTTTCTTCTTTTTCTGGTGTTCTCGCCGTGATGCCCCTCACTTCACCGACCCCGCTAATCGATGATCCCCCTACAGCTTCATTGCCATCAAGCCCGACGGTGTCCAGGTACGACCAGTTGAACTCGGCTCGCTTTGCATTCGGTCGGAATTGGCTGCATTCTGATCAAAAACTGACCTCAATTACCAGCGTGGACTCGTTGGCCCCATCCTCTCCCGCTTCGAGAACCGTGGGTGAGTATCTCTTGCCTAGCAGCATGATGATGATTCCGAATGCTAATCATTTATATAGCTTCAAGCTCGTTGCCCTGAAGCTCACCTCTCCCTCCAAGGAGCACCTCGAGCAGCACTACGCTGATCTCTCCTCCAAGCCCTTCTTCCCCGGCCTCGTCTCCTGTAAGTGTGAACGCTTGAGTGTGATCGGCAAACACTAACTTCCAACTCAGACATGCTGAGCGGCCCCATCGTCGCCATGGTCTGGGAGGGTAAGGACGTCGTCAAGACCGGCCGTACCATCCTCGGTGCCACCAACCCCCTCGCCTCCGCTCCCGGCACCATCCGTGGTGACTACGCCATCGTAAGTTCTGTCCGGTGACCTCATCGATGGAGGTGTATTAATTCTTCTTAGGACGTCGGCCGCAACGTCTGCCACGGCTCCGACAGCGTCGAGAGCGCCCAGAAGGAGATTGCCCTCTGGTTCAAGAAGGAGGAGCTCCAGAGCTACAAGCAGAGCCAGTTCGACTGGATCTACGAGAAGGCTTAAATTTCTCTTTTCGATCTTGCCTCGCAGGAGCCGCGTCCCATTATATGTGTAATGTAGGAGGCGGTGAATGATACTACTATATCAGTCAAGACGTTATGAGAAATAAAATAAACTATATGTACAGAGTCACGAACTCCTTACTGAGTACAGCCATGTATAGTTCGCAAACTCGGAGGCTCAGGTACCAAACCCCAGCGCGACCTATTTCCGCCAAAACAGCGTCCGGATTCTCCCCCCAACGGGACCAAGGATAGTTCTGGCAAACCACGGCGTGGCCCAGGCGCTGGCGGCGATTCGCAGCGGCAGTAGAGCCTTGGTGACTGCATAAGCCGTCGCAAACTCCCACACTAGACGCATACCTTTCTTTCCGTCCTGTGGAGGGGTCAAGTCTTTGTAGTCGGCCGACCCTTCCTTGCGCTCCTTCGCCGGCAATTCCATGTCCATTTCCGCATCTTCCTCTACCCAGCCCTTCTTGCGCAGCCACCGTCCAAAGCGCCGCGTGCCATCCTCGAACGCACCACTCGACGTCAGATCCGGTAGCCAATTCCCATAGTGGAAGGCCGCCACCAGACCAAAGAGGGGAACGATCGCTGTCATCTCATGTAGGATCAAGAAAGAGGTAATATGCGTTCCAGGGGCCCCCAGAAGCGGCGTTGTGTAGGTTCGAAGAAACGATGGCAGGCGATCATTGAAGCGGCGCAAACGGGAACGAGGGTCTTTGGGGGATGACGAGGCTGAACTGGGCGATGAATAAGTCCGCGAAGGTGACTTCCTCCATGGTGAGAAACGGATGGGACGTAGCGAGGGCCGTAAAGAAGACATGGCGAGAGATGCTGGAAGGGAGAAAGATTGAAGCTATCGGGGAAGACAAGGAAATCGTCGATTCCTTCGGCCGGCGGCGTTTGCAGTGTTTGCACCTCGCCGGGCGAATTTTATATGCCCCCTTTGGCTGGGGATTTCTTTGCGATATGGAATGGAGGACCGCCCGGATGAGAGTCGCAGCAATTCAGAGCCGGTCAGAACGCGCGCCTGAACCTGGTTGAGGGCGTGAACGCAGTTGTTAAGCCATTCTCCTCACAGCGAAGATCGGAGGCCTCCCGTTGGCCCGCCGCAGCACCACTCGGGCAGTTCCTCTGTTCTCGCCGTCTGCGCTTCTTCTTCCTCTTCCCTCATCCACTTCTTCACCTCCCTTCTCCTATCGCTCTCGTCGCTTCCACCGTTCGAGTTACGCCATGGAGAAGATCACCGATAAAATCGCGGCTTTGCCGCCCGATGCGAATTATTTCTCGCTGGAGTTCTTTCCTCCGAAAACGCAGATGGTGGGGTTGCCTCTTTTCGCCCCGCACTTCGTCTTTCGAGGCCCTTGAGTTCGCTAACCAACATGCATCGTGACAGGGTTTCGCCAATCTACAAGCCCGTCTGGAGCGTATGGCCCAGGCGCTGCGGCCACTCTTCGTCACCGTCACCTGGGGAGCCGGAGGAAGCACTGCGACGAGATCACTGGAGCTGGCTGAGATCTGCCAGCGCCAGCTGCAATTGACGACATGTCTGCATCTGACCTGTACCAACATGAGTCGAGCCTTGGTGGATCATGCGCTGGAGGAGGCTAAGGTTTTGGGTATTCGCAACATCCTGGCGCTGCGAGGTGATCCTCCCCGCAGCGAGGAGTACAACATGCACGGCGAGGACGACAGCAATAAGGACTTCATGTTCGCGGTGGACTTGGTGCGGTACATCCGGCAGCAGCATGGCGACTACTTCTGCGTCGGTGTCGCTGCCTATCCAGAAGGCCATCCGGCCGATTCGTTTCAGGATGTCCAGGACCCCGAGCGAGACCTTCCCTACCTGGTCGAGAAGACGCAGGCGGGGGCCGATTTCATCATGACTCAGTTGACATATGACATCGATGCCTACACCAAGTTCGAGAACCGGCTGCGATCTCATGAGTCCGGGGCTTTCAAGACCATTCCTATCGTGCCGGGTCTGATGCCCATCCATAGTTATAAGATCTTGACTCGAGTCACCAAGCTCAGCCATGTCAAAGTTCCGCCCCATATCCTCTCCAAACTCGAGGCGGCCAGACACGACGATGACGCTGTCAAGCGTATTGGTGTTGATATCATCACCAGCATCGTGGACGGCATGAGGGATATAGCCACCCCGAGACCCCGAGGATTCCACTTCTACACGCTCAACTTGGAGAAGACGGTGTCGTTCATTCTCGAACGCTGCGATCTGATCCCCCCGTTCTCGGAATACTCCGACGCCCTGGTCGACGGTGGTAGTCTATCGGCCCTTGACTCTTCTTCCTACGTGGCGCCGAACGGCGCGCCTATCCGGTCCCTCACCCGCCGACGGGCCTCGTCTATCAACTCTCTCCCCCACAACCGTGTCATTGTCGACAGGGTACAGACGCCCGGAGGTTCGTCCAAGGACTCTACCTCGCATGAGGCCCCCGCGACCAGTGCCGGCATGCCGGCCATGCCACCGGATCGCAACACCACCCTGCAGATTTCCGAGGGTCTGGGAGCCCTGGGCCGTGAGGCGACCTGGGATGATTTCCCCAACGGCCGATGGGGTGACGCTCGTTCTCCTGCATTCGGTGAAATCGACGGTTACGGACCCTCGCTGCACGTTCCTCCCGCCATCGCCCATCGCATCTGGGGCCACCCGACGTCTCGCGAGGACATCAGCACCCTCTTCCGCCGCCACGTTTCCGGCGAACTATATCTCGTGCCCTGGTCCGAAGGTGGCGCCGAAGAAGGCGGCAACGGCCTCAACGCCGAAACTGAAATCATCCGACCTGAGCTGCTGCAGCTGATCGACAAGAAGGGCTGGTGGACCCTTGCCTCGCAACCCGCCGTCAACGGCGTCCGCAGCTCCGACCCCGTCTTCGGCTGGGGCCCTCCTGGCGAGGGCTTCGTATTCCAGAAGCCCTTCGTCGAGTTCTTCTGCCCATCCGCCGACTACCACAACGTGCTGAAGCCCACCCTCACGCGCCACGGCCACGAGAAGCTCGCCTGGTTCGCCACCAACGTACACGGCGACTTCGAGACCTCGCTTCCGGGCCCGACCTCCGACGCCGACCCGCTAGAAATGAACCCAGCCAACGTCAACGCCGTCACCTGGGGCGTCTTCCGCGGCAAGGAAATCGTCACCCCGACCATCATCGAAGAAGTCAGCTTCCGCGCCTGGGGCGACGAAGCCTACCGCATCTGGGACGAGTGGCGACGCATCTATCCGCGCGATTCCGCCGCCGGCAAATTCCTCGACGACACCAAGAACGACGTCTGGTTGGTGTGTGTCGTCGGCCAGGACTTTGGCGCTGGCACGGAGATCGGATCGCAGGAGGAAGAGGATGAGTTGAAGTTTATGTGGAGGGTTTTGATCAATAGCAAGTAGACTTGATGTTTCTCTTTTTCTTTTTCTTGTTGCTCCCTTTGCTTACATTTTTTGAATCTAACGACTATTTTTTTAACGTCTTATTTCTCTTTCTCTTTCTCTCTTGTCGTTTTTGCTGTCTGTTCGATATGCATGTCAAAATGGGTTTTCTATGGTCAAACTGGATTATAGGCCCTTGTTTATATAGTATTAATAAAGATATGTAATGTATTGTGTACCTTGCACGGAAAAGGAACATAATAGAAATAAGAAGTTGAAGGTCTGAATGCTTCTAAAAATTCACTCCAAAACGCCTGAGCTATGTATTTATGTAGGTATGCAATAGCCGTATGCTTTCTACCATGAGACAGAACGAATGTAAGGGAAAATGCAAAAGAGTAAGCCAAAAAAAGATCAGGAATCCTGCTTCGTCGCGAACCCGTGGGCTTCTAGACCCGAGGCATCGGTGTCGGGCGTGGCGACGGAGGACTGCGACTCGGCGAATTTCTCCAACGCGTCGTCGAGTCGGCCGAATCCGCGAGGATTCCGACGGGGTTGATGCGCTTTCGATGGGTCGATTTGGTGGCCGCGGAGTCTGCAAATATGATTTGTTAGTAACCTGGCTTCCTAGCCTACCGGGTTGAGTTGGGTTGGGTTGTTTATTCGACAACCAGGGGATATAGATATCGAGTGGGAACGCACCTAGGCCCTTGGCCGGTCTGTTTGGGGAGCTCGGAGACGTAAAAGCGCTGGAATGTTTGGACTTCAGACTCGAAGGTTCCGCGTTGGATGCTTTCTCTGATATGTTGGAAAAACTGATCCATTGTGTGGTGGTTATGGATCTGTAGGAGGGTCCAGGCCAACATTTCCTTGGCGGTGAGCAGATGGTGGATATAGGCGCGATGGTGATTCCGGCAGGTATAGCACTGGCATCCTTCGACTAACGGCGATGTGTCAAAGGTGTGTGCAGACGACCACAGGTCGAAACCAAGCGGTCGGGCCTCGGAAGCTTTTCCTTCAGCCGGAGCTGGGAACGTAAACTCGAGCGCTACGCCGGCGTCTGAAGTCACGCCGATGAAAGGCACAGTGAGCAGATCTGCACCGAGGGATACCTGGCGCAGAACATCCTGGGGCGTAGCTGGCTCGCTGAGAAGCAGTCGCGGCAGGTCGCCTAGGGCATCGGACAAGACAGACAGCGACCCCGACTCGTACAATGCGAGGCCGGCGATGTGTGGTCGCAGATCGCTTTCGAGCTCATCCAGATAGATCGTCTGTTCGGTATTGTCCAGCGGTAGCACCGGCGCGAAGTAAGCGGCCCTGGAACGGTTGTCTTCCGGGGCCGCCTTTCCGTATAAATGATCGGTGGCATGCATCGTGAACGCATGAGTCCGGTCAACCATCTTCCCCCGCCTCTTGTACCCAGGCTCTTGTCCTACAACCAAGTCCGCCAGACCAACGACAATATCCGGACGCAGTTTCTGCACCGCCTCGACATACTGGTTGGCCTCTAGCTGTCGGAACCCAAACGCCGTCATGATAGCGACCGAGTTGTTCGTGTTCATCGGCGGGGTCGGGATCGGAGGCACGCGACGGGGTCCTAGGACTAATAGCTGATCTTCGGGGAAGCAAGTAAATTTGCGTAAGGCGGATTCGTGTGATTCGGTAGGAATCCGGTAGATTGGAGGGGATTTATTCTTCTGGTTTTGCTTCTCTATGACTGATCTGAGCCCCATGGGCATCAACAGTCAGCCATCTTGCTGCGATTCGCGATAAGTAACAGTGGGACCTACAATCTTCCAGCCCAAAGTAGAGACTGCCAATAGCAGTCTGTTTTTGCATCACATCATGCGCAATATGTGGCACCGCGCCTCGGGATGTCAGGGCGATGTAGTGCGGCGTGGAAATGGCCTTTCGGCCTGTGATGGCCAGATTGCCCAGCCGCGGGGTCAAAGTAGAGGATGTGGTGGGATTCAAAAGAGTGAAATTGAGCATCTCGTCCTGAGGGCGAGATAGGGTCTCGGGTTCCATGCCGGTAAGGAGAGTGGATGAGACAGATCCAGAAATAATCCAAGATGGTTGGAAGCAGAAAGGGAAAAGCCGATGCTGGTCGGAGAAAATGAAATCCAGCGGAATGGGTGCCTGAGAAATGGGTAAACCAAGCCGGTTCCGCTCTCCACCACCGACAACTCCGCATCCTTCTCCGTCGCACATTGTCCAAAAGCCGATCTCTGCGCAATTGTCATTCCGTGACTTTGATTGGTTGTTATTGTTCAATTAAATCATCTTCTACAGTCTTGTTTTTCATCATGGCAGAACAAGCTAAGCGCGGGGCTCTCATCGTTGTCGAAGGCTTAGATCGTGCTGGTAAATCGAGCCAGTGTGAAGCCTTGCGCGACTCCCTCCAGGAGTCGGGACAACCTGTGAAATATGTTCGATTTCCAGGTAGGTCTCTTATGTTTCGCAGGCGCTCACATATGCATCGATTCTTACTGACTCGCGCACCCTCAGACCGAACCACCACTATTGGCAAGATGATCGACGGCTATTTAAAGGGCCAGTCGCAGTTGGATGACCACTCAATCCACCTTCTTTTCTCCGCCAATCGCTGGGAGGCCGCTAAGGCTATCGAGGAGGACATTGCGAGCGGAACCACCGTGATAGTCGACCGTTACTCGTACTCCGGTGCTGTGTACTCCGCTGCAAAGGGGAACCCGAACCTGTCGCTTGAGTGGGCATGGCTACCAGAGATCGGTCTGCCTCGACCTGACATCTGCCTCTTCTTGCAAATCTCCCCGGAGCAAGCTGCTAAACGAGGCGGGTTTGGCGTAGAGCGCTATGAAAACGAACCCATGCAAAAACGAGTGCGCGAGCTGTTTGGAACCATCTTCGGCTTGCAGCCAAGCGGTGACATCCACGTTATTGATGCAGGAAGACAGTTTGAGGACGTGTCTAAGGACATCCAACAGGCCGTAACGGAGCGCATATCCCGCTTAAATCACATCGGACCTTTGAGGAAGCTGGAGAAATTTGTAGCTTAAACTACTCCCTCTTCCTGCCATGATTCTCTGAATCACCAAGTCTACCATTCAGAGATCTCGCCCCCATCGTCGTCGCTGTCTTGGATGACTATCTCGACCCTTGAGGGTGCCTGTTGGGATTTAGGTGAATCCTCGCGCTCGGAACCCGACTCGGGGTCTAGAAGCTCGCTCCAATTCTCATCCAAAGACACATCATCCTGGGCATCTTCGTCTGAGTCGTCGTTCGCCTCGTGGTCTGCGGGTTCAGTCGCTCCGGGCAAACCTTCACTGGCAGATTTCTGGTCTTTTTTGGATCTCGACTTGGCAACGGCGTTGGCTCTTTTCGTCTCTTTCTTTTTCTTTCGAAGTACCTTCAGCCATTGGTTTCCACCGCGTTTTCGCAGGCCCAACTCTTGCATCATCAATGACCAATGGACGGTTTTATGGCATGCAGGACATGAACCAGAAGTGGGAACCAGCCGGGCCGTGTCATTAGCAGAATCCAGAAACTGGTTTGATAGACACATTAGATGAGACGTGCAGTAGCATTCAGCCTCTGGGCAAACCACCACCATTTCAGCGTCTGGAACGACCGGCATCCGGCAAATATTGCACTGTAGGGTCTCTGAATCAACGAGTATAAACGCCGCCTTCTCCGCGTAATCCTGGATCGGAGTGTAATCGACCTTGATGCCCTGAATGCTCCCTACCCTGGAATCACTAACGCCATGCGGCCTGTATGCCTCAAGACAATGTCCATCCGCGATGACCGCCATATGATCTGGCAGAAAACCATCTACACGATCACACCAGGCCTGCCACGCCTTGTGGACATCGGCAGCAAAAAATCGAATCTTGAGAGGCCAGCCTGCGAAAAGAGTCGACCGCAGCAAAGTATGCAACGTACCCAGATGCGCGCTCAACGATACTTTCAGACGGTGGGAACGACATGGTTTCTTCCTTTTCGTGCCGGCGTTCCGATCGCTCCGGGACTGGGACGCAGTAGGTTTGGCCTTCTCGTCGTCCTCCGAGTCAACATGATGGCGAGAATTTCTCTGGTTCTGCCACGCCCACCTAGATTCGGTCAGTCTATTCGGTAGATGACCCGTACACGAGATCGTACTATCTCGTGAGATACGTGATAGATGACATACTCGAACTGCAACGCAGCAATGCGACTCGTGAATCCCTCGACGATCACAACCATCTCCCAAGGTCGCTTATCATTCGCGGTCTTGCGCGCGCCTCCCTTGGCGAGACCGTTATGCTGCGCGAGACGTCTAGCAGGATTAGGCGTCGACCCGATATACATCGACTTGGGCTTCACGGTCGAGCGAAGTAGATAGCAGCAGTAGAATGCCGGAATCGGTTTTGTATGGTTGCCTCGGGCGTCCGCCATGGTGGCGAGTGAAGTCAACAAAGTCTTGCTTGGGATGGGAAGGTGAACCGCTGGTGATTGATAAAATGGACACGCCAGAGGTATGTATATTGAATTCAACGAGTCCGGTTACGAAGTCGACAGCTGGAAGAGCAATCTGCGTTGTGTTGACGGTTTACTTGCATGTACAGTAGTTACTTCCGTCCCGCTGGGGGTCGGCTGCATTCCGCTTGGTGGCCTGAGGCATTCGTTGCTGGGCCGTGGGTCGACTCCACCGCCATGGATATAGACGACCAGAAATTGGGTCGGAGTACAGTAAAGTACTTAGTAAAAGTACATGCTCTTTGAATAGGCAATGGAAATGTATTGAGATGGCATATTACTACATGCACAAACTTACATAATTGTCCCGGTGATATATAACTATGATCAATCCTGAAAGATCATGGCATGACCCGTGCCTTTAGGTACAAGACCGGCGCAGGGTTGCGAGCAAATAGCGACAAAGAAGCAGAGACAACCTAAGGGGCCGGGAAAGACAATCTAGACTTTAGGTAAAAAAAAGAACAAAATCTCGTATTAATCGTCAGTAAGAAGTTACTGCAGGTAAGAAGATCACGGTGAAGATCATTTGATATGGGGAATGTTTGACATCCGACCGTAATAATACACGGTCGTGATTATCCCGGAGAACTACGGAGTAGATAACTTCTACTTCGTAGATACCCTAGAGCTAGATACCGAAGAAGACATGGCGATTTCGCGTTCTTCTTTTTTATTACCTTTTAGGCTGTATTGGGGCCTTGGTGCCTTACCCTGCAAACAGAGGGACCCCCAACGCGCCGCTAGGAAAACGCCAGGTCATTCCACCGACCTGGGACGTTTCCTGGTTCATGCTGCCCGCGGAACCCTAAGCAGGATTTTCCTTGAACGTCTGGTCGGATGCGGCCCATGGTTGACGTGTCACGTAGGAAGACTGGGAGTAGGCCACCTGCCGAGGTATGGATGGAAAAGAAAAGGCCAGCCCGCGGGAAAAGGTCGGCACTCCGGTGGGATGGAAAGTGGGCTGATGAGTGTAGTTAGTTGATTAATATTAATTGTTCTGATTGAGATTCGGCTAGACTGGCTAATTGACTTTGCATGCAAGAATAATAATAATAATAATGTAGTTGAAACTAAGTAGAGGAACCCTTTCAGTACGCGACCTTCCCCCATCCGGGTCGGTGTACGTACAGTATCGTATTGGACGGCGGGCTTGGCAGGTACTGTCGTTCCGGTAACGTAACAACCTTAGTCAGTGTGGTTGAACACTACGACTTCTTGTCGTCGAGTCATAAGTCACGATATAAGGGATGACCGAGAAACAGAAATGCACTTAATTTCTTCTAGCCAGTTACAGGTCAATTTATAAATTATTCTGTAATTATATACGTGATAATTAATCTGCTAGAAACCTGCAAGGTTACAATCGGCCCCGTTCTTGGCGGGATCTCGTTACATCACCGTTTGCGGCAGTATGATAATACCTGACGGTATCGTTCGACGTCCCAGGGTTTCGCTACCAGAGCCTGAGGCTGCCAGATGCAAATCATGGATCGAGTCGCTTTTCTCCCTCTTTTCCCTCTCCTTCTCTTCTCTTTCCCCCCTCTCCCCTTCCTGAATCCTTGGCTTGTCGTTGTCCATTTCCTCTCTTTTCTTTTCTTTTTTCTTTTTCTTTTTCTTTTTTTTTTCTTCCTCCCCCTCGCCTCCCTTGCCTTTAATCATCGTTTTTGCTAGTGTTCGCTCCACTTCGCCGCGACTTCAGCCCTTGGATGTCCGGAGTATATCCATTCTTATCCACTCCACTCCGGCTACCGTCACTCCCCACGGTAAGATCCTCTAGATAATCCTTATTCCCTCTGAACTATTGGCAATTCCCGCGATCAAGAACTTCTATATCCATGCTCCATACGCTGTCATATAATCATGCTGCTTGGTCCGCCGATCCACATCGCTTGGCTTACTTAACCCATCCAACTTTACCTTTTGCCCGTATCTACTACTAACGAAGCTCACTACCTCCCTCCCCATTCCTCCAATGGTGACCGCGTGCTAATTCACTAGTATTGTTACTTCGACCTAGTCCCCTGCTAATTCTGCCCCGAGTCCCCGACCTAACGACCACCTCGTCGGCCCTCTAGGCTGAGTCTGGCTGACTTACTTTCACTCTTCCGAGATTCTCCACACTAACCCTCCCGGGCTCATCTCGGTCTTCCCTTCAACATCCATCTGCTAATCCTCTCTCGTCCACTTCCTTCACCTCCTCTCCCCTCTCTCCCTGGCTCGCTCCCCGACCACCATACGTCAGTAGTGGGTGGGATTTCTTCTCTCTATCCTATCTTCATCTCAATCCTTTCCTGGCTTTTCCATCGTTCCATGTGTTTTTCGCATCGGATGATAGCCCCCTTCCGTCCGCGATAAAACAGGCGCAATTTTCCCCTTCGCTCTCAATCAGGCCGTTGCCTCTCAGAGATGGTGGCTCCGGCCTCAACGGGAGGCAACTCGACAGGCTTGCAGCCTTCGGCGAGCCGTCAACCTACCCGATCCTCCAGCACCCACCCATCGCATTCTCATAATGTACCTTTGAGCGCTCGGCGCTCCGATCCTCTGGATCTGTCCACAGTAGAGCGACGAGGACAGCCCAACGCCCCTCGAGAACCGAGCAAACGAGTCCGTCCTCATGGCCTGCAAGAGGCCCCGACCTTTCGTCCAACCGAAGAGGAGTTCAGGGATCCGGAAGCATACATTCGGAAGATCGCGCCCGAAGGCAAGAAATATGGAATTTGCAGGATTATTCCACCTGAAGGATGGCAGCCCACCTTTGCTATTGACACGGAGGTATGTATGAGATTCCTTCGCGTCTTTTTTTTTTCTATGCATTTTTTTGGATGTGGTTTCCCATCCTTTTCTTCTCCAACCCTCGGCACGAGTGCCGCGCCTCCCCTAGATGGTCAATGCGCGTTTTCTCGCGATGAAATAATAGCTAACGACGTAATTTCCTAGCGCTTTCACTTCAAAACTCGTCGACAGGAGCTTAACTCGGTTGAAGGAGGTATGCCCCCGCGTTCAGCCACGTCTGCTGCCGGTGGAACTCCGCAGCCCAGTTCTGACCCGAACCCAGGTACTCGTGCGAACCTGAACTACCTCGACCAGTTGGCCAAGTACCATAAACAAAATGGTACCAATCTCAATCGCTTCCCAAGTGTCGATAAGCGACCCCTGGACCTGTACAAGTTGAAAAAGGCGGTCGAAGTCCGGGGTGGTTTCGATCAGGTCTGCAAAATGAAAAAATGGGCGGAGATTGGTCGCGATCTGGGCTATAGCGGCAAAATCATGTCTTCTCTTTCGACATCGCTCAAAAATTCTTATCAGAGATGGCTGCAGCCGTACGAGGAATATCTACGGGTGGCTAAGCCTGGAGTGCAGCAGCAACTGGAACTGGAACATGGCGGGCCTTACACGCCGTCGCCCAACCATTCTCCTATGACCAAGAAGCCGATCCCGCCGGAAAATCGGACTCCTTCAGCGACTCCTCAAAGCGCACTCGCCATGGCGGCTGCCGCTCCTCAGAGCACCCCGAAAGAATATGAGGCAACTCCTGATAAACTCCCGCCAGCGGTTGAGCCCACTCCACCCCGGCCTATCGCCTCCGGCTTTACTCCCGTCAATGCCAGCTCCGGCTTCACGGCCGTCAATCAATCTCCTTCCTTTGTCGCCGTGAGCAGTGCTCCTCAGGTCAAGCGGGAAACCGAGAATGGCTCACTTACTCCGAAAAGCGTCGCAGAACACCCTGCCACGTCAACGCCGGTCTCTAATGGCCACGGAAGCCATCCGATGAAACGCGCGATCAGCCATGAAAGCGGATCGCAAACTGACAACGGCGATGACCCCAACGGTCGGCGAAGTAAGCGCCTTCGAAAGGGTATGTTTCAAAAATGATTAAACAAAAGAGGAACTGTCGTTTCTGATGCTTTCTTCACAGATGCTCCACCAACTGTCGCTGGCTCGCACATGAGTCTTCTTCGTCCCACTCCACCTCGGCCTCGCAAGAACGACAGTCGCAAAACCGGTGAAGTAAGTCTCGCATTCGGCACCCATTCACTATGATTTGAATACTAAATGAATTTTTTAGAAGTGCGAGAACTGTGGGAAGTCTGAAGATCAATCTTCTATCCTTGTGTGTGATAGCTGCGATCACGGGTACCATAAACAATGCCTCGACCCTCCCTTGACAACGGTTCCGGAATATGATTGGCACTGCCCCAAGTGTCTTGTAGGCACCGGGGAATTCGGCTTCGAGGAAGGAGGGGTTTATTCCCTGAAACAATTCCAAGAGAAGGCATACAACTTCAAGAAAAATTACTTTGCCTCTAAGATGCCTTTTGATCCCGTTCTTAACACCCATCGGCGTGAATCCGAGGATGACGTGGAACGAGAGTTTTGGCGGTTAGTGGAAAGCCTGACGGAGACGGTGGAGGTTGAATACGGCGCCGACATCCACTCAACTACGCATGGAAGTGGGTTTCCTACGATTGAGCGCAATCCGCTCGACCGATATTCAGTTGACCCTTGGAACCTAAATGTTCTCCCATTCCATGGGGATTCTCTTTTCCGCCATATCAAGTCTGACATTTCCGGCATGACGGTTCCCTGGGTATATGTCGGCATGTGCTTCTCAACCTTCTGCTGGCACAACGAGGATCATTACGCCTATTCCGCCAATTACCAGCACTTCGGTGCCACCAAGACATGGTACGGGATCCCCGGGGCGGATGCCGAAGCATTCGAAGAGGCAATGCGACAGGCTGTTCCGGAGCTCTTCGAGGGCCAGCCTGACTTGCTTTTCCAGCTTGTCACTCTGATGCCACCAGATCAACTCCGCAAGGCCGGCGTCAATGTCTATGCACTTGATCAAAGAGCCGGACAATTTGTCATCACTTTCCCGCAGGCGTATCATGCTGGGTTCAACCACGGCTTCAACTTTAACGAAGCTGTCAACTTTGCGCCGGCAGACTGGGAGCCGTGGGGTGCAGCGGGCGTCGAGCGCTTACAAGCCTTCCGGCGTCATCCATGCTTTTCCCATGACGAATTGCTGTTAACAGCAGCGGATCGTGATCCATCAATCAAAACCGCCAAGTGGTTGGCTCCTGCACTCCAGAGGACCTGTGAGCGAGAACTGGCTGATCGAGCCTTGTTTGCAGCTCAACATCGAGAGGTCGCGCCTCATAATTGCACTCTCGGGTCCCGGGAGTCTCCGGTTGCTGGTGGCTGCCAACTCAAGCTCTTAGTCGAAGAGGAAGACCTTCCCGAGGAGGATTACCAATGCCAATTCTGCAAAGCTCTTAGCTACCTGACGCAATTCCGCTGCCATAGGACCGGGAAAACTGTGTGCCTGGTACACGTGGAAACTTACGATTGCTGTGGAGAACCGCTTACTCAAAGGTTACTTGGACCGGACCACACATTGCGTTACCGGATTAGCGACGACGACTTAAAAGCCTTGGTACACAAGGTTCAGGAACGTGCCAGGATCCCGGAAGCATGGGGTGAGAAGCGTGACAAGACTCTGGAAGAAGATCCTAGGCCCCAGTTGAAGGTCCTTCATAGCCTACTAAATGAAGGTGAGAAAATCCCATACCATTTGCCTGGTCTCCAAGATCTTGCGGCGTTCGTTCAGCGTTGCGATAAATGGGTTGAAGAAGCAACCAACTACATCACCCGGAAGCAGCAGAACCGGAGGAAGAACGAGAAGGCTTGGCGCAGGAGTACTTCCAAGGCCGCGCAGCTGGAAGAACGTGATCGTGAAGTTCGCAGAGTAGAAACCATCTACGCCCTTCTTGCAGAGGCTGATAAACTGTCGTTCGACTGTCCACAGATGGCGGCTCTGGAAGAGAAGACCCGCGAGATCGAGAAATTCCGCCAGGACGTTAACGGTGCCCTCATGAACCCCCACATCCGATCGGTCCAGGAAGTGGAAGAACTAGTGGAGTCATCCCGCAATTTCAACGTGGAGATACCCGAGGTAGAAGGACTGGAACACATACTCCGGCAGATGAAGTGGAATGACGAAGCCCGTCGGCGGCGGGAACAGTATTTGACCCTCAAGGACTGCCAGGAACTCATCCAAGCCGGCGAACAACTGGGACTCTCGGAAACCAATGACCACCTCCTCTACCTCAAGGATCTGTTCCGCCATGGGGAGGCCTGGGAAGCCAAGGCCAAGGAACTGATGTCCGTTGAGGCGGTCCATTATCAACAGCTCGAAGCGCTGTCCGCCCAGGCGTCCCGCTTTCCCGTCTCGCCCGAGACTCTCGCAGCCGTGGATGCCATATTGACAAAACAGCGTGAGGCACAGAAAAAGATACAATCCCTGTATGAAAGGAGTAGGGATCCTGACCTACGAAATCGTCCCAAGTATAAAGAGGTCCGCGAGCTTATGGAGTCCCTGGAGGAACTAAACAGCCGGCCCACCGGTGCCCTTGACCTGGAGAGAGAGCAGAAACGCCATGAGGACTGGATGAGGAAAGGCAAGAAATTATTCGGAAAGGCCAACGCTCCGCTCCACATTCTGAAATCCCACATGGAGTACGTTGAAAAGAGAAACTCTTACTGTTTTGATCTGGAAGATCGATGTCGGCCTCCGGTCGAACCGGCCTCTCGGGATAACAGCCCGGACGGTTTGCTGGAGAATAATACTGCCCCCAGTATGTGGGGAGGAGGCAAGTCACGCAAGCGAGACGTGTTCTGCATTTGCAGGCATTCGGAGGCGGGTATGATGATCGAGTGTGAAGTCTGCCACGAATGGTAAGTTAGCTTGCTTGTGTTCCATGCGAATGATATATTGAGATGGACGTGCTAATCTCAACCGTCTTTAGGTACCACGGCAAATGCTTGAAGATCGCGAGAGGAAAAGTCAAGGAGTTTGACAAATACACCTGTCCTATCTGCGACTGGCGCCAAAAGATTCCCCGTGATGCCGCGCGCCCCAAACTTGAGGATCTTCAGGAATGGCAGGCCGAAATTGCCGGTCTGCCCTTCCAGCCTGATGAAGAAGAGATCCTCGACAGTATTCTCAATCAAGCGACCACCTTCCGTGACTTTCTCCAGAGCTTCACCAACGCTGCCTGCACCACTACTGAAGAAGTTCCGACCCTGATATTCTACTTGCGAAAGATCGAAGGCGCAGAGGTTTTATTGGCATACGAGACCAATTTTTTCCGACAAGAAATTCATAAGTGGGCACCTGTGGCTCCGGAAGCCCCGCCGATTCTCGAGCAGTCTCTTTCTACTCGCAAGCCGCGCCCAACGAAGCAACAAAAGATCATGGCACAGTTGGGCGTCGAGCGCCCGGAAGACCTTCCTCCTCACCTGCGCTCGAAACAGCCAAATCTCACCAAGCGCAGATCCATTGACTCTCCAACCAGCCGGCCTCCACTCCTGCCCGCACCTAACACTCCTACCGACAGCCCGCATTCGGATGCCTATCGCTCGGGACCTACTTTGGCCGCGATGTCGGACTCCCAAAACCCCCCTTACCCATTCTCTGCCAATTATTCTCTACCTGGGAGTGACACCACACCGGCCTTCGCGCCAGATTCCTCTGCATTCCTACCTCACGCTGCGGCCCGTTCTCCTTCGTTCCCTGCTCGCTCTCCCTCCCCGCATCACCGGGGGCTGGATACGTCGCTCTTCAGTTCTCCCCAGTACACTCGGGACCAAAATGACACGGCCCCGGGTGTGGACGTCGATAATCAAGATCCGTTTGATAGCAGTCCGCGACAGAATCTAGACGACGTGTTTGCAGACCTAACAAACCAAGACGTGGAACCGGAACCGGAACCTCAGCAAGAACCGGAACCTGAGCTAGAACCTATGGAGAACACTCACGCTAACGAGGCGCTCGAGGCTCTCGATGCGAGCAATGAGGATCATTCTGATCCCACGGAGGATGAAGCTTCACCAGACAGCAAACCCAATGGCGTGAAGGCTGAATTGGATGTCGCATCTAACGCGGACTTGACTTAACTTTCTTCTGCCTGTTATGAAAGGGGACCTCAACTCGGATATCATTATTTTCTTTCTACTTCTTTGTGACCAAAATTAGCGGGGCTCTCATGAGAGGATTTGATTTTTTTTCTTTTTTTCTTTTGTTTTCTGTTTCAGACGAGCCATCGACGTCGAATCCACCCTATCCTCGACGGGCATTTGTGGCGTTTACGAGTCACCCGGTGGTCTCTTTCCTACTTTGCAATGTATGAGTCTTGACGGTGTTTATGCTCTTGATATGGTCTTATTGTTGATTATCACCTTCTGTCTGTGCTTTGTTTTAGTGCTTTTTCATGAGCTCGGTGTATCCAAGGGGTTGGAGAAAACGGGGTGTCTCCGCATATCCGGGGTGTGCTTTTTTGCTGCGTTCTTTTTGCATGATTTTTCATTGCCTTGTGTTCTCATTCTTAGTCTATGGGAATGAGCTGGTCGGCACGATCGGCCTTTGTCACTGCTCGAACCGAGTCCAGCGGAACTAGCACTGTTCATGTGGTCGTGTCTGAAGTCTCTTCTCCTACTTGTTTTTGACTCTATGTTGAGTGTAATACTACGCGAACCACGTTTCTGTATCCTAATGAATGAAATAGACTCTGTTCTAACAAAAGCCTACTGTGCTATTAACTTGTTGAAGCTCGATGAAGCAATTGATATAGTCGAGGTCCACATATCTCACACAAGCAGATCTTCAATTCTCAAAAGAACCTTCATGATGTCAATGGCCATTTTCCAAGATAGATCAATCAGCTGATGCATGAGAGGGGATGGAGGAGGGGAGTCATACCTTCTCAATAAACCTAACCCCTACCACAATCCCATCCTGATCGACCCTGTCCACTTCACCACCAAACACATTATCCTCTCCATCATCCAGACAGCAGAGACACGCCACAGTGACTTCCGTATACCGCAGCCCCACTAACGACGGGAGTCTATCTTGAGCAAGTTCCACAAGCCGATCCTTGACGACGAACGCGCCACGACGCAAATCCTTATCCGCCAGCGCAGACGCGATATCCAGCTCTGGCCAGGGAAGGCGAACGCTGGTATCGCCGTCGCCGTCCTCCCCGCGGTCACTCTGAACAAATGACGTCCATAACGCAAGTTCGAGCAGACACACGCCAAGGCTGTAGATGTCATGTTGCATGACGAACAGCTCTTCGGGCCACTGGCCCTGACGCACGGGATGTCGATACAGATTGCGTTCCCACTCGAGGTCGCCGGCGTAGTCGGTGGGTGATGCGGCACGACGGGACCTCTCGAACCCGATGAGGTATGAGTGTCGGTATTCCGATGCGTCCTGGGCGTCGGCGAACACGAGGACCGTCTCGGGGCGGATCCCCTTGTGTACGAACCCGATGGTATGGACGAACATGACGGAGCGAGCGAGTTGCCTGGCGAGCTGGAATCGGAGGTTTAGGGAGCATCGGGGCTGGTGTTGAAGGAGACTTCGCAAGGTCATTGGCGCGACGAGACCTCGCGGGACTTCTAGGATGAATTGATATTGCTTCTGTGTGTCGTCTGATATGTCGATGACGCCGCTGCAACGGAGGAGACTGAATGTTTTGTGGTTAACGTTGCGGAGGAGCCTTGCTAGATCGCGAACTTGAAGCCTGGGCCCTGCAGCGGTGGCAGATAGGTAATTTGTCTGATCGAGGATGACGGGTCGGCCGTCGTCGGTATAGGACGCCGTGAAGGTGTTGATGTCGACGATTCTGGTTTTGATCGAGCTGATCGTATCCGGAGACTTGAATACCGAGGATGATCCCGGGCTCTCAGACGATGACTCTCTGATCGCTTGTCTCATGCGCGCAAGTCTCGTCGAGGAGGGATTGTCTTGCGACAGGCCGGTCGTCAATTGGCGATCGATGACTGAATCCGAGATCCTACTGATGAGATACCAGGATGGATCAAATCTGGCCTGCCACTCTTCAATGTCAGAAACCGTCTTCTTGACATGTTTCTTCAAGTACACGGCTTTGAGCTTATCTGGGGTCGACGATCCCGCTCGACTGTATTCCTTGAGCTGCTTCAGATCGCCCAAGGAACCCAGAAGTCTCTGCTTCAGTCGCGATACTGCGTCGGCGAAATGGTCCTGGAGCTTGGGATCTAGAGTTGTCCACATGGATTTGAGCGAGTCGAGCTGTGCCTGGGATTTCAGCAGTGCACCCAGGATCGTTACGCACATCTCCTCGACATCGGTTTCCAGGTGCTTGATAGCCTTGTATGTGGCCTTAAGTTGAGTTCCATATCTATCACATACAATCAACCAAGTAAGCCAGATTTGATCAGATTGATGTAGGTCCGTTAAATTACTTGATGCAGATGTCCAGCGTTCCGACCACGGTGAGCACCAGTCCGGCGACCTCCATCCTGGGTTACTGCGAGAATCGTCCACCTGAGGCACGAAAGAGGACAAAAGCAAATATAAATACCCCAACCCTTGGCTGCATGGCGCTTACTTACGGGCAAACATTCATCCGACCGACCAGGCTGAGCAGTGAGCAGACGTGTAACGTGGTACCCAAAGCTGCAGATTAAGTTCCTTGCAGCTGAGAGAGGAAAAAGTTCAGGTCGATATGGATGAAGATCCCACCCACTCTCAGCTGGACGTGACGGTGTTGGGGGATGTTAGTCGAGAGGTCACCTACACGTCTGGCAGTGGCAACGACAATCGAAAGCGAAATGTGACTATGTGGACGAAGAAACGGTCCCTCGCGGTGCCTGTCCATGTCGAAGAGACTCTTACCGGACTGGTCAGAGTGATCAAGAAGGTCAAGCCTCATAGCCCGCAAGTGAAAGACTGGCGACCTGAGATTCAGCTCATGGGGAGGGTATCTGATGTAAGTAACAGTTCCGGTAGTATGCATTCGATTCGCATGATTCCTTCTCCTCTGGTGCTTTCTCTATTACTCACTTCCACCAGGAGACTTCGCTATTTATCCAGCTATACGGCTGGTTCTGGTCCGGAGACTTCGTGTGCATCGCCATGGAATATTGCCCCCTCGGGGATCTCGCCGCTTGTTTCAGCGAGCCCTTGTCCGAGGTGGTGACGTGGGGAATGTGCAGCCAGCTACTTCAAGGCCTCGCAAGATTGCATGAAATGGCCATTACCCACAGAGATATAAAGCCGCAGGTATGTCCGGGAATAGCCGTCCATTGATCCTGGGTCATTCGACATGCGCTGTACCAACACGGCGTTCCACAGAACATCCTAGTAGTCACGAAAGACCCTCTTTGGGTCAAGATCGCGGATTTCGGGATCAGCAAGCAGGCACTGGATGGCGAGACAGATCTCCGTACTCCTCGCGCAGGGACCGAAGGCTTCATGGCCCCTGAGATCCTAGGGCTCACCAGCAATGCGAGGAAGGAGTCCAAGTATACCAGTGCGGTAGATATATGGTCTCTCGGATGTCTGCTCCACTATGCACTAACGAAGGAGTCACCCTTCCCGAAATACCAAACACTCGCCGATCACTGTAGGGATTTGGTGCCCTACCCAGAGGCTGCGCTGACACGAAGGGGCATCAGCCTCTCGGGCCGGCTGTTCATCAAGAAGCTCCTGGTCCTCGAGCCTACGGACCGACCTGCGGCATCTGTCGACCTGATGTCTAAGTGGACTGTCACTGAGACGGCGCATAGACTAGACTTGGACTGAGCAGAATCCGTCCGCAGCGTTGAAGACATGGGTGGAATATCAACGGATGGCTGGTCAAACGACGTCGCTGCCGCGCACACTCTCTTCTCTGGCAATGAACCTTCAACAGACGAACCTATTACCGCCAATATAAACCCCGAAGACGACGTAATGGTATCAATGGCCATACACCCCACACCTATTAGAGCCTACGCTAACCCCAAACCAGGACTACCACACCTCCGAACTGTGGCACATCCTCCAAGACACCGGTCACGGCCCCGAGCGAATCCGCCCCCTTCTCGAACAAGGCGCGAATCCCAATAAACTCCACAAGGGGTACACGGCCCTACACCTCGCCACAACTTCCGGCTCTATCTCCAGAATGCAAGTCCTACTTGAGTACGGCGCACAGGGGTCAGTCCGCACCCAACCCCACGGAGAGACGGCGCTACACCTCGCAACGTTCAGCTTCGATCTCGACAAGATGAAACTACTTACCTCGACTACGGACATCAACGCCCAAAACGCCGGCGGCGATACCGCATTACATCTGGTCATCACGAGGGGCCATTCGCTAGAGGCCCTAAAGAGCCTCCTTGGTCATCGTGCATCGGCAAATATTCGCGGTCGGTTGGGCCGCACGCCGCTTGTCTACGCTCTGTATTTGTGCCAGCAACGCGTGGCCGAGGTGTTGCTCGAGGCCGGCGCTGATCCGAATATTGCGGATAGTCAAGGGCGGGCTGCTCTTCACTATACTGCTGCTTCGGATAGATTCAGCTGTGGGTTCATCCGCGACCTGATAAAGGGCGGCGCGGATGTGAACCAGGTGGACAATAATCTGAAAACACCACTGCATGAGGCAGTCAAGACAGGAAAGGGAGATGTCATTCGTGCGCTGGTGGATGCTGGCGCGGATACAAAGTTGGGTGATCCCAGCTTCGAAAGACGTCTTCAGCGGGCGTTGTTTTGGGGAGGTATATCTGAGAAACTACCGTGGCCGCTTGGGAACATAGCCTAAGATAATTATTAAGTATAGGATAAACGGAAGACTAAGTACTCTGAGTAAGTAATCTTAGTAAATTATATCTTAACTAGCAGTCTCTTTCTTGCCCGTTATTCCACTCCTATGGGGAATCCATCGCCTTGATGTACCGAACAAGGTTGTCGAAAGTCTTTCTGACAGATGACGATATCCCTGCGTCCTGAATGCGTTTTTCTGCTATTCAGAGTCGTCTCGATTTGGTTACAGTTACTATCCACTGTCAAAGAATCAGCATTATTATCTCGATGAGTAGCACCAATCGACAGTCGACTAGGATGCTCACCCATAGAGCGGAGGTGAGCAGCGGGCAAGTCGCAGGCATCGTTGTTGCCCGATGGTTCTGCCTGGTGTGGCCTCCCTCAACTGAGGGTGCCCGTAACAGCCGCGAGCAACCTAGTGAAACGAAATGAACCTACGAGGTATCGGAAACCTCATAGTGACGAAGCAGGTGCGGTGGTCTCTCGTAAAGCGTAGATCCATATTTCATGAGAATAAGCGGTATTGGCAAGGCAAGGCAGGCGATCCCTCCAAGCAGACTCATCGCCGGGCCAACCCCCAGGGTGTGAATCATCGGCCGTGCGGCTAATGGAAGGGCTGCAGCCATCAAAGATCTCAGGATCGTATTTGCTGACAATGCGCTAGCCGCAAAGGGACCGTATAGATCAATAAGGAGGTTGACACACTGTTGAAAAATCATGTTGAAACCCATTCCGACGAAACCTGCACAAGTTGATTTTAGCCAATAGTTTATTTTTTGGTTGTCCGGATCTTAGGGAATTTGTACTTCCAGCTATTGTAGGCAGGACCCATGAATAGGCCGGATCAGCAGTCCATGCAAACCAGAACAGGCCAACCGGCAGCAGGGCAGCGCCAATCAGCATTGGGGGAAGTCGTGAACCTGGAAGGTCACTGCTATTCATGGTGGTGACTGAAGCCAAAGATATCAAGTTGATAGCCATGGCAAGAATGACGCCCACTAAAACTCCAAGAAGCGGTAAACAAGAGATAATTGGAGTGTATCTGCGCTGTTCCTTGAAGACAATCGGGTAAACCTGCAGACCTAGGTAGATCAAACTATACGTAAAGGATGCGTATAGTGCGATGCAACCCAGGATTGGATCCTGGACGAGCAGACTTCCCACCAAGGTATTAGCATTGAGGTGCAAGATGAAATCATGAGTTACATACCGCAGCGGTCGTATCAAATATTTTTGAGTGACGATTTTCATCGTGCATTCTCTCTCTTGCGGATGCCAAAATCTCTGATCACCACTCAACTTCCGCATCCTTTGGGCCTTTTTTCTTAATACAACCGGTGGGTACGTCTCTGGTAACGTTAAGATAGCGCAGGCAAAGACAACAAACGCACATATTGCTTCCACATACAGAGTCCCTAAGGCACGTTAGCTTTCGCACTTCAAATGCCGAGAAAACCTACAACGCCAGCCAAGGTTTGGATTATTGACTAGTGCTGACCCAATCAGCGGTCCTAGTGTTGATCCACCTGAGATGACCACTGCCACGCAATTGACAGCGGCGCCTCGAGCCTTCACTGAGTACAAATCGTTGAGCGCAGCGCTAGCATTGCTGACTGGGGCTGAACCAAAGACGCCTCCTATAAATCTGGTGATGAAAAAGCTGGTTAAGTTCTTGCTTGTGGCGCTTCCTATACTAAAGACACCCAGAAACAATACAGCAGGCAGCATGCCCCATTTTCGACCATATACCTCACTTATAGGTCCCCATAACGTCGGGCCAACGACCCAGCCTATGAAAATTAGTCATTGGTAAACAATAACTACCGTGTGTACGGAGTACGCGTCATAAATGTGCGCTGAACGAACCAAAGATATACATCGACGTCGCCAGAACAGCAACCTCAGCGCTCGTATGCATTTCTTTCGCCATTTGCGCCTGGCCTGGGACCATGATCGAGGATCCCAGCGCACCAGCAAAAGTAAGTGCACTCAGTTGCACCGTTATGCATATCTTGTACCAGGTAGGAAAATTCCTTGGGTCCTCCCTGTCACCCGAATCGAAATCGACGCGAAAAGCAGGATCGAACGGGGCTGCCAGCGTACTTGGGTCGATTTTTGTGGAAGGCTGCACGCTCATGACAGGCCTGGGTGAGCTTGTTTGGCGAGCAACTGTCTCATGACTAGTCAGGCAAGGTTCCATGTCACAAATGTAGCCGCTCCGTGATGAAGTCGCATATAAATTAGCATTGACACTCTGCTATATAAGAATTTTTTTCTTTTCTTGCGCGTCAAGGGGTCCCGCTTTCCGCCATTTCTACATTCCCGACCAGTTGCAAGTGGCTCATGCTTGGTCCATGGCTGTTACTGTCCAACGGTCCTCAAACACCCCTTGCATCGGCAAACGAAGGTGTAGCCCAAAGGGTCCCAGGATCGTTGTGACTGAGAGACACGTTGTTGTTAGTCTTGGCTTCCTAGCTTGGGGTGCTCAGGGTTACCGATAGAGTTGAAGCCAATGCATGCAAGACGAGGAGTGTACGTACCCTTTTAGCGACCCCTTGCATATATTATCTGTCCAAATGTATTTGCCAGAGCTTTCAGAGCAGATCTGACATGTACCACAGTTACTCGCAATTAAGGAATGTGTTCGTTACGTCGTCCATGTCAAATTGGCGACCCTTAGAACTGGGATACGGTCCCTGAAGGGCTAACTATGGATAGTTTATTGAGAAAGAGAAGAAACAAGGGCCCTGGCGGGGCAATGCCTAAGGAAGGTCGGGTGGACCCCCGATATCACATCAATATTTGCATCCGGCAATTTGTTATGTTTGAGAGGCAGTGTATGGTTTCATGTTGTACCACCACCCTCTTCGATGATCCAACCAAGACCATAAGCGGTCAGTGTGAAGTGAGGGAGTGAAGGGGTATCATATTATCTTGGCTCCTCCTAGGAGATGGGCGTTAGGGGGATATTGCGTGTGGCTTAATTGGTCCGGGTTGGTGCCCTAAATTTCCGCAAAATTACTTCACATGACCTTAGACAAGGAGTTTAAAGGAAGCCCAGCATGGTGACTTGCTTTCTATCAAAGGTGGGTTCCGAAGGGGATAACGTCTATCCGGATCAAGAATGGACTCTCTGTATTCAGAGATAGAAGCCGTGGGCTGCAAGTTTAATCGGGGTGATCAAGAGGTTTGTTGTTTATTTGCGTCTCAAGATTTCTTATTTCTTATCAGATCCGTCCTAACGTGCACGACTAGATATGGCGAAAGCTGTACGAGCCATTCGTTGAACCACCACCAGCAGGCGTTGAAGTACTCCGAGACGAAAGTTACGGCCCTGACGAAAGACATAAGATGGACATCTATGTCCCTGGAATAGCACGCCGGGGAAAACCGGTCCTCATCTTTTTTCATGGAGGGGCTTTCATAGCGGGTGATAAGTCGTGGAGCGAGAAGGTGTTAAGCATATGTTCATTCCTATGCGCATGTTTCTGTGATAGAGACGGGATACTAACCCTGTAGTTCTATTCCAATATCGGGTTTTTCTTTAGTAGCCATGGTATCATCACCGTGGTGGCAAACCATCGTCTCGTACCACATGTTCAGTATCCAGGCGGGGCAGACGACGTCCATCTAGTTCGGGAGTGGACATATGGCAATATAGGACTTGAAAGGTATGGTCATGGAAGTCCAGATAAGGTAGTACTTGTGGGACATTCTTCTGGTGGTGCGCATATTGCGATGGATATCTATGCAGCAGGTAAGTCTCACGACGTGTTGCTGCCGGCGAAAACATCTATATATGCTCAGTAACTGCTTGCTATTCCTAGGTGATCCTTCCAGACGGTCGAGCTTCAGCCTCTTCCCACCCGTTGCTGGAGTAATGTATTTAAGCGTGCCCTTTCATTTCGACCGCACAAAGCCAACCAGACGGAAAACTCTCCAGAATTACTTTGGGTCTGATGTGGAGGAAGTATGGGAGGTAAGCACACCACTAAGTCTACGGCTCATATGCTTGATCTAACCGTGAGAAGCCTCGTAGCCCTCTGGGGCTTTTCCGCCGACTCCCTGAGAATTCCCCCCTGTTGTAAGGCCCGTGATATCCTCTCATAGGCCTTCTTGGCTAATTGCTGCTAAATGCAGCGACCCAAGATACTTACCTGTTTATGTCGGGGTAGTAAAGTGGGATATGTATTAACAAAAAGCTGCACTATTATATGACTCTTCTAACAACGCAAAGGAAAGAAACTGCCGATGCGGCAATCGCTTTTATCAACGCCTACCGCGAGAAGAGCAAGCCGAAGAACACACTACCGTTGTTCAGCGTTCTGGACAGACATAATCACATCAGGTTTGTGACATATTCTTTTCCTCCCGGACCAGTTTTTTCGTGCTAATATCTTCAGTAACATTCTCTCAATCGGCACCGAAGACATGTCACAGAGTAGCAGGATCTTGGATTTCATTCACACCTGTACTGGGATAGTTGAAGAAAAGGCGCGTCAAAGTGGGTCAAAGATTTAGCTACCCCTAATGGTACATAGAGGGTAAGGGAGAGTTCCAAAGCACTTCATGTTTAAGAGCGCCACCTGTGGACAAAATCCGAGTACCTACCATCCGTTTTGTACATGTTTGGAGCCTTTCATTTGGCAACAGTCTGACACTTTCCCTTTTGTTTTGGCGCTAGAAAGTCTTCGCTTTTTTGGCTTCCGACAGGGCTCACTAGGACGTGTGGCAGAACTGAGACGGTAATAGATAACTAGTTACTTGGTCAAATTTAGGTCTCACGTCCAACGTGCCCAACACTCTCCGCCGAAGCCAAAAAGTTGAGCGTGGCGATAAAAGCCTTCAACAGTAGCGACGGAAGGCAAAAATATACATACGAGCAACTGAGTGAGAAAAATTTGGCACCTGTGGGGTAGGACTAATATCTATAGTTAGACCACATAGACGAGCACTCCCACGCTATAGTGATTATTATGATCTAGAATATAAATAATTATAATATTCTAATCATGTTTCTAATTAACTTTTATATAGAAATGCAATTATTTCGTTGATAAAGCCTCTGAGCGCCCTTAGTAAAGCGGCGATGTCTATAACAGGAAATTTACTATAATGTAGAAAAACAGGTACGTATAGTGACATATAAAATAAAGTAAACATTCATCTATCATTCTAACCGCAGTAAATCTCTATAGATCTGATGTTCATCGCCGTCTCAAGCCTCACCCAGAGCTATCTCGTCGAAACAAGGATGATACTCGTCGAGCGGGACAAGCTCCACGTCCCTTCGCAAGCAGTAGCGATTAAATAGATAAGGAAGCTCGACACGGACGCGATAAGAAGCAACCTTGTCCAAAGGCATCGCGACCTTGGTTTGGATCTCTTCCAGGCTGAATGCCGATATATCGATTGTGAACATAGTGACGAGGATCAAAGCAGCCACGTCCAGAACACTTGCGAGTAAAAGGAACGGATTGTCAGCCCTATCTGTAAAACGGGGATCAAGTGGAATAGGGAACAACGCCCAACATTTACATACCCGAATAGGCGATTGGAAATAGAGTAGACATGTGCTTTAGCAAGCAATTCTACGAGCAGGATACTGCCGTAGAAGAATAACGACATCACCGAGACTCCGAACTCTAGGAGGCCATGTCAGTCAGGGGCAAACGATCAACTTTTGATCAATCGGGTCTTGCTCGTGTAGCCACTTACCGCGATGTTCAGGGGAGAAGCTTCCCACCGACATAGTAACCAGCGCTGTCTTCCACATGACCTGCGGAACAAGACCGGCAGGTTCAGAGCCTAATACATCCCACATGTTCCGCAGGTTCAGCACCCATATCGTGACCAGATCTAGCAGGATGGTCCCAACGAAGACGCTTCGGAGGCCGAATTTCTTCATTGCACGCATGACGAAGAAGATGAAGATTAGAGCGAAGGGGAAGGAGAACAGTCTCTGATCTAGAGTCATTTGGACCAACATCCCGACCTGAGAGTCGTATTGGAATCGCATCAAGACAAACGCCAGCAAAAACACAAAGAGGCGTAATAGCGCTCGGCATGTCTGGATGCTGCATAAGGGCCTCCAAGACGAGATTCTTTGGCGCACACCCTGGCCGTTTATCTCGAGGTGATGATGAATCCGGAACAGATCCCGAGCAGCAGCAAGGTCACTGGGTCGAAGTGAGCGTAGCGATCTGTATGCATGACGCATTTGGCCTCTGGAGATGAGCGGGTACGGCGACTCCCAAGACGTCATCATTGTGGCCAGAAATAGAAGAGGTGATACTAAGGTCAAAGGAGTCGTGCTTTCCAGGCGGCTTCCCAGGGTGCTGATCATTGATACAATTCTGATGGTTTCGTTAGGGATCATGTTGCTTTGAAGCTAGATCTGGGATGCTTCTCGTGGAAGGACTTACGCAATCCACGCCGATATCAGATAATTTCGTAGCCAGGGTTCGCTTATCTCGGCCAAATAGATAGGTGCTGTACACGTCTGGACTGCCCCTAAACCAATAAACGATGATTTATAGACAAATACCTGCATTCTACTATAATATCCAAGACAGAGGGCTTCAACTAGGGGCCGGATGAGGCCGATAACCCCAAAAGCGAGCATGATTTTGTGCGAGGTCAAAAATCGGCTTAGCAGGGCGGTAAATATACAGCCGGCCAGATATGGCATCCTATTCGGTTGTTATGATAGATTCGGCCTCTGCACATGGAACACTTACACGTAGATCCATTGTATGGAGTCAGGGTCGTATTCATCAATAAGATATCCTGGTGCCATCATTCCACTGTATGTCCCGGATGGACCGTCAGCGGTTGATTCAATTGTCATTAGGGTTGGGGTATATATTCAGGCGTACCAAGCCCCAGCCGCCACCACAAAGAGCACACACTGTAGCACGCGTTGAATCGAGGACGGCCGAGCAGCAATGGTGTTAGCGAGAATGGGCGGCTCTCTCGTCAGTCCCTCAGCGTAGGACGCATTGGTTGGGTCGTGAGCAAGAAGAGCGCCCTTCCTCAGAATATCACGAAGGTCGTGGAGCTCATATTTGGTAATGAATTCATCGGCATCGAGTAGCACCTGGTGCTCAGTCCAGTCTCTATACCTCCTATGTCGGATTTAGTGAGGCCCAGACATCAACTTCTAAGACGGCATCTGCCGTGAACTGGCTTACTGGTATTGCATGAGCTCTTGGGGACCTCCCCGTACAGTCTGATCCCTCCCGCCGGTTTCCCTTGAGCTCGTCATGATGGAGATACCTCGGATAAACGAGTTGTTCAGTCCAGGAGATCAGAAGCTGCGACAGTAGAAGCTGGAATCAAGGCTGACGCTGCGCCGCAGCAAACGCTCAGCCCCCCACGTGACCTCCCTTGGCCCTGCATTCCCAGCGTGCATAATTGAGGTCATTATTCACTTTTGTACGGAATCGCTCCCTGGAAAAGGGTTCGACGCATGCCTTTCTTGTCATTGTGACTGAATGAAACGCCTGTGTAGCTTTCAAGTAGGAAGAGCAGGCAACTAGATTCTGATGTGAAGAGGAAGTTTCTACTCTATAATTTGAAGCCTGTATATCGTATTCTCAGAATTTTTTATTTCAAATAACTATAAGTAGTTTCTAATAGACTTGAATAGACTAACTTGAAATTAGAGAATCCTAGATAATTTAGAATCGGTACTATATGAAATCACCAGATTTCTATAGACCGCCTTCAAAATCAGGTGATGGCTACCCCGGAAAACCGATAAGGGCTGACCCGCAAAAAGCCCCTCTGCCTTCTGTCAACATCTCATAAAAATCTGGCACTTGACGTCTTCATCTACAGATTGGCAGAGATTACAACATCTTTGTATCTTCTGATAATCGCCAGCCGCCTGAACCACAATGTCCACTTCCACCCCCACCCCCACACTGACCGTCTACGACATCCTGATGCGCGAGCCCGTACAGGAGAACGCCTGCTCGCCCAACCCCACCAAAACCCGCCAAACGCTAAACTTCAAGGCCATCCCCTACCAAACAACCTGGGTCGACATGCCTGACATCGCCAAAACCCGACAATCGCTGGGCGTCCCCGCCGGCCGCAAGTTCGCCGACGGGAGCGATTTCTACACCCTCCCCGTCCTGGTGGATGGCGCCACTAACGCCAAAGTCGGCGACTCGTTTGATATCGCGGTCTACATGCACGAGACGTATCCCAGGGCGGGCGGGGACTTGTTTCCGCAGGACGTGGAGCTGGATTTCCGGACGAGCGATACGACCATGCTCGTTCCGCTTTCGGAGCTGAGTGAGGTGGCGCGACGGGAGGAGTATGTCCGCTATGCGGAGTTCAACACGCACGTTGATGCTGCGTTTACGGCGCACACGATCCTCAACGTCATGGGGTTGCCGTTCCACCCGGCGTCTGCGGAGGCGTCAAAGGCGGAGTTCTGTCGGCGCGCGGGGATGCCCTCGTTCGAGGCGTTCCATGTCACGGGGGAGGCGAGACAGGCGATTCTGGCCTCGTTTGAGAAGACGCTGGGGGATCTGGCGAGGTTGTTTGTGCGTGATCAGTCAGGGCCGTTTATTCGGGGGGAGAAACCCTGCTATGCGGATTTCATTGTCGGGGGTTGGTTGAGGATGTTTAGTGTTTGTGCGCCGCCGGAGGAGTGGGAACAGGTGAGGGGGTGGCATGGAGGTGTGTTTGGGAAGTTGTTTGATGGGTTGAGGGGGTTTTATGAGATCAAGTAGAGGGTCTTCTTCTGGGGCTGGGGGTATGAGAGTGGTCGTGTAGACTGAGCTCGAGGTGTAGGGTTAGTGTAAGGAGGTGTTTGAAGCGGGTGGCTAGAGTCTTGAGGAAGGGGAGGGGCTTGTCTTATGGCCCCTGTTAGTCCGTTGCATTGGTAAGCAGTGTTTACACTGCAGATGTGAATTTGATAGGCCGCTTATGGCGTGCTCAGGTCTTTTCAGTGAGTAAAAAGTGGCAAGGGATGAGTGCTAAAAGAGAAAAGGAAAAGCTATCAGTCTAGCTAGAAAATCAAGTATATATGCATGGATGTATGCACTGCCTATATATCCCTCCCTCTATTTACATCTTCGAATTCTTATCCCCAAGCAAATCTATATTGATAGCCGCTCTAATCAACTGATTAGCAATGGCAGTAGGCGGCGGCAACCTCAACCCTCCCTCTTTATATTCCGGACCCGCGTTCTCCCCCAAAGGACTAGTTCCGACCCTCAACGCCTCCTCGACCTCTGAGACCTCAAACCACTTCGCATCCTCCAGCTCGGGATCATGTTCCAGGTTGATCGTCTCGTGCGCAGGATCGCTGACCTGCGCAATGGCTCCGATCATCAGGTTCGCGGGGTACGGCCACGGCTGGGACGAATGGATCACGACCCGCGAGAGCGTCACGCCCGCCTCTTCCCAAACTTCGCGACGAACAGCATCCTCGACCGACTCGGCGGGTTCGATGAACCCGGCCAGCGTGGAGTACCAGTTCGGCGGGAAGCGCTTGGACCGACCCAGTAGAATGCGCTTGCCATCGGTCGACACCACAGCGACGATGATGGTCGGGTCGGTCCGGGGGAACGACAAGTTGGAGATGGTGGTGCGCGTGTTGCATGCAGGTTTCTCGGCAGGCTTTCCTTCGGCCACGCGCGCAAGATCTGTCGGGGGACAGGCGCGCTTGGTGCCCGAGTTCACGGAGATCGTGCGGTTGCCGCAGGTACCGCAGAAGGTGTTCCGGGTGTTCCAATCCGTCAAGGCGCGAGCCTGGGCGTAGATGGCGGCTTTACAATGGTGTTAGCGAGAGATATTCTCGTTTGATAACAAGAGGGGATAGTTCGAGGGAAACGCACCCTCATCAGCCGAAAACGACATTGCCACCCGCGCCTGAAGGAAACTAAGTCCCTTCGCCTCCAACGCGCCAAGGATCTCTTTGGCGTTGGACTGCTGCTCCTCACTACCTCTAGGTGTTGCATCCAGCGCAAAGTAGGGCGTTCCGGTGTATATCTTCCACGAAAAACCGCCCTGCTTCCGACTCTCGTCTAGTCCGAGGAATATCAGATGCGGACTGGTTTTCCGCGAGTCATGTTCCTTGATGACGTCCTCCTCGAATTTATCGTAGATGTTCGCCGGTACGAGCTTCTGTACTTCCTCGTACTTGGCGTGGTATAGTTCCGCTGGGGACTTTGTGAGAGGCGCAAGTTCCTTTAGGATAACGAAGCGCGTGGAGGGGTGCTTCAGGGCTGCGGATAGGAAGGGGTGGTCTCCGCGCAAAAATGACAGCCGGTTCAAAGGCGAGCCTATCAATGTTAGAAGTGTAGGATACAGTGTCCACCAGGTAGGGGACATACTGGAGAAGTAATTGACCGTCTCCTTTCCAAATTGACGAGATAGCATCGATTCGGCTTGCGTATGCGCAGGCGTGGGAAGTTGAGGATGATTGCTCATCATGTAATTAAATCAAGTAGAAGAGAGGGGAGATTCGAGGTAGTCAAAACCGTCTAAAGGAGAATTCTATACCAAAGACACTGCAATTCCAAACCTGCAAAGAAAGTAACGAGCGGAGATGGAGCACGCAAGAAAGTCCCCTCGGGCTTCTGTTCGCCTCCGATAAGAATGCATTAATCAGCCGTCTTTCTGGCCGAGGTCGCGTAATCCCGTGACCGGACAAACGCCGACGGCTATTGGTATTGCTCGTATTTACCGGGAAAGTCGGTAATTTCGTGACGGCCGCGGGGCAGTCGCCGGTCCGGGGTTGGCGGTCAGTCTAGCGTGGTCGATTGTCGGGCAGATTCCCCGCCCTTTCACCGCCTTTGCGTCATCGTCTACGGGTTTGAGCACGAACAGCCCTTGTGTCTTAGCCCAAGAACCTGCCAACTACACCCTCACAATGACCTTCACTCTCCCCGAACCCTTCGCCAAGATCCCCCGCCATCCCCTCCTCTACTCCCACCCCTCTCCAATCCACCCCCTCCCAACGCTAACCACGCTCCTCACCCGCACCCGCCAACACCAACCTCCGAGCCCGCGAATCTCCCTGTACGCCAAACGCGAAGACCAAAGCTCCCCACTGGCCAGCTCCGGCAACAAATACCGCAAACTCGAATACCTGGTGCCTCACATCCGACAACACATCCACCAGCCCGACGGCACCGACCTCCCCCTCCCCTCTCATAAGAAACCCACCACGCTCGTCACCGAAGGCGCCGTCCAAAGTAACCATACCGTGCAAGTCGCCACGCTAGCGAACCACCTTGGTCTGGACGCTGTGGTGATCCTGCATAAGAATACAGGCGGCGGGCTATCTGCGACGACGGACCCCGTTGCGTACTTGCGGACGGGGAACGTGCAGATTGATCGGCTGCTAGGCGCGGAGGTGCGGTTGCTCGGGTCGGATAATGTTGCGGATGACAGGTCGGATCCGATCGCGCCTATTATGAAGGAGCTGTGGGCGCAAGGGAAAGTGCCGTATTGGATTCCTTCCGGGGCGAGTTTGCATCCGCTTGGTGGGTTGGGATATGCGAGGTGTGCGTTTGAGATTGCGGCGCAGGAGAAGGAGCACCTTGGGACTGGGGAGCGGTTTGATTATGTTTTCGTGGCGTGTGGAAGTGGGAGTACGGTGGCTGGGTTGGTTGCTGGGTTTAAGTTGGTGGAGAAGCTGGAGGAGGAGGAGGCACGGCGCACGGATGGATCGGTTCCCGGAGGGAGGAAGAGGAAGGTCATTGGGATTTTGAATTCGCCGACGAAACCGCGCGAGTACCATGAGGAGAGGGTGTTGCGGTTTGCGCGGCGTGCGGCGGTCCAGATTGGGTTGGATGAGACGGATATCAACGCGGACGATGTCCGGTTAGATGATCGGTTTACTGGCACGGGGTATGGCGTGTTAGATCCTAAGAGTAAGGAGACGTTGGCGTGGATGGCACAGCGCGAGGGCTTGCTCCTTGACCCTGTCTATACAGCCAAGGTGGCAACGGGCATGGCACATTGGGTACAACAGGGAGACTTGGTCAAGGACTGGGCGAGTCATCCTGGGGATCACCCTCAGATCAGGGCCCTTTTCATTCATACGGGTGGCCAGTCGGCCCTGGGGGCTTACGCTGACATTGAATGAACTGTGATGGTGACGGAAACGAAGAAGCATGAACACCTGTATACCTGTACAATGAACGAACAAAGCCGAGTCGAATTAGGGGTATATTTGAAGAACTTCAATAGATGCATAAACGCTCAAAGATTTGCATACACAGTTCCATCCCGAAGCTCGTGGATACTCTCCTTGCCAGACGGCGAACCAACCTCGGTATATCGCCTTCCGTCCCTTAACTCATGAATCGTGATTCTGCGATGAGATTTCCTATTCCGCCGTGAGCTGAGGTTCGATACAGACGATTCGCCACGTTCACCAACACGTTGTGTCGAGTCAATACTGCCCGAGTCGCTAAGTGCCACGCTGCTGGCCGGTGTTCCCTCTCGACCGGCCCTCTCGATTGACGCCTGGAGCTGGGCGTCCGCCACCATAGCCATGCCATCTTCTTGGTACCATTGCCGCATGTCCGTCGCGTAGGTCTGCTCTTCTTTTCCGTATTCGACTGGCGGGCCTTCGACCTGTGTCTGGTTCTGGCTGTGGAAAACAACCCAGGCGCTAGTGCTCGTACTCACGAGCATCATGGAGTGGTTGAAACTTTTAACCTTGAAGTTGCGCAGAAGGATGGCGTCCCCTTCCGATACGGAGGGAAGAGCTGCCTTGAAGGGTCGAAAGATCTGGGCAAAATGAGTCGTGCCCGCCATAGATGGATCCGTCAGCTGAAGGGTTAAGATGTAGTCCTTCTTGCCTGAAGATGCTCGAATGACATCGCGTACTTCCGTAACGGCAGAAATGGTATCTACCAGGGCATTGTAATGATCAACGAGTGTCGCAAGGGGCGCAAAATAAGAGAGGCTGCTGCGCAAGCCCGGGTAGTGACGGTCGACGCTGGTGAAGCTGATTTCATCCAAGGCGTTTCTGGCATCATGGTCAAAGGCAAAATCTGCCTGTTGAGATTGGACCTCGTCAGGAGTAAGGCTCTCACGATGCATCAAGGGTTCCTCAATGTCATGTGATCCTTCTCGTGATTCTGCCACGGAGCTAGCCTCGATGTCGGAATCGTTTTCCACGATATCCTCATCCAGCGCCTGGGAGGTAGGAAGCTCGGCATGTGTTGACGGGAGCTTCCCATTCTTCTGCGAGCTTCTCTCTTGAGTCGGTTCAGGAGTCGGTAACGATTCAGCTGCCGCTGGAACCGGAAGGGACTGCCGGTAGACTTCAACCGCCGGAGTAAAACCTGGAGTTTCCATTCGCTGGGATTGTGAAGCAGAACCCTGCCTCTTTGAGACGATGCTGGCAGGAATGCGCGGAGATGTAGCACCGTCGAGCATCAAGCGATAATCGATCTCTGACTTGGGCTCTGGAACTGGAGTTTCAGAAATTCGCTCGCCTAACTTGCCACTCTGAAAACCGTCACCTACTGCTTCTTCCCGGCCAGGGCCGGAATTATACAGTTCAGGATCAATGACCAGCCCCTGAGCATGCAAACGGAACTCGGCACCAGTATGCGTTTCAATTGTTTGCGCGGTATGAAAATCATGATGCAGGGAATCTTGTCCTGGAAGTGGTGATGCTATCACATCGTGCTGTTCGTAACTCTCGTGATAAGTCGCGTCGCCATCATCCGAGTATTCCGTGTAATCGGCACCTGTAGACAGGGTTGTCCGCTCTGTATTTTCCATTTGCTCTAGCGCTTGCTCCACAGGTGTTTGTTCGGGTTCAGTCGACTCATTGTCCAGATGTTGATTCTCCACCCTTTGTCCGTTGCGTCTTCCATAATCTGTCTGGTCGAGGAGGACCACCTCGTCTTCTTCAGAGGATTCAGACTCCGGTTCATTTGATTGTTGGTCCAGTTCTTCTATGTCCTTCATTTCTTCATCTTCCACACCGTCCTCCACCCATTCGCTTTCGAGTTGTTCGCCATCTTGACTACCACGAGTTTCTGCTTTCAAGTCTGCAGCGTCATCAGGCTGTTCCTCGTCTTCTGACATCTCTTCTTCCGGGTAGTCTTCTTCCAAGGGCTGAGCTCCCAAGGATTCATTTTCCAAGAGTTCTTCTGAAACTCGTTCTGGCGGCTGGGTTTTCGATTTCTCTTGCCTGAGTCGATCTTCGTCCACGTTCTCGGTTTCCATATGGTCTTCATCTTCGGGCCAATCTTCATTCTCTGAATCTTCAGAATCCTCCCTGGACGAACGCTCGCTTCCCAGTGATGGTGACGACGCCGGTTCCTGTTCACCAGTCGTCTCTCTTGTTCGTGGTGCATCATCTGTGCGAGGATTAGGAGGGGCTTCATCTTCGCTATCGCTGTCGAGCACGATGACTTCAGGCTGCGAGTTTTTCGGTGCAGGTTGATGCTGAGTAGGCGAGTCGTCATCTACCATGTCCGGTTCCGATCCCGATTCGTCGTCCTCTTGATAGCGGCCATACAGCCCTTCTTCCTCTTCGTCTTCGTCTTCCTCGTCTTCATCCCAGTCATCTACTTCACCAACTTCATCTTCCTCACCCTCTTCATCTTCAATTTCGTAGTCGTACACTCGTTTCTCATCGCCCAAGGTTTTATTCGTGGGGCTTTCTGAATGCTGGTTCAGAGCGTATTCGGGTGTCCCAGATTTGCGACCCACGCGAGGTTCCTCAGCAACGGACTCCTGTTCAATAGGTTGTTCAAATCCATTCTCTTCCACCATTTCGTCTTCCTCTGAATCATAATCCTCCATACTATCTTCGGGATAATCCCCATCCATTTGCTCCATCACATCGGCCTCAGTTATATTATTTTCTTCCGAGTGTTTATCTTCAGGATAGCCCTCTTCCGCTGTGTTAGCCTCAAGACCTTCGGTCTCATGATACCCTGGCGTTTCCTGGAGCTCACTATTCTCTCTAGCTCGATCCTCATCGTAGCTGAGATCGTGATCGTGCTCTTCGACCTTGTCCGCCTCGACTTCCTCCGGATGACCAGCTTCGCTGATGTCTACTGCTGTTTCCGCTGTAGACACGGTAGGAATGGCAGGAGGCATGCCATTTTGCGAGACATGATCAATTGCGGTGCTTGCAATTTCGGCGATTTCAACATCGACAGCTGTGGCGGCTGTGGAGGAGCTCAAGGCTGCGTTGTCTTGGCCCGTGGTTTGCGGTCCTAGTTCTGCTTCGACAAATGACGTCGCTCGGGTTTCCGTCTCCACCACCGTGTCCGCATGTTCGCTTGTCTCCTCTTCGGGGCTTTTGATTTCCCGAGATAACGATGTACCAGCGGTCGTGGTGTGAGGTTGCGCCATGTCTGTAATAGGCATGAAGTAGCTTTGTTGACTAGATGAGGCCGTTACGAGTGGAGACGGAATGGGTAGTCCAGGAGATGGGATAGGGTGAAGACGAGGTGTGTCGGTTGGAAGATGAGAAGAAAAATCGAGAAGGCCCTGCCCGAAGGCCTGACGAGGGAATGCTGGTTTTTGAATTGAACCAGGGTGAACAAACAGATTATTAGTTTCGGCCGGCTTTGGGCCTTTGATCGGCTCCGTAGGGACCTCCGGGGTCGGTTTATTCCCCTCAGCTGTTTGAGCAACACCGGAAGGTCTTTTCTGGTCGGCGCCGTCGCCTGATGCCTCAGGAAGCTTCTCCGGTGAAGTTTCTTTGTCTCCATCCGGCTCCGACCCCTCACCCCAATCCTCATCAAATATGTGCGTCCAATCAACCGGGAAGTCCTTGTCGCCCGGGCTCTCTGGTTCATCGATCAAGCGCCAGTCGCTATGCTGCATACTGTACCTCGGCCTTTTTCTGCCTTTTCCAGGCACATACCCATCTTCTTCGGTAAAGGGATCGTATGCGGAATCGAGTAGACCACCGAAGGATGCGCGCGACTTCCCCGTGAAAACTGGAGTTTGCCATGACCCTGAGTCCCCCATATCGTCAGTTATCCCACGCTTGTTGAGGTTGTTCCTAGGAGGAGTGGTCGGGGCTATGGTCGCAGGGTCGAGGCCATTTGTTTGGGACGACGAAGGCTCAACCTTGATAGTTGATAGAGGGGCGGCGGATCGCGAGACCTAAACGCCAGCCAGTTAGTAGCTGAGTCAATCATAAGGTCCGATGTGGTGCTGGGGAATCACCTCCAAATATACGCGATCGTCGAAATGCACATCCCATGCCACGCATTTGCCAGGCGTCTGGACCGCGGCCTCGTTACTCACGAGCCTCGATCCGGCCAAATCTAGATATACATCATCCCCAATGCCGAGTTTAGACTTGGCGACATCTTCAGCGACAGGCCCGTGAAAGATCACCTTCACCTGACCATTCGAGCGACGCAGACGGAAATCGGGTTCAGCTAACAGAAGGCTGAGGGACTTGGTGGAAGACGAATACGGCCATAGGAGAGTGACGACGGCATGGATGGCACTCCCCTGCAGATTATCGGCTGTCAGGGAAAGCTGCGCGATCGGGATGCGAGGCGAACGTAAGGGCGCTGAGGTCGGAAGCTGCTCGTCCATCGCGGCGGCCGTTGATTAATTGCAAGAAGATTTCCACATTTCCTCGATTAGGAATCGATCAGGCGCGTTGCATGTCCCCCTTGCACCACCTGGCCGCAGCTTGCGATTAAGTCAGGAAGTCAATCGATGGGGAGAAGTCGAAAAGAGGCACACCGCCTAGTTAGATGGCAGGGCTGACTTGGATTTCTCAAGGTGCGAGAGAAAAGAAAGAAGGGAAGCTTGGGCTTGCGTCACGGGGCCGGTATTCGTACTGTTGGTATCGTACGGGACTTCCATCTGCCGCGGTTCTCCCCGCATTCAAGTGGTAAACTTGGTAATCTTGGTAATCTTGGGAGTCTGCGACGTATTGATGCCTATCTAGGAACCTTAGCTGTGATAGACTTCATTTACAGTTTCCGGTAGGCAGACCAGAGGATTCCTAGGGTTTACATTGATAGATTGTCGCAAGTACCAAAGCACGGCATATGATTGCGGGGTGACAACACCGTTAAAGTCAAACCACCGCCGCCATGTTCGGCGCCCGATTTTTCTCCCCTTTCCTCCTTGCTATTCATTCCCTTTGGATCAATTGGAGGGGCCTTTACTCTCAGTTGACTCCTCCGTGTATATACCTTTGAACAAGCCATGACAGTTTCAAAACAAATCCGCCGAATTGCGGTCATCGGAGCTGGCCCGTCGGGTCTGGCAGCCGTCAAGTATGAATCCAACGTTCTCTTCCAGGAAGCCTTTACCATTCATTTGGCTGACAGGACCCCAGATACCTTTTGGCCGAGAAATTCTTCGACACGATCGATGTATTTGAGAAACGGAGCGCGGCCGCGGGGGTCTGGAACTATTGCCCCGGCGCCTTGAAACAAGGCCTGTCGACGCCTGTACCCCAGCTTGATCCGAACGAACCTTTGGAGAAACCGATATGGCCGAAAGGGAAATCGGAGCCTGTCTTTGTATCGCCTATCTATAGTACTCTGCAAACCAACATCCCTAAGGAACTAATGGCTTTCGGGGACAAGCCGTTCCCGGCAGACAGCCAATTGCTACCTCCGCATACTACGGTGAAGAAATACTTGGATGAGTATGCAGAGGAGGTGCGAGACTTCATCCGGTTCGAAACCCAGGTGGAAGATGTGAGGCGGAATGGCTCAGCAGCGAACGCCTGGACTCTCTCCACCAAGGACCTGCGGACGGGAGTCAGCAAGACGCTCGATTATGATGCCGTCGTCGTCGCCAGCGGACATTACGACGTCCCTTACACGCCCGATATCGCCGGCATCAAGGAGTGGAACGAGATATATCCAGGCGTTATCTCTCACTCCAAGTTCTTCGACTCGCCGGATGGCTTCCGAGACAAGAAAGTCATTGTTGTAGGGGGTTCCGCATCAGGAACCGATATCGCTAGCCAGATCAGTGCAGTGAGCAAAGGTAAACCCCTGGTTTCGCAAAGATCGGAGTCGTTTCTTGGGCCCTCCAACTCCCCAGACAAGGAGTATTTCCCCGAGATAGTGGAGTTTCTGCCGGCAACCAAATTTACCAGGGCAGTCCGCTTCGCAGATGGTCGGGTCGAGTCGGAAATCGATGCGATCGTCTTCTGCACTGGCTACCTCTACTCGTTCCCGTTCCTATCATCCCTTGACCCTCCGCTTATTACGGATGGTCGCAGAACGTTGAATACCTACCAGCATTTATTTTACGCATACGATCCCACTCTAGTTCTGCCGGCGCTGCCGCAGAGGGTTATACCTTTCCCGTTATCCGAGAACCAAGCTGCTGTTTACGCACGAGTCTGGTCTGGTCGACTGTCACTTCCATCTCTTACCGAGATGAAGGATTGGGAGGAGTCCACCGCGGCACAGAAGGGTAATGGGACTTCGTTTCATCTCCTGCACTTCCCACTCGACGCAGACTATATGAACTTCCTCTATGAGTGGGCGGCCCAGGCACTACCTCGCCCTGGTCTTCCAAATGGTGGCAATGGGAAAGTAGGCAACTACTGGGGAGAGAAAGAGAAATGGCTGCGGGAGTTGTTCCCCGAGATCCGAAGAGAGTTCATTGCAAAGGGTGAGGCACGAAAACACATCACAAGCCTTGAGAAGCTTGGCTACGATTTTGAACAATGGAAGCAGAACCAGGAGCGATCCTCTACGAAGTTATGAACTAGACGCTAGATATATTTGATGACTATGATGCTCTTCCTCTTCGAAAGGCATGATTGATTGAGCATATATGGATGATCGGGTGAGAATAGAACCTAGAGAATATATTTCAATGTCATTTTTATATAGCCGCAGTTACCCTTGTCCGGAAGGAAAGTATAATCATCGATTGCAAAACACAGTCAGTCCTTTCCAATCTTTGACCTTTGCGCCGTCCTCTGCCGCGCGAAAGCCCAGGTCGCCATGCCAACGCTCAAGTCCTCAATAATGGGGAATCAGCTGTCGTCGAAGTTTTATAGTGGGATCTGCTGGATCCGCAGCTCATATCATATCAGTACCCTTGAACTCTCGTCCTAATACACTGGTCCATGATATGGAAAATAATCCAGCGGTAGACGAGTGAAGCTATTCAGGCACCGTTGCAGAGAAAAGGAGTGGCCGTCATTGATAAGCGGAATTGGGCGATAAGGCGTCACGTGCCGGCGATCATCCGCGGTGCTCCCCGTCGCCCGAGTTCATTATTCATTCCATTCCATTCATTCCACTTACCCTCATACTTTCCTCTTATTGTCTCTTCCTCCACATCATTCCTCCACAGCTCTCCGCGGCATATACTTTGCGGACGACACACATAAGCCCCTCTTTCACTACACTCTCACTCTTACCAATTACTGTATCTCTGTTATTTTGAACTTTCGCCATGGACTCTACTTCGCCGATGCCCTCTGCTCGCGCATAATGTGGCGCAAGCGCAAGTCTCCTTCTCCTGTAATTATAAACTCTACCGATCGACCTCGAAGACCAGAGCCGGAGCAGGATATTATCGTCATCTCTAGTGGGGACGAAGACGACGACAACCATTCAAGTTCTGGTTTAGACGACGACGAATGGTACATTAATTGTATTCTTGACGAGACAGAGTCACAGTATCTGATTGACTGGGAAGGGGATTATTCGCCGACTTGGGTGAGTCCTGTACTCTGCTCGCTTGCCGTGCATTGATCTTGGGTAAGCCTTTTCGACTTGGACCGCAACTAATGGGGGACCCCTTAAATAGGAACCCAAAGAGCACGCCAACGATCTTGCTGTTCAGACTTGGGAAGACAAAAAGAGACAAGTCTCCCTCAAGCAAAGTCGCTCTATTGAAGTAGAACTGATTGAATCTTCCTTCTCACGACTCCAAAGTTGTGACCGGGAAGGGCAAGTTCCAACACACGAGGACTCTCCATTATTTATTCCAGTTGACACCGTATTTGAAACACCGCAATTTGAGGTGGTCAGCCAGATCCCAGAAAGATCGGTCATAGAGGAATCGCCAGAGCCAGAGCCAGCTAAATCTGGAAGCATTGACTCCGCAGCTTACTTTGACTTTCCCTCGCCATCTCCACCGCCATCGGACGTTTTTGGGTACACGTCCAAGTTTGCCATTCCTGCAGAATTTCGACTTCCTGAAGAAATTCCAGAGACTTGCACTACCGCGAACACCGCAAAAAGTCCCGGAGAGGCCTCGCTTGTTACTGGTCCTCAAGAATCTTCACTTCCTGACGTTTTTGTGTACACACCTAAGTTTGCCATCCCTGCAGAGTATCAACTTCCTGACGAAATCCCGAATACCTGCACTACCGCGAACACCGCAAAAGGCCCCAGAGAGGCTTCACTCGTTACTGGCCTTCAAGTACCGAATTCGAGTAGTGTACTAGCTTCCGAGCTGACCAGGGATTCCGGAAAGCCCGAGCCTGCTACGTCTCCCGCCAACCAGACTCAGGAATTGCATGAAATAGCCGAGACTCCTTCTGGTCCGTCAACCATTCCTGAGAGCCAGTGGTCGCAAATCCCCGTCGAATCAAGAAACTCTTGCTCACAGTGCTCCATTAGGACATTAAGCTACCGGCCCGTCATCAGCACTGTAGTCTCACAAGTTCACCATTCCGGGGATTTGTCTTCAACAGGTTGCTCAATCTACACTGCTATCAGCCATTCTCTCACTAACCTTCTCCGCAGGCGGTAGGGCCAAATTCCATTTTTCGAAGTCAATACCAGACTCAAATCCCGACAACAGAATACTAAGCCAAGAGTCTATACACATATCGCAAATTATTACGACAACTGAATCCGCTGCTGAAGTCATGGATGACGACAAAGGCGTCCAGTTAACCGACACCATGGATAAATTTAGCCAATTCGAGGGCTCTACTCCAAGAGAAAAGATGAAAAATGCTTATGCTCAGCTCACCGCCAGGCTCAGCACCCCGGTCTTCCAAGGTAACGATGCGAGCGCCACACCGTCCTCTGCAGGGGATATTGAAGCTTCAGCTGCTGCTCCTGTGCCGGAAACGGCTGCGCCTCTTAGTGTCAGGGTTGATAAAGAGCATGATGGCCACACACAAACAGAAGCCGCCTCGGCTCTCCCGGCGCCGTCCGTGGAAGAGACTGTACTAGAAGCTCCCCCGCAACAGGATGTGCAAACCATTCAGCCAAGCGCACTTACAGTCAATCACACTGAAGAGATACTCCCGGGGTCGGTTCACCTTGGGCCATCAGAATTTGCAGTAACACTCCCGATGGACTCCCGAGTCAAGGATGACTATGAGCAAGTCTTAGCTAGTGATGCGCAAAACATTAGCGAGTTCCTCAAGATTTCGAGCTCTCAGGATGGTGCCGAGCACGAGGTAAGATAAACATGGATTGATGAATTAATCCTTTTACGCCAGTACTCTAAAATTTGCCCAGGTGGAACGCCTTAAACTAAAGGTACACGATGTACTTAAACATTTGAGCAATGTTGCAACGCATCCTGATTTGAACATCAGTGGCCACATCAAGGAAGCAGGGTCAGATATGACGAAGGAAGCCGCTTGGGCTGAATACTCCAGCGCCAAATTCCTCCTCTTGGGCTACTTTGTACAGCTTGCGAGTAGCCGTGACATCCACTTGGTGATCTTCGTGCATAGCGAGAAGACCCAAAAGGTTATCGAGCGCTATCTAATAGGAAAAGGCCTTACCTACACGCGACCGCGCGAAGATATGGGGGCTGGGACCAACCTCGAGGTCTCTATGGTCAAAGACTCCTTGAGCTTCGGGATTCAGTCGCTTAGCAGTGATGGGATCATGGAAACCTACAGAAGACCCTCTGCAATCATCTCGCTAGACTCCTCTTTCAACGCAAAAAGCCCGTCGGTAGAGCATATGCGCACCACATTCGCGCGGAACGGACAGCTGCTTCCCGTGATCCGGCTCATTGTTGCAAATTCCAGTGAGCATGTTGAGCTGTGCTTCCCCAACCCTGATCAAATTCAGCAGCTACGTTTGGTCATCCAGTATACCGTGCATCTTCGTGATTTGGTGGGCGACCTCCAGGACGATGCCCTCGGTGTGCGCGAGGATGTGGAAGAGATTATTACTTGTCTCCTGTCAGACAACTTCCACTCCCATTGGTCACTGCCCCAGGTTGAACCCCTACACATCGTGAGCCCGGAGCAACTGGTATCTCTTCCAGTAGGTAGCCACGGTAAAACGGATGCTGCGAGCGCGTCAATCACGCCTGCTGCGAGTCAGAAACGTGCATTCGTAAGTCATATTGACTCTGTTTTATTCTGGTCATTCTGTTGATCACAATGCTAACCTGGTGAACAGGTGGAAGAGGATGAGGAGCAAGCCTCCAAAAGACTTAGGGCAGATATATCACAAGACGCAACTCAGTTTACTGAGTTTTCAAAATTCCCCAGTCAGACGTTGGATCGTGACATTCAAGCATTGGAGAAGAACCTTTTGCAAATGAGAACTTCGAATGCAGCTGAGCGTCAAACCCTGCAGGCTTCGTTGGATGCGATAATTTCTCGTCTCCAGGCGGAAGAGCAAGCTCATGGAAAGCTCCAGCACCGTTATGAAAGCCTAACCCGGGATTCTCGCAAGACCCGAAAGGAGCGCGATCAACTGTCCGAAACCAAACTTGCTGCTGAGCAAAGAGTCGAAAAGCAGAAAGAAGAGCTTGGAAAACTAAAAGATGAGCGCACTCAGTTACGACACGATCTGGAAAAGGCTCGAGAAGAGTTAAAGACTGGCGGCGGTAATCTAGCAGAGTTGGAGTCCGCACGGGAAGAAATCCGTCGTCTGACCAAGGAAAACGCTGCCTTGCAGCGGAAGGCCGAATACGAAAGCAAGCAAACGGAGTACACGCGCGAACAGTATCAAAATGCATCCAGCGTGGCAGCCCAAGCCGGAAACGAGAGTCGCCAACTCCGGGAGGAGAATGAGGCGTTGAAACGAAAGGTGGCTGGCGACGTCACTCGACTCAAAGAGCTCAACCAGAAGAGTGACGCAGAGCGGCATCTATCTCGCATCGCTGAGCTGGAGGCTACCTTGTCCAATCGCGACGACTTGCTACGTCGGAAGGAAGAAGAACTGCGAGAAATCCGCAAAAACCGGCCTTCTACTCGATCTACCAGCACGCAGCCCCGAAGCCCGAAGTTGACTGCCGGTAATAGCCGCCCTACAAGCCCAGGAATCAACAACAATTACTCGACTTTTTCACGGGCCAGTAATTTGCGGTTCAGCTCTGAAAGGCCTGTCTGAGCACTTCAATGCAGCGAGCATTGTTATCTCGGGCTTTTTGTGTTTCTGTCAATTTCTACCTTTATCTTTTGTTTTGTTCAATTCTACCCAGGCGATATGCGTTGCTTGCATTATCAGGGCGTTTTCATTCCCGTTTCCGTTTCTTTCTGTCTTTCTTTCCTTTTTTTTTGGATCGCCTTCCTCATGCCGAGATGGTCATGTAGAATCCAAACATGTTTAGTTATTATTATGAATTCGGGCGTCTTGAGTTGTCTATACATGCAATACTACCTCGATTCTCCCAGGGGTCTGTTATGGCTACTGATCGTGATTTTCGTTCGGGTTGTTCGTTGATTGCAGGGTCTGGGATTATCAAGTTAGCGTCTCTGGCACGCTGAGATCGGGATCCTGTGGTACGTAGAGTGGCCTCGTTTTTAGGACTGTACGCATGTAGCCCTTTTGATTATGTACGATTCATGATCGAGCCATATATCTACGTTTACTGTTCTGCAGACCCACCGTAGAGTCATCATACGACGTGTTTCACAGATCACTGGGCACTAGGCACTCAGTAGTAATAGTTACTACTCCGTAGTACTCCGTAGTTAGTTTGAAAAGCCTTGTAAGGCACCGACATCGCCTGATCGTCGCCCCACTTAGCATATCCCTGGTCTGCATACTCCGTACTATAGCAAGGATGGGCATTCCGGTTTTTGCTCTTGCTCGTGACCCGTTTAGAATCTACACGGACGTGTCCTGAGTGTCCAATAGGAGTTGCCATAATTTGCAGAGTCGCGATCAACATGGTTTCGACGTGTTAGGCGACAGAAGAATGCATCTCTGGAAGAAGAGGCAGCGAACACTTCTATCGAAAGCTCGGTCGTCACTCGCCTCCAGGGGAGTACTGTCCATGTGAATATAGCCAAATATACCACGAATTTGGCTATCGATAGGCAAGCAAGGGACGCATGTTCTGGTCTTTGTTATACAAAGTCACATGACAACGTGTTCAACGCGTTCCCAGGCTTGATTGATAGGCAAGAATACGATCGGTTGAGAACTCGTCCACTGTCGATCCTTGCTTGATGGTCCTCGGGGATATCCCTGCTTCTAAATCGTATAAATAGAGCAGACGAATGGCATTCAGGTGGCGTCAGCTCATAGAGTCGTTGAAGCAAGGGATCGGAATGTTGCTATGGTAAACTGCACTACGCGAGGCATAGACTTTCGGCGGAAACCAAATTGTGCAGATTTCCTACGCAATGACCAAACTCAATTTGGTCCAAGGGAGGACACAAGGGGGACTGTGTGGTTGCATGCTTCCTGAAAGAGACTGTTGAGTGTTGGCACCTGTAGCTTAGCCATTACTACTCAGTTATCTGCGTCTGCACTGTATTACAATCGGGGATATGTAAAATCACACACGATATGAGCTGTCTGGAATAGGAATCTGGGGTAAACTCCGAGTCCTGTGCTGGATGTATCAAGTCGACGGTGGGTCAACCGGGAGGATTGAAAATGGTCCGTGTTTCAGAGCTATTTTCGACGATATCGGGGCCAGTCGAGGCATTGAAAACAAAAAAAGGGGACAAAAGTCCAATTCCACGGCCAGGACAAAGATCATATTTCCCGACAGTTGTTTCACGATGGCTCTTCGCCCTCTTATGACAGCCGGATCTGATTGGAAACCCATGGAAAGGCCACCCATGGAAGCAAGCTGAGCGGGTAGCGGAAGAATAACCATGGGTCAGGCTGGGGTGGCTGGGGAGTCGCTTTGTGACAGGGAACATGCCGTATGCATGGTCAGTGCAGCAGCTACTAGAAGCATTTCAGCAAAACTTAGTTCTGAATTCAATGAATAAGACAAAGCAGATATCCAGCAAAGAAAAGTGGAAGAACAGAGAGGAGAAGAGACAGGAAGAAAGAAGGAAGGAACGTCACGGGCGATAACGACTGGGCATTAATGGTTAATAAGCTTATCGATAAGGCAGCTGCCCCCCGCTAAGCCCAAACCGGCGCCCACGTAAACACCAAAACAGATCGGGCCTCACCGTCCGTTGACTTTCAGCTGTCGCCCGCTCTCTCTCTCTCTCTCTTCCTTCTCTTCCCTCGTTTCCCCTGCCCCCCTGTCGTTGCGCACGTTGGCATACGCAGGTGGTTCCCTTTTTTTCTTTTTTCTTCCTTAGATTTATTGTTTCCTCTTTTTTCCCTCTCCACCCATTCCTCTTTTGTTTGTTTCCTTTCTATCCTACGATGCCCTTATTGACTGCTCTTCACGGTTCCTGATCCTTCCTGAGTGCCGTCTTTCCTCCGACACTCCGCCTCGGGGAAGCTTCACATCCCCACTTTGCTAACGCGACGTCTCTGGAAGGACTCGTGTCCACCAAATCGTTCCAACTGGCTCCTCAGTCGCTCTTGATCCAATTACGATCGGTGTCGACACTCATTGTCGCACATCTCTCTCCGTGATGGCCCCGGGCGCGCCTCAATTGCCCACCCGGTTCCCCTGCTGGTGTCGAGCCGTGTACTCCTGGGGCGGAGAAACCAAGCGAGATCTGGGTTTTGTGGAGGGCGATCTGATAGAATGTTTGAACGCAGGAGATGGTCAGTGGTGGATGGGCCGACTGCGACGCGATCGGCGCATGATGGGACTGTTTCCGTCCAATTTCGTCGAAGTGCTCAGCGAGAATTTCGTCCCCGTCAGTCGCACAGAGAGTCCAATGGGCCCGAAAGCTCAGTCTCCGATCACGAATCCGACATCTGCACCGAAGAAACAGAAGACTGTGTTTAGAAAGCCATTTCAAGCTCACAAGGAAGCGATTGCGCCTTCTGGGGAACTGTCCCGGAACGGCACCTCGGTCTCGCCAGTAACGAGCTCCATTCCCCAGACTCCTCCCCGGGATGGGAGCCTTTCGCGGAAAGTCAAGCCTCTGCGCACTCCGGCGACCGCGGTGAAACACCGAAGCTCAGTGGCTCGGCCTTCTTCGCAATCGGGACCCTCCCCGCGGACAGCGTCACCATTAATCCCGCAGTCGCGACCCCAGCGAGAACCATCCTCTTCGGCGACTCCCACAGGTCAGATCGTTCCTGTAGCCCGACCGCCGTCTCGCGCAGTATCCCCTCGTCCACCGCAAGAAATAGAACTCTCGTTACCTACCATCCCTCCGGGGCCAAGCTCCGCGCGCTCCAGACCTCCATCGCGCGCAGCGTCTCCCCTGCCACCCCCAGATACGAACTACCTTCCGCCTTCAGTGCCCACGGGCTATCACCATGTCCCCTTCCACCAACCCTCGTCCCGCGAAATTTCGCCTTTAGAACTACAGGATCGTGAAGATTCACCACCCCCGCCTCCTCCGCCCCCACATCGAGTCGCAGTCAATCGACAGCCGTCCATGGAGCTGGGCGTTCCGACGCATTATGATATGAACGATCGTTATGTAACAATGTCAAGAACTCCATCTCCGGCAGCGCGTTCCCCTAGACACACCCCCTCCCCGCTTCGAGACGCCATGGAGGATGTGATGACATCTTTGGAGGATATGGGACTGTCGCGAGGTGGACAATCGCCGTCCCCGCAACCGTCATACGACAACCCGTGGTCGCCCGATGCTTATGAGAGCCTAAGAGACGGCCGGCCTCAGCAAATTACGGGTCGCTCAATGACTTCTTTAGGATTTGACGGTGACAAAGTGGATATACCTCCCAGCGCGCCACCTCACCGAAACAGCGTCTATCCCACGGACCATTTCCTCGATGGTCCGCCGCAGCTTAACAATTATGTGCAGAGGATGGAGAGTCGGCTTCGACAGATGCAGGAGCAAAATCGAAGGGGCTCGGAGGATATACACCTGTCGGACGAGGACGAGGAGCCTCCTCCTCCACCCCCGCGGCACGTTCCGTACCATGGACGGCACAATTCAGTTCCGGTGCAGTATTCCTCATATCCGACGGGCCGGCGATCAGGGCAAGATCTGAGAGGCGATATCCTTGACCGAAGCTATACGAACAAATCGAGCACAACCAACTCCTCGAGTGGAGTGCAGAGTAACGGCACAAACATAACGGCCAGCACCGAAAGAACAAGCCAGAGCTTGATGAGTGGCGCATCCGCCGGCGAGTTTAGTGCCACCAGCGCGGGAAGCTACGCCCGGAGGAATGTGGGCGCTAACGGACGACCTAACACGGCCGTCGACGCTTTTCGGGGTAGGGGCTTCAGCGACATCTCGCGCATGTCTCCTCGACCTGAAACTCCACTTACCGGTATCTCCTACCACTCCAGTCACAACACTTCTCGGCAGGGTGCTTCGTCGGCGATTCCATGGACGTCCCCTGATACGGTCACAGAAGAATCTGCTGGAGTGTTTGGAGGCCTCTCAACGCCCAAGGCCAAGAAGCACGGGTTTTTCAAGAAAATCTTCGAATCCGCAAAGACTGGGGCGGCCAATGCCAGAAGCAGCATAGCGGTTGGGCAGAATGGCGGCTCCTATTCACCGACCAAAGGTCGAGCCATATCTCCCATTCGCTCTGCACAGTCACACCGAGACACGGCCCGTGAGATGGGCCTTGGTAGTGCCATTGACTGGGTGCAGGTCCGGCGGGATGTGAATCGAGCCAGCTCTCCCAGCCGAAACGAGAGGGTTGAGCGGGCTGAACGATGTCAAATGATGGACCACCCGGTGATCTATGCGGTGGAAGAATTGTACGAAAGCGCCGAAGGCGACGAGAGCATCGACGGGCTACCGATTAGCGAGCCTACGGATTTCGGCACTGTCAACCTCAGCCTCGTAGACAAGAGTGCCCGCTTTGTCAATAGCCTTCCACCAATGACGAATCCGATGAGCCTTGCCCAAGGGTATGTGTGTCGGCCTTACAAGAGTGACGTGCAGCGGCTTCGGGCCCTTTTCACCTGGGTCAGTGAAAAGATCGCATGGGATGAACCAGTAGAGGAAATGGACATTGATCTCAAGAGAGTCCTCCAAACCAAAAGAGGAAGTCCCCAAGAAGTTGCCTTCCTTGTGCGAGAGATGTGTGCCGCCGTTGGCCTGCACGCTGAGACCATCAAAGGGTTTCTCAAAACGCCGGGCGAACTGTACGAGATTGACAGCCTTTCTCGAGCAAACCATTGGTGGAATGCGGTTCTGGTTGACGGCGAATGGCGCATTATGGACTGTTCCCTTGCCAGTCCGACCAACCCTCAGAGAAGCGAATTTGTCACAACCTTTTCGCCCGCAGCCGAAACATGGTATTTCCTGGCGCGCCCTCTGGAGATCTGCTATACCCATGTTCCTCTGGTTCCTGAGGAGCAGCATATCTGCCCGCCAATCTCACCGGATGTTCTTCTCGCCCTGCCCGCCGCCTGCCCGCCCTATTTCAAAATGAATATGCAGTTCCCAGACTACGACACCAGCCTAGTCCGGATTGACGGCCTGGAAGTCATGCAGATTCGCCTGCTCGTACCTGCCGACGTGGAATGTGCCGCCGAGGTTGAAACGCCCATTTTCGCCCGCGACTCGGATGGGGACTTCTTTGAGAGTGGCGAGGTGGTACGCAAGCGGGCCTTGGTTCAACCCGACTGGATTCATGGCCACAAGCGAGTCACCGTGAAAGCCGTTCTACCGGGCGACGAAGGCCAGGGAATACTGAAGGTATATGCGGGCAAGAAGGGGCTGATGCATTCCAATCGCGATATTCCCCATCCACTGGCCCTGTCATTGCCCATTATGCATAGTGGCGACAACCCGCCGTATGAATTTGTCCTGCGCCATCCGACTCCGCATGCCCAGCGACATGACCTGTACATCATGCAGCCGCAATGCTCCAAGTTGGCCGTCAATAACACCTTTGTCTTCGCCGTTCGCCAGCACCCATCCTCCCTTCCGATCCCGTCTAGTGGCAACGAATCTGCTATGAGTGGTCGCATCTCCCCGTCTATCCTAGCCCGGCCAGCGAGTGCTCTTAGTATGGTTTCCAGCTCTGCGGGTGGCTCCTCCGTCTCCACCGTCTCAAACGAGTTCTCGGCCTCGACGTCTGCCATATCGTCCAACCGATCGAACTCGGGGCGAGAGAAGCCTGCCAAGTTGGCGATCCAATCGCCCTCGGGCAAGATCTTGCGATTGAGCCGCAAAGCCGACCACATGGTTAGCGCCACGAGCAGTGCAGATTCCGCCACCGATGCTGCAGCCGAAGGCAGCGTGTGGGAGACGGTGATCAAGATCGGGGAACGTGGTGTATGGAGAGGACTCGTCCTTGCCGATCGTGTTGCGCGATGGTGTGTATTCTGCGAATGGGAGTGCTTCTAAACGACACGATATCCGCCATGATTTTATGTTCCTTTGATACAGGGGCTACCGTTTTTACTTCTTTCGTTTTTCCGCTTCTTTCTGTTGATCTTTGCACCTTTTACCCCTTGCACACATGATCTTCTGATCTGAGAACCGAAAGCAACGTGGAGCATTTTGGATTGGCTGGTTGTTTTTCATTTCCCACATTCTTCCTTGCCTAATGGTTGCATTGCATCACTGAGCCCGGGGTTAGGGTCTTGCATAGTTGCATCATTCCAAGATTTTATATCTGATCTGCTCGTTTTTCTATTTATTCGGACTTTATGTGAAGGGCAAGCATGGACGGACGCAAATGTGCTACACGAGTTGGAGTTACTGGATAACATTCCTTGCTTATGGCGCCTGGGTGTACAATGTGTGATTATGTACTTTTTTCCATTTCTTTTTGTCTCTTTGGCATTTTATTCCTTTTTGATCTGGCGCCATGTCTGAATGCTTGTGCCACGACCAACGAGCGCATAGACAGATGCATGAATATTAGAACGAAGATTAGGCTCAAGCCTAGGTCACTATCAATATTTTACCTCTCTTCTTTAGCTCATATCGTTAGAATATCTAGTAAATACGGCAGACCCACTCACAACTAGGAGCTGCCCATCATTATCATCGCCACCGTGTATTATGTCTTATCCCTCCGATATATATCCCAGCGTTCATATAGAAATATCTATATATCACAGCCTGTCTCCAGCCGGAGAAGTTACCGCCTCTCGAACCAACGGCGCCACCTGTTTCCGACTCTTCGTCACATCCCCCTGGACCCAGATACGTCTCCAGGGTGTCTGATTGCCGGATAATACGTCCCGAATTGACTGGGTGTTATCCGCATGGGCTCCGTCTAGAGCCTCCCATTCCTGCAACTGCAGCTGAGACCTCGACCGCGCCTCTAGATCCCGCAGCGCATGAACCGCGACTCCCTCATCAAGTGCACAAACGAGCAACTCGCGCACGAACGCTCCCTCCCGCGCTGACGCGTTAAACGTCGTCATCACCACCACGATATCCAAGTCCCGTTGCTCCGCAAAACCGCGCAGCGAGTCCAGGAACGCTTCTGCGGTGCCTGATTTTCGTACAATCCACGGGATCGGCTTCACCATGGAGCAAAACCCGATGTTCACGGGCTGACCGGGTCGCAGGGGCGACGTCTCGGTCCACTGCTTGTAGTCGCGGTCGAGGATCTCGTCGACAGTAAGTAGGTCCAGGCTGTTCTGTTTGGTTTCTTGGATTTGTGCGTAGTACTTATCCATGGCACTGGAGTCGGTGGGATCGTTGCTATTATTATCAGTGGAGGCGAGCGTCTGCCGCAGGAAATCCCGTGCGCGCGTATCAGCCGCAGTCACCTTGTCCTTGGCGGTCATGTTGACCGTATCGATGAGGAGAGGAGCCATGGCTAGTAGGACTAGCTGTCGCCCTTCCTTGGAAGAGTCTGAGGTGGAAGGAGTTCGCCACAGCCCCATGTCGTTCAAGGTATTCGTGACCAGCGAGGAGCAGGACCCGGCCTTCTCAATGACCTGGGGGTTGCAATCGGGACCCAAGAAGCCCTCATCGACATGATGATCAATGCAGCCGACCACGGAGAATTCGACCGACGGTAGACCATCTAGACGTCCTGTTCCGTGCGAGCCGTCAGCGGACGACCGAATCGGTAAAGCGTTCCAGTCGACGAGGACCGCATCGACTGTGCGAACTTGGCGGGGCTGGCCATCCGACCCACGGTCCTGATGTTCTAGATCCTTTGCAAAGTCCGCAACAGTAAGGATGTGGTCGCGGAGTAGAGGCCCCGCGGATTCGGGCGTTTCCTCCCACGGCTGATCTGCGGTGTTGGTGGAGATCCAGAGCGCTTTAACGAATTCAGGTCGTAGGCGACGGAGCTCCGCGCCGGACGGTACCGTAGGGAGGTTGATGAGTGGAATATGGCGGTGGGAGGTGCGATTGGCGAAGTACGAGTACACCACGGCGCAGACCATCGAGTCCAGGTCGGCGGAGGAGTTGCCGATGACGTAGATGGGGGATTCCGCATGGGATAATGTCCCCTGTATAAAGCGGAGATGGGTCTGGCGGGCAGCCCGTAGCATCTGTAAGAGGCTTTGCGCTGCGTGGCCCGCCATTGTGTCTGATGGGTCGACTAGAAGTCTGCCGGGGGAGTGTTTGTAGAATGAGTGCAAGTTGGGGACTTGATGCCAACGGATTTCCTCTTGCGGTAGTCCGATAAGGAAAGCCCATACTGCACGTGACCGTTCTGTTGCGTAATTTGGTGACCGAGACAAACCTCGATTGCTGTGGGTAAGGATCGGGATTTGCGGTAATCCTAGTAATACCGTGACGGCAGCGGGGCACGAGGGGAGCTCCCCACACACGTGACCGGCATCATTCTGACCCCAATTCTTATCGGCGTCATCCATTCCATGTCAACAGCTCGCTCGTCCAGGATTCCTTTCACTTGCCCTCAATTGTGCGGGATATTGTTGTTTCTGCGTGTGTAGGTGGGTCTTCTTTGACTGCTTGAACCTGTGATCTTGGAGTCACGTCCAATTATAGCTGCATGTGGAGCCTGGGTGTTCGCGCAGCAGTCATGGCAATCAATTGTTAATCCACCTTCTACTAGGGCCATTGCGTCTACCTCATATATTTTCTCGGGCCACATTAATTGTCAGGCCATTCGAACCGGAAATTGAGTCAACATGGGCCACCTTGTAACCCTAGCAACATGGTGAGCGCCTCAATTGGCCAATCGCTTGGCCTCGTCCTTTCAAGACCGTCCAGTACACTGACAGACTCCAGCTCCCTCAACCAATGGGCACTGGACTTTGAGGGTAACACGGAACGAATCATCGAGAGTATTCGCAAGGCCAAGGCCGCGGGTGCTACTCTTCGAGTCGGCCCCGAACTCGAAATCACCGGTACATTTTCACCATCTTGAGATGCGACAAGTGGTTCATGGTATTTACAAGGATATAGGCTATGGCGTTCTGGATGGTTTTCACGAGGGAGACACCTTCCTTCACTCGTGGGAGATGCTTGCCCGTATCATTGATCACCCCGACTGTCAGGATATTGTGGTTGATGTTGGTGCCTCGACCATTGGCATGTGTGCTGAGCTGACAAGGTTGTAGGTGGGTATGCCTGTGCGTCACAGGAATGTCTCGTATAATTGCAGGTGGGCTATTGTCTGTCCGCACTGATCTCGCGTGGATACAGTATTAACTGGGAATCAAGGGTCATCTTCTACAACCGCAAGATCAGCTTGATCCGCCCAAAGATGTGGCTTGCCAACGGTTGGTTCTGTCCTCTCATTCCTCCTACCGGCTCCTTCATTCATTGATTACATTTTCTATCGACATGGATCGCTGACAGAGGTGTTATAATCTAGATGGTAACTACAGAGAGCTTCGTCACTTCACGCCCTGGCAACGACCCCAGGAGGTCGAGGACTACTACCTTGAGCAGATCGTCGGGAAGATCACTGGACAGTATAAGGTTCCTTTCGGTGATGCGGTTATAAGCACTCGGGATACTTGTTTTGGCGTGGAGACTTGCGAGGAACTCTTCACTCCTAATGGGTGCGTTCACTACATCTCTGGTGAAGAAACTTACTAATCTTTCTAGTCCTCATATTCCTTACGGTCTTGCTGGTATGCCCGTATACTTCTATTGTATAGTTCTTCTTTTTATTATACTGATCTCTACACAGGCGTGGAAATTATCTCCAACTCATCAGGAAGCCATCACGAGCTCAGAAAGCTGGACACTCGGATCAACCTCATCACCCAAGCGACGAAATTGGTTTGTGATATCTTAATTAATTAACCGGCTCTGGGAGCTAATCTCTTTTTAGAGCGGCGGCATTTACCTGTACGCGAACCAGCAGGGCTGCGATGGTGATCGGCTTTACTACGATGGTTGTGCGATGATTGTGGTCAATGGAAACATCGTTGCTCAGGGCTCCCAGTTCTCCCTGAACGATGTGGAAGTTGTCACGGCCACCGTCGATATCGAAGAAGTATATCCTATCTTCATTAATACCTGGAGCATTGTTAATCGAGTCTACAGGTACGGACATACCGTGGGAGTTCCAGCCGCAATATGCAAGCCAGCAAACAGTCCCCGTATGTTCGCCTTGACTTGGACACAAGACTTTCTCGTCGGGATGATGAGGCCGAGCCTAGCCTTGCTCCCTCTGAAACCCTCACCGCGCGGATTCATGCCCCAGAGGAAGAAGTTGCCCTTGGACCGGCTTGTTGGCTGTGGGACTACCTGCGAAGAAGCGGTGCGGCAGGTTTCTTCCTTCCTCTGAGTGGCGGTATCGATAGCTGTGCCACAGCTACTATTGTGCACTCTATGTGCCGAGAGGTCATCAAAGCCGTGTCAGAAGGGAATGAGCAGGTCATTAAAGATGTCCGACGACTCTGTGCCGAGCCGCCCGATTCGACCTGGCTTCCTACCACCAGCCAAGAAGTGTGCAAGTAAGTTTATCTGCACTGCGGATTATGTTAGTTTCTAACATTATCCAGCCGCATATTCCACACCAGCTTCATGGGCACACAAAACTCCAGCAAGGAGACGCGAGACCGAGCCAAAAGTCTGGCTTCGGACATCGGGTCCTACCATGTCGACTTCAATTTCGACACCGTCGTGACTGCCCTGACGAACCTTTTCACCGTTGTCACCAACTTCCAGCCTAAATTCAAGGTCCACGGCGGTAGTCGGGCAGAGAACCAGGCTTTGCAGAACGTCCAGGCGCGTTTGAGAATGGTTCTCTCGTATCTGTTCGCTTCTTTGCTGCCGACCGTCCGTCAACGTCCGGGTGGAGGTGGACTACTCGTGCTGGCCTCGTCTAATGTTGATGGTATGTTCCTCTATCTTTCGTTGTGGCGATTTGCTAATTGTTTCTAGAATGGTGTGTAAATCTGATTTTCAACCATCCCGATATAATCTCACCCCAAATCTCTCATTTGATCCCCCTGTATTTGCACTCTGATAACTGACATCAAATAGTCTGCGAGGCTACCTGACAAAATACGACGCCAGTAGTGCTGATGTAAGTACCAACCGATTGAAAACCCTTTGATTCCAATACTTCGCCAACTAACACCTCCCAGCTAAACCCAATCGGCTCGATCTCCAAAGTCGACCTCAAAAAATTCATCGCCTGGTCGCGCGACTCCTTCGACCTCCCCATCCTCCACGACTTCCTCTCCGCCACACCGACCGCCGAACTCGAGCCCATCACAGCCACATACGTGCAATCCGACGAAGCCGACATGGGGGTCACCTACGCCGAACTATCTATCTTCGGGCGTCTGCGCAAGATCCAGAAACTGGGTCCTTGGTCGATGTACGAACGGCTCCTGCATCTCTGGGGCAACGAGTATAGTCCGCGCGAGATCTACGAGAAAACGCGCCACTTCTTCTATAATTATGCGATTAATCGGCATAAGCAGACGGTTATTACCCCGAGTTATCATGCGGAGCAGTATTCGCCGGATGATAATCGGCATGATTTGAGGCAGTTTCTTTGTAAGTCTTCCTTCTATGATCCATCTCTCTTTCCTCCGTCTTGTTCCCTCAGCCTGTCGAACTATGGATGGTTCCAGGACCTCTTTCGTGGCTAACAGAACAAACAAACACCAGATCCTTCATTCTCCTGGGCCTACAAGAAGATGGAAGCTAGTGTGAAGTACTGGGAATCGAAGGGATGGACGACTGGGAAGGCTCAGAAGAAGAGCGTCAAGGCTGATTAATTAGACTTTCTCTGCTCGTCTCTTCTTGTGTTCTTCTGTTTCGGGGATAAGTAGGATACAGATTAGATCAGATTTACTACTACTGTTGGAGGGTGGTTTGAACGTTATATTTCCTTTTCCTCGTATTGAGGAATGAATGTTTTGCCAGATTCGATTGGAGAAGTGGTGGCAGTTCCAAGCCATGGAGCACGACGAACTATATCTTTTTATAGATTTCCATTCCTCGTACCACTAGACCCAAGCTTATCACTCAGATGTAGCGCGAAAGCGAAAGGCATGAATGATAACTACATCCGATAACAAGGCAAGAATCTTTTCCAAAGTAGCGTTCATGCATATTCCAAAAAATCTCAAGATAAGAATTTCATGTGATGACACTTTCTCAGATGAATTATTTACTTAAGTCGAGGTATTGATAGTCAAGAATCATAGAATCAGAAAAGAATAAGAATGAAAGCAAAAAGATATGGAAAGAAAAGTGGTCGGGAAAAAAATGACAATAAAAAAGAATGCCCGCCCCAGGATTCGAACCTGGATCTCCGTAACAATACACTAATAATAGAGGGGAATGTTACCATTACACCAAACGGGCTAATTTACATAGTGGGGACCACGGCGAAGTTAACAGCTAGTTATTGGCAAGCTTTCATAGTGCTTTACCCCCTCCTACACCTACCCCCTTAGCGCCAGGACGAGAAAGATGTGTGTAGAATGTAAATAGAATCAATCAGGAGAAAGGCTAGAAGGAGTGACAATTGAAGATTGAAAGAACTTGAGATAACGACCCAAGGCAGCAGATACCAACGCTAAAGCTTCACAAAATAAATACATAAGGAAATCCAAGGAGAGACATTGATGGTTGTTAAACCAAGAAAATGAAGAAGGAAAGAAAAAAAGACTGAAAGTCGATCAGTTACCCTTCCAGAACCAGCCATCTTTATTCTCATGAGATGACTGGTTCGCTGGGGGAACCCGATTATGTTGGGGAGGGTTGACAACCTCTACAGATTCGTTACTCTCCTCACGACCGTCGGCAAAGCGTTTTGTCTTGATGGTTTTCGTCTGAACAGAGCCATCTGATAGTCGGACGCGCTCCATCGTGGTTTTGGTGGAGATGACGTAGGGCTGCTGCTCTGCTGCCGAGGGAGTGTCGACAGCTGTAGATGGTTCGGTGGTTTGCTCTTTTTCAGAAACGGTGTCTGGGACAGAATTCCTCTGGCCGCCAACGACCAGCTCCAGCCAGGTTTCTGCATCGTCTCGGTGGTTTCCTTCGCGCGACGGCTCCCGTCCATCTCTATCTCCATATCTGTCATCCAATAGTAGACGAAGGAGAGGGCTCTCGCGCAGTCTGGAAAATTGACGCTCGCGAGCCTCAATGTCGTCCAGGAAGCGGTCGTACAGGTCCAATTCTGTGACCGATTCAGGCTGCCCATTCCAGCTGAACTCGGCCTTCACATTGTTGTTCCGATGGTCTCCTCCCGATCTTCTGGAGTCGTCTTTCTCGGATTTAGGCCCTTCGAAAGTGATACCTGACCAAGGGCGACCGTCCGCTCCGGAAACGTACTTCCACCGATCTCCCAAGCTACCGCGTTTTACCAAGCCCTGCATCCATTCCCTTCCTGTCTCCGGCTTGTTGTTTTCTGCCGGGCTATGATCGAGCATCGGTTTGCCATTTTCGAGTCGCAAAAGATCCTCAAAAGCTTCTCTCCACTGTGGTTCCGACTGGTCGCGCTCCGAAGTAGGTTTCAAAGACGACATGAGCGATGAAAAGATTCCTCTGTCGCGATTAGACCGATACTGTGCTTGGCGCTCAAGGTGCAGCGGCGAATAGGGGCTGAACATAAGGTATGTGACGGGCCAGGTGGGCGAGTCGTCGCTCACCATGCTGGAGAACATGGGGCGGTGGTACGGATGGAAGAAGCGCGAGAAGTGGTCATCGAACCAGAATTTGTCGAAAAAGGAATCGAAGAAATCCGTATCGAAGAGGTCGTGGGAAGACGCGCCCCGTCGTCCTCCATATCCGTGAGACCGCCAAGGATTTTCAGATCGCGACTGATGGTTGTCTGAGGTTGAAGCGCCCGGGGCGTCCGCACCCGAGGGAGTTTCGGTATCTTTGGCATCGTCATTGTGTTGTTGGCGGTAGCGGAAATCCCGGGAATATTTTGGGTCGTCTGCGAAAACGTCCCATCCGCTCGACAATGGAGGGGAGGCCATAGATGGAATACCCATTACCGACTGGAGCATCGATGAAATCTGCTCATCGGCGAAACGGCGGAAGGCGACGAACGGGTTGTCATCGTCGGGCCAGCCGCGAGAGCCGTTGTTGTGGTGGTGTTGGTTCGAGTTCTGGTCGTCCGCCATGTTGACGGTACAAGTATGAAGATGAGCACTGGTGCGGAGGGGAGGAGCGAGAGAAGTATAAGAAGCTTAGCGGCGGCGATAAATGAAGCTGTTGGGGATGTCGCCCCACCCGGGCAATCGCCACGTGAGTTGGTGTGCAAACAGTGTAAACTCTGGGTGCACGTGCGTCCTACTCTGGATCTATTTGGACTGTTATTCATGGTGTTCTTGTTACAGATCATTCATTCATTCCTCATTACTACAGAAATCAAGCTGAACCCTAACTCAAGTCCCTCTCACAGCCGGTGCCGTCGCTCTGGGAATTCCGCCCAGGCCTCTTTGAAACCCGTTGAGCGGACCCACAGTGGTCCTTGGTCCGAGGTCGAATCCATGACTGGGTAATTAATTAGCAGCAAGATCAGTCTCTTCAGGAAGTAGGCTCAGCTTACCCATATTACCAATCCTCAACCACATATCACCCGTGATTTTGAGGCCTCTCTCCGTAGCTTGACTCTCAAACTTACGACACACATCTTCGCCATGAGCTACGGCTCTGGCCAATTTCGGCAAGTGTCCGTCGTCGCTAGGGTGGGCAACGCAATGTTTGAAAATCGTCTCCCAGCTTTTTGAAGCCGGATACGTCGTCACTTCATCCACGAGAAGCTGAGGAGCCCCACGAGAGACATAGAGCAGGAGATCCAAGCGTCCTTTCCATTCAAGAAGGCGCAGTCGGGTTTTGATGTCCAGGAATGGAAGCGACACGATCTTCGAAAAGAAGATGGACGAGTTCAGACAATGGATGAGGAAGAAGTCGAATTTGACCTGCTTCGGGGGGTTTTGAGCCGCACTGCTATAATACACTGTGTACATCGAACTCATTAGCTTCAGAGGTCGTGCATGCGTTGGTTCAACCTACCGACTGCATTGGTCATCTCGGCCAATTTCTCTTCCACTTGGTCCTCAGAGACAGTAAATTCCGCGGCATATTTGAGCATCTCATCCGGAGCTCGTCGAAGAACTCCGTCCCTCATCTTGTTACCATCCTCCCAATGGGCAGAACGGGTCAAATTTTCGTCCCCGCGAATTTCCTCCAGGATCTGAAGCAGAGTCTTCTTTCCCGGCTTTCCAATGCCCCCGGCAAGCTTTTCAGCTGGCCAGAGGAACCTCGGACCAGACCAGTCTTCATGGATCGCTGCCTGAGCAAGAGCTTCGGCTATGATGGCGGGCTGGTTGAACTCAATTCCGAATCCAAGATGGATCAGGGGGTGGATGAGTCCTAGTGCGATCAATGTCAGTGAGAACAACAGAATAAACAATAAATAATTGAAACAAAACAAGAAAATAGTTCATTTCATTCAGATCCATACCTCCAAACAACCGAGCCAACAAGTTCTCCGCATTGTCCTCCCCAGAGAACAAATACTCATTGAGAACCTTCTCAACGCCTTTCTTCTCAATCTCTTGCTGGAAAAAGGCCAAGTAACTGGGATAGTTCTTGTCCCTTCCAAGGTACTTCTTGAATCCCTCCTTATCATACAATGACTGGATGACAGCCTCGTCAGCTGGCAGAGCCGGTCTCTGGTACCCTTTGTTTCGGTTGTACGCATCCCTGATCTCCTCCGGGGTTGCGCCTAGGGCGAAGATGCTCAAGAGGTGATGAACAATATGGTCTGCAAAGTCAGTCAGACAGGATCTACTCCGTAAAAGGTTCCAGATAGGTAGGAACATGACACTTACTATGAAACCCCATATTATTGAAGTACACATGATGATTTTCCAGATTCTCCTGCAAAAGCTCGCTTGCCACCTGCGCTGAATCCTCTCTGATACCAGACGAGAACACGCCCGAGTCGGACGTCGTTAACTGGACCTTGCGTGCGGTGGCCATTGTCCTTGCTTGATTGGAAAAGGAACGCTGTATGGTGCTGTCAGATCGACAACCGAATGCTGGGTGTTGCGCACGCAATGGAAGGCGCGTAGTCCGAGGAATATTCACAGTAGTCGAATAAGCACGATCAGGGTACTTATACTTCTGGGTTGACCCTCGATACCCAAAACCAAGCTTCTTCTTTAGTAATTGCGATCTGCTCTGTAAAAAGATAGTTCGATCAAGACTCGCGTACTGAGAAGCTCGAGACCAATGCATGAGAAAGTACGATAAGAAAGCAGATGGGAACACGCGCCCATCAACCAGTCTAAATAGTTTGAATCTCGTCTAACCACTCCAAGATTAATCCCAGTTCGTCCCCCCGGAAAAACCAAGCGGGGAATCAAATCATCCTAAACCTGATTGATTGTAGGGTAGGTAATTGTAATCCACCAGACGGCATACGCCATGGGCCCTTCGATTCGGTCTTCGGTCCTTCGCGGTTCCCGTCGGCGACGTCATCGCTAATGGATCTGTCAGCGGGCGCGACCTCACGTGCCCACCTGGGGTCATGCAATGTAGGACACGAGCTCTTTGTTTGTTATTTTGGGTTCTAGATTGTCAAATACGAGACTCTTGTTAAGCTGTTAGTAAACTGTTAGTAATTGTTCTGCAGCTAGTTTTGCAGGGGGGCCCATGTCAGACAGGTAAACTTTGTAAGCTGCTCGGAAGTCCGGGGGACCGAAGGAGATCCGAGATCGTCGAGGCCATTTTGATTACTTATTGCTGACTTGTTGTTTGTTCTGGACTGTGTGTTGTCCTGAAGTTGAGTCTTGTATTTGTAGATGTTTGTTACTTTGCTCTAGTGGATATAGGGATGGTTCAGGATGGAGTGGTAGAGGGAAGAGAGTTTGATGCGGAACAAATATATTTAGACACCTCAGGATCAAGCTCAACAGAGCTGACCACCACAAAATTCCTAACGTGTTACCTCGCTATTGCCCTAGATTATGCATAATCTGAGTTCAACAAAAGTGACTAGACAACATTTCATATTATTTATATTCGTAATTTATTTGTAAAGTACCTCCAAATCTGATCCATATGCTTCCTTATACAACAATGACCTTTTCAAATGTGAACCAACCAACCAATTCTAAACGCCATTTCCAATCTGATTTCAACGATTGAAATCCTGCATTTCCTTCTTGCGCTTGAGACGATCCCGCTCCATTTTCCGGAACAGCGGGTGATGCCCTGCCTTGTCTTTCAGCTGCTTGTTCCTGCTCTTGTTATACTCGATGTACGCCATATCTTCACCACCAGCCAGACCGCTGAGAGTAGCCGCACTGCGTTTGACAGCGCCTTTGCCCTTTCGGATGCCACCGCTGCGCTCGGAGAAGAGATCGTCGTTGACGTGCTCCACTTCGGCCGAGGTTTCGTTCTGCAGCATCACTTCTTGCAACAGCTCTCGACGCTCGCCCGGGGTTGCGTAGGCGAGACCGTTCAAATTTTCAATTCCTTGCAAGTGGGTGATCACCTTGAAGGCATAGCCCTGGTCGACAAGGAAGGCCTGTCGTTTGGAGGAGTAGAACATCTCATCCGTGTCCTTCGACACGAGCGAGTAGAAAAATGCATTGAAGCCCTCGTCGTTACGACGCTTGGCTCGCAGAATACGACCCAGTCGCTGGGCCTCTTGACGACGAGAACCGTAATGAGAAGAGATCTGGATCAAGCAGGTCGCCTCAGGCAAATCCAGAGACGTATCTCCGATCTTCGACAAGAAGATGGTGTTGACCTGTTCGTTGTGCTGGAAGTTCTCCAGAATACGCATTCGTTCATTCTGAGGCGTTCCTCCGTAGATATACGCCTTGTTCAATTTCAACGCGTACCGTTCGAGGGCGTAGACATTGTCAGAGAACACAATGACCTTGTCGCCTCGCTTCTCGTGGTAGTCGATGAGAAACTGGCAGGCCTGGAATTTGCGAGGATTCATAATATAGAGAAGGGCCGCCTTCCGGGATTTCTCCCTCATGTATTCGGAATAAAATTCCGTAGTCATTGGACACCAGACCTCGGCACACTGGACCTTGGCGATATGTCCTTGCTCGGCCAGTTCCATCCAGTTAGCTTCGTAAAGCTTGGGTCCGATCAGGAAGTTCAAATCTTTGATCTTGTCATCTTCACGAAGCAGTGTGGCGGTCAAACCGAGCTTGCTCTGCGTCGCAATAGCAGAGGTGACCTTTCGGAACATGGATGCAGGCACGACGTGCACCTCGTCAAGGATCATGAGACCCCATTCTCGGGACTGAATCCAGTCCATCATCTTCTGAGCATCGTGTGATCGAGCCCTGGTTTGCGAGACCATGGAATATGTCGACACAATGATACCGGTTGATCGGCGGAATTTCTCTTTGTTATCCGAGGTGAACACGGCAATGTCACCAGGGTCGATGTTCGACCACCGCAAAAATTCATTTCTCCATTGAACCACCGACATGGAACTGGTACAAAGGATGATGGTCCCTTTCTTGATCGTGCACCCCGCCGTGATACCCACCAGAGTCTTGCCTGCACCACAGGGAAGGACAATGATTCCACTCTTAGCACGTCCGTTACCAAACATCTTACTCAGACTCTTTTCTTGATAGCTTCGAATCCGAGCATTTGGCTTCAAATCGATATCCAACGTAGGGTTGATCTCGTCGTTTCGGAAATCATACTCCTCCAGTGCCGGACAGCCCATAGCTTGACAGCGCGCTTTGACCGGTTCCACTGCCTCGTTCGGAATTTCGAAACTGTGAACCTGAGCTTGCTCGTCGTCATCGTCATCGTCGCGAATGGCCAGGAGAAGGTCATCCTCCTGACGGCCTTCCGCCCCGGCATCCTCTGCCGGTTTCTGTTCAGATGTCTGCTGTACTCCCGCCGCATCTTTGGTACCTGGAATGACCAGGCCTCCCATTTTTGGTGCCGCTTGCTGAATGATTCCTTCCGTCCCTTGTAGTCTCTGCGGTCCGATAACCTCGTCCTGGAGAAGCATCTGCAGCATCCCTGGATCGGTACTTTCCACGAAAAAGCGGTTATGTTTCAGAACGACCTTGATCTTGCCGTAGGATTTCGTGAAGTCGATGATGAACGATTTGATTGTGTCCGGGAGCGGTGTTTTCGACAACCGATCCAGAAAGTTGATGATATCCTGAGGCTGGAGACCGACCGACACCGCCGCATATAAACTGTTTCCGGTGAGTCGATATTCATGGAGATGGGTCGGACGCGAAAGCGGCTCGGCGATAGTCGTCAGAAAGTCCTGGGCCTGAGGAGCCAGCGGCGAGAAACTTTCCAAGGTGATGGTGCCTTTTAAGGGATCGATCCAGAGGGGGCGGTTCGCATGGTCCGATTTCAAGGAAAGCGAGGAGAAGTCTTTGTAGCCAAAGTTGGGATCCTGCCTTTGGATCGAATTATCCTTTTTGTTGCTAAACGATTCGAGCGAGAATTTGTCCACGACCTCTTTAAACACAAGTTGTTAGCACACGGTTTGGTGTCCTTTCTTGTCGTGCGGTTACTCTACGGTACCTTTCAGACTGTTTTCCTTCGCATCTTGCTCATAGTCCGAGTAGTCGTCGCTACTGCCAACATCTTGGATGTCAGGCACGGGTGTCGCCCGCTTCGAAGCTCTACTTGACCGACCGCCTAGCCGAAGGTCAGCCTGCTATCCACCAGCCTCAAGTCCCGGAGATCCATACTATCAGTAGCCTTGCGCTTGGCGGGCGGCATATTGTGACTTTTTGATTTTTATATAGAGGCGAAAGTTCTATGGTCTATCGTGCCGTGATGTCTCGAGCGGATAAGGGTCGATGGATGTAAGAGCTCCGTCGGAAGGCTGCCAGCGCCTTGGATGAGCCAGGCTCGAGATCAGCCAGAAAACGAATCCTTGCGATGCGACCACGTCCGTGCCCTCGCAGAGCCTGAAGGGACTGAAAGGCAAGAGACGTAGGGAGATCGGAAGGGGTAAAAAGAAGGACGGGTTGAAAGGAACCTTAAGAGACAAGGCGAAGAAGTGAGAATGAAAGGAAGATCGACGGTGTTGACGGGTGGCAACGAATAAGCATCATTGGTCAGCATGACTCACCGCCCGCCCAGGCGCTAATCTCCATTAATGTTGACGTAGTTAGTTCCTTAGCTTACTTCTCCCGCCTGCATTTTGCTTCTGCACACTCCGTCCCTTGTCGCTTGTCAATTGTGTATATTAGGCATCATGAACACGGTAGGCCCTCGTCCTTCTGGAGACAGTTACTTAGCCGGGAGGATTTTTGGCTAACATTGTTTTCCCCATGCAGATTCGATCAACCTGGTGAGCCGACACTGGCCCAGTCTCCATTGTCTTGGACGAGTCGAGAACTAGATTACTGACTCGAATGTCAACGCCAACAGGTATGGCTGGGGCGCTCTGTGTGTCGGTAGGTCCAATGTCATGCATCGATACTCCATACATAGCTTCTGACCCTCCACGTCCAACGACAGCCGGCGGCGGAGCCTACTACTTCGCGAAGAAATCCATCAACGCCGACCGTGCAGCCCGATTCGAGAGCGAAATGAAGCGCAAGGCGGAAATGGCTGCCATGGAAGCCCAGCACCGACGGCAAGCCGCGTACAATGAACCGACTCCAAACCCGACCGACTCCCCGAGTTTGAAACGCGCCAACATGACCCGATTTCAGGGTGCTTCCGACGACGTAGCTTCGCCTAGCGCTGAGGCCAGCCATGACCCGGCCCCGACCCGCCACGAGCCCGAAACAGATGCAGAACGTGTGTTAGCGAAGGGGAAATACGAAGCTGCTCAACCATTTCGGCCTCCGAAGGGCAATCGGCTGTGAACTCCCCGATCAGAGAAGTGAGTAGGACGAGGGACTAGGGTGGTGTTTAAAAGTCAGAATTTTGACCCTGTCATACGCATGGTGGTTGAAAAGCTACTGTACTATGGCCCTGTACATATACTCGAGGCTCTCTGGGTGTTTCGTCGGCTCCTTGGACTCCCACGGCTGGGCTGTGAAGATAAATTGATCCGGAGCCGCCCGAAATTGCATTCTATATCTTGTATAGAGAGACTTATTTTCAACCCCTAATCATTTGATACGCTGATTGTAGGATATAAATATCTTATAGCATGGTTTGCACATATAAATGTATCTGATAGATAATTCGTTTTTCCCAATTCTTACTGGCTCCAGTATTTTACATAATGCAAGGGGGATGCTGTTAGGAAGAGTTTACGCGTTCTCAGCAAGCCCACTCCATGCCACACATCACCATCCATGTAGTTCACCCAGCGACCATGAGTTCAGGTGTACGCTCGCTAGATCCGGACCCCCGTGATATTGATATAAGACGGGAAATCAGTCGTTCAGAAGCCTCGATGATCTTTGAAATACACATATGTGGGACAAGATATATAATGAAGCTCGTATGTACATCCACTGGATCTTCCTTCACAACATTGACATATTAGATAGTTCCATGACAACGGCGACCCAGGCTACAGCAAAAAAGGCCGAGACCTCAATCGGTTTCGCTGTGAGCTGAATGCCTACCATAACCTCTCTCAATTCGGCGTGTGTGATCGCGGCTTTGTTCCCTCCGTTCACGGCTACATCGATCGAATTGATCCATCTTTGTTTCACCCGGAGCTGAAACATTTCGCAAATGATCAGTTCCTGCCGAGGGCAATTATTCTCGAGTATTTACCGGATGCGGAACGATTGAACTGTGTGAATTACTCTGACGATCTCTTTCGCTCCGCGGTGGATGGTATCAAAGCGATACATGATGCTTTTATCCACCATCATGATGTTTACCCGAAAAATATGCTGGTCGTGTCTGGTGTTAAGATTGTGTGGATGGATTTCGACGTTGCTATGACTTTCGATGATATGGGGAGTCATGAGAAGGCTTATTGTCAATATGAAGTCGATCTCGTGAAGAGTTTTGGGAAGCTTTTGGTACGTGTTTTCATTTCCTCATTGCTTTTTGTCATTAGATGTTGACTATGATAAACTGCAGAGAGAAGACCAGATACAAGGTTTGCCCCCTAACACGAAATATTATTGAAGATGCGCTCGAAAGATTCAACAGAGATGGCTTTATTTCGATTGATGTGTCTGCATATCCGGAATGGTTTCGGACGACTCTGTACAGTTAGCTGCTTATACTCATTTTGCAAAACAGAGAAGAATAATTGGTATCATTATCTTATTTCATTATTCGTCTTCATCGGGTGCGTGCGTCTAGCTATCTTCAATGGGATTCAGCATACATGGATGGCAATTCCCTGAATTGCCCATACGAGTACGGCGCACTCGTCTTCAGACCTCCAAACCGAAACACCCCTCGAGGCCAGCCTCTAAAGAAAAGGGGAAGCATCCGAAGAAGTAATATCAACCCAATTAACTCCGTTCCAAACAATGTCCAACCACATGATTGCGCCGATACACCATCCGATATGTGTAATGTCCCCACGGTTGGGGACAGACCAGGACATAAGAAATTAGGATCATGAGGTAAACGAATGAAGTTGTGGAGCTCGAGGCCGCGATGATGCCATCGATACCGGGTAAAGACTCCGATCGTGGGGTCATAAGGTCTAGCGGGCATGGAAACAGAGAGGGGGTTGAGGTCTGCAGGGAGAAGCAGGGACAGTTAGCCAACGAGACTCGAGAATCGCGTGGTAGCGGATAACCCTTACTTGTTATGGTTGGGGTACCCCAGATTCTTCTCGCGGGAGCTTTCGAGAGCCGGTGGGATGAAGGGCACTACCACAGCGGAGACTAGGCAGGACATGGCGACGAATCGAGAGGCTCGCGTATCCGGACGAGGACGGTGGACAGAGAAGTGCCGAATTGTGGGACGGACAAGCTGAGCGGCGATAGACATGGTTGAGGTTGTAGGGAGATTGGTTCTATGTAGACGGAGCTGGATCTATCGAAGACTGCAGATGTGGGATGATCGGAAGGTGCTGTGCAGAGTCGGATTGAACTTTGGCGATGGACGGCGTGCTCTATTTATTGAATATTATAGAACGTGGGATCTAAGGATGATTAGATCGTAAAGAGGACAGGGGATAGCGCCAGCTTTATAAGGGGAGCAAGGATATACAGGAGGATGATTGACGCACTGCACATCGTATAGAAACAGCAAGAGTGGAGAACTGACTGGCCTGCGGGGTTCTCTCGGCCCACCATTCGATGATGGCAGAGTTCCAAAAGACTTATCCGGGACCTCTCAGGCCGAATGGGTATCATGATCAATGACTAGCATTTGGACGAACATTCCGGACCATCCAATGACCAAGTCATCCGACGCAGGAGACAGTCAGCGAGTCGACCCCCTAGCCAGGCGCCAGATCGATCACGATAGGACGGACCGAGCACACCATCCTCCACCGACGGGTGCCTGATAGGCTACAGGAGCGTCGCAGAGGCTACGGATGTACACAACATATGATGAATGCATGAGCGATCGGTGGACTGGGCGCCCAAATGCCGGGGTGGCCATATGGAATCGTGGAGAAGGGAGACACTCACGCCATCTTTCTCTCTGCTTCCGAGTGGGCAGACTGGCGGGGCTGCGGGCGGGGATCGCGGTACACCGTAGTTGCGTCTACAGGAGGTGTACGGTGTACGTGAGCTGTGAATTGGAACTGGTGTTCTCGGACTGAGTGTCCCCGGTGGTCATGATTCAGCAAGGTACTGCATACATAAATAAAGAATCAACAGTAAACGCGCTCATTGGACTTAGATCATCTAATCTAAGGGGTCGGCCCGTGGAGCTGGCGGTCTGCCTGGATGCCTGAACCCTGAGGCCCTGATGCTTGTGGGAGGTTCCGATGGCGGCGTGGACCACCCGACCCCGCAGGAAAAGAAAACACGAGTTGGCGCTCCTGGGGTCACACGGTATTTATATAACGGCGCAGTAAAGTAGAATGGGGCATTGTCAGTACCCCTGTTGACAACTGGGCCCTTTGGACTTAAAATAACATATATCGCAGAAGATAAGAACGAAAAAGTACTCCGTACTCAGCCTGTGGACTCAAATTGGATGGGGCCAAAAGCTGTGGGATCATTACGAGTAGTCAGCACTGCCGACTTGGGCAGTTGCTGCCAGGCGCAGGATTCCAAGCTTTCCCCAATTAGGATGTCACTGGTGCAGGTCACGTTTTGGCCCCCCTCCGTGATGCGAGAACAAAGGGAACAAACGTCAAAAGGAAAAACAAGACGGCCGATCCCAACATTCAATGATCTGCTCCGCATCCATCGTTTATCAGAGCCTTCATGGTTCGAACTTTGGAGGCTGTGCGTCGCCCAACTAATCTCAGAAGAGTAGGGCCGCAGTCGATCAGAACGGTCGCCCTTACTCGTTGCCCAACTTCGTCTATCTCTCTTGCTACCGACTCGGGGTCTGTAGTTGAAGGTTCAGTGAGCACTATAAGATTAGCCTGCACTAGCCGCCGTCCAGCCGCTTACAAGAGGCCAAGGCCACCCCCTGGGAGATTTAAGGCGCCCTGTTAACGCGCAGGCTGGAACACGGCTTTTAAGGGGTAATAATAATGGCAAAGCCCTGGTGGGCTCTGCCCGGTGATTTTTAATCCACTTAGTGGATGTGGTGCGGAAACTGGCAATCACTATGGACTGATGGAGTCTAGCTGGGCAGCCCTAATTCCGGGCGCCAGAAGGGCAGGAAAACCATGATACCCTGCGCTGCATACCATTTCGCGGTCCTATATCAATTGACAGAGCCTTACGTGGATTGCCAAGCGATGAACTTCATATCTGATGAACTGGATTAACCAACAGTTCCCGCTTCTGTTGGAAGTCAAGTGCTGTTATGGTTATTAATCCACTATATGAAATCCCGAATCCTCTCTCGTTTGTGTTTGTTTGCAGAGTTGGCCCCCATCAAGGCTGGGTTCCTTTCCCCCTGGCCCCCAAGAGCTCCTATCTCGGCAGCCCTAGGCATTTTAGTTCCTGACCACAAACCGCAACCCAACGAGGAACTTCGTGCGGCTATGCGCACTGCGCAACGCACCCTGAGTCCCTGTCTCTCGCAGGGCGATCGAACGCCACCTCGTATAGCTGGCCCTGTGGGCTATATAGACCATATGGTTTCGAGTCCCTGTCATATGGTGTCAGAAGGCTGAAACTATTCTGGGCATCGTTCCTGCTTTTAGGGCGTTTCAGGAACAATAACACAGTAGGCAGTTTGAGCTTGTTCGCAAAGGATTTTCGACCTAACTCGAACTAGGACCATTATGCATCCGCTCAGCATGACTTTCCCTAGAGAGGATAAGATATCTCGTGAGGGTCCCACCACAGGACTTCCTCACTGGTTGAACCCTGTGGGCTCAATTTCCTTTACGAACTTCATCTTACTCAAAACCCTATACATGCACCGACCTGCGCTAGTTCCCTTGGAGGGTCGAGCACGACGGGCCTTTTTGGGGCCAAATTGCTGCGCACACCCTCTATGCCCCCTGCCATAAGCGCCAAAACCAAAGCTGAAAAAACAAAAATAAACCAAATACGCCCGTCAGAAGCAACAACCGGGCAGCGCCATGGACAATCTCGGGGGCCGCCTCTCTTGATTCGATGCAACTACGATTCATACGCCATAGCCCCCAAGTTCATTGGCTAGATTGATCCACCCTCTCTTTTCGAGGCCATTGGAAATACAGAGAAACGACGACAAGAACGCAGTGAGCTTCTAGAAGCCTGCCAGGGCTATACATCCTGGCTAGACTTTCATGGATCCTGAGACCATCGCGCCTGGCTTGATGACGGCGCACCCCCAAATTCAAATTGAAATATCCGTGATAACGGGGAATAGGGCGATGACATAGGCCTCGCAAAGAGGGCCATGCTGGTGGCTGGTTTCACAATGAGCCTCATTGCCCTTCGTTGCAGGTGGATCGGTCTCCGCTACGGGGTACAATACGAACAATTCCGTCTCTTAGTGCTAAGATCATCTCAGCCCCCTGAGAGATGCAGGCTTAGAGCTCATAGACTTTCGCCGTTCCTGGGACTAACAGGCACCAGGAACGTCCTGTCATCCTGGCCATTGACCAAGCCTCCTGGTGTTGGATGTCGGGGGCCATATTCGATCTTGAGGTCGGACGAGGCTATGGCCCTACGAGGTTTATGTTAAATAGATGCTCAATCGCCCGGAAAATAATGTTTGATCCAGACAGACTTTCAGTACCATCACGCCAGAGGTTCACCTCTATCCACTCTTTTCTAGAACTGATCCATTAATCTTCCTGGTTGAAGACTTGGCTTTCGTTCATTAATTCATTCATTCATTCGTTCATTTCAAGATGGTGAACTTTTCCCGGTCATGGCTGACTTCCGGCCTTTTACTCTCCTTTGCTGCTCAGCCTATCCTGGGTCTGGAGCTGGTGGAAATTGACCCGCCGACTTCTGATCTCGCCGCTCGAGGCGAGAACCTCCCGTTCGAGGGCTTCGATCGTATGAAGTCTGACTCCCTCTACTGGGGTGGTAAGTTTCCGTTTTCCCCTCCACCCACTATCAAGCACTGACAACGGTCCCCGTATAGCTAGCGCCGATGGTAAATCTTCTCTGGCTAAATTGACCGTCGACACGGGTGATGAGAAGGTCAGCATTATCAACATCGAGAAGTTCCGCAACAAGCTCCACAGCGTGAACTGCACTCAGACCACCTTGTCGGTCGACTACACCGACCCCAACTCTTTTGCCCGCTCCCAGAAGGCATGGAACTGGATCAACGAGGAGGACGACCGTACTCTGATCGTCATTGCGGGTCGTGAACACTGCGGATGGAACAAGAACCGTATGCCCTTCGAGGTTTCCAAGATCTTCTTCGACGAGAACACCCAGACTGCCAAGTTGACCGGTAAGGCCTCGACCTGGGAGACCGTTCTCCAGAACTACGAACTCACCGTCGGCAACTGGAACACTGGCTCAACTGGTGGCAACGAGAAGCGTGACTACGACAAGGACTTTTCCATCGACTTCAACCATGACATCGATTTCAGCAAGGAGATCCCTATCCCCAACACTGACATGCATGTCACCTTGGGCTGTGATGAGTGCAAATCCCGCGGATCCTTTGACTTCGGTTTCCACATTGAGACCAAGTTCGGTTTCCCCAAGTCCGCTTCCGTGAACATGAAGCCTAGCGGCGTGGGTCTTGACATCCGACCCTCCATCGGAATCGGCGGTAACTTCACCGAGGAGATGGGTGACGAGTTCGACGTGGCCACCATCCCCATCGGCGGTATCTCCATCAAGGGCATCCTCGAGATCGGACCCCAGATCGTTTTCAGCGTTGGTTACAGCTTCGGTGAAGTTGCCGGTGAGGCAACCATCTCCGCCGGTGTTTCCCTTGACATTGACGACTCTGCCACCCTGGACATTGATATCAGCGGCGCCGACGTCACCTCTGACGGATGGACTCCTTCCGTTTCTCCTCTTCCCCTCAAGGTCGATGCTCAGATCGAAGCCACTGCTGAGGTCTACGCCAAGGCTTCTGCTCAGATTGCCGTCGAGGTTCTCGGAAAGGGATGGGAAGCCGGTATCGACCTGAAGCCTTCCGTCTCCGCCACCCTCACTCTGGCTGAATGTAAGTCCTGAATTCAACCCACACTCTATTCTGATTAACTGGATGCTAACGAGACCTGCTACAGCGTCCGACGGTGTCTGCTCTGACGACGAGGACAAGCACATCTTTGGCGTTACCTTCGCTCCCTCTGCCGGTGTCAGCCTGGACGCCACTCTGGCCAAGGCCGACGACAAGCAGAACCCCATTGCTGAGGCGACCATCGCTGTAAGTTGACCCGTGAATCGTGAAACAATCGGAGAGAACCCCGCCATCTAACTATTCAACAGGAGTACAACGCCGACATCGACGAGAAGTGCTTCCCCTTCGGCCCTACTCGTGCCGAGGAGACCACCAGCGCTGCCCCCACCACCACCACGGCCGCTGCTACTTCTTCCACCCAGGTCGCTTCGTCTACCGCCGTGGCTACCACCTCTTCGGTTGCTGTCCCCTCGCAGCCTGCTCCCCCGTCGAACCCCACCACCACCTCCGTCGTGAACTCGACTCCGGTGGCCACCCCCAACCCTTCGGGCTCGGCTGCTGCTCCCAACCTTCACCTTCGTGACCACCAGCGCCGTCACCGTCGCCACGCCGCCCGCTTCTAGAGGTCGAGCGTTCGGAATCATGACGACTACTTAAATGGAAGCATCGGGTCCGTTAAGGACCCGGGGTGACCCAGTACTAATGAGTTCGGATGTGCATCTGTATCATTACGTATCTTCCAACTAATTCCCCTCGTTTCCTGATATTGTCTGCTTCTTACTGTCCTTAACGCTGTTGCTTCATTCTTTGAATGCCTTTCATGTAAATAGCCTGTTGTATTAAATACTAGACCAACGTGCACTCCGAATTCTAATTTCTTAACGATTTCTAAGTTGAAGTAGTTCTCTGTGTATAGGTATGAGGATAGGGAAACTAGAGGATATATAGTTACCCTTTTATGGTGTCTTTCTGTGTACGGATATAAGGGAAGATCGAATAAATCAAGAGATCATGATCATGGGTATCAAGGAAGACATCATCTATGGTGTTTGTTGTATACATGCCCAATGCTTGGCATAGCAGCCTCAGGCAATCGCGAGTACCGGCAGAACGTGGAAGCCTGACCGCCAACGCCGACCCCAAACTCGACCGCAGCAGATCCTAGCAAAGACGCCCTGCCGCAGTCATTTCGACTCTCACAGCCGCAAAAAAGGCGATAATTCAAAACGACCGGAGTTTTAGATAGCTAGTAACTTTGTTCGTCAGATACAAAATTTTGACAGAGTATTTGGCTCTGTTGATGCAGGCAGTAGCTTGCAAACATTCAGCACCATACAAATTCTGTTATTTTTTGACTTGTACACTCTCAAAAAGTCATGTGAAATCTGTGGTTTTTTATACTTTTGGTCACCTGATTGGATCCACCGACCGGAACATCCAGGTCACGTGTGATAACCGCCCCAAGTCTCCTCCGCGGCTCCGACAAGCTCCAAGGAACACCTCTCTCCGCTGCTCTCCAGGTATCTCGCAATGGCGTCGCATCAACTTGCCATTGCAAAGGCCTCCTTATCGGCCGGGCTTCTACGCCCTGACCCCACGTCGGTGACACGCGACGAGATCACCGCGTTCCACACCGCACTCGACAGAGCGCTATCCCACTGCTCGTCAGCAAACATCCAGGTTTGATGATCCGTCGAGTCCTTGACTGTCGAAAACCGTGTCATACTAAATCATCGTGCCCGGCATGCACTAGGCCTGCAAATCATGGCTACTGCGCCATGTCGTCTCCTCATCCAACCGGGTGGGGGTTTGGGCCAAGTACCTCGCTGCCTTGTCCGGCTCGTTCACCGCGGAAGAGGGTGCTTCTCCGACCAAGTCGGCCGCCCGGCCTGCGACGTCGGCTAAGCGTAAACGCCTGCATATCATGTACCTGCTGAATGACGTGTTCCATCACACCAAATACCACATGGGATCGAAGGCCGCCTTCTCCACCGTTAGCGGCTCGCTGCAGCCGTATATCGTGGAGTTGCTGGGCTATGCGGCCTCCTACGATCGAGAAAAGAACCCGAAACACCATCGAAGATTGGACGATCTGCTGGATATCTGGGAGGAGAATGAGTATTACGGTAGTGACTATGTCGGCAAGTTGCGCGAGGTCGTCAAGAACTCGGCCTCGTCGGGGCCCGTCAAAACGTCGATTGACGTCGAGACGAGTAATCTGGATTCGACAAATAAGCCTTCTGGAAAGGATGTTCCCTTTGTGATGCCCGCGACCCATGGTGATGCTTCGACCCCGTTCTATGACCTACCGGCCGGAAACCTCATCCCCCATATCATTCCGAATTCGACGATTCCTCTCCGCCCGGATACAATCAAGCCTCTGCAATTTCTGGCCGGTCCAGCAGATGAAAAACTGGTCACGGCAGTGAAGAAATTTCTCAAGGATGTTGACCGGATCTACGATTCTACCCAGCCGGAGCAGAAGGAAGGTGAAGTGGTGGACATTGACGATCTGGGCGAGGTGGTAATTCGAGATGACCAGACCGGCGACGTTCTTGACGGCGAAACCTATTACGGATGGTCTCGATCATTCTGCCAGCAAATGAAGATGAGAAATGCTAGGCCCGGCTCCCGCAGTCGCAGCCGCAGCCGCAGTTTGACGCCCCGGAAAAGGAGGCGATACAGCAGTAGTGTTGCGAGCGACGACAGTCGATTGAGTCGGTCTCGGTCGCGAAGCCAAACTCCACCTCGCAGAGCCCTAGGTCGAAAATACGACTCGCGATCCCCGTCCCGATCCCGATCTCGATCACGGCCGTCGAGATCATATTCCCCACGAAAACCCTCTCCTCCACGAGCTCAGCCGCCTCTTCACCAACCTCCGCCAAATCCATACGGCCACGGCCACGCACCTCCCCCACCTGCATATCCTCCCCATCACCAACATCCTCCTCCCATGCCCCCGCAACATCCCATGCATTTCCCAGGCGGTCCGCAGGGCGGGCCTCCCTTCCCGCCACCACCGGGGATGTTTCCCCAGGGCGTTCCACCTCCACCTCCGCAGAACTACCAAGGCCAATGGCCTCCACCACCCCCACCGATGCCGAACTACGGACCCGGACCCGGCATGAACACGTCGCATTTCCCTCCTCCGTACCAGGCGCAGGGCGGACAATACCCGTCTATGCACCGTGGTGCAGGGTTCGGGCCTGCGCAGCAAATGCCTCCGGGATCGTATCACTTTCCTCCCCCTCATTCGGGCGGACAGGGGCAGGGGCAGGGACAGGGGCAGGGGCAGTATGGATACCCTCCGCCTCCGGGACGATGGAGGTAGATCAATCACTGCTACCCTCCCTTATTGGAACATGGCTAGATGGAATGCATGTATTATGTACTATAAATGAGATAAATAATTTTGATACTACTACCTATCCATCTATCGACCTATAATCATTTAACTGGACTATCTTTCACGAAACCAACAGATCCTGATTCATTCATATAGCTAAGGTATTCCATTCAATCCAATTCACCTCCAACTACATACATGTTTACAAACAAAGATACAGAACATACAGACATAGATACACACACTCATTCCATCGCCAGGAGCCAAGATAAACTAATCGAACCGAACCAGATAGAAGAACCATATCAAACGAGAAGGAGGAAACAAGGAAGAAAGGTACGAAGAATAGAACGCCTGAAAAAAAAAAAAAAAAGAAAGAGAGGAACAGAAGAAAGGGGGGATTAACGACCCGTGCCTGTGGCAGTAGCTGTATTCGAGGTATCCGTTGAAGATAGCGAAGTTTGAGACATGTCGGTGTTGGTCTTTGCTCGCCGGGATACTGTTGTTGCTTTCGTGGCGGATTTAGCTGTCGTAGCTGCCTCAGCTGGAGTTGATGATGAGGTAGGGCCGGATTCTTCGGTTGTTTCCTTCTGTTTCTCCTTCTCCTTCTGAGATATGATGGTAGAAAGCGACGCCGGGGCCGAGACTGTGGTGGACTCGGACGGAGCTGTCGAGGTAGTATCAACCTTGGGTTTTTCTACCTTGGTTGCTTTCTCAGTTGGTGCCGTTGGAGAGGTAGCAGACGTAGACTTAGAAGAGTTCGAAGTTTCCGACGATGTCGACGCTGACTTGGCTGTAGACGTAGAGGTAGAACTAGAAGCCGATGTAGAGGCAGACGAAGAAACAGACGCAGACGAAGTCGCAGGTCCAACAAGACCAGAAACAGACTCCTGCACCCTAGCCACCTTCTCCGCAACGGGATTCATCTTCGGCTTCGGGGTACTCGACGCAGCGACTCTCGACGCCGAGCTACTCGTCCCGTTCTTGCTCATCATCTGCTCCAGTTGCTTATTGATATTCTTATCTAGAGCCTTTTTCTTGGATTCGAGAGCTTCGTCCCATGGTTTGCAGGTTTTCATGAGTGAGGATTTGGACTATATTCAGCGTTAGTATTTTATGATAATGTCTTAAAGGCTGATAGTCCCATGGCAGAGGGATAACTCACCCCTCCGGTTCCAGTACAACACATCACATCGTTCAAGCAAGTTGCGTTGTCTCCGTCTGCGTCCATTGGTCGACCTGTTTCATATCCCGTTAGCATCCTCTCACACTTACACATAACTGATCATAAAACCGACAAACATGACACCGCACTCATGACATCCAGCTCAAGAAAAAAAACCAGACAACTGGGAAAAGAGAACGTACACTCCAAGCTAACAATCGACGAAATCTTAACATCGCTCAACAACGGCACAACCTCCCCAATCTCAGACGTGACACCATTCGCCAGCGCCGTAATTGACATACAGCATTGTTTGGACGGATGCGAAGGCGGACAGGTATTCAGGTTACTCGATTCCTTCGCGGACTGGGTGACCAGCGAGTCTAGGATCTTGTCGTTGTCTGTGTAGCTGGATTGCGAATTGGTAGGGAGTGTTTCGGAGGCGGCGCGGGGGACGAAAGGGATTGCGATGGTGGAGGTTGTGAGGAGAGATATGGAGAGGGAAAGGATTAGCGTTGGGGGATACATTTTGTATCTGTATGTATCTGATCTCCCTGGGTATCTCTGTTCCTGGTGAGAAGATTAGAATATGGGTTAAGCATGAAAAGCTGAGAAAGAAGCAGAAAAGAAAATGGGTTGACACTCAAGATCCAGATAATATAGAAAGAAAGACACCAAAGTCAAGGCAAGAAGGAGCTCGGGGTCCTGCGTCCCCTTGACAATCCTTGTTCCTTTCCCGCTCTCTTCATTAATCTGGGCGGCTGGCTCTAGGGATGGATTAATGTACGCGCTCTCTGACAGACCAGGACCGTTGTGGAATGTGAATCAAGATAGCTGGAATGTGGTTGTTATGACTTACCATGTCAATTGAGCCAATGAGAGTAGAGAGGATATGTGAAGATCGTGCAGTTACCATGCATCGGTTTGCAGGCGTGTCAGTCATCTTGCATGTGCGCTGCGGCTCGTTTCATGACTTCATCCATCCCTTGGATAGGAAGTTTCACCCCTGTGCCTGGGATAGCAAACCACCACGGCAAACGCAGGGGAAAAAAGGAGAAGAAAGCAAAGAGAAAGATAATACATTGAAAGTAGAATCAATTCCAAAGGTTTTATTCAGTCATCAAGGTCATGTAAAATCAAATGCCTGGGCTCATAACAGGCCGTCACTCTAATCGTACATCACATAAAGAAAAATGAACCCGATCCTTGCTGTTGATCAAACACATTCCCAAAGACAAACCCAAAGAAAAACCAAAAAATCATGATCGCTGTCGCTAAGCACAAAAGGACATCTTTTACACATGAGTGTCCTGCACACATATATGATACACGATTACTGTGCAGTGCACAGTGAAAAGGGAACTGGATGGAGTTGCAGGGATCGATTGCTGGCTGCCGACCTAGGATAACAGCTCTAACCAAAATCCAAGGGGAGCGCAAATGGCATGAAAAAAAAAAAAAAAAGGGGGCGGACCAGCCAGAGCACAAAGCAAGGACCAGTCACCGCAGCAAGACGACGTCGATCAAAGGAGTGACACACCGATGTGTAAACGACGATAAGAAAGGAAATTCACCCCTGAGTAGACATCGATTTGCTTGAGACCAGTTGAAGACCAAAAGCGCGGTTGTCATATCTAGAATCTATAAGATCCGTTCCAGAAGGTATCATCAATGCAAAAAAGGGGAAAGTATCAAAAAGAAACTGTGGAGGTCCATGTCGTATATCTCCAGTTGATCAAGAGTTTCACCAGGACTCTTGCGAAAGAATTGAACTCGTAGATCGTCTAGGAGATGTCGCTCCACCATTGCTTGAGAATGTAAATCAAAGTAAACTCTTGAAACGCCCGGAGACAACCAAAGCGTCATGTCTCCTGTGATCGTCGCCAACACCATGCTATGAAAAGGACTTGCGTCGAAAGCTATTGCCAACGACCTGACGACCGCCCGCCCATGAGTTGGTCCTGGAAGGGAGATCAGATTACAATCGATCCCCCCAAAGTCAAAGACGAACTCAGGCTAGGGCGGCGTCCTCCTTAGAACGACTGTTTGGAGTTGTCCCTGGCGGACCCGGTTGTCTCTCCGTTGCCGTAAGGGCTGCTGTTAAAGGAGGCACTGCTAGAACGAGCAGTAGAGTCGCGGCCATTGATTTGACGGGCCAAAATGCCACTAGTAGAATCACCGCTTTCATTGCCAGTATCGCTGCTTCCGCTGCTTCGACCCGCGGGCGACCCTTTGTCATCGTCCAGACGAGCGAACCCAGACATCCGGTTCTGAGTGTACTGTAGCATCACGCGGCTGTAGTCTTCAATCGAGGTGTGAGGGTCCAAAGACCGGGTGGTGTCGACATGAGGCTCGCTAGGAGGATTGTAGCCTCCACCATCCGCGGGGAACATGCCCTGGGGGGCCTGGGTCTGTTGCTCCATGAATCTAGACATAATTGAAGCTCCTGCAGAATACTGTTGTCAGCGCCAAATCATTCCACATGATTGAAGATGGTCTATCGTCAGGAGACGATGACCTCAAGATGTCTCGTCATGATAGTTTCGTATTCTATTTACAAGGCGTGATATTCGAGTCCCAGTCGGCCAGGACCCAGCTTGCTGCTTTTGGCGTGGGATTCATGTTGGCGAAGGGCGGACTTTTAGTCGCGGCACAAAGACATGGAAGGAGGTCCCTTTCCATAAGCAAGGGCAAAATCTTCTGCAGGCTCACCTTTCCACAGAGTTATAGGATCTCAAAAGGGTAATAGACAGGGGATAAAGTCAAAACGACGAGTCACCAAGACAATGAACAGAGAAACGGGATTTTTGGTTCGAAGAAAGGGTGAAAAGGGGCGTGGGTATTCGAAACTAAGGTCAGGCTTAGAAGATTTGGTAGAGTACTAGAAGATTTCTGGTAGATGAGATAGCTTAAGTCAACGACGAGACCAGGGGTTCATATAGACTGTGTGCTGGCAGTGGATGGAGCCCCAGCTGTGAAGAGGAGATCCGTGGAGAACAGCTGGCCGGGCCTCATATGAGATCACAAGGGCCAGCCAATTACCTCACAGAGGAACGAAGCGAGTCAGTAAGGAAAGGTCGTCGACCACTATGACACAAGGGCATGCCCATGCCCCATCGGTAGCGTCATGCCTCATGCGGACCCAAGGGGAGATGACATCATTGCACTGTTCGAGAGGGGAGAGGTCATTCATAAGGCCCTAACTCTCGCCCCAAGGGCCCTCCTAGGCTCCTAGGCTCCCCTTGTCTGTTTGTCGACTGGAGCCACCCAGGCTACATCAGCAAACGATCTGAAATGAAGGGCCCCACAAGCTCCTGGGTCGCTGGTATTCCCCAGATGGTCCATGGGTCCAACCACCAACACAGAAGTGAGGTCACGGCGTTTCGCCGATCGATGGGCTGTCGAACGCCAACCCATCCGTGCAGATCGACGTAGACGAAGTTCGAAAGGAGAGAAAGCAGATGCCAGACCGGTCGAATTGCTAGAAGCGTTAAGGGGTTACCAGGATAGGCCTCCCTGGGAATGATGCTCCCCGTGATGTGGTAGTCCGTGGAGGAATTTAGAGCTGCATTTACTTTACGCAGCCACCGACGCAAAGGACGAACCGTAGGAGCCAAAGCGGAGCCCTGAGAAGGGTGATATGTCATAACCGGGTCTAACGCGAGGCTAAAGTCGTTAGCCCGGCATGGAATCAAATTCAATGAGGAATGAGAGGGAATCTCGTTGGACTGCAGACTCCGTCATCTCGAAGAGGCAAAGGATAATCGAGAATTCCATCAAATCAAATTAGCTCAAATAAAATAAAATAAAACTAAGTCCCAAATTCATTTCTACTAGTATCGGGGATTACAAAGACCAAAAATTGAAAAACAGACAGAGAGAAAAGAAAAAGAAAAGAAAACCGGACCCTTAACGTCAGTCCAGTCGAAGGCCAGACAGATGGTCAAGATGATGATGACGATGGAGAACGATGCATGTCGATGAGTGGTCGAGGCAACATGAAGGGCAGAAGGAAGGAGAAGCTCAACCGTGGACACGAGAGGGAGAGAGAGAGAGGAGAGAGGAAGAGAGAGGGAGAGACTCTCTTCCTGCCTGAGGCTGGCGACTGACGTCAGAAGGCGTCTGTTTGCGCCTCCCACGTTTTCAAGGTCTCGACGGTGTACTGAGTATAGTCTAGTCTACTCTACTGTCTATACGATTGCTCCTTTCCGTTCATATCAACGGAATAACAAATCCGCTGTCCATCCCAATCCCTCATCCTCAGATTCTTCGGTCCCAACTCCAAGTACTGCTGACGGAGTACACTGTATGCACCCAGACCCATCGTCCATCCGGACGCTCCACATCCAAGGAGGGACGGAACACTGTTCCGAACGTTCTCCTCCCTCGTCTCGTCTCCCTTGCCTACCCTAACTACTGACCATATCCTCCTCACCCAGCCTAGGGCTTCGTCTAATCACCCTTTTCGACTCTTCAACCGCTAACAAACGACCCTGGGAAATCACGTCGCCGCTACGCAGTCCTCAATGTTTGGTCGCCGTTGCTCGCATCCTCCACATCCACGTCCAGAGCCAATGAACCGTAGAGTCAGATTCCTGATCAGCGCTCAATGTTCGCCACGCAAAGGTGGATCAGCCCACGGTACTGTGAGAGCGGGGATAATAAAAAAAATGACAGCCTCGAGAGTGGTCAGTCTTGCGCGAAAAGAAAGAGGCAGGGGGTGCGACACGGAGTAAGAAAGACGAGAATAAGACAAATGAAGGTAAACGTAAAAAAGAGAAGAACATTCTTCGTGCCTGTTCCAAAGAGGAACACGGGCCAAAAATTTGCCAGAGACAAAAAGAAAAAAAAAATCTCCCATAACTAATATTTAGCGTGCATCATCCTTTGCCGCTAGAAGTAGGTCTCTCCGACTCGCACGCTGCCGACAAGGGACCTGTACTGTACACGAGACAACTGAACGAGAGAGGATAGGATCAGCCCCGTGTCACTTTATCCCAAGCCACGCTGTAAAGGACAAACGGAAAGGACCATCTCGGGCCCAAATCCTGGTGGTTCTAGATTCTCGTGGTCTGATCAAAACCATCAGCGCCGTAGCACGGTAGCAGGGTGCAGACTGCAGACAGAGGTTTCGGTGGATCTTCCGAAGGCAAAGACAAATGCTGCATCAAGTCAGCGGTGGAGAAAGGAACCGTTTGAGAGCTCGGTTATATCATACCTACCTGCCCGTTGGTCAGCTGCTGTTCTGTACCCATTTTTTGTGCCAATCTTATTGTAGAGCTCGGAGATGCTTTACTCCGTATGCACCATCAATAAGGCATGTACACTGAGGATGATAGCTATTCTCCACATAAGGTAGTGAGCCGCAATGCTTGCGACAGTGAGTTGGAGAGAAGCGCGGACAGCAGATGTGACGGTAGAACGGCGCCTCACCTCTCGACTGATATCACCGCGCCCTACATAAAGTAGACCCCAAGATCTAACACTCCCACCGAAGGCGGGTGAAGTCATAGCAGAAGTCGTGAGAGATCTTCAAAGACATCTGCCAAAACCATACTCAGTACTCTAGAGAACCATCCATTGCATGCATCTTCACGTCACACTCTCATGCCTGTCTCGTGGGCTAGAACTCTGAGATCTCGGAAAAACCGGTATATACGTGTAACTAGTCCCCTGCAAAATGGGTACATCATCGAACGTCAAACAATGCAGGATTCTCTCCGGTCTCTTTTAGCCACATTCGACCACATTTTCATCATCGACCGCCAGATGCTGCAACGGCATTGATCGCCACCCGCAGGCTATACAGGACTTTGCGGCGTCTAGAACTACCAGCTCCCCTCGTCCGCTGTGACGTTGATACAGCGAATTTTGCAAACCCTTTCATCATGAGGGTATATCCCTTACCTGTTCACTGGGCGGCAAGGTCTGTTCAACGGTCGTGAGTGAGTCTAGAAGACCCCTGATCCTGCCATGTTGGTCTTTAGGAGGTTCCGCTGGAGCACTAGTTTGCTCGTCCATCAGGTTGATTGATCCGGTGTCTTGTCATGATGACGTAAAAGTCCGCGAACAACAGGGCAGATATCACGTTGTGTTGCCCTGGGGACCAGTTATTCAGAGAATCATAAGATAAGGATAATGTATTCAAGGACCCGGTCCAAGTCGCCTCAATTCACCTGCTTCAAACAAGATGAAACATTCTAAACTTAAAATGGGATGTAGATACAATAGACGCCACAATTCAAATGGGGAAGATAGACAAATCAAAATTCATGCTCACTCATCACACGTAACCTGCAGATCAATCAGAATCTGTCGTAAACGTTTGTTGGGGGAAACGGGGAGGCGAATGCCAGTAAATGGTTCTACGCAAATACGTACCTTTCCTTGCGCCCTGGAAGAAGAAGCGCACAACGAAGACCTGCAAGCCAGCCATCGACACCATCATCAAGCCCTCAATTACGCTAAAGTTGAAGATCCGGCGTTCGGTACTACGAACAGTGCTGAAGTTGCGGTTCTCACGGGTACGGAAGTATTTCTGGTTGCGGGAAATGGTCGACAGCTGGGCGGACAGTTTGAAGATGGACTCCTCGAGGGCAGACGCCTGTTCGGGGGTGGCGCCCTGTCGGGAGGGGAGCTGGGCGCGTTCTTCGTTCTCGATCTAGCCATGAAAAAAAGCAAAATTAATCACAAGTCCTGGCGATAACCGGTTTTGAGGTTCCAAACATACCGCGATCTCGAAGTCTACCATCTTCTCCGCAAACGTCGACATCTCATTGTTGAAGCAGAAGCGATATTCCCCTACGCTCTGAGCCGTAAAGACGAAATCGCCCTGTCGTTCCTTCGTTCCATCCAAGACCACCTTATCGCCGGGACCGACAACGGAGTAATCGACATCGAAAGAACCGCCAGATTGGACCTTCGAGAGAAAAGTTAGTTCCCATTGGAACAATTTCCGTGGCACAAAATGCCTCCATCATTGTATCGGCACTCACAGCGAAATAGAAAGCCACCTTGGTGTTCCGCTCGTCGACGTAGTTGTAGAAACAGGCCTTCTCGTTTGCCTCGAGACGGTAGGTAAGCGCGGTGGCAGTCACAGTCGACACCAACGCGGCCAGAATTCCGATGACCAGAGCGGCGAAACGCATGATGATAGATAATGGAGAGACAGCAGGTCTATCGGGGAACTCTCCAGGGGTGGCGGCTGGGTTGAAACGCGCCTTGAAAGTTGAAGTTCTGGACAGCTGTGTGTTCCGGGGCTGTTTGCCACGTTTGCATCCACGAGCGGGCCGGGCAAATAAACTGCCACTTTAAGCCATTTTAAGGCCAACGTTTAGGCTGGCTAATGATGCACCGTATTAGTGCCCTTAGGTAATAATGCAAAACACTAGACTCTTCTGTCGCCTAGGAGCAGGATCTAGGCTGTACATTGTGTGACATTGTACTGATACTTTGACTCCTTCCCCAAAGGGAGTGAGTGACTGTGTACTACTATGGATATGAAGCTGTTTAGGCTTTTTCCTGCCAATCAGTGATTCTGCTGGCTTCTTTAATCTGTGAGATGCTGTATATCTCGCTTCGTATGCCTTATGTAGGGTTCTATTGCACGGTTCTGGCGTTGTAGGATAGTGCTCGGTTGCCTAGTTATGAAGACATCGATGCCCAGTTGTTGTTACTGTTGGTCTTCGCAGTCCCTCTACACCTAGTTAATAGATATCTGAAAATACTGCTCGGTGATGTAAACTAATAGTGAGTATACTGTCCATGGCCCTTATCTCGGTCGATGCTAGTTGAGCTCTGAAAGATAGAGAAAGTTCGGTCCTCTTTCGTTAGCTTGGGAGGAAATATAGATGAGAGAAAACAGCACGGCGCTTTCAGTGAAGAAGGGCAGGAGCTCTTCAGGAGGTCTTCAAGTGCACAGGCTATCGAGGTCCGAGGTGAGGAGATTAGTTACCGATCAATATCTAGGAACTGAAGGAAATGGAGTGTTCTAATTAAGAAACTAGGTAGAGGTGTGCAGAGAAGCAGTTAAAACTGAGGATCGAATATTCCAACGAAACTCACAGCGACTTCATCCGAATCGCCCGATCTTAAAAGCCAACCGTTTTCATTCACGGCAGATATCTCGGGACCACACCCACGTTATCCTGGAGAGAGGCTGTCTGAGAACAATATGATGGTGTTAATGTATATTTCCGAGGTCTATGGACGTATCCATTCGTGTTGTAAAAGCTCTGCAGCAGACTTTCGGGACTCCGGATCGATTTCGAGCATGCCCTTAATGAAATCAACAAAAATTGGGACTTCAGACTTCGGCATATCGATTGGTCTTAGAAAAGGCTTTGTTTGGCCGTCAACCAGGCGTTCAAGACAAGTAGGTTTCAAGTTAGGAATTCGGAGAAGATTCCCTGGGGTAAACATTGTTAAGACAATGACAAGATAGTAAGTAACGAATACCAGTATGCTTACCTTGCTTGTCAAAGAACTGTGCTCCACGATTCCCTTTTTCTATAAAATTAGGCGGTAATTGGCCGAGGACCTCAATAATCCTCGCTAGATGGTCATCTTCAGCCGTCCAGGTCCCATTCGATGATGCTTCCCCGGAGAAAAGGACTATTCCTTGAACAAGCTCCATAACCTGTTTAGTGTATAAGTTAAAATAAATCGTACCGTTTACGAAGATCCTTCAAGAGTAGAATGTTCTTACAAGGCACCCGAGACTCCAGATATCCACACCAATATCCCAGGGAGCACCTATTGTCACTTCAGGGGCTCTCAGAGCTGGCGACTGAATTGATTCTGACAAATGGTGTTTTCTCCAAGATGCTGTTATCACGGTAAGTTATGTATGAAAAAGATTGGAATTGCCCTACCTACCAACACCGAAATCAATTAACCTGACATGGAGATTTTTTGTGTCCGGGACAAGCGACGTAGGAATAACCTCCCGAAGAGGGGCGGCATCATCTCGTTGGGGGTCGGTCCGCGCGGGAACTTTCGACAGATAGTGGGAGATAGTGCTATGGGGATTTCCCAGTTCTAGAAGTATATTCGTTGGTTTCAAATCTGAGAACAAAATGGGCGGTGTCAGCAGTGCAACAAACGGCCGATACAAGGATTTGCTATACCGGTGTGAACGATTCCACACTCGCGGTGGAGGAAGTCAAGCCCAAAAAGAAGCTGCCGTACGATGACTTTTACAGCCTTTACAGGTAATTTCCCATCTTCATATTTGGCGGATTGAAAGTCTAGGTGATGCCCTAGTACGTCGAATGCTAAGCAAACATGGTCTCCATTGGGTCCTGTGTGCGTGAATTGCTCAAGAAGATGAGACACGTAGTTGCGGCCTTGATGAGGACTTTGCTTTGACACTTCCGAAATTTTCGAGAGACTTTCTCTCTCGAAGATGTCATGGCGGCCATCATAACAATCAGACCTCAGCACCTTAAGTGCTACATATCTCTCGTGTCTACCCGGTCCGTTAGCATAGTATGCGACGGCGACAGACAACACACTTATAGTCCCTAGCTAGCCAGACTGTGGAGTATTGCCCATATCCCAGTTTCCTCAGGATGGTGTATTGGCCATGATGGAAAGTATCACCCAAACGAATTGGGTGGAAACCACCAGTTTGGTAATAGCCCGGCTCTTCTGCGACTGGGTAAGAATTAACGCGCTCTGGCGACAGTAGTTGATGGGGCTTTCTCAAGAACGTTGAAATTTGCGATCGTAATAGTGACAGAGATGACTTCAATAGACTCATCGTATTAGTCAAATTTGCTCAATAGTACAAGTTCTGAAGTGCCGCAAGTGGAAAGAGCACGGCTGACGTTGGTTCTATATTCAGTTTAACCAACCATTCACGTGACTTCAGAGCTTGCGGCGTTACGTGGAACAAGACAAGAGAGATGCCATCTTTTGCCATATCATACAGGGGTTATCAAGACGTACTTCAGAGCTTCTGAATAGAATAGAATAGGTAGACTCCGCACCGGGGACCACAAAGGTAGCCGTTCCTACGGCGTAGTGTTAAAAGTGGGCCTCGGATTTAAAGGTCCTTCCTTATATTCTAGTCGAAATCACTGATATTTTGCAGAATGGTAATCATCACGTCCTTTTGCGTTTCACTCAGCTTCGAGATGTCCATATTATGCTCCCTAGCGCATCTCTTTGCCATTCAAAATTCCACTATTGGACAGCGATGCCATCTTTACCTTCATAACAAGCAAAGACATCTCATACACAAACAAGAGTACACAGATTGAACAACAAATGGTCCGGGTTTATATCGTTCTTCATAAGCAAGAAATTGCCCGTGCAGTCATCGCACTATATCCTTAATCCATCACCTGCACAATGTCAAGAGGAGTTCCCTGGTGACAAGAAATAAAAGGAAACCCAGGTACCGCAAAGATAGAGAAAGAAAAGCAAAGCAAAGAAATCATAATACCCTGCCTCTATCGGATGAAAAATGATTCGCTTCGGTTCCAAAAGCTCCGATTCTTATTTACATGGTCGAGACCAAGAAGGTCGTCGGAATCACCGACGATGTCAGAGAGTATGTCATCTGCGAAAGTGCCAGATTAGTCCAGCTCAACTGCGTGGATAGCCTCGCATGGCCACTTACCATCTTCAAGATATCGTGGGTTGGTGTACAACGATCGAGGAACGACGGCAATCTTGATCTTCTCAAACTGCTTGCCCTTGATGCCAGTTCGCTTGGAAAGTCGTTCCTTTGTTTCCTTGAAAATTTCACCCTACGAGATGTTAGATAAAACCACCTCTTTCACAAAGGAGCCGGGGTATGCTTACTGGTTTGACCACAAATTTGAAAGGAACGCCGTGAGGCCGGCTCGGCTCGCGGTCGAAGTTGAACGCATTGATTGTCCGGTCACCCTCCTCTAGGTTGAGTTCGTCTTCTGGGGTCCGTTCGGCGTAGAGAGCAACGTATTCGTTGATACCGGCAATCTTCGAGTCGCCTTGGAACTCTCGGTAAATCTTACCGCCGTGCGTCTCGTAGACACGGGCATCATGCATAGTTTCGTCGTTGAACCCGGCCTTCTTCTGCAGTCCGGCCAGGAGATCTGACATGGTCCCGTCTCGAGGTACCAGAACCTCATATACTTGCTGTTCCAGAAGTCAGCACTCATTAGGCATTGAAAGAAACCATTAGAATCTGCCATCAAACGCACCTCTTTTGTGATACCCTCCGGAAGCCACGTCACTTTCAGACTGGCCTTAGACTCGAAGTCACTCAAGCTAGTCTCCAAAACTTCATAATACAGGGCATCTTGGCGATGCATTGTGTATCCGTAGCCGGTGATCTGCCCACTGAGGATCTGGTACAAGGTTTGATTGGCTTGGTTCGAATTCCGCTTGATAAATGACTTGGGTTTGCCAGAGCTGGCGAGGACGGGCGCAAAACGCAGGTGCGTAGATTCCACGCCCAAATGCTCGCCGACCTTCTTGGAAAACTGATCATAAGTCATTTTGCGGCTAAGGGTCAGTACGAACTCATCGCCATCTCCTGCCTTGATGGGCGCGAAAGTGATGCTGATCCGGTTGAGAAGATAGTCATAGTATTGCCTGGCGTCGGTGTATAAGGCAGACGAGGGTAGCTCGGACTCTTTCAGGGTTCGTTGGAAGGTTATAATATCACCATCTTGGATCTCGGACTGCTGGAATGTCTGCTTGGGCTTCATGACATCGATCATATTGTGTTTAATCTCTTCAAACAGCATGAATTCTGTGCCGGCGGGCCAATTCATCTTTTCCAGGATGATAGGCGCCAATTCCGCCACCTTCTGCGACCTGCGCACATAGACGGAGCAGAGACCAGTCAGTGTCTGCGACGGAACATCGAAGTGCTTCAAGAAGATGAGCACCGTGTTGTTGCTGTCTGGCCACGTCATGGTGCCATCCGAAGAAGGCTGGCCGACCTCCATCCAGAGTTTGAAGGCGTTGCCTTTCGTACCGAACCGACTATAGGCCTCTTCGACTGACATTTCAGGGTCCTTGATGACTTGATCCGGACGAGTAGTCTTGTTTTGGCGATTGACCATAACCCAGAATCGAATTCGACTAGCATCAAGACCTCTCTCAGCTGCAAGCTCCGTAGCAAACTCGCCGACCTTCTTAGCTCGGAGGATACGGTAATTCGCTGGCAGCGCTGGGTCGTCAGTAGGTAAATCATTACTGGTCAGATCGAAGCCGTGGTGAGCCTGGAAGCATTCCTCTGCCAAGACTCCGACGTTGATATACAAGTGAGCTTCTTCTCTTTCCTTCCTCTTGCGTGCCATGTCTGCGCGCTCCTCGATCAATCGTGATTCTGGATGTTTCGTCAGCCAGTGGCCAGGTTCACTTGAAGAATCTAGAACAACTTACCAATATGAGACGGAATTTCCTCTGTGGTGATCGGCAGAAGCACATCATCCAATCGCGTTTTCCGGACATACACCAACATGTACGCATTCATCGAGCGCTTGGTAGACAAGCCGCGGGTGTATGGTTGCCGAACACCAGGAGCGCCGTTAGTCAGTTCATATTCACCACCGTAGTTCTCCTCAAGAACCTCCTTGTCCGTAGCCCGAGTAACCCTGTCATCGTCAAAGCGGTACCAGTGTCCGTCCTTGGTGGGCTTCAAGAATGCATAGTAGTGGCCGGCGTTCAGATCGCCACTGTGCACCAAAACACCGTGCAGTTGGTAAATCCAGGGTTCCGACTTATCGGCGTCGTTGGAGAGGTAAGGAGTGGCATCAAATTCCATCGGGAAGGCGTGTCGGTCGTTAATCTTCATCATGGCATCACGGTTAATGTCGTACTCAAATCGCTTGAGGTGGAGGTGCAGGACGGGAGGGAAGCTCTCGAAGATGACACCTTTTTTCGCATCTTGCAGGCCGTACGGCTGGCCGGCGTCGTATTTGTTCTCACCCTCGAGAGTTTCCACCTGGATGTAATCCTTGAAACTGTCGTCAAGGGTCTTGTTTCCTCGCACATTCAGCTGGATGTCCCAGAAATCTTCCACGCGCGATGATTCGTAGTCGACGTTTATACAGGAGATATAGGTTTTTGTTTTTCCGACGAAAAGTTCAGGGAGGGCTTTCTCTGCTGGTGTGCCTTTCATTTTCTCTTCCAGTCGTTCCATGAGCTTTCGTGAGAGTTCCTGGACATCCTGCTGCTCAAAGATCTGCCTCGACTCCCAACCGAAGGATGCGGTCAGTTCGGTGGTGGATACGGAGCTTTCGCTTGTCTGGAGGTTGTAGAAAAGTCGCTGAAGAGTCCAAGCGCTGTTGTCTCTTGAAGCTTCGGCCTCCGTCGGAATCTGGTAAACCGCCTTCGGGTTGGTTAGTATACTGGACAATTCTGCGCGCGGCGGGGAAAAGACCAAATCATACCTTCCGGAAGGAATTGGTAAAGTACAGGGACTGGAGAAGGGAGTTGAGGTAGCAAGTGGCACCCTGGTTCTTAAGTCCGACCATACCGGTCTCCTTCTTCGAATCGTAGCTGGAATCATATCAGCACCGGACATCTCTCGGTCCAACGACGACCACGCAAACTTACTTCTGAAAGCTGTGCCACAGTACGCCCGTGGGATCCTTGACGACGCGAACATAGGCGGTGACCATGGCTTCTTCATTCTGGACCAAAGGCGCCCCATGACCTTCGAAGGGAGCAGTGAACAGTCTCCGCAACTCGCAAAACCTGGTGAAACCCCAATCGCCCTCGTCGGAGTTGAATCGATGGGTGGCGACTGGATCCTGAATCAGCACGGGCGGGCTCGTTTCGAGTTGAGGAGAGACCGGGCATACCATGAGAAACCTTGATTGATGGATCATTCACGTTCCACAAGACCAAGGAAAATTGGACGCAGGCATACCAGTTCTCGGGAGGATCCTTTTCCCAGGCGTGCTCCAGGTAGAACGATGCGTGCTCGACGTGGTTTCCATACGGGAAGAACAGAATTCGCCTAGAGGACCGCCAGTAGTCAGAATCACGTCGCGGAAGCCGTGTTTATGGCGAGAGAGATAGTCGTGAACCAACCAAGGGAATCCTGCACATTCGAAAACCGGACCATGTTCCTTCTTCTTCAATTTCCGCCAATCCTGAATGTGCCAAGTATGATGCGCCTCGTCTTCGGTCTCGAGATCGGGATCTTTAGGGAGGACTCGTGCCATCATCGCCGCATCTGTGCCAATGAAACATGAGTTAGAAATTGTTCCGACAGCCAGGCTAGAAGGCATCGAGCAGTACAAGCTGGCGAAATGGGATCCGACCCCGCCGCGGGGACTCCGGAGCAAGGTCGATCCAGGGCCCTCGTGCGGGTCGGGTAGAATCACTGCAGCACGGGCGGGGAGGGGGGAAGTCAGTTCTTACAGTCATCGGCACGAGGTTCTTGATCGGGTTCGTCCGACCCGGAACGAGAGACGACCACATCGTCCGTTCGGTCATTGTGATACTGCTCGTATTCATCGACGAGCATCTCATTCTCCGCGACCTGGACAAGCAAAGAGCGCAATGTCAGCAATGTTCGTTGCGTTCGCCATTCATGCCGAGGCAACTCGAGCTGTGCGGAGGGCCACACGGCGGAGTGGAATCTTTGAAAACCTGAAGAGAGCGAGGGAGAAGGGAGGGAAGGACTGACGTTGTCCATCTAGGATAAGAGTTGAGCGCTCACGCACTCAGATCCCAAGACTCTACTTTCTCTGTTGCGGGTCGAGAACAAAATTTTCATGAAAGAACTTCCCCTTCACACGTTACGCGGTCGGCAAGCGGGCGATCGCAAGAGAAAGAACGAGTGAAAGTGTTGACCACGACAGGGAGGGAGGTGGGAATAACACCGATTCCAAGGCCAACGATGAGCGAGGTCAAAAAGAGTCTGAAGCTAAGCCGAAGGTGAAGGTAGTGGCGGAGTTGCGCAGAGCCCAATAATAACGACGGGGCGAGCCTGGCGGGACGATTATTATTAAGAACAAGTGACGACCTTCTCTCGCTGCCTTGTTATGAACCACGGAAACCAGGGAGGATCGGATCAGGACAAACACACATGAAGGGAATCCAATTGATACATTTCGGTCTTTATTCTCCTTGCTACACCTTTTTTTCCTTTCACCCAGAGCTCCGGCAAACGAGGGTGTTCACAAGAATCCTTTATCGAGGGTTCCGTCATAGGGACTGAGCTGTGACGGCATCGCTCCTGTTAGCGGTGGAACTACTCCGAGGCAGCTAATAATTGGGAGTTCAGAGCCTACGGAGTGCACCTGTCTAGATAGCAGGGAGGATGTATTAGATCAATATTTTTTGCAACTTCCTTTCGGTGATTTAATGGTGGTGATTAATTTCACTCCAGGCTTTGTTGGTACACAGATATAGAACAAAAGCCGGGACTGAGTGAAAGACAAAGAATTGCCTAATATTGTCAATATAACCTATCAAAACAGATCCAAGTAGTTCATACTGAATGCCATACCTAGCCTTCATAAGTTCAATCCATAACAAAGCATAAGAAGCACCGCCATAGAATATCACATGCCTTGCCTCACCGCCCGGCCAAACCAAGGCTGCCAAGGCATCAACAATAATCAAACAGTCTGACTGAGTCAAACAACTCCGGTCAGAGTCACAGTCACAAGCAGCATCATCCCATTCTCCTTCTTAGACATTAGAGATCAACCCACTCCCCTCTTGACAAGGATGTCATGCCACCACTAGGAAGCCCACCGGGACCCGCCTAGATGATCTCCGCCCATTGTTAAACCATGTATGGACTAGCCATCTCCCGACTTGAACTTGGGTAGTCTGCACTCTGCCTTGACTTCTTCATCATTCCTTACCTCCCCATGACGCATCTCCGAAGCACTATGCTGCGGCCTCAACCAGCGCGGTGTTGGCGCTTCCTCCGACATCCCTCTACCGCCAACACCCCCAGGTTGCGACCGCATGCATTGCAAGCTCGGCAGTCTCACAGTCCACCACCATGGCGGCCCGTCTCCGCTTTGGATGAGTATGCATCCCCTTCCTTTCCGGTGCCGAGGTTTCATGTTAGTATGAATATTCAGCTAATGCAACTCTTCCAGATGGGTGGAACGCGATATCCGACCGATCAGTCTACGGCAGCTGACCTTTTTCGGACGAACCCTGACGGAACCCCGACTTATTAGCTCTGCTAATTACGTGCGCACGGAACTGCCAACTAGGTTAGCGTGGGATCTAGACGACTCGAGCGATCAATCACTAACCGTGCTATCTTGTGTTTACCGTCTAGACTAGCTCACCGGCTCCGAGATATCCAGAAACTACCCTACGTGGTGGTCGCGAACCATCACCTTTCCCTTGTATATGAACTCTACTATCAAGCATTTGAACGATTCCGCCGAATCCCCGAAATAAAGACCCTCGAAGACAATGAAAGATTTTGCGATATACTTCGAAAGACCCTGAAGGAACACCTGGTGGTTATTCCCAAACTGGCCATGGGTGTCTTAGAGTGTCGGGATCTGTTACCACCCGACGTGATGGACCTATTCATGAATACTCTCCTGCGAGCGGTAATGCCCATCCGTACAGTCACCAACGAGTATAGACATTGTTCGCTAACAGTTGTCATCCATTTCTAGCGGATTTCGCGCCGTGTCATCGCCGAGCAACACCTGGCACTAACGGAAACCTTTAATTCTCCCTGGCACTTCCCTCACTCGCAGGATCGCAGCGACGCGAACGCCGATTTTGTCGGGGAGGTGTTTCTGAAATGCAACGCGAAGGAGGTCATCGAGCGCTGCGGGAAACTGGCGCAGGATACCATGCGACAGGATTCCGATTCGGCTAAAATCCCCGAGATCAACGTGCAGGGACACTTGGATGCCACCTTCCCATATATGCTGAGCCATCTGGAATACATCATTGGTGAACTACTGCGGAACTCCATTCAGGCCGTCGGCGAAAAATACCACGGATCGTCAGAGCGACCGCCGCCAATTGACGTGCTCATCTGCGAAGCGCCGCAGCATGTCATCATGCGGATATCCGACCAGGGTGGGGGGATTCCTCGAGAGATTCTCCCTTACCTCTGGTCGTTCAACAAGGGTCCCCACAGCAATGACCGGCTTCAGAACCTGGGACAGGTGCCGGCCATGGCTGCTACCATGCAAGAGCTGACGGTGCCCAAGGAAAGGAAGCGGGCAGACAAGGAAACGTTCCGCGAAGGCTCGCTGGATACGCTCACCTCGCGGCCACCCAACCTTCGACTGGGGATGGGACTTCCTATGAGCCGGGTGTATGCTGAATACTGGGCTGGCAGCCTTGAGTTGCACAGCCTGGAGGGATACGGTGTGGATGCATTCCTACAGATTTCGAAGCTCGGCAACAAGAACGAGCAGGTGACGACGAGAGCATCGATCGATGCCGTGTGATTGATTATACGATCTATGATATACGGAGGTGAATGTGGTAGTATTTATCTATCTACCATCTAATTGACTAGCTATCCATTCCTGTTGCTACGGAGTACTACACTATCAGAACCGTGCTTCAGCCACAGTTCCCATTTTATTCATGCTTTTCACCAATCACCATCCTGCATTCATGCACCTACCCCGGATTTCACTGTGGCGCGGCAGGCTAAACCCAATCGAGCGCACTGCCAGGCAAGGCAACTGGGACCGGTGCGGGATGACGTCATGCACGACGGACTTGCCGTGCGAAAAGCTTCTGCCTTGGTTCAGCCCTACAGGGACACGCGGGTCTGGCGTTGTCGCTGTCGCCCTGAAACGATCTGCTCTTTCCCGTGACGTCGATCTTGCCTCCGCTCTGGTATAAATAAGCATGAAGCGTCTCAACTCTCCCGAGGATGACAATGTTCCCATCTATATCTTCATCCTTCTTTTCGTGATTTTCATCCTGAGCTTCCTGGGTACGCTGATCGACCCTAACAAACGAACGTTGAACCCAGCTCGCAACAAGCCTTGAGATTATTCTATTTGCCTGCACATTCTTTCTGAATTTTAACCAGGCGTGTGCCTCTTCTGATTCAAAATGGCTTCCACCGCTTCGATCCTTTGCATGATTCTTATCACCTTATTCGGTGAGTGCTTATAGCCATGTCCACTGCAGAAGATGATCACCGTCGTCGACTATTGAAACTAACTCATTTTTTTCTCAGTTCCTCCACTTGGTGTGTTTCTCATTGCAGGCTGTGGCATGGACTTTTGGATCAACGTCCTTCTGACAATTCTCGGGTGAGTCCATTCTTGCTTCTGTTTGTTACACAGAATTTCAGCCATTGCCGCGGGATGACTTCACCGCTCTTATTGTACAACGTCGCTAATCTTCTGTGTCAGTTATCTTCCGGGCCATATCCATGCCTTCTATCTGCTCTACGTCTACTACAGCCGTCGACGCGCGGTCAATCCTGCGACAGATGGCGACGCACCGGGCGTGTATTCCGATCGAATCAAACGGACAAAGCATTCTTAAGCTTTTGGTGATATTATAACGGGCTTCGGGTCTGTCGGTGTCTCAATGTGTTGAGGTGGTGTATGCTGGTATTGCTGGAATCCGTGGTTATTTTTAATGGCTTGGCTTTCTGGTGCTTTGTGTGCGGCCGAACTCCTCGTATGTAGTTTGAGACTGGCGCGACTGGGTATTCTTAATTGTAATGTAATTCATGATTATGCTGTACTTGTGTACTGTAGAATTATACCTAGTTGGTGTATGAACTTGGTGCGAACTATGCTCAAGCCTTTCAATGTTTCTAGCCCTCTCTGGCCGTTGCGTATGGGACACCACGGACCTCGTTCTTAGCTCCCCTTAATCCCTTGAGTTAAGTATGCATTTCAGTCATGTAGTGCTCAATCCAGTCTAGAGTACCTAACGTTAACGTTTACAAGTTCTCGGCCGGTATCTCTTAATACTGGTGATCACCCCACAGAGCTATTTCAAAGCTCCCCAACTGTACAATGTTCAGCAAACCAATTCATCATCTACCCACCTACCTACTCAACCCCTCGATCTGGAATATCAAGATCCCCATCGAATGAGTGATATTCCTCGAAACTGAATATACGCACATGTAATACCGAACCTCTACTTTGGATATTAATGGACTCTGAATATGTATGTACCTGGGTCTATCCGTTTACTCAGCTTAGATTAAGGTTATCTTCTTTGCTTTTATTTGTTTGTTTGCAACCTCTTGCATTTTCATTTTTTGGTCCTATGTAAAGCCTCATCCTCCATACGGTATGTACAGTCGCTAGAGTATAATGCAATAACCATACTCATCTGGATATTGCTATCCTGGTTAGTTAGTTAGTTAGTTAGTTAGCCGATACCTGCTGGAGGGGGAAAGCTAAGTACCTACCTACCTATACCTGTCCTTCAAATTAATACCTATTACCTACCTGGCTATAAAGATAGGTGTCTACCATATCATATACCCAACGGTACTTACATAGAATAATCCATCATCGCGAGAATTCCGCCATATAGATAGCCAATGAGACATACCGGACTGGATTCTGGGCATTGATCAGAATGTGCTGATACATTCCTTGCCTGGAACTAGAAAACGGTGCACCTACATACCTAGGTAGGGTATTCTAATTGAAGAAGTTGGGATGCGTAGGATGGAAAACTGTGGTTAAGCATAAGTAGATGAATGCCTTCTACACAAGTTGAATACTTAGGTAAACGTGTAATTTGAGAGGGAAAGAAGAGCTAGGATTGGGGAGATAAAAGGAGAGGATATAGTTGTTTGTTCATCTATTCGTTCGTTGATGTAGTTTGCTAGTTCTTGACTTTGATGTGTCTACCTACTTTGCGAGATGCTGAGATGCTCGGTAGGTATGTAGATAGATAACTACGGCTGGTTGATCTATACATTCTTGATTTCTGATATCTGTCTAACGGGATGCTAAGGATCGCTATAGGCCGGTCTCTCTACAGATTCATTCTCTCCTTGATAGATTTATTGTCGTAGGAGTTTGCCTTTTGATTTGCCTACGCCGTACAGCTGGCGTACAGATTCTGCCTCCTTCAGCGTGATATGCCTACAGAGTCTATCCTTTCAATAGACACGCTTCACTACCTTCATAGAATGCCAACTAATTTCCAACAGCTCCATTGACTGATTTCTCCCTAACACAGACAGATACAAACAACAACTAAACAGACGCCGCCTTCTTCCCAGCACCAGCAGTCCCAGCCCCAGCACCAGACGCACCACCCGCCGCACCAGCCGTCGCCTTCTTCTTCAACGCCGGCAAATCAAACGCCTTGCTGATCCCAGCATCCCCTTCTGTCCTCGGCACCGCCCCGGATCTCGGACTCCACCACAACGCGCCCACCCAAGGCTGCACATTCCACCCCACGTTCAACGTCACGTTGCCCCTCTCCGCCATCCGGCCCGTGATATCTCCGATCTGGTACTTGGAGCGCTGATCACGGAGACGGATATGGCCCGGGGGTTTGGTCTTGGTGGAGGATTTGCTCTTGTTGCCGGTGCGCTTCTGGTTCGTGGTGCGCGAGCTCGAGGAGGGGAAGAAACGGGCTTGCAGGGCGGAGAACGAGTAGGGGGATTCAGGGGCGGGGATGATCGTGTCCCAGATGATGGACTCGGAGTTGGGGAGGTGGCTGGTTGAGGGGTTCGAGGAGGAGTAGGAGGCGTAGACGTAGACGAAGAGTTGTTTTGTGTTCCAGTTGAAGAGGGGGGAGAGGTCTTTTGAATGGGTTAGTTTGAGGTATAGAATTGGATATGTTGCAAGAAGAGTAGAGTAGGGGAAGATGTATGAAGGGAGGAAAGGGTCGTACCAGCGTCCAGATCGAATCGCATCTGGGCGTATTCCTCCTTCTTGGGAGAGTAGTAATTAGGACGGCCTTTGATTCTGTTACGAAGTCAGTTATGCGGTCGCCTTGCATTCGTAGCAGACTGCAGCAGCACAGTCAACCGGCAAACTCAAACATACACTTTCACATCCTTCAGAGCGACCTGCGCTTTCGCGTCGTCGGCCGGATACAACAGCACGGAGAGGGCGGCGACACCGGCGACGAACAACGCGACGGAGGTGAAGAAGCCGAAGACGGCCTGCGCGCGGTTCAGGGAGGAATGCATGGTCAAATGTCCGGCCCTGGTTCGGGTCTAGACTTGAGCGATTGAGATAGAGGAAGGAGAGACAGATGCGTGGAAATGCGAAAAGGACAGAAAGTGAAGCCACGTCGACGCCTCGGTTGTGGCGCAGCTTATCGATAAGCGCCGATCTGCTGATCTCAGTTCATCTTAGCTACTTTCTATGGGTTATTTTTCTTTAAGTGGCATTGTCAATTCTTCCAGACTGGGGCCTGGCATTAGCATTGATTGATTAATTCCAGCCCATGACGTACTGCTAGACACCCCACCGTGGTCTCTCGATCTCTACAATCTGTCTTCTTCCTTCCCCGCTCTCTCCGCTTATCCGCTCCAACTACTTATTTCTGTACATACATGCATCATACATCAATTTTTTTCTGCATACACTGCACCTTCTAATCATACCATATTCAAAATGGGCGAGCATGTCTTGTTCTTCTACGGTATGTTCTATATGTCCACAATCCCATCCGTTCCCTTCAAGCATCCAATCCCCTCATTCACCCCACCTACTCCAACCCCGCGCACCTAGCAGTATCATCATCATTCTCATCTCTACACTCACCATTCCCTCCATGTTCAATTCAATTCACTTCAGTTTATTCCAGCCAATCCATACAATCTACCCTTCTTAAACTACCTCCCATAACACTAACCCATCACCACATCACTATCACCCACCCACCCACGACAACCACAGATTTATATAGCATACAGTTAACTAAACCCCTATAGGAACACTAATGGCCCCTCAAATCCTCCACCGCGTAATCCACGGCAACCCATCGCCTGAACCATGGCAAAAAGCCCTCTTGACATTCAAGCCTGCCGTGCTGCACGGATACCGAAGACATCGGGTCCGCGGGGCCGATTACCCAGGGATTATCAAAGTACCGGGGTCCTCGGAGGGGTCGAGTTTGGATGAAACGTCGAATTCTACGACAGGGACGGCGTCAGCGTCAGGGTCAAGCTCAGCACCACAATCACAGACACACACAGGAGCACAGAAAGATCCAGAAGGCTCCGTCCTCGGCACCGTCGTCTCCGGCCTCACAGACGGCGATATCCACCGCCTCAACATCTTCGAAGGACCGGATTACGTGAAAGAGCCCGTGAACGTGCGAATCCTGCAGGAAACACTCAGCATGGACGGCTCTTCCCACGGACTAGCGCACGCGCACGACGACAGCGACGGCGGCAAACATCTTCGGGACGTGCTGGATGCGGCGGGGGCGGAGTTTGCGGATGAAGGGGAGGAGGTGAGAGCGGATACTTATGTGTGGGTTGGTGGGGAGGGGAAGTTGGAGGAGGCGGAGTGGGATTTTGAGGCGTTTAAGAGGGATAAGATGGCTTGGTGGGTGGGGGCTGATGAGAGTGAGTGGTAGTATTCTTTCAGGTATTGTGGAGGTTGATAGGATGCCTGGAGTGTATAAAGGTTGTTTAGATAGAACTGGGATGGGTGGGTATTTCACCTGGCTATCTGGTGATATACTTCTAATGGAGGAGACTATCCCGATAGCTGATATCGTTGATCGTCGGTCTAAATCCCAGTACTTACATGTACACTGTATCCTCACCCGAGGGTGGATGATAGGTAGATGAAAAAGCAAACCAAATATATGCTGCGGTGGTATTGACCATAACACCGTAGACCACCTCAGACAAAAACTAACGAAAGAAAACCACATGCTATGCTTGGTATCTCATGTACTCAGTAAAAAACAATCAATCAAATCAAAAGAAAGGTTCCTGTATCCCGTTGGAAGAAAAACGCCTGCTCAAGGTCATGTATATCTACCATGGTCCTTGGCACAAAGAAGGAAAACAAAAGAAAAAGAATGAGCAAAGCGAAAGCGAAAAGAAGAAGGTTTGAAACAAAAGATAAGAATAGAAAGAATGTCATATGCTCATAGATCATTGTCTGGCAAAAGGCAGACTTACATCCCCTTCGTCGACTTGTGCTTGCGTTTGCCAGCTCTTGGACTCTTCTTCGGGGACTCGCCGCTGGTCGATGGCGGAGGCGTTCTTTTCACCTGGATCTCTACCTCGAACGGATGTTCTTTGACGGAAGATTCAGCCTCCGAAGCCTTCGGCTGCGAGGCTTTCGTGCCGTCTTCCGGAATGGCACCCTGTTTCTTCGGGGTCACATCCACGACCTCTGCATGGTCGGGTTGCGCCTGCTTTTCCTTCTCTTTCTTGCGGACTGTCTTTCGCACCGGCGACGCAGGGATCATCTGGACAGGCTCTTGGCTATCGGGGACCTCGATGATGTCGCCCGCTTTCTCGGAATGTTTGGGCTTGTCGACAGCACTAGGCTCCGGCGCCGCACTTTGTGGATCTTCCCCGTTGGTGGCCGATTCTTGAACACTGGGCCGTAGTTCCTCTTTACTACCACCGGACTTCTCGGGCGCCGGCTCGTTCGGCACGCCCTTGCTTTCTTCTGGTAACCGTTCACTCAAGTTGACAGGGTTCGAGAACCACCGGATGGTGGGAGACGTGAGAAGATACGAAACAGGCTGCATGTCCGCCATGACCTTTTGCTCGCTGGCATTCTCAGGGCTGAGCTGTGCCTGCTCGTCATAAAGCCGGTCCAGGAATTTCCGTAGCCGAGTTCGGAGCTGGCCTGATCGCACTTCGGGCCAATCCTCTTCGGTAGACATTTCCCTCCGCAGCAACTTCCAGACGAACTGGTCGGGGTCTTGCACGAACTTTTCCAGGTACGCTAGAAGATATAACCCGCAGTCGGAATAGTTAGATTGCAAGGGGATCTCCTGAGCACGCATACCCTTGATCATAGTCTTGTCTATCTCAACATCACGTTTCGACTTGGCTTCTGCATGAAGATAATCGCGGAGGATGCTGATTGTAGGCGAGCGAGCGAGGTTTAGCGAATCAAATGTAATGATAATCGGTTGGCGAATATCATGCTTGGGTCCTGCGGGCTTCTTCTGCTTTCGTGACTTTCGCGGGGTGTCTGTTGATTTCGAGCCGGAGCCTTTTGAATCGCCTGTGGATGTCTGGGCCTGCGTCTGGGACTCAGAGTTGGCCTCTATTGAGCCCGATTCTGTAGGCACCTGCGAACCTGGCTCTTTGGAACCCTCTTCGTCCGATAGGTTCATCGATGCTAGCGACTGTCGTGTCACCTCCTCTTTGCCAGATTGTGCATTGTTAATTTCGCCAGGCTCCGGCGTTTCCTGGACCTCCTGGACCTCGCGATCTGGCTGAGCAGACACATCACCATCGGAGGGTTGATCTTGTGCGGCGTCTTTGGAAACACCGGGCAGATACGGTAGGTTACATATGATGGCCACGTACCAGTGGGCATTTTCATTGATAGGCACCACGATATAGTCGTGGCTGAAAATGTCCACATTCCTGGTCCATTTCTGAACACCTTCATAGTTGATGGCTCTCCTGCCCTTGGGCGAGTTCGTAAGAGTGGCGAAGAAATACGAATTGAAGAAGTAGACCCTCTTCGCCGCCTCCTTGTTGCAACGCTCAAGATGGTCCTGCAAGAACCGTATGTAGAATCCGATGAGGTTGTCGTTCAAGAATTCGTTGTCACTGAGTCGCTCCACGTCCTGGGCATTGACTTCGGCTTTCTTTTTCCCAAACCGAGGGTAGATCAGGGGCCTGAGATCGATGCTGTCAGTATATAAGTGCTGTGCGGGTTTATAGATGACATACTTGTTCCACCGTTTCTGTTTCCCCTTCAATATCGGCTGAGGGGTGTCTTCCTCGTTCTCATCGTCGCTATTTAATTAGCGAGACATTACAAACGAGATAGCAAGGATAGCTTACCAAACAACAGTGGGTGGTGGCGCGCGGCGCAACATGGAGCGTGTTGCTCGCGTAGATGGCGAAAATAGTGAGCTATCAGGGATTGAGGGTTCTGTGACTTCGGCGGGTTGGGTGTTGGAGGTACATTCCTGAGGAATGGCATTCTTGGGAGGCGAAGAGGCGGTCTCTGCATGTTTCTGTCCGACAACATTCCCATGCTCATCTTGCAGCGAATCCGACAGCTTCATTCTCTTGGGAACTGTAGGCTTCGTTACTGGCTCTGGCGATGCCTTTTTTGCGCCACTCTCCGGCATGGTACTGGGCTCCTGAGGCTGTTGATCTGATAGCCTCTTGTTTTTGCGGGTAAACACTTTCTCCATATACTCACTTTTTTCGGTCAGCTTCGCCAAAAACGATTCAGGTGAGAAGACATACTCATCTCTTGACACAATTTTGACTCCATGCTTGTTGAATAAAGCGCACACTTCCCGTTTCGCCTCGGGCAACAATAGCTCTATATCCATTTGATCGCCGGTCCCTTTCGTTCTCGTCAAACCAAAACGCATCTTCCGGCTAGCACTTTTACTTTGCTCAACCTTGATGACTCGGTCCAAGGCGACCGGAACTTGAGTGTTCGCACGTCCAGGATAGGAAATTACGTCATTTTCCAGGTCAAAGACCAGGTCCTTGGTTTCACCCTTGGGAACGTGCTGCTCCAAACTTCCCACGCGGAGGTAGGTTATCTTAAAGGTTTGGTAGATGCTGTGGTTCTTCTTTTGTTTGGGCTTTTTATTGGGCTTCTTCTTGTTGGTAGATGATGCGCTTATGAAGCTTGTCGGTCGGATATCATGTGGGGATAATTGCTGTCGACCGCTTGAGGTCGGTTGCTCTTCCACCTCCGAATCGTCATTCGGGAGTTGCATAGCTCGATTTATCATTGTCGGGGCTGGTCGAACCGTTGCTTCGCCCTGCAGCTCATCGGGACTTTCTCGGAGGTCGAATGCGCGATACGGTCTGGGCTCAGGGGGATGATCTTTCGAGGTCGAATTTTCTGAAGTGCCATTGAGTCCGTGGATCTCGACGCTCTCTAGAACTTCATGCCTAGGATTTCGCGATTTTTCAAATCCAGGTTCGACCGTCGGCTTTGATGCCGACAGACGTCTTTCCTTGGCGGCATTTTCCGTGAATTGTTCCTCCCGGTCATCGTCGACCCACCAGCGATGGTGTTTCTTGCTAGGCGACTCCCGAGGAATTCTCACATTTCGTTCCACTTCGCGAAACTCGTCGACTATGATTCCCTTCATTCCTCTCTTCCCTTTTCCGGTCGTTTGGCTGGACACCGAGGACCGACGTGCCGAACTTCCAGCGAGCGACGAAGTGTCCGGTGCCGCTTGTTCCATTATATCGTCATCGGAGATACTAATCGTTTTCCCGAGCGGCGCACCCAGGCTATCTCGACGTCGTCGCTTGAGCGGTCTCTCCGGGCTGTCAAAATCCGTAATCCCATCCGATTGAAATGTTCTCGTTCCGAAGCCGGGCGACTTATTCCCTCGATAACTTTGTTTCCTCTGAGCGCGGACGGGGCCGCTATCTCGGGCTCTGCCCGAAAGAGTGTCCACCGGTTTCAAACTCCCAAAGCCCTAAACAAAATAGGCGTTAGATGCAAGCAGATGAAAAAATAAACCCCATCGCAGTCGTAGAATCTCACCTGGAGTTTCTTGGGTTTCACGGTTGTTTGGCCTGGCTTTATCGTTACCCCGCCGGGACTGTTCCTAGAAGGTAGGCAAACGCATGTGAGCCACCGCACCTGTGCCTGATTTTGGGGCCGTTTAACGACCGTGAAGTGACGTACTGCTTATAGGAAGGGAAGAGTCTCTGCTCGTCCGCCAGAGAAGAGGCATCGCGCTCTTTGGTGACCATTGACTTTTCGTCCCCATGCCTGAATCTGCAGTCAGTATTGCCTGATCGTTCCCACATAGTTATAGGTCATATTTACAAACGACGCATTCCTAATCCGGGTCGTGGAATGGTCTGGCGTATTAGTGAACGTACAGGTCGGGGTCTATTGGTGGTGTAGAATTCTTCGGCATAGCTAGAAGGGGACTGGGTTGAGGTTCAGAGGTCAGCCTGTGCACGAGATGAGAGGAGTGTGAGAAAACGCTAAGATTACGGAAGAAAGAAGGGAAGAAAAAGGAAACACAGTTGCGACATGGGCATTGTTGGGGCAAAGATAGAATAAAGAGGCGCAAGAGGGGAATGGCAAAAATAAATTTACCAGTAGATAAGGTCAAGTAGAAGAGAAACAAAGGGAAATCATAAGAGAAAATCAAGGGAAAACTCAAGAAAATAAATCCATACCTGCGAGAACTGAAGCAATGCTTTCAACGGCGCAGTCGAAGTCTCTATCGGCGAAAGGGCATTCCCCCCGGACGACTGATCGGAGCTTGCATCTGATGGTGGAGAATTGGCTGCAGGCTGCGGAGGAGAAGAGGCTTGACCAGGAGTCCAGCGGGAAAACAACTCCGAAAGTTTGTCACGTAGGGGCATATATAGCGGTCATCGCACGGCCCGAGTAGACAGGAGGATATTCATTTGCCGGACACATAGATTGAGAGAGAAAGAGGGAGCAGAGAATCGATGCCGCATGAACGAGAGCGACGCAAGCATGGATGATGGAAGATGAAAAGGCGGTGGGGGATGGTTTTCTGCCCCCCATCAGTTGGACGCTTTCGTGCGTTCGTCCTTCTGCTCTTAGTGGGAGTATGCACTGCACTGTACGGTGTACATGTACTCTATCTACTGAAGGTCACTACGATGGTAGCCCAGAGTGAGTGCTAGAGAATACGGCGATCTGCCATATCCTATACTCGGCCTGTTCGATTAATCTGATTTTTTCTTCTTTTTTTTCCTTCTTCTTGAAACGTGCATGGCATCTCGCATAAAACATGGAACCAGAAAATGAGAAATGAGAAATGACAAAAGACCCTATGTCAGAACCAAAAAAAACCAATATCAGACGCAATATTTCGCCCCAATGCCCCGACCCCAAATCATCCCAATCATTTTTGGTTTTCTTGTAATATACAGGAACCATGAACATGCCGCGGAGAATGCAAGATTAATCAAGACGCCGCTCCTTTTCCTTTATCTCCCGTAATTTCTTCATTGCCCGTATGTCTTCGTCGGTCGCCTCCTGAGTGATGTTGGTTATTATGGTTGTTGTTGTTATGGTGATGATGGTGGTGGTGGTGGTGACCAGGGTTTCCGGAGGCCTTCTCCTGGCGAGCCTGGTCAATGGCCGAGCGTTGGGCAATGCTGTCGTCGTGGCTCTTCCATACGATGTTGGTGTCGATGGGGAAGCCCAACAGACGCTTGATCGTCTCCCTGCACGGAAGATTAGTCTTTATATTCGATTTCCCTCGCAATGACCGTCCAAGAATGGGAAGTCAGTAATTCCTTACCTGATCTTAATGTTTCGCCCACCATCGATCCGGGTCCAGACAGCCAAGACATCCTCTCCGCTCCGTACGCTGAGAACAGCACCGCAAACCTCGTCACCGGCCTCTGCGAATTGGTCACCGATCATGGCCAGGAGGAGGTCCTCCCAGTACCGATCAGCCACGCCCTTCTTCAACCGAACCACCCATTTTCCACCCTTCTTGTTGGCTTCATCCTCCCACACGGGACGGATGCCCTTCTTAAAGATGTGATAGTCGGAGACGGCGGGAAGGAGCGAGGGCCTTTTCAAGTGGGCGTATATCGACCAGAAGCTCTCTACCGAGGATATCGACGCGAGGGGGATGGTAGACTTTTCGTAGTCGGAGTATTTCGGCGTGGGAGGGCGGTACCAGATCACCCAGGTCGACTTGAGCAGGTGGTCTTTCGACGACAGCACAGCCGAGCTCTTGGTCTTTTCCACGAATTCCGGCTCCGAGGTAGGATCGCGCTTTTCGCCGCCCGGGGTTTTCAAGTCCGAAGATCCGCCGGGAGTCTTGGGGGCACCGAAGGACGCGAAAGCCCCGGATCCCAGACCGAATGCAGAGGAGGCGTTGGTCGAGGGGGAAGAAACGCCGGCCGAGAGAGGAGATAGGGCGTTGAAGGGATTCGATCGACCGTGGGAGCTATCCGGTCCAAAGCGCTTCGCCGTGCGGGGAATCTCAACTCTAGCGCCACCCTCTTTTCCGTCAGACCCTGTCATAGACAGAGAGAGCTTAGAGGTGCTACAAAGAGAAACAAGCCAATTAGTCTTCGTGGTAATCGAATTGGGGAGGCAAAGGCGGAAGATATGGGTATATAAAAAAGTCTTGGGGAAAAATGACATACTTGGATCGGCGAGTCCACAAGTTTGCGTTATCCATGGAGGTCGGTACTGAGACAGCTCAGAAAAAGAGCGGTCATCAGTGAGGAACGGGGAAAGCGGAGAGTTGTCGGTGTTCTGCAGCGAAAGAAACGAAACGTATGATATACAGGTGTGGGGATGCCCGGGAAAAAAGACTGAAAACTGAAATAGAAAAAAAAATTGGAACAGGAAACCACAAGAATAGGTGAAAAATTAATGACACACACAAATTAAACAAGGACAAAAGGACGAAAGAAATAGGGCAAAAAAGAGGAAGGACAGAAAGAATCGAAGCTATGACAGGATCGAAAGATTCAAGACGGAAATCGTGATCGTGATCGTGAACGTTAACACTAGAGACGTGGGGGGGGGTGTTGCAAGGACGAGGAACGAGCCAAGGAGGATGAAAGAGAAATTGGAAGCACTGAATAAGGTCAGGAGGAATTTGACGATGAGTAGAAAGATGAATTAGGGAAGGAATCCGATTGAATGTAGGAGGTGGGAAGAAAGAGGATCGAGGGAAGTAACTGTGAAGCAAGAGAAGTCGAGCAAGACAAGTTCGGAGTACAAAGTGAACAAAGTGAACAAACGGCTGGGAACCGGGGCCTGAAGTTGGCCTGAAGTTGGCCTGAAGTTGGCCTGAATGGAGCTCTGCACCTGTCCCCCACGTCGACCAATCATCGACAGGCCCGCCCGACCTGTCCGGCGCCATCGTTTTTCCATCTCCATCGCGCCCTTTTTTTTTTCGCGACCCTTTATCTTCTTCCTTTCTTCTTTCTTTTTTCTTTTCTTTCAACAAACCCAAGACCACCAACTCAAATCATCGCTGGCTGCAACCAGGTTTCTTCGGACACCTTCCACTGCACTGGCGATTCCGATGAGTGTGTCGAGAATAAAATTCCACTTCTAAAACCATCATCACGAGGGCTCTTTCGGGCTCCATGATGCGGTGATGACCTGTATGATGGGACACTCCCTTTCATGTCTTCCTTTTTTTTTTTTTATGAACTAGGATAATTTGTGTGGCCTGGATGACGGATGTAGCATTGGTACCAGTTACTGCTCATCTCATTCACGGTCTAGTAGCACCGCCATTGGCTTTCAGTAGATTCCGACGTCGCCTGTTGACGCGAATTAGGGCTATTAAGGATTAATGAAATTCCTTCTGAGCATTCGCCTTGGGCTCTGAACTGCTGGCTACAGGACAGATTTTCGTTCCAAGCAGTCCAGCTAGGCACATAGCCAGGACGTGAGACGATATCCCAAATGGTGCGTACGATTCCATAAACCTTCTCGCACAAGTCTTGCCATCCAACTCCCATGTTCCTTCTCATGACGAGAAATTTACATTCTCTGGTAAACCGAGATGCTCAACCGCTATCTACACTGCCTTTCTATTTCACAAAAGGTCAATGCTGGTCGAGCGTGAGGTCCAAAGGCAAAGTCTGATTTTTTCGGAACTTGGGAGTGATGGTCATGCTTGTGTTCTTTCTTGGGTAGATGGAATGCTAACGCTGTGGATATATAGTAGATTTTTTTTTTATTCTAGTCACGCCTTGTTAATCGTTCTCGTGTTGATGGTGATGTCGACGCATTGATTCGTCTCGTGTGATTCTGTCACGAAGAAATCCCGATCATCTCCGGCATGAAAAACCCTGTGTTGCCATGTTTTCTGCCTACGTACCATCGGAACACCCTCGTCATTGCGGTCCTCGACACAGAGGGAGTCTCACATAGTCTCCACGCTGTCTGGCCCAGCATAATCCCCATGAGAGCGAGAAATCGGAATGGTTGCAGAACGTCGGCGGTATTGTCGAACATACAACGAAAACAATACAACGTAAAGAAGAGTGATAAAAAGACGGTATGATATGGTACTTGTCACTGGGAGAAAGAAACATCTATACACTAAATGACCACCATGTCGGGGGGTGTCAAATAACCCATGGAATAAGAAAGACAAGATAAAAAAAAGATCCTTCGATCGCCGACGAAATCCCTTCCCGTACGCCCCGGTTGAACCACAGTTGTAAATGCATGCAAGTCGTACATCACCCATCATGCTTGAAGCAAGATAAAAAGAAAGAAAAATGACCAATTCGCAGGTAAATCAAGCAGTCGCTTCGCCGTTATGTGCCTATTTCATTGTAGACCTGGCAGATTGCGAGGCTCCTATGAGACCGATCATGCATCTCCTGAAGCACCAAATTAGCCCGATAAGGAACAATAGACGCTGTTGATAAAATGCAAAGATATAAGAGGATATAAAAGTGGCTCAAGATTCGGATACGAGATATCACAGCTCGGCGGCATCGGACTTGACGCGCTTAGGATCTCGTTCGCTCTGAGGAACCGACGGGGCGCCTTTCCGTTTCTCCTTGTCTTTCTGGTACTCAGCGCGACGAGCTTCTCGGTCTTTCTCTTTGCGCAAGGCTTTCGATTCGAATTCATGCCAGTCGCCTTCGATGTTCTCCAAGCTAAAAGAATGATCAGATGATAGGTCGAATAAATTTGAAATAGACAGAACATGAAGACTTACTCGATGGCCTGCTGCGGGGCGGGCTCCTCGGAGACAAAGTAAGGGTGTTGCAAGATCTCCTCCGCCGTTGGTCGCTTGGCAGGATCGTAGCGGAAAACCTGAGACACCAAGTCGAGAGCCGCCGGGGACAAGACCGAACCATATACCTCTTCGAAGACACGCTTTTTGCGCTCCGTCGGCCGCATCAGTTCAAACCAAGGCATCTCGGCAATGTCCGGCCAGTCGACCCGCGTCGGGGTTCCCAACGAATTGTACAGCTTTTCGAGCTGACTGATTTCACCTCCTTCTCCGGGGAAAACCGCCTTTTTCGTGAACATTTCCACATAGACGCAGGCTGCACTCCAGACATCGACCGCTGGCCCGTACCTAGTCTCACCCAACAGAAGCTCCGGCGGCCGGTACCATATGGTGATGACACGGTTCGTGTAATCCAGTTGGCGGCTTTTCGAGAAGAATCTAGCGAGACCGAAGTCGGCATACTTCAACAGTCCTCGATTACTGATGAGAATGTTGGCCGCCTTGATGTCACGATGTAAAACGCCGCGATGGTGGAGATAGTTTAACCCTTCGAACATCTGTTTCGCAAGGTCCTTCTTGTGACTGGGGGTAAGTGTAAAAGTTGGGTGGTTGATAAGTCCGGTAAGATCATGAGAGAGGTATTCGAACACCATGAAGCATTCATTCCGCTCTACCATCACCTCCAACAGACTGACCACATTATAATTGCGTAGGTGTTGAAGTAATTTGATCTCTCGAACGGCGGTGACGGGGAAGCCGTCCTTTTCGCCCTCCATTCGGATCTTTTTCAATGCCACCTTGTTCTGAGTATAGACATGGATAGCCTTGAAGACCTTTCCGTAAGTACCAGCACCGATAACAGACTCATTACCAGGCTTTCGGTGATAGACTGAATCGGATTTAGCGAATTCTTCGGGCAGACTAGGGCGTGGCTTCATTCGAGTCATGATCTTGGGTTGCTTCTTCGGCTCGGGGGTACGATCTCGCCGACGTTCAGGGCGGAAGTCTTGTCGTCGGTCTCCTCGTCTCCGCTCGTTACGATTATCGAAACGACGATCATCCCTCCGGTTGTCACGCCCATCTCGAGGTTCACGGAAGCCGCGAGGTTCGCGATACTCTCGTCGATCCGGCCTACCCCTATCTCGGTCTCTTTCGCGATGGCGGTCCCGGTCCCGATCACGGCGGTCAAATCTCGATTCCGGCTTGAACCTCGGCGGAGGAGCAGCGGACATTCGATTGCGAGGCGGAGGTGGTTCAGCAGCTCGAGGGGGAGGCTCTCGTGCGAGCATTCTCTGAGCCAGGTCAGGGACTGGTTTGGGAGCTGGTGCTTGTGTAGTCTTTGCTTTGAACGCAAAGCTGATCTTGCCTCCTTTGCTCGGCGTTGTGGTGTCCGTAGGATGTGTAATGGGGGGTGGCGGCTGCGCATCACCGGTCTCGGAAACGTTGTTCGAGTTTTCATTTTCTGGCTGCATATTATTCCTTGAAGGCTCAAATACATTACTGGTCTCGTTCGTGTCCCTGGGAGTTTGACCATCTGATGGAGGGGGAGGAGGTGGACTTTGTGATGGCGGGCCATACGCCGCACGAGGGCTATGAGAGGATCCTCGACCCCTAGCATTTGAACCGCCTCGTGAAAAGCTCCCAAAATGGCCCCGACCACGTGGGGAAGGACCATTTCCGTAATTTGAATGACCAGCCCCGGAAAATCGACGGTCGCCAGCGTGGTTGTGATGGTTACCACGGTATCCTCCACGGTAGGACGGGCCAGAATTGTACGAGTTGGAATTTTGATGATACTGGCTTTGGGGACCAGTCGGGGCGTATCTGTACGGTGATGTATGACTATACGTGCGAAGAATTAGCATCACCTAGAAAGACGGAACCTTTCTCTCTTTCAAACAAGAATGAGGGGGGGGGAAGTAAAATTCTTACCCTGGCTGCCCATGGTATGAACGCTGCGGACCATTCCAGCCACCCCGACCGGCAGAGTAGGGGGATGTGGGTTGGGGAGAACCGTGATATGAGGTGGTAGGCGTCACATACTGCGGCGACGCCGAGTATTGTCTCGAGTCAGCATGTGGTCTAGATGGGCGGGAATTCTGGCCGCCCTGTGCATCTGATGGCCGCCTTCCGTGCGATCCACGCGATGTATCGCCCTCCGCGGGAGCAGGAGCATAATCAGCATTAAAGCTTGGAACCGGGCGAGATGGGGAAGGAGACCGGAAAGAATCGCCCGTCATTGAACGGGCCGGTCTGCTTGGGTTCATGGTGACGGAGTCGCGTCGAGAACCGTAAGAAAATCTCGAATCGCCGGACTGAACGGAATGGCGCGATACGGATCGATATCGAGACTCTTCCTCGACGTCGTCTTCAGGACGAGGACTATGGAAACGCCGGCGGGGATTGAAAGACTTGCCTCCACGAACGGGGGACTTAGAGCGTCTGGGACGAGGGGAGGAGGGCCGTCGTCCACCTTCGTTTTTACGCCGCTCTCTACCCCGTCGTGGAGATCTTCGACCAGATCTACCGCGACCCGGGAAACGTCCACGCTTCTTGAATGGGAAGCCTCGGTCAAAGTCGTCACCGGGATAGCGATGCGACGGGTGGCTGGGATGACGAGGAGGGCCACCTGGGGACGGGCTTCGAGTTCTCTTGCGTTTTGGAGGCGGTGCCGAGGGCGAGTCCTCTCTTCGACAATCTCTTTCGGTCGGTCTCTCGGCCTCCCGAGGGCGGATGGGATCCAGGTCTGGGAACTCAGCCTGGTGAGGCGAACGATGAAAGGCTGGTTTTTGGCCGTGTTTTATTTCGGAGTGAGAGGGACCAGGGGAGCCACGAGCGGAAGCGGCACCAGGAGAAAAATCACGAGGGGGGCGACGCTCGTCGTCGTCGGGGTGAGGAAACGAGCGTGGTGGCGGCGACCGAAATGGAGGACCTGGTCTACCGTCCTTAGGTCGACGACGGCGGTCTCTGTCACGATTTCCGTGCTTTCCTCCCCTGTCGCGGTGTGAACCTCGAGGTCTGTGCCGTTCCCGATCTCTCTGGTCTCTAGTGTCGCCGGTGGTTCTCCACTGCTCTCTCAACACCGGACTCCTACGGGACCCAGCCATGTAAACCGATTCAACTGCATCAGGTTTTCGATAAAAGAAAAAGAAGAAGGTCCCGGGGGATCAGAAGAACTGGTCCACTCGAGAACGGAAGGATGCGCATGAAAGGGTAGTCGAGGGAAACTGTGGTGGAGCCTATCGTCCGGGCTTAGTCGGCGAGAGCGTGTATCGCCGCGTTCTCTTTCTCAAGGAAGTCTGTCTGGCGGGAGGGCGACTGGGTGGAGCGGAAGTCTGGTTTTTCCGGCATGCGTTGAATCTAGATGGGAGAGAAGAAGGGTCGAGCGTTAACTTCAAGGAGACCGAAAAGAATAAAAAGAAAAAAGGAAAGAAAATGAAAGCAGACCGAAGAGACAAGAGCGTTTTCTTTGGAAAGGGGAGAGGGTAAGACGCACCTCGAGAACCTTGATCTGTAGGTTGTGTTGCTCTATTTCTTCCTTTTCTTTTCTTTTTCTCTTTTGTCCCTCGTTTTTAAGGCATTTACCCGCGCGGTGAAGGGCGACCGGGGGAACTACACTGAGAGAGGGGGAAGGGGAAGGCAGGCAATAAGACCCCCGTGAATAATAACCAGTCAGTGGCGGGTGACTCCAACTTGGAACTGGATCAACCCACAAGCAAAAGGAGCTGGCGAAATAGTCGACGGAGGCCTGTTGATTTGGCCCTTCACACCCGCGCTGTCAGTGCGGCTCTACTACGAATGGCCTGGAGGGAGCCGGTGATGGAAACCACCGGTTTTGCCCTCGTTTTCAGGGACAATGACTATTCATCCTCGTCCAGCGTGACAACAATATGTGAGTACGCATAGTACCACAGCCCTTCTCTTTTTCGTTTTTGCTTCTTTTTCTTTTGCCTCTCTGCTGGGTTCAAAGTGTCGGCCTGGGCTTCATCGCCTATGCTAGCCGGGCTGGTTGGGACCAGACGAGCCGATCTCTTTTTTCTGGCGTCTGGTCATTAAAGGTGCTGCTTTCACTGTTCCCTGCTTCTCTGTCTCGATCTCAAAAGAGAGATGCAGTGACGTTGAGGCAGGTTGAGGTGCGAGGATTCCTCTTGGCTCGCTGCTCATGCTTCATCCCCCACCTTTTGACGCCCCTTGCCTCCGGGTTGTCTGTCGTTGGAGATTCTTCCAGAGATAACAGGAATAATAAACACAGAACACAAAAGAGCTAATCTACGGGGAGCAATAAACGCTCGCGATGTAATCGTCAAGGAACGCTGGACAAAATCAGTCTGTCGGTGCCGAGGCCGTACCAATCTCAGCTTCCACGAGTCGCCGTTGGAGTCAGTAGTAGCTTGACTTTCAGCGGTGAAATTAATTCACGGTCGCAAAGTGATTATCAGGATTATCACGAATCAATATCCGGTCGCACTGTATGTGTGGATGCATATTAAGGCCAATCGAATACGGCAGCCTTAATCTGTCGCTTGCTGAGGTCCCTGAAAGATCGGGCGCAACATTGATTCCTTGTGGCGCCGCCGCCAATGGCACAAACAATTGTCCTGTCCGGCATGAAAGATATGCAGGGACTATGAACGACGAAGGCTGCATTTACTGCAAACAACAGGGGGAAGATAAAAGTGAAGTTGATACCCACAAATCGGCAACATGCGCGATAAAAAGGTGGAAGCGACCGTCATCTGGCAAGCGGAAGCAAGACCCGGGTAGGGGGAACTGATAAGCCTAGAGAGGAAAACAGCTCTGGCAACTACCAATATTCGCAAGCTATAGACCGATGACCCAGACTGTTGTAGCTGCATACCACCATGCTAGTACGCCTCGCAGTCATCCATAATTCAGAAAACTCCAGAACAGTAGATCCCGTGGCGGACGTACCTGACGAGAGCAAGGTGATAATTTGCCGGATCGGGCACAACGGTCGCACCGCAAGGTCAACCATTAGTTGCGGGAGGGAGAGGGGCCAACAATTCGGGGTAATCATCAACAGCGTAGTGGCTTAATGTATGTCCAGCATCATTGTCTGCCAGGAACCTGTAGATTATGGGAGTGTAGAGTGATGGTCCATGACGTGTACGTAGACGGTGGGGATGGATGCGGATTAGCTAGGAAGTCGGAAATCCAACTCGGCGATCTGTCACGACGGTGATGTTGACATAGGGCGGACACAGCCAGGAATCCTGAACAGACTATAGAAGTAGAATCCAGCCATCATCGCGTCTTGGTGGAGGTCAACGCCCACGAAGAGACCCTCCAGGTATCTTATGTGTCGGTAGGCTGGTTGGCGGAGGAAGACGAGGTGAAGGTCGCCGGCCGCCTCAACAAGGCACTCAGGCACGTGATTCCAGTCAGCATTTTTATGCCTCAGGCCAAACATCGCTGACCCACTTCGGATCTTGTAACTACTCCGAGTTACCCTAATCTATAATGTCCCCAGTACACGATCACTCTCGACCATTTCTGCTCAAATTACATTTTTTAATCTAGGATAGCTACATCCATCATGTATGAGATAAAATGCAATCTCCTAAAGCCTTAGCAACTCATACGGTCCTAAGATGTATCCCCCAAAGCCGATCGATCAGCCACCATACAGGATACTTCAACGGCGAAACACTCTCTGGCAGATAAAGATACCAGTCATTCTCATCCACCAGACTGAGAGTACGCGACAAAACCGTACACTCATAATAAAGTGGATAAAAACCACTATCCTCCCAGTCAATGACCCCAGACACAACATACCACTGATCCTTGGAACTGGGGTCTTGTTTCACCATGATATTGGCAGTCCGAATATCGCCATGAGTGAAGACGGATCCATGCTCTAATATCGAAGCGTCGTGTTCCAGAAGCGAGCGGAGAAGACTGACATAAGTTGAACTGCCATAATGGCGAGCGGAAAACTGCAGGTCATTGTACTCTTTCGCGGTCGTGATACCTTTAAACGAGGCGCATTCGTCGACGCGAAGCTCGTGCAACCCCTCCCCACCAACCCCACCGAGCGGAGCACCGTCACTCTGTCGGATTGTCCTCAAACGGCGGAAGATACCATCCAGCTGGTGTTGTATGGAGACCTTGTTTTCATGCGATAGGCTGTTCCATGCTTGAGCCAAAGTTTTGTCGAAAACGTATGTCATGAATATGACGCGAGAGGGGCCGAACGCTATTAGTCCGTGAGGTCTCGGGGCAGGAATATCGGGCGCCTGCTTCATAAGGTATTGCATGCTGGTGTACTCAGTATAGTCTCCGTATCCTGCTACGATTTTGGCAATGATATCCTCGCTACACTTCACCACCACGCCTCTGATGGGGCTCTCCCAGAGTTTTGGTGACTCCCAGATGAGCTTTGTCAAGGCCGATACGAGTGTTTTCTCATCACCGATCGACCCATCCTCCTGCGTTGAGTACTGCGCAAGCAAAGGTATCACTTTCTCGGATAATGGATGGACGATCGTGGCAGTCTCCGCCAATTCAAGGCGTGTTCGGAACTCAGGACCTGGTCTTTGCTCAGCTTCTTTTTCACGCTCTCGCTTAGATTTCGGAATCGCCTTTGTGAGTCGGTTGATTCAGCGAGAATAGCCCGGTGAGAATGCTGATAGTAGATTGATTTCTGGTTCGTCTTTTAGAGTGTCATAAAGATCGTCTAATTCACGATAATTGATACTTGCGGGATAAGACACCCGACTGTCTCGAGCATGTCGATGTTCTTGAATATATGAGTCGGGGAACATTGAGATCAGGTCCGCCGCTGGATCCTTCTCTAACGCGGCCTGGAATTCGAGCATAAGTTCTCTATTCCATTGTGCGGCGTCAGTGTGGGACAGTGATGTTGTCGTTGTCGTTGTAGCATTGCTCATCTTGGTTGATTTGAAGGTAAATAGACTTGAAGAGATATTTAATGCCAAAGAACAGGAAGAGATCGACTCTTATAACCCCGACACATCCAAGGAGTTTCAAGAGGGTTGAAAGGGGTAGCGATGAAAGGACGTGTTGATACAGAAAGAGATGATCGTTGCTTGGCGCTCAATTCCCCCTCTGTCATTTGCGATGACTAAGTTGGTTGGTCAAAGAAAACAGTCTCTAGGAAACAATCAGTTCTATTTGTAAATGGGGAGCAACGGCGTGACAACATTTCCGAATTCGACACCTGAGGCGCAAAGAATGCTATTGGAGGGCCGGGCCCAGGCCCAAAAGGTACGACTCACCTCAGATTGTCTCATGTATTGCAGAAGCGAACAGATGCCCACGATACGACTGCACAAAGATGGTGGTCAGTGCAGTAGCATTAGGACTTCAACTGAAGGGCAGAAAAGGACTCTATACAATAACGAAGCAATTACAGGAGAGTATTTGGCTAGCAATGTAGTACCGGTCCTAGGTTCCCATATCTTGCCCCTTTCTAACGCTTGAAGCCTTGCAGAGCCCAAAATACAGAGACTGTTGTTGTCAAGAGCGTTCGACATTTTCGCTTACAGAACGAGAGAAATGTTCTTCTTCGTTTCCAAGGCCTGTCTCCGTACCTTCGCTCGCTTCTGGATGAGATCGAGGACCCTCCAGGTCCGCCAGCTCTCATCCTAAGACACCTCGATGATAATCTGTTGGATGCATCAAACAGCAAAAGGCTCACGCGACTCGAAGTCAAATATGTTGCGAAAAGGGTCCTGGAGGCGTTAGCTGTTCTACATGCGGAAGGTTATGTTCACACCGGTACGTTCCCTGAGCCTATGCCTCGAGGGCTTCAACTCCAAATAGCTGAAAACAATGACTACAGACATCAAACCAGGCAATATACTAGTGAACTATCGACAAAGTGAAGTCCGGTTTAGTGACGTTCAGCTTGCAGACTTTGGCAGTACCGTTCATATGGACTCTCCATACGCCCAAAATGGAGACCCCATCGGGACGCCTATTTTCAGGAGCCCTGAAGCCCATTTACAGATGAGGTGGAGTCCTGCAACGGACATTTGGTCTTTCGGCGCAATGGCAAGTTAGCATCGCGTTGAGCTCTCCTATCTTTAAAGACTAATACTTTATATTCATCCCAGCTCATAAGCATGATGTATGGGGAAGGGTTCCACATTTTTAAACCAGACGTTCCAGCAGATGACGACGAATACGACGTAAAGATTCTCATGAAACATCATCGATGCTTTGGGCCATTTTCCAAATCGTACGAGGAGATCGCCGACCAGGATAGAATCGCGGCTCTGATGTGGGTAATGCAGAATAGCCCTCCAGAGGCTCTTAGACCTTTTCGTCTCACGTCTGTGCGAGAAATTCATCAGGAGGACAAGGAATTTGTGCTAAAGATAATGAAGCTCGACCCAAGAGACAGGCCGAGTGCAAGGGCACTATTAGAAGACAGTTGGTTCTACCAGCCTTGAACCAATTTCAACAAACTGTACACGAACTTTTCTCTTACATTTCAATATTTAATAACTTTCCCTGAATCGGTGGGTAGAATAAAGACGTTCACATTCTGCCAACTCGACAAAAACCCTAGACTAGGCAAATATGCCTATACGTCAACAGAACTGTCGATAAACTCAAGCCTTTCTACTCCATTCAGTTAACTCTACAGCCAAGCTATTCATTAACTGTTTGATAACCGTCACTGCGTACATTATTCTTCTATTTATCGAAAAATGCCTTTATTCCCCGACATTTGGAATGATCAGGAAGTAATTGCTTTCAGCAGTTGTGGGAAATACTGACACCCATTATATTCCATTACCCGCCGCAATCGTTTGGCCAACATGGCTGTTGCCTTGCAGCTCCCTGTGCGACCATCCAGGTCAGAGAATGGTCCCCAAACACGTACTTCAGGTCGATTAGCTCCCACGCTTTCCGCGCCATATATGATGTAGAATTCCCAGCGCTCTCCGATGCTAATGCACCCTACCACTGGCGGTGGTAGGGCACTTCCGCATCGATGATCCCACGCCCAGGTAATCAATCCTGCCATCCAAACACCGAGTTGAACTTGCGCTTCGATCAAGTTTCCATCAGAAGCCTTGACTTCGAAGCCGGATCCAATAAATCGAGCGCCGGTATGCGGATGGGCGATGTGGCTGAAACACTCATCTGGGTATCGACAAGTCATCCTTTCGTACTCAGTCGACCACTCATCGGTCGGGAAACCGATCACAAGGTCAACTTTACGGTTGTAAGTGTCGCGTGCCGTGTATCGTCGTTGGTATTTGGAATCGACAGATTCGGTTTGGCTGTGTAGGGTCATTCCTGGTTAGTGACTGAGCAACGGCCTTGTAGGTACCTTCTTACACGCTCCAACACTCCAGAGGTAGTGTTTCTATCACACACTGTAGTAGCGGACGAACAACTTCAATAATCCATGAGCCTTCGCTTCGTAGTTGGGTGGCACATTTACACGACGCGGTGGAGATCTTGTCGATCTCGTGTGCTTCCGGTTCCCATCTATCATTGTTGTCCGCAGTCAAGAACTCCAGCAACTGACTCGCCGAGTCGCTGCCTGGGTCTGCCGACTCATGAAGGTATTTGATTTTCGGCGTGCCCGACGCGAGATTAGACTTGATACGGTTCGGACTAGATGACCGTTGTCGAGGCCGGTCGCTGGGTGTCAGATCCGAACGTGTGGTTATCGAAGGAGACAAAGTGATATCTTCGCAAAGTGGATCCGATAGCGAAGCGGCCTCTGCACCGGTGGTCAATGTCTGGCGAAGTCGTTTTTGTGGATCAGAACGAGACATATCTGACGGTGCGTCCATTCCCGTATGTCTTCGTTTGGCTCTGTCTTCCTGTCGGAGAGAAGTTCCTGGCGGGGTGAGGAGCGATTCCTGCACCCCGTGAGCATCGCGAGCGTGGCTATCTCTAGTTGGTTGGGATGTTTGATTGTCGGCGGCCACGCCCTCAATCCACTTCTTGATAGCGTCCCTCTCCATGTTTATTCATTTTTATTTTTGAAGATATAGAATGACATGCATCTATCCCGGTCCACAAGGACTAGCGGAATCTCTGTGGAGAACGTTATCGTGCCAGATCAGATGTGTTGCTCCGGCGACGGCAGAGCGGGAACTCCCAGAGGTAATTACCAGAGATGGTATACCGTATTTGATCACCTGGTGGCCATTTCTTATTGAAAAAGCTCTGATTCAACCAAAAGAATATAGTTATGAAGATGTAGGTTTCTCTTCTTTCTTTCTTATATTTCTGCAAATCCTAACAGATTATTAGAGAGGGATTTACTACCAAATATCTGCCCGATATAACCCAACGGGATAACAGCTATTAATAGTGTCTTAGTAGGCGGGTAGATAACTTTAATCGAATCACATAGATTCCGCGTAAGACTTTTTTAGATACTCTACTTCGGATATAATAAAAACTAGAGCTCCCGTGAACGTGTTATTTTCGATAAATTTTAGCTTGGTTACCCTTTCCTCTAGTAGGGATAATCAAATGAATGTACTGTACCTTGGAATGTCGATTTTTTGTTGTTAAACAAGAACCATGATAACAGTTCACAAGATAAGGCTGTTCTTAAGCCCCGAGAGTTTACAGACAATACTTTTCTTATATTGGTCCAATAGTTGAATTTCGAATATCTTTGTGTTAAGACATTGGAGGTTTTCATCAACCCTTTTGTTGTTCTCGCTTGCAGCGTCGGGGTGGGCTTCGCTTGTTCCTTCAGGACAATCGGCTAGATTTGCATTCAACCCATTCCCGTCACTAAACGAGGATAAATTCAACTAATGTTCGGGCGATCCAAGTTGACTGCATCGCGCCAATCGAATCCACTGCCCTCGATTGTATCCTTCATGGCCATGTCCCATCTGAGGTGGTCATCAGCCATGTGTGGCCCCCCTTCATCCAACGCGACGGCTTCCCGATACAACTTCGGGATGTCAAGCTCCCGGCGCTTCAATTCCCTGAGGACGAGTGAATCGGGCCGGTGCAGTTTGCTATCAGTTTGCCCGTGCCGACCATACGCTTCGTACTGGAGCAGTCCGACCTCTGCTTTTGGAACGCCTAGGATGTTCTGCATCTTGCGCTCGTGATGGAGAGGTTCGTACCGCCAGCGAATATATGACTGGACGACCTCGAGCTCGGACTGCCAGATCTCGCCGCTCAGCACACCCCACAGGACCGATAGGCTCTTCTGAGCCATCAAGAGACGCCGCATCGCGCCGTGCTCGTTCCCGTCTTCGTCTTCGTCCTGAAGCGCCGAGTCGATTTGCATCATGAAGAGGCCGGCTAAGAACAGATCCATGTCACTCCAGATTTGTCGATTTCGGATCGTCCATTTCCGCCGTCGCGTATCGGGTATGTCCATGAGAAACCAGAGCTTTTTGATCGCGGTGCCGCTCCCTGTCGGGACTTCGTAGCTTGTCCGTCTCATCCATTGCATGATCGAGTGGACGATACGCTCGCGGTCCATGATCATGGACAGCCAGGGGAAACTGGGCGCAAGTTCATTCTTGGGGCTGGGTTTGGGTCTGGGTTTACATAAAAGGGGATAACAGCGAAAGGGAAATGCATGGGCGGATTCGGGAGCTTGGTTGATTGATCGTTTAAGGATTATGAGTTCGGGGTATGTTGTGATGAATGCGTTCCAATTTTTCGAGCATGCGTATAGATTGAGTAAGTCGGTGGGCTCTAGATGTTCGGCGAGCATACAAGCCATCTCGACGTTGTCGGTGAAAGCTGCCAAAATATCAAACCCTTTGTGGGGGTGATTGCGGATGGGCTTCGGTGCATGGTGCCGGGGGGCGCGAGCAGCCCTAACCGTGTTTGACGATCGACGATGGGGGGAGTCACGGGTCGGTTTGGGTAGAATCCGTTGGTGTCGCGCTGTATGGCGGTGCGGATTCTGGATAGAACCAGCCTGCGTCTAGGTCGATGGAGCTAAGCAACCTGTCTAGCACAGTGTCTTCGGTTCAGCTTACAATTGGTCTAGCCGAGCTCTCTCCCTGATCGACCTCCATGTCATCAAAAGACTCTTGTCCCATAGCTCCAGAAATTCCTGGATCTTCCTCTGTAGCCCGTGTCTGAGAGCTGTTAGCAAACGAGGTTGGATGATGAAAAAAATCGTCCAGTGAGTCACCCACAGGGATTGCACGTTCTTCGGACTTATCTGGTCTTCCGCCTGGGCCATAGATCACTTCGTTCAGGTCCAAGGCCTCCGCCGCTGACTGCTCATTAGTCGGAAGATCAACTCTGAAGCTTGGAAAGGGTAGCACACCTTCGTACCGCGCAGGGGGGTTGATTGGCGCTATTACTCCACCTTCTGAAGAGAACTGCACCACACATGGATTCTCAGGCCTGTTAACAGGTCCTTGAGGTCTTCCCTGTCCAGTACTCGATCCTCGAGCTGGGGCACCCATTTCGCCTGACATTGAGATCATTTGCTCCGGAGGGATACCCACCAACCTCTGTTGATGATAGAGGTAAGCCTGCAATTGATCGCACCGGTTCATTTCAGCTAGCGCTCCCATACTTTGAGCGGGCTCAGTTTGAGGCTGTGGCTGGAATACGGTGGCTTCACGGTCATTGGAGGTATTTCCATCTTCCGGATTTCCCTCGAAGACGATGGGAGAACTCTGAGAGAGCTGGACTAGGGCTTCGATGGCGTCATTCTCGCCCTCAGAAAGGAAGCTAACCATTGCGTCTCGATCCTGTCCAGTCTCTGCCATTGTCTGACTTGTTTCAGGCGAAGTCCTTTCCTTCGTCGCAGTAGGTGTCTTCCTTGCACGAGAATTTTTTGCCTTGGCTGCTTTCTTCCCTGGCGCACCTTGAGTCACGACTCTTTGGGCTCTGATATCCTGGGTTGTTTGTCTTAGGGTCCTGACTCTGGGGGTGTTCACTGGCGGGGATTGGGCCGCCGTTTCTGTAGGAGTGAGCCTTTGCTCATCCAGCCGTCTTAGGCGTTCACGAAGCTCAGACACACCTTGGCGCAGATATTCTCCGGATCTCCTGATTTTAGCGATAGCTTCTCTGAATGACTCCACGCCTCGCTGAATTTCTGTCTCCAGTTCCAGGGTGTCCGGCGACGTGATTACACGAGACCGAGCCTGAAGCTCCCTAGCTATCTCCTGACATAGATCAGGTCCAGTTACCAGAGGCTTTGGCTTTCTCAAGATAAGCCTTTGTCCTGTAGGTTGGTCTTCAGAATCAGCCGTCGATGCTTGCGAAGGAGTTGAACAAGAAGCTTCCGGATCGGCTGTTTCAGCATCAGCAGAACCCTCTGGTTGATCACTTGGGTGCGTCAAGACTAACCTGGTCGGTCTGGTTATCTGCGCCGTTTCAGAACGAGCCTGTGGCCTTTGCACGGATGCAGATGACGCTGGAGTGTCGGGGTTGGTATCCCGTCTGGGTGCCCGCGACCTGCGCAACGCCTGTGTAGCTGCAGGCAAGGTTTCTGGCGCCTGGTTTCTAGTAACAGACCTGGTACGTGCAGCTGGGCCATCAGTAACCGGAGCCTTGCCCTTGTTGTTCTTGACAGGAGCCATGGTGGAGATTCAACACGGTAGTAGACAAGATAATCTTACCTGAGAGATACGGTTCAGAAAGGAAAGAGGATCTTTCGCGGTTCTCGTGCGTAAGAGGAGATCTTTGTAGGGGAAGAGCTAAGAAAATGAGTTAACTGTAAGTCCAAGGCAAGAGTAGGGTCTTGGGGTAAAGAGATAGTGTGTGCGAAAGGGCAGTGGTAAAAGAGAGGTAACACCTATTTATAGCCAAAGGAGGAGGGGGGAAAGAAACTGCTGGAGAAGTCCTTTAAGTCAGTGAGTAGGTAGTGTTTTGCAACCAATATGGTAGCTTATGTCATTGGTGAAATCACCAAGCACTAGTAGGAATCCCCCCTTCTGCTTGGATTGTTGTAATCACAAATGCATTGTTCAGATCACAGACAGTGAATTGTTCCAGTGGTGGGTCAGGCCATGGTTCAGACTGCTCATCAATGGGGTTTCCAGGTTATCTACGGTTCACTTTTCACTTGCTTTGCCTTTTCGTCTCTGTCTTCCCCTTGATAGAGGACTGACCCAAGTCAATCTGCATGCCAAAAAGTTGATGTGGTAGTCTGTAATTGTCCAGCTATAACAATGTCTTTCTAGTTAAACAGAATTAGACTCAAGAGCCAAGCTTGGTCACAAGTTCTTGCTGGGTAATCGGGTGTTGAATCACCCGTGATATAATTGTTGAAGAATGCTTTTGATCGTCGTCATTCCAAAAATAGGTGCGAATGCCCCCAAGACCACAAAGTATCATGCAAAATCAAAGATGTGTATGGGGAGTCTTTGAATATGTAATGAAAAGATGTGTCGTAAACAAGATCGGCAAGGAAACATTCCAAGCACATGGCGTATAAAGAAACAAGATGCCAAACCCAAGAAACCTGTTGAAAGGTGAACCACCAAAACTCCGTGAAACTCATTAATACCAACCAATGTTAAAACGGGGTAACAAGTATTTTATCGCAGACAGAGTGAAGGGCAAGAAAGGTCTATCTCCGATGCAGGAGAGTCAAAAACTCTTCGCGAGTCTTTGCGCTCGACCGCATGCACCCAAGCATGCAGCTTGTGGTGGTCGTACTGCTCGTCTTCTGGACACCACGCATCACCATGCAGAGATGCGACGATTCCATCACAACACCGACGCCAAGAGGCTTGAGGACCTCCGAGATGGCCAGAGCGACCTGTTTCGTCAGCCGCTCTTGCACCTGAAGTCGTCGCGAGAACATCTCTGCTAGACGAGCCAGCTTGGAGAGACCCAGCACCCGACGATCAGGGATATAACCGATATGCATCTGCGCAGATATGTGGTTAATGAGACATCCCGAATTCCGGAGAGATCTTTCTTACCTTTCCAGTAAATGGAACCATGTGATGTTCACATAGGGAGAAGACCTCGATATCCTTGACGATAACCAACTCGTCGTGGTCCTCGTGGAACACAGCGCCGTTCACAAGGTCTCGCACATTCTCTTCATAACCTTTGGTGAAGAACAGCATCGCCTTGGCATATCTTTCGGGAGTTTCGCGCAACCCCTCTCTGTCGGGGTCCTCTCCCACGCATTCCAAGATTGTCTTCACGGCACCTGCCAGCTTCTGGACTCGTTCTTCCTCTTGTTCCGGGGACGACTCCAACCGCGCCCTCGTGCCGGGGCCTGTTCGGACAAAACCGTATTAGATAGAAGGAACAGCAACAGCCGTGGATCGGATCGACCATTCGTCACTTACAAGGCCAGCTCAGTCCGTCGAAATCTATCGGAGGGAATTGCGTGTAAGGGCTCTCCGGACGGCTCGCGACTGGCGGGGACAACGGACCGGCTTCGTCTCTAGGGTCGCGGGCAGGATCGTTCAGGACCGGTCTGCGAGAGCCTCCTGATTAGCACATACTTCATCCAAGGATAATTGCGCACGAATAGCTTACTTCGCCGCAGCCGGTCTGCCGACCCGGCCGTCAGAACGGTCCGCTGACTCACCACCGGCATGCGTTGCGCTGGACTCGGGCGAGTCAAACTCAACCGGAATGCGAGGGGCAAAAGAGGACATGATGGAGGAGTTCAGACTTTCACGCTCGCGCGCATCACGATTGCGAAGAGAAGGTTGAAGAGGAGATCCGCCGTTCAACAGACGAGATGGAATCGCAGATTTCGGCTTGGGGCCCGTGGGGGGAGGGGATCCAGAACCCATGGTGGGGGCGTAGAAAGACGAGAGGAAATGGGATTTCGAGACGGAAGGCAGGAAGGATGTAGTTAATGAAACAAGAGGTTGATGGGAAAAGAAACGCGAACAATTTAAGAAAAATCAATCACAGTGTAGGAGACATGGTCATCAGATGAGCGATAAAAAAAAAGTAAGGATAATATTCTAGAAAGCGAAAAAAAAGTCACCGGAGAGAGCCTGGGAGCCTGAGGTTATCAGCAACACCGCCTATTGGTCCCCGCCCACGCCGATTCGGAGCTTATGTTCACCGCCCGCAGATGGACCAATCATGGGTGTCCGCCCGTTGAGGCTTGTCGGCGGGGGGATGAGTAAGCAGCTATCACGTTATTGCCGCTTCAGCTGCAGGAAGACAAGTAAGACTAGGAAAAGGGAAATTCCTGATTAATTGACTTGTTCTTCCTGATGTTATAAGAAAACTCACGGGGAGATATCCCATAGCTAAGAGTACTCAAATCGCTTGTTCTGGCTCATGGTAGTATAGAGACCCTCTATCATGGCAGATCGGTATCAGGTCCAACGAGAATCACATCATGCGAGTGCTGCTGCAGGAAGGTCAGCAAGTCTTGATCTCGCCGGTAGGATTGGCTGGCCTAATGCTACTAGGTCGGGAAAAGACCGATGCATCCGACAACTCACAGACCTTGATTTAACTCCATTCTGCTAAGCACTGCATTCTCCTGATATATATAGACCAGTCTCATCCCCATCTGATTCTACCGATCACCTCATTCAACCAGCACAGAGACAAAATGTCATCCACCTGGAACGAGACAACCTCGAATCACTGGCAAGGAGCAGGAGCGGCGGAGTTTGATCTTAGAAGTGGGCGACGGATAGCCCCATAAACACCGCAGGGCACTCGCATCTAACGGAGATCTATAGGTGACACAATCACCAAGCCGACATTGCCCATGCTGAACGCGATTGCCCAATCAACGCTATCCGACGATGTTTTCCGCGAAGACAGCACCACAAATTCCCTTCAACAGTATATCGCCGGGCGCACAGGCCATGAAAGTGCGCTATTGGTGATGTCGGGGACCATGGGCAACCAAGTGGCTATTCGAAGCCACTTGACCGAAGCCCCATATTCGGTTCTTTGCGATGATCGAGCGCATATCCTTCGATCTGAAGCGGGGGGAGTCAGTGCCTGGACGGGGGCAACCGTCTATGGGATTAAACCCGGGAATGGCATGTACATTACCCTGGAAGAGATCCAGGGCCATGCTATCTTGGGAGATAATATTCATCGCTGTCCGACTAGGCTAATCAGTTTGGAGAACACCATTCACGGCCTTGTCATGCCCTTAAAGGAGACTCGGCGGATCGTCGAATGGGCCCATTCTCATGGTATGAAAGTCCACCTTGACGGGGCAAGGCTCTGGGATGTGGTTGTATCGGGAGCTGGGACACTGTCCGAGTATACCAGCCTTTTTGACAGCGTGAGTCTTTGTTTCTCAAAAGGCTTAGGTGCGCCGATCGGCAGCATCCTCGTGGGACCAACCCGCTTTATTGACAAGGCGCGATGGTTCCGTAAATCAATTGGCGGGGGAATCCGTCAGGCAGGGATTATCTCGGCAGCAGCCAGAGTTGCCGTAGAGGAAGTTTTCGGACCAGAGCCCCATGGTGGCGGCAAGTTGAGGGATGTCCATGCCAAGGCTCAGAAGATAGCAGATATGTGGACTAATAGGGGCGGCAAATTGCTGTATCCAGTTCACACCAATATGGTGTGGGTTGATATCAAAGCGGCAGGACTCCAGCCGACGGATTTGGCTGATATCGGCAGGCAGAAAGGCCTGAGGTTGTCTGAAACGAGGATAGTGGTGCACTATCGTAAGTTCTCTGATTAGTTTCAATGACATAGGAAATGGTTCTTCTCACACTGTGCTAACAAATGACAGAGATATCTGACGAGACGCTGCGTCGGCTCGGCGAAGTCTTTGATCTCGCGCTCAACCGCAAGCCCTCCAAACTATAAGACTCTCTGCTATCTGATATGGGTTGCATGGAAATGGACATTGTTGTTAAGTAAATCAACATCGAAAGACTACTGTGAGCATAGGATAGACCGGCAGATACAAGATGCGAGAACAAGAACTCGCTCAAAAATTTAATATTTTGTCACTCGTCGCAGTAAGTTTGTAACAAATTAATACAAAAGACCTCAAGCCGATAGGTTTCAAAACCCTCTTTAAACAATATGGGCATCAATCAATCAAGGCTCAATCTCCTCAGTCGGAACGTCTTCCAGATCCTTGCCAACAATGGCATCAGCAACCTTCCAGACCTGTAGTAGATTGTCTTCGGCAGCGGAGCAAAGAACCCATGGGTCGTTGAGGTTCCAGCTGAAGTCGGAGATCCGGTTGGTATGTCCACCATGCATGAAGAGCCTGCGCAGAAATTCAGTTAGCGATCGATTCAAGGGCCCCGTAGAATAAGCCAGATCACATACAGCTCGGGTGGTCCATCCTGGGCATCGTCAGGAGTTTGCTCCTCGCCCGCTCGGCTCAGATCCCAGAACATGATCTTCCGGTCGTAGCTGGCACTAGCCAGAACGGCCTCCTCGAACGGATGCCAAGAGATCGAGGTGACCGAGTCGTTGTGGCATTCAAGTGCGTGAAGCTTGGTCTTGAGGTTACGGAGATCCCAGAGACCGATCGTTTTATCAGCCGAGCCAGTCGCAAGGACAGTTTCCGCAGCGGGGTTGAAAGCGACGGCATTGATCGCATCGCGGTGCTGACCCTCGGCCGACGCGGCCGCACGGGTTGTTTCTGCCTCTCGGATGTCGAGAATTTGAAGGGTAATGTCGTCGGATACTGTTCCAATGAGAGAGGAGTGCAGGGGGTGATACTGAACGTCGTTGACAATAGAGGAATGATGCGTGTAGGTACGAGTAGGCTTGAGGGCCTTGTTACCCTTCGTGAACGTCGTCAAGTCCCTTTTGATAATGGTCAACATCGGGTTCTCAGAGGCTGGATTGGGGGTCTCGTTAGAGCTTACCAGAGTCGGACAGTCTTGTCTTCACTACCCGTGACGAGGTGGCCTGTAGCATGAGGGCTCCAGCTGAGACCGAAACCCTCCTTGGTGTGTCCCAAAAGTTCCATCTGTGGGTTCACGGTGCCGGTGGGCAGACTGGGGTGCTTTGAGCGATCCCAGATCATGACTCTCCCGTCCGTACACATCGTGGCGATCACATTAGGGTTTTGTGGTTGATACCGAGCTTTGTTGACCTCGCCCTTGTGGTCAATCTTTTGGACGATGTTGAATTTAATTTCCATAGGCGCTTTCTTGGAGCTTCCGCCATAGCCACCGATTTCTCCGCGCTCCTCATCGTAGTCGTCTGGGTTGGGAGTGGTCGGGTTAGGAAGCTGCACGTGAGCAACTTGCAGGTAGTTCTGCGCGTCGCTCGACGTATGTGTACCGATCAACAGGCGGTGCGTGGAATACGGTTTATCGGGCACCCTGTGTTCATGTCAGACTCAAGAGCGATTCGCAGGAGGCAAGGGAAAAGCGCATACTCTTGCTTGTCGGGTAGCCATTGTGTCGTGAGAGTGGGCCACTCCAGAGCTGTGCTGAGAATCATATCATACAAGAACGGCGCATTCTTCTTCCATGTTTTGTATTCTGATTTTCGAAACTCTCTTAGCATCCATGTCCGATCTGAAAAGAGTGGATTAGGGCAAAATACCTTCATTGATGATCTTCTCCTCAGTACGCTCCTCCTCCTGCTCTTCCTGCTCCTCAATAAAACCTAGGGCAAAAGAAAGGTGAGTTGAATATTCGCGCGACAGACGATGTCGGGGGATCGCACCATCCTCGTAGGGCTCCATGATTCTCTGGGGGTAGTTGCTGATTGAAGGGACCGGAGTCCAGATAGGATAATTCGGTAGATGAAAAATTTATGACAGGAGCGATAAGTAACACCGGGAGTGTTACAGTAGGGGTCTGTGAGGGAAGCGCCGGCGTCAACGTAAAGGGTGGCAGGACTTGGAGCTGCGGTCGAGCTCTGCTCAGAAACGCGACTTTCCTGCCGGCGGCGCGTTAATGACCGCCCACGAAGGGCTAGTCCTCTTCGGGCCAAACAGGCTTGGCAGCGTCACTCGACCCGGCGGCCTCAGGCTGTCAAAGCTAATTGGACTTAGTCAGAACCGGGAAGACCTCGAGTCACTCCGCTGACCTCACTTGACCCTCTTTCTTTCTCTTTCCTCTTGAAATCAGTCACTGTTCCCTCACGAATTACTAGGCCTCGTCGCCTCCTGTTCAGGCTTTTCTATTCTTAATTGGATTGTTTCCTTTCCTTTTACGTTCCGCTTGGGACTGTACTTTGAGCATTTTGCAGTCATTCCCTTCAGCCCACGTCCGCATTACTCTCTTGCCTTCGGAGCTTGGGTTCTTCATTGTTAGGATTCTGACGACTTCGACGACCATCGCAACGACGAACGACGCATCCGCTGCTTGAATAATTTGTTTTACCTAGTGCGGTATTCGACAGTTTTTCTTACTTTTCCTGCTCTCGAGTCACCATGGGTGTTCCTAAATTCTTCCGATGGCTGAGCGAGCGGTATCCGTCCATCTCGACCCTGATCGCAGAGAACCGGATACCCGAATTCGACAATTTGTACCTTGACATGAACGGTATTATTCACAACTGTACACACAAAGACAGCGATTCTCCGACTTTCCGCATGACGGAAGATAAAATGTTCATAGCGATTTTCAATTACATCGAGCATCTGTACGGAAAGATCAAGCCGAAAAAGCTCTTTTTCATGGCGGTGGACGGTGTCGCTCCTCGCGCCAAAATGAACCAACAACGCGCAAGACGATTCCGAACTGCGTTGGACGCCGAGGTAGCGAAGGATAAGGCCATCAGTCAGGGCATTGAGATGCCCAAGGAGGATCCGTTTGATAGTAATTGTATTACACCAGGAACGGAGTTCATGGCGAAATTGACCGAACAATTGAAGTATTTCATCAATAAGAAGATCTCGGAGGACAAGGATTGGCAAGGTGTTGAGATTGTGCTTTCGGGCCACGAAACGCCAGGAGAAGGAGAACACAAGATCATGGAATACATCCGGCATGCGAAAGCACAGCCTGGTTATGATCCCAACATTCGTCACTGTCTTTACGGCCTCGATGCGGACCTCATCATGTTGGGTCTCTTGAGTCACGACCCCCATTTTTCCCTGCTCCGTGAGGAGGTCACTTTTGGACGTCAGGTCCAGAAAAAGCCCAAGGAGTTGGAACATCAAAATTTCTTTTTGTTACATTTATCTCTGGTCCGAGAATATTTGGAGCTAGAATTTCAAGAGCTGGAGAAAGAGGGCGCTTTGGCTTTCCCATTTGACATGGAACGGGTTATCGACGATTTCATCCTGATGGCTTTCTTTGTGGGAAATGATTTCCTTCCCAACCTGCCTAATTTGCATATTAATGAGGGCGCGTTGGCATTGATGTTCAAGATTTACAAAGAGATTTTGCCCAAAATGGGTGGCTACATCAACGAAGGAGGTGTGATTAACATGGAACGACTTGGGGTGCTTCTAGATGGCTTGAGCGATGTGGAATTCCGCTTTTTCGAGGCCGAATACTCGGATTCACAATGGATCCGGGCCAAGAAGAATGGCGCTGAAGAAAATGCCGAGTCTCAGGCGAAACCCAAGGGTCTCGCCATCACACCCGCCCAGAAGAATCTATTCAAGGATGTCAAGAAGTATGTTCTGAACCGACCTGAAAAGGCAGCAGATACCAAACCTCTTGACTTCCCTTCTACTCTCCCGGCCCGTGACCGCAAGTTTATTGAGCAGCTTGCAGATGACCTGCGGCTCCCGTGGACCACTGTCTCCGACGACCATGGAGAACGGTTCATTAGGGTGCAGCTACCCGCCAAAGATGATGATGACAGTGAAGATGAAGATGAGGAGGCCTCGATGGCCGTTCAGCGTATCATTCGCAAGTATGATAACGCCAAGGTGCAGGAGCTATCTCCCGAGGAAGCTCAGCAAGCAGCCGAAAAGAAATACGAAGAGAAGTTCCGGGAGTGGAAAGACAAATACTACGTGACGAAGTTTGGGTGGGGTCTGGAGAATCACGAAGAAATGCGAAAGCTCACGGAGAACTATGTGCAAGGTTTGCAATGGGTTCTATACTATTACTACAGGGGGATTGCGTCTTGGCCGTGGTTCTTCGGGTTTCACTATGCCCCAATGATTTCCGGTGTGTTTTCATACTCTTTCTTTTTTCAACCGAAGTTTCCCCCCAAGATGCAATTGCTGACCTGTTTCAGACGTGAAAAATGGACTGAAGGCAGACACGAACTTCAAGCTTGGCCGACCCTTCAAGCCTTACGAGCAGCTTATGGGGGTTTTGCCTGATCGGAGTAAGAAGACCGTGCCGAAGGCGTACTGGGAATTGATGACGTCGGAGGAGTCACCAATCATTGATTTCTATCCGCGCGACTTTGAGCTGGATATGAACGGTAAAAAGATGGAGTGGGAAGCCGTGGTCAAGATTCCATTTATTGATCAAGACCGCCTATTGGACGCGCTGAAAACGAAGGAACATCTATTAACCCCGGAAGAAAAAGCGCGCAATGGATTCGGGGCCAGTCTGAAGTTCACTTACTCGCCAGATGTGCAGTACGTTTATCCCTCGTCGCTTCCGGGCATTTTCCCGGATATTCCTAGCTGCCATTGTATCGAGAACATTTTCGATCTGCCTACCATGGACGGCCTGGAGCCGTACATTGGATTGGTCGATGGTGTACAGCTTGGATCCGCGGCATTGGCAGGCTTCCCGAGCTTGAAGTACTTGCCCCATGTTGGCCAGTTAGGCTTCCACGGAGTGTGCGTTTTCCAGCAGGAGAGCCGCAACGAAAGCATGGTCATCACGATCCTCGACCCCGGAAGCCGCTCGAATACCGAGCTTGCAAAGGCCAAGCTAGGAAAGCGAGTCTACGTCAACTATCCTTTCTTGCAGGAAGCATATGTTGTTCGCGTTTCGGACGAGCTGTTTGATTACATCTTACCCGAGGGTGAGCAGCACGTTGTTTCTATTCCTCATACCGATGTACAGATCAACCAGTGGAAGAAAAAGGCAGAAAAGATCGAAGGGACCTACAGCCGGGGGCTTGGCACCATCATCGGCCCCGTTGAAGCCATGGTGCATGTGCAGCCGCTCAAGGGTCTGATCAAGACCGACGAAGGGTCCACTATCAAGGAGTTTGCGGACATTCCTGGCCAGGAGACGGACTATGCGCTCCAGATGATCGTCGACGATGTCATTAACCCCGATGAACGCTTTATCGAACGGGAGGCCCTCCCTATTGAGCAAGAATTCCCCGAAGGATCTCGAGCATTCTTCCTAGGAGACTTCAATTACGGACGGCCAGTCCATGTGACCGGACACGAGCAAGGGAAGGTGAATGGATTGCTTGCATCCGTCAAGGGTCGGGATCCGGAATTTGGACGGGAGCGCGCTAGGGACGCCGAGAGGCTCTGCCCTTACATGCCGTCGTACGCCATTGCCCGCAACCTTCGTTTGAACCCCTTGGTGTTGGCCAAGATCACGTCTTCTTTCTCGGTAGATATTGAAGGGCAGCGGGTGAACCTCGGTCTCAACCTTAAGTTCGAAGCGCGCAAGCAAAAGGTCCTTGGATACTCACGGCGAGGTGAGTCTGGCTGGGAATTCAGCCCCAAGGCGGTCGAATTGCTCCAGCAGTACATGATCAACTTCCCCGAGTTTATCGCGGGGATTCAACGCAACCCGCAAAACGACCGGTACAAGCCTACGGATTTCTATCCCGAAGATATTGCCCTTCTGAAAATGAAGGAGATCCGCGACTGGCTCAAATCCATGGAAGCCAAGAACTTCGAGAGAGTGCCTTTGGAAGCCGAACAGCTTGATTCGGATATCGTGAAGCTGATTGAACAAGATGCGGACCAGATCAGCGTCAACCAAGCTCAGATGACGGTCAAGAAGCTCAAGGGCGTTCCCCGGAGTGCTCTCCTTCGGCCTTCCGACGTCGAGCAACGCTTGGGTAACCAGACGTTTAAGCTAGGTGACCGGGTAGTTTACGCTCAAGATTCCGGCAAGGTGCCTATCGCTACGCGAGGCACGGTTGTTGGACTCACACGGACGTCGCGGGCCGTTCTCCTCGACGTTGTCTTCGATGTGTCTTTCATGAGTGGCACAACACTGGGTGATCGCTGCTCTCCTTTCCGCGGTCAAACCGTGCTGGCCTCTTCGGTCTTGAACATCTCGTACCGGCAACTGCTTGCGAACACTCGTGCGGCTTCCAATCAGCAGCAGCAAACCCAACCGACGCCTTTGACGATTGGCGGTACTTCTAGATTTGGAGGACCGTTGAAAGAGGCACCGGCGCCTGCGCCATTGAGCCACTCTTACCGCGGTGCTGTTTCGGGACTGGGTAATGGTCGCGTCAACGGTCGCGGACGCGGCGGACGTGGCGCCTCCAACGGAGTAGGCGCGCAGACTAGCCTGCCTTTCCGGCCTCATGTCGTCGAAGTGGAGAATGGCTCGAACCGCGCAGGCCGAGGTCGCGGCGGACCCAACGGCGGCCGCGGCAGCCGTGGAGGAGCGAATCGAGGACGGGGAGGATACAACCAGGTGGATGCTGATCCGGAGGCTGGCGTCGTGAAAAACAACCCGAACTTCCGGCCTCAGAACTATTCGCAGGTGCCACCGCCGAGAGGTGGTCGTGGTGGACGTGGACGTGGAAGAGGAGGATCGGAGCGAGGAGCTGGAAACCGAGGGCGCGGAAGGGGTGCTGCCGCAGCTGTCGCCGGACAAGACTCGTGAAGAAAGAGCACGCCAACTTACAAGTGTACATGAACCGCGGAATGATATTGTAGCGGATGTGACGAGTACCTGTTTCTCTACCCAGCTCAGCTACCTCACTTCCTCTTTCTGTTTTAGTGCTCACCCCTCGCCGTTTCTCGCTCTCAGTAGACCTGAGCATGCCCTAAGCGCCTGGGACAGGTCACTAAATCGAGGCTAAACAAAGAAAGTTAAATTAAATAATCGAATAAATATAGTACATTGAAGCTATATCAATATTTCGTCTCCTTCCTGGTGCTAAACCAACAATCTAATTAACCTTGGAAAAGGTATTTGAATACTCAGTGATATAATTATATCTCTAACTTGATACTCTACCCTCTACATACTCAGATTCAAGTATCCAAGGTAGAGTACAGCGAATGCCTTTAAGGACTAAGGATCGCTGACGGGCGAGCGCTCCCTGAGCTTATGGCACTATTTGACGAGTCCCGGGGTATAATCTCCGCGGGAATCCATGTTGATAATTTCAACTCACATGCACGTGGGGTTGGCAGAGCTTTTCGGGATAAGTAGTGTCTCATGCACCATGCGAAGAGCCGTATACATATCCATGCATCTCCCTCAGGCATCAACCGAACACGAAAGGTTGATCAAATAGCGAATAAAAGCCTCGGTGATCATGAATGGCGCAAAGGGACGTGACGAGGATTCTGCGTTCTTGTTCTTCATCTGGACAAAGATATCGAGGGTGCTTTTCAAAATGGATAGATCTTCATGTGGATATGAGGTGTCACGGTGGCGTGTGATAAGGCGGTAGTGCAGAGCGAGTACGGCGGTTAGGAGGAATTGTGCGTATATCCTATTCAAATAACATGTTAGGTTATAGGGTACAAATTTCTAGTACCAGTTCACAGGAGATAACTAAAGAAAGTGTGAGAAAAGAAAAGTAGCATAGACGAACCAGAAAGTTTCTTCATTGATAAGGAATGGCATTCGACACAGATACAAAAGAGTCGACCGCGCAGCCTGATAACATAACTCCAGACTCGAAGGAGCGGATGATTCCTCAGTCACATCGTGACCGACAAGACTAGCTCCATGAATCTTCGTCAGGCAATGATAATATTCCAAGTGAACGGTGACCGCCCGGATATTGAGACCGCGAGCAGAAGCATCAGAGAGGCCGAGGCTCGTGCCTGTCTCGAAAACGGTTTCCGGTTGGTAACTAGCAGGAAACTGCGCCTTGAGTTCATGGAGCTCGTGGTCTAGTTCTCGGATAACGCGGAGTCTTGTGGCCACAGAGGCTTGCAAACTGGGCCGGGAGTAGAGGAGTTGGTAGACCTTGGATTTGAACAAAGATAACCGGAGGTCTGAAGGGAAGAGAACTTGAGGGTGATTTTGCTGCTGATCTGTGAAGAATGGTTTCAGGGATGGCGCAGATGTGTATGATGCAGGGAGTTCGAGGTTGCAGTCAGCGTCGTGGATGAGAGGGGCTTGACATTTGCGAAGAGACATTTCCTTATCTATCGAATAACAGAGCCAGAATAAGGATCTTAAATGCTCACGGTGACGCCTGGCATCAGGTGATAAGGAGTCGAGCGAGCTGTGAATGGTATGGCCTCCTAGATTGTAGAGAATCCGTATCGCCATAGAGAGAAGAAGCTGAGCGGTCTGTGGCTGGCCAAGAGGAGCAATATAGAGTGCCTACATACGTCAGTGCACGGCAGATAAGTCCTAAACCATTAGTAGACCAACCATAATGGAAAGAGCCTCTAGGGCACGAATATTGGTGTGATCCATGATCAGTTGTGGAACCAACGAAAGTGCGGCTTGCAGATAGGAATCGGGAGCGGGGTGTAAGAAAGCAAGTTCGTGGTGCTCAATTCGAGTGATGAATGCCGTGAAAGCTACTAGACATGCCCTATCCGCTGCGTTCATGATTCCCGCGTCAGGGTCCAGAGAAATGGCGTTGGGAAGGGAAGGCAAACTCTCAATTTCGACTATAGGGAATATGGTGTACAATCGACTTCTGGCGAAGTGACCAATTACTTGCTCGACTACGTAGCGAGTTGGCCACTGTGGTAAAGCAAGATTGGTACTTTGTGCTTCTTCCCCTGGTGGCCTAGTTGATGTGATCTGGCGGGCAAAGTCATTGAAATCAAAAATGGAAGCCAGTTGAGCATTCAGAGCTACCCCGGGGGTACAATATTGAAGATGCCATAGAAATGCTGTTAAAGAGGTTTCAAATCCCGATGGATCGAATAGACCAGGTATCGGAGAGGGAAAAGCATGAATTTCTCTCCGGTGTAATGATCGTAATGATTCCTCTAGTTGTCTTGTATAAGCTAGATTCTCTTCAAGTTGCCTATGATTGTTAACGACAGCGATTATTATGATAGAATAGGACGTTCATCTTACTCGCGGGGCTTTTTCCGACGTGGAATTGGCGTGAAAACGCAGTCTACGCCAGCGTCACGGCAGTTTTCACAAGCAGGCTTAGCCTTATCACAGCGGATCTGAGAGGATTTAGTTAGTAGCTTTTTTATTGCAGTGATATTAAGCTATGAACACTGCCTACCTTCTGACGGCGGCAGAGATTGCAGGCAATTCGCGTTTTGGCGATGTCGCTCATTGTCCTGTGGTTGGCCAGGGTCCCACGGCCGTTTCTGTGTGGATACCCCACTGGTATACCCTGAATAGACTGTACTGGACGAATGATGTGTTTCTAAGCCAGAAAAGCGATTCGGCCTTGAGAGGTGGGCAAATAGTGGGCGCTGCCAGTCTCGTGCTGATGACTTGCAACTAGATGATGAGGTAATCGGTTGAAAACTGCCCGAAGCTAAACTGGATACGGGAGATGATCTACTAGCGGGACCCACCCTACCCCGGCTTTAAGGTAAATGTAGGTTCCGCTTATGTATATGGGGCTCTCGCGAGCGCCAATTTTCTGAAGATTACGGTGTATGAATACATGATATCTATCTTGCCGTGCCAAGGGTTGGAAGGTGGAGAGAGAGGCTCTATTATACGTATACGAGTCCTTCTAAAACCCGTATTGAAAGGATATCACAAACAGACCTGTAAATGAAGAAATTGGCATTGAAAGCGGATAAGGCTCTCCAATGCCATTAACCATATAGAAGGCATGTGCTCTAAACAGCAAAAGAGGTTTGCAGAGAGCCTGCTCGTTGAAAACACGGGCTCACGGACATCATAATCGTAATACTAATATGGTCTAGTAGGAGTTACTAAACGGGTTGCAAAGAGGCGCGGAAGTCCTATTTTCATCCCGTAGATCCTTTCTCCATACGTTTAGCAAAAGGCAACAGCCTATTGGCACACAGCCTATTTCGCATAGTATATACGCGCAATGTCGCCGCTATTTCAAGTTGATTAACGGAACCTTCGTCTAGTTGCGGCGGGTACCTACGCCCGCATTTCCTGCTAATGCTGCAAGATTACGAATATCGCATCCAGAAAAGGCCTTGAAGCGGTTGATGTCCTCCACACCAGGGGTGATGAAACGTCTTCACGAATTGGAAATGCCCAATTCGTCACCTTGTTTCTCCAGGCAATTGCCCCTGACTCTGATTGCATGGCTTGTCAAGCGATGAATATGTGAAGGCATGGTATAAATGCCAGCTTGATGTCCACCTGCAAGTCTATCAAGAGCAATCCTTATTCAATTCTCTCAGACTTCCCAGACTTTGGTCACCATTCCCGCAAAATGGTTCACTTGGCTTCCGCTTTCACACTTGCCCTTGCTGGTATCGCCGGCTTCGGACTCGCTCATCCCGGACACGATGTCAAGGCTGAAGCTGCCGAGCGCGCTGCCTATTTGAAGAGTGTTCCTGTCCAGGCCCGTGATCTCTCCCACTGTGCTTCCAGCTTCGAAAAGCGTGGTGTCGAGAATCCAAACGTTGCACGTCGCCAAGCCGCTGTGGAAGAGCTGCGACGCAAGCGCGGTCTTGCTACCGGTGATTGTGAACCCCGTGTCATCCACCATCAATGGAAAAGGAAGTAATCTAACTCAGCTTCTAGGTTCGGGATACCTGAAGGCTCGCGATTTGGACTCTACCTTGGCGACTAACCACCATTCTAACTTGACTCATGTTGACCCTTCCACTGATCCGCGGGTTTTGTTCGGCTCTGAGGGAACCTGCATTGTTCAGCCCGAGGTCACTCAAGGACCATACTGTGAGCCTCCCAAGATACATCTTAGATATCCCATTCTGACACTTTCTAGACATCGCTGGCGAGCTCATCCGTGATAATGTCGTGGAAGACCAGGCTGGTATTCCGCTTTTCATGGATATTCAGCTGATTGACACCAATACCTGTCAGCCTCTGCCTCATATCTATACTGATATCTGGCACTGTAACGCCACCGTAAGTCCGGATTAACGGCTGCGTCATCATTCCTGGTGGATATTTACCTATTCCTCTTATAGGGCGTTTACTCTGGCGTTGTCGCTAGTGGAAACGGTAACAAATATGATACCACCAACGTGAACACCACTTTCCTTCGCGGTGTCCAGAAGAGCGGCAGTGATGGTGTTGTCCGATTCGAATCAATCTTCCCTGGTCACTATACCGGCCGTGCTACGCACATTCACGGTAAGAGAAACCACTATCTCTTTCCATAATCAATAACATACTAACAATCTATCAGTGGTCACCCACCCGGCGAACGAAACCAAGATTCTTCCCAACGGAACCATTGCCGGTATCTACGACGGACACTCGTCTCACGTGGGCCAAATCTTCTTCGATCAGGATTTGATCAGCGCCGTCGAAGAATACTCGCCATACTCTTCCAACACCCAGGACCTGACCACAAACTCGGAGGATAGTATCTTGGAGACCGAGGCCGATGACACGGACCCTTTTATGGAGTATGTGTACCTGGGTGACAATGCCTCGGATGGAATCTTTGCTTGGATTTCGATCGGTGTCAACGCCAAGCGCGACGATAGCCTTTCTCCTGAGGGTTACTGGACTGAGAATGGTGGTGAAGTTAACGATGACTTCGAAATGAACATGGCTGGAATGGGTGATATTGGCGATATGATGCCTACTTCTAGTGCTGTGGCCTCGGCTAGTACGTCTGCTTAGAGCGAGGCATCTCTATTAGAAGGAGGAGCCCTTGCACCTGATTGGTTTGCATTCAGCCCCAGGTCATAGAGGTCCCTATGTTAGAAGGACAAGGGAACCCTTGTATGAACCTGATTTAACTTTCTGCCCTAGCGCATAGATATTCTCGGTGACAGCTAAGCTGTGCCTGTCTAAAAGACTGAATTTTCTATATATTCTCTGGTATGCTTGATCGAAATGGCCGTTTTTCTGCTCTTTTTTCTTTGTCTTTTTCTTTTACCGTTCCAAATCTAGATGCTTGTAGACAAGGAATCGTCCTTGCGTATTGGCCACTGGCCACTGATTATCTGTAATGTAGAATACACACATAGCAAGTTTCCCATAGGAATATTAAAGCGGCAGGGCCTTGAATAATGAGATTTGCGCTGTTGTAGAAAATAGGCACATGTCGGGTCGTATATAAGATAGTTCGGCCACAATTGACCCGACACCTTTTCCTTTCCTTCCCCGCAAATTCAGATAAGCAATGCGGAGTCGGATATTTATCCGCTCTTGAGCTTTCCCGGAGTATATAACGACTTAACCGTCGGCTCATTCGAGGTACTTCCTCTTCTCCCCGCAATCTTTCTGTCTATACAGTTCTACGACAAACCTCCATCCCAACACCGGCAATGCCCGAAATCCCCACCTTCGATAATCTCACCCTTGACCCCGCCGGGCCCCCGGGAAACGCATGGGGCCTCTTCGGCCGCGACAACGACCTCGGCATGCTCAACCTGCTCACACCAGAGACTGTACGACGCGCTGCTGCGGAGGAGATCCGCGACGGGGTGCGCTTCTCGTTGGACCTGCCATTAGATCGCATCAAGAGCCCGAGTTTCGGGCGCAAGCCGTTTTCGAGGGAATTTGTGAACCGGGCCCCAAGGAGCGTCAATGATGATGTTTTGGTGTTTAATACGCAGACGAGTAGTCAGTGGGATGGGTTTCGACATTATGGTGAGATACACAGGCGGTTTTCTTGAGTTTCGGCTTTTGAGGGAGAGAGATGAATTGCTAAGTAGTTGATTGACTGTCTGCAGGGAATCAAAAACATCGGTGTTATTTCAATGGCAACAAATTAGAGGATTTGCAAACTAAGCACGTCATTGGAATTGACTGTACGCTTTCCCTCCCTTTCCACCATTTCAGTCTCTGGATCATCCAACATTTGAGTTATCCCAAGCCCATCCACGCCGACACACCAACTCCACCAACAAAACAGCTAACCTCAGGAAACAACCAGCATGGGTTAAAAAAGGCGGCATCGTCGGCCGCGGCATCCTCATCGACTACGCCACCTGGGCAACTAAGCACTCCATCCCCCTCACGCCCTTCACGACCAGCACGATCCCACTCTCGTCCCTACAACAAATCATCCAAGAAACAAACCTGCATCCCCGACCCGGCGACATCCTCTTCATCCGCACCGGTTTCACAGCCGCATACGACGCCCTTTCCGCTAGCGAGGAAACCGCCCTTGCACAGCGCCCAACAGCAGACTTCTGCGGCGTCGAGAACGGCGAACAAACCCTGCGCTGGCTCTGGGAGAACCAGTTCGCTGCGATTGCGAGCGATTCGCCGAGTTTTGAGCCGTCGCCTATCTTGCATAAGAATGCCCCGCTAGATCATACCCTGCATCAGTGGTGTTTGGCGGGTTGGGGTATGCCGATTGGGGAGTATTTTGATTTAGAGGATTTGGCGACGTATTGTAGGGAGAAGGGGAGGTGGTCGTTTTTCTTGTCGAGTGTGCCGTTGAATGTGAGTTTTCCTCCGCCCTCTTCTTTTGCACTTTGTCTTTGGACCTTTTGTTGGATTTTTTTCCGGGGATGAGGGGTTGGACTCGGGTTGTGATATGGTTTGCTGATGATTTGTTCTTGACGATGGATAGGTACCTGGGGGAGTCGCGAGTCCGCCGAATGCAGTGGCTATTCTATGATGTATCATCTAGTACACCGAGATTTGGTTGTATATACGGGGAAGAAGGGAAAGGAAAGGAAAGGAAAGAGAAGAGAAGAGAAGAGAAGAGAAGAGAAGAGAAGAGAAGAGGACCAAGGAGCATTTACGTGTCTACCAATCGAATAGATCAATTCAAAAAGATGTCATTCTAGTCACTTTATCTACCTAAGTAGTCAGGACAGGACAGTCGGGGCAAAAACAAAACATGTAGACTCTGCACGTCCAAACAATACAGGTCAAGGTCGGTCAACAGGTACAGGTAAAAAAGAAGACCAGGGGAACGAACGAGTACTCAAGGAGCAATCGCAACTACAATCAGATCTTCACGCCACGCTCCTTGATCAAAACACGAGTCTTCATGTTCGGCATGATGTGATCACCGTTAGTCACATTGTAAGGACGACGCTTCATATCACGCTCGAACTTGAAGTCGTATTCCATGAGAAAGCGACTGAGGATAGCCTTGATGGTATTGGTGGCGTAGAAGCGGCCAGGACATGCCTGACGCCCATAGCCGAAGTGCATGTTGGTGCGGCCAATAGTGACCAGGTAGTTGGGGGCCTCGACGTCTTTGCACCACCGCCAGGGATCAAAAGTATCGGCGTCTTCGATGATCTCGGAGTCGCGCGACATAGGACCGGAGGGGAAGCAGATGTGAGAGCCCTTGGGGAGGACGAAGCCATCAGAGAGAACCAATTCTTCGAGGCAGATACGTTGAGCGGTCACTAAGCGCGATGAGTTAGCAGGGTTGATCGAATGGATGAGGTGAGGAGTAAAGGTATACCTTCAGAGGTAGGGTTGAAACGGTGAGACTCGCGCAAGAAGCTATCCATACGACGCTGCGAAAGCAACTGAGCCTGAGTAGTCCCTTTCCAGCCGTCCTTGAGAGTCTCGGGGATCTCTTGACGCAAAGTCTCGAGAACATCAGGCATGAGGATCAAATCATAGATGGCGTGAGTGGTAAGCATGGTGCTGGTGTGCACAACTGCCAACGCGACGATGGTCATGATACCCTGGGAAAGAACCTCGGGGCGCTTGTCATACTCATTGTCAGCAGCGTCCATCATCCACTGGACGAAGTCGTCAGGCTTCTGGTAGTTAGGGTCGGTCTCTTCCTTGATACGACGCTCCTTGATCATGGGCACAAAGAGCTTGTCCGTGGCGTAGGCTAACTGCTCGGCTAGCTTGCGAACGCTGGGCAGCCACCGGGCAATCAGGGGACGCGCGACCTTAGGGAAGGGACGAAGCAAGAAGATGGTGATGCCAACGTTGTTCGTGTAGCGAATGAGCAGGTTCAGCCAGTTCTCGTCACGGCACAAGTCATCGCCAACGATGATGCGGGAAGTGGTGCGGCTCATGAGAGACAGGATCGTGTCATAGAGACCAATCGGAACCCAGCGATCTGGATTTGTTAGCTGGGAAGTGGATATTTTTAGGTATTGATTAGCTCATACCTTTACATTCAGGAATCACCGTGGGGAATGCGTTCGTCAGTTCATCGATGGTGCGAGGGACAATGCGGTCTGAGAAGAAGTCAGTATGAATTTTTTAGGTTGACCCAAGTAGTCAGGCAGAGGGAATGTCCAAAGAACAAACTTACTCAGAGCAGGAGTCAGCTTCTTAGCGACCGTGAAGGCAGGCAGCTGGCTGTCGAGGAGAATATTGATATATTCGCCAAGAACGTTCTATAGCGCAAAGCAAGCATCAGTAAAAGGGCGATGAGAACGATAGGAAGATTTATCCACGAACCCGATGCTGAGCATGAAGCAAACTGATCTTGTTAGGAGGCAGAACCTTGATCTCGTCCATGTACTTGTCAGGAAGAATGATCAAGTCTCCATCAGGCTTCAAAATCTGGAACGGCTTGCCCGCGAACTACAGATATTGTCAGTACAGGCGAGATCCACTGATTCTGCAAAGACAGGATACTCACGTGAGTGTAGCCATACTGGACCATAGCAGGAGCATCGATGAAGAACAGGAGACGGTTAAAGAAGTTGGGGAGAAACTTGTTGAACTTGACAGTGGGCACATCGAGGTACGACTTGCTGTAAGGACGCACGGTGAGATAGAAAACGAAGCAGGCGACGAAGTACGCCGGCCACAAAGACCTATCAAAGGCCCAGTCCATAGCAGCGAGCATTGTGAAGGTTTTCAGAATGAGAAAGGCTGGAGAGAATGAAGCAAGTTTAGGTGGGAAGGAGATGAGTGGGAGGGGAGGAAGGAAGATGGTGAGGAAAGAGAGAGAAAGAGGTAGAAGTCGAAGAGGGGAGAAAGAGAGCGCTTTTATGCAGACAGCAGGGAGACGCTCCGATACAGGAATTGGAAGCCGAATCGGAGCCAGCAAGAGGAGATTGCCGGCATCAACAGACATCATCAGCCTCTCTTTTGCACGGATGTAGGGCACGGGCTCCTCACCATATGCACTAGGCGACTGCTGCACTCTCCTTTGGTGGAAGCAAGCGGAATGTGCCGAGGCCAGACTGGTCTTCACGGCTCGTGGAGGGAAAAGTTTGGAACCGTGACCAGGGTTGACGTTGGCGATAGCAGTGAATATGAGAACTGAAGGCCAGATGGGCCGGATGGAGACAGGCGGCTTATTGTGTGCAACCGTGACAGGCATTACGCAATGGATCAAACAAAGAAAAGAACTGTAAAGTGGAAAAGAAGAAAGAAACGGGAGCATCAGCAGGGATACAGAAAATGTTGTGCGTTATGTACTTCTCTATCATAAATCAAACAGACTTTTGAGCTGCCTCCTTTTATCTTTCCAGGTATATCATCCCACAAATAAACGCCAAACGCAAATGCAACGGTGCCAATGACTGGGAAGTAGAACGCAAGGGATATAAATACAAGCAAGACAGTTAGTCAAGTCAATCATTCCAGCCCAATCCAATCGGCTTCCCCGTCTTCTGCCGTCGTGTCCTCGGCAGCAGTGACGACCTCGTCATTCTCGAGGGCCATCATGTCTGCCGCCGTCTTTTGCTTCTTGTTGGCGACCACCGGCGTCGACAGGAGATAGTTGAGATCGTAAACGTTTTTCTCCGCCAGCCGCTTTAGGTTCTCCCGGATATCATCTAGGGCCCGCTGCACCGCACGGAGTTCCGACGCGAAGGTGCCCGAGTTGTCTTTGAAGTAGCGTCCATGGCTGCTCAGGAGAGATTCAATCCATACCAGATTGAATTCCAGGTGCGGAGTTTCTTCGGCAGCGTGGGCTACATACCGAAGGAGACGCGGGAGATAGACCGTGGGCACGGCGCGGACGACAAGGGCAACGTCGGCGGGAGGAATCCCTTCGTGGACCACGCGGATAAGCTTGGCCTCGTTCAGCCGGAAGGCCATGATCAATGCCTTCAAGAAAGTATTGTCGTCGTCCACCGTATTCGTCGCGCGCGCCTGCTTGGCGCCCTCCAGCGTGGCCAGGATGTTGGCCGGGGTGATGTCGATGTCGAGGTCGAAGGGATCGAAGACAAAATCCGTGTCCAGGCTATAGATGAGCAGTCCCTCGGTGGAAGCCGCACAGAATGCGCGTCCGGCAGGAGAGAAGTCGACCGACGTGACACGCACTTCAGGCCGTGTAGTTCGAGCGCCGGCATCGCCACGTTTGGCGCCGGGCAGGCTGCGGTCAACGCGAGTCTCGTGGTCGGATGCTTCGCCGGTCTCGTCGAGGAGACCTCGCGCGCCTGCTTCGGTCATGTCGCGGCTGTTGAGGATCTCCTGGGTGCCGTCAAGCGAGGTGTTGGAGGAGACGGTATATTTCTTCACCATGGACCCTGTCGTCACGTCATACAGACAGATATACTTGCTATTGCCGGCGGCCAAGATGCAGCTGCCATCCGCACTGTAGGTGATGCAGTTGAAAGACTTGTTTCCGGCAGAGTTTGCGGCCGTCTGGCGGTCCTTCATCTTGCGCCCTCCGGAGATGTCTCGGCGTCCATCGACATTTCCTTCTTGCACGGCATCAGCAACCGACCAGAAGGTCAGCTGGCCATCGAGGGTCGAGGCGGCAACCTGCTTTCCATCGGGTCGGAAGGCCACACTCAGGACGTCCGACATGAGCTGCAAGGGCTCGCTAGTCTGGGATCTACCGAAGATACTCCAAAGACGAACGGTATGGTCCCAGCTACCGCTAACCAGATGGTTGCCGTCGGAGGCGAATGCCAGAGCGGACACGGGCCCTTCGTGGCCGGACAGCTGGTCGAGCAACTGTCCTGTCTGCACAGACCACACATGGATATCGAATGAGTCGGGAGAGCCTGCGCAGATCACCTCGCCGCTGGGGTCGACGGCCAGCGAGGAAAAGGACAGCCGAGATGGCGCTGTAAAGGTTCGGAAATTGCGGTACCGGATGAGATCCCATGCCCTCACGGAGCCGTCCAGCGATGCAGTGAAGAGGACACTTCCCTTCTTGGCAAATTGGCAGGCACTCACGGCGCTGGAGTGCTCGGTAAACGTCACGATGCAGAACCCGGATTTGACGTCCCAAACTTTGACCTTGCCATCATCGCTGGAGGTCACGACCTTCTGACCATCGGGAGAATAGACAAGTGCGTTCATGGAATCCAGATGACCCTGCTGCTTCAAAATGTACGATTCCGATTGCCACTCCCACACGAGCAATTGGCCGTGCTTGGAGGAGCCGAATGCAAGCCATTCGCCCGATTTGTTGACCGTCACGTAATCGATGTTGCTTTGAGATACACTATATCTCGTCAGTCATTTGCTTGGTTTCATGCCGATAGATAATAGATGTTACCTGAGTTGATGGATCATGTTGAATTCCGGCAAATCGTAGAGTCCGAACAATCCGTTGGAGAAACCGACGATCAGAAGATTCGTGGGCGCATGGAAGGCAGAGCAGTTGACCTTGGCGTCGTTCTGGTTGAAGAAGTCTTTCCTGACAATCCTCCAGCGGGCTTCGGCAATATCCTCCATCGTGTCCGGGTCTTTTTTCGTAACGTACTCCCATCTGAAGAGCGCACCGTCTTGACTGACCGTGTAGATCTGATAACGTCAGCTGCGAACTGCGGGACGGGTATACACAAAACCTACCGCTTCTTGGTCCGCCGAGAAGTATGCCGCCTTAACACCCTGACGGTGGCCCGATAGCGTAGTGGGCTCGAACCCCTCCTCCGGATCCATACTCCATACTCGCGCCGTCAAATCCCGGGAGGCCGTCAACAAGAAGCGCGAGTCGCTAGACCACTCGATGTTTTGGATGTCGTCAAAATGGCTGGTAAGTTCACGGTGCAAGATGAACGGCGCGAACTCAATCTCGCCATTGTTGTCGGCACCGGGCGACGACGGAGTATGCCAGATTTGCAATCGTCGCCCGATTGCTACGGCGAAGTGTCGGCCGGAGGGTGAGAACTTGAGGGCGGAGACACGGCCTTTGAAGGAGAAATGATGGATGACAATTCGGCGACGGAAGTTGGTCAAGATGGCGCGGCCATTTTCGTCAATGGTGAGCAGAAGGCTGCCTTGCGGAGTAAGATCTAGACGGTCGATATTGGTGCGATGCGCGAACGGGAGGGTGTAGGATGTATTGCTGCGCGCAGGATGTTTAGTACATGTCGTGCAGAGCAGAGCATAGAGAGAATACATACTGGACCAGGTCAAAGACCGAGACCTGATTGCCGACTGGCGACAGCAGAGTAGTGCCATCGGGGGTGAAGAGAAGATTTCCTTTGCGATAGACCGTCCCCAGAAGGTTGGAGAACTAGAACGGCGTTAGGGGAGGGTCCGATACATAGAAGAAAAAATGGGATACGCCATCCGAGGCGGCAGACTGTCACTCACCTTGAAATTGGTCTTCATGGTCGCCGACTGCTCAATGTTCTGGTCCGTCGGATCTCAAAAAATAAAATCGAATCAAAAGATTCCCGACGGGAACTTCCCAAAGCGAACAGCTCCGGCGGTTAATCCGACGCCGAGACCGACTAACCGCATCAGGACTAGGGCGACCCCGGAGCAGTCACGCTCGCTTGTTTGCTTCTGTTTGCTTTCTCCAGCAATTCAGGGGCAGCGACTGCCAACTCGAACGGTTTTCGATCTTCTTGAATCGTCTCCCTTTCTTCGCTCCCTGTTGGCCCGTTTAATTTACTCCTCGGCCTGCCTTGGTTGTTTGCTTCGTTTCTCCCTTTCGCTCGCTTTGCCTTTTGCCGATTCTCTCCATTGAACTTGTTGCTTGGTCTTGTTCATTGATCTGTTATCATCCTCCCCCCCATCAACCCTCCTTGACTATCATGGCCTCCACCGCAGAAACGGCTTCCGCATCCCCCATCGGGATTGCCAATGTAAGTGATGCCATTGAACTGGGGTGAGCTGGATCAATGAGCACAGTACTAATTGCATCCATAACAGCTCCCCAACCAGCGGTATGTTCTGATAGGCTCCTATCTAGCGGAGCGGCGGATCCTAACCACAGCTATCCGGCAGGCACAAGATCGTCGCTAAACGGGGTGCGGCTTTCACTATCATGGTGGGTAGAATCGAATCATATCGTGCTGGCACGACCGGAATACTAATTAACGAGGTTAGGTTGCTGGAGAGTCGGGATTGGGAAAGACCACGTTTATCAACACCTTGTTCTCCACCACCATCAAGAACTACGCCGACCACAAGCGCCGCCACCAGAAGCAGGTTGACCGTACCGTCGAGATTGAGATCACCAAGGCCGAGCTGGAGGAGAAATTCTTCAAAGGTGGATAGAATTCGAGTCTAGTCATTCCCCTCCGAGTGACCCGCTAACGCTGGATTGCGATTTAGTCCGCCTGACCGTGATCGATACCCCCGGATTCGGTGACTACGTCAACAACCGTGACTCCTGGCAACCCATCATTGAGTTCCTCGACGATCAGCATGAGTCGTACATGTTGCAGGAGCAGCAGCCCCGCCGCACGGAGAAGATTGATATGCGTGTGCACGCTTGCTTGTACTTTATCAGACCTACCGGACACACCCTGAAGCCGCTCGATATTGAAGTCATGAAGCGCCTGAGCTCGCGTGTCAACCTGATCCCCGTCATTGCCAAGGCCGACACTCTCAGCCCTGCCGACTTGGCTCGTTACAAGCAGAGAGTAAGATGCCAGCACGTCTAGCATCGTATGATGAAGCTAATCCATTCCGGTGTAGGTGCAAGCCGTGATCGAAGCCCAGGGTATCAAGATCTACACCCCTCCTATCGAAGAGGATGACGAGCACGCCGCCACCCATGCCCGCAGCCTGATGGCCGCCATGCCGTTCGCCGTGATTGGATCCGAGAAGGACGTTAAGACCAGCGACAACCGGGTTGTCAAGGGTCGTCAATATGCCTGGGGTGTTGCCGAAGTTGAGAACGAGGATCACTGCGACTTCAAGAAGCTGCGTTCGATCCTGATCCGTACCCACATGCTGGATCTCATCCACACCACCGAAGAACAGCACTACGAGGCCTACCGTGCGCAGCAAATGGAGACCCGGAAATTCGGCGAGGCTCGTCCTCGGAAGCTGGACAACCCCAAGTTCAAGGAGGAAGAGGAATCTCTGCGGAAGCGATTCACCGAGCAGGTCAAGGTCGAGGAGCAGCGGTTCAGACAGTGGGAGCAGAAGCTCATCTCCGAGAGAGACAGACTCAACAAGGATCTGGAAGCCACTCACGCTGCGTATGTTGGAACCTCATTCCATTTCTACTTGTATCGACTTACTGACAGGATTATAGGATCAAATCGCTGGAGCAAGAGATCGATGGTTTGCAAGGCTCCTCGACCCGGAGCCATGGACGTCGTTAAAAGGTATATCTTTTGGATCATGGGGAATGGCTTTCTCGGACAGTGGGAAAAGCAGGAGCAATGCGCATTTGCCTGGATTAATATTGTTAACTTTGACTACCCCTTCACCTTTCCTTATTTCTTTTTTTCTTTTTTCGGATTTTGTATTCAGGGAAACCATCGATGGGCAACTGTCCTGCCTCGTATTCTTCTGGCTTTCCCTGTTCTTTCTCTTTGCTTGCTGGAAGCTAGCGATGGTCTGTCTACATCTTGATAATAACCCATTTGTACTCCGTAGCATGTCAATACAGATTTAATAATTGTCTTCTACATCTTAACTTGAATAAGCTTTGGCGGTGAGGGGCGTCAATATGTCGGCGGTGAGCGGAGCTCCACTCGGGCTCGGCCTCAATCTTACTTGCATTATCTTCCTTATCTTTCTTTATATCCCATTGCAATTATAGAAATTCGAATTGATCGCAGAACCGAAGTCAATGACCGCAAACAAAACCTTCCCCACAGAGTTAGCTCACACTCTCAAAACACATAATGGTAAGACTGCCCATTCGAAATAAGTACCCGGCATTAATAACTCTTATCCCCTCAGGTCCTGTAAACGCCCTCACCTTCTCCAGCTACCCTGGAACCTACATCCTCACCGGCTCCTCCGACCGCGCAATTCACCTCACCCGGGCGCTTCCCAGCAGCAATAGCAAACCCGGTCCCGTCGAAACCACATCCCCGATCCAGAAATACGAAGCGCACGGCTACTCCGTTCTCGACGTCGCGGTAGCATCGGATAACGCGCGGTTCGCGAGCGTCGGCGGCGATCGGCAGGTCTTTCTGTGGGATGTTGAACAAGGAGGCACCACGAGACGGTGGAGTGGGCATGGGGCGAGAGTCGAGGCGGTGCAGTTTGCGGGGGAGGGGGATTCCGTGGTTGTTTCTGGTGAGTTTACTTTTCTTTTCATCGCCTATCTGGTAGATGCATTGGAGTATCATTTACCTGGGTGTATATGTTTCATCTATTTATGTTCCGGATGGCTCGGGTTGGACTGTGGTGTCTACATCTGTTCTGATTGCTTAAACACTGGACACTGGACTGGGTCAGTTGCTAACGTTTTCTACCCATGTTCGTGGTATAACAGGAAGCGCCGACACAACCATAAACCTCTGGGACGCGCGCTCCAACAACTACAAACCGATCCAAACCCTCCCAGAAGCAGGAGACACCGTATCGTCGCTGCACGTACACATGCCGACGTATTCGATTGCCAGCGGGAGTTACGACGGACGGGCGCGCATCTACGATATCCGAATGGGACGGACGTCGGAGGACGTGTTCGCGCACCCGGTGACGAGCGTGCGGTGCTCGGCGGACGGGAATGCGCTGTTGGCGTCGACGCTGGATGGTCGCGTGCGGATGCTGGATCGGACGGATGGGAAGTTGTTGAAGGCGTTTGGTCAGGAGGGGCAGGGGTATCGGAATAGCGAGCTGAGGATTCGGTCGGTGTTTGCGAGGGGGGATGCCGTCGTGTTGAGTGGGAGTGAGGCTGATCCGGCGGATAAGGGGGCCGAGGCGGCTGTGTTTGCGTGGGATGTGTTGAGTGGAGAGGTCGTTGCGAAGGTTTCGGCTGGGAGGGGAGTGAGGGTGGTGAGCTGCGTGGCGTGGAATGAGAAGGGGGGATGTTGGGCGGGAGGATGTTCGGATGGTGAGTCTCCCTTGATATTGATGCCTAGGGGAGGTCGCATGTGCTATGGGAGAGTTGCTAATGGTTGAACAGGATCCGTCAAGGTATATCAGTGAGGATGTACACTGATATCTACGTGAGACCTCTACACCGATGTTCATGCTGAACTTACTACCACCTACACTGGACTGCCAGTCCATTTATCGTCTTTAGCTATGATACCCAATTCATTTTTTATATACATGTCAGGCCTATCCATCATTTCACTCAATTATAGTCTCAGGCAAGTACCGGAAAGCCCTTTGCCCTGCTTGATAAAGCGTAAAAATAGGTCTTCTTCAGATATTGACATCGCTGCTTCTAGTTTCAGAGTCAATGGCTAGATTTGGTGCACCGATTATCTATCTCTTATTACACATTCTTAAATCTGTTATAATGTGAACCAACTGTGCTACTACTAATGGAAGTACGGTTCAGGAACACTTTCTGGTATTCGAGCCCTACTTGACATCACTATATTGACGAGTTATCACGCCATTCAGGCCCTCTGAAGCCACCGACAGAGCTCGCTATGCAACGACAGAACGATCGGCAGAGTACTTGCATGTTTCAGCGCCGACAAAGCTCCATTCCCAGAGCTCACTGCAAAACATTCGCAATATTTCTGCTTATTTCCGAACCGGGCCGGCATGCAGACCACCTATCAAGGAGTTAGCGTTCTCATCTCCACGAGATATCTATCGAGGAAACCGACCTGTAACCAGCATATCTGCACCCGTTGTGAAAGAAGCGGCGTCGCTAAGCAGGTAGCACACCATCGGTGTCAAGTCTTCTGGGATACCGAGTCGTTGCAGCGGTGCGCCCTCCTTGTACCAGTCCAACGTCGCTCGCTTTTCTCCTTCCAACCGTGCTAGAAGGGGGGTTTGGATTGCGCCTATTCAAGTCCCGACCTGTTAACGACATCTACTAGAACTTAACAACGAGGGTCCGGTCCGGTCCAGTCTACCTACCAGGTGAGATGCAGTTGACACGAATCCCGTACTGGCCGAGCTCTCCAGCCAGAGGACCCATCAAGCCCTTGATCGCAGCTTTGCTCGCATTATATGCTGACTGGGGCTGCACGGGGACGTAAAGTCCCTGCCCGTTCATGCTGGAGATGGCAACGATGCTGCCGGGGGTCTCAGCCCCGATCAGATGTTCGGCAAGGAGCTTCACCGTCCAATACGTTCCCAGGACGTTCACGTTCAGCGTCCGCTGCGTGACGTCCCAGTCGGCCTCCAGCAATGGCGTGTCCCCGACGATGCCGGCCGCGGTCAACCCGCCGTGCAGCTGGCCCATGGCCTGCACGGAGCGGGCGAACGCGCTCTCGAGAGACGTCCGGTCCGTCACGTCGCCTTGCGTGTAGAATGTCTTGACGTTATAGCGGGTTTGGAGACTGTGGAACTCTTCGACTGGTTGGGTCGCGGTATCGATCACCGCGACGCCTCCGCCGAGTTGGGCGATGGCTTTTGCGCAGGCGAATCCGATCCCGCGGCCACCGCCGGTGATGAGGAAGTTCTTGTTGCTGAGATCGAACCGGTCGGTTACTTTGATCTCGCTGAGGGTGTTGGGTTCGGAAGTCATGATGCAGAGAAGTGCGATGCGATGCCAGTCAGAGTGTAGATGGTTTAGTGGAGTCGCAGAAGACAGAAGACCATATTACATGTGCACATGAACATGATCTGGCGACAAGTATAAATATGGCGGTATACGGCACGGATTCGTATTTGACAGGCTGGACGGTTCTCACTTTCATTGCCTGAAATGGCATGTACATACGATTCCAGCTGCGGGGACGCGACGGAGAGGGACGAGGATCGCCAGCTCCGCGTTGCTTCAAACGCGGAAGTCAGCCATCTCCGGGGTGAACCCTACGAATGACGACCAGAACCGGATATTCTTACCATTTGGGTGCTGTCCAGGTCTCGGATGGGACTGTCGTGTGATGTGTCTCGCATGTTCCCTGCAATGATATAAGCCTGTCATTGCCAGACGAAACGCGAAGTGTTGTCAACCAACGCTTGCCACTTTCAATTCAACTCCCTGATACAGACTCTACCCTATTGAACAGCCAACGCAACAATGACCATCGAAGAACCTCAGAAAAAACCCCGGGTCAGCCTCGGCCTTCTCACATTCGGCCCTCCCGGAACCGAACCCTACGGCACCCGAATCACATCTCTCGACGAGTTCAACGAATGCCTCGACTATCTCCAGTCTCGAGGGTACCACGAAGTCGACACCGCGCGGACCTACGTCGACGGCCACCAAGAAGGCTGGACCCGACGGACGGGGTGGCATGATCGCGGCCTGAAACTAGCCACGAAATGGTATCCCTACCAGGCAGGAGACCACGCCAAAGCGATCGTCAAGTCCAATCTCACCAAGAGCCTGCACGAGCTCGGCACGGACAGCGTCGACATCTTCTACCTGCACGCGCCCGACCGGGCCACCCCGTTCCAGGAGACGCTGGAGGCGTGCAACGAGCTCTACGCAGAAGGTAAATTCCGACAACTCGGTCTCAGCAACTACGCGGCTTGGGAGGTCGCGGAGCTCTGGACCATCGCGGACCAGCGCGGCTGGGTGAAACCCACGGTGTACCAGGCTATGTATAACTGCTTGACGCGGGCGATGGAGGAGGAGTTGGTGCCGTGTTGTCGGAAATACGGGCTGGAGGTTCTCGTGTACAACCCGCTGGCTGGAGGGGTGTTGAGTGGACGGTACCAGAGCAAGGAGATCCCCGATGATGGCGGGCGGTATTCGACGGTCGATCCGGTGGTCGGGGCCATGTACCGGGAGCGGTATTTCAAAGATGTCAACTTCGAGGCGTTGAAGGTCGTCAAGCCGGTTGCCGATCGGCTGGGGTTGACGCTGTTGGAGATTGCGTTTCGGTGGCTCGTTCACCATAGTCAGCTGCGGGTTCGGGATGGACAGGATGGCATCGTGATTGGAATCAGCTCGTTGGCTCAGTTGAAGAGTAACTTGGATGACCTGGAAAAGGGGCCGTTGCCAGAGGAGGTGCTGGATGCTTTGGATCTGGCGTGGACAATCACCAAACCATCGTGCTCTTTATACTGGAGGTGACCATCTGGAGAGCTCGGAATGTTCTTGCAGATTCAGTCGAAAGCGAGGTATACTTTGTGACTAGTTCCAGTTAGCAAAAGCACTTCAGCTCCCTATCAGTATATATGAATTGATCTATCAGACAGTGAATCCCGAACCCTCGTAGGTAAGTATACTTGTAGGTACATACATGTAGGGACTCCATCAACTCCACATCTTCCCATCCCCAAAAAGAAAAAGAAGATTAATACATTCTCCACCCCCCCGACACCGAAACAACCTGCCCCGTAACCCACCGACTCTCCTCCGCACAAAGCCACCCCACAACCGGCGTCACATCGCCCACCTCCCCAATCCGTCCCCCATCCACCGGCGTATCCTCAATCTGCCGACTCACCAGCCCCCGATCAATCCCATCCAACATGCTCGTCTGCACGGGGCCCAGGTTCACCGCGTTAACGGTGTGTCCGGCCACGCCGAGCTCGGTGGCCCAGCAGCGCGTTAGGCCCTCGAGGGCGGATTTCGAGGCGCTGTAGAGAGAGAGGTTGGGGAAGCCGCTGCGGGAGGCGACGGAGCTGATGTTGATGATTCGGCCGCCGCCTTTCTTTCTGGGGGGTGCGGGGGCACTGGCTTCGGGGTTGGCTGTTTTATCTTTGGGTTGCGACGGGAGATAGGGTAGGATAGCTTGCGTGAGGAGAATCGGGGCGAGGACGTTCAGGTTGAAGGTCTCGCTGTATGTAGTCGGGGTTATGCTGGGTAAGGGGGAGGGGGTGGATACGGCGGCGTTGTTGATCAGGATGTCGATGGTGGATGTACGAAATGCAGAGAGGGTGGTTGTGATGATGTGCGAGGCGGAGGTGGGGATGGTGAGGTCGGCTTGGATGGCGATGGCGCTGGGTTGGAAGTTGGAGGTGGTGTGGTTTGGGAGGGAATTGATTTGGTTGACGAGGGTCGTTGCGAGGGGCGTGCTGCTGTTGGAGGTGTATGTGATTGCGACCTTGATTTGTTAGTTGATTTGTGTGGAATAGTTGAATGAAGTAGTGGTGTATGTAGAAGGAGTATGTAGAAGGAGTGCATGTAGCATATAGGCAAAATGTATAAACAAGGTGATAAAAACATACCCTCGCGCCCCGTTCCGCCAAATCCAAAGCAATGCCAGCACCAATACCTCTTGAAGCGCCGGTGACGATGGCGATTTTGCCCGCCAGGGTTTGCGGTTTAGGAGTGTCCATATCGATTTCTGAGTGGCTGGTCTGCGTCTATTAAATTGCCAATTTTGACTGAATGAATGTTGAATGTAGCATGTAGTATGCAGAGCCAAACATCTTACCTATATATGTTCAGGTCATCATATACTACTAGTACTTAAGGAGAAAAAAAATGAATGGAGATAAACTCTTAAACCCTAAGCCCGAACATTTACACCGTACATTCTACATTAAATGGACTCCATCTACTGAGTACTGTGCATGTAATTGACGTCAGCGGACCCAATAATCCTTCAAGGATCTCCACGTAAACAAAAGTCCGTCATTTGCGTTTACCTCAACTAGTATGTAGAATGATGATCAAAATCCTTAAATCCGAGCTTCATTGCTAAACATTTGATGAAAATATAAATAAGTAGGTAGGAGGTAGGTACAAACTGCAAACTCCGCTAATCATCCCATCCAACGCAGGATTGTCATATCATAATCAATCACAAGTTCGATCCAATTCGCTATAACTGTTGTCTGTTCCGCTGTCGTTCTCTTCTTTTTCTTGTTCTTGTTGACATGTAAATATAAGTATAAACCCAACTGAAAACAAATGCGATAATAAAATATAATTGAAACAGCCCAAAGAAACATGGGTCTGATTTCCCATGTACCAAAACTTTTGTTGCAATGCCAAATATCCCACAATCCATACCTCCCAAAGAAGAAGAAATGTACCTGGCAAAATCAATGAGAAGACTTGGTCTACTCGGTCGTATTTCGTGAAATCATACTGCGGAGAGCAAACCCGCGTCTGGTATTTACCTCCGCTCACTCATCCCCCGCCCATTGACTCTCCTCTAGAGCATCCACCGCGCGAGTCAGCTCGTCCTCACCCACAATAATAGTCCCCGCGCGAGCCGTGCTCAGAAAACTAATCTCCACGGCATCCACAGCGGCATCCAAATCCGGCTGCAGACGATGAGTCGGCGGATTCGCGGGTCCGTGAAGACTGCGACGCCCGAAACTAGGACTGGGCGATTTAACCGGCCCACCCGACCCGACGCTAGACGACAGAAAATGTTTGAAAGAGCTGTCGATCGACGAGCTGCCGTTGTACGATTGCGACAGGATGGTCGACGAGTCGGTGAAATCGTCACGTCGCGTGGCGTCTGCGAGTCGCCCGGCCACACCGCAGACGATGCCCGTCGCTTCCAACGGGAGGCTGCGCAGGTCGAGCATGATGGGGACGAGGATCTCCTCTTTCGAGCCGAGGAGGAGGCTGGTTTCTTCGTCGGAGTCGCCGGAGGACGTCGGGTCGCGGGAGAAGCGCGGGAGGAGGCGTTTTTCGAGCAGAAGAGATGCGGCCGGGTCGGCGGCTGTGAGGGTCAATGAGAGGAATCGCGGCTTGTCCACGACCAGGACCACGGTTAGGGCCTCGCGAAGGATGGAAATGGAGCTGGCTTCGCTGCTGTACGGATGGTGAGCGGCACACTGAACCAGACGGAGGGATTTGTCAACGCTAGGAACGATGTGGTTCCTGCGGAGTGAGGAAAAGGTGCGCGTCTGCAGTTCATCGAGAGACGAGGGCGGCGGCGTTGCTGGCGGAGAACCGAGGCTGTTCGAACGCGAAGACGTAGGACTGAAGCAGTTGTTCAACTGGTTGCTGATTGTGAATGCTTCGGTCGACATCTCGAATTGAAAGCCTCGCTTCTCCAGAGCTTTGATGACTTGTGCCTTGCTGCGAAGGGGGACGATGATATAGTCGGCAAAGTAAGTGGAAATAAAAAAGATGGATCTAAAAGGTCAGCACCATACTAAAGTTCTAGATGACCGGTTGCATACATTCCTGCCATGGCCAGAGGGCTCGTCAACTCCAGCACTCGCTGGCCCGCTTCCAGCCCTTCCCCGTACACCTGCATCGCAATGAAATCATCTTGGCTGATGGACGGCTGACCCTGTGAGGACGAACTGGTATTCAGAAAGCGTTCGACCAACGGAGCAAAGTACTGGTTCGCCAGCTGCCGCGGACACATGACAGAGCATTCGACGGGAGTGATCGAGAGGTTCAAGAACGCCGGCTGCGCACGTGGCGAGGGGTCTGCCTGATCGTCGTCCCCGTATTCGCCGTGGTCGTCCAGCGGAGGTACTTCATGGAAAAGCACCTGAAGAATGGGGTTCAAGAAATATGGATATAGATCGAGCGGAATGTGGACCAAGGCTAATCGGTCGTCCTGTCAAAGGCTGTTTAGCATGGCCGTAGGAAATGATACGCAGCGTAGCAAGAATTAGCAAGAGAGAGAGAACTCACCATGAACTGGACCTGGGCCGAGACGAGTGACAACGACTGGTCCATGGCGTCGAACACCAGGACGGAGCGATCTAGGATAACCACAAACCCTGTCCATACAAACAACACAACTGACCACACCGTCTTCCTTGAAGAAGCTCCGATCAAGTTATATTTAAACAAGTCACCCCAACAGTCGTAACTCCGTGAATTCAAATAGAAAGGAAAAAATAATGAATCAGAAATAAAACCACCGATGACTTCACCACCGGATATGACGAGGATGGTGAATAACCGAGAACCAAGGAAGGGAGAATTTCTTCCGTCTTTGCATGTCGCGCGTTGGCAAGGGGGACGTATGAAGCCTGTCGGAGTAGATCATCGACCGCCCTTCGTTACGCCATTGCCCGAGGAAATGATACCAAGGCAATCGGATCAGCACGCAAGAGAGCTGAGAGGGTGGGAGGATGGTGATGTCCAGGATGAGGAAATCTCCGATCAAAAAGAGGGTACTCAATCTTAGATAAATCGCAGTGTGACTCAACGGGGACTGAGCTGATTTAAGGAATCTAAGTTCGTGGGTCAGGAAAGCCGACAAAGGGAGAGAAAGAGAAGAGATAAAGAAGAAAGAATCCGATTTACGACACGAATGAAAGAAAGAAGAACACAGGAAAGAAAGAATGAAAGAAAGAAAAGAAAAGCTTGACAGCAACACCTCCTCCTTACTCCATACAGACCACCCCTATGCGACTATCTCTATCTCTCCAACGCATCAAAGAAACCAAAGCATGTCAAACAAATCAATCACTCACCGAATTACCTAAAGACGAGTCTCCACCGACCTTATCAACGACTTGCAGTTTAAGTCTGGATCGCCCGCGCTAAACGCTGCTACCGACGAATGCCCCGTGCTGGACTGATACTGCTCATGTCATGTCCAATGAACTTGACGATAATGAAGTCCGATTTGATTGTCTGTTCGATATTTTCTGTTCTGTTCTGTCTGTCTCTCCCCGCACTGAATGTCGTGCGAGCTAAATGCTGTTGTCAGGTACGCTCGGTCACACACAGGAGCCACGGCTGCATGGCGCTTTCGCTCTCCCCTTGACAAAAGTCTGGGAAATGGAGACGCGCTGTTTGGGGGACCAGTCGGAGGGGCGTTGGAGGTTGGAATCTGACGCACAGACAGCAGACAGCAGACAGACAGATCAGACACTAGGAGTCAGAAGTACGAGAGAGAGGGTGGGTGGCGAGGACAAAGAGATGAGATGGCGATGATGCGATGATTATGGCAGCATTATCACCCGTGAGCAATCCTCTCTCTCTCTTTTGCTCATTATCATTCTAATTTTCATTCTCATCCCGAGTCTATTCAGGTCTTCTTGGTATTCTTGCCACCGGTTCATCAGATGATCGCTGTTATCTCGTCAATCTGCATCTCGAGATAAGGATCCCCTCTTCTCCCCTCATCTACTCCATAGTCTACTCCGTCCATCGTAGTCAAGAAATTCTATCCACGTTATCGTGATCAATCACATTGTGACCTCAAAGATCTACCTATGAACTGCTTATGTTTATGGTTACATCCATCCCCTCAGTACAGGAGAAATAATATGAATCCTCCGATCTGACTGACAGACAGTCCTTGTTGGTGGCACGACAAGAAAAGAAGACCAGAAACGCCCGCAATGCATGGCACCAAACCATCCCAAAAACAAACCCACGTAGAAATAACAGAAATAAACTAACCCATATCCTCCGATTAATCGTCGTCCACTCGGGCGCGTTTCGATCCCCGGTCTTCGGTCTCCTGAATGCCGTAGCGCTTCTGGCCAGCGCCGGCCGTAACGTCGGCGATCATGCTGTCGATGCCGAACGGGTCGGTGGTGTCTTTTTCGAATTGGACGGGGCCCTGACGTTCCTGTTTCCAGTTAGTTATGTGGTCTACGATCATGTAGAAGATAAGAGACTTACCTCGGCATCGGCCGCTCCTCGGAATCCCTCCTTCGCCTTTCCAAGCACCTCGAATCGACTCGACTTCTGGATCTTGCTCATTTCGCCCTCGCCGCCCTCGTCGTCGTCGGCGTCCACCTGGGCCCGCGGTCGGTAGATGCTGTTGATGGCGTCCTGCGCCGCAAACAGAGGCTTGTCGTAGGGGTTGTCCTCGTTGAATCCCGTGTCCATGCCGCTCGTCTGGTTAAACAGACGCGAGTCGTACATGGTCTCCGAGGACTGCGTCGGCTTGGCCAATCCCAGCGCCACCTTCTCGGAGATATCCCGGTTCTGCTCCCGCGCCATCGTCTGGATGCGACGCTCCGTGCCCATACGTGACTGGCGCAGCTGTCGCTCGGCATCCTGTCGGCGCTCGCGACGCGCCTGCTCCCGCGCCCGGGCAGCACTCTCGTCCTCGCTGGGCGATCCCGACCGCGAGGAATACGCCGGACTGCGACTGCCGCTGCGAGAGCGAGAACGCGAGCGAGACACGGCCCGCGAGTCCTGACGACTGCTGCCGGCGCGCTCGGCACGCGCCTTCTGGGCCAGCGCCCGCAGATGATCCTCCTTCTGCGCCTTCTCCTTCTCCGCTAGCTTCTGCTGCATCTGCGCACGTAGTCGGACCTCCTCACGGGCATGTCGGTCCGCTGTGAACAGGGCCTCGGCAAACTGGGCGAACTTGTCGTTAATCGACACATCCTGGAGCCCGCGACCGTCGGCAGCCAGACGCTTATCCAGCGGCACCGTGTAACCCTTGGGATTCTTCCAGTTCGACACGGGCGGCGGGATCTTCCAGGCCTCCTGGTCCTCGGCGGTGAGTTTCCGGGGCGGCGAATGCATGACCGGCGGCGGCGGCGAGGGCGGACCGCGGGGGATCTTCTTATGCTTGAACTTGGGCGGCTCCATGGGATCATGCTGTCTGTCGACGATCTTCATGATGCGATCATTCTTCCGATCGGTGTTGCCCATCTGGTTGGCGGGCGTGTAACGCACAAACGTAGGCTCGGCGCGCTGCCCACCCTTGACGTTCTTGGGCTTCTGCGACGCCACGGCCCCGTCCACCAGACTGGCCAGGGCGTTCTTCGTCTTCTCCATCTGCGCCGCCACGTCCTCCTCCGACGGCCGGTCCAGCGAGATCTCGCCCATGTCGACCCGCTGGCGCAGCGGGATCAGATCTTTGAAGGAGGCGTGCACGATGCGGTTGTCGCCGTGGCCGCGGCGGGCGATCGCGTCGTACTTGACCTTGCCTTCGGCGTCGACCTGCACGGTGAGCGCGTTCGAGGTCGACGAGGTGCCCTTACGTCCCATGTCGAGCGGATATTGGGCGACCAGGATCTCGGGGAACGCGCCGCCGTCGCCAAAGTCTTCGGCGGCCCGAGGGCGCCAGCCGGTACGGTTGCCATAGGGGGGAGGGCCGGTTTTCTAAACAGATCAAATCATCAGTCCTAGTCTCTTCTCATAGAACACAGCCTGTAAAAAGGTCAGAAAACCCACCCTTAACACAATTTGAGACTCGTCAATCTGCTCGGGGCCCACGACCCGTGGACCACGGGGCTGCGCGTGTTGCGGCAACTCCTCATCCTCGCCGGTGTATTTCGGCTTCGGCAGGGATTTGAAAAGCCCCTCCGCAATGGATGTCATTATGGAGAGTGGTAAAAAGTGGGATGGGGAGGGGAAAGAGATGGGAGATGGAAGGGAACTCGAAGGCGGAGATGAGGTCGCCGCTTTTTCTCTGCGCGGGTGGCGCTGCGGTGCGCCGTAGTCAGGTTTACTTGGTAGGAGCGGTAACTATGGCCTCGACAATGCTTTGTAGACGGTTCAGGTGCCAGGGTAGGCTTTTCCATTTTTAATTCCATGTGTCCTTTACGACTACTTTCATATAACTTTTATTTCATTCAGTTCATCGAGTTCTGCCTGTATATAGACCTGCGGAACCTGTCTTTAACAGAAAATTTGACGGATTCCTAAGGCATCTAGATCTTCCACAGTCTTTGTTTGGGAAGTATCTCGACATGGCTATGCAGAATATCCTAGATTAGAAATAGTGTATAAATATAAGTCAATCCAGATCAGAGTGGTGATATGCAGTCATGCTAGCTAAGACAAGAGCGGAATGGAGTATCTATACGGATCATAATTATACAATGATAAGTCACCAACCCCAAAAAACAAGAAACAAGTCCTACATAGTGTATAAATCAAAGTAAATGCGTCCTCATAGGACAGGCAATGCCTTCAGCATCCTTTGCCTCCACATAATGCTCCTTGCCAAGATATGTATACCAGACCTTCAACGTCTTGGGCAAAAGCGGTGCGGGATCATGGAACCCGAGAATTTGGAACTGAGTCGAGTTAGCAAGCGTGCGTCCGAACTGATCTTGCAGATATATTTCAACTAACCTTGGTCGTGTCCTTAGGAATCACCAGCTGACCGCGATCAACCAACGCAGCCACCGGGATGGTGACGTCGACAACCTCGTAGCCACCGAACCGGTCCCTACCTTTACGATCCTTCTTCGAAGAAGGATCAAGACCATACTCTGCCTTGGTGATGACCAGACCGTTCTGGTCCGCCTCCCGGGCCTGTCGCCGACGCACCTGCTCGGTCATCAGTTCGATGGCCTGTGCACTCTCGGCCCTCTTCTTCGGAATCGACTTCTTCAGCTGCTTCTGCCGCCGCGCGATCACTCGTCGACGGTTCTTGCGGTCTCGCGGGCGGATGAACCCGAATTCCCAAGCGCAGTACGACGCGAACGGCACCAGCACCATCATCGCCGCGATGTCGATGTCGGCTGCCTCCAGCGGGAGAAGCGTGATGGGGACCCGGATGCGCTGGCCCAGTCGACCCCATGAGACCGTTAGGGCCAGACCGCGATTGCCTTGCAACCCGACACCCAGTCCCATCCGGGTCATCTCCCCGACCTGGCGCGTCCCCTCGATGTTCCAGCCAACGGAGAGGTCGGGGCCGACGGTGCTCTGGATCTCCAGACGAATGGCGCGCGGCTCGTCCGCTACCGGCACGGCATAGTGGTTCTCGGAGCTCCATTCCGACCGCGCGACTTCCGTCGCCGGTTTCCCGGAAAACAGATTACGCGCGTAGTTGAATGTCAAACCCATGGTGAGCGGGCTGGCTGAGATGGCGGCCTGCCACGACTCGGCGGCCTTGTCCTCGGCCGTCTGCTTCTTGCGCACCGTCGTATACTCCTCGTCTTCCGCCTCGTCGGCGTCATCCACGTCGTCGTCCAGAGTGGCGGCGTTCAGCGGCGAGTTTGGCAGACTCATGAAGCCGAACTCGAACCGACTTTCCGGGTTGCCAGGGTAGAGTGCCGTGTGCACGTCCATGTCGAAATTACCGAGCGGGGACAGCAGCACCTTGAGCACCTCCGGCCAGGGAATGATGCCACTCGACCAGTTACAGAAGGTGTGCTTCCCCTCGCCAATCTCCCGGACCACCTGCACTCCCATGACGGGGGGACATCGGAAGAGCGAGTGCAACAACGTGGCACTCAAGTTGACCCGGAACGGCTTCGTGCCTGGAACAAACTGCACAGCCTTGGCCAGTCTCGTTTCGACCGAGGGAAAGGGCAACAACATCGCGGTCACCGAGGCGCCCGCATAACTGAGGCACGAGAAGGGTCGCCAGCCAAGAATGCCCTTGGCGTCGGCGAAGTCCCCAAAGACGCGAGTGACACTCGCGCCCAGGGTCAAGTCCCGCGCAGCGAGAATCGGCGGCTCAGCGATCTACGGATCGTCAGCATGTGTGCAGGATATTCTGTGTCAATTGCTCGCTCTCCTACCTCGTGATCCTCCTGCGAGTCGTCCTCCATGGTGAGGGTATACTTGCGGGAGACGGGCTGGAGTTGACCCGCAATGCCCGTATGGATAGTCATATCGAAACCCTCCTGCTCCCACGGCAACTGGCGGTCTGGCTTCGCATCCGAAAGGTCATTCTCGTCATCGTCATCGTCATCGTCATCGTCATCGTCTTTCTGCTGGTCTCCGAGCAAAACGCGCAGCGACGGAAACGGTGCCTTGAACGAGTACTTCAGACTGAAGTTCGACAGGCGCGGCTTTTCCAAGACGAAATAAGCGATCTCTTCTTCCTCGTCGAGAGCGATCATCGACGAGGCATCAACACCTAGAGTCAACGAGCCCTGTCAATAATTAGCCATCATGCATCCATCATCCATGCACCACCCCCCTTCAACAGCCCTTCCATAAGCCCCCCCCCCCCCCCCCCCCCCCCCATCTCCATCTCCATCAAACCCCACGAAAGAAAGCAAAAAGAAAAAGGGAAAAACAAACCCGACTCGCAACCAACCTCTCCACAACCCTCCTCTCCCTCCTCTTCATCATCTCCAAAAACCATCTCCGAAACTCCCTCCCACTCATCGCCCTCACCCCAATCTCCTGCCCCGGCCCCTGTCCCCCCTTCTTCTGCTCCTCCCTCCACGCCTCCCCCCTCTTCCCCATCGCGCCATGAACCCCCCACTCGCGCCTCACGCCCTCCGCGCCCAACAAATCATAAACCTCGCGTTTCCGCTCATCCAGCAACGTCTCGGACGCGACGCGCAGCGCATCAAAGTACCGCGCTGCCTGCGCCTGGAGCCGCGCGGGCTGATGGTCCGGATGGAAGATGAGGGTGCGTTGGCGGAAGGCGGACCGGATTTCCGAGTCCGAGGGGGCCGGGGTCCGTGGGAGGCCGAGGAGGGCGTAGTAGTCTGGTTCAGCGGAGGAGGAGGAGGGGTAGTTCATGAGGAGGGAGTAATAGGAGGATTCCGTTGATCCTTCGGGGAGGGAATAGTCGGGGTCGTCGTCGTCGTCGTTTTCGAAGGCATCGAGCCTGCTGCTGCTGCTGCCGGAGTTCTCATTGGGGAGGTTTTGTCGATCGGTTGGATCGGTTGGGTTGCCGACGGTGATGAAGTCGGAGGCGCTGATGCTGTCGCTGCTGCTGTGGTCTGATTGTGACATCCTTGCAGGTTTGCCGGTCGGAATCTTGGGGATGGGTTGCCGGCCGAAGAGGAGTTGATCCGGGTTCTTGAGATCCGTGAGGTAGTCAAGGTAGGATTTGCTAGAGGTACCTAGCTAGCTGAGGTAGAATGCAGGAAAACGAAAGGGGAAAAAATGATTTAGGAATTCATCCGGTCGGGAATGTAATCGGCCATACTCCTTCTTTTTGCTGGCTGTCTGTCTGCGTTTCTCTCCGCGAGGGAATTAGAAATGCAATCGTGGGGTGATGTTCCTTTTGGCGGAGTTTTTTTCGTTCTTTTTCATTTTCTCGTTCGTTTCCCGTCACGCGATGACGTCGGCAATACCGGCTTTACCTACGAAGTACCTTAGTGTCCGTGGTTTATCTTTCCTAGTGATCATCCTATGATATCAATTCAAGATCATTATGTCGGCAGATCATATATCCTGTACAATGTTCTAAAACCAGACACTTATAATGAAACTTCATACGAAATACGTTGCTGTGGATCGTGCTCAGCACAGTTGTATGATATGCTAATCGACAGACAAGAAAACAGTAAACTTGATATACATTCCATCCTTCTTCCCCCTATAATACAGGTCACAATGCGCTCAGCACAAGATCATGTCATCACGGATCACTCCGGTCGAGAATATAGATAGATAGATAAACTCATAAGGCCACCACCGCACAATTGAACAATAGAATCACCGGGTATACATTACTAGAGTTGACGGATGGGCCTCGTTTTGGTACACGGCATCAACATCGCTAAGTAGACAGATCACGAAAAAAATAAACAAAGAAAGGGAAAGACAGGAAGTGTGCTAAGAAAATGTAGCATCAGCTGTCATCCCTCAGAGGGTGGTGTCTCGGGGGGTCTCTCATCCAGAGGATGTTGTCCTCCGAGAAAGGAACGTTGCCAGCTCCCAAAGCGACGAACAGCCGTTCGCGCGGCATCTCTTCATACAGAAGGTCTTCATTGGCCGAGGACTCTTGTTTCTGGACGCTGCTGCGAACCTGACTATCCAGGGACAGACTCTTTGTACGGAAGGCAATCTTGCCCTCCACCTCGACTGTCGGGTAAGGCACCTCGGTCATCGCATCCAGCCGTGCATCGATTAGGGCCACGAGAGGTATGGTGCTGGCCCAGAATCGACTCAGCTCGCGCATGACCTCGAGACCACCGTTGACGAGACGAATGCACTCGGGAAGGTCCACGATCAACCCGCCGGCGCTGAGCACGTCGACCGCGGACAGAATCACATACCCCAGAAAGGGATTGAGCAGAGTCCCCTTGGAGACGTTGGGGTCCAAAGCCGACCGGGAAGACTCGTAGTCGGCCGCATATCGCATGAGAGCCACCGAGATCCGCAGAATCTCAACCGCGTGGTTTCGGGTCGCGTGGATGTACCGATCCACCAGCCCGTCCGGAAGATTCTGGAATCGCGCGTGCCGATTCAGCTTCATCAAGGTTGCATGATATAAGAGGTGTATGGAAATGAAAGCATCCGCCTTCTTGGCTCGAATGCTGCGTTCCATGTTGACGGCCGTGAAGGTCAAGTGGTCCGGCAGCCTGGCAGCCCACTCGTCCGACCGGCGAACAACGTTGGCATGGAACTCCCCGAATAGTCTGCTATAGGCCTCGGCCGGAATCAAGGACAATCGAAAGACGTGATCGGAAACTTCTCCCCATAAGGACAAGATATCTATCAAGAGTGCCATTGCACTCAACCCCGAAAGCTCGTCTTCGAGCGACACGGGAAGCTGGTTCAAAAAGCTTTGGAAATAAGGAACGGTCGTGTATTGTTGGGCTTCGTAGACCTCTTCGCGGCAAGGTAATCGGAGGTAGGCGGTTTGTGAGGAAATTAGGGTGGTCGAGGGGGTATAGAAACACGAGAGACGCTGGTTTAAAGATGCAGTCAGTTGATGTCCATGTTACATGTTCGCAAGAAGATACTGAAGAACCACTCACGTCCATCAGAAAGGCAACCCAAAATGTTCGACGTCGGCATTCGATCAACGCCTGGGGATGTAGACCGTACTCGCAATCTCGACTTTGGTCCACAATAACTCCTCCCAGTTCAACATTGTACCGTAATCCGCATACTGTCCGCACGGCAGCCCCGACGGCATCCCACGACTTGACAAGAGCCCCGATGGCATAATACCAGAGACTCATAATGATCCGACTTTGAGCCAGCTGCAATGTGAGGCTGTGTCTGCTGTGTTCCACGGCATATCGAGCCGTGCGAGAGTATCTCTTCAATGCTATCACCCGGTCCGGGCGCTCGGAGAAGACCGATCCCAGGGTCATCATTGAGTAAAGAAGCATATGGTCGTCTAGAGATTTTGGCTGACTCGACCGAAGCCACAGCAGAAATCGGCGTCGAGGGAACATGTAGTACATCCGATCGTTCACATACGTGAAGTAGGTTTCGACGTAATGAAGCGTGAGCTCCGGATCCATTTCGTATGGATCGACTCTCCAGTCGCAGGCGATGGGATCTTCCGGATCCAAATCTTTCAGTCCCGTGAGGATGTCAGAGTAGTCCGGAGTCACTTGAGCATCCACACGTCTGGGCAGATCCTCGAGCCCTGCGGGGATCTGATTCGTTGGGCCTCTCAATCTGTAATGTTCGTAGTCCATGCCACCGTCATGAGTGCTATCCACCGCCGAAGGAGTGAGCATCGAGCCGTCGGATATAGGCGACTGAGAGTTGGTCCTCGGGAGCGAGGTCGAGCTTCCCGAGGCCCGGACCATGGAGTATAATGAATGAGAGGAGCCGGAAAAGTGGTGACTTCCGGCGGAGAAGCTGTCTCGTCCTTCATATCGGCCCATCGGCTGGGAGGCCTTCGTCGCTGCACGATGACCCCGAGGTCTGAAAGAATGTTAGATAAATACCTTCTGTCCCAACCCAGCAGAAAAGGCTAATAGGTGTCTTCTTCATCCCCACCAGGAAACTTACGCGCTCTCGAACCGGCATTCTCTGCCGGACTTCTGGCACTGGTCGCATTTCGGAAGATTTGGCTGACATTTGATTTTCTTCTCTCGGCAGGTCAAACAGGCCTGAGCGAGTCGTTTTCGTGGCTTTCCAGCCTTTGTGATGCCCCAGTTTGCGTTCACAGGGACTCCGTCAATGATCTTGGGGCAACGAGTACCGTCGGCGTAGATATAACACAGCCCCTCTCCGTCGATATACCTCTCGTCGACCACATGCGAACGGACATTTGACGTAGGGCTTTTGTTCTCGGCCGAAACCCTCGCGTCGGGGGATTCGGGGAGTCCGCTGTCATCAGGATCCCTCTCGAGATGCCGGAATCCATGCGGATGAAACAGTCCCTGTGGGAACGAAGGAACGGGCGAATTGACCTGGCTGGGCGGATTCACCGAGGGCTCGCGTCCTAGATTGTGCGGGGACAAACGAGCGAGAGGAGGCAACGAACCGGGGTGCCGTTGATGGAGGGGATCTGAATGGAGTTGATGGTCAGGAACTCCGTTGCGGGTCGGCGTCAGGCCGGGGCCAGAATCATGATGTCGATACGAGGGCGAGGGTTCTGTGGCCCCGTTCGGAGATGCGTAGAATCCAAAACCAACGGGGTGATAGGGAGACGATGGTCGGCTGTCCTGGGCCGTTGGGGTCAACAGCTGACTGACTGACGGCAGCTGCTCGTTTGCGGGCTGATGGCTGGGGGCCGACGAACGGCCGGATAGGGGTCCTCCAAGGTCAGTTCTCTCTCCCTGGGTCCGCTGGTGTAGAAAGGGATCCGATCCGAACTGCAAAGGCGCTGAAGCACGAGGTGGTGGAAGTTGGTATGGATGGGTTGTTCCAGGAACTGGCAAGTTAGCCGGACGATCAGGCTCTCGCTCCGAAGAAGGACCGTCGGTCACAGGTAACATACGCCCGAAGGGTCCCACATAGTAGGTCGACATGGTTGGCGCCGTCGGATGGACAAAAAGAAGTGTGGTGTTTGTTTGTTCGTCTTGTTCAGCGTCCTATAACCAGCGACATAACAAGAGGGTAAGGTGCGGGGAGGGTTCCGAAGAGTCCACCTGGAAGGAAAATGGAGGCCAGAATCCCAACGGTGACGAAGTCAAACACGATCTGACAAAAAGAAAAGAAAAAGGCAATTTCTTGCTTAGCAACTGAAACCTTTGCGAAGATGAAAACGAATGAACTTGGGAATGCACCACACACCTCCTTTTAAGTATGCCGTTGCCCGAGACTTTGAACAACAGGGGGTTGAGTCAAGCAGACAGACACACCAATGTCGGGAAATAAAAGAAATATAGAGAAAAATAGAAAAATGAAATAGAAATGGAAGGAACAAACGGCCGGTAGGTGATCTTCGAGGGAATCGAAATTAGGGTTTGGGGATATCTCTATACCCAAACCTTGGTTTGCCGCTCGCACGTCAAAGACGGAACGAACAACCGATTCGGAGCGGCAGGTAAAAGTACCCAAAGGAAGGAAGGAAGCTAAGTCTGCAGAATGGAGACAATAAAAAAAGGGTAATTTTCTGCCACAAAGCGATCAAGTCCGCGGCGTGCGGGCTCACTGGACTATTCCCATATACTCAAGGATCGAGGAACAACGGGAAGGCAACGGATACAACTAATTGACCACAATCATGGTGCAAACGGCCCTGAAACACAGTCTTTCCGGAACGAGCACTCCATGCCAGGATTGCTGCAGGATCCCAGTTGATCGTCCCGAGCATCCAACAATGATCCAGCGGGGACGGTACTGAAAGTGTCAAGGCAGACCAAGGTCAAGTAGGGTTACGCCTTAAGCCGGATACCGTAAGCCAGGGGGGGAAAGTGGTGGGTGGGAGTGGGAATGACTGTGTCCTGGAACAAAGGGGAGAGATGAGATAGCGTCGTTCTCACTGCAGATGGTGACAGGACCCCAGAAAGGCCGTGGAACGAACGTGGCCAGGTAAGAGAAAAAGCAGGCAAGGCGCCGTTTGTCGAAGACAGATGAGACTCCGGGTTCCGGGTAGGACAATGGGCGAATGAAAGACAACAGGAGAGTGGGTTGCGTTGCTTTTCTTTGTCCTCTGTCCTAGTATTCTTTTTCCTTTTTTTTTCCACTTGTGAAATTCTGATCTTATTATTTTCTTTTTTGCCCTTCTTTTTTTTTTTTCGGCCCTTAATTTAGAAAGGACAAAGGGGTAAAATCAACAGATAGATCTCCCTATTACGGACACCTTCGCGAGAGACCGGACGAACGAGATGAACTCTCAGGTACCGCCCATACGTACCCAGTGGCTATGTGGTTGGAGGGAATACTGGCACTAGCAGCCAGAAAGAATGGACCCTGGGATTGATAGCGGACCCGCGACAGAACCCAGATGGAACGAGGCAGCGAAAGACAGTCGGTGATTTGCTACTAGAGGCGTTGGTGTATTTGCCAGCCAAGTGTCCTGGACGCTGAGTAGTATCTGGCAATCTGCACTTTCTTTTTTCGTCCGGGGCCCCCTGTAGATAGGCTAGTGAGATGGGGGGAAATAACCCGGTGAGAAATAGAGGATAGGACAGGGTAGGATAGAACCAGATGAAAGAGTGAGGATTAAAAAAAGAAAGGACTAGACTGGGGGTGTGTTGTGTGGTAGGTAGGAGCCTAGGTAGATGTAGGTAGGTAAGGTTTGATGATAGGAATGAATGAGGGACAGAAAGGAGAAGGAACCCGGAACCAACCAGGATGTTCCGACAAAAGAATAGAACAAAAGAAAAGGACAACAAGGACAGGGGCGAGGAAAGATGGAGAGGGAAAAGGAAGGAAGAAAGAAGACGAAAAGAGGGGGAAACAATGCGGTGATTGAACGATACGAACAGTCGACAGGAAGCACCTACCTACCTTGCCCGTCCTGTTGCGAGAGCAGAATTAGAAAATAAAATAAAATAAAATAAACGATTAAACAAAAAAAATACTAGGATGATCATATAAAATCACAAGAATATTTTTATTTAATTACTATTAAATAAAAAAATCTAAAACCCTGGGTCGGACAACGGGGGGACAACAGCTTAACCAAAAATGAATTATTCAATATTCACCCACATAATACCTCAAAAAGAAATAATACTGGCCAGGCTGTACTCCGTAGGGTTTCTCCTCTGGTTCTGTCAATCCACCTCGATCCGTGCTAGTATTAACGGTCCCCGGGTAGTGGGTTGCGTTCATGGCTTGGAACCGGGACCATCTTCTGGTCTCGACATGTGCTAGTGATGTAGTCGAGGCAGTCCCGAAAATACCACGGTGCACAGATTGAGGCGATTTGAGAGATGACACGACACGAATGACAGGAACGCCACGAGGTCAGTGCTCGGTCATACAGACGTCGAAGGCTGCCCGAGGTCGAGAGTCCGACAGAACAGGAAGTTGAAATTGAGGGCAGCGGGAATCCCTCAGCTCCTAATTCGGAATCGTCATGATCCTCCATCATGCAATGCTGAATGCATGAATGGAGTCGTTCTTTGTGGATGCCTTGTCACTCTGGGTTTTTTCAATTTTTTTTTTTTAATTTTCTTTTTTCCTCTCTATCAATTAATCTATTCTGATAATACACCAATACTCTATACCGATGACCACAGAATTAATTAAGTTAACTTTCAACGTGTGCCCCGCTGCGATATCCTATTTGGTTGCTCGGAAAGATCCAGTTATCTCCATAACGCAACCAAGATGAATCGTACCTAGCAGTAGCCAAGGTAACCAACCCAACCCGAAGGAGCATAATAATCGACGAATAATTTAAGACACGGCATCGAGGACTTGTCCTCCCCAAAATAAATTGCTACGGAGCACAGGTTTCGACTTTCGAGGAACAGGATATCCCTCGGGACGGCAGTTGAAAATAACCTTGTTTCAATGCATGAAGGTCTGTGACTTGAGCCCAGCCCGTCTCCGTGTCGCCCTCGTCCCTTTCATCTATTCTTGTCTAGGGTGTGTTTGATCATCCTAGGGGATTCGGGTCTTTTTTTTTTTTTTTTTCTGTTTACAGTTTTGCTTTGTTTCTTTTTTTAAACCCGGCAAAAAGTAACACAGTAGTTTCGGCCCCAGTGAATACATAGGAAGTTGTTAGTAGTAGTAAGTAGATAACTAGGTAGAATAATGCACGAAGTGATAACATAATATGATACTAACAGTAACCAATTCGACCGACTCCCACTCCCGAGGCGAACCATAACAAAAAAGAAAAGAAAGGGGGAAAAAGAAGGTACATCATACCCATCGAATAATAACCACCTACTCCGTAATCCAGGGATTCCTTCGGCCGACGCAAAAACCACCACGAACTGGACCCAAAATCCCTGCGGCGTTCAGCGCACAACAGAACGGAGTAAGGATTATCAGAGGGGCAGAAAAAGAACCACAATTAACAATATCCCACGTCCATCAATTGCCTACATCGTACTGACTCTTCTACGTAGCCTCATTTATGAAGTCCCTCCCCGAAGACAAACAAAACTAATAGGAGTCGTCCATGGGAGCGATGCGAGCGGCGAGCCCCTCCCCGTTGGTCTTCACCCAGGAACCGATTTCCTACTCCGTACGCCCTCCCCCTTGTCCGACCTCCGTGCCCGGTACCTTACCCAGCTACCCAATTCTTGATTCTTATTGAATCTTGACCTGGTTTACGTAGCGGGCTCCGTAGACTATCGCCTGCTTAAACGTTTGGGTTGACTCCTGACGGAGAACGGAGAACGGAGAAAGGGGTTCGTTCGAACAACGGTACGGTAGTTAGTTTTGCCTGAGGTACGGAGTCCGGAGCGGTAGAAACGACAGCTTCACGGTTCCTGATTCCTGAATCCTGATCCTTGAGGTTGAGAACAATACTCCATCGAGGATCGCACATTGTCATTCGCGGGGTCTTCGTGCTAGAAGTGGATATGCGATGCTATCTCTATTCTCTGTTACCAGCCTACCATGTTGCGAGTTGCGACTCGCAAGTGCAAGTGCGAGGTCAGAAGGTAAAAAATAGGATATAATAGAATATAATACAATACAATATAAGTAAGAGGGCCCCATTCGGCTGCGAGCGCGAAACGATCGAATTCGGGATTAGTTCCGTGATGCTGTCTGTAGCGCTAACTCGGTGCTCGGTTTGGAGTTCTGGGTGACTGACTGACTGGGTCCCTTTTTTTCTTTTTGCTCTTTTTGCCGGAAAAAAAGAAAAAGAAATCGATTATTTTCTTAACGGGCGCCCCCGATCCGCGCCCGGTTGTCGTCAGTCGTACCTCGGATTTGTCTCAGGTTTTCCAACCACGGCGATCCGATCTGCAAGCAAGCCGGCCGTCAGGTGCAAGTCCAGGAATCGTCATTCAGGCTCGGGAATTCCGCATCGGTAATAATACCTATATTAATGAATCCAGATGTTTCATTTATCTTGAATCCTGAATCCCTGATACTATAGATCTGGCCTCTCCTTTTTTCCTTCCTTTCCTCTCTAGCTAGTAACTCCGGAGTAGTTACTTGCCGTCTCGTCTGCCCGTAGGTACATACTAACTAATGTAATATATTATACCTTCTAGCGATGGCTGACTACTCACTAGTAAGTAGCATTGGCTTAGAATTAGATGAATCCAACTTGGGTTATGGGGAAGCATCATATGATCCTCTCGTCCTGGAAACTAATTGGGGTTGAAATCAAACAGGAATTGTTAGATTAAATGATCAGAATAGGCATGAATCATTGCCAAGGTAGACACCAGTTACAGGTACTTCTTGTCATAGACAGAGATCAACGGATAATTTCATATTTGAAAATCAAGGTATTCCGTATACTATGCGTGTCGTGATAGACAAGATCACGATGAACGCAATAATACAATCAATCAATGACACGGAGGGAAAACCGAGAAAAAGAAAAAAAAAAAAAAAAAAAAAAAAAAGCCCCATGGATCTATCCATCTCCATCTGCCGAATC